GTGACGGATGTTAGGAAACCTCGATTCAACCTCAAGTCAACTGAATTAGGAGGTAACCCTTGGCACACCAGGTTTCCCTAGGGGAATTGAAAGAGTGAAACTTATAAAGAGTGCGTTTATAGAGAGTTGGAGGAAAACTCAGTCCACTTTTGAATAATGGACTCCAAAAAATGAGGCAACTAAAAAAACGCTCCGGGTTACATGGAAACCATAAACCTAGGAAGAAACTTGGAGTACTAAGCAACATTAGGTGTGTATATCCCACCTGCTTCTTAAACACCAACGGTAGCAGAGAAATATCCCAACGTTGTATGCTCCCCAGCGGAACCCTTAAGGAAACAAAAAGACGGGGAATGACTGGACTGTTCTCTTTCATTGTAAAGGACCAAGCAAAAGGTAATGGGATCTCCCCTTGAACCTCTACAAACTTCCATAGAGCAATCAAATCAAAATCCAACCCCGTATATGTATTAAACCAAAGAGAGCCACACGAGAGTCATACACTAAAAGTTCTCGTCTAAGTCACTTTGGAACCCATAAAAGCACAACACCCCCAGAGCGTCCAGTTAAACTGAGATATACAAAAAGCGACCTATATACCCCCGTTACTTAACAATAAAGAAAAGTACTAAAAAAAAGACCTCTTAATCACTCCGAGTGCCTTCTCCCATCGAGATAGGCACTAGTAGACTAAAATGAACTGTCAGCTCCACCTTACATACTTTCTCATATATCCAGGTTGCAAACTATATATCTTGGAAAAATATTATGGAACCCGGGGAAAATAAGCGGTGAACACCTAAATTTTTTTTGTTGTAAATGCATCATTAGACATCCAATGATTAAGTTTCAAGGTATCAGTCACTATAAGTCTGTCATACTAAACAAAATGCCACATTAAAATATCATTGCCTACTGGAATCTATTAATTTTCTTGTATCTGTTTATGAAATTGACCTGTTGCTAATTGTTAACACCGAATAATAGCTTGTATTCAAGTATTTGTAATACTCATTTTGAGTTCATATACTTAATTAAGATATGAAGGTTTCCAAAGCCATCAACAATAAGTTTAGGGGTTTTAATATCATTGATAAAGAGTTGTAATTATTTCATATTGAAGTGACTAGACTTTAAAAGATTTAAAAGAAGTACTTAATAGAAGATTTATCATAAAGGAGTGAGCACAATATGTCATTGAAAAATCATTAGTATCAACAAATAGGTATCAAATTAAATAGTACTATATAATTTCTACTACAGAAATTTAATCATTTGATACAAATCGTACACCTAGTATCATCTCAACTACCAAAGTAGTTGTATTGTATGGATTACTTCAAAAACCCAAAAATTGCCACTTTACTAGTATTGAGTCTAAATAATGATTTTTCAGATACTAAGTATTGTTTACAAATGGATTTTCAATGTACTCACTCCCATCTAAAGGAGCAATCATTAGGATCTGAAAAAAAGACAATAAAAAAACGTGTAATATTGAATTATACACTTATTTATATTCATATCGCGTTGTTATAAACTGAAAACTTACTGAGGTTCCACGAACTACTAAAAGTCCCAAGTCTCTTTGTTCAGAAGTAGTATTTGTCAAGTCTTCAGGGTCTGGCAAGTTGAAAGTGAAGTTATAAGTTTGTACTCAGTTTAAATAGCTAGAAGTCATTATTCTGAAATGTGTCTAGCTATATCAAAAGATAACTTATATTTACCTAATAGAAATTCTTTTGTATCATCAAGTACAATGTTTGTCACACCATCATAGCCACGCAGAATACCAGTGACATCTCTACCACCACATATCTTTACTCTAATCTCTTTATTAATGAATTTACTTAAATCCAAAATGGATTTGGATGACATTATAGTTTGATACCCCAACAAAATTTGGGAGAAAAGAGAAGAAAAAAAGTAAGAAGAAAAGTTGGAATTAGTTTGAACCAAATATAGAGCGCCTGATAACAATAGTAAACGGCTAAGTTACTTGATTAAGGGTGGCATTGAACTGACGATTATCACATTCTAACGAGCTATAATACAAGAGACTAAAAATATCTGAATTGAAACTGTGTCTAAGACGATATGTACAACTAATCATTTTATTAAACTTAAAAGAGTAAATTTTGAAGAGAAGGAACCTTTAAATGACTCTTTTTTCTTTGCAGGCTTCTTCTACGGAAACCACAACATTTGGTACTTATAATTTCTTTGATTTGAGAAGATGCCATGACTTTGATGAGATTATACTGCTTTATTTAAGAGGTGAAGATATGAAGTTCTATATCAGTTCTCAATTACGCATTAGATTATATTGTAATCCAAAGATGTTTTTAAGTTTTGCCCACAACTATTTTTTAAATAAAAGGAGGATAATCAAAGATGATTGTAAGAACAAATTATTCTCTATACCTTTACTAGTGAGACCAGATGGTAAGATTGCAAGGATTGGATGGGCTGCAGATTGGGATAAAAAAAGCTACAAACATGGTCTATCTGACTCAGTAAATTTATTACGATGTGGCTGTAAGTTCATTGAATTATATGCAATATTAGGTGAATATGGTTCAGAGAGTGAGGTTTCATCTAGAACAACTGCTGGAAGTAAACATCAACGTGAACAAAGAGACCCATTGTCATTGAAACTCCGCTGTGGATCCTATGAAACTGCTGGTACTCGTAGTTATATGGAAGATCGAATATATACTTGTTTAGATTTATTTGGAACTTGCTCAAAAAATCCATCATTTAGTAAGTATAGGATGGCATTTGTTGGCGTATATGATGGGCACAATGGTGAGTACACAGTGGAATTTCTAAAGAACTATTTACATAAGAATTTTGTATCATCATTTGAGAATGATTCAAATTCAGATACTATCCAAAGTACAGTAAAAGCTCTATTTGCAGCATTTAATACTACGGAGAATCAAATTAGGCAGCACTATCTAAGTACTGGAAGCTGTTTCTCTAGTCATGAAAATGAAATTTCTTGTCAACATGATTGTTCTCAACATATATCTTCAAACAGTATTTGTAATTCTTCCTTTTGTAGTTTTGTCAAACACATATCAAGTGGTTCCACAGCCCTTGTTTGTTGTGTAGTATCATCTACATTATGCATTGGTAATTTAGGTGATAGTAGAGCACTTTTATGCAAAGGTGGTAGAGCTTACCCATTAACTAATGATCACAGAATTAAGACAAATCATGAAGAAAGGAGTCGTGTTGAAAAAGAAGGAGGCACATTTGATGATGAAGGTTATTTGGGTGGAAGTCTAGCAGTGTCACGTGCTTTTGGAAATTGGGATAGAAATAGTGGTACTAAACTTTTAGGGGTAAGCTCTATCCCAGAAATCTTTATTCATTATATTACTCGTGAAGATGAATTTTTAGTTATTGCATGTGACGGTATTTTTGAATCAATTACAAATCAGGAGGTAATTAGTATTATACGGAGATCTTTAATTGAGACAAATGATCCAAATATTGCTGCAGAAAAACTTGCGAGAATTGCCTTGCAAAGACAATCTTTAGACAATCTTTCAATTATTATTTTAGTTCTAACCTCACCTGAAATCCCTACAAATAGTGGATTACAACAACCAAGTCAACCCTCAGAAACACTTAAACAAAATAATTCTAATAACTCTATTGGAGATAATTTGTCGAGAAGAAAAATTTATAACTTTTCTCAATTAAAGAGTTTTTTACAGCAATAAAATTCGAGAATTCTAAGTAATTTACTATTATAAAAGTACCTAGATACTATATTTTCAACTTTTTAGAAATAAAATATTGGAAAAAATATAAATCAAAAATATTAGTAAATTATAAATTAGAACAATTTCATCATTATGAACAATGTTTTCGCTTATCCATAATTTGCGAAAGATAAGAAACCTAAAACTTTTTTACTTAATATTATCTAACTTAAACTCTTTTAACCTATAAATAAGCCAATATTCTAAGAAATATAATAAATTTCTTTGCCACCATGTTAGCATTGTAATTGGGTAAACTCCTTTTAAAACCAGTTTATTAGATTTGAATTATATAAGCTTTTTATTTTGTAATAATACCTTATCACTCTCTAAACGAGCTTAATCATTCTTATTATTGGAAATGAACTTATATTTTAGAAGAAGTGAGCAAAATATTACTATATTATAGGTAACTTGAAGTATTCAACATACTTAGTTGATCAAAGTATATACTGATAATTATTGTTATTGTTTCTTGAATATACTAAATTTTTTGCTAATCTATAAATCTACTAAAAATCTTATATATACATCTTTACAGAATATAATTTTAAATATGATATTTTATACTTAATTCTAGAATACTTTATCACTTTCGATATATTTTTTCTAACCTTACTTTATACAAAAATATTCATAATTAATGAATCATAAAATTTACAATTAAATTTAACGTAATAAATGGTATATTACTGAAATAGATTGAAAATACTATAAAATAACTATTCTAACTATTAACCATGTATCTACTTCTATAAATTATATAAAATCTTTTCATTAACAAATATCTAATTAAATATTATCATATTCCAGCTATATCTTATAACTGGTATGCACTTATAAATTACTCTTCATAAATTTTACATAATCTAACAACTAAAGCAAAGGAAACTATTCTTAAATAATTTTCCTATGTTAATTAAATGCTTATTTAAATATATTTAAGATATTAAAGTATTTGAATACTCACAAGCTTAGTAGATGTTCGAAGTTATATGATATCTAATAGAATTTTCTAAAACATCAATCAAAGCAATTGTGCCGTTATATAAGTTTATCAATAAGATGAGAATTGTGTTATTAATTATATTAATATCTACTTTATTAGGTACTTAAATAAATAAAACTAGTAACATTTAAAGTAAGTAGAAAGTTATTTCTATTATTGATAACCAAGACAACTCTGTCATTAAAATACAAGCAGTGATGTACCATTAAATCCTATTACTAATTGAGACAAAAAAGATTTATAGTCATTAAACTTAATTCAACAAAGAAGTTCAAAAAGCTACAAATTAAATAAAATATAATTATTAAATTTTAAATTATAAAGTATACTTTTTTTCAGTGTTGATGAGCCATATCCACTTTGTAAATAATTATTAATTATATGGTCATTAAATATCTCATTGATCCTATTTTACGAATCATCTATAGCTTCTGCTAAGATATCTAGATACTTTAGCTTGGTTGTGACATCATCTAATGGACCTTTTGAGTTAACCTTTTTATAGTTAAGTTCTGAATAGTGCTTTGGTGAGGTTGATGCTTGTCTGGAATTTAATAAATTACTTAATTCAGATTTAACAGTATATATATCGCTTTGTTCTACATCACAATAACTATTTTGTTTTTCATTAGATATTCTATGTGGTGATTGTTTGGAAACTGAAGAAATACCCTCAAAAGGTCTAAAAAAAGGTGGAATACCTTTGCTTTCTTCATAAGAGATAGAAGGCAATATCTTTGATTGACCTCTAGCAGGAGGAAATGGGGGGATATCCCTTGATTGAAAATATACATTCCTGGGAGCATAACTAACTTTAGAAAAACTAGGTAGATTTGCTAAGTAATGAGGCTGAGTTGCAAAGGCTGTTGAAGTGTTCAATGGTGTTCCTCCCTGTACTGTCATATATGCAATATCGTTCCCTCCTCCCATTCCAGCTCCAATAAAAGAATCTCTTACCATTAGTCCAGTGTCATTTATTGCTCTAAAGGCACTAGTTGAAGGACCCCGTACTACACCACAATTTACTTTGCGCCTGAATAAAGGTGAAAAACATGAACACCAAATTCTCCAAAACCCTCTAGCCATTAACACATATCTAAAACGACGTTGTAGTAATTCAAAAAATCGGTTTATATCATAAGAACTAGAGTCTCTGCCAGACCTGTCAGTACCATGAATTATATTTGCAGAGGTTACCCCCCTATCAGTTATTGATGAAGTTACCCTCTGAGTTGCCATTCTCCAAACTATTAAAGCAAACAATTTACGTCTTTGGAAAGCAGATTGAATACAATGAACTAAATTAGATAAATGCCGAGTTACAAGCTCCACATTTAGAGCTATACAACTACTAGCCTCAGAATCAGTATTAGAATCCAATTCAACTTCACTATCAGTAACACTATCAATCCCACTATCTTGTTCAGATAAAGCTGAACTTGCATTTGTCCTAAGTTCTCCCTGAGATTTTCGTCTACTAGATTTTGCACCTCCTACTTTATCCGATCTAATAGTTCTATAATTCTGAGCCAATTCCACTTGGAGATTTTTTACTTGGGCTGACAAGCGTTCATTCTCTGCCAATAATAATAGCTGTTCCTGACGAAAAAGGCGCAACTGAGTTTCATTATAATGGTATTGAGCTGATCTGTCCTCACCTAGACGTTTTGCATAGGCAATTTCACCAAATGTATGTTTGTATAAGTTTCTAAATGCCCAGCGAAGGTTTGAAGTAGATACAGAATTGGAACTCGTCATACTTGACAAAATTTCTAGAGCCCTACCTTTGCAGAGAGCTACATGGGTCAAGGCTCTAGCTGCCGATAATGGGATAGTCTCTTCATGCAGACGTTTTAGCTCATCTTCCATTTCTTGTTCAGCCTTCTTCCGCTTCTGGAGTTCATCTTGAAGTAGCTTTAAATTTTGTCTTAGTTTCCTATACTCATTATAACCATCAGGCTGTTCATCCATTTTATCTAGTAACTAAGCAGATGGGTGTTCATCTGAAATTTTTAGGAATGCCCTTTATTCAAGAGCATGCCTTAGCGTTAATCCACATTACATATAGAGCGCCAAAAATGTATTGGATATTAATATTGAAAGATTAAATTACAGTAAAAAATTATAGATTCTCTTGTGTTTTTTAAGCACTTTTGTCTAAAAAAAACTTGAAATATACACTACTCTAGCTATTTAAAAAATGTCATTTGATTTTCAGTAAGTCCCTATATATTTATTACCACTTTTGAACCTCAAAATATTAATTAGATTTTATAAAAAAAAAATATAAAATATTGGTTAATTATTATATGATATGGACATATTATTGCTATATCCCTATTAAATTACTATTGTTAATGAAAGGATGTGAAATTGTTACAGGGACTTTATAATACCAAATATAGTTTCTGGCGCCTGTTAAGTCAAGTCTGACAAGGATAGGTCCACTATTGAATACCTTTAGGGAATTGTGAAGATGAAAAGAAAATCAGCAAACAAAAAGAATGCGATAAAACTAAGGTTAATGCCTTCTCCTGTATGTGGGGATGGAGAGATGCAGAAATGGGTGTTGCAACCTAAACATAATTTATCTGAAGAGGAACTGACGAAAGTACGCAATCTAATTGGTGATAATATAATCCTGCCCGACAAATCGGGAGAAATAAAAGGATTTCAAACAAGTACAGATGTCTTAGAGAAGTGTAAATTAGAACTAAATTCAGATAAAAGAGAAGATTTGGAAGACTATACATTTAATGATAACTACTTTCCTGATGATGGATACAATTATGAACAACATCTTTGTTTAATAGGTAAGGGTCACTTCATACCATATAATCATGTGAAAGAAGATCTTGATATATCAGGATTCATAGATATTAACACTACTGTAGCTTATAATGAATGCGACAAAATTTCATTAGCAGGTAGTTATAAAAATGAAATACCTGAGCTTCAGAAATGTTTAGAAGAACCGGAAAATTTTGAAGAATTAAATGATGACTTTATTTTAGCTGCTTCTGGTGCACAAAATCTTAAAGATCTGCAAAAATCTATTGATATAAGCCAAGTTTTATGGGGAATTCATGAAGAACCAAATAATCTAAGGAAATTCGGAGATACAATTAATAAGTTAAATTCCAATTTAAATTCTTCAGAAGAAGTATCAGAATTTTTTTTTAAAGATAAAAAATGCGAATTATCTGAGAATAACACATCACAAGATATTTTTGATCAGATTTTAAAGGAGTATGATGATAACTACGAGTTAGAAGACGAACTCCCTAGTGAAAATCCTGATAATAACTTGGAAATATATAACAATAAATTAGAACAGAATATATCTAGAAAAATGACTTTAAAGGAATGTGAAAATCTGTTAGATAAATATATAAGTATGGCTACTTCAGGATTAAAGCAATTAAAAAAGGATAGAAAAGACAAATCTACTAATACCATTCTCTATAAGCCTTTAGAAGGTGAAACTTTAGAAAAAATTTTGTCCATTATTGAAAGAATTAAATTAGATGATGATATAGATACAGAAAGTATTACTAGTTATGAATCAGATGATGACATTAATTGGGACTGTGAATCAGTCCTAACAACTATGAGTAATTTATACAATAGGCCTTGTAAAATCAAATTACCTCAAAAGATATATTCTAATTCACAAAAGACATTTATTAAGCTAGATCCCCAAAAGAATATTCCTACTGAATATTTACCAAAAAAAAGTACTATAACTCGGGGATTGGTATCCGTCACTGAGGACAATATATTAGAAGATAATAAGATACCTAATATTGGTCTAATTTGTATAGAAAGGAGACGGAATGAGACTAAGGAAGAACGTAAACAACGCAAAGAGGCAGTTAAGAATGCTAGGAGAGCAATGAGAGAACTTAGACGTCGCAATAAGCAGCAGGTGAAAGATGTGAAAAGTACAGTGGCTGCCAATTTTGAAAAGTCAAATCATCATGATATAAAACCTGGAATTAGATATTTTAAGTTCTAGCATATACATATATTTAGAATATGAACAGAATTTATACTTGACGGGTGTAAATAGTCAAGTCATTGCCCCCCACACAGAAAGTATATACAATATAAAACAGACATTTAATTTACCGCCTAAAAGTTTCCATATAGGACAATTTTGTTTGGAAGTTAGGATTTGTACAATTTTTTAAAATTATAAGAGATGTTTATTAGTGCCCGTTGGGCAATTATAAGCTTATTAATAGCATTCGATATATATTGTCAGGCAGTCTGGTTGGGTTGTCACGTGGAAAATGGTGTTTCCCTAGATATAAGACAACAAAGACGTCTTTATATGGTAAAAAGTTCAGATTGTCCCCCAAATCACCCTTATATACGTTCAGTATTCCATAGTGACTTATTCCGTAGCATATTTGATTTAGAGGATGTTGGACAGGCACTATATATCTCTTTATCGACAGCTCCAGAGTTAAGAAGTTTTCTTTTGTCATTTGCTAGTATGTTCGCAGTTGCTGAACGTGTGTTTGTATTATTTATTGCATTACATATTATCTTCTATTTCCTTGTTGCTCCAATTTTGAGATTATTTGTTATATTATTAACACTCCTTCTAATTATAAGGACTATATATGCTTTGTATAATTTTTGGGGGAGTTCAGATTTATACTCTTCAGTATACCAAATGTGGATTATGTTCCAGAATTTTATGAATGGTGTTGATTCAAGAATTCTGAATTATATGGAAGATGTTCTACATTATATTGGAATATCCCCAATATATCGTGGTAGTTAATCTATATAACTCATCTTTATATTATGTAATATTCCATACTAATTTAAGGTATACAAGGTACCAGTATTTTTGGTAATACAAGTGAAGAATTGACATCAGTATCAATTTGTGAACCAAGTAATTGCATACATATTTCATGGTACCATCTCCCTCGAATTAGATTAGAACTAGAAGCCTGAAGTTGCACTGAAAGTTCCCGACCTATTGGAGAAGATACAGCTGATTCTGTAGAGACAGGTAGAGCACAAATTCCGCATAAAGGTATTGTCTGAGATTCTAAAGATGTGGGTGGGGCTATATATAATATATTTTGAAAATCAAGATCTTCAATAATATCATTTGAATAAAGGCTTGAGGAAATATTTGTAGGTGCAGCAACATCAATCCCACAGAATTTGGATTGTTGATAATTAATAAAGTCCCAAGTTGGTTTGTTAATTGAACAACAACTTAGAGAACCTTGTATAATTGCTTGAGTTGCAGAATGAAAATCCCCAGAATTTTTCATTAAAGCTTCTGATGAAGATAAGAATCTAGGCCATTCCAAAGAATTTGTACCTGGGAGACCTAAGAGTCTCATTATATCCTGGAGTTCTCTAGAAATAGCGCACATATTATGAAGTTTTGGGTGTAGATAGATGCAGGCATTCCAGTAATCATCTAAAGTATCAAATAGAGAAACCAATAATGTTGGTTTCAAATTTTTTGTCCTAGCTTTATTATTAATTGTAAAGGTCTCATATAGTTGAGTTAACTGCTTATTATTTGTATTGCCTAGTGAATCTTTCCTAAGAGCTTCTATTGTAGTTCCATACTTAATTTGCACAATGTCAATTAATTCTTCTTTTGATGAAGGAACTAATATAGAAGTTACAGTAACAATTCTCCAGGCAGTATTGAGTAGTTTGTATAGATCCCCAAAGATTTTATTAGGTAGGGTTTCGGAATATTTGAATTTATTCTTCATATAAATTCCTAAACTATTTAGCTCAGTAATATGTTTATCTCTAATTACAACTAATTGGCCTAAGTGAAGTAGCCACTTTGATAATGAAACGACGAGATTTTCAATTACAGGAGATATATTATTGAGGAATTTTCTTGTATTCCCTACAGATATGGAATGCATTACATTACACCAAAGAGTTCCTATACGTTGTAAGCGAGTTAGCTTTATTATATAGTCCCCAACTTCAGGTATAACCTTTTTAATTATTCCCAATGAACTCTCATTATTTAATTTAAAGTCTAATTTTAAGTTTATCTCAATACTTTTACTATGCCCCACTGATTGACCAAATTTCATATCGAACTTATCTAAGTTAGCTAGTTTATCTAAACATTTGTGTAACTTTGCTTCATATATCCTAGATGGTTCAACTACAACTTTTTGTATAAATACAAAAGCAAATGCATGCCCAATACATTGGTTTACATCTGGGACCATAGTTACAGATATTTCCATTCTATCCAAAAGTCTCTCAGTCCATGTGAGTCCTTTTAAATTATTATTAGTATTTGTATAGAGTACTGCTAAATTATCATCTGATGTCAACTCTCCTAACCAGTGTAAGTGTTTCGATGAGCTTATTTTATTCCAGTGGCCCCTACGGGCATCTTGTACTCTAACATGTTGAGCCTTTTCAGAAAATAAAAGATATTTATCGTATTCCCTACTTAGGTTATCAATATTTCCTAACTCAACCTTGTGTGACTTAAACTCTGTTGCATTTGCCTCATTTGATAAGTTTATACTACTTTTTCCATCTAGAAAATCATCTTTATGTAATGTTACAATTAGATGATTATACCAATACCACGAATAAGAGTAAAGCTCAGATTTAATCAGTTGTATTATCATACTTAAGGCCAAAGTTACACATTCTATGGAGTCATTAGGTAATCTCCATATAACTGATGTAAATCTAGGTATTGCTGCTTTCTTACACAGCTGTATCTTCTTATCAACAAAGCAAGTTCCATATTCCTCCAAAATATTGTCTGACATAATAATTCAAGTTCAGTTTTTATTTGGGAGTTAAAAAGTCTAAAAACTTGAAATTTACAGTGGTTTATTTCTAAGATCTCTTCAGTAACCCGCTAAAGAAGGTACCTTAGTGTTTACAGCAGCACTACTAAATAACCAACATGTATGCTTTATTATGAAATCTAATCATAGAGCTATCTCAATATCTACATTAGTAATATTGTTACCTATGTTAGTAACATCCGCTAGTTTTATTTGTAGCTCGGTTACACAAAGTTATACTATACTTACATATTGCAAAAATGGTAGTAAATGTTTAATAGAAACAATTGGAGGCAATGGAATAAATACTCAAATCAAATGTATATGCAATTTTGGATATGGTCTACCTGATTGTTCACTAGGTAAGGAATACTAGTTAATCTATCAAGTAATTTCTTATCTAATCTTGCTGTGTTATAGAGATACCTGGAGCTATATCAACTGATATTGAAAATGAAACCAAAAATACCTGCTGGTTAGAGGATCTCCTTCAAGTAAATCAAGAATACAATAATTTTGCTTTATATAAACATATATTTAATGGATAGATTAAAATATACTTTAGTTTATACTTATCTTCTAATGCATCTTACTACGTGTCTCCATATATTCAATATTATTTTGAACTTCTTCTAATTCTCTTGCTTTAGTAAGATATGGTTGTATTTCATTTATTCTATCTAAGGCCATTGAAAATCCATAGCGAATTAATTCTTTTTCATTGGTTATTTGATCAGAAGTAGATTCTCTAGCCAATGTGATCCAATACATTCTAGTCCTGTTAAAGAATTCACGTAAGGTTTCATCCCTTTTAGGTGTTCTTCGTTCATCATCTAAATTATAATTTTTGCGAATTTCTAACCAATACTTTCTTTTCATATTGATTATATCTAAATGTTTCTCTCTTAAATTTGGTTTTAATATACTTGTGCAGTTCTCAGATTCACTAGAGTAGCAAGAACCATCAGATGAACTATATTCACTATCATTGCTTGACTCTTCAGAGCTAACACTTATTCTATCAGAGAAATCCCCATTATCTGATTCATCTTGTTCTCTCCATTCTTGTAATTTTATTCTGGGTTCAAGAATACATTTCCATTTATTTTTCTTAGATAGATTAAAGCACCAGCAATCATCCATTGTTATTTCCCTATTTCCAATTTCTAAAAGACCACCATAAATATACAAATTGCTTCCTTTAACAAATATTCCACTATTTATCCTAGGTAATGGAATTTCTGTGAGTTCAATAACTGATGTTACTAGTTCTGTTCCTCTTTTTAGGAAATTTTCATTAAGCTTAGCATTCTCAACTTGAGTGGTAACCTCACTTTTTTGTATTTGATTCGTATCTATTAGCTCCATACATTCATTGGTACTATTTAATGAATCTTCAGTGTAGTTGGTTTCTGTTTCATTAATATTTTGAGTTTCAAAAACAGATTCCCATTCATTTAGTTTAATTTTTACCGGTTGACCATTTTGATCTATGTAACCAAAGACATTATCATAGTTTATATCATCATCAAAATCAGATTCTATTTGTTCTGACCTTGAGGAATCCTCTGAGTCCAAAGTCTCATTTTGTATCTGATCTTTGCATTTGGACTTTTTTTCTTTCTTCAGTCCACCCTTGCAAATATTTTTATTTTCCTTTTTTCTATCTTTTCTATATACTAAATCAACTTTGTACCACCGTTTTCTTTGCAAATCAAAACCATATAAATCATTAAAAAACATAGATTTTAAAGTGATACCCAAAGAATCGTCTTGATCAAATACCCCACCAAATATTATCGCCATATTCTTGTAGCTTACAATAGATGAACCTGATCTAGGAGAAGGAAATTGGCCTTTGCGGCTTACACGTTCCCAAACTGGAGAACCTTTTTTATTCATAAATGGTTTCATATCTAAAATCCAACAATCTGAATGAATTTTACCTACTGAATTTCTCTTTGTATCTTTAACTTTAGAATATCCACCATAAAAAAAAATATAATCGCCATTTGGGGCCGTTATCATTTGAACACCACTTCTTGGAAGAGGACAATTTGCACTTTTGTCAAATTCTATTCGAGTCCAGTGCCAGTTTTGAGTATTTAAAATATATATATCATTAAAATATCGAGTTTCACGAAATGTATCATGAAATCCTCCAAAGACTACAAAATAGTGACGCCATACAACCATTCTATGGCCACTCCTAGGACTAGGACTTAAACCAATAGTTTTTACTTCATACCAAATATAACTTTTCAAATTTAATTTCCATAAATCACGAAAGTGATAGAATTGATGTTCAGTACTGTACTCACCACCATGTATAAATAAATGGTCATTAAATATTACACTTTGATGTGAGCATCTTGGTTTGGGTCCACCAGAGTAACAATCATTTGATTTTTGAGGATTAGATATTATCACCTTTTTCCATTCATTACGGTCTATATTCCACTTATAAAGGTCATGGTAAACCTTGACATTTTGACCATCATAGTACTCACCTCCAAAAATTAATAATTCACCTGTTATGGGATGTATATTATAAGATGATGCTACCCTTGGACCTGGCCTTTCTGCAGGCAAAATAGTACAAGGATATCCTAAATCCTCATTTGCCATCTTTTTAACCTTCAAATCCATTGATGCAACAATATTTTCAATATCTTCAATTTCTTGACCTTTTATTTCCTTCAACTGTTTCCTCATAGACTTTGCTTGTTGTCTTGCCCTTTTTTCGGCAGCCCTAGCTGCCTTTTTATCTGCATCTTTCTTATTTTTAACCATCCATACTCAATTAGATTAGTTTATAAAACTCAGTAGTAGCTTTAGTTTCACGCGCCAAGTTACCCGTGGTATTCTTGTACTATCCAATACTGTCTCTTGAGATATAAATCTGACCGTCAAAACTGACTTTCCAGGAATTATATGATTAAAACTTCAGCGAAATGGACATAAAGGGAGGCCTAGAAAATAAAGAAATATCAATCACTTCTGTATATCATAGCGAAAATGAGCTTATACCAAAGAACCACATAGAAGAGCTTGAATCTCTAGTAGAACAACTTATAAAGAAACCAGAAGAACTATTTCTAGACTCAGAAACTAATAGAAAGTTGTTTCAAAAATTCACAGGTATTTTTTTATCAACAGCAATGATAGATCCGAGTGGAAAAGCACCTACTTTAAGACTTATGGAGAGGTTAGAAGCAAATCAAAACCAACTTTGGCAGTCTATTGAAATATTGATGAGATCTTCTCTGAAAAACATAAGTAATAGAATCAAACAGTTTGAAAAGCTTAATATTAAATTATCTAATGGAAAGGAAGATAATATAGCAAATGAAGATTTTATGAAGACTTTTCTTAACATAGATAACTTCGACCATTTGGAAGTTATATCTGACTCTTTATTACCATGTGATAGTGAGATTGAAGACAAAAAATATACGGAGAAATACCTTCCTAGTGATTCGGACTCTCTAGGTAATAAGGAAGTCGATTTTTTCAACTATGATGAAATGAAGGCTTTCATTAATGAAGGAATTCATGAATATAGAGACAATACTACTAATAATATAACGGATAATATAGAGAATACTGATGATTCTGACAGTTATGAAGAACATGCAGATTCAGAAGATTATAATCTTTCTGACATGAAGTATGAAGATTTTTTTGGTGGAAAAGAAACTAAATCTAAGAAAGTTACTAAGGATAATTGTATAGTAGATCCTGTAGAACTTAAATTAGAAGAAGCAATAAGGAAATATAAGAAAAGTGTAATGGACGACTTAAGCGAATCTGAAGATCAATCTACTGAAATATCTGATAATGAAAGTGGTCCAGATGAAGAACTTGAGAAAAAGCTCTCCATGACAACTAAACCTAATAAAGAACCCCTTGAGAATAAAGGATTATCTAAGTTGTTTGAACAACAAGATAGAATAAATAAACTTATAGATGAGATGGAAAGTGAATTGATATCTCAGAAACATTGGACTATGATGGGAGAAAGTCTAGGTAATAAACGTCCAAAGAATAGCTTGTTAGAAGTACATCTTGAGATACCTCAATATTCTAATACTAGTAATAATTCAGAGGAAATTTTAGATATGGAACAATCATTAGGAAATGATGAAGGTGAGATTACTGTATTTACAGATGATAAGTTAAATGACTATATAGAAAAGATAGTGAAACAACGAATTTCAGATGGAATATTTGATGATGTAGAATCTTCATCATCACTCTTGGCAGTCCAAGCAATTTCCGAGCTTACTAGGAAGACCCAAGATGAAGTTGACTTATCAGTTGAGAAGTCACGTGTGGGTCTTGGAGATATATATGCACAAAAGTACCAACAAGAGATGGGAATTAATCCTAATGTAGAAGCAGATAAGAATAAACAAGAGCTAGTCGAACTTTTTGCTAAAATTATGCACAAACTAGATAGTCTTTCTAATCAACGTTTTGTTCCAAAACAAATATCAGCTGAAACTAATGCATTAACTACAAATGTCCCAGCATTTAAGATTGAGGATACTGTCCCAGTGATTATATCAGAAGATTCTCGTCTTGCTCCTGCTGAAATAAAATCCATGGGAAATTTAGTACCAGTTGAAGAGATGTCCCGTGAAGAAAGGAGAGCTCATAGAAATGCATCTAAGGAAAAAAGAAGAAAAAAACTGAAAGGACTAGTTAAAAGTGGGAATATGTCTGAGAAGCAATATAATGAACGTAGAGTAAGCCTATCAAATAAGAATAAACAAGCTAAAGCCGACAAGATTTCTATTCATGAAACAGGTTTATCAGTACGAGACGCATCTAAAGCTAATAGAACATCTGGTTCAAAAAGACTAAAGTCCCATCACTTTGCAATTAGTACAGCCACTCGTTAGTTCGATTAGTTAGCATATATATTTAATTAAGATGAAATATAAATACTTTTATATTGTGTAACTTTGCCCAATCTCAGAGCAAGAAACACTTAAAAAAACTTTAAGTAGAAATATTTTAAATTTTAGATTGACTAGATATTTTAGTTTTTTAAAAAGTTATTTTATACAGCTCATATTTTGTGTTTTAATTGATCTATTTTATTGACTTCTTAAGAACATATAGAAAGCACTAATAATTTTAAAAAATAAAGAATTTCTCATATACAGATTGAAAGCTCTAGCTAATAATTACTTATATGTAATACACTTAAATTTTTATTTTTGATATATTCTAGGAATTATTTTCAGTAAATGTATAGTAAGGATTGAATAGAGAATAGTTCGATTAAGAAAAAAATAGATTTTTTTAAAATCAAATATTTATAATGATAAATGAAATGCTTTAGAGTTTAGATTATGTATTAAAGCAATTTCTCGATATTTTACAGTCCATTCATACCAAACTTTGTTATCAGAAGATTTTCTCCAGATATGGAATATAAAGGATTCATTCTTTTGAATATTTATGGGCTTTGATAAAGGTAATAAATACTCAAACCAACTAATAAGGTTTAAAGTATGTGTATGTGGTATTGTTGACAAGCATATATCTTTATAAAGAGAACAATAAAAGTATCCTAAAAATCCATGAATTGTAGAATCCTCCTTGGCTGTGAATAAAATTTTACTGTACCTCTTATTATGCTTGTTAAATTGAGATTGTCTAACTAATTGTTTATTTGGGTGACGGAATTCAAACACTTTTTGAGGACCTTGACACGAGATATGGAATGCTGACTTGACACGAATAACGTAGGGAATCTCTAAACCATGAGGAATACCTTGAGTAGATATATTAAACCATAGTTTATATGATGAAATAGGTTCCACCGCTGAGTAATAAGATTCAGGAATCATAATCCCATCAGATTTAAGAAATTCCTGAGCTGCATCAAGACACTCAGGAGATAATTCATTGTCACCAAATGATCCGAGAAGCTCTGAAACTATTAGGTCAACCTTAATTTGAGATTTCAAATTTCTGATATCTGAGTTTATAATCTTTACATTTTTCCAAACTGGGTCTGGATCGTATTGAACACGTCCTAGAAGAGTTACAATTGCATTAATGTTTTTCTCGACACAAATTAGTTGTGAGTATTCAAGGTTCAAATCTTTTAAGGCATTTATTGAACATTGCATTAAGGGCCCCCTACCTCCCCCAACAACCATAATAGATACTTTTGTAGAAGTACTTTTTCTATTATGGAAATCAATTAAAAAGGTCTTTATAGCTTCTTGATACTTGTTGTATTTCACTTGATCTTTTTCAAAAATCTCATAGAAAGTACTCTGCAAATTTGAATAAAGAGGTTGTAAAGGGGTTTGTAAAACATCTGTATAACCATATTCAAATACTTCTTGTTGAGTTAGTGATGGTAGGTTGTTTATAAATTCTGCTACTTGAGCTTGCCACTTCTTGCATAAAAAAAGTGATTTATAATGTCCATTTTCTCCCACTACAATTGGTACTCTGAGACATAAAAATTTGTTCAAGATAGCTTTAATTTTATGCAAAAATTCACTATTGTCTATTAAATTCTCTAGTAGTTTTGAATTCACTACAATACATCTTACTGGTTCCCCTAAAAATCTCTCCCATTTCAAGAAATCTTCTTCACTTATACATAAAGAGTATATATACAAGATAACTCCTAAACATGAACGTCTAATTCCGTTATTAACTCTATACTTTAAAGAATTCCATGTGTTCCATTGATTATTGTCATGTACTGAAATTCTAATCCAGATATAATTATTACTAGTATTAGACTTCATAAAAGAAGAAAGAGTAGTAAGTAAATATGTGGATAAGGCTTTAATATCTACAATAAGGGCATAATAGCCAATATAGGCTCCCCACCCCAGTAATGATTCTAATTGCACCTCACTTTCTAAGTTCTGAGGTAAGACTCCAACAATCTTAGAAGTCCAAATATTAGATTCTAAAAGTTTATGATTTTGATGACGGGGGATCCAAGAGAATGGGCTTTGAATATCTACTTTATATAAAGTTTCTGATTTAGACTTTGATACAGGAACCACGATAAAGTCATAACCTATTTGGTAAAGCCTATTATATAACTTTTTAATTAGCAGTGATTCATCTGTCAAATCAATACCATCAAATTCTGTTGCATAATCATTAGGCTCTGAGACTTCCATACCAATATAGAAGGTCTGTAACCCAATTTTTAGTGGCATTTCTATTGACCTCACTCCTGTTTTATTGCTGCAGATTCATTAGCGCTTAGTCTCCTTTTGCTACGTGGAACATGAATAATCTTAATCAGCGTTATGAGTTAAATCAATGAGTATCGGAGATATACATAAAGAATTAGATTTGCAAGAACATTTCAGTCCTGAATATTTAAATAATTTAGTTGTTAGTGACTCATATACTAAACTTGTTGAAAAATTGGGAAACAATGCTTGTAGTTTGCTCCTGTTAAACTGTGATAAAGGAATGGAGGTGAGTCTAAGCCCCTTAAATATATTTGTATAAGAAATAAATAATAAATATAAATGATCGAAAACAATTTTTAGGTTGGAATAGATAGGATGAGCTATAAAATAGGTCCAAACTTTCAAGGAATAAAAAATATTCCACCAGGAGTTCACTTTATATACTACAGCGTTATGGGATGTGTTCCTAGTACCCCAGAACATGATTTTGATAATTCAATCCAAGGTTTTTTTGTTAATTTTGCTCCTGGAGAAGTTATTATTAGGCATTGGTCACCTCAAAATCGGAGATTTGAGAAACTAGATGCATTGGAAGATGCCTATATTTCAGCTGTAAGACGTGGTGAATTTTTTGTATCACTTGCTCCCTATATACTTGAATTATATGGAAAGTGGAATGAACTTGTAAACTTTATAACACCGGAAATTCTGGTAAAGTTAACTCCTGTTACAGAGGATATTAGACCATTTAATGAAGATACTAAAGTGGGTAAAATAAGCTTACAAGACTTAAGATTAAAGCGGAATATAGATAATATATCTATGGGTGACAATCAAGTTTTGAACTTAAAATACATAAAAAGTGATATATCTACTCTTGAAAAGTGTAAAGAAGTTACAAGTGATGTATTGGACCCTTCCTCAACATTAGTTGTAGATAAGTCTGCAAATTTCAATGATTGTTTGGATATGAATGCTGGATCAGGAACAATTTATTATAGCACTATTCCATCAATAAATTCTCTACCAAAGAAATTAGGTTTAGCTCATACTGAATATATTGCTGCCTTATCATATGACCCTTCTCCCATTTTAGAATCTATGATCTCGCTTGAGTATGAGGGAAGTTTGATGCTTATATTGGGTGAAATTCAGTTTACATTCATTATTTTTATGTATTGTAGCTGTATATCAGCTTATGAGCAATATAGTAAATTGATTGAGCTCTTATCTAATTGTGAGTCAATAGTTATCAAGTATCCTGATTTATATGTAAATTTTCTGAAGATTATCTGTTGTCATTTGAGAATAATGCCAGATGATATACTTTCGAATCCCATATCACAAATTAGTATTGATGTTCGGGTTTTAGTGAATCTTTACAAAATAACTCAAGTAGATATTGATCAAATAAAACAGCAGAATCTAGAAATATCTAAATTGCAGAAACTGAAAACTTTGCTTAAATACTCTAATCAAATGAACGAACTCGTAAAATTCAAATTCTTCATTGATATTGATACTCTAGAGCTTATATCAGAGGATGCACCTATAGTTGTTTACCAATAAGTTAGATAATTACGAAATTATACACTAACTATACTCATTGTAAAGATAATCTTTTAGAACAGAACTCAAGTTAATAATATAATTATTTATAAATAATTAATTTTAAAATCTAATTTTAAGAATTGAAGTTTAAGTACAAATATTAAGTAGTTTTTTTCATAATTTAATAGGATTAATGGCTACTTTTGTTGTTAAATAATTCTTTGTACTTTCATAAACTACCCAGCTAATTGATATAGCTGGAACTGCTCTAATTAAATTAGGTCTTATACCTTTATAAACTGCACTAGGACCCTCAGTCCTTATAACATGTCTGAGAGATCCAAATATAGATGTATATATTCGAGGTTTACCATTCATCCCATCCACTTGCATTCTAGTTCTTATTAAGGCTATAGGATAAGAAACTATCTGACCTAAGGTAGAAGATATTGCTCCAAAGGAAAGTAATTCCAATAAAGAGGGTTCGACTTCATGCTTATATTTTGAATGTAAGGATTTTAGAGTTTCAAAGCAGGCTAGATCTATTCCAGAATATGGAAATACTCCAACAATTGCAGGAATTGCTCCTCTGTAGAAAGCTCTTAAGCCACATGTATTAAATGTTTGTAAGGCACAGTTAAAAATTCCAGTATAGTGACTGACCTTGGAAACAGCCATTCTAGTCTTCACGACTTCTAGTGGATATATAATAAGTTGAGCTGTAGCTCCAGCAAAGCCACCAGCAATAATCCTTTCATACATATAATTATTAGAAACACTATGTTTAAGAGTTAAATCAGAATTAAGACTGTACCCAGGTTTCCTCAAATTTTTTTCTTTATCAAGATACTTCATTCTTGTATACTTCAAGAGGCTTTTATAATATTCATATATATAGAATTTAAGTCCAAGCTCGGGAGCAACCTTAAGACAATTTACTCCATTCCCTCTAAAAAATCCAGATATTCCTCCATCCATATGAATCAAAGTGACTACATCACGTATTCTTAGATTGCGTTTTGCAATCTGCATAACTACTTTAATACGATCCAATGGGGCTGTAACAGTACGGCTAACTATACCAGCTAGTCCTCCACTAATAAAGTGAATTGCAGCAGCATTCCCGATATATCTACGCAGTCTCTCCAGATCAATGAGATCTAAAGTAACTTTATAATAAGATTTTATTAGTCTTTCCAGTTGGAACTGCTGAGATCCAGCATTATAAGCTATAATTGACTTAGTAGAAAGAGACTGAATATTGTCTGTGTTAGATATTACAGATAAGGGTATTTCATTACCAAAAGCTACATTCGCATCACAAGGAGACATTAACAAGTTGAAATTCTAATGGGGCATAATTATCTTTAGAGAACTTTAACTATGAAGAATTTCGAGTTTGACTACATCTATATTTACCAAGCGTGAAAGGCGCCTTACTTTCCTTTTTTTCTTTTTCTTTCAGGTTTAAGATCTAGCATAGCCTTGGAAGTGAAATCTAATAAGTTAGAATTATTAGATATGTCTAGTATAATAGATGTTGATATTGATGGATTTCATCAAGTTCTTCAGTGGTACAAAGTTCAAAGCTATGGTGATAAACCAAGTCCCAGATCTCTTCATACAGCTAATGTAGTAGGTGACTCCATGTACATATTTGGAGGATATGATGGTCGAAATAGGATAAATTCGTTGTTAAAATTTGACTTTAATAGCTCCAAATGGACAGATCTAAATATTTCACACATTAAATCACCACTTCCTGAGCCTAGAGATCGTCATGCTAGTGCTGTTTATAAAGATTGTATCTATATATTTGGGGGACATAATGGAACTGAAGAGTTAAATGATATATGGTGGTATAATACTAATAATTATACATGGAACACAATATCTGAGACTTGTACATCTTCGAGAGGTCCATCTCCCAGACATTCTCATTCTTGTTTTGTTTTTGAAAAGTATATTTATATTTTCGGAGGAAATGATGGGAGATATCTAAATGATATGTGGCGTTTTGATACTGAAGAAAAGGTATGGAATATGATCAACTATAATCATCCAATACCTGACATTACAACAAACAGTATTTTAAATGATGATATTTTTACAAGTCCAGGAGTGACTACATTATACCAATATGTAATTCCTACTATTAGATGGAGAACAGCTTGTGTTGTAAAAAATGATCAAATGTATCTCTTTGGAGGCCATGATGGAGATATGCATTTACGTGATTTTTATGTATTCAATTTAAAAGATCATTACTGGGAAGAGATTCCCTGCACTAAAGATACTCCCACTGCAAGAGATTCACATAGTATGATTGAGTGTGGTGATACATTATGGCTTTTCGGAGGAAGTTCAAGAGGACACCCTAGAAATGATTTGTACTGTTTTCCTCTAAAAGATAAAGTTTGGAAACTAGTTAAACCAAATACTTATTCAATTGCTAATATTTCCAATAAATCTATATCTTTACTTCCATCAATGAGTTCCTCATCTTCACTATGTTATACAAGTGAAAATCTTACTTCAAATTTTACTTCAGAAGTATATGATAATAGTACATGTACTAAGCCTCCAAAAGCTCGTTTTTGTCATGCAATGGTTATTTACAACTTTACATTGTATATTTTTGGAGGATATGATGGACAAGATAGATTAAATGACTTTATTGCTATTGATCTTTACAATAAGTTGCATATTGATATACCAGTAAGTACTTTAAATAAAGATTTAAAAGGATTACTTAATGATAAAAACACTGCTGATGTAATATTTCAATTAGATGATGGTTCACAAATAAATGCTCATAGAGCAATTATTACAGTTCGAAGTCATATCCTAAGACTTCTAATAACCAACTGTTCTAAACAGGATCGTATACAACAATCTGACCAGAATAGTTTTTTAGTTGTACCTCTTCAAGAAATTAGCAAAGATATATTACTAATGGTCCTCGAATATTTATACACAGATCAAGTAGAGCTATTTGTGAATTTAGATGCAGAGTCTACAAATGCATCAGTACATCATTCTGATTCAGACTATCTTACAAAAGTAACTCAATTATTCTTAGCTGCTGATAAATTTGGTATAGTTAGGCTTCAGCGTATGTGTGAGAGTTATATGATAAGATTTATTGATTGCAATAATGCTGCTATATTACTTAATATAGCTGATATTCATTCATCTGTTACTCTTAAAGAGGCTGCTCTGAATTTTATCTTAAAAAATTTTGATAATGTGACAAAAACTAAGCAATTCGAAGCTGTAGCTAAAAGTAATGTTGAATTAATATTGGAAATTATGCAGAGAAGGTAGTTTATCTTGTAAATTTGGCCTTTTTTATTGAGATTTTTTGTTAACCAACATACACTTGGCGCTAAGAGTCTCTATACTAAGTTACTAAGCCCTTAATTTAAACTATTTGAGGAGCTTAGGGTATAATTAGATATTATTCAATATGAATATATAAAATATTTAAAATATGACAGAATCTACTGAAGGCCAGTTTAGTTCAGTTGAATTTGAGACTCAATTGCATTTATTTTCACAACGTCTGCAAGAGATAAATTCACAACAAGACGTGATATGTTCACTTTCTGAAAGAATAATAAGTGTTAAGGATAATCCAGTGATTCTACAGTTATATATACGACTAATAGAAGAATATAGTATTACAGCTCCTCCTGAGCAACTAATACCTCTTCTTTATCTGCTGAATGACTTTGCTCAAAAGTGCAAGAATCACGCTCATATGGCATCAGAAGCTATCATAAACATCTTTAACCTAATAAATATTGAATATACTGAGTATATGGCTAAGGCAAGACGTTGTTTTAATATTTGGAAATCACGAGGTATATTTGATAGCAATATACTAAAGCAACTAGATTATGCTCTTTTAGGACTTGCACCTCCCTTACTCATTATATCATCTTCATTCCCTAATGTAAATACTTCAGAATCTTCTAATATTTCACAACAAAGCATATCAGATATAAAGTTAGATTCAGTTAATTCAGCAGAGGATCCCATTATTCACATTGCTTGTATTAAACAAAGAGATATAAAATTGTATAACCTATATCAAGATATATGTAATGAATGCGGTACAACAATAAGAGATGCTAGTAGTGCTAGGGAAAAGAGGAAAATAATTCAGAACTTAGAATTTAGTATTACTAAGACACCAAAGGGATCTCAAAAGGAAAAACTACTTAAATTACTCGAAATGGAATGGAATTTACATTGCAATATATGTGATAATATTTTAAAATTGATTGAAAAACTAGATCAATTCCATTTACAAGTAACTAATAAACTATGTGAAATCTTAAATATAGAGGAGAAAATTGTAGAATCTACTTTGAAAGTTTAATAGTGCTGGAAATTGTTGAATTAAAGGATATATTCTTATACCTATAAGGAATTAAATACATTCTCAAACTAGAGAAAGAATAATAATTGTTAACCTATGATTACATAACATACGATATATGACTAGTTATATATAATAATTATATTTTCTATTATTTATTTAAAAAATTTCTATATCCACTTTAAAACCATGTATCAATCTTTTTTATATTCTCGATAAACACCTTCTATCTGGCGACTAATTGACCATTGAAAAAGCAATACAACAGCTGTCTTATCATCTTTACTTCCATTATTTTCCGCAGCTTTTGTAATCAGTTCCGCAATTTCATTGGGATTCTTTGAATAATTCTCTTTAGTTATTTTTACTATATCTTCATCACTTAAAAATTCACTAACTCCATTTGTCAATAAAACTAAAAATAAATCTCTATCCATATCAACAGATTCAATACGTATATCTGGTTCCCAAGTAGACAACAATGTAGGCTCTTTCATATGTAAATCTCCTATACTTCTTGATACACTTATACTATTTGGTTTATTATTTTTCTTATCTCCTAAAATTCTCGTTTTTGGGAATATTTTCCAGATCCCATCACAATTTTTAATATAACCTCCTAACTTTTCAATTCTCTGTCTTTCCCCTATAATAAATGGCCGGTGATCTGTAGTTAGTCTATACGCTACTACATTTTCACCATCTTCGCTAATGTTCAAACGTCCAAGGATTATTCTAGAGTCCCCACAGTTTGCTAAAATCAATTTTAATTCTCCATCTACAGGATCTGGACCATATATTAAACAAACAGACGCTGTTGTACCATCAAAGTATTGTCTCTTCCTTGCAATGGCAAGATAATTATTATTTGTAATCTGAAAACCCTTTTCAAGTCCTTTACAGAGAGCCTTTATCTCTTGGGAATGAGATTTATTACTTAAATTGCTCTTACTAATTTTATTTACACCAATTTCAGGTATATGGCCTGGTATATTTACATTGTTTCTACATATTTCCTGTGAGTAAACAGATAAGACATTGGTTAACAGATTATTATAAACATAATCTACACATTTAGAGCCTGCATGCCCATCAAATACAGCAGAGCAGAAACATAGAGCTTCACTTGTTGAGTTTACTACCTCAATAGGTAACTTTAACTTAGTTATAAACCGATCTTCACACTCTGTTTCATTTATTAACTTATTAACCCTTATATTACTTCCAGCAATTATATCATTATCAAGTTCTAAGCATATATCAGATTCGTCATCCTTAGGTGAAGTGACACAGTCTAATTCATATGATATAGTTTTGTCTTCATTCTTGTACTTGCAATTATCACACTCACTTCCATAATCATGTATGAATTTATCCTGTTGTGTATTTAACTCCACCAAAGAAAGTCCTGATTCATCAAAAGTATATAATTGAGATGTAGAACTGTCGAAATATACCTTATCTTCATCATTATATAGCCATGAGCTTTTGTTGTGTAAATACCAACCACTAGCTTCGTCAATACTGTATCCACATATCTCAAGATTATCCGGATTAAACAAAGGAATTGATTGTACATTATTTATACTTACTGAGGGCTCTCTACTTACACATCTAATTTTCAAAGGTTTATATTCTATACACTTTTCCGTTTTCTGTTCCATAAGAGAAGAAGTGTAATAGGTAAAATAAAAATGTAATATACGCGCTTTCAACGCTTCTGCCAGGTTATCTTTGATTTCAATAACTGGAAAGTAGAGGAATGGTCTTTAAATTGATCACTAATAACTCAGATTATTTATTAGTTTATATATCTCTTAATTTCATGATAATCCTTATTTAATGAGTTTATCTACCATTGATATTATTGGTGGACCTGATGCATATTTATTAGAGGATAAAGAAAAAATTGAGCAAGCTGTAATTTTAAATGATGCCTTAAGAGAAACATTGAAGTCTAGAATTAAACCTTCTGTAAAGAAAGTAATTGAAACTAGTGACTTTATAAGTTTACCAAGAAATAGTAGGCGTGACGGAAATAACGTAAAAGATAATCCAGAGAAAAGAAGAAATATGATTAAAAGGGAACATCCTGAATATTCTAACATCAGATCTGATAACTCTGAAATTAATAAAAAAAGGAATGTTGAAGTGGAAAGCCTGATGTTACCATGGGAATTTATACCTCAATACTTGTTGAAGTTAAAATTTGATTGTCCTAATATGTACTTCATTCATCTAAATAATGAGATAATACAACTTGTAAGATGGTTAGAACTAACACCTGCTGAAAAGTTTCTAAGGCAGCGTATTCTTGCTCGGATAATGCTTTTGTCACATACTTTGTGGCCAAATTCAAAGGTACAACCTTTTGGAAGTTTTTTTACCGGTCTGTCTCTTCCTACTGGAGACTTGGATATTTGTATCCTGAATGTTAGTGGAAGTCCCAAGAGGAGGTTAAGGGAACTTGCTGATGCATTAAGGAATTGGGACTTATGTACAGGCCTCGAACTAATATTAACTGCTAGAGTACCAATTATAAAATTTGTTGATTCAGAATCATGTATTTCTGTAGATATCTCACTAAACCAAGAGAGTTGTATTGATACAACTCAGCATATTTGTGAATGTCTAAAGAGATTTGATGTTTTGAGACCATTAATTATTACAATCAAGTTATTTTTACATCAGCGAGGTTTGGATGAGACTTATCTGGGAGGTTTGGGATCTTATGCCCAATTTTGTTTGATTCTATCCTTTATACAGCAGCATATATCTTCATATTCATCAGTTATACATCAGATGACTAGCTTAGGACATCTACTTTTTGATTTCTTTGAATTATACGGGACAATATTCAATTACAGCAGTACTGGGATTAAAGTTAAAGACAAAGGAGAATATTTTCCGAGGAAAATTTCCAGCTCTGAATCAACTCTTTCTTTAGAATCACCATTACCTCCATATAATGATATTGGGCGTGGAACATATAAATTTAATGATGTTAGACAATCTTTTCGTTTAGCTTTTTTGGACCTTGTGGAATCTAGGCAAAAATTTATTGATATATATTCTAAAAATCATAACAAAAGACCGAAAGACCCAAGGTCATACAGCATATTATCTTCAATAATATGTACAAACGATGAACTTTTCCACTGTAGACTACGTCGTGAAAATGATAATTGCACTCCAGTTAGTAGTTATAGGCAACCTCCAACCATTACTAAGGATATTATTAACCAGGTAAAGCAAGAGATGGAGAATTTTGATTGTTTAAAATCTTCAACTAATAAATAACTATTGAATATAACATATTAAGAAATTAGTGGATTAACATCTTAATTAATCTAATAGTTTTATTGAACCATTAACCCCATATATATTTCTGATTTAGATTATAATAATTTTGGTACTGAGGTATAAGAGCCATTCTACTTTGTATTTGATTTAGTTGAGGATTATGCCAAAATCTAGGATAATAAACTATCGGTTGTAGAGGTGACTTCAAACTTGTCTCATTTGGAAGAAAGGCAAACTTGTTATTTGAATTAGATGCTACATAATTATTGACTAAATAGTAAGTTCCACTTGTTGGTTTTTGAGTAAAGATTTTGCGATAAGTTGGAACTTGACTTTTTGATTCAGTATCAACTTTTTTAATATTTTTATCATCAAGAATTTTATAATTTTTCACTTGATTTAAAGATAACTGAACTATTGGTGATTGTATATCTTTCTTTTCAATAGTTCCTTTTACTTGATCTTTATTCCACTGATCTAAATCACTTATTACTTCTGTAATCTTTTCTTCTTCTGAATAACCTGGAATTTGATCTGCATATGATCTTATTTCAATTTCATCTTTATTTATACTATGGTTTATCCTCATAATATCTAATGCAGAAACCTGTATTTCGGCATCTTTCAAAGAAGTTGTTAGATTTAACTTATTTGTACTATTTTCATTATTATCTAACTGCTTGTCTTGAATAACTTTAACTGTGAAACTTTCAATGCGTGGTGGTGACGAAGACAGCTGGATTTGTCTATCTTCTTTTTGTAAGTTTAATATATCTACTTTATTTAGTGGGAAATCCAAAAACTTAGAGCACCAAATCTTAAATGGATCTGAATTTTTATTGGTAACTTGACTTATTTCCTTTGTTAATAAACTTAAAGTCTTATTATCTTTCTTAACCTGACTTTCAGGAATTTCTAATAGCTCCTGAGAATGCATTAATTGTTCTCTTAAACGATATTCTCTTACACGCCTTCTTGCTCTGTTCACAGCCAACCATATTTCTGATGATGAATCCAGGTAAATATTCTTTTTTTTATTTTTTTTTTCGTAGATACCTTCTTTTCTATTTCTTGTATAAACTTGATTAAACTTATGTTGCCTCTTTAAACTAAAATTTGTGTTATCTTTTGACTTTCTAGACCCAATTTTTTGATTTAAAAGGGCTTTATTTTCCACATTATCCTTCAATTTCTCATGATTCAACTCAAAATTCATTTCGCTTACATTTGACTCTAATGAACTATTTTTAAAAGAAGAAATAATTTTAGATTGATCTTCATTAGTCAATGATGGTGTGTTATCGTCTAATTTATAATTAAAATCATTACCTGAACAAAGCTCATTGAATGGGGACTCTGAACAGCTCAGATCATTCAAACTATCTACATCTTTTTCTGAAAATTCCTCAAATGGTGAATAACTCATCGATAAAAGTTCTTCCATTATAGAACTAAGATTTTCAAGATTATCACTAGATTTCTGGACTTCTATACTCCCCTCAGTTAGTTTTGCTACATTATCTTCTTTTATTCTCTCATCTGTCATCCAAAGTGTAATAATTTCATTGATTATACTTGTAGTTAATGAATTTATAGTATTACTAAGATGATTTTCCAAATAATCTGATTCCTCTATATTTGAATTCAGTAACGTAATAATGTCGTTAATGTTAAGCAGTATATTTGAGTAACTAACAAATTTTCCTGTTATTCTATAGATAATTGTTGTAATGTTTACAAATAGAGTACATAGCTCATCTTCTTCACTCTTTTCAGATAAAATTTTTAAAATATTTTCTTTATCATTCAAATCATATTTACATCTTATAATTTGGATATAACTCTCAAGTTCATCTAGTAAACCAAAAATAGAAGGTTGAGAAATACTATAATCATTTCTATCTTCATACCATATATCCTCATATTCCTTACTATTTGTATCTTTGAAAATAATTTGATCATTATTATTTCCTGTAACATAGCCAATACAAATACATTTTTTATTTAACATACAATATGCTAAAGTTTTAGTCAGACATACTGGGTAATTTTTTGAATTCTGTAAGTAGGCCAAAATTTTTCCAATGAAACTCATTGTCTGTAATTCACTTTTCTCCTCATTTAAACCTATTTCTATATTTATCCACGAGGGATCACCAATAAGATCCAGGATATATATAAAATTGTTATAACTCTCTAAATCCTTTGTTAGAGAAGATTTGAAGATAATAGATTCAAGTTCGAGTACAAGTAGTGAGTGAAATCTTATATTAGGGATATATTCTTCACCATTATAACTTATTGAATTAATTTCATGTTGAATTTTCCTTGCTACTTTTAGCATGTTTAATGCATGAACAGGTTCTCTCACTTCAACTTGTAAAACGTTCAATACACCAGTACTATCATTTTCTTTTTTTAGCATCTGCTCAAGGGGATTATCTAATCCTTGAAGTGCATCAAATATAATTTCAGAATTTGTGTACTCATCTTTGTGAAATAATAAAAAAGAGACTTTTACTATACTATAGCAGTAACTTGGTAAATCAATTCCATATTTGGGTGATCTAATTTCTGAAAATAAACAATGAACTACCTTTTCAAATATGCCCCCATTTACATTTGAATCACTCATGTTGCAATCATCATAAGATTGACCATATAAAAAGTTCGTTTTCCCATTTTTTGGACGTCCCATAGTCCAAATTATTCCATTATTAATCTGTGTGAGGCACCTCCTAACTAGATTCCTAATTTCTGAATCATCTAGAGTATAGCTCTCATCCAGAAAGTGTATATAACCTGGTTCTATGCAAGTCATTTTTACTCAAAAAATTTACACAAAAAAAATTAATTTATTTAAAAAAAAATTGCATGTGGCCATGCATGCATACGCAGCATTTCCATTCCCTCCCCCCCCCTCTAAAGAACACACAAATTACTTTAAAATGAGTTAAATCTATAATCAAAAATTAGGTAATACTAATATCTATAAACTAAATACATCCTACTCAACACTTTGTATATGTTTCGGAGATGTGGGGTCATTAAATAAAAGATGAACTTCAGTGTTGCTAGCAGTAATATTCGAACTCGTTTCAAATACAGCTCTAAATATATGAGATAAATCATCAATAATATGCGAAGCATTTAAACTACGCATAAATTTTTTAAAAGCAATATGAGCTGACAATCGAGTTATACAACAAGCTCCATAAGCTGCTATAATTTCTGGAGAGTTGCAATACCTAGTTTCATCTGTAGTATTTGTTAAACTCTGTATTGACCAATAGAATAAGGGGGCAATACACCCAGCTAAAATATCACCTTGTCCACCACACCTTTTATATGATCCAGATAAGTTACAAATCGCTACTACTTTACCATTGGTAATTATATCAAATTTACCTTTAAGAACAATACAAACATTTCCAAAAGATCTACTCAAATCAACAACCTTAGTAATTTTATTGAAAATCTGTTCACAATTTAAATGGGATAATTGGGTGAAGGCCTCTACTTTAGTATCTTTTTGGTACTTTTGGTGTGTACAATTTTCTAATATAATATGTTCATAAAAGCACCAATTCAGAGGATTTGTACTACAGAAACTTTTTCTCTTATTCTCTGGGATATCTGATTTTTCACTATCAGAAGTAATACATCTATTTCTATACAGGTTTATTTCTTCTCCATCATCATAGATTTCGAACATAATAGGATTGTTGAAATTTGAAGGGCACTCTATATTAGGTGTTCTTTCACAGGGAGATACAATATCTAGATCTTCATTCATTCCCAACGGTAAAACCTGTGGAATATTGATATCATTATCAATAATTTCAATATCACTCACTTTATCATTGAGTTCAATATGGCTATATGATGAAGTTGCAGCAGTAGCTGTTCCTGCTTGACTATAACTCTTAGGAGAACTCTCTTTAATATTTGGGATTAGAGTTTCAGAGCTCATACTATTGGCTAATTCGATAGATTTTTCAAATCTAAAAAATTCTGCAGTATTTGGGGTTAATATACAGTGTTTATACCCGCAAATTAATTCTGGTTGTTGGGATACTAAATATAGGCCATCTGCATCTATTACAAGTGGTACTGATAGAGACCTACAAATTCGAATTAATTCTGAAACAACCTTTAAAACATTTTTATTTCTTCCCAATCCACAACCAATTATAATTACATCCATTTTAGGTAGCCACACCCGAATATTATCAATATACAAGGTGCAATCTTCTATAGTTGCTTCAAGATTACTAGATGGTAATAGAGGATGCACAATTAAGTCAGGACTATATGATTTTATAGGTAAAGAAGCTTCAGGAGTACAAAATATATGGCATAAATCTGCTCCAATTGTTAATGAAGAGATGCCTGCAAAGTAAGAAGCTCCTGTATACTCCAAAGATCCCCCAATAACCCCAATTTTTCCAAGTGAACCTTTTCTCAAATCCATATTAAGCTGAGGTACAATACTGCGAACTGCATCAATAAGTTTTCCTTGAGAAATAGGTGGGTACCAATCATACAAATGATGTTTATTATCATATGAAACATCCTCATTACTTACGGTTTTATCCATATCTTGTAAAGTCTCATTATCAAGATTGGTTCTAGTTCTCCATCTATAAAAAAAATTTAACCAACTATCCATTCCCTATATTATAACTATCTAGGTGAACCAACTTGAGTAAGAAAAGTTCAAGTGAGATTTCAAATTTAAAAGAAAAAAAGGGCGGTCAAACTTATTAAGAGCTATATTAACAAAATATTTCTAGATCGTAGACTTTAGATCTACTTTTATACTAGATTTAAATATCACTAAAAAAAAAAAAAAAAAATAATACTTTATAGCTCCTTCAACCTGATATTCATTGCAATTCTATTTATTATGTCAAACTGATCTAAAAAATCTACAATATTAGTAGTTTGAATAGCCACTGACTTCCTATTGTTAAAATAAGTACATTTTATATTAACAATATCTGACGAATTTGTCACAAGAATGCAACTTGGGAGCTTAATTCGCTCACTTGAAATCTTATTCTTAGAATTATATTCTATAATTGTCTTTAAAGATGAAAGTGTGTATTGTAATCTCTCATATTTATCAATATTCTCATGTAATTTCTTTTGAATTGATTGTAAATTTGGAGGATTTATACACTTATCTATATTTGTGGGTCTTAAAGGGTTTAAAAAGTGTGATATTCCTTGCCAAGTAATACTTTTACCACTTCTCCCTATAATTGTTGCAGATATCAAAACATTAATAGCATCATATACCCTCTTCCTAATACTTTTTTCACTAGATTCTCGACTTTTCTGATATAATATATCATAATTATACCTTTCTTGATCTACTGGCCCTAAATATTCCATAATTAATATATCTGCAATATCATTATGAGTTGAGATTCTCCAAACTTTTAATAGACTACATATTTTAACTGCAACTTGTCTTAAAGTACCCCTTGGAATAGTAGAGCTAATTACATTGTTACGCAAATTTGATTGTGAGGTTATATTAGATACTTGAGGTATATTTCTGGAATTTGTTTCTGTAGTCAGCATTTCAAATACAAAGTTATCAGTCTCATTACTGGTATTATTAATTGCATGACTATCAAATTTAGGTTCATCATTGTCCATACTATGTACACGTTTCAACATATATCACATATTATTAAATGTAGTAGGTTACAATAAGAAAAAAGGTTTTTAAAGTCAAACTAAAAATGGATATGAAATTGGCGCCATAATATCTTTATAACTATCCAATTGTTAATAAATACAAAAAACTCCTATCTTTAGCCATCTACATTACATATAATTTCGTATTAGTAGGGTGCATTTGTATAACAAGTCCTTTTTATTTAAATGTATATTTATATCTTTTAAAATAAAGAAAAATTTTCAATTTTTTAGATTTGGTTAAAAATAAAGGAGGTCAATTTATTCATTATCTGCAATCAATTATATTATTTAATTAAATCAATGCCTCTCTAAGTCCTAGAATTATATAAATCTTGTAATCTTAGTATAAACAAAGTACTTTAGTAATGCTAGAATTCAATGGGAGAACCGCTCGTCTAAATTGAGACCCCTCAAAAAAAAAAAAAAAAAAAAATTGATAATAAATAATATACAGATTCTGGCAGCAAATTATAAAGTACCTATATCAAATAGACCGTAAGAGTTATGGATAGTGATTATTCATTTTCATTAACAACCTTCAGTCCTTCAGGAAAGCTTGTTCAAATAGAATATGCTCTGAATGCTGTTAATAATCATGGTAGGCCAGCTTTGGGTATTAAAGCGAAAAATGGCGTCGTTATTGCAAGTGAAAAGAAAGTATCAACAACTTTAATTGAGCAAAATTCAATAAGAAAGATCGAATACATAACTAAAGGAATTGGATGCTGTTTTGCAGGGATGCCAGCTGATTTCCGAGTAATTTTAAAAAAGAGTAGGAAAGTAGCTCAAAGATATTTTGCAACATACCATGAAGAAATTCCTGTAAATGAATTAGTTAGAGAAGTAGCAGCAGTTATGCAGGAATTTACTCAATCTGGAGGTGTAAGGCCATTTGGAATATCACTCCTAGTAGCTGGATTTGATCATAGAAAAGAACCTAAACTATACCAAATAGACCCATCTGGGGCATACTTTGGTTGGAAGGCTTCAGCTATTGGTAAAGATATGCAGAACGCAAAATCATTTTTGGAAAAACGATACAACTCTGAGATAGAAATTGAGGATGCAATACATACAGCACTTTTGACTCTTAAAGAATGCTTTGAAGGGGCAATGAATGAAAATAATGTAGAGATAGGCTACATAGGTGAAAATAAGATTTTTACCACCTTATCATCAGAGGAAATCAAGGACTATTTAGGTGAAGTAGAGTAATATCTATATAAATAGTGGGACTTGGAAACCTAGTGAAATCTTTAATAGAGCTTACTTTATAGTACTAGACACGTTAGACTTTTAATATCTCCATAGATTCTACATAGTTCATGTTAAATTTATTTCTAAATTTTCTTTGATAACCAGTTATCCTCAATATTATATTACTAGTTTTATTTTAATAAGAAAAATTTTGATTATAATTTTAAAAAGTTTATGAACAAGCCTTTAATTTCTAAATAGTTTTGTGAAATATATATAAGCAACATTATTTTGATGTGGGGAGTTTAAGTGTGTGTAGCAGTAATTAAAAAGCCACTCAGAAGATAGCGCCAATTTATCGATACCCCCTCCTTTCCCCTCACCCCTCCACCCTTATTAGTAGCTGCAATGGCCACAAAGTAGTGAGTTCACTTATACTAATTAAGTTAATTTTGGAATTTCTGAAATTTAATTGGAAGTATTAAAGATGTTATATTATGTATTTTATTTATTGATAATTAGTTTATGTCTTTGGTCATCTAATAGTGGTGAGACTTCTGGGGTCCCTGAGGGTATTAACTTAGACAGTTCTATGCTTGAGGGTCTTAATTCTGAAGGACTTGGAGATTTGGGTAATTTAGGTAATATTGGAGGTATGGGAGGTATGGGAGGAATGGGGGATATGGGGGATATGGGGGATATGGACAATGTTATAGTTGATGAAGCTTCCCCAGCTCCAGCTCCAGGTTTAAGTACTGATGAAGAGCTCTTAATTCAGAAATCTAGTGAAAGTTATGAATTCCAAGCTGAGGTGTCACGTCTGATGGATATTATTATTAATTCCTTGTATTCTCAGAAGGATGTCTTCTTGAGAGAGTTACTATCTAACTCTGCAGATGCACTAGAGAAGGCTAGATTTACTTCTGTTACTGATAAAAGTTTTCTTGGAAATAAGACTGAATTGGAAATTCGAATATCATATGATGTGAACAAACGTACAATTTCTATTACTGATACTGGTGTTGGTATGACCCGTCATGATTTAGTTACTAATTTAGGTACAGTTGCAAAATCTGGAACAGCGAACTTTTTGGAATCTCTAGCTAAGGGAGGAGATTTGAATCTTATTGGACAATTTGGTGTAGGATTCTATGCTTCGTTTTTGGTAGCTGATAGAGTGACAGTTATATCTAAGAGTAATGAAGATGAGCAATATGTATGGGAGTCAAATGCCGATGTTTCATTCAGAATTAGTCTAGATCCTCGTGGCAATACTCTTGGTAGAGGTACTTCAATTATTTTGACTCTTAAGGAGGATTCTACAGAATTTCTAAGTTTCTCTAAACTTAAGGAACTAGCTTTAAGATATTCACAGTTTACTAGTTTTCCAATCTATATATATAATCCTGAGGCTCCAAAAAAGGAAAAATCTGAAAACTCATCAGAATCTTCTGAATCTGAGGTATCCAAAGGACGTTGGGAATTAGTTAATGTTGAGAAGGCTATATGGTTACGCCCCAAGGAAGATATTACTTCTGAGGAATATACAGCATTTTATAAGAGCATTACACATGATTATATGGAGCCTATGCGTCATTTACACTTTTCAGCAGAGGGTGAAATAGAATTTAAGGCTTTACTATATATACCATCACACCCCCCTCATGATATGTTTGATGCTTATATGGGTAAATCTGGAAATATTAAGTTATATGTTAGAAGAGTTCTCATTACTGACAAAGTAGAGGACTTACTTCCAAAATATTTAAATTTTATTAAGGGAGTTGTTGATAGCGATGATATTAGTTTAAATGTTGCTAGAGAACATGTACAACAAAGTCGAATTATTAGAGTCATTAGTAAGAAGATTGTTCGTAAGATTTTGGATATGATTAAACAAATTCAAACAGAACAGATAAAGGCAGAGAAGACTCAAGAGACTCAGGAATTAAGTAGTGAAACAGATGAGTCTGAGGAGTCTAAAGAAGAGAAGGAGAAGTTTAAGAAGCTATTAACTAGTTATGATAAGTTCTATGATATGTTCCATAAGAATCTGAAACTTGGTTGTTATGATGATGAGTCCAATCGTTCTAAAATAGTGAAATTACTTAAGTTCCACTCTTCAAAGAGCATTGATAAAACAATTTTCTTATCTCAATATATTGAACGTATGAAACCTGATCAAAAGACTATTTACTACATATCTGGTGATTCACCTTCTGCATTATTAAAGAATCCCTTGGTTTCTGTATTTTTGAAGCACGATGTTGAAGTAATATTCCTAACTGAAGGAGTAGATGAACCTTGTATTGCTAGAGTTCCTGAATTGGAAGGCTTTAAACTATCAAGTATTGAGAAGAATGAAGTCCGTCCCTTCGATGAAACTGAAGATGAAAAGACTTATCATGAACGTCTTACCAAGCATTTTGAACCTTTACTTAAATTTCTCAAGGATTCACTTTCACCAGATGTACTCAAAGTTGAAGTTTCCAAGCGCTTAGTTCATGATCCTGCTGTTTTGACAGCTGGACCATGGGGGCAATCTGCCTTTATGCAGAAAATACAAAAGGCTCAAACATTTGCTGATAATAGAAATGTGAATGTTAAGAATCGTCATATGGAGATAAATCCCCATCATATCTTAGTACAGAAGTTATTGAGTCTTGTACAATCAGATAATACTGATGAAGCAAAATCTTTAGCTAGAACTATTCATAACCTTGCCACTATTGCTTCAGGGTTTGAATTGGATAATCCAAATGAATTTGCTTCTAATATGTATAAACTTGTCCTTACCTCATCTGGTTTAAATCATGATGAGCAGATTAATCACTTGGACTTACCAGCAATTGAAGGTAGTAGTGACAGCACAGAGAGTGGTAAAGATGTAGATGATGAAGCTGATGATGAAGCTGATGATGAAGCTGATGATGAAGCTGATGAAGTTGACAATCAAGTTGATGAATCAAAACGTGATGAGCTTTAATATGTAAAATAGGACTTTCATCAACTTTTGGAATTTTTGTTGCATTGATTAGTTATTTAGCTGTAGTTGACTAAATAGATCAATAATTTTTGACTTCTTTTTACAATAAGATCTCACTAAATTGGAATTTCACAACTTTGTATCTATATAAACGAGTCAAGGTAAATATCAAATTTAGATATATCGGGATATCCCACAACTCTACTTCAAGAGATTTAAAACTAGTTATTTCAGTAATTTCTAGTTAATTTCAGAGTATTTGGTTATAACTTAGCTTAGAAGTTTAAATATTTAAGTCTACAAATAAACAGTAAAAAAAAAAAAAATTGATAGAATTATTTCAAGTATTTCCTAGGTTAGAAATCACAATTTGAAAGTGTGATTAGGTTCAGTATTATCTTTATAAGCTCTTTAACTAACTTAGAACCTCAAATAGTAGTTATCTAAGTTACCCATATTATATTATTACTACGCGAGTTCCAAATATGTTAAAAGTAACTTCTTATTAAAAATTTACTTTGAGTTTTCTGTGATCATTTAGGTATCACAAAATTTGATTTTTTATTTTCAAAAGTATTCAAAATCATTTTTTACATCATATATAGTGTAGATAAAAAATTATATAGTGAGATAACATTTGAAAAAAATAATCCTAATTAGTTTTTATTGTCATATTAGACTATAATACAATATTAAATTAATAGTATATACTTTAGAACTTAGTCAGAATTTTTTAAGGTGATCTATTTCATTTAGTTCTCTTCAAGGATTATTTCCAGGCATAAAAGATAGCAATAATGAATGATTATTTGTAATCATTGGTGTATTTGAAGATGTAGGAAGAGTATGAGATGTTTGTGATTGCTGATATGTAAATGGATTAGGGGGATCACTACGTATTGGAAAGAAGTGATGATTTCTAAATGAAGACAATATCTTGTTATTAAATGTACTATTGACACTAGTACTAGATCCATTCCCATTAACTTTATGTGCATTATTACTATCTAAAGGTATACCATCATCCAAATCTTTCATTAAATTTAAGATTATTTGTTTTTCATTAATGTCTTTTGTTAGATCAAACGCTATATTAAGATGTCGCAGTGCTTTATCCTTCCTAGTAAGTTGAGCGTATATCTTACCAAGATATAGATGTATATTAGGCTCATTTGATGCTAGACGATGGGCTGCAGTTAGCATTGTTAGAGCTTCTTCATATCTTTCAAGCTCAAGTAATACAACTCCAGCATGATACTTCAACCATGGATTTCTAGGATCTCTCAATATTCCCTTTTGAAATGTATTATAAGCTGTGAGAAAATCATGTGTTATAAGATGACAGAGCCCTAAATAGTGAATTAAAGTAGAATTATTAGGGACTATTTGTAGAGCAATGTTAAAATGTGCTCTAGCTTGATAATATTCCTCACGTTTAAACCATACATAACCTATTCCCCAATGAGCCCTGTGACACCTTGGGTCCAATTTTAAGGCTCTCTGATACATTTGAATAGCTTCATCATATTTCTCTATTATCGAAAATTCATGCCCAATTAGTGTATATGCATATATATATCCTGGGTTATATTGTACAGCCTTTTTGAAACATTTAATTGAACTTTCATATTCTCTATGAAGTGAGAAGCAATTTCCAATAACAACCCAGAGTTGAGGAACATCCTTCTCAACTAACTGAAGAACTAAGTTTGCCAAATTTATTAATTCAACGCTCCTTTTCAATTGCCACAAGCAAGAACTATATAAATCTAAGCAATTTATCCATTGCTGGCGATTATTATGTGGGTTTATCTTAGAGCATAAATTATTGCACTCTTCCCATAAACTTGATTCAAATAAAGCCTTTACATGTAATTCTATCACCAGGCTAAGTCCACTAAGAGGTTTTGGGAAAGATTCAATAGCTTTAATTACGCCGTTACATTGATACCATTCCGATTGGTACAGTAATCTTGCTAAAGGTAGTAATATCTCAAATATTGAACCAGATCTTAGCTCACAACTAGAATCTCTATATTTATTTTCATTATTACACTTAATATTTACCATTGCTTTATTTACCCTATCTGAACCAATCATATTCCATTTTGCTGTTGATTCTGAATTTTTAAAGTTATTGTCAAAATATTTAGAATATGGCCATTTTAAAGAAGTTGTTATATGTCCACTTTGTACAGACTCTAACCATAAATAAAATGATTTATATCTATATTGTTGTCTAGGTGAACTAAAATCCTCTAAGTTGTAAAAAAAATCTGCAATATTCAAACATATACAGTCTTCACTTTCAGAAGTTCCTCTCAAAGTTACGATTAGATTCCCATCTTGAACTTTCTTAACAGTCCACTTGTTTGACTCTTCAGTATAGATAGATAGACAAGATGAGAGACTACCATTAACACTTATATTCTCTAGTTCACAGTACTTTTCACTCCAAGTATTCAAACTACAACAAATATCTGCCAATTCTTGGGGCATTTGGCATGACAAATAAACTAAACGTTCATGAGCTTTCCATAGTATTGGATTCCAATCAACAGCTATCACATAGCAGTATAAAGCAGCCAATTTTAAATCTAACAGTTCAAATAACTTTCCCATAATATAAAGCCCAGCCGACTCTCCGGGAATCTTTAAAGAGCCATTATGAATAGATTTAATTAGTAAAATTGGATTGCTGCATAGAGACAAAAACATATCTGATGCTGTTTTATTATTGGAATTTACTATAGGTGTTCCTTTCCATGACTTTGGGGATATTGAAGGAGATATTGTCGAATTATTTAATAGTTCAGACAATGTTCCGACAAAACAACTTGTAAATATATTTTCAGCCTCCTGTATCTTCCCAAGTTTAATGCAACATTGAGTTAAAAGATATCTACAAAGTAATTCAGACTCATCTAAGTTATTATTTCCTTTTTCTCCAGAAGGTTGAGTATTCTCTGTGTAATTTTTTTTATTCAGTCCTTCCTTTAAAAACTTATAGGCTTGGGTAAAATTGACCTCTCTGAGACAAGTTTGAGCCAATGATATACAAGTATCTCTATCATTATTTAAGCTATAGAGTATTTCACTCCAAAAGGAAATATGGTCTGAAAGTTGCCACCTTCCAAGATAATCCAAAATTCGCAATATTTCGTGTTCTGCCATATTGGCTAAGTGCTTTTGTTAGCACGAAAACAGACTCCCCTACAGATAAAATCCACAACCTATGGTTTGTCTTATATTAACTTTCCTTGAATTCTTTTTCCTAAGGGGGGAAGGAAGGGAAAGAAAAATTGACATAGAATAAGCAGCCCACAAACAGAAATATTTCACTATACCGGTGATAAAAGCGCTAAAAATCCCGCAGACTTTGCAATGGTACTAGTAATGGGCAAATCTAAACACTACTACTCCTCTTAAAGATCCAAAGATCTTTAAAAAAAGTAAAAATGAACGAAGATAACTCTATACCTGAGGTAAATATCTCAGAAAGGGATAAAGACATCTCTACCTATATCTCAACATATCATCGAAGATCTTCTGATGGAGTAAAAAATAAGTCTCCAGCTCCAATACAGATAACTATGGAACAGATTTTACACGAATCCTTGCTTCACTCACAAGAAATAGATGAAGGTAGGAATTTAGCAATAACTAAGTATGGTTCTGTGGAGCTACAGGATAGAGATGAAATAGATGACTACAGAATTAAAAGGAGGAAAGAATTTGAGGATGCTATACGTAGAAAAAAGTGGCAAATTGGTATATACTTGAATTATGCTAAGTGGGAAATAATACAAGAGGATTATAATAGAGCAAGGTCAATTTTTGAGAGAGCTTTACAGGTAGATTATGAGAATACAATTATATGGAGGCGTTATATACATATGGAGATTGTAGTTGGGAATATAAATGGAGCTAGAAATCTTTTTGAACGAGTAACTAAGCTTTTACCTCGTCAAGATGAATTCTGGTATAGATATTGCCAAATGGAGGAGATCCTATGTAACTATATTAATACTCGTTATATATATGGTAAATGGATTAAATGGAAACCTGATGACAAGGCTTACTTATCTTATATAAAGTTTGAGGAACGTTGCAAAGAGATAGATTTGGCTCGCAGAGTATTTATTGATTATATTTCTAGTAGACCAAGTGAGGCAGCTTTCATTTTATTTGGTAAATTTGAATTACTTCATGACAATTTGAAAGGTGTAAAGCAGGTATACCAGTTAGCTATAGAATACTTAGAAAATAATGAAGAATTTAGAGTAGATTTTGGTGCAAAACTGTTTTTGTTTTTTGCTAATATAGAATTAAATCAGAATTTGTTTGATAATGCAATAGATATACTTAATAAAGGTCTAGAATTAATTGCAACACCTTTAGAGAGAGTGGCTCTCAAGGAACAGTTGATGTCACTTCATAAAATACAAACTGAAGAGAGACTTGATGAAAGTAGTTTTTGGATTAATGAAAAGTCTGATATGTACATGGAGGCAATTAAAGAAAATCCTTTAGATTATGACACTTGGTTTGATTATGGAATATTTGCTATTCACTACTTGGATTCTAATTCTATACTGCAGTTATCTAAAGAACTTATAGAAAATCCCCCACCTGTGAATGACTCATTTATATGGGAAAAGTTTATGTATTCATGTTTATTATTTGCCAACTATTTAGAAAAATCTCATAATTTAGATGAAACCAAGGAAATTTTTGAGAAACTTGTAAAGTGGGTTGGAGGGACTGCCATAAGGAAGAAGATATCATATATTGATGAAGAACATATTAAGTCTAAGTCTTCTGAAGTAGTACTATCAGAAATTTATAGGTATTATGCAGAATTTTATATTCGTCAATTAGATTTACAAAAGGCTAGAACTACTTTAGGACAGGGACTTGGTAAAACATCATCTCCTGACTTATTTCGTTATTATATTGATATAGAATATAAGCTGGGGAGTCTAGATAGATGTAGGATCTTATATACCAAGTTTATTGAATCTAATCCTTTGTCTGCCAAAATATGGTCTGATTTCATGGAATTTGAATATAAGTTGGAGGAACTAGAAAGAGCTATGAAAATTGCAGAGTCAGGAATTGCAATGCCTGAATTAGATGCCCCCGAAATTCTTTGGAAGGCTTATATAAATATATTACTGGAAAAAAAGAATCTAGAAAAGGCTAAAAGCATATATGAGAGGCTACTAGAGAAAACACAGCATCCTCAAGTAGTGATAGATTATGCGTCTTTTCTAACTTGGAAATTTAATTCTGTAGATCTTGCTAGGAATTTCCTGCAGAACACCTTACAAATATACAAGCAACAGGAATTAGACCACGAGCGGTGTACTATTTTGAGATTTTGGTTACTATTAGAAGAGAAAATTCAGGTAACTGGTATGCATAACACAAAAGATAACATTTGGATATCAAAACTTAAATCTATGCAACCAAGAATAGAAACACAGCCAAGTGTGAAAAAAGGAAATAATTATATTGAAGGAAACATAATATATATATTTCCTGAAGATGAATTTACAGATTCTAAGGTACAACAATACTCAGAATCTATACAAAAACGAAGTGCTCCTTTCAAATTACTAGATGCAGCAAAGAGATGGAAGCAGAGCATTGGAAATAATTAAACATATTCAAATTACAAGAAGTAATAGTTGAAATTGAAATATAGATTATAGTGCTATTATAGAATCCCAGTGATTGTTTACACTTAGTCATTGTTTAAATATATGCACATAAAGATACTCATAAAATTCAAATTTATGTAGTCACAACCTTAAAATTTATTGAAAATACAAAAGAATAAGTCACTTTAAGGTATAGTATGTATTACAATATTGAATATTTAAATTGTAGTTTGTATTAATATTTTATTTTCAAAAGAAAGGGTACTTTGAGAACAATTTAGATATAGAAACTTCCAGAAAGTATAACCAAAAATATATACAACCTTATCTTTTAATAAAGTTATATCCATATAAGGAATGAAAAGTTTGAATCATATTTAATATCATAAGTACCGGTCTAAGATCCTCCAAGAGGTGTTTGAGGTCTATCAGGTGAGTTATTCTCATCCAAAGAAGAAAGGCTAGAGGTTGACCACCAGGTATTCATTCTTACAATCAAATAATGCAAAATTAACTTCAATAAATCCTTCATATCAAAAAGAAGTGTAGATGTTCGTCTATATTGATGTGAACTTGCACCCTCATTAAATGATGAGTTTAAATTATTATATCCGTTATAAGTAGATCCTTGGGTGGGTGTACTTCTGTCAGCATCAGTAAACCTGTTATGTATATCTGAAGATTTTAAATCTGTATTCAAAAGATTTCCAGGACATATTCTATGTGGGTTGGTAAGATTTTCATTTACAGAATCTCTAGAATTCCTCAGTGAGTTACTAATCAACTCATTATGTATAAATGATGATGATTTAAGAGGAGATATCACAGGTCCACTTTCTCCTGATAAGTTTACATCCATCTCTTCTCTACTTGGGGATATAAATTGTGGAGATAGATATTGCCTGGCTGTTTGGAACTGAGTCATACTATCATTCTCATTTTCAGAATAATTTTGATTAGGAGTATCATTTAATATGTTTGCATATAAGTTATCTGTAATTGAAGCTTGTTGTTCAAGAGACTTTAACTGCTGAAGTTTCTTTACAGCAGCAGGAGGTATACCAGGAGTTCTGCAAATTGGGCAAGTAACGTCGTTTTCAAGCCATCGTCTTAAACATTGATAATGGAATACATGTCCACAAATAAGCCTCTGAGATTCCGAATTTTCTAGGGTTTCACGGCAAATAACACAGATATAAGTTGAAGGACCACAAAAACTAAATTTAAATGTATTATTTTCATCTTTATTTGTTTTCAAAATATTCTTTTTAAAGGATTCCCCACCAGAATGAATAGATGATGTAACCATATCACAATCAATATGTCCCATTGTATTATTTCGCAGTATAGAATCAATTGTAATTCGATAATGAATCTTATTATATGCTAGTACTACATATTTAAAAGCTGTTCTAAGTTTAAACCATCCCAAACTAATCCAAATAATCATTTCCCAAAAGGATCTACTTGTTCCCCATGCAATTAGTACATGTAAATATGTAAAAAGTGTAAAGATATTCATAGAAATATCTACAAATTGTTGTATATAAAAACTCCAGTCCTCAACATTTCCTTTAATATTAGATAATATACTTCTAATGCAAGGAAGGCGAATTAAGGTTTTTATCCAAAGCATAAACAAACTAATTGGTTCATAGGCTATATGTAACTTTAGTGAGTAACCCACATCAAAAAAAAGACCATAGCCAATAACACTCAAACAAATATACATTAGAAATAACAAAAACAGGTATAAAGTTGCTTCGGAAGATGCTGAAGAATTATGTTGTCTTCTATTATCCATTATATTAAAAGGTGTCAAGTATCTACCAGAGATTGTCCGAGAAACTACCCATAAAGGTAAATATTTATGGAAACTTTCTCTTATATATTGTCTAACTCTCAAAATTAATATTTCTATATATCTGCAAGCTTTATTATACATATTCATTTTATTAACAAAAGATATATTATCTCTAATTGGAGTAAGTGAGGCTGGTTGTGAAGTAAACTGCACAGTTTGTACTTCAGGTGATGTATTTGATGAACTTCTAATAAAAAGTCCATTCATTCCCCCAAATAACACAGAATTCTCAACTCTATCTTCAATATTAGCCAGACAAACTCTAATACACGCAAATGGGGTCAACCACAAAACCCAACATGCTATATCTATTACATTAAAACCAGAAACAATTAATGTGTAAGGTAACGAACTTAATACAAAATCTGCAATGATTATGCGTGAATGCCGAATTTCATAAGATTTCAATTCTCCTAAAAACACCTTGGTACAGATCTTATGAAAATTTATACAAAATCCAATAATTATATATATAATAAAAGGAAGGGCTAGATGAGCCACATCCCATAAATCACTATTTCCACTTATAGACCTAAATACAAAGAAATTTAAAAAATTATGCAATTATCTGATTGTATAGAAGTCATTAAGATTAGCTTATAGATCCAGATTTATAGGAGTCAATGTCAAGTATACCAAACTAAAAGAAGTAAAGAAACCTCTAACTTACCAGAAATTACATGCTAATGTACTACTGACTAGTCCACATATTGGAAGCAGTTTTGACATTAATAAATGAAATTTTCTGCAATCTCCCTTAAACAAAAAAAAAAAAGAGCTTCTACAGAATATAAAGAAAAAAGCTAAGGTTTTTGGTATTTAACGCGCCTTGATAACCCTAGACCCCAATATATGGTCCCAACTTTTGTGCAGAAAGTACAAATTTAGAATTTTAACAAAAATGAACAGAACTTTGTACTAATTAGTGAATAAAATTAAGGATGAAAAAAAAGCTAATAATTGATGATTTTAATAAAGATATATTTGACTTTAAAAGTCCCCACTTTGATGCTAAAAAAGCTTTAGAATATCCTGAGTTGGTGAAATTACCCAACCCAAATATTGAATCACTAGATAACTTGGGGAAAGCTTCTTTACTATTTCCATTCGGTATACAACCTCTTAAAAACTTAGATAAAGTACTTAACACTATAAATAATCGTGAGGAATCTATGCAAACCCTTAAGAATAACGAATATAAAATCAGAATGAAACGGAAATTCCAAAAAAGTAAAGAATGTTATTACAAGATATTGGAGAAAATAAAAAGTGAATTTATGACTTGTCCACCATCTGATAAGAGTAAATTTGATATTGGATCATTGGTAGAAGTGACAGATGTCTTATCTGGCTACAGTGTAAGTTTAGCATGTAACTTTAACTATCGATAAATATAATTAGCTTGAACTTATTAGCAGTTTATAGGTAAAATAAGTTTTGAAGACAAAACTCATTATATGGTTGATAATATAAAAAACTTTAACGATTCAGAATTATTGGATACTTCGACCTGGAGAATAATATCGTAAGTTTTTAAGAATACCGCAGTACAAAACATATATTTTTATTGGTTAACAGGAAAGAACATCATAATATTCGAATAATAAAATAAGAATTAAACTTAAAATTAAATTTTTTTGTTTCAATATAATTTTATAACCTCTGTAGCATGCTCTTGACTTTAATATTAACAACTACTAAGTTCCTGAGTGAGTTATATTTAGTCCAGAGAGTTTGTGCAAGATTTTCTTCTGCATATTTAAAGTTTAATATTTCTATATGTATGGGGCTCACTAAATAGTTTAAAAGCTTTAGAAGTTCGGAATTTTGAATATTTTCATTATTACATAATGTTAAGTGATTTAAATTTATGAACAGATCTTTGAAACAAATATGATTAGCCATTATAAAATCATTTGTTAAACCTTGTACGTTATTAATTGTTAATGACTTGAGTTGTTTACTCATATTTTTAGAGATAGCTAGAAATTCCTCATTTGAAAGGCCTAAAGAAATACTTGCTCTCAAAGTAATTTGTTCAAGTTGAGGAAATACCTTTGAGTTTAAAGCTTCAATATATTTTGTATGACTTTCTCTAGATGTAAGTAACGAGAGATCTAAAGTTAGATTTCTTAAATATTTGCAATATATGCCTATTTTCTGAATTAAATCATCACAAAGTTGGTGTCCATTTAAACTAATAGTAAGGGTTTTGAGATTGTGACAATTAGCAATACAAAGCAAGACATCTCTAGTAACAAGATTAGCTAGACCATCCAATTCTAAAGTCTCCAAACTCTTTTCATTTCGCTTTAAGATACAACATAATGATAAAGGTATACTTCCTCCTCCAATCATGCTACTACTTATATTTAAGGAAATGATTAAATCACTTATTTTAGATTCCAAATCCCCCATATTGATATCTTCAGACTCCTCATTATTCATATTAACTCTCTGTTTTTTTGTACAAGCTTCTTCAGAATATTCATCTATTAAAGAAAATGTTGGAATACTATCTAGAATTGATGAACAAGACTCTTTAATTGTAGAATTTTCAATATATTGGTCTAAATTGACGCTTTGACTTAAAGAGAGACTTGTTAGTGAGGAAGTATTTGAATTACTAAATCTAAGAGCTAAATAATATAGTGATTTGACTGATAACATTGGACACCAAGATAAATCCAAATATTTAATTTTTAAAAGTCGGTTCATTAATAGAAAACATGAGTAGTCTGTAATACCTGCACAACTTCTTAAAATTAAGTTTTCAATATTAGGTGAAGATATTGATAATATTTTAATTATACTATCATTAATATTTAAACTGTAACGTAGATCTAAATGTAAGAGATTTGGTAGAATTGAGAATAATGCTGATAGTATTTCACAAGAGAATTTACATCTCCCCAAAATTAATTTTTCCAAAAGTAAATTACCCATTAAATTTATTTTTATATCCTCATCTTTGATACTATCACAAGATGAAATATTTAATTCCTTTAAAAATATAGCAGATTCTAGAAGATTAGTAAATGTTGAACCTTTTAAATTACGACAATTAGATACATTCAATCTCTCAATCTTAGGAGCAAGTTTAATAATATAACCTAAATCTGTTATTTGTGGACAATTGCTTACATCTAATACTGTCAAGTTACTTACACTATGCCCAAAGGTAGGTGAAAATATATATGGAGAAAAAGCAGAATCAGTAACCAATTTACAGCCTGATATATAAAGTTCTCTCAATTTCTCACAATTATTAATTGTTGAACGTATTAGTCTATTGTTAACCTGTAGGCAATTACTGAGATCCAAGATCCTTATATTTGGACTATGGAACAAGACATAGTTCAAGGCACTGGTTTTTACACCACTACATCCACAAAGCTTAATAGTTTCACGATTTGGGCCACTTAATCCAAATAGAAAAGATTCTGTGATGGCTACTCCTTGGTTTCTTAGACATTGATATATCTCATTAATAGCCTTATCAGAATAACTCCTCAAAATAGGTTTGAATAACCTTCCGTTAGATAATCTCACTGTCTGAGGCTCCAAAAAGCTATTTGGATAAGTTGTATTATTAATATTAGCTACAGATTCTAACATCATATATTTTGTTAATACCTTATTTCCTTTGAGGATTCTCCCAAATATGTGGCGCTATAAATATTAGTGTTTAGCGCCTAAAATATAGTATCGTGATACCATCAAAAGGTCTGTTTCCAACTTTTCAATATTTTTACAAATAAGATTAAGCTTAAAATACGAAATTTATTGTCTTAGTGTTGATATTATTCATTTAACACTTATTATAAGAGTAGATTTTGATGTGATCTCCTGAGATATAAGAGCGTCACTTTCTATGCTCAAAATCTGATTAATCCCAGGTATTTGAATTAACGGATTCTGGAATATTAAATTGAGAAAATGATTAAGAAATGGACTATTATACTGAAGTACAATTTGAGGAACAGTTTGATTCTCAAATATCTGATACTGTAGGCCAACAAGATTCATTTTCCAAGATAGCTGAGAACTTGAATAATCTGAACAATGATAAACTTATAGAACCAATTAAGAAACGAAGAAATCTAGAAGATATATATACAAACCAAATATCCAGACTATGTACAGTATTTGAAAGAAATTTTAAGGTTCTAAGCTTTGAAGATATAACTAAAATTCAAAAATCTCTTATTGAAGAGGCAATGGAAATTTTGGGAACTTCTGAATGTGCATCATTCTTTCTCCTATTTTGTACTAGATGGGAATTGGATAGTTTAACACAGGAGTGGTTTTTGGATCAAGATAAAGTATTAGAAAAATTTGATATATCAAAAGTCGACGCTTTTGATAATGGTCCATTTAGTGATATAACTATTTCAGATGAGTCTGTTACTAGTAGAGAGTTCTATTGTAATATAATAGCAGATACTGTAAAATATAATGAGACATTTTCCTTAAAATGTGGACATAGATACTCTAAAATTTGCTGGAAATCATATTTAGAAATATCTCTGAAAGAAGGAATATCCTGTATTTTTAATTTGAGGTGTATAGGCTGTAATTTCCTTATTCCAAGAGAAGTTTGGAAAATGTTTTTAAGTGAAAGTGATATGATTACATTTGATAAATTTTGTATACGTAGCTTTGTGGATTATAAGAGAGCACCAATTAAATGGTGTCCTGGAATCGACTGCAACTTTGCATTGGAATTAATATCAAGTGCATTTGGATCATGTGATGTTAAATGTAACTGTGGTGTTGAATTTTGTATTTATTGTAGTAATGAACCACATTGGCCAATTCCCTGTAAAATTATTGCAAAGTGGAATGAGAAGAACAAAGGAGAAGCTGACAATATATCTTGGATTTTAGACAATACTAAATTATGCCCTAAATGCAAGCAATATATTGAAAAAAATCAAGGTTGTGTTCATATGAAGTGTCGTTGTAAATTTGAATTTTGTTGGCTATGTTTAGGTGATTGGAGTAAGCATAGCAATGTAGATGTTTATAAATGCAATATCTTTGAATTAAGAACAATAAAAAAAGGAGAAAAAGATAATTTACATGATAATTCTATAGAACGTTATGTACACTACTTTGAAAGATATAGAGTTCACTTACAGGGTCAGAAAGCAGCTGAACTTTTTTTAGATAGTGAAATACCAATATATACTGAGAAACTTAATATCAACTTTTCTGATCCTCTATCTGGGGAGTTTCTCAAGAATGCAGTACTTCAAACTATTCAGGGTAGAAGGTTAATTAAATGGACCTATGCTTATGGGTACTTTGCATTGTGGAAAGATGAGAAGACTAAGAGTTTGTTTGAGTATCATCAAGGACAATTGGAGAAGACTCTTAATATTCTACAAGATATGGTTAGTACATTTGGTACTTATTATACGGGAATGAATGAAGATATTCCTAAGAAAACTGAGAACTCTGATTTTCTTCAAAGCTTTTTAGACTACAAAACAAGACTTGTAGATTTAACAAGGGTTGTTAGATCTTTCTTTAATACAGTGTCCCATGCACTTGAATATGATTTCGTATACAATATACAAGAATAACTACATAGCAACTTTATTTTATAATTAGTAAATTTAGTGCTTATATACTTATAATACTCTAAATCTAACAATAATCCTATTATCTTAAGCTTAGAGTAGATTCCGCGTAATATGTAGTATTAACCATGTTTTGGCGCCAATCTTTTGAAACGTTTCCTTCATAATTTTGGAAGATAAAGGTTCAGGGATGCAAGACGATTCTACACAAGTGGACCCTTATGACATTCTTGCAGTTAATGTCTATTCAAGCCAACAGGAGATACGTAGCTCATATCGCAAACTTTGCAAATTATTGCATCCAGATAAGATACACAACTCCAAATTAAGTGATATTGAGAATTCTCAACAACAATTTATAAGGATTAATAGAGCTTATTCAATATTATCTAATCCTGTACTTAGAAAATTCTATGATCGATATGGATTTCAATATTTATCTGTAGCCGAAGACGCTATTAACTCAGCAACATTTAAAGATAATATACAAAACAATGAAAGTAACTCAATGGTTTTATATGAGAATCAGCTTAAGAAATTGGAAAATAAGGTTAAACGTAATATAAGGACTAATAAGAACATATCTGTAAATATTAATTCACCTCAGGGAATAGTAATAATTACCTACCTGACATGGCCATTTCTATATCATTACCAAAAACCTGTATATGCAAGAAACAAAAGTCTACTCATTAACTTACTACCAATTACAAGCCAGACAATTTCACAGATATCCCTTAGATTTCCTATAAGTAACTTTTTTAAGAAGAGCAAGGAATCTACGACTTCACTAGATATTGTTTTATTAAACAACTTTGTTCATCCCAATAATTTTAGAAAAAGAGCTTCTATTAATAGCTCAATTCACTACATTCTTAATAAATATTTTGGAAAAGGCATTTCATGTTCATTACATATGGATACACCTTATCTTGGTATTTCCCCAGTTAAAGGTGAGTGTATTGTCAAATATCCAATGACTGCAATTGAGTTTGCCGGAATAAATCAAATAGATATCATTAGCAATTCTCAAATGCAATTTAAGGTTAGTTTAGAGTGTGGAATATCAAGTTGCAAGGGTTATAATTTAACAAATATACTGGAATCTTTTTCTGATTCTGATTATGTGATTGAGAAGAGAGGCTGTATGGTTACAAATAAAGTTGTTAATAATAATGAGTATATGTTCCCTAAATCTAACATTCCTTTACTTGATATATCAATGGAAAATCCAATGATACAAATGACTGGAACTCAGTTGAAATGGAAATCCTGTTTATCTTCATATGCATCAACTATTGAGACTAGTATAGGACTTGGGAATTATGGTGGTGCTGAAGCTAAAATTCAAACAGATTTATTGAACATCGAAAGTAGGTTCCTAACTTGTTCCCAACGGATTTCTACACTTTTCTTCTACTTAGCTGATAGATTTAGATCAAAAATTTCTACATTACAATCAGAAATTACTTATAGATTTTTTGGAAATAGTCCTGAATTTTTAATACAAACGAAGTGCACAATTTTAACTGAGAATCTAAACAATTGGTCAATTAATCCTAGTATCTCTTCATTAAATGGGTTGAATCTAGAATTAGGATATGAATGGGGATTTATGGATCAAATCGACTTGGAAGACGATGATGAAGATGATATCAGTAGCAATTCATCAAAAAATCAATTTATTAAGGAATCTCGTATTTTTTATGGAATATTAATACAGAATTATTCATATCATTTAATGATCAAGTATACTAGGCACGGGCTTAATTGGCAATTTCCCTTCTTGCTATATAGCTGGAAACCTAGCAATACTACTAGCCAAATATATCCCATCACATACCAAATTCCTCCTCTGTATAATCAATATGTAGATCTAAAAACAAAGAATTCAACTTTTCTTTTAGAGTTTATAATTAGGAATTTTTATATTTTAAGTTTCCTCACTTCAGCAACGCTACTCCCTGTACTAGCTTTGAAGTTGATTTCTTCAGAATCAAAAGGATTTCTACTAAAATCTATTGGCAGAACTTTAGATTTCATTAATTCAATATTCTATGTTAATAGTGTAAGCTATAGTAGTAAGAAAATTTTTAGAGAACAAAGGACTACTCCCAATTTTTGTGAGACTGAGAATGGAATTCCAGTTAAACTAGTATCATTGGATTATATGTACAAACCTCTTGCGGATGAAAATAGGGCCAAAGAAGTAAGTTGTAGTGGATTAGTAATTCAAGAAGCATTATATGGACCTATTGAAGGGTTTATTGAACTATTAAGAGATGACGGTAATTCTTTGGAGTTACTTAAAAATTATGTTGAAAGCATCAAATATAAAGTTCAGCCTATTGGACCACATCTATCTCAAATAGAGGAAATTGTGATCTTAGATGTAACCGATTTTCTAATGGCTAGAGTAAAACATTCTGCTATTGAGTTATCATCTGTGACTAAAAAGGGACTTCTTTCATATGATTCTATTCTGTATTATAGAAATTTGACGACTCAGGACTTTCTCTTAAAATCTCGTTTCACACTATTTATCAAATATATCTATGGAAACAAAGTAATATCACGTTTTTACGATGACTTAAGTCCTATAATTATACCTTAAGTAGATAAAGTACTTAACTCTTTATTTTATAAATTTTTTTTTCTTTTTAATAAAAAACATCTCCACGAGTGATACATGGACGTCCTCATCACCGGTATTGCTTAATACACCAAAATATAAGATAAAAAAAAAAAAAAGCAAAAATTTACGATCTAGATATATACAAATTGATGTACACAATTTTTATTTTTGAAGGATAGATAAAGTTTTGAGTGATCTGTGAAGATAATTTAGCAAATGTTAAGAGACAAGCTTCGTCATCTCAGTGCCCCTGTAATACCACGACAATTGTCTACTGAAATAATAAGAAGAAACAGAACAACAGCTAGAAATCTCACATCTAATCTAGTTTTGAACCAATTTAATTGTCAAGCTCTTGTTCATTACCCTATTTTACTGGAGAATTCAAGATATAAAAGATTTTTATCTAATAGCTATATTGGCAATATTAAGAATAATGACGAACATAGAGATATTATAAACCAAAATCTAATAAATGAAAAGGAAGATTCTATTGAGACTAATTCTATTAAGGATTTAACTGAAGTAGAACTTACTCGAGATAATATAGAGAATAAATATGAAAATCATGGGGAATCAGAAGATGGAGATGACAAAGACAAAGATATATATGAGTTTGTTTTAATGGACAATGGAAAATCTATTGAAGATCAGATATTTGGGATAATTAAAGCATACTGTTCAGAGAATACACAACTTGATTACAAAACGAATTTGATGGATATAGATACTATTGAAGAAGGACGTAAGTGGGACTCTTTGGATAGCGTGGAACTTATTTTAAGTATTGAAGAACATTTCGGAATTCAAATCCCTGATGACATAGCTGACAATATAAAGTGTGTAAGAGATATTATTGAAGCTGTATTAAATGCTCTAAAAGAAGTTAAGTGAAAGTGTTACATTGAGAACAATGCAAACACAGAAAATAGTATATTGTTACTATTTGAGCACTTAAATTACGAATGATAAGCCATCTTATATTGTCAACCCTTTACTTTCATAACCAATGCATAGTTTTGACTATTAACTAACATTGTGAATAATACAATATAATTACTTTCTTAGATAATAATTAAGTATTCATTAAATTACCTCTAAAACATAAACTAGATAACGATTAAAATAACACTTTTTATTAAATACTTTGCAAAAAAAAATTACTTGAGATATTGCACTAGATCAAGGCTTAGCTATATGATGAAGATATTTTGTTGAATTTTAAGAGCAAAGAACTTGTATTTTAAATTAATATTGGAAATATAAATATACAAGGTTGTATTGGATATTTTGAGGATTGTAGCGTTTATTTCAAATATCTCACTTAGATTAAAATTTAACCTACATTTTAAGTAGTTTTGATACTTCTTGATAGATTTTATTTTCACCGAAATTTTAATTACTGAACTTCTATCCCACTAACCTTATGGTTCTCCTGAAATATATTAGTGGTATTAAAGAAAATAGTACAAAAGAGATATTATTAGTTTCTGCTTATTATAATTGATAATATTTAATAGGTTAAAAGTATATTGATACTTTATCCACTTTAGGGTATAGGACTAAGTTCATATGACAGATTATTTAGCTATATGGATGTTTAGTTTATAGTAAAAATGTAAAGAGATATTACCTTAGTACCTCTAATTTCTAAATTCCCCAGTATATATTCTAACTAGGACTTCAGCTATAATTATTTTATAATTATTAATTACTGATTTAAGCAGTTTGCAGCTGTAACCTAGGATATATAGACATTGCCATTAACTCCTGTAAAAGCAATTTACAAGCGTAAGGAAGACAAACTTGACTAATTTGAGATTTGTTACTGCATACTTTGCACTCATAATGCTGTTTTCCTAGGTCAGCAGTACAAATAAGGCCACAAAGTTCACATACATGAACCCTGTATGCATCACACTGATCAAAAAGTCGCTCTTTAAGCATCTTTGCAGCTCCATGTGAGATCATGCAGTCACGCTCCATCTCACCAAAACGAAGGCCTCCTTCTCTAGATCTACCTTCTCTAGGTTGTCTTGTCAACATCGTAATAGCCCCCTTTGCCCTAGCATGAATCTTATCATCAACCATGTGTTTTAAGCGTTGATAATAGGTTGGGCCTATAAAAATTCGAGATTCTAATTGTCTTCCAGTATGCCCATTATACATAACTTCATTTCCATTTCTTTGAAAACCAGCAGCATGTAACCTATTTGATATTTCTTCAACAGTGACTTTTGTGAAAGGTGTAGCATCACCTTCCATGCCTTCAATAGCACAAGTCTTGCCGAGTATACATTCAATAAGATGCCCAATAGTCATTCTTGAAGGAATAGCATGAGGATTCATAATGATATCTGGTACTATTCCATCTTGAGTAAATGGCATATCTTCCATTCTATATGTAATCCCAATTGTACCTTTCTGACCATGTCTTGAAGCGAATTTATCACCAATATGAGGTACCCGAATTGTTCTAACTTTAACTTTTGTAAATTTGACTCCTTTGCTATTGGTACTTAAAAGAACCTCATCTACAACCCCATGTTCTGAGCTTCTCAATCCAATAGAGCAATCGCGTTTTGTAAGGCGTTCAATTCGGTTATCTCGTTCTTCTGGTGGAATAGGTCCAAACTTTCCTATAATAATGTCATCACCTAAAACTCGATTCCCAGGTTCAATAAGTCCATCACGATCAAGGTTTCCATAATTCCCAAAACGAAGTCCGCTCACTTCATCTGGATTAGGCAGCTCAAATGCCTCAATCAGATTACTCCCTATTTGTTTCTCCTCTGAGACATAAGTCCTAAAAAAAACTGAGCGGAATAGTCCTCTATCAATAGATGATTGATTCATAATCAAACTATCTTCTTGATTGTAACCTGAATAACACATAATACCTACTATACAGTTAATACCTGCAGGAAGCTCTCTGAATCTCATATATGTCATGGCTCTAGTTGTAACTAAAGGTTTTTGAGGATAGTATAAAACATAACCTAATGTATCCATCCTCACATTGTAGTTGCTAGTATATACCCCCATTGCTTGTTTACCCATAGCACTTTGATAAACATTCCTAGGGCTCTGATTATGATCTGGAAATGGAATGATACTTGCACAAATTCCCAAAATTAAGGATGGATGAATTTCACAATGTGTGTATGTACTACAGTAGCCACGAGCATCGCGTAGATCATTCATAAACATGGCAATCATTGCAGTTTCCTCCTCTTCGCAATCAATATACTCTATTATCCCCGATTTGATTAGATCATCCCAAGTAAAATCAGAATCTCTTGAAATTCCACCTTCAGGTAAGTCAACTTCAGATAAAATTTTCATATCTTCATTAGAGTTATTTTCTGGCATCTTAATTCCCAAAAGTGTTGCTATATGAGACTTACGAATTTTTAGTTCTCCATCCTCACCTACAATGTATAGAGGTCTCATAGATCTTCCTGCATCTGTAAATAGCTTTACCTCACGATTTACAACATCTAAAACAATAGAAGTCTCATAAGGAATTTCTCCACTCCTTCTAATCATGCGTAAGTTGGTTATAGAGTCCTCAGAATCGTCAAAACAGCCAACCCAATTACCATTCAAGAAGACTTTTATTTTGTCCTTAATATCCTCGGGTGGAACTTCATCTATTGAGTCCATTCCCCATTCATCTAAGAAAGTTCTAATTGCAAATGGACGATAACCAACAGAGATTTCACACATTAAAGCCAAGTTCTTTACTAAACCTACAGCATGACCTTCTGGAGTCTCAGCTGGACAAATCATTCCCCAATGGGTATTATGAAGCTGCCTAGGCTTAGCTAATGTTCCTTCACGGCCCAAAGGTGTATTCAATCGCCTCAGATAAGATAAAGCTGATGCAAAAGTAAGGCGACTCAGTACCTGAGCAACACCAGTTCGAACTATTTTACCATCACGATCTTTACCCCAATTACCCGTAGCAAATTGATATTGTAAAGTTTGTGTAATATAAGAAGCTGATCTAATTACCCCAGCTACATCAAATTCTTTACCATTGTCAATATTTCGTTGTAAGAGGCGTCTCATATCCTTCATCATCTTCCTAAAAGACTGACCAAATGAAGCTGCTACAAGGGGTCCTGCTAAATCCAGCCTTTTTTTACCAAAATGATCTCTGTCATCTTCAGGAACTCTTCCCAATGCTCCCATACATAATCTATGGACCATATAACCTATAAAGTAAGCTTTACGAAATTCACATCCTATAGTTACACCAACATGAGGTAACACCTCCCTCTCTAACAATTCTCGTGCATATTGAATCCTCTTCTCACGAATTGCACCAACAGTAGGTCCACGCTTCCCAATAAAATCTAAACATACTTCCTGGCTTGAAAATTCAAATGTTTCTTCCAAAGATGGACGTAAAATAGCTAACATCTGCGAGTCACTAAAATCGTAAACACACCTTAGCAAAATATCCTTATCAGATAAAACCCCCAATGCTCTAAAGAGGATTGCAATAGGAATATCTGTGCGTATATAAGGTAAAGTTGCTACTACCTGACCTTGAGATCCCCCTCTAAGCTTTACTGAAAAACCTGATGTTGCTTGCATTCCTTCCCTATTACTTCTGACCTCTGCAATCCAAGTATATTTAGAGGGCTGTTTCTTTTGAAATAAGTACACAAAATTATTTGCCATTCTTTCTTGCCCAATCAGTACTTTTTCCATTCCATTTATTATAAAGTAACCTCCCTGATCATATATACACTCCCCTGCACTCTGAAGCTCACGTTCACTAATATTATGCGTCCAGCAATATTCTGAACGCAACATTATTGGAATCTTAGCAAGTGGAAGACGCGAATATGTTGTTTCATGAAGTAATGTCTGTGTACCATCTTCATGCATACGATATATCTTCTGCTCTGCATCAACAAACACTGGACTTGCATATGTTAAGCTTCTTAGCCTAGCTTCACTTGGCCATAAACCTCTCGCTACTCCTTCACGTTCTTCCACAGAAGGTCTACTCAAAGATAACTGACCAAACTTTAATACATACTGAATACTTGTATCTATCTGCTCATCTGGACGGTATTGAGGCTGTGGAATAATTACAATTGGAGGATGTTCATCTACAATTTCCTGCAATTTATACATTATAAAATCGTTAAAGCTCTCTAGTTGCTGACTTACTAAACCCCTATCTCGGAAATATGTACCTATTAAGGCCCATGAGTCCTCTTGCTGCACTTCATCATCTTTCAAAGAAGTCAACATTCCAGATCTGCTAAATATCCAAATATAGTTCAAATACTTGTAAAATCTGTCTCTAATATCAGGGGTAACCAAACAAATCAAAATGTAATTAACCCTAGTTAATTAGGTGTAAATATATGAAATATTCTATTATCGTCTCTTGCTTAGTGTTTTGAATTTCTCACGAAAGCCCTAACTTTACTTCGGTATATGGCGCCAAATATTGGCGCCAATATTTACAGCATTATAAATCTGTATAAGAAAGTACTTATATAAAGAAAAGTGTGGATTAGTTATTCAGCAAACTAAAGAGTTAAATCGTGATTATTTACATAGAGGAGACCAATTTTTATATTTTAATATCACATTTTTCAATTTCCTTTTTAAAAAGTTAGGTTTCCATACTTTAACAAAAAAAATTATTTGGATTTCTTTAAATTTCATGTTAACTTGTGTACTTTAACATATATTCCTATGAATTATTATTTTATTAGACTCCTAAGTTATGTTCTTCCACAGTTTCGCAAAGACAAATAAATCCACTATAGGATCTTTAGCGCCACTTGTTAGGTGTTGTGATTTTTCCAGGCAGAAGGTGTTTCAGTATATAATTGGGATCCCTAAGTCAGAAATCTGATAATGGATACAATAAAGCTTGATATATATTAATAATTTGAGTAATAAAATGAATATTTTATTTTGTCATAGGAACTTGAGAAGTTTTTCTAAAATCTGCGAATACTATAAATATGGTAGGGAATGCCCTCTACATGCAACTACAAGAAAATACACCTTTGAAAAAGCAAAAGAGTGTTACAATATGTCGAAGCATATTGAGAATATAATTGAGTCATTTAATAGTGCACCTACAGAGAGCTTTCTGACTTTAGATATTTTAAATAAGCCTCCTGAAACATTTATTAAGACATACTCTAGGAAATACTCAGATTCCATTAAAGAAGGTGATTTGAATACTTGGAATACACTTAAAAAATCAGAAATTGAAGATATTCTCAAGGACTCATTGCAAGGTTTCGAAGATTATATAAAGGAGAATTCTGTATGCTCTCAATTTTTAATATCTTTTATTTCCAAAGAACGAGATTATCAAAAATCAAAACTACTTGAAATTATGTCATCTTACCTTCCTAATAGCTTGCAAAATGTAATTAATTATATATCCGAAATCCCTGGAAAATTAACAAGACCAGAACTTTGTTTTTTAATATTTTTGTGCATGAATAACTCAAGTAATGAGATCTCAATAGAATCTTTAAAGTCTGAAATACAATTAAATAGTTCTCAACGTATTCTTATTAAAGCTTTAGAAATGATACATATTGCATCCTTATTACATGATGATATTGTCGACGAAAGCGATATTAGAAGAGGGAAGACATCTACACATTTAAAATTTGGTAACAAAATTGCTATCCTTACAGGAGATTTTTTGTTCTCTAGAGCTTGCCACTCTGTTGCATTTTTAGAAAATATAAATGCAATGAAACATGTTTCACTTATTGTAGAAGGTTTGGTAAGAGGTGAACTACTTCAATATAATGATCTGAGAGAATTCTTAGATGAAATAAAGGAAAATCTTGATGAAATGAAGAATCAAAATTCTACCACAACCCAAATAGATATATTTAACAAATATATGAAGAACTATCTTTCAAAAATTTATTATAAAACAGCTTCTTTAATGTCTCATGGGGTTAGTGCTTGTGTGGAAGTTAATGGAATGCAGCAATCATCTAATTTAATTGGGAATGAACTTTTTAATATAAAGAAAAAAACAATCTTCAATATTGGTTTAAACTTTGGAATTGCATTTCAGCTATTAGATGATTTGTTAGATATCATAAATCCAGAAGCTAACAAAGTGTTGAATAAACCAATAATGAAGGATATTATACAAGGAGTTTTGACAGTGCCTACTTTATTTGCTATTCAAGAAGCTCCAGGTAATATGATCCCCTTATTATATAATATTGTTGAGAATAAAAATTTTACACCAAATTCAAAATCCCAATTATTAGATATTTGTACAGATACAATGGCAATCTTAAAAACTAGATTATGTATTGCTTTATATCTAGAATCATATATCAAATCATTTCAACAGATATGTAATATTTCATCACCAGTATATCCTGGATTTTTTAGAATAGCAGAAAAGTTGTTAACAAGAATTCCCAAATAAAAGTTTTATTTTACTTAATAAGTTAAAGTAGAAAAGTAAAAAAAACATAACTTTCTACAAATTTCAAATATTCATTATTATATAAAACTTAACATATAAGAGAATTTGAAAGATATAATAAAATAAGGGATAAAATGACGGAAATTTACTTATATACCAAATTCTAATTATATAAGCACAAAGATATTGGAATATATATAATTGATCATATTAATCTAACATAGTCTCATAGAAGGAAATATCAATATTATCTATTGAATATCCTGAATTTCCCTTGATAGACATAGCAATATACCCTTCCTTTAAAGCAGTTTTGCAGTTTCTAACATCATCATCGATAAAAATTACTTGATCAGGTTTAATATTATAAGTCTCACAAACTTTTTTAAGATGAAAAGACTTCCCAGATGGCATTGGATTGATTAGACCAATTTGAAGATAGTCTTGAGGTTTTTGCCATAATTTTGGGTAGTAGCAGAATGTACTATCTATTTCAAAAGAAGCTTTACTTTTCTTCAAAGATAAACTAATCAAATCACTACCAGAAATACATACATCTTTGAATTCTGGAGGTATTAACTTTTTATCTGAAAAAGTAACTACACTAATTGGTATATTCATTTTTTGAGCTATTGATGCTAAAATATTAAAGTCTTGGGATAAACTTAACAAAAATACACTTCCTGAAGCAGACAAAGGATTTATATAACCTCCTGAATGTCTTGTCATCATTGTTAAATCAAAATCTGTTGCTATAACTCGTATACCTATATTATTATATGCATAATCAAGAAATTCTTGATGTAGCTTAGTACGTTGCAAATAGTTAAGATGTGAAGACAAGATAGAGATTTGGAAAGTTGTAAACCAGTAGTAAAATCTCTTTTGAGCAATACTGACCATATATACCAAATATAAAGTTATTTATAAATCCTTAGTCTACCAAGTTTGCAATTGTTTTGAGGTATCTAAGATTTTCTCGTAAATTGCCGGTATGTTAGATACAGGACGTTAGCGTGGTATTGTGATTTGCTTTTAGAGGGGAAGGAATCTCACTAAACATTTTGCTTTTTGTTTTAGAGACTATTTATTACATCTAAAACGTGTAACTTATGGAATTAGAATATCCAAGAGATGAGGAGTGGATAGATTTGTCACTATCTAAACTAGAGGGGGAGTTACATAGTATCAAGAATGAAATAGCATCTGATATGAAACTTAAAGTTGTAGATTTATTGAATTTTTGTACCAAGAACCTTTTTAAAATGAAATCTGAAGTTATTGAAAACTTAGAAAAAGGTTTAAGGGGATATTCAACTAAAATTGAAGTACTACCATCTCAGATTAAGACTATTAGAGGTTTAAGACATAAATTACAACAGTCTATAGAGTTAGTTGATCATTTAATTAAACTGAAAAAGTGTCATGAAGGTTTTAAAGAGAGTTTAAATGATAAGAATTATGAGTTATGTGCTAAGTTTATAGAAGAATATTTACCTATAAGAAAGTCATGTATTAAATTTGAGGAGACAATTTGTTCTGATTTAGATAAAGGTAGGGATATATTTTACAACATAGTTTGTGACTTATTTGATCAGAGCTTGAATAATGGTAACCAAGAGGGAGTTTTTTATTATGTAAGACTTTTTGTACCATTAGGAAAGTCACAAGAGGGATTAAGGAGATATATAACTTTTATTAGAGGTAATATAAGTGATTTATGTATGAAAAAATATAACAATGCATTGAAAGATTCTCAAATTAAGGGATCTAAATTGGATTATGTAGATATTTTTACATCTCTATTTATTTCAATAGCAAATACTATTCAGGATTATCAAGGCAAGATTCCAGATTTTGCAAAATATGATACTGAATTGGAAGATACATCCCCTTTTAACGATTATAAGAAACGAAGTACTATGTTGATTTTTTACAGAGGTATTGAAGAAGAACTTTATATTCAGGAAAATAAGTTGATAGATAGATTTGAAAAAGATCATAAACTATATCTGGATATTGAATGGAATGACCCGGATATAAAATTAGAGGATTTGGGAATATCCCATCGTGAATTAGATGAGTTCTTAGATAAATATACTCTAATTAGTAGACTTCACTACCAATTTCAAGTTTATTTTATAGGTATTATAAACTCATGTCAAATATCAGAAATGGATGAAACTGAAAATTGTTTATCTAATGTACCTAAGGACTCTTCTAATAATATGGAATCTTCAATAGAACAAGTTTTTTCTAGAATTCAAGATTTGAATACTAAATATGTTTCTTGTGAATATGGATATTTGCTATTTTCAATATATCAAGCTCTTAAAACTACAGATGAAGTATTATGGAATGACAGGGATACCATGGTTTCTACTTTTGTAGAAGATAGTTTCTTTTTATTACATAAATCTTTATCAAGATGTATGTCAATTGGGGATGTTAATGCTTTAAAGATTATTCTAAATTACATAAATTATTTATTGCAAGATGTAATTAAACCCCAAATTATTGAAAATTTTCAAAATGCTAAACCTTTATACGAACAAGCTCTAGGGAATAGTAATGATGAAATTATTAACTATAATCTTTCCCATTTAATGACCTTGATACAACAGACGCAGGAACAAAAACAAATATCAAGTAATATCGGTGCTAGATATTCATGGTCTCATTCACTTAATAATTTACAAGCCTGTATAGAAAATATAGAGATTTTAAAGGAGACAATATTACGTGATTTTGAGGCTGATTACCAACAATTGCTTAATCTTCAAAATGGGTTATACCATGAAATTATAGAAATAATGACCAAAATATTTAAGAATTTAATAGCAGAATATAGACAGTTGCATGATTATTATGGTAAGATTACACTTCAAATTCTTAGTAAAATTGCTATCTCACCTATTTTAATGACTTTACATGAGGATATTTCCTATGAAATTACTGAGGAAGAAAGTAGAGATTATACTTTAAATCAATCATTTATACCAGCTATGATTAATTCTTTACAAGTTATTAATGAACATCTTAAATCCTATTACAATATTAAAAGTACAGAATATATTATGTCATTAATGATTGAACGAGTAGCACTGAAAATTGAACAAATTATTACTAATTACCCTGATACAAAACGATTTACCTTATATGGAGCTTTAGTATTTGAAAGTGATATAAGAAATCTCCAATCATTTACTAATTCACTTTTATCAATTAGTATTCGACATAAATTTTCTAGATTAATGGAAATATGTGATATTCTAAATATTACTAATTTAGAAGAGCTTGAAGAACTTCTTAAAACAGATTTTCCAAACAGAAATTGGCACATTAGTAAAACTGAACTTTCTAAAATTTTACATCTCAAATCAGATCTAGATCAAACAAAGGTTAATCAATTAATTAAGAAATACAGTCATTTTTTTAGTTAGATATTTAATGTAAGATTGATCTTATTTTTTATATTCAGTCTGATATTTAATAGAATATAATCCAATATTATTTACCAAAATTCTAATCTTAAATTTATTAATATTATAAATTATCTTTATTTCTTGTAAACATTATTTCATAAATCTTATATTCATCATAAATAAGTTCTTAAAATATTAAAGTATTATAAATTATATTTCTATTTCTACTTTTAATAAATCTAATAAAATTTATTCAATCTCATTTTTCTAGAAAAAAGAATCCATATTATTCATTTCTAACTTTATATTCAATATTAAGAATTCTAATGATCTTATTCTATTTTATATTATTAATATAACTTCCTGTATATTTTATTTTAAATCTACTAATTAAATATAATTAAATGAATAATATTGAAATATTAGAAAATTCTATTATATTATATTAATTAATATTCATGTACTTTTAATATTATTTAATTATATATTAACTAAAATCAATTTTGTTTTTTATTAAATATAAAGAATTTTTCAACATCTATTTAAAATAATTTTAATCTATATTCTAATATAATCAATTTAACATTAATAATTTTAATATATACTATTAAATTAATAAGGGTAATTAAATTTTATATTACAAAAAAAAAAATATAACACTAGTAAATTAACCTTATATAAACTTTTTTTTTAATTCAAAATAATATCTTTATAATAATAAATATTAATAATCACTTTTTATATTCAAAATCTTTATTTAAATATTTTATAAATATATTCTTATTTATATATTTTTTAGCTACAGATTATTATTTGTAAGATAATAAATATAAATATATTACAACTATATAATTCTCTTTATTAGTTTCTTAAATATATAATTTTTAAAAATTATCATATCTGAAAATAAAGAATCAAATATATTTGAACTATTTTAATAAAATAAAATATTTATAATTAGTTTAATGTTTTGATCTTTTTGTAATAAAATTATATTCTATAAAACCTATTGAGAAGTCTATTAGTAAAATACCTAATATGTAGCTTATATACTTTTTATAATTTATTATTTTCCTTATTAAACAATAGTTAAAATTCAAATATATTAGAATTTAAATTAATTAATATAACAAGTATATTACATAACCTTAAAGCTTCACTTTTATATTATTGAATAGAATTCTAAAAATTCAAAACAATCTTTCCAAAATATTTAGATATTTATATTCATTTTTCTTATTAAATTAAAAATTTATTATTAATGCAATTTTTAAAAAAAACTTAATTTCCTTACTTAAGTTATTTTGAAATTATATATACCTAAATAAATAACGGTTCGGTTTACTATTAGACTTTACCAAATCTCTTTACATATATCTATTTATTGAAAATATTAAATATACAAAAAACTTATTTTTATTTATATAAGCAATTTTGTTTGTTATAATCTATTTCATAAAACTATAGGAATTTATATCATTAATTATCCCAATTTTCCTTAAGATATTTTAAGTTGCAAATGACTACCTATAATAATAGTTTTCGACATTCTAGACATTTATTTAATTAATATAAACATCAAACTATTAAAGGAGATTATCATTATAAAATAAAAAAAAATATAATAGCCTAATTAATATAATGAAAATTTCTTATTATTTACTAATATATAGTTTTTAACCTAATATCAGTATAATTTTATTTTTTTTTTTTCTTTAGATTTTATAATTTGAAATTTTACATATTCTAATATTTAAATTATTTACTTATTTTTCAAAAATATCTCAATTATTTTATTATTATAAACTAATGAAATTCTTTTAAATTAATATTAGTAATATCAATCTCTTCAAAATTCATAAGTATCCTAAGTTCTTATATTTTTATTCTATTTCAACATATATTATTACCAAAATATAATTTGTTATTTTACACCTAAAAATTTAGTAAAATTTTTTATAAATATAATACCCTAAATTTTTTTTTCTTTCTAATAAATATATTTACTTTCAAATCTTAATCTTAATAATATATCAATAATACTTGTATAGTATATAAAATAAAATTTTGTTAATATTTTTAGATTCAAATCTTTGGATATGAATATTTCAATTAATAATATTCCTTTATTTATCACAAAATATTTATATTTTAATTTTATCTCCATAATTTCATTAATATTATTAAATTATTAATGATCTCCTTTTTATTTAATATTTATTATAAATTTTCTTTTTTCTATAACAGTATAATTATTATTTTGATATTCTAATTTATATTTTAAATATTTGGAAATTTAAAGATAGTTAATAATAGTAATTTATATCTAGTATAAAATTATGCAATATTGTATAACAAAATATACTATAACATAAAATATAATAAAATAGAATATGGGAGTTTGTTATAGTTAATTATAAGGTTATTTTATACTATAATTATACTTAATTACATTTAAAAATATACTTTATAAGTTTAAAACTCTCTTATAATGTTAAATATTATATATAATATAAAATTTTATATTTGGTAAATTAAAAAGTATAATAAATTTAAGTATATGATCACCAATTAAACAACTAATACAAAAATTAAATATAAGTTCTATATATGGATATATTTTAACTATTATAAATAGTTTATAATTTTAATTTTTAAATAATAAAATTGGTCTGTCTCGCATGTAATATATGCATGTTTAAGCGCTAAATTATCTGGAATTTTTCCCAATTTACGAGCTTACTTAAATAATTATAGTCAACGAGTGACTTAGGTAAAATCTGAATTTGGTTGTAATATTACAGGAAGGTTTAATTATGGTAAATATTTCCTAAGTATATTATACATATGGGTGATTAATGCCAAATAACAGCTATAATACTAACAATAGTAGGGAGATACAAAGTAAGCATGACTCCAAAATTGAGAATTTTAAGGTTAATGAAAAAGTTGGGCGTTATATAAAGATCAGAGAGGTTTGTTTATAATAGAATTTTTAGTGGTTAAGTCTCGAAAAATAAAACTTTTTTTGACTTTTTTCCTTTAGATTGGATCTGGATCATATGGTAAGGCTATCCTTGTTAAGGATATATATAAAGGGAAAGAATATGTAATGAAAGTAATAAATGTTTCTAAACTTTCCCCAAGTGAGCGTAAAGATGCTATAAATGAAGTGAAACTACTAAGTAGTGTGAGACATCCTTGCATTGTTTGTTTCCGTGAATCATTTGTTGAAGCAGGTTTGCTAAATATAGTTATGGAGTATGCAGAAAGAGGAGATTTATTTAGAAGAATAAACGCACAAAAACAATTGAAGAGAGGTTTTCTTGAAAGGCAAATTGTTAGATGGTTGACGCAAGCCTTGTTAGGACTAGCTTATTTACATAGTCGCAAAATACTTCACAGAGATATAAAGAGTCAAAATATGTTTATATCATATTATGGATTAAAGATTGGAGATTTTGGAATTGCAAAGGTAGGTTTTATTAATATATTAAAAACGATAATATAATTTTGGATAAAAATTGAGATAAATGAATAATCCATAAATTTATTGGTTTTTATAAAGTATTTTTATATATTTATCTTTCTATAAGAAATAGTAAGAATAATTTATTAATTTTAGTATGAAAGATGAATGTATTTAATTGAATAATATTTTGATATATTTAATATTGGAGTATAACTAATATTTTATTGGATTATTTCAATTATTATATATTAGTCTTCAATTTTTTTTTTTACTTTTGGGATTTTTTAATAATTTGAAATAATTTTCAATTTTATTATTTTCAGACACTTGAGAATACTGGAGCTTTTGCTAAGACTACAATTGGAACTCCCTACTATTTATCTCCAGAAATTTGTTCTTCAAAACCATATTCTTGGTCATCTGATATTTGGGCTCTTGGGTAAGTTTATAATAATAATATTATTATAAAATTAATTATTTATTATATTTATAGATGTGTTGCTTATGAGATGTGTTCTTTAAGAGTGCCTTTTGATGCACCTAATCTTAAAATGCTAGTTGAGAAAATTACAAATGGTAAGTTGACTTATAGTAATTTTTTCAATATTAAAGTATGATAAATATGATAATAATATATTTGTAAATATTAGGAATTATTGCACCTATATCAAATATATATTCTTCAGGATTACAAAATGTAATAATGGATATGCTAATTACAGATAGTAAGCTTAGACCAACAGCAAGTGAACTTCTACAATATTCAAGAATTGAGGTAAGTTTATATTATAAATGGGGGCTTAGAGTAAGATGGAAATTGTTTCAATATGAATATTTTTAAATGATGATTGAGAGGTATATAGTAATAATTTTGTGGAATATTAAATAATATTGATCAAAGTTCAAAAGATTGGATCCAGTGAATTTTTTTTATTTATTTTAAGCCTCTAGATATAAATTTAAATTAAAATAAGATCATTGTGTTTATTATAATTTCTATATAATCAGGCTGAACTTAAGCTAATGAAAAGAGAGGCTATCTCAATATGTAGAAACAAGTCTAGTAATTGTGCTGCTGTTAGTTTTGCAACTTCTATTATTGAAGCAATAAGGTAAGATATTAGTTGGAATAATATTAAAGATATTTTGTAGTTATCTTGACTTTTTTATTATTATTGATTGTATTTAATGAGATTATTCATTATATATTTTAATAACAAAAATCCCAATAATTATTTTAGTGCTGTTCAGGTATGCTATTATGGTAGTAGCCCAACTTTATCAATTTGTTCTACAGTATGTAGTCCGATGTTTGAGGATAATTCGGTAAATAATCAATTGGTATTTAATATTGGGGGCAGAACCGCAAGTAGAATGGAAGAGGTGGAAGATGGAGTTAATCTAATCAAATCAGAGAAATACTATACTCAATATAGTGAAGAGACTGAATCCGAAATAAATCACAGTGAATATAATGAACAGGAAACTATTCTGAATAGGGAAAAGACATCAAATATAGAATCTGTAGGATCTGAGCAATCTACAGATGTACAAATTTATGTATCATCAATTACAAACAATGCTAAAGATCCAAAATCTGTTTATTTGAAGCCAACAAGCATCTTACTTGATAAGAGTGGTTCTAAAAACAAGTCAATACAAGCATTCTCATTTCGTGTTAATATGCCATACAACTAGAGCAAAGATTACAAAGATAAATCGTAAAAATCGTAATATACATTCTTCATATATAAAATAAAAAACTAACAAGGGATAATTTTACCATCTATAAGTTGTTAGTTGTTAGTAACTTCTATAATTCTGACAAATATTAGTAACTACTATTTATAAAGCATTATTTGTTGATCATGTCAATATGCGGGTAGGACAGAAACACTTTGGCTATAAATAGGTATTATACAATAAAAGAAGTTGAGTACTTGGGTTTAATCATGAAGAGTGAGTCAAATATAAGCAAGAGGGACACTAAAGAGATAGATGATGTAAATATAAATTCCTTTTCACATATTTCGGATGATGATATACCACAATCACTACAAAGTACTATAGAAGATATTCAGAATCACTTTAAAAGCATGTCACAAGCAATATTGAGTAGAATTGATGATATGGGTGCAAAGATTGACCAATTAGAATACATGTTAAATGATATAGTATCTGAACTAGATACTATTGAAAATAATAAGAATAATAATATCCTAGAAACAACTACTCAGAGTGATTCTAAGTGTATAGATAAAGATCAAACAACTTGAAGTATCTATAAACTCCGAAGATGATACTATAGGAGTGATCCACTGAGGTTCAATATATATAATATTAATGTGTATTATATAACTCTTTTATCTGCAATTTTAGATAAACATTTGGAACTGGGGTTCTATTTGACTTCCCAAATTCCCAAAATGCTAAATACCAAGATATTAATTTGCAATATGTAATAATAAGTTTAAGAAGTCATGACTATCACTCACAATTATAGGGTTATGTTCTAGCCTGAATATCTGAATACCACGTGATAATTACCATTAAGTTTTCTGTCGCTAGGGTATCCCGCCTTGTTATTAATTTTATTTCATAAGTCTTTTATAACTAGATTTGAAGATATCTACCCAGTAATTTATAGTCTACAGTGTAGACGTGGAAAATACGTCTAAGCCTATCGTTCGAAATAAGTAGAAAACTATCATTGGTTACCTACATCTAGCCTTGACTTGTCAAGGTGATGGACTTAATGTACTTTTTGAGCCAATATTGTAGAGATGAAAGGATGCGGTTAAAAAAAAGTGTCAGACATTTATGGAGAGATGAGTGAAGGTTTAGTGGAAGTTTATAAATAATTAGTTGTAGAGGTGAATATTAGGACTCAATTGCAGTGATACTTTGAGTAAGAGCTGTAAAATTCTATAAGTATTACATTTCTCTTGTGGTTCTCTCTCTAAAGGGTTGTAATGTTTAGTACTTTTCAAATAAACAACAATAGGGATTATTCTTGACTATTTGAAGATACTGGTTTCTATCTATAAACTTTGTTTATTTTGAATATATATTACTATGGATAAATCTGCATATGGTTTCTTATTCTCATCAAAGTTATGTATGACGAATAGTTCAGCTTTTGGAGGATTTAGCAAATTTACATCAAATGGAAACAAGGGGTTTTATGAAGTAGAATCAGCTAATAGAGATTCTTTTGGAAAACAACCAATAGTAAATGAAGTTACTATGAAGTCAAAGTCAATTGTAGGTAAAACAGATGTATGTTTGGGAACATCTTTAGACAATATAAATGACAATAATTATAGATCTAGACCATATGAAGCCACACCTACAGATAGTACCTTTGTTCAATCTTTGTCTTTCTTTCTTACTCAAATAGCAACAGCTAATTCATCTAACTCTAGTTATGATATTGGAATGTTAACTCCATTTCATGCTGTATGTGTTCCATCCATTCCTATAAGAGCCTACTTAATGCGGATAGCTCATCACTTTGGTTGTAGCAATGAATGCTTTGTTTTAGCTTTAATTTATATTGGAAGAATTATAAAAGTAAATAGAAATTTTACACTATCTTTATTGAATGTTCATCGTGTAATTGTGACTGCATTGATGCTTGCAACGAAGTTTTTTGATGATGTCTACTATTCCAATGCTTTCTATGCTCGCATCTCTGGTGTTGGGACAAAAGAACTTAACTCATTAGAGATCCACTTCTTGCGTCTTGTGAGGTTTCAGCTATTTGTTACTATACAAGAATATGAAGCTTGTAGGAGTTGTGTAATGAGAGCAGCTGAAGCTGTAGCTACTGCTTCCATTTTACCCTCAATGATTATGCAACCTTGTGATATGAACAATCTCAACTCTACTTTTGGAATAAATTCTAACATTACTAACAATACACTATTTAATGAGTATACCTGTTCTTGCTCCTCAAACTCATGTTATTGTGGTTTTGGAACAAATAGAATTAGTTTTAATACAAACATAAATGGTCATGTAACAAACCCTGCTACATCTTTATCAAATTCCCAAGTAATTACCCCAGAGTCTACAGCTCCTAGCAGCAACAATAGTTTTATAGCACCTGATCCTTACTTTCCCTGTTGTACTAAGTTTAATTCAGTACATGATAAAAATCAACATGGTTATATTGAGCCTGTACAATTAAGTTCTATATGTCATTCTAGTTCTAATGGGTGTTATGGAGGCTCTGATCAAACTCGGGTTAATTATGGAAATACATATCAAATAAATCAAGTACATATCCAGGGGAATTTTTCTAACAACTTTAATACCTCACTGAATTATTCAGGAGGAAGTGTCCATGTATATTCAAATAATAATAAGGGACTAGTTAATCAGCATTCTCAGCATTCTTGGCAGAATGCAAGCCGACCTTATTCTGCTCCCCAAAGTACAATAAATATCAATACTAATAGTAATAACAACTTCAATATAAATGGCTGTAAACAAATATCTAATAGTGTAAATTTAGCAAACTTTAAGGAAACTCATCATTCAATATGTGGAGTTAATAATCAAAGTCGTCCTAATATCTCGTCACAGATAACTTGTCAGGATACAGTAGCTATGAGTGATAGCTCGATTCACTCCAATAGAAATCGTATATATAATATTTCAGATGGTCAAATTTCCTCTGCAATATCTAGTATTGTAAATACAGATGTACCTATATCACCAGAAGATTTGACAAGTTCTCTAACACAAGATATGGCCATTAAGACGTACAATCTATACTATTCTACACTCCTTGATAACAGGCTAATTGCTTGAATGAAAGATAATACCTAGTTCATTTTTAAATGTATCTACCACTCATTTCCGAGTCACTAGTATGTAATTATGAAAGTTTTAAAAGTATTTGTAGACTCACTAGCCAAAGCTTATGTAAATCTTTATATATTTTTTTTACTGATAAATTCCTTAATATCCCTATGAGAATAAAACAGTAGTAAATTAGTTGGGTACTAAGAGGTTTGGGTGAGACTGTGAAGTTCCCATTAAATAGTTTTATTTAAGATAATATTTCAGAATTACTTCACTATCTTTGGATCTAATTAAGTCACGATTTCTATTTTGACTAATTTAATATTCAACAAGATTTCTAAGAACTTGTAATTTAACTAATTAATTGCTAAATTGTAAATATTCCGAATAAATTACTTATAAATCTTTTAGTTTACTGCAATCTCGATATCTAGAACTCTTCTAAGTTGAGCTTGAATCCTAGTTAGTGGTTTTAATTGATATTTAATAAAGTTCTTGCGGAGTTTATATCTTAAGTAGACAGCTTCAAGTAGTTGAACTAAAGGTTCGAATGCTGCAAGTTTTTCTCTCTGTTTATGAGCCATAGTTTTAGCAGCATTCTTTGTTAAGAAAACCATAGTTTTACCTACTGCCCACTCTTTTTTGGGAATTTCACAGATTTCAAGCATCCTCTGAGCTAAGATACTAGGATCTGTTTCTTTATCATTTGCAATACTTAAGTCGCAGTATTTGAATTGGTAGATAAACTCACTGAAGAGACGACGGTATGAATAACCAAGATTCCTCAACTGTAATGCCTCTAAAATAGATAATGAATGGAGTTGTATTAGAACCTTAGATGCAACCCAATCCAGTGGTTTCTTAGATTCGTTAGGCTTAACACAACGTATAAAATGAGGCTCTGTCTGGTCTACAATTTCCATAAGGGAATTCAAAGAATTCATAAATTGATTACCTATTAGCTGACCTTTAGCAATTTTGCCTCTTTCAACAACTATACCTTTGAATAAATCGGCCACAAGTTGGTTTGGAGATTTCTGGACAACTTCTACCAGTTCAGCTCTTAAAACATCCTTATTTTTAAATAAGAAACCTTCTGCACAATATTGGATATCTCCAATAGTATGAGATACTATGAAATTCTTTTCTCCACTAATCTTTGCTGGCTTTAGAGAGTCATTATTCTTTAAATTTGAATAGGCAGCTGACAAAAACTTCTCATCACTACCATTTGGAACTAAACATTGATCCTCAAGAGCTGACAGAATTGAGTTTTTCTTATCACACAAAACTTCTAATACCTGTTTGTTTGATTTGAACTCAATATTTGCAGTTGATATACCTTCATCATTGTATAACTTCTGTTCCTTCTCAAACACTACATCTGTAAAATTCTTTTGAAGATATTCATTAGTAACATTAATAAAGAACTGTTCTAAAGAATTATTTTTAAATACTTCAAAACCAAAAATATCGAGCATTCCACAGAAAATATTGAAACCTTGTGGTGGCATAATAGTCTTATTTAGGTTTAATATAATATAGTCAAATAACTTATCATACAAACCTTTTGCTAAAGAATCCTTAAGCATACGAGATTCATCTGCCCTAAATCGACCTTCAATTATATTTTTACCAGCAGTAGTAATCTTGACAATGAGTTCTTTCTCAATGCTTGCAGGATCTAATTTACAAAGTTCCATGGCATCATTAAATATTTCTTTACTAGACTCACCAATTTTGGCTCCTTCAACTCCACCTCCTACATCTTCTGATTCTATCTCGACATTACCAAGGAGCATGACACCAGAGACTACAGATAGTATATCTTCAATCTGAGACTCCGATAATCCCATTGTTTTAAAACTCGTAATGACATCTTTGAAATCACTAACATCATCTATATTATCTACATCTAGGCACTTGGGATTGATAAACTTGTATTCTGTCAAACCTTTTAATTTAAGTTTCTCTTTCAAACCTGGAACTGCATCAGCTCCTTTCAAGATCTGGTAAAATATGTGATAACTTCTTTCAGACTCCTCCTGGGTAACTACACGGGACTTTTCAAGCAAAAAGTTCAGAACAGTACCATATTCAATACCTCCCATCCTTCCCAGTTGTAACTGCATAAAACGTCCAAAACGAGAAGAGTTATTATTACGAATTGTCTTTGCATTGCCAAATGCTTCAAGTACTGGATTTGCAGCCATAATGGCATTCTGTATCTTCAAATCCAAGTTTCCACTCTTTGAAGATGCAAAAAATTTCATAATATGTTTTGTAGCTTCTGTTTTACCTGCACCTGATTCACCACAAACTAAAATTGATTGACATCTTGCTACAGTGACAAGATTGTCAAGTGCTCTCTTTGCAATGGCAAAAACATGAGGTGGTAACTTTGAAACATCATCTATATCACGATATTGTAGGACTTTTTCATTAGTAACTAGTCCTACGTCCTTAAAAGGATTAATAGCAACTAATAATGGATCCGCAGTAGTATATATCTGATTCACCATATATCGCTGTTTCAAGAAATCTAATACACATGGAATAGAAGTATACGGTACCAGCCCAATATCTGAATAAGAATTCGGATCGAAGGGTTCATTTGCTAAATAACATGTATCTGGTTTTGCTTCAAATATTACACTACTATCAGATTCTTTCAACTTCAGAAGTGAGGCTGTTGAATCAGCTAGGACAACACATTTAGCAAATAATGAATCGGGGTCATCTTTAACTGATGGTGCAGAATCACACCATACCTCTGTTCCCTTTGCAGTCTTAGCATCAAATACAAACTTTCCTGACGCTTTACGCGTTAGGCCCTTTACATCACGTGCACTCATAATTCTAAGTTTATTTTACCAACTTAATGTAAACAGAATCTTTCCATAGAGTTCAATTTATGTAATACTTTGTACACTCATGCGATTTGTTGCACTCGGCTATACGATTATGTCTATTCATGATTAACGCGGATTTATTTATTTTTTGCGTTTGTCTATACCGCGTCATTTAGTTTTCCTTTTTTGAATTTAACCTTAAATAGAGAAAGTAAAGTATTACAAAGTTAGACTAAGATGAACATAAATACCAACTTTAACTTAACTAAAGCCTAGAATATTAAAAAATTGAGATACAAATTTGCTGTATATTATACCGCCTTATGGCGGTATAGAATATTAATAGACTAGATTTGTCAAATTATCCTAGTATGTTGTATTAGATGAGTTGCAGGATGTGGAAATACTAAGATACACAAAATTAGGTAAATATATTAGTACTATTTGAAAGTATAAAGGTCTGTGTTCTGTACTTATTTTTTGGTCACTCTTATAGATCCAGTGCACTAAATAAACGAAACCTGTTAATAAAAATTATTAAAGAAAAAAAACTCTCTACTTTCTGGATATTCTTATATATAATGAAGAATTTAGCTTTTTTTGTTACTTAGCGGTCTGTTTCATATATACTGTGTGTTATCTGAGATAAATATGCGAAGGACCGACAAAAAGCTAGGAGGTAACTTTGACTCTATAGATCGCAACATACGTGATATTTCTGAGATAAGCAGTACGTGGGGAAATCTTTCTATAGAAGATCAAAAGTATAAAGAATGTAGGAGTGGTCCCAGAACTCGAGGATATCTTAGACTATATATGATACCAACTCCAGAAATTGAATCATTACTACCCCTTCCACCTGGTTCAAAATCACCAGTGTTATACCTTAAGGAAGTCAATATATTTAATTATATTAATCATCCTATTCTTTCACGTGATTATATTTCAGTTGAACAGTTTAGAAAATAAAATGAGTTGTTATCAGATGAGCCACATACAGGCTGGCAACTCTCAGTAAGGATAAGACCTTGAAAACGATGAAATATATCAAAGACTACAAAACAAATGAAGTAATACTTAATGATGGGGATGTGGGATTATATGGAAATTTAACTGATATTTTTCTAATAGTTTTAAAGAAGATGATGTGGCTACAAAGAGATGGTGAAAAATTCAATATTCCAGAAAGGTGTTTAACTTATTTTTCAGTCCTTAGCTGGGGAAATACACTTTTTTTCTGAATCAAATAATGAACTTGTTAGAGTAATTATAAATAGATAACTGATTAATTTTCGTAAAATATGTGAGAATTCTCCAATAGGGTTTATAATATGTACTATATCACGAGTTTCAACTCCAATGTGTATTTTTGAAGAAGATAATTATGATGGGAGTGTTAAGTGGAAGAGATTAGGAAATTCAAATAGTTTATCTCTTACAGAATCTTTCTATTCCCACTTTTCCATGTTTATTGAAAGATCAAACAATTTAAATTTGCCCTTATATGCTCAAATATTTATTCCACTTATTAATCAATTAAACATCCGATTATTACATAAAATAAAAGGTGAAAGTATAGCTTATAGTGATATCTCTTCATATATGTCTAGTAATTTCCATAATTAATAATGAACTAATTCAGCCACTAGTATATAATGTTCATGTACTGGTAGATGGACCTAGATTTAATAATTTGGTTGAATGAAAAGTCATTCAGCAAGATGAAGTGAATGATATAATAACAGGCTTAATACATGAAGAATATAGAATTGAATTAAATTCTATGTCAGTATTAATAACATATGTCTTTGAATCTCCACGAAACATTATAAATCAAAGGACACTATATATTACCGTTTCTGCTCGTCTGAACGCGAATTATGTTTCAAAAATCTTTCGACTAAGGTATCTAGGCAATCTTATGAGAAACATCACTATAATATCTTTTTTTTAGATAGTTGCTTAATAACCCAGTGACCTGAGAGTATTAATTTGGAATCATTAACTGATTATTTAAAGAACTTGAAGATTATTCTTTTATGAAAATTCCATTTACAATTCAAACTTAAAATTGATCTTTGCTTTATATTAGTCAGTATTAAATCCTATATTCACAGTATTCACAGCTCTAATACAAATATGGAAGGCAAGAGGAGCCCATTGTAATCTCAAGATTACTGAAATATTGATTTTAGTATTAGGAAAATATTTCCATACATAAATCTAATCAAAAGAGATCATTTAAGAAGTAATACTATATTTATTTTATTTAATAATATAATTAAAGCGATTTTCAAAATAAAAAAGAACATTTTAATTATGAATTTGCATGAAGCAATTTTATCAAGTTACAATTTAGGTAAGGGGTATGAAATTGAGTTTAAATACTGCTGTAATATAACCTTAATAGATAGTACTTCTCCAGGAAATGGGGTTAATGCATCAGGTCGAGATCTACAAGTTATTCTATAATAAATTAAAAAGGTATTATTTATTTTCGGATCTAGAAATTCTACCCAGTTAAGAGATAAAGCAAAGAATATTGTATTTGTTGGATTTGAAAAATTTCCAAATAATGAAGAATCGAATGTTAATAAATATTGTAACATCAATTTGCAATACAGATCAGTGTACTATAACTGAAATCTGTAGTTTTTTGTACTTATTCTCAGAGATTAAATGTAAGCTTGACTAGCTGCGATATATTGCTAAACACCTAAGACCCACTTATTAATACTTGGTACTTATCTTAAGAATTAATAATAGGTTTACGATACACAGTAAATATGTAATTTAGGTATATATTTAGAAGAAATATTCCATAGATTTATATTCTTATTATAATGGAGTTATTTTATATTCAAATAGAATAGCTAAATATATAACTTTTTTTAGTTTCTCTTATATATCTTCCGAAGTATTAAATCACATCAAAATTTCACTAACTTATTAATCTATAAATTTGCACCTTTCTAGCTAGATCTTCTTTATACACCAAGTGGCATTGAATTAAAAAGTTCCTAGTTCTATACTTTATTTAATACTATACTTAGTTTAAAAAGGTATTTATTGATTAAGGCTTACAGTATTTTATTTTGAGATATGTTTATATAAATATATAAAATAAGGTTGATTAGCTAAGAATATACTTTAATTTTTGAACTTAACTTCCATTTCTGCCAGAAATTCAAGTGGGATTTTAGTAAAAGAGTAAGGAGAAGCTATTGTATCTGAATCCAATTGAAGAATATTTGAGATAAGTTCATTGACCTTCTTTTCTCTAAAACCACTGTCTAATGCAAGTTTGAAAATACCAGGATATTCAATGCTCATATGTAAACAGATTTCATCTTTTAATACATCTAATCTTGCATTGTCTATTTGATCTCTATTATAATTATTTCTCTCATAAGTTATATCAATACAAATATCAATTAAATTTCTTATCCTATCATAGAAATCTTTACAAATGTCTTCTTGCGTCATTTTATAATCAATCTTATAATCAGGTATTAGCTTAAAAGTTAGCATATATCCTAATATAAAAGCTAAATCTTGAAACATATCTGCCATAATTTGAGGGTTTAGATATAACCTGGGTTTGTATAGAAAACTCGAACTACCGTGGGATTCCATCCAATTTTTCAGAGTTTGACTATTCATGAGAGAAAATGCCTCCATTATATTAACTAACTCACTGTTAATTGGAATTTTAAGATCTTTAGACCAATCAGTGAAGATTAGAAAAACATTATACCAGCCAAAAATACCATTAGAAATAGTTAAAGGTTTTATATTTTTGATATTTGAAATATAGGACTCTGCAAATTTTTTGACCAAAATCTCATCTGAATATATTCTAAAGTTGAGAAATATCTCATCAATTAAAGTTGTGCAAATATACTTTGTTATTTCAGCTAAATCTTGAGGTCCTATTATATGATTTCCAACAAAAAAATTTTTTAAGGCATCACTTTTAATATTTGTATTTGATTTAAGTAATGAGATATCTGAAATATTTCCACTGATATTATTTTTGCAAGAAATTTTAATATCATTTAGTGACATATTTGGTAAAATAGTGAAAGATAAATTCTTCTTATCCATAGTTAAGCCAAAATAAGATAAAACCCTTAAAAATGCACTTAAGATGTATGTATTGGAGAAATAAAAATAAGGACTATATACTAATTTTTTACTTTTTTCCAATTCCTCAAGTTCTTTCAATGACATACGTTGGAATATATATGTTCCAGCTTTGTTTTCAGTAATGTCCACCGTCCTTTTTAATTGTAAATAAGTGTATTTTTTTTGTCCTCTACTAAATATAGAAGAGACTGCTTTAGAAACTTTGATAATATCACTACTATGTCTTATTTTAATACTTAAATCATTCCCAGACATCAAGGGTATATTTTGGACATGCATAGGGTGATGTTTAACAATATAAATGAAAAATTCAATAGCAACTGCAAGCCTTTTGTTTTTTGATATACTCAGTAAATTGGAATAGTTAAATTTATTGTTTACTTCTCGACAGAATATATGAGATTTATTCAATATATTAGGCAACTTATCAACGACCCAGGCTCTACAATATTCATAAACAGTTAAATTTTCTGCAACTTGAGACATTTGCACATTATTCAATATAATGCTACCAAAATATTCTTGGTAACTTTTTTCCAGATAAATATTTATTCTTTCAAGTGAAAAAAATTCTTTTTTTAATATGGGAGAATATTCTAATGAAAACCATGCATTTATTTCTGCAAGTGGTGTCTGAGCAATTTGAAGAATTACTGGTTCTACAAAGTCTCTACTAAAGAAGAATTTACCTGTTTCTGCTATAATATTCATGGAATTTACAACAAGAGCAGGATCCCAAAATTTAATCGAATTATAATATCCCACAAACGGGTAATGATCACATTCATTAACTTTTAAAAATAAATTCCAAGATATTTTAATAGGATCTGTTGGTTTTTCTGGATATAAAAGATTGGTATTAGAGGAATCTTGATATTTGATATTATAAATAAATTTTAGGGCAAATAGCATACGTAGTAATTGGTCTATAAATATGACATTATTTTTCCAAAGTTTAGCAAATTGACTACAAGTTTGACTAAGAATTAATTTTAAGTTTTTCTTATTTTCTAATATAGACTCGTAATATGCTAGTATTCCTTTTTTTACAATATAATTCTGACAAATAATCACTAACCAATTTATAATACTTCTTTTATTGGCATTGTTCCGTAACCAATTTAGATCTGGTTCTTTATACCATAAAGATGCAAGTACACCATAATCTAAAATATGTTCTAAATTTTTATTTGAGTTAGGAATTAGGCTTGACAATTCGTAAGTGATTGATCTTAATAAGTTATAAGATGAAATAAAAGTACACAATTTAAACATTCCTGCATAATTGATAAACCAGTCTAAGCCATTAGTATAAGTATATTCCATCTGTTCCCAGTGTAAACTATCAGCAGGAAGACTACAGCTTGCTGGTGAGTCACTACTTGAATAATCAAGGCCATATATGGAGTATGGAAAAACACTTGATCCACTACTAGATGAACCCGAATATCCAAGGTTAGATGTATCTGAGATGTATTTAGAATAATAAATATTCAAATTGAAAGTACTAGTAATTTGAGGATTTTGACTTAGAGTCTTAAGAGTATCTAGCATTTCCTTCGAATCTCTAATACGAACTTTGGATTTATCTTGACCAAATACCTTGAGAATTTTAATTGATGTAGTATCATCAGATTCAGTATATGGTAAAGTTGGCATTAACGAGTCTGCTCCTGGAATATCTCTATCAGTCCAACTTATTGGCTCAGGAGGATCAAATTCAAAAAATATACCAGGATAAGTGACAATTTTTGGTTCATTAAATAATGGTGCATGGTATATTGAAGATAATTTCTCATAAACAGATTCTCTTGATTTATCATTTTTACTAATTTTAAGTTTTATTATTCGTTTTTCTTCAAGAACTACTTCATAAAAAAAAGTTGCAACATGTAATAAACTCAAAGATTGATAGTAAGGATTAAATAAATTAAAAAAAGGATGAATTGCATATAGAGGAAGTTCATCAATATTCATTTCCCAAGGTAACATCTTATTTGAATCATCTCCTTGTGGTACTTGATCTTGAGGAACAACTTTTGGATATAAAGCATCCATGAAATGCATGAAATAGCACATATCAAAAAAATTGAAAGTTGTGTAATATGAATTGGTTGTTTCTATATGGTTTACACGAAGACAACAACGTATAGTTTTTGGCATACCCCAAGCTTCTCTTAAAATTTTGAGGGTATTTGTATCATCAAATATCAATAAAGGTCCCTTATGAATATATCTTTCTAGTAATCCAGCCCAATATGTAGCTCGATTAACTCGCCATGATTTTAGATTATTACAATTGAATTTGGAGATAACAGTCAATTCATTATCAAGGGTTCCTATTATTGGCCATATTCTGGGTTTAAGAATTTCCCCCTCAACAAAAAAATTCTTATTCTTATTCTTATTGAGTTTAACTTTTGATCTCCAATAATGACCTTGGAATCTATGAAAATTCAATCTTTCACTTGGAAGATATTTCCTTATTTGTGGAAAATTCACTGGTTGGAATGTCTTTGATTCTGTAACGCCAAAAAGTGGAAATATCCCAGGCTGTGGATTAGAAATAAAGGATTTATCAAATTTAATAGGAGATCTATAGAATTCATCCAGCTGTTTCTTTGCTTTCGCTCTTAAGTTTGGATCATTCACATCAATATTTATTAAACGGGTTTCAAAAGCAAGAAAGTGTGAATATAATATTATTGATGTAGCTTCATTAATTTTATTATTGCGTTGAGCTTTAGTCATATATTTTGACCAATTTCGCACAGATATTTCTGAAACTTTATACTCGCCAAATAAGTTGACTAAGTCTTCTGCAGAAAAATACCAACCATTAATTATACTAAGATTAGATTTATTTGATAGAACATAAGCCATTAAAGTTAATCTATTAATTTCAGACTGGTGCAAATATATCCCAGTTTTTATATCTGGTCTATTTTTGGGCCTTTTGTGTGCCATTAAAAGATAATTTTCAATATTTAAGTATGTACTTTTAGATAAATGGAGGTATACAAAAAAACTGTTAGGTAAGTTTGTAGGTAAAGTGGAACTCCTATGGAAATATGGCATATATTTAAACCCACTTGGATTTTTGAATATATCTTTAATAATTTGGTAATTCCTTAGTTTCTCTTGGTTTATAGTTCCATCTTGCAAAGTAATATCACTGAATTCTTGGTTAAATATACCTAATTCATTATGTAGTTTCAATACTCTAAAAAATGAGATAAGCATAGCTTCTGCAACTTCTGGTATAAACCATTGTTTAAGTTTCACTTTTTTGTTATATAATTCAGAAGAATTCATATTAAAATATTTACTTAATAGTGAAGCCCAACATTCATTTACAGAGGAGTATAAATGAGGAATATCTTTGGATCTTATAGTTCTCCACCAGTTGCATAATTTATCTAAAGAATATTCAAATTGTAATTCTTTCACAAAAAAGTGAGTGCTATCATCCAGATTAAATTCAAAATTAAAGGATACCTCAGATACATATTCAAAATATGCAGAAATTGTGATAAGAAAGCGTATCTCCCAATCTTCCAGATTATTACAAGTATTAATCTCTTTGTAATAATTTATGGAATCTTTGCATTTCAAAAATGGAATAATTTTCTTCAAAGATTCTGAACTTAGTGTTAAAATATTAATTTTTGGTAATATTGAACTATCCAATTTACTACTGTCTTTACTAATGTTTTCAAGAATAGGACGTTTGTATACGATAGAAAATAAGTCTCTAAGATTTATGTTTGAACTTGCAATATTAGATGTCCCAGTTACTGAAAGTCTTGGTATCTCATAACTTTCTAAAATCCAGGAATTCGCTTCTTTAATTAATGAGATAAACAAGCTTTCATTGTCAATCCAAGGTATATATCTCATATCTTCAAATAGTTGATGTTCTAAGCTCTCTATTAAGTCGTAATATTCTCTTTTTGTCAAATTTTGTGATTCAAGTAATCTACTATGGTAATTGGATAATATAATACAGAAATAATCTGAATTAATTTTTACTTTATGATTTGAACTAATAAATTTTGATTGGAACTCATAAAAGAATACACGATAGGCATTCATTAGATTTATAACTTCTTGTTCAATACAAAATTTACTTCCTTCATTATCTGCTGGAGGAATAGCAAAGGCAGGGTCAACGAAAGGATTGAGCATAATTCTAGTTTTAAAGGGTAAATCATCTATGCTCATTATATTAGCACTCTCTTCAATAGCTATTAGGGGTGTTATTTCTGTATCAAATACTACCTTTAATTCTTCGATGAAGATTTCATGAAAAGAGGGTTTCTTAACTGCAATATCCTCTCCTAACTTTAAAATATATGCAGATTGTATCCATATATTAAAGCTCGTTATGAGATAATTAGCCATACCTGGTAACATCCAAATAACCATATCTTGTGTGATAAACCTTTCCAAATTACTTGCCACTTCCTTAACACTGATTTTTTCTATTTTGCTTGAACTACTAAAGGTTTCATTTACCCATTGACAAAGTTGGAAAATAGGTAGTTTGGGTTCAAATAAGTATCTATAAGAAGTGATAATAATACTTATAATTTTTGTAACATTATTTTGGAAGGAAATAATAAAATTAGCTTGCCAGTTTAAAATATCTTTACATACTTTCTCTATATCTGATAAAGTTATTTTGCTACTAAGTTTTATATTCAATTCTCCTCTATATTCATTAATTATTGTTTTTTTTAGATAAGGTTCCAACTTTGTAAATACATCTATATCTGGTCTAAATTTTGGTAATCTATATCCTTCAGGTAAATCTCCAGCTCTATTAGATCTTATCATAGGACTTTTATATAGCCGTTTAATACGTTCATTACTTAATCCAGCATATTGAAAAAATTGAAATTCCGCTACTTGGATTATGGAAAAAACGTAATTTGAAACCTCATTATCTTTCATGAATGGTAGTATGCTTTTAAAAACATTTCTGAATGTATTAATATTTGGACTTCTCCACCATTTGCATAGATATTGAAGTTTAACTTCCGTATTCTTTAAGGGGAGTTTCGATATATCAAAATTCTCAAGTAAAAATAGTTCAAATGTAGCTGATAGTACAGTTAAATAATTTATGAAATGAGGCTTAAGTCCAATGCAACTATTTCTTAAAAAATCTTCATTATCAATCGGAATATTTTGATTACAACCATAAGACTGAAGATTTTTCATCAAATTATCTTCAATAGGTAATAATTTAGGATTAAAGCTAAGTGAAGCATACAACGGATTTGGACAATGCCTTTGTGAATGAATAAACTCTAAAGAAGCTATACGATTATCAGGATTAACCACGAAGTTAGAGTCGTGATTAATTTCAAACTGAGAACACATCTCAATAAATAATTTAGAAGTGAGATGCTTTTCTTTAGGATCCTTTATTATATAAGGACGAGAATCTGTATCTGATAAATCTAAAAAGCACTTTGCCAAATTATCTCCATAGTCAGTAGCTGAAAATGGATTTCCACTTTGTTTCGTTTCAATGAATACTTTGCATAATAAAGTAATAGGGAACTGACTTTCATTTGCTTTAGGAAACCAATAAGATATAAATGCTTGTGCAAAACCACTGAAACAAAGCAAATAATTTAATTCCCAAAATGATACGAGAGTGCAATCTTCAATTGCCCAAATATCTTGTAAAACTGGATGTTTACCTAAAATAAGATAATCAGCTTTTTCTAAATATCTCATTACGGGAGTAATATTTAATACTCTGCAAAAACCAATTTCTAAATTATATAAACAACGAATTAAGACATCTTTATTAGAAAGAATTGCTTCATTTTGGGATATTTGATAAACAACTTCTTGGCATATCTGATGAGCTAATACATTTATTGAATCTTCATCAACAATATCAACTATAACTAAATCATTATTATTAATTAATTTTTGAATATATTCACTACAAACCTTTATGATTGTATTTTCAGATGGTTTGAAAATATTGGATATTACAGTATTAGAAGGAATCTCTCTAGGGTTTATGATAACAAAATTATTGAAATGATGATGTTCAATGATTCGCATTATTATAATAGTTAGTACATCTGTAGGAACAAACCATAAATCTATACTCTGATAAATTAACTCATTAACTTCTTTTCCTGTTTTACAACTCTTTATTTTTTCCCAAATATTATGCTGTAAAGGTAACAAGGGTGTTACTCCCAAGTATTCAAGTACTTGGAAATAAACATCATATAAAGACTTTTCAATATTTAGAATTGGAGGATTTGCATCTAACTTTTTGGGTACATCTTGAGGTGGAGGAATTATTTCGTCTTGAATAACTATATCTAAAGACGGTTGTATATTTTGTAACCTCTCAATATATTCCTTTGCATTTGCTAGTACTACTTCCAAATAGTCATTTACTGCAACCTTACATAATAGTTCAGCAGCTGTTTTAAAAACTCTTCTATTTTCTATTGGAATTTCTGAATTTTTCATGAAAAATTGGATTTCATCACCTACTAAAAATCCAGATCTGACTTGAGAATTTAAATACATCATTATAGTTAAGCAACCCTCTTCAAATTGACTTAATGCAAAATTTGGCACAGCCTGGTATAATACATAAGTAGGTATTGTTGATGGTAAATTAATGACAGTATATTGACTGATATCTTCGAACTTTTTTTTGGCTTCTAATACAGCTTGCCATGCTAGTAAAAACTGGCTTTCTGGACCTAAAGTTTTAACTAAACCTGAAAGTTCTTTTCCTGATGCTAACTCCAAGATATTTTTACCAGTAATTTTCCTTGAAGCTAATGCTGACGGTATATCGTTCGATTTCTTATCTTTAATAGCTATTTCAGCATCAGACTTTTTGGGTTCAATTGATCTGTAAATTTGTCTGGGTCTTGCTATTATTCTTTTCTGTCTCTGAATGTTCTCCATAGTTTGAGGTTTGGTACTAATAGAAGGAACAGTTTTCGTCTGACGCGGATGCATTGTAACTAATTTCCTTTTCTCTATAGGTTTTGGATTTGGGTCTAGTATAACATACTTTGAATATTCTCCAGTCCCTGGAGCTGATAATAATTTCAAAAGTGAAGGATTCTGTTGCAAATCTTTAGAATCAGCTTGATCCAAAGTATCTTTTGTATATTTATTCACTATTTCAATAGCAATTTTATCAGTAAAAATATTTGGTATTCCCCAGCTTCTTAAAAAATCTGCATATTTCTCTAATGCTGGGATATCTAAAATATCAGTACCATATAATAGTAAACAGTATTGAATCTCATTTGCTACTCTATATCCTAAAATTTTCTTGTTTTGTTTTGTTATATCTCCTGTTAAAACTGCATCTTCATCTATCAGCACAGGACTATATGAATCACTCTCTATTCTTGATAAGAGACGTTCACAGGCACTTAATATTTCTACTGAAACATACATTTCACGTGCTTCTTTATATTTATATATTGGAGATAGAATTCCATCTCTTTCCATACGTTTAATTTCCCTATCAGCTAAATCCCATACTTCCTTTTTACTTTTATCTCCAAATATACTCATGGGTCGAGAAAATATTGTTCTTGCTAGATTACTAGATTCAATATCATATTTAGCCGATAAAGTAAAGGGAATTATCAGATATACTGTGATGATTAAAGTTACCAAGTTTTTTTCAGTGGTTTTTATACCACAGAAAATTTTCATCGGTACACAAGAAGTTTGTATAGAACTTAAATATATATTAACTCTTTTAATAAAAATCCCCTTATAATTTTCAAAAACTTCGTTAATCTGTTCTATAGAAATAATTTTAATATATTACACCTGAGTTTAAAAAAGAAGTCTTCCAGTAAAATATTACTACATTAATGGGTCGGGTAACCGTCTTCTGATTTCAATAATATTCAGCTAGCTCTTTTTGTTAAATCAAATAAAACAATATATTGCGTATATTGAGTTATAATGCAACTGTCTAGTTCATTAAAATTATAATAATTTTTTTTTTTATGATTCTAGATAATCTTAGTTAAGTTTTGGATCATGCATCCCATGATAGCGCCAATATATACTAATCTAAAAATTGTTTGGCGGTATTTATCGCATGCAGATATAGTGGACTTTGGTAATTTTTTGGTTTTTTGAAGTAGGTATATTAATTGATATACTATAGCTCTCATTTTGAGTCTAAATGTTAAACAGAAGAAATTGTATGATGATACAAATCTTTAGAATTGTAGGAAATTGAGTTGATTATCTAATGAAGAATCAGAGTTTTTGTGCAAACAAGTTTGCATCCCTCATTTACACTTTTATACTTTTAAATATATATATAAAATCAGATAGAATTGTATATGGATCTAATATAAACGAGAATAGTCAACCTAGTTCAAATAATTGGAAGCAGGAGTTGCTTATTAGAACCACGTGTGGTCCAGATGGTAAGGGATTTTCTAACAATAAGTCTTTTGTAGAGAGCAAGTTGAAAATTTTTGCAAATGATGAGTTTAATAAGCTGGTAAGCTTAGATAAGCTTCCAATTATATATACTGGAAAGAATATTTCTATGATGCGTAAAGCATTCAGACTTGGAGAAATTTTGAAGGCACCATTACGTTTAAGAGAGAGAATAACACAGGATCCTGAATCAATTCCTATAATTGAAGATGATTATCTCTTAATATCACATATTCCTGAAGAAAGAGTTAACAATAGAATGGAAGTAGTTTATAATAGGGTAGCTAATGAAATCCGCTATACGGTATTGCTCTGTGGTGGTGAATTGATTTCGATAACCCCAACTATAAAGTATATAATGCAACTTAAGTCTGTAGGTAATGATTTGAGTGGAGATCCAATAATATTAGAGTCTCTAAAAATTTATAACAAGGAAAAGGCAAGATATAGAAGGAAAATGGCAGAATTAAGTACAAGATATCTATCTATATTGCCATATGCAAATGAAATTTATTTTGGTTCTAAAAATATTAGACCAAGAGGAAGATTGATAGGTATACCAAAATTAGTACAAAATGAAATTGAATTAACTAAAGACGATTTTTCAATAGGGTCTGTATCAGATGAAAATGAAATTGGAGGAGCCATAATTGGTCGTAATATAAGAGCAAAAGAGAAATATTTTGATAATAACTTCGAGCATGATAATTTTAGTTTATTAGAAGATCTGGAGAAATTCTCTAGTATCTTCGAACTAGATACTCCTAAAGCGCTATTTTCTATTGGAGATAAGCAAGATTTACCAGTTATGTTAACTCCAATAGCAGATGTAATATCAACAAAAAATAGTAGAAGTGTAATTCCTCATAGTATAACAAGAGCAGCTATAAATAAGGAAACTGTCATTAGCCGTATTCGAGGAGACTTGGAAAAAATTAAACAAGAAAATAAAGAAGAACTAGGAAGTTCGATAATTTCAGAAACTGAAAAATCTGAGGATGAATTACTAGATATATATGATAATGATTCATATGACTCAAAGAGTATTTTGATTCGTCGAAGAATCCGGCCAAATGATTCTCTATTTACTGATATTAATGAGGAAGTTTATGTAGATTCGAAGACTTCAAGTGAGTTACAAATTCCTTTGGTTAAAGGTTTTCCTATTTGGGAAGAAATCCCTGAATTTCTTACTAACATAATTGATAAGATACAAAATAAAGATTTTCTTGATAAAGTAAGATCGTTGGATGAAAAAGATAAAGTACTTAGAGAAGCAATAGTCAAATTTCCTGTTTATCTTTCTCAAACAAAAATTCTACGTTTGGAGTATCAATTATTTTTTTTCTGGGAATCTCTTAGACTTTCTAATATATTGATGGATCAGAAATATGATTCTTGTTTAGCTAATTTTCCCGATAGAAATAATGTACCAAATTTGGACATTCTCCCTTCTCAAATACCTAGAACTGATAAGTCAATAGCTGAGTCTTGTTTTATACTTCTTAAGTTCTTTAAAAATAAGAAGATACCTTTGAAGTTTCGGGTACTAAAAAAGATAAAGGTAGATTCTAATGCGGCAAAAACTTCATATAAAGTTCAGTTTTTAAGTCCGACTAAATTAGAAGAAAAAAAAGAGTACTATAACAAAGCCAAAATCTTATGTTTTGACATTTTCCCAAATATACTAAGATATGTTATACATTTTGTGTTTAATGATGTTATTGAAGAACGACAGTCTAATTACTTTAAATATATTGAGAAGGTAAAGGATCAATTGAAACATGAAAATGAATTGGCTTTACAAAAAAAATATAAGACAGAATTAGAAAAAAGAAAATTGATCACTCCTATAAATATATCTAATCGTATGGAAAGATATGAAAATGCTTGGAGGAGAAGTATTGGATCTTTAGGTTTGGTACCTTTAGCTACTGTTCCAAAAAATATTCTTGAGAAGATCCATAATACAATTAGGTTTGGTCCTTTAATTATTAAACGAAAATTTAATAGAAAACTAACTCCAGAAGAAGTTAGAACTTCAATAGGGAAGACTATTATTAAAATTATTGACGAATATTATTCATCGATTCAAGCTGATTATTTTTTCCTTCCTATAGATATGCTCCAAAACTTTACAATACATATTACTAAGACTTTATTAGAAGTTCCTGTTGATAAATTGTTAGATTCCATGGTAATTAAACCAACTTTATTATTGGATATGCATATAGATAAATTAACAGATCTTAGTATATTTGATCTATGTGCAAAGCTACTAATTGATATAATTTCTTACCATAAAGTCCAAGCCAATGTATCAATTTTAGATAAGAAAAATAGTGAATATATTAATTTATTAGACAGTAAATATTCGGAAATCTGTACTATAGTGTCAAAGTATTTGTCAGCTAATTTATACAATAGAAAATTATGTCGATACCCACAATCAAGTAATTTTTTGTCTGAATATAATAAGCAGGTCCAGATAACTTTTATTCATCAAATACTAACTGATGGTTCTAGTATATTGCCTGTGCAATTTGGACTTCAAATTTACCAGTCATCTTACTTAGATATCTTTAAAAGAGTTTGTGAAATGCATGGACTTTTAGTTACATTTTTAGATATAAATCTTGGGCAAAAAGAATCCCCAATTTTGAATATGATGGCTGATAAAACTCAAATGGAACTTACTAATGAAACGATAAATTTCCACGAAGTTGTAGATAGCATTATGAGATCCATATATATTTATATAGTTGGGAAAAGTGTGAACCAAGAACGGATAGTATTTTTCAATGAAGAAATTATGGCTAAATTCTTACTAAATTACCTAGAAGTAAATAAATATAATGTACCAGATGATGTAAATAGAGTTCAATCTTTTTATATTAGTTATAAGTATCCTTGGGGAACACAGTTTGATGAAGCCCTGATATTGTGGTGTAAAAGCTTTATTACTGCTCTTGCCTCTTTACAACTTATATCAGACGAAAATAATATAGTATATAATATTACAAATATAGATACTGTTATAAATTCAATGTGTTCACTTGAAATGATTCAACCAATGAGAAATCACATTGAATATGAAGCTGATGAGTTATTAAGGCGGACATTTGCTTATCATTTAGGGATTGCATCTGTTTACTGGATATACAAGAAACCAATTCCCTTATGGTCTTTTTATGATCAATGGAGCTCAAGATTTGAGCTTGAAACTAATATTTTACTTTCAGAAGAACCAGAAATTAGTCTATCCACTTTCATTCTACTTAAGGGAATAGCTGATGAAGAATATCCTAAACTTAGTGAGCCTAAACTGAAGATAAGATCAAAACCGGAAGTTAATATAAGTTTAAAAAAAGAAAATTCCGTAAAGTCTAAGGAGCAAATTCAAGAAGATATATGGATTAATACTCCAATTAAATCCTTACAAAATGGCCAATATAGTCTTGGATATTTTCTCTTTCCAAATACAATTCCTGTAGAAGTTATGAATAAGATGTCTTCGAATGATACATTAGCATTCACAGGACCTCATGAAATCACTTGGGTTGGAGCTAGTGAAAATGAATTTCAAGACATGTGCTTGGGTGCTCTAAAAAATTTAGAGATTTATATGAAGGATAAACTTCCCTTTAGATCATCTTTAAATGAGTATACTAATATATGGCTAACAGATGATATTAGTACAAGAGATTTACTTTGCAGAGATATAGCAGGACGCTATTTCTATCCTAGATCCATAATGAATTGTGATGAAGCTGTTATGGAAGGAGCACTTATATCTCAAAAGTTATCTGTAGATAAAGAACGTTTAAAAAGAGGTCAGTGGCTTGCTGTTCGTGAAATCTCTATCAGAAGAAATATTCTAGCTTCCACAAATAATTTGAATGTGCCTACAAATCCTAAGGAGTATCCATTTGTAAATTTTCTACCTCTTAGCAGTTCAGTTGTGAATTTTATTGAATCCGATGAATTCAGACAACCTGGAGGATTCTTAAGAAATTGCAGAGCTGCTCTAGATACTGCTAGGACATTACCTAAAGAAAGTCCCTACTCTCTAAAGTTATTAGATGAATCAGAAGAAACACTGTTATCTATTTGTACAGATGCAATGAATTTATATTACACCTCATCTTCTCCAATGTCATGGGATGAACAGCAAACTATTTTCAATCCGTTAAACAGAGAAAATAGCTATTATATGTCTAGATTTGCTCTAGGACAGTTTAGAGCACTCGTTGACGAAATAAAAGCGAGGAACTTATTTGTAGATCCTTCCATTAGGATTTCTGATCATTTTCATTTACTTAACCCTATAATTGAAGGGCTACAAACATCTGACAGCGAAGCAAAATTTGTTCAGGCTTGTTTTTACTTCCTCAGAAATTGTGTATCAAAAAATTATATCTTTTTAAATATGGGTTACGATATAACAAATAGTGATAAATTATTTAATCAAGTCTGTCAATTTGCTTCATATAGGTATTTCTCAACTTCCAAGCCTATTTCTCAATCTGAAGCCCTAAATCTAAAAGAACAAGGTGTAGATTTGGATAATCCATGGATTAGGAGAAGAATTAAAACAGCTCAATGGTTAATAATTCACCAGGTATTCCAAATAAAGGCAAAGAAATATCCAGGTGGCTATGAAGTATTTATAAGAGAAGTATTTGATTTACCTAAATACATGCAGCTAGGAGAGTTTGATACTAGTGAAAAGCAATTACCAATTATAGAAGATTGCATGAATGCAATTATGTTTATTCTTAAGCAAAATAGCAAGAATGTTCATAAATTTAATAGATATATAGGGATGCCCAAACCGTTTTGTGAAAAAGTAGCTACTAAATATGGAGATACTTCTAAATATTAGATTATTTTTCTGTAAATTATATTTTTAATTTAATTAGACTCCAAAGAGTTTTGTTTTGCAAAAGGGAGAGATTTTGTTTTATTTATTAGTCTGAAATATAGTGTCAATCAAATAATGCAATGTCAAAAATACAGCTAGAGAATTTTTCAATATTTTCTTTTTATTTTCTTAGGAAGAATAATAGAGGTTATATATATTAGTATATTTATAGAAAATATTAGTAATGGTTTACTCCCTATAATAAACTAGTTTAAAATATGATTATAAACAATTTGGTAATTAATAGATCCAATTCTGTTATCGCATGTACATCTTGGCGCTGTACAAATATCAGCCTTTTTGATGCACAGAATACAAGCTTTATGGCCTGAATAATATCCTTTTAATGTCTAGACATGTTTCTAGAAAAGAACAATTTATGGCTACTTATAAATTTTACTAAATTTTTATTCTATTCATTCATTCTTGTAGCCTACTCTAACTGTTTTGATGGGAAGAAACTACCTCCATCTCTACAACTACTTGATGAGGGTAATGTATACTATTGGGACGTATTAAAGGACTATGTTGAGTACTTTAATAGCGAAATTGAGAATATTCGTCAGAATTACCCATATTTGGAGTATCATATAAAAAAGGGTCAGTGGTTTAGCATAGTAGATGTGTTAGAGTGTGAATATAATGATGAGGAGATGTATGATACAATACCAGCAAGAATTAAGATTAGTGATTTGTCACAAAATATTAATCTAATACGGGATTTGTGGAAAGAAAATCAATTCATCGCAGTCTCCCTAAATCGTATTGAATTTACTCAGCATTGCTTGGGAGCACTACAAAAACTGATACATCATCCAAATGTTATAATCCAAGGCCATGATCCAATACGTCTAAAAAGTATTTGTAATGATGCTTCAGATAGATTCTTTACTCCTGCTATTCTTTTTGATGAGATAGATTCTCTGATAAGTAAAGATAATTATAGATATTCCATAGCTACACTTAAATGCATCGATCAGGAACGTATAAGATATGGTCAGTGGTCAGCTATAGTTCATCTCCACGCACTAGACTCAGAAGATGGTCGTGATAGAGTATTTGGAGACTTAAAAGATAGTTTCTATCCAGTATCTCAAAATTTTCAAAATACAAAATCAAGTTCATTACCATACTTTCCTCCACCTGAGTTTAGTAGAGGAGTGGAACATGATAATTTTGTAGATAGTTGTATGAATGCCCTGTTAAATCTGTATACAAGACAGGAAGACCCAAATATCTTGCTGAAACTATATTGTGATGATGCAAAGAAAGTATACTTTAGCAATACTCATGATTTAGTAGAAAAATTAGATGTATATGGAATGGGTGAAATTGATCCTATAAGTGTATCAGAGCTAAGGCATAAGGTAGGACAGCTTACTCTACCTTCTACGCTACTCCTAAATATATTTGACTACAGATTAGTTAGAATTGGCCAATGGCAAAAAATAGCGCAACAAATAGTAAAGGATCACAATTCTGTACCCCCTTATGATAGAGTTCGTGGTATTATATATAGTGATCCCCGAAATTATGGTTATAATGCTGGATTGACATTTGAAGAAATGATACAAAATTGTGAGTATACCTTAAGAAAAAAAGTTATGGACCAAAATAAAAAAGGTCAATTTATAGATGGGAAAACTGAAAAAGCTTCAATGTCAATGGATACAGATGAAGAATGGGAATGGGCATCAGTAATAGAGCTGGTAGAAGTAGAATCATTTTGTAAAGATGCAGCAGGAGCTTATTTTGATTTAGGTAAAGAGTATTATTCTATACCTCGTCAAATGCCACTTATTCCTTCCCGATTAGAATTTGATCCAGGATTTGGTCTTACTGAATCTTACATTCCACCTCAAAATCTAGATCTTAATCGTCAAAGATCAGCTTTAGACTCTTCCAAAATAAATAACTTAGACTGGCGTATTGAAGCCTCTAGTATTCTTTGGAATACTATGGATAACTTAAGACTATCAACACAACTCGAGAATTTAGTGACAAATATACAATGGAAGAAGATTATTCAGCAAGCTAAAAGTTTTGTTTTTTTTGAGATTGGTATAGATAACTTTTATAATACTGATATAAAACCACCAAGAAGTATTTTTCATTATTCCAATGATCCCATAGAAATGTATAATCAGTGTTTACATGCTTTTTCTGAGGCTAGAAGAACACTTTACCATAGAAAATTTCGACGTCAGTCTAATTTAAGTATAGAATCTCTTCTAGCTTTAGGATATATTATGGATTCAGTAGACGAATCACAAACTAATAGTTATAAATGGGTTATCTCTTCTTCAATAGCACAAGGTCTACAAGATAAGGGTATCACAAGTAATAATATTGAGGAATATCCGGAATTCATTAATCCTGTAAAGCAGTCAATGTGTATGGAAAGTGCTAAAGAATACTTTGAAGACGCAGAATCTTGTCCATTTGTCCAAGATGAAATATCTAAATATAAATTCCAAGCTCAGTCTGTATTTCCTCATAATCCAGTACCTAATGCTGATGACCCAAAATTAGCAGATCCTAGTGGTGATTTAGAAGCAGAAGACCAATGGAACTTTTTGTATGATTACTCAGTTTATATTAGGAATAAAAATGATGAAAATATAAATATTATTCTTATTCCCCAAAAAATGCCATTGTCATTCATAGATTTCAGACATTCACTTTGGAGGCCTCCTCATGAGTGCCTACAGGATATGGTAATAAATTGTATTCAAGCATCCTGGCCAATTGTAGAAGCTAACTGGCGTAAACAGAAAGTTCAAACAGATTTGGCTACAGCATTAGCTATATTTTGTGATTCGGCATCTTTGGAATATTTTGAACGTAAAAGGCAGTGGAGGCAACTAATAAATCTTATCATGAAATCACAAAAATATGCTGGACATTTTACATGGCTTAGAAGAGGTTTTTACATGCCTCGAAAATTTGAGATGCTTAAAATACCATTACTCACAACAGGAAAAGAAGGCCCTGTTTCAAATGAGGCAATCCAAAGATATTCAGAAATTCTTGATATAACATTTTCTGAACTTGTATATATGAGGTATTTAGCTCCTTTTACTACTAACCTCTATAAATTAACTAAATTGATTGCTTGTGATATGTCACAAATTTCTACAAGAGGCTCTTGGATAGGACTTATTCCTGTAGATGCTGAAGTTTTAAGATATACAGAAACAATATTAGCTATGGGGAGAATGGAATCTAGGAATCTTTTGGAATCTAAAGCAATTGGTTTTCAACCTTTACGAGGAGCATTTGATCCAAGATTTAAACTATCTCATCGGACTAAAGTAAAAGAGCCTGTTTCTTTTAGACGAAATCAAGATGATCTTCAAAGCTTATCAATGTCAAAACTAAGACCTCCTCAGAAAACCACAGTATCACCAAGAGTTCGATTAATGCAATATAAGGAAATAGTTGAAAAGGATCAAGATGATTTACCTTTCCAATATCCATTACCAGATGAAGTGAAAGTTGATTGGAGGAAGTATAAGGGAGGTTTTGTAGATACTTTAGATCTACAGAATATGCCTAATAAGAAAGTAATTCATGATTTTATAAATGTTGACTGGCTAAGACCTAAAAATATAGATATTATTTCTAGTGATTTAAAAGGGAGTAAGAGATTACAATTAAAAGCTATTCAAATTCCCCGAAGAAGACCATTTTACGATAATAATAAAGGGGCCATATTTTATGATACTCCTAGCACCCCAATTACTGGGCGTGGAATTGAGCCTAGAGGCAGATATCCTGAGCCTCCTGGAAGATTTCCTGTGGTAGATGGAACATTACATACAGGATATAGAGTAACTGAACGATACAGAGAACCTTACGAAATACCTAATAAGATATTACCTCCAGATCCAGCCTTAAAAAGTGAAAATTTTATTCCAATGCCAGAGTTGCCTATTGTTAAGAGGAAAAGTCTAAAGGAACTTCGGGAACTCGCTAAATCAATGGATTTACAAACTGAAGAAGATATAAAACTTGAAATACCAGCTATAAAAAAATATCTATCACAAAAAGTAGTGAAAAAGGGAGAGAAATATGACGATATTGAAGTAGATGATATATATGGAATTACTACCAGGAATAGAAAGAATCTCTTATCGGGCAAAATAACCTCAGAAATTATTCACAATATCATCAAAGCAGCAGAGTACTATAAAATAAAAGCAGATTGCATTCCTCAATATGGTTATACATTGGGAGAAACGATTAATAGAGAAGAAGATGCTATGAGAGGAGCAAGATTTGTTTATAGATGTCTTAGAATGGATAATCATTTTATTACAGCAAAAATGGCATTTAAAATATGGATAAGATCCTTATTTCTCAGAAGAAATTTCCATCATTCTACTCTACCAGGTTATAGAGTTAATATGAAACCCTACATCAAGAGAAGGTCTAAATATGATGATCAGACATACTGCCCTGGAAAGAATCAAGATAAGCTAGATGCTATTACAGATTCCTTAGCCACTGCAGCTTATTCTAATTATATAACAAATATCAAAGATATAAATAAATTATGTTTTATAGCAGAAGATTTTTTATATAAAAGAATTAAGACAATTTCAAATTGTGTTAGTTCCTTTAAGAAAAATTATATAGATGATACCAAACAACCTTATTTCGATCTTTCTAAAGCCACTCTAGTATGCTCTCAATTTGAAAATGAATGGGGGACTCCAGTCTATAAGATTGAAAGATTCCCTGATCCTCCAACATAGATTTAATTCTTCTATATATTACTAATTAAATCTAAAAACAAATATACCGCCAAAGTATCAAAAAGGTATCGAATGATACTGGCGCCAAATATTTAGATGGTCATTTTTAGAGTAAAATAAGACAATATAATATATAACATGGTCTAGAATAAAATAAAAAAAAAAAATAAAATGTCGAAATGGATAGAATAAAATATTTGGCAAATTTGATAGTTGGGAGAGAGGATATTCCAGACAGGAGGGATAGAATAGCATTGTGTGCAGTGGAATTTACTAAGTGTTCTGACTTCTTTAGTTTAAAGTCTATATTCTATAAACTACTTATTAGAAAGTTTTTTCCATTAGAAAATCAGGTCCAGACCCCATTAGAAGAATTTCCAGCTAACCTTATAGGGTATTTACCAATGAATGCACTAGAAAGATGTACTGCTCATATATTAAAAAAGTATCCTCCTCCTGAGGGAATTGATTTGGATACAATAATGCCGATAGTATCTTCAGAAGAGCTTTGTAATATTTTTCAAAGTGAGTGCAAACTAATATTACAACCTAGAGGGATAAAGAGAGATTCACAAGGTGGAATTTTGTCAAATGAAGATTCAACAACTAACGAGTGGTGGATAAGAACCTATGATTTTCTATGTAGACAAAATCAAACTTATAGACAACGTCTCTCTGTTTTACTACGCTCTGCAATTAATAAATTAGTTATATTAGCTGTCTTAGCTACAGATACATACTACTTTCACCAAAGAGCTCGCGAACAAATGATAACTTTTGTACTTGAACACTTTTTTGGGGGAAATAAAATAGTAATAATACGTTATCATGATCATTGTGAAAGAGTTGTAAATGACCGTGTTAGGCATCTTAGGGATACGATTGTTCGTTCTGATGAATCTTCCTCTCCTAGACTAAATTTAAGTACCTCCAAAAGAAGTACTAATCAAAATGAACTAAATATTATTATCAGCAAAGCTCGGAAAGAATTTGAAACACAATTGCAGACTATTTCAGCTTATTGGGAACTAAATAATTCTAAATTTGATATAATGCAAGATAAGGTCACTGAGAAGTTTAATGAAGGCAATCAAGAATTATCTACTTTATTTAGCCCAGTAGTTAATGTACTTGATAGAGATTTAAACTCGCTAACTAATCTTCAAATTCTGGATACCTTTACTAAATTATCTTATACAATTCATCCTCCTTCTATAGAGAGAATGATTAATGCTCAGAGTACTTCATATAGTAATATAGAACTTCTATCTATTCTAATAGATGATTTTAATCCCATGAATGAATTCCCAGATAAAAAGTCTGAGTTATTTTTAGATAAAGTTCAACAAGTTTTACTTTTGAAGGAATGGAAACGAAAGATAAAAAGGAGGAAATCTACTACTAGTATAGGAATATCTGCTCCTTTCATTTCTTCAGATATAACTCCTAGTGAGCCTACTATTAATATCTCAATAGCTAGTTTGTTTAGCCTTATTGATGATATTACTTCTGGTCATAAAATAGCTCAAGATTTATGTGGTGAACTATTAAAAAAAATTTAGAGTGTAAGTGAACTAATATTTCTAAATATATTTATATATTTAAATTTTTTATTATATTTCAAACACCTATAGTACAAAGATATTACTACCAAAAAAAAAACTTCATCTTTATTGTAAGTATGACTACTTAATATATCATAAAATTATATATTTTAGGCTAGATTCTTTCTGAAAACTAGGTCTAATAAAAAGGTACCCTTATTTTTTTTTAGAAGAAAATTGTAAATTCATTAGTTAAGTATTTTCCAAAAAACTAATCTTCATAATCTAGAGAAACTAGTTAAAGTAAATATACTATATGTACTACAAAATGGTAGGAAGGTATTTAAATCAGAAAAGTATAAATTATTTTAATACTCCATAAATACTGCACTTTTTTTTCCTAAAGATGCATGTAGGTAGTGGCGCCCAAAATGGGTACCGTGTACTATAGTCTTCAAAAAAAAGTAAGAAAAAAAAAAGGAAATGGATTTTGCGAAGCTAATGGGATAAGTTTATAGAACTATAAAGAAAAGATAAGCAAATTGAGATGAATTTTTTAATAGAAGGTAAACAACTCCTAATTATATTGGTAATTTGTCTATTTCTTATAACAAATATCTGTGCAAACCTAAAGAAGCGTAAATTAAACAATAAAGAAACTCTACCAATTGTTGAGATAGCTCGTTTATCAAGAATTGCAGCAAAGTATGTTTCTGGAGCTCATATTACAGAGATTGTTGATGATCCAGGACCTAGAGCCCGTGCTTGGATCTCTAGTAATTATCAGAGAGCTAAATATAGAAGATTACAATGGAGTTGTATCCTGAAAACTCTCAAAGAACCAATTTTAGGATATAAAGTTGAAATATCGATATTTAATCATAAGAATCCACCTCCTGTACAAACTTTTATGAAGTCAGAAAATCAATTAGAGATGTATCATCAATGTTTAAATGTATTCAATTTTATACATGCTCAAGCAAAAAGTATGATAGTTATTCCAGAAGCTACAAGACCTGTTTTAAAAGTTTTATTGTATTATATATGCTACAAAAGTGTTCAAGACTTTTTTGAGGATAATTGGCCAAGCTCTGTAATGATTCTTCGGGAAATAATTTCTATGGCTATATCACTTTCTAAGACTAATAAAATTGAAAAGCTAAGAATTAATACTTTGATTAGTGAGTTTTCAAAAAGTCCATATAGTCATGAGATAGTTCCTATTAATAAATCTCAGAGATATATGAATATTGATATGGAAGGATATAATATCTGGCAATATGCTTTATATAGAAGTCAAATACTATATTCTAGTGAAATTCCTATACGAATGCAACATCAAGAAGAACTTTCTTATATAGTTATGAGTGGTTCACCGGTTCCTCCAACTGAATTTCTTAGTATGCGTAATTTGCAATTATTATATACAGAATCATTGCAGTTTACAACTGCTTTAATATTTTCTATTATTCTATTAAAAGTTCGTAATACCCTGCCAATAAGGTCATTAGAAGTAAATATATATAATATTAATAAGATGCCGAAGAAATTTGTAAAAATTAATGTATTATTAGCTTTTGCAGCTAGAATTGCTAGAGATTATGTTTACGTAAGAAGTGAATGGTTTGAATTGGTAAATGCACTTTTAGAATTAGATTTGGAAGAAAAACAAAGAGGAAATTCCCCTATATTGAAATGGAATGGTAAAATGAATATGCCATTAAATTTTGAGCCAGATATAGTAGATCCACAACAATTAATTACAAATTGTGTAAGATCTTTGGAACAACTTTCCATACAAGGGACTTTAATAATAAATTCTGTACAATCCAATAGTGGTCCTGAGATTTTGCATAAGTTAGAAAATATTTGTACTAGGGTTCAACATTATCTTTTACCATATTCTAAAGTATATGCTAATTCTCAAGATGAAAATAAACATTTAAAATCTATTCTTAAAAAAGTAAATCCTTTTGATTATGGAGAACCTAAAAAGAAAAATATTAAATTTGCTCCTAATGTTAAAGTGTCATCATATGTTTTGGGTTCTAAACCTTCAGAAATAGATGATTTAGGTTATTTTACTTTGGATACTTCTTTGAAGACTACTATGAAGAGATCAGAATTTGAATCTACAGCTAGATATGAAATTCCAATACTTTATCAAAAGCAAGCAACTAATGAAGATGAAGTTATTTCAGAAATATTTGATAATAAATTTGTGGATACTGAATATCTTTTGGTTGATACACCTTATCCAAAATCTGAATATGAGTTTCAATCTCAAATGATACAAAGTATGCAACTTGAAGAACCTGAATATCAAGAGATAGATAATAATTCAACAAAAGTCAGCAAATCACTAGAATTAAATAATATAAACTTAGATGATAAGGTTAAGGTTCAAGACTTGACAGATGACTCTAATTTTACTAATGAAATGAATAGTTTAGATAATTGGATATTAGATTAAGTTAGAGTTATAATAATTTATATATGTTGGAGGTATCATCTATATACAACTTTTTAAAATATAAATTTAAGATGGTAAAGTTCGATTATTAGATTATAAAGTGCAAAGCCTATGGTCCAACACTGATAATAAAAATATTTTATAAATTCAATACCCCAATAGCAGTATTGGATATTAAAGAGAATTGAATTGAAAATATATTGAGATCATCATTTCGTTACAAAATTCATCTTAATCTAACAATGTTAGACAGGAGCTGCATCTATATTGATAATATTCAATGTCTCGTATAAATACCAAAAAACTTAATGATTTTAGTAATGATATATGATGTATTTAATATATTCTCACAATTCTCTTGTTAACCTGTTAACCTTTGAAATTTATCAATAGTTTATACCCTACTATCCTGAACCTCAGCAAAAATCTAACAATATTTCTTTAGGTATACAAATCAAAATATTAAACTACAATTGATCTAGAATATGAAGGTAAAGGTGTAGATATAGGGATATCTGAAAGTGTAATATCAGGCATAATCCATGGCCCTAATGCCTTAACACATATGAGCTTGATTTCAGCATCTGTTGCTAAGAATACAGGTATAGATTTCATTAACTCAACAAAGCATCTTTCAGCTGGTCCATTTGGAATTTTTCCTTTAGTAAATTCATATATCATTTTGAGTACATCATCTATACTAAATCCACCAGGCATGAGAGATTGAAGATGACCATAAAGTACTGCAGCTCTCAAAGGTGTTGATAAATACGAAAAAGATCTATGACGACTACGAGATGGAGCCTTTTTACCAAAAGTATATATTGTAAGTCTAAGAGCTGCAGAATTTGTCCCTGCATCATAATTTATTGGGTTGTCTGCATCTTTAAGTACATTACTTATTGTTTCATCAATATTTACTCTTGCTATACGCCCTCTGGCTATACAAGCTGCCATTTTGCCGCATGTTTCATCAATGTTTATTGGAAGCTTATCACCCAAAACCTTGATAACTGATGATAATGCTTTGCGACAATTTTCAGGATCTACACTTCTTGTACTAAATGATAAAGCTGATGGAGCTGCAGAGGCTATTGCAAAAACAATACGAGGCCATACATATTGAATCAAGCTTGAATAATTCATTGGGGATACAATAGATGATAAATATAGACATACTGCAGGTCTGGTTACACCTGGTGGGATATGTTTTTCAATAATAAAGGTACCTACAAACCAATCTGCAATTCTAGCTAAAATAAGTGTATCAGTAATTGTTTTCACCTGATTAACTGATAAAAATGTACTTTGATCTTTCATAATTTGACTACAGGCCCGAGCTGCATCTGTAATTTGAGTTAATCTAATATCAAATGGGGCCCCTACTCTCATTAAAGCAATTGTACATTCAACAGTTGGAGTTTCACTCTTGCTAGAATATTCCGGAATACCCATCACATCATTCGGAATATCTGAATGAAGTACTTTTATATCATTATCTAGTAATGCTATCATATTCTCCAATTCTAACCACAATCTATAGGCTTGTAAACCTTTTACATTACCTAGTGAACCTGTCATTCTAACCATAGTCTCCCACATATACTCCCTATTTCTATCTTTAACAAAATTTATATATCTATAGGCCTTAGATAAAGCAGATAAAACAGAATTATGAAAATCCTCATTCTCAAGACATAATTGAATATTATTACATAAGGAAGGTAAATCAGATATTCCTACACTTGGAATAACTAGTTCACCTAGAATCATTGAGGATCTCATAGACTCCTCACATCTAGTATCTGATAATATTAAACCTCCCAATCCTGCCAGTATTATGGAAACTGATTCTTCTGCAGAACGTTGAATATCCATACGTTTTGCAACTCTACGTATCATTATTGCTGTTTCAACATATAAAATATCTGGAAGAAAAAAGGAATTCTGCAAATTTACCACATCAATACTTTCACCATGTGTTACAGGATGACATAATTCCAAACCAGTAGCATTATCTAGAGATATTGAAGGTGACTTTTTAGAGCTTTTATTATCTTGTTTTGATTGAGTATTTGATACTGAAGACACAATAAAAGATGAAATTGGGGAATTAGATCTCTCTACTTGAGGTTGTTCTGAAGGTATTATTTGATTTTCCTGATTATTTTCAGTAGAGTTATACTTAACTTCCTGTGTAGTGTATTTTTGAGAAGTCTCAATAAATTTATTATTATAATCATATTCAGATACTTGATCTTCTTGTTCGGAATATTGAGATAAAAATTTATCTAGACTTTGTTTAGTATATACAATTGAAATGGTGATTTTTCCTGAAAATTGTATATTTTCTGAAGAATTTAATAAAATTGTTAACCGATCTATTAAGCACTTTTCACATGAGGTTTTAAACGATGATAAAACTCTACCAGGAGTTTCTAAACTAGAACTCTTGGGTAAAATAGTTATAGCTAGATTCATTGCATTGTCAACCTTTTCTATCTGAAATCCAGCAGTTAATATTTCATTATAGTGACTATACTCATCAATATTAATTACACATAAAGTCCAAGAATCTTCAATCCACTTTTGAACTGAAATATGGTATTCTAGTCCCATTAAATTAACTTCATTACTTTCGTTACTATTAGTCTGTAAAATATTAAAACACAATAACCAAATGTAAATAGTCAGTAGTATACCTTTTATTGGATTCATACTATTTGGCTACAAAGTTTTGTTCAAATACTTAAAACCCATATATTAAACTTAATTAAGCATGAAATTTATTTGATACAATCCTATTATTACAAAATATGCTCTTTAACTTCCTATCTATTATTGAATTAATACTTTCTTACTGTACTCCAACACTTCTTGTCCCTCAGGACGGATTGGCGGGACCCATCCCTTATATTTCCAGTACCCTGTATTATCTACAAGTTAATTAATTTTACATGTAATCTAATATATCAATAATATAGAAAATGTTATGGTTTGTAGTTTTTGTATTTCAATATTAGCTAACTTTCCATTATTTTGAGTGTTATTTACTACTGTTATTGATAATTGTGGATATTGCACTAAGTCTGAACTAAACAATATAGAACCCAATATTATGAATTTTAAGATCTACGAATACTTACATCTATATAATATATAATATAACTTAAGACCTTTTTTAAAGATCAATTCTATAAAGCAGAAATGTATTCTCAATATAAGTTTCGGAAGTAGTCACAATAATAATTTTTAACGCAAGCGCTATAAACATCAGCGTGGCATCAATAATAAAGTTATAGATTAAGACAACAATGAAGAGATTAGAAGAAATTACATCAATCATATTAAATAGGCTAATTTTGATTTTTTTATAATAATTTGAACTACCTATTTTATTTAATAATACAATTTTATCGTATGACTATATGTTAGAAACTTTGTTAGGAGGCGGAATTGTCGAGTAGTCAAAATTTACAATTACACTTTCTTCAAAAGGGAAATAATAAAATATGAATTAATCTTTGTAATTTACACTATATGTTGAGTAGCTTAATCTTTCAATAATTACCAATGAACCATATACAGTTTACTAGCTTCTAATAGTATATGTAAATCAATAACTATAAGTGGATATAATGCTCCAAATTCTGAAATTCATAATACTGAAGGTACAAGGAATCCATTATTAAATATTAGCTTGCTTCCATTAGAATTCATGATAAGTTTAGTTCTGTAATGGTTCTCTATACAACTATTTTTGTCAGGCATGTAAAATCCATGCTCTTTGTTTATTGAACTAATATTAACCCGTGAACCCCTTGAAGATTTAGCTTGAATTTTTTTAGTTTCATCATCCCGAATATCACCAATGACTATAGGTGAAGAACCAGTAAAATGTTGTTGGTTTAAAGTATTTGGGCCTACTTTATATTCAGATGAGTATACATCACTTATAGATTTGTCATTATCTGAATTTCCATAATCTATTAAATCTAGTTTTAATCTAGCACAACCAGGTCTTCTAGTATATATATTTACACACTTTCCAATATTAGGATCAAAAATTATACTTTTTTTCAAGCTTGCAGAATTGTTCATTCTCGTTTCTTCATGTGCATAATGTCTTTTTCCAGAAGGACTATGCTTATTGGTAACAGATAATTTGTCTTGAAAAATTTCATATGTATGACTTGAAGATGATTGACTATTTTTATATCTCATCTTTTTTCCAGTTGGGCTTTGTATTGTAGGAGTATCTCTAATTTCACTATAAGATAAAACTTCTTTAATTTCCGAAGAGGATGAGGGTGATATATAGGCCCTCCTAAAATAAGTATCCATTAAATTAACTAGAAAATCGCCAAAATATAGATTGTTTTTAAATTAAGTTTAGTTTAATAAAACACTAATAACACTAATTATGACATGATTCTAGAAAGTACCGTTACGTATGTCTACTTCATATTAGTTACAAGAAAGATAATATACTGCACCCTTTTTCACACAGAAGAAAGGTCAGTATAATTAAGATACACAGAATTATATAACACAAAATATTTAGATAAGATAAATTAGTAATCTAAATTTAGTTTTTAGATAATATAGAGGGATATTAATACTAGATGAAGAGAAAAAAAGAAAACAAAATTATAAATATAAATTTAATAATTTGAATATAATCTACTGATTTCAAGAACTTTTTTAGTTTTTTTTAGTTTCTGGATGAGTTAAAGTTCTTGAAACCTGATTAGAAGTATCTAATTCTAGAGATTTATCCTCTATTAATGCAGATGGGATATTGTTTAGGTCTATAAGTGGAGGAGACCCAGATAGTTCTAAAGGAGAACTAGATAGTTCTAGAGGAGACTCTGGTAATTTTATATGGCTTTGTTTACTATATTTATTAGTATTTTGGCTCAGAAGCTCTAAAGAGGAGGATTTAGATTGAGAATCTTGTAATATATCCAGCATAGTTTCTGCTGCACCTAAAGGTACTTTTTTTTTTTTTGAATCTAAATAACTTAAATTGAATTTAGGCCCCTTAAAATCAAGCTTTTGTAGTTCTTTTGATTGGATAATTGGGCTATTTGTAGGTAATTTGATTCTATCAGAAATAACAGATGATATTGACTTTACTAAAACACCTTTTGAATTTATGTCATCTACAAGCTCTTCTGGAATTTTAGATTGAGTACTTATTTCAGAACCAGAATTTTTTTCATATACTTCAAGCATTTCCTTTGTAATAGGGGATAATGGCCTAACCTTTTTTTCATCTAAAAATCCAGGTCTTAATGCTAAATCAGATTTTTGAAATTTCTTCAAATATTGACGGTCAAAGATAAACTTTTTCTTTACATTATCTTTTGAAACTCCTGAAGAATTCATGAGCATATCTAATGAAATATGAGTTGGCCAGTCTTTAAACCATCGTCCTGCAATATCACTACAAAATATTTCTATTGAATCTTGACTATCATATGTCATCTTATATAAAGGATCACCATAATAATTCTTTTTTCTCTTAAGATCATTTATAGCCTGTATACACATCTCAGTTAAAACTGTTATTTTAGATTCTACAGTTTTTTCTGTACTTGTAACTAATTGTTGTTTCATATATATATTTCTCCAGACATCACCTAAGAGTGAACTATCAGAAGGTAGGGTAGGAGCATAAAAAACACCAGGTTTCTTAGCTTCTTTTGCAATAAATGCCCATTGTTCATTGACATTATCTAGTCGATAAACTTGTTGCTTAGCTAAATCTTGAGGGATCATAACATCTCGCTCCATTTCATATTTATCTGATTCCAAACCTTGAGACTTAGGTCCTGTTTTTCGGAACTGTTCAGGAATACCCTTTTCACCATAAATAAGGGTATAAACTGATGTACAAAATGATAGGACATTCTCTTCTCTCTCTTTAGAATTTTCTGCCTTTATTATTACTGAGTGAATGTTTTGGGGTAAATATTCCCAATATTTCCCTGCTGGCTCTGTTATAGAAATACTTCTAACAATGAGTCTATAGGCTATTTCCCTAATACCACGTTGACAGTATCGAATGAATTTTGAATATAGTCCAAATGAAAATCTAAAGCCGTTTGGAATAGAATCAGCTGGTAAATTTTTCACAAATTCAGACCATTTACTAAATGCTGCAATTCGTTCCCATTCCTGCTCTCTACCTAAAGGTAGATCTGTAACTTTTGTAGGTTCAATTTTGATAGTAACATCTGAATTACTTTTTTTATCAAGATTTATCCACTCATTCTTTTCTTGGCTCCAGTATGCTCCATCTAATTCAAATTCTGGCTTGACCCTTTCTTGCTTCTGGATACTCTCGAGGAATTTTACCAAACCATATAAAATCTCATAAGATTTCTCAGATCTAAGGATCTCAAATACAGTCTCCGCATCTTTCTGAAAAATATGCTTAATCAAGTAATTCTTCTTATTAGGTCTGATTAACATATTTCCTTGATTACCAAGAAATATTTGATTAAGTGCAGAATCCGTCAATTTTCTATCTTCACAATTATCCATAAGCTTTTGTAAATATGGTAATGTTGTAGTAGAAGCAACTTTCATTATTTCTTCAAGTGATATATTTAGTACAGATTTTAAGCCTAACTTACATTCTTTCAAATACTGTAAGAATCGCCGACTAGCCAACTCATATGGGTATAAATATTTTGTTAGCAAATTCCTAACAGATGAAATCCAAATTGGGGATTTAAAACGAGTGTTATCTTCTATATATAACCTCCTATCTTTAGTATTACTTGATTGATCTTTGCTTTCTATCTCTTTTATTAAGAAATTATATAATGTATCACCAGTTTCAGCTGTCAAAACATACAAATTTCTAAGAAAAATATCTAATAGACCATTATCATTAGGAATTGCATCCAATAAAAATGGACGTAATGTTTCCTCTCGAAATAGCTGTTTGGCAATTTCAGATGACATAGGAGACAATAAGAGAGTTTCAATTTCCTGTTTCTGATGGCTAGTTGCTTCTGGAAACTGATTCTTGTTTACAAAATTAGGAACAACCTTTTCTACATAATCTATAAATATATTCATTGCATCACATTGTAAGTTCTCAACTACTTCAACTACTGTTTGTAGTGAAATGATAGGTTCCGAACATATAATTAATGAATCAGCTTGATCATCACTAATTACACCACTGGAAATTTTATTTAGAAGATTCAAAATGACCTTAGACAATACCCTAGAAAAATATGCAACATCACTTTTACTGAGAGATGTTTTCGAGAAAAGATCTTGAATATTACCCTCTTGAAAATGAGCATATACGTAAGCTGCTGGAGGTAAACTCTTAATCATTATTTTTAGTTTTTCCAAACTATGAACTCTCGAGAATTCACCTTTTATTGATAGTTCTAGGGCTACACGAATTTCTTCTTGTAAAATTGCAGGAAGGTTTCCTAAATTTTCACTAATTGCATGAATATAACGGCCTCTTCCTTCAATTAATTCTCTTTGAAAATATGATGATAACTTTCTAATATTATTTAAAATCATTGGAGTTAGTGCAACATACTTTTCTGCAGTTTTCTGTAAAAATTCTCCTGTAAACTTCGATAGGTCTGCATTTGAAATTAAGGTTTCCCATTCACTTTTTATCCTAGCTTCATCTGTTCTAATAATATTCTTTCGCTCTGGAGGTTGCATTAGAAGCTTATCAGGACGTCCTCTATGATTTTGAATGAAGTTTTCCAATATACTTGAAGAGCTTCCAAGCTTAAGTAGTCTAAGTGCTACAACTTCGGGATCATCACTATCCAGAGCATTCCTTAATTGTAGTATAGAACCTGGGAAATACTCTCGAAGTATCAGTGGATCTTCTCTAATAGCTTCCAAGTCTAAAAATTTCACAATATGTACAAAATTACGAATTAAAGTTTGCTTTGCAATATACTCTGCCTCTTGTGATGAAGTCATTATATTTTGAGTTGTTAATCCACCACTATTTAGAGGAAGACCTGCTTTAAACACTAAAGGCACAACTTTATTATCCCCATCATCATTTATATATTCTATTTCACCCAACTCTTCAGCTTCTAGTTCTTTTTGAGTAGCCGTACTTAATCTTGGCTGTAAACCATTAAAATATAGTTCAGCTGCATCACTGCAAAATTTATGGCGTATATTCGGATCTTTTGCTATTTTTATACCAAATTTTGTAGCCAATCCCCTTTTGCTCATTTCCATTAGAGCCTCACAGTATTTATCTGCCAATTCTATCTCTTTAATAGCTGGACTAAAAATAGTACCTGCAAATGGATTAATTGGTAAAGATCCTACCACTCGTTTCAAACCTGATTCCATAGAATCATACTCTAATTGTTGGCGTAAGGCAAACCATTGACCAGCTCTTAGACGAATTAGTGTTTGAGAACATGTACTTTCTTTGCAAGATATACCTATTTGGTTAAACTCCTCTACAAACATCGGATTAAAATCATTTTCGTTGTACTCATAACCAAAAAAACTTTCTTTTAGGCTAGCTATATCAGCTGCTAATGCATTCCTCCATATTATACTTAATAAAAAATATATGCAAAATTTCCAAGTGACACCTTTTATAAGGGCCATTTCTTTTCTTCTTTTATTAAAGTATAATTTAGATCTAAAAAGGGACAAAACGAAAAATAGGTTCAACTTTTATTAATTCCCAAGTAATATGCTTCTATTATCCTTCTAACACTCCTATGACCATTCTATATATTATTTGTTTATTATATTTGGTCTTATCTTGCCTAATATTTATTATTTTGGCCTTTCAAACTTCAAGATCTCCAATTTATAGCTATTAATATGTAGCGCCAAATAATTAGCGCCTAAAATGCTGTCAATTTAGATTTAGTTTTGTTGAAATAGAAAGATCATGTGCTAAAAATACAAAATGCGACATCACAAAAATCTAAATAAGCAAAATCTAAGAGGTTTAATATATATATTGTGTAAGTATAGGTGGATTTTTTTATGTGGCTTCTATCAGTTTTCTATTGTCATAGTAAAGAGTTCAGAAATACCAGCTACTTCTATTGAAAGCAATAATATACAATTAATATGGAACTCAATATTAGAAGAAATGGCATTAAGTAGATGGTTACATATAAAAAATTTACCTAAAAAAGCTCCTTTAGAATTTGTAGATGCTCCATTGAACAACCCAATAATTGCTGAAGGAAATATTTTAAAACAAAGGAAACTACTAGGGAAAAGATGTATATATGCTTTGAGAGAGATGTTAGAAACGGAAACTCCGTTAGAATCTAGAAAATATAGCTATAAACTTAAAAGTAATATAAGTTTACCAGAGGCACTGGCAAGATTCTGTTATGATGTGGCTCTAAAACACTTCAAGACTCAAAAAACTCCCTCAATAAACAAGGAAATTAATGAAAAAGAGTATAAAGAATCTAAAAATACTATATATAAATATTCGAGTAAAATTCCTACTAATCAAATCTCGGAAGAATCCCTTGAAAACTCTGAAAAAGCTGAAGTAAATACTTTATATCAGTATATAGCAGGTATTTTGAAAGATTATAAAGATCTTCTACCACTTTTTCTAAATAATTTAAGCCATTTAAGAAAGTCTATTCAATTTGAGGCATCTAAATTAATGAAGAATAAAGACTGGAAAGGTTTATCAGCTTTGCTAGAACGGGAAAGGGTTGAAGATGTCGTTTCATTTCTTGATGTTTTAATTGGATCTAAAAAATCAGATTCAAATAAATATCCACTACTTGAGAATTTGAAGGCCAATTTTAATATGGATAGAAAGGATAGGATGTCAGATAGTCCGTTTGGTCGTCTTCCAACAAGGGAAGATGAATGGAAGGCTATAATAGAGTGGATACAAAGTAATAGTGGAGGAACTAAGACAGAGGAAAAGTCTGAATGGCTAATACGCACGAATAATAAAGGAATACTACCTGAAAATCCAAGTAAAAATTTTAAAGCTAGTAATGGAGACAAAGATATTTTTGTCAAACAATGTATTTATGGAATCCGTGAGATAACATATAAAAGATTTACTGCTCCAAGTGGTGACAGATATTATAGTTATGATCGTGGAAATAAAGCTGGAATTATAATTCAGGGTAAAAATCAAAAAGAGCGTAATTTTTATCTTTCAAAACTATGTACTATTATATTTGATCGGTATTTTGAATTTTTGGGTCTTACAAAAATAAAAAGTAGCTCCAACTATACTAAATCTGTTCTTTCATTTTTGGCTCCTTTGGAATATGATAAGGTGTTTCTTAATAAATTGATTCAATCCCTTTATAAATTTATAGATAATCCTAGGCGTCAGTGGCTTGCTGTTGTAAATGAGGCTCAAATATCTCCCCTTGTATTTAGCAAAAATTTACCTATAGAACCAATTCCATTTGTATTTCTTGATAGAATAGATAAAAAAACACATGATCTTGAACTAAAACAGAAGATGCTTGCAGAAAAGTGTTTTCAAGCTATTCGAAGGCTTTTAGTAGAACGTTTTCCAGGTGATTCAGATACTACTATATACAAGATAGAAGTCGGAAGTGAAGGAGATGTAAGTATTGCCAAATTTTGCAATGGAACAATGGAGCGTTTTATTATGAGGCATTTGGATTGGATGAGACTTATTGAAAGAAGCATTGGTGATCCTAATATCCAGCTTTTAGATTATAATGATCCATATGTAGATATTCCTGAGTTATTTATATTTGTGAAAGATGCACGATTAAGGGAAAATTGTATTAGTAGTCTATTAGCCATATTTGAAGAGAATTATCAAGCTTTAGAGAAAGGATTACCAATTGGACCATATCCACAAATGGTTTATAAAGGAAAACCAGAGCAGCAAATGGACCATATAGTTTCCTTTTGTGAATCTATAAGTGAAGATAATATATCTATTAGGGCAAGAATGATTGAAAATCTCAAATCTGAGAACTCCTCTGAGGACTCTGAAAATACTTCAGATACATCGAAAATTCCAAATAATCAATATAATGCTTTTATGAAAATTATGGAATATAAAGCTCCAGACTTATTATTAAACATCAAAAATTCCTTGCAGGGTCGCTTAGAAGCAATACCATTTACAAATTCTACAACAAATACTCTAAGATTAGAGAAATGGTCACAAAGTTTTAAAGATATTTCAAACAAGCAAAAATATAGATTAGAAATGTTTAATATTTTCAAGAGGCAATTTAGGCAATTTTTAAGTATAGAAGATGCATGTGAAGGACGCCTTAAGAGTATCTTAGAATTGGAAAATTTAGAAAATGAGCTTGGAAGTATTCAATGGATAGAAAATTATATTAAGGACACTGATGGTTTAAAGACTGAATGGGCTTCTGAGTTGTATAAGATTGAAGTGATTTTAAATAATATTCGTGCAGCTGAGAATGAGTTGGAGACTTATGTTAAAACTGTAAATAGTGTTCTTCATGAAAATGAGAAAAAGTCAAATTTACCTCGATATAAAAAAATATTGAGAGATTGGCCCAAAGAACTTAATAATAAAGAAAGACTTTTTGAAAAACTGAAAATTGATGGGTTTTTAGGGCGTCAGCAGAGCGAAGTTGCTATTGAAAGTTTGCGATATCAACAATTGGAACGACGAAATGAGTTTATCAAACACCTAAAAAATAACTTATTAAAGTTTGAAAAAGTTAATAAGTTCTTTGATATAAGAATTTGTATGAATAATGAAGAAGGCTTGTATCCTATAATACCTTTTGAAATGTCATTAGAAGAAGAAGAAATCCAAAAACAACGTTTAACCAGTTTAAAGTTAGCACTTAACGAATTCTTTAAAAGTTTCAGCGTGATGGATACAGAACTTAGTAAACAATTTCATGAAATAGATAAGGCATTACAGAAGAAACAAGGGGATTTTAATAAAGCTTGGAAAGAAAATTATGAAACTGCTCTTGCATTGCAATTACAAATTAGGACACGAAAATTGGTTGAAGAATATGTTCAAACTTCTGAAAGGTATCTACTTATACAGCGTGTAAAAGCTGATTTTGAATATCGTAAAAGTATTATTTCAGAATTCCAAATGGATCCAGGTTTTGAGGTAATGTTAAGTAGAGCTGCGGACATGATAGAGAAAGCTGAAGTAGAATCTAAGGAGTTAAAAGAGGATTTAAATAAACTCTCAAAGGATAGAGCAAGACTTCCCAAAATAATTGAGCAAGATATGAAGGAAATCTACTCTAAAAGAGTGAAAGAACTTAGAAGTAGCCGAGATATTCTTAGGAAACAGATCCAAAGTGAAAAGGCATTCTTAAACAAAGAGAGAGAAATTTTCGAGGATCAGTTACATAGAGATACAGAATATTATAGTATTGATAATATGGTTGAGGCTGGTATTTACAGAGGTAATCAGCTTCAAATTCTATGTGAAGCTACCCAATGGATAATGAATTACAATGAAAAACTCACATTTACAAATGAAATGGTTTATCGTGAAGATTTAGAAAAGTTGGATTATGTAGTCTCTATAAACAATACCCAGTTGAATAAAGAAAGTGAGGCATCAAAAGCTAGATTTAATTCTGAAAATCTTATGATGAATTTAAGAAAGCATAAATTTAAGTATAATGATGACGTAAATATTTCAGATTTTTTAACTGAAGATGAGATGAAAAGAGAAGCAGGAGAATTTGCTAAAGATGATCCAAGTCAAGGTCAAATTCCTGAAGATGCTCAGAAATTGTTAGAAATATATAAGGAAAAACTTAAATGGAAGCTTAATGATCTAGATAGTATTAATCAGTCAATTCTACAACTAAACATGAATACTATTGGTGCATTTGATTATTTCGATTATAATAGAGAAAGAGCTTATAAAGCTTATTTTGCAGTTATGCAAGAAGCTCAGGCCTCAAATATGCTTTATATTATTTTATCGCACTTTGAATGGGAGCATATACAACTTAGATGGAGAATATTACAAATGGAAAAGTTTGTAATAGGTGAAAAAGAAAGAATTTTGAATCAAATAGCAGACTTGAGAAGTACCTTGGATTTAAAAATGAAGCAGTATAATGCAGTACCTCTTATGCGACGCTTAGTTCCAATTGGTAGTCTATCTTTAACTGATCCTATAATAAGGGATATACTGGAATTTGATAGAAAGAAATTGAACCTTGAAGGTAATTCTAATATTTTAGATATTATTCCAAGTAGTATACCACTTTATCTAATAGATGGCCAAGATTACAAAAGTGCTAGAAACTATGATTATAAAGTTAAAAATATAATTTTGGATCGAATTATGGTTGTTTTATCAGTAAAAGAAAGTAAATATATTCAATTACTAAAGAATATAATGACCAAATATACAGAAAAGAATATGACTTATCAAAAAGTTATAGATGATATGAAAGCAAAATTAGAAGGACTTCAAAATACCATTGGATTTACATACTTATCAAGTGATGAAAAAAAATTAGAAAAAAGTAAACTAGAAGAAGAACTTCAGGAACAAATTTTTATTTCTTCCCAGGAAATCTTGCCGTTAGTAATGCAAAAACAGATAATATTGCAAAAAGCTGAACAGCTCAATGAATTCCAAAAAAGACTTCAGAAAGCTTTTAATGACCCTTCATTTACCGGAGAGGAAGCTAAGCAAACTGAAGCTTCAGTTATAGAGTTTTTTGGTGAAAAGCCTCCAGAAAGTTGTAATGACTTAAGTCCAAAGGTTCAACTAGCTTTTGAGATTTACAAACTTAATAAACTATCTGATAATATTAAAAAACTTGAAAAGCAAATTAAACTAAAAGGTACTGAGGATAGAGATACACTTGCCAAACTTCATAAAAATAAACGGGATATAAGTAAAACCGAAGAATTGATTCAAAAGCTCAAAAAGGAAATTCAAACTGCAGAGAAGAATGCAGAAATATTCCAAAACACAAAATTTGCAAAGCTCTACAACTAATAAAAAGTTTAAAGTGAATTTTTGGAGTAAATACCTAAGATATTTCATTATTATTTATAAATACTTCATCCTAATAAGGAATTATTTAATACTTAAAGTGTACAAGTGCAAAGTTGCTTTTATATTCATAAATAGACAGGTTCCAAACTATATGAAATATATAATGAATTTCCTCTTTTACAGGTCTATAACAAAATTTATGGTAGAATAAATGAGGTATTTCTCAATGAATTAACTTCAATATTTTAGAATTTTGCTTAGTATGAAAATTCTTACCTGATATAAATCATAAATATATTCATCAATGTTCGGTTCAAAGCTCTCATTAATATATATATACTAGTTTAAATAAGTAAATGGTATATAAAGACAAAAATAGAAATGTCTAGATTAGTATCATTCATTTAAAAGATATAGGACATCCAGTATATTACTAAATCTTTGTATAACTTACCAGAGATTTTACGGCAAGTGCATCTTTTATATAATTAATTACTACGGAAATTTTATCTGTACCTTTAAATATTATTTGTCTACTTTTTAAGTTTGGAGCTGTATCTAATGGACGTAAGGAAACCAATACTGTGCGTGTAAATAAAAAGATATGTAACATATTTCTCAATAAAACTTCTTCAATAATACATAAACACTTTTCAAAAGCTTACCATTATTGTCTCGTTGTGTATTTATATGTTCTAGTATATCTTGAAGCATCTAGTTTACTGTCACTTTTCTGGTATAGGTGGAAAAAGAGGGGTAAGAAAGGTCTTGCAAAAGTTATTTGCGCCAATAGTCAAGATACAACTGGTTTTGGACCTTTTGCAGAATCACCGAGTTTCCTAGTTTTATAAGATCCAATATATTTGTAAATTAATTGCATCTAAAGTTAATGATTCAATGTATAAAGTCTCTTTTAAGTGATTTAAAATTCTCTGCTAGTTAAATATATTCAGTATATTATTACTAAAGCAAATATTGAAGAAAGGTAGTTCTTATATATTGACATATATACACTAAATACTATTAAATAGCTTTTAAATTTCAAAGTGACAATTTCAATAAAGATTATTAATAAGAACAGAAGTAATTAAGTGCAATATATGTAGTATAAAACTCCTATACTACATAAATAATGAGGTCAGTATGATAACCAATCTTAAAAAATCAGCAAGTCTATTAACCATTTACAAATCTAGCCTCCCTTAAATAAATTTAGAGTACTTTGCAACAGTTAAACTTAAATAATTTAAAATTTATAATAATTCAGAGAGAATCTGTTAATTAGTATCACAAATAAACATCTTTGTAAGGTTTCTTAATAACTTCATTAACCTTAAAATATATAGGCTGTACTGTAAAATTTACTTATCCTTAGTTGTTTGATGAATAGTAAATTTAGAATTATTAGTATATTCTTCATCTTCATCTTCATATTCATCTTCAGTATCAGTAGAAAGTTGATGATCATCTAATTGATTCATAATATGCTGAAATAGGGTAGGTTCATTATCTAAAGCTTCATCTTCAGGATGTACAAAGATGGTTCTTTCACAATCTTTAATACTTTTTGCAATAAAACTAACATTTATTTGTTGATCTAAACCTTCATAAGAATCATTTGCAATAACTATAGAGATTTCAATATTGCCAGGAGTTTCCAGTAAAAATTGAATTTTACCCTCAACAAATTTTTCATTTGAAGTACAGCGAGTATTTCCAAGTATATGTGGATTGGAACCTTTTGTAATAGCAAATATCCACCATTCTTCATACTTTGTTCCTGAGAAATAAGGAGAATGTATTGGACCAATTGCTTCGTTCTCATCTAGTTTTGAGCGATTAAGAGTAATGTCAATAGTCACCAAATCTCCAACTACTATATCTTCCTCATCATCTACACTAACTTTTGTAGACACCACTATAGGATATGTTAAATAGCAAAAAGCATCAATATCCATTTTTTGATCCTCAGTAAGATCAGCTAAGCCTTTTCTTTCAGATGAATTTTGATTAATAAAGTCAACAAGAGTTTTAGCTGCATTCCGCCCCTTTTTAATGTGATAAATTTCATTATCTGTTATATAAGGGATTTGCAAAAAAGCAGAGTTTGGACTTCCATCTAAAGCTTGTATAAGAGCTCTTCTAAATGATAATATAGCCATAGTTGTGTGAAAGAAGTCTCTACTAATTGAAATTTCAAGCATTGATAAGGTCAATGGCATAGATAAATAAAGAATTTTATCTAAGTATTTCTTCAATGAAGGAGTAAGCTCATTATGCTTACGATGTAAGTGAGCTAAAATTAAGTAATACACAACACCAAAATTGGGTGAGTTAGCAGTGAATGATCTCTTCTTAAATTCTGACAATTCCATTGCAAATTTTGAGATAATCTTTTCATCTTCAGAATTTTTTATACTCAAAGATCTAAATTCAGTACTTAAAGCAAGCAACTCTGGTAATGCTTTAAATCTTGTGGAATCTGTAATAGCTGCTGAGAAAAAGTACAAGGTTGTTAAGTGAACTCCATTAGAAGCATAGCGTCTTTGGCGACGATAATAACAAATGAAAATCAATGGGATCACAAAGAGTAGAATTAATGAAAATAAACATAATATAAGAAGCTGATATTTTTTGGAAACCAAAAAGCTAGGTAGTCCAATACCTACTTTCATTGTAGCTGGACCATCTGGATTACCATATTTTTCATAATTACTTCTTGCTAGGTCATCTGTAAGTGCTTGATATGCCTTTGCTATAAGCATAAATTTAGCTGCTGCAGTAGGATCATTTGGATTTTTGTCAGGATGATATTTAAGTGACATTAATCTGTAAGCCTTCCTTATAACGGTAGTTGAAGCAGTAGATGTAATTTCTAAAATTTCATATGGGTCAAATTGTGCTATACGCTTTGTCATAGAATATGCTGACATCATATAACAAGTCAGATACCATAAAAGGATCAACATTATTGTCTGTATAATAGCTGTCCATGAAAAACGGTGAGAAAATGATCTATGAGCTTTCCTAATATTGTCTACTCTGTTCGTGCATGCAGAGCATTTACAATATTGAATGTATGAACCTTTACTTGAGTGTTTTGGGTACTCACGTTTATTAAATTTTCTTGTTGGACAGAGAAATCTTGACAATACATTATAAGTCCAAAAAGTTAAAAAACAAATAACAATGGTTCCGAAAAAAAAAAAGAATGCCGAATCATCATATAATGATTCACCCTGCTCCTCCTTTGTAAATGTATCACGAAATTGCGACATACTCTTGTTAGATTAAAATTCGCAATTTGCCAAATATTTTATTTCCATAAAACAGGAAGCAATAAAAATGTGCTGAGGAGAGCTAAACTGGCGCATGCTAGCGCCAAAAACCGATACTTATGGCGCTATATGGTAGTATAATGCCAAAAACTAAACTAAATTCTTCATATTTTTAATGGATTGCAACCACTATGTAATTGTACTTATATTATTAATAAGCTGTCTATTTGACTTATCAAAATGTGAAGGTGGTGATCTTGGATTTGGAGCAGAATTCCCACTATTGGGTGCTCTTTTCAGTGCTGCAAGTAAAGCCTTTGACAAATTGACACCAGATGAATGTTACCAATTAAATAGACGTGGGATTACTAGAGGACCTATTGGAGTAATTCTGGCTGCATTGCCATATAAATCTAACTATCCAGTGATTATATTTAAAGATGGATGGCAACAACCAGATTACCTAATTGCAGCAATGTTAATAGAGATGTGGCACAGGTATAGAGCTGCAGAATCTCTATTTGACCCTAATAAATATAAAGGAGCTAGCAAGTTACTTGGGGCCCAGGCATTTTGGGGAAAAAGAGATGATGGCGAATCGGATGACTTAAATGTTGAAAGCCCTAGATGGAGTGTATGGTGGTCTCAACTTGGAGATTTCTTTAGTGGTGTAAATGAATTAATGGATATTTTGATAGGTGGGACAATCCCACTATTTGTTTCAACACGTGGAGCTAAGTACAATTCCAGATTCTTGTTATCAACCTTAAATCTATATGCTAAAGAAAAACTTGAAACAATAACATATCTTCGGGGGGGGACAACAAAAGATAGTAGAGTATGCTGTGGGGTTTGCAATAAAATCACTCCTGTAGGAGGATCTCCATCTCATCTAGGTATTTTTACTGATGTTGAAGGAAGCAAGTCATACTCTGCATTACATCATTTACAATTACTATACGATAAACTTGAAGATAAGGATTCTAGTGAAGAGGAAGTATTAGATTCACCTATGGATGAATGGGCATGGGATTCAGAATATTCTTATATAGGAGCTTTTATTATATATGTCAGAAAACTCCAACAACGTTATCACTCCACATTCCATTATGCAAATAGAAATGGGCGTGTAGTTTGTGGTTTGCACATAAATGATATAACCAAATCCGTAAGAAACTTGTTTGATCTTGGAAGGAAATCTATGGTGATTAATAATGAACATGATAAAAGTAACAATGTGAAAAGTAGAGATAAAATAAGTCCTCCACCTTGGAATGGTTCTGATCAAAAATGGAAAAATAACCCAAAGTCTCAGATTATAAGCATTTTGCAATTTTTAGATGAAGAAGATTTAAATACAACCAGTTGGGATACTTTAGACTATGTAATTGCAGCAGCTTTTCAATACCTTCGTATCAGAAAACATTTACATCAGATATGGACTGGGGGCTGGTTACATTATCAGACATCTCCCAATATCATTAAGAAAATATTCAAAGCTATTTTAAGACTTTGTAGAATGGGTGGGAAACATCATGTAATTTGATTATCCCCTCTAGTTATACTAATTATTCAGGATTAACTATCTTGTCTCCAAATTGTATTATCATTAATCCGTATCATTTTTGCAGAGTTGCAGTCCCAATTTTCTGATTGATGTGGATTCGTGGAATTAATTGATGTAGAGGCTATAACTAAATTTCCTTTTGTTATATGCCTAGAAGGTAGTGATATTGCAGAATTAGAAGTTCCAAGTTCACTTGGGTTATATGATATATTTGTCTTTATAGATGTTGTAGGTACTATAAGGTTACTTGTACATCTTAACCATCGATGATTTAGTGCTGCTTCGGCAGTTGGTCTCTTTTTTGGATCAGTCTCTAATAACCATTGTACGAAATGTTGAGCAATCAGGGATACATTCCTCCATGCTGGCTGAGCAAATAAAAAATCATTAACACCTCTTTCAACAATTTTATGGTATAAATCAAATGATTTATTATCATGGAAAGGGAGTCCACCACATAGACATACATAGCACAATACTCCTATACTCCATATATCTATTTCTGCTCCATATTCTTGTTGTTTTACTAATTCTGGAGCAAGGTAAAAATCAGAACCACACAAAGATTTAGATCTTGGTTGTGTATTACTAGAAGTTAAACTTCTTTTTGCAAGTCCAAAATCTGCTATTTTGCACATAAAATTGTTATCTATTAATATATTTTCAGGTTTTAAATCCCTATGAATTATCCCATTTCCGTGAATATAGCTGAGTGCATCCAATAAATTTATCATAATTCTTTGTACTAATTTCTCTTCCAAAGCTCCATGATTTAGTACATATTGGTATAGATCTCCACCTGTACACAGATCCAGTACCATTTTAACTTCATATTTTTCTGCATCTATATGTTCCACATTGTAATCTATTAATCTTACAATATTTGGGTGATTTCGCAAAATTTTCATGATTTCAACCTCTTCCAGTATTTTCTCAAGAGGTATTTCATATGAACTGTATGTTATCTTCATTGCAAAAGATCTACCACTTTCATATTCTTTGCAGAGGTAAACTTCTGCAAACTGTCCAGTGCCTACTAAACCCCCTATTTGGTAACGTTCAGAAAAACTTATTCCACTTATGTAGTGAGTCACATTTAGACAAGCTCCTACTCCAATATCCATTATTCTTTCTATAGAAGAATGTTGAGTACCCATTTTAACGGAATATCTTTTGTTATTTAAAGCTGCTAGATATAAAATAGGCCCACATGCACATTGTGGCGCCTAATTCTCTTTTTTTACGTTTTTTCTCCCCTCCTAGGTTTTTCTAACAAAACATAGCAATCAATTATTTAAAGTATTTAGCCATATTTTGCAAGTTTTCACGAAACTAATATAATCTTAAGGTTATTTTATTAAGCTAAGAATAGCTTATATTAGCTATAGAGGCCTTATATCTTTGTATATTAAATATACACTCATAACTTTTTTTGTAGATTACGAGCTAACTATAGTATATTATTCATTAATATCATTGAGGAATTCTGTATTAGAATCTCTGAACTTATATTTCAAAAGAGAAGGCTAGTTGCAAATTTTTGTGGGTATTACTCCTGTGGGGTTTCTTATTTCACACGTTGATTAATACGGAAATATTAGTGTGTGGCTTTCTTTTCTTTTTCTTTCCTACTTCTTTAAAAAATATTCTTTCATTAAATGAGAAAAGTTCAACATTTTTTTAATATACAAAGGTTTATTGGAACTATTGAGAGTAGAAGTATTGAATGTATTGTAAATGTGGCCGAAAGGATGCTAAACTATGTTGAGAAACTCACAAAAATTCCAAATGAAGTCAGTAAGAAAATGAACCAAACTTTGGACTGTAGACTAGTACAAGAACTTGTCTATAAAATACAAGAATATAAGAGGTGGCTTGAAGTTAGTGGAGTAATGGAAATTCCTGAAGAGTATATTGCAGAATATCGTCATCTAGCATCATTAGGGATGGCATCTGAGCAAACACAGGAAGTGGATTCTAAAAATACAATTTTAGGTGTAGAACTCTCTGATATTACGAATAAAGAACTTTTTAATAAATCCCAAATAGTACATGAAAACTGCGAAAATCTAGTCATAGATATCCTATCAATATTAGAACAATGCTATATGCTTCAAAATCAGCTTGATAAGCTACAAGAAACACTAAGATTGAAAGAAAAAGAACTAAGTGATAGATGTCAGAGTAAGAAGATTGTTGATATATTTCTCCCTGTAATACAGCAGTTAAGACAACAACATGAAGATATTTCACAAAATGAAGGTACAATAGATCAATTACAAGAGATGATAAGAAATTTTTGTACTTTACTTGAAGAAAGAAATGAATTAAGATATAGACTTGTATATGGTGTAGATAAAACCTCTGAAAATTTAATTATTGAAGAACCTAAGAAAGAAAAAATAATAGAATCATCTTTAAATAAACCTGACAGTGAAAATGTAGATAATTCCAATACAGAATTGGATATGGGTTTATATGGAAGATTTTCTTCTGTTGCTATAGATCCAAATGCAATGAAATTATTTGCAAGATGGAGTTTACCTATTGATTCTGTAACTGGTACTATTATAAAAAGATAAATTATATTGAAATAATGAGATAGAAGTTTCTCGATTTACTAGATAGATAGTATACTTATTAAAGTATGAATAAGATAAATAACTTAATTATAAATTTTTAAATTGAACTTTTAGAACGTATAAGCATAAGTTATTTAATACTTAAAGCGGCTCCCACGCTTACTTTTTGAATATGTTTTATTACCAATATAAGACTCTTTCAATAATTTGTATATTATTCCAAATATATATAATGCCACCGAAACAAAGGAAATCAATTGCAGCTATAAATTCATCAGGTAATACTGATTCACCATGGAAGTTACTTACTCGTATGGAATTATTCCATGTTATAGATGAGAATAATATCCCTATTACTTCAGATAAGTTGTTAAAAGCAGATCTGATTAATTTAATTGAACTTCATTTAAATGATTCAGATTGTAGGAAATGGTTAGAGTATTATGAAAAACCATTACCATATCCGGAATTTGGGAAAAATAATACTAATTATAATATTGGGAATACAACTAACAAAAAAAAGGGACGATATTCAGTTCCAGCATATTTAGCAGTTGCAGAATTAAACACAGAGAGGCTTGAATCTGATATAAATTTTCAAGAGAATACAATGGATTCAACCCAAAGAGAAATGCAAAATATTAATGTAATGGAGACTTCTTCATTTAGTGAAGAATTGGATAGTAATACATATTTAAAGACAAAGATATCAAGTCCTATATTAATAAATAGAAGAAAAAGGGATTCTATATCTCATAAAGTTGATAGTAATGATAATATCAACACAACAAAAGTAGTAGCTCAAGATCATAATATGGAAACAAATAAATCTAGCTTTTATTTACCTTCATTTAAAGCTTTATTTAGTTTGTTATATATATTTCCTTCTTTAAAAAAGATTATTATTTTGAGTTCAATAACTCTATTATTTAGTATTGGAATCATATTATATAATAAATATTCAATTTTTATTTTAGAACCGAAATTTTGTGATTCTGATTTGAAATCTAAAGATCTGAAGTCATCATCTTGCAAAATATGTCCTGTTAATGGTCATTGTAAATATGGAATATTAAATTGCAATTTTCAATATAAAAAAGCACTAAGATATATTCATGGAAAATGGACAGTTTTATGTATATATGATGATGAAGCCCATGATCTAGCCGAAGAGATGTTATTATATATAACTAGTAGATTAAGAAAGCTTAAAGGCTATAATTTATGCTATATTAGAGATAATAATAACCTAAGTAAGTTAAGTGAACACGAAATTAACGAAATGATAAAATTATCATTTAATTATTATAATGAAGTTATAATATTGAATGCAATATCCATAATGTGGAATTCTATTAAGAATAGTAATGTATTGAAAAAATATAGATTGACAATATCCACAAATAAACTAGAGAATAATCAAATAAATCGAAGGAATATTGATGATATTGACAATGTATCTAAACCATTGTTAAAATTTGATAATACTGACATAATTGTGAGTAATTATAGTACGATATCTTCAAATAAAACGAATTATGAAAATACGATATATATAGAGGCTATAGATAGCCAAATACCATTATTATGCCAAATCAAATTATACTTGAAGAAATGGGCTGCAATATATTTAGGTATATTGCTTATTACTTGGCTTTTATATTATTGGGATTATAAAAGAAAGAGAGAGAAGTTAATTATTAATAAGATTAGAGATATTATATATAGAGAGAATAGAAAAGATATTACTACAGGGTTATTTATTGGTCCTGATACATTAGCCATAGCCAGACTATTGCGTACTGAGCTACCACAATATAGAAATTATTTGACTGATAATCAAGTAAATAAAATATGTAGATATGTTGAGGTTTTAGATCCGAATATTCAAAAAACTCAGTTATCGGATAATAATCTACCTTATTATTGGGTAGCTAAGGATACAATTGCAGCTGACTCACTACATAATTCTCAAATATCTATTAAGAATAATAAGCGAGGGTTTCTTCGTTTATTTTTCCTTTTATCTCCGTAATTAAATAGAAGTTTCATATAAATCATGCATGCAATTTTTCCTTTGCATGCATGCATAATTCATTTTATTTTATTTTCTTGTTTTTTTTAACCTCTGAGGATACGTGGTATATAACTTTGAACCTTATTTTAGCATTAATAATCTGAAATTAAAAGGAAAGGAACTAAAAATATAATTTTATTAGATCTATGGATTTTTAAAGTTTTCATTTTTAATTGTTCTATAATGTTAAGTGGAATCTTTATAAATTAAAGGGATATCGAGTCAATACACCGAGGCGAGAATAGAAGATAAAAATAAAAAATAAAAGAAAAACCGGATAATCTTAAAAGTGACCCTCACTTTTTTTTCCTTTATAAAAAAAAAAAGATTTTTTAGATAATAAGATTAAAAATATTTATTTTTAATAAAGTTAACTATTAATGAATATGAAGACTTTAAATATTGAGAAGTGGATGAAAGTGAACTATACTGGGAGTTTTAACCTGCACAATGGGCTATACTTTAAAAGTTATGCTCGATTAGTTAGCAAAGTTGGGATAAGTAACCATTTGTATACATCTCAGGAGATAAAAAAAGAGCCATCAGCATCTATTAAAGAAGATACGAAACTAATAACATTTCGTATTTTAAAATATAACCCAATTAACAAAGACTTGCCAAGAATAGTAGAATACAAGTTGAAAATTAATGAAGCAGGACCAATGGTTCTAAATGGTTTGATTCACATAAAGAATAAGGTTGATAGTACATTAGGATTCAGAAAGTCATGTAGAGAAGGGATTTGTGGTAGTTGTGCAATGAATATAAATGGGAAAAATAGTTTAGCTTGCTTAACAAAAATATCGAGTTTTTCAGATGGAATAATTGAGCTTAGACCATTACCAAATCAGTATATTATAAAGGATTTGATTCCAGATATGACCAACTTTTATAATCAGTACAAATCAATTAAACCATGGTTAATTCAATCAAATGGAAAGCACAATTTAGATACAACTGGAAAGAAAATTGAGAATCTACAAAGTATAGAAGATAGAAAGAAACTAGATTCTTTGTATGAGTGCATTTTATGTGCATGTTGCTCCACATCATGTCCCTCATATTGGTGGAATCCTGACTATTATCTTGGACCTGCAGCACTACTACAAGCATACAGATGGATATCTGATTCAAGAGATGATAGTAAATTACAAAGATTGATGTATTTAAATGACACAATGAAGTTGTACAGATGTCATGAGATATTTAATTGCACTTCTGCTTGTCCTAAAGGTCTCAATCCAGCAAGTGCAATTAGTAATATTAAGACAGAAATACAAAAAAATATTGAGGAGATTCAAAAATTGGAATCAGAAGATTGCGATATAAACTCTAATTGATGGTTTATAGCTGAAAAGTGACTTATTTCACTAAATAATAGGTTCAAGTATGTACATATACACATTGTAATCACTAAAATAGACTTAGTTCAATAGATCGAAAGAAATAAAGAACTTTGATATACTATAGATGATTGATACCGAAGCAAATAGATTATTAATAATGGATTATTGTTTATCACCACTCTGACTCCGTTATATATATCTGTATGGTTTTACACTTAATTTAGTATGGCGCTATCTATGATTTGAGATTTATAAATTATATTAATCTTAGAATGAAACAGAACTAATCTTTAAAACCGACTATATGGACATTAGTAATAAAGATACTAATAGAAGTCGTGATGGTGTAAGAGGTGGATATGAAAGATTTAATTGGACTTCTTTGAAATCTATACCTACTAGTGAACGAGAGCATTATCTTGGTCAAAGTATGCAGGTTGGAATCGCAACTAGAGGTGGAAAATTTTATAGACATGATTGGTACTATAAAGGAGGAGATATTAGAAGGACAATAGATAGATCAACAATAAGTGATAAGATGGGATCAAATAAAAATGTAGCCACTTCCAATATTAAGGATGAAAAACTTTTAGTTAAACAATATGAAGATCAGTACATCTCCAAACTTTTAGGTGTAAAGAGTAGTTTTAAAAAAGAAGAGATTGAAGATTTAAGGAATACACAAGCAAAATCTAAATCCTACACTAATGATAGAACTACCAAAATTTATGATTTAACTTCGAGTGAAAGACATATAAGGTCCGATAAATGCTATAAAGAAGTTAGATCTAAAGTTTCCAAATCTAAACATACATATAGATCCTTAAGTCGGTCAATATCTCCAAATAAAATTGTATAATAACCTGATATTTCGACTACAGGCTATACAAATTATGCGGGAAATACGGGGAGACTAATTTACTGATACCTTGAGAGACTTTGAAATGTTTCTATACTGTCTTTAACCTTTTACTTGAGGAGATGAGTGGCCATATTGAATCTTTATCTTCTGATGAGATTTCTATATATGACCGTCAGATTCGATTATGGGGTAGTAAAGTACAACAAAGGTAGGATTCACTAATAATGAATATTTGCAAATAATACGTATGTTATCAAATATTCTTGATAAATTGCAACTATTCATATTTCGTAAATTTATATTATTGTGATGAATCTAAATTGGGTGTCACTCTTGTCAGATTAATGGAAAGTGAATTTTTGATCCTTGGTCTAAGTGCGATCAATGTTGAGCTTATTAAAAATATGACACTTGCAGGTATGTCAATATATCCTATCGAGTACTTAATTATTTCTATAATATGTAAATAAATTGTCACTAGGAATTAATATTAAGATGTGGGATAATAATAAAACTGAAGTTACAGATTTGCCGAACAATTTCTTTTTGAATAAAGATGACTTGGGTAAACCTAGAACTGTCATATTAGATAAAATAAGAGATATGAGTCCTCTAGTACGTATTAATATTGAGAATGAGGAGATTTTCAAGTACTGTGGGGGGGAATTAATGGAAGTTAAAACTAGTGAACTTCAAAATGAATATTGGCAAACAATTCAATTCACTGGTATTGTTATTGCATTAGAAGTCATTCCTATAAACTTGGCTTGTAAATTGAGTAAAATTTGTCAAGATAAAGACATTATCTTTGCTTTAAGTATATCTATTGGGACTAATTTCTTTTTTTTTATTAACAATAAAAAAGTGGCATTCCATGATATGATATTATCAGAAAAGGATACTTTCTTGGAATTATTAAATAGATCTAAAGATATCCATCCACATATAGTGTTTATTATATACATTATTAGAACTAAATTTTGGGAATCTAGTGAGAAACTAGAGCTTTTGGATTTGATTGAAATTATGAGTAATTTGAAAACCAAGCCTAGAATAGATAGTAATAACGAAATTATAGATCTTGTTCAGAATTTGTCTAAATCATGGAATTTATCAATATCTCCTATAGCATCTATTGCAGGAGGTCTCCTTTCACAAGAAATTGGGAGGATTTGTACGGGTGAATGTGGTCAATTTTTATGCTGTGTTTTCAAAATGGATACTTGTGAAGCAGTAGTAGCTAGTTTTTAGTTTTTTTTTTAATATATTTTTTAGTATTTTGATATATTTACCTATCTAAAAAAAAGTACTCAGGCTTATATTATGATTATCTGAATATACAGTGATGACTATCAACTGTAATAAATATTACTCCCTATATAGTCAATGTCTAGAAATTATAGGTAATTATATTGCTACTGAAACTGTACTTAAAAGTACAGGCGCCGGGAACTTAGCATTTATTAGTATTATGAAACCAAGGCTAAACCTTTTAATACTTAAAAAATTCTGAACTTTTCCAGTAATTAGGCAACTTATCTGAAGTAATTCCTATATATATAATATATCTTAAAGTTTAAAATGTCCAGAAATGAGTTAAATAGGGACGTGTCTTTTTATGACTTTTCTGAGGATTGTCAAGTTTACAATACATTTGAAAGTATGGATTTGAAAGAGGAGTTACTTAGAGGAATATATAGTTATGGATTTGAACTCCCATCTGTAGTACAAAAGCGTGCTATTGTTCCTATTATTAAAGGAAGGGATGTCGTAGTACAATCTCAGAGTGGTACAGGTAAAACTTGTGTATTTACAGTTGGTGCTCTTCAATTATGTAATAGAACTACTGAAAGACTTCCACAGGCCCTAATTTTATCTCCAACTAGAGAATTAGCTGAACAGAGCCAAAAAGTTTGCTCTGCATTAGGAGAATATCTTGATATAAATGTTTACTGCTGTGTTGGAGGTAGAAAACTTAATGATGATATAAAAGCCTTGCAAAGTGGAGTTACAATTGTATCTGGAACACCAGGTAGGGTTATACATATGATAGAGCAAGGTTACTTGATAACTAGAAGGATTCGGCTACTTATTTTAGATGAAGCTGATGAAATGCTTGATTTTGGATTTAAACGTCAAGTATATGATATCTACAAATATTTACCACCAAGGATACAAATAATCCTTGTTTCTGCAACTTTACCAGAGGAGATTATAGAAATAACTGAAAAAATTATGAAAGATCCCTTGAAAATTCTTGTCAAACGTGATAATTTAACTCTAGAAGGCATTAGACAATTTTATATTTATGTTGAACAAGAACAATGGAAATTTGATACTTTATGTGACCTGTATGATACTTTGACTATAACTCAATCTGTTATATTTTGTAATAAAAAGGCAAAAGTAGAATGGTTAAGTAGTAAGATGATTGAAAATCATTTCACAGTATCATTTGTTCATGGTGATTTATCACAAAAAGATCGTGAACAAATTTTAAGAGAGTTCAGACAAGGGAAAACTCGTGTTTTGATAGCTACTGATCTTTGGGGGAGAGGAATAGATATACAGCAGATAAACCTTGTTATTAACTATGATATACCTACAAACAAAGAATTATACATTCACCGTATAGGTCGTAGTGGACGCTTTGGAAGAAAAGGAGTAGCAATAAACCTTGTTAAAGAAGAAGAAGTCAAGATCTTAAAGGATATTGAACATTTTTTTTCAACTAGAATAGAAGAGATGCCTGCTAATATTACTTCAATATTATAGACATTTCATCTAAATTTTGTTATGATCCATAATTTAAAAGACCTTAATTTTAAAATTATACATATATTAATTTATTCAAAGTGATATATTTCTTATTGATATTTATAAAGCCTATGTGCTAATAATTCATCTATAATAAGGAGATCTTGAACGTCTTCTATATTCTGAAGGGGATTTAGATCTGTATCTAGACCTTGATTTCTTATAAGAATGCCTATAAGAGTAATCTTTTGAATAGGGAGATAAAGAATGTTCTGAATATCTTTTGCTTCTTTTCTCTTTTGTATATGTGCTTCGTTTATTGTACTTTTGGTTAGAGCAATAATCTTTAGTATTTGTATATTCACTTCTACCTTCATGTTTATATTTTTCTCTTTGATATTCAGACTCATATTGTTTGGGACTCAAGCTTTCATCAGTATTATCATTCAAGGTTTCTTCTTTATAAATTATTGGAAGAAAAATATCTATTAAAAATTCAAAGTCAAAAGGAGTTTTATATTCAATATTTTCAAGTAGATTCTCACAAGATATATTGCATTTAAGATCTACAAATTCTTTAAATTCCTCAAATGTGTTTAGCTTTATATAATATTGTTTAAGTTTTCTAAGTATTAGATTTTGTATATTATTGTAGGCTATTTGAAATAAATTCATAATATATGTAAATAAAGTTATACCATAAATTTTTTTGCCATTAACTGAGTGTTTTAAAATAAAACAAATTGTTTTGAGATCTGTCGGAATAGAAATGTGCCATAATATAAAATTCATATAATCTTCCTGTATACTATTTAATTTCCCAAATCTTTTCATAATATTTCTATATATATCACCAAAATTAGTATTTCTCAACTTCCCCTTTCTCTCTATAAAAGTAAAATGGTTCTTATTTGTTTCAGTTATTGGTATTAAAATTCCAGCCTTAATATCTTCCTTAATTATCCTCCAAAAATCATTCCGAAGTTCTACTTGTCTCTTCTCCATAATCATACATAAATCTTCTTTTATGTTATTTATACATGATTTCTGGATATTAATATAAATTTCTAAAGCATCAGTCAATGTAACAGAATTGAGAATTTCATTATTCATATACTTAGATAAAATAAATTCCCAAATATTTCTACCTGTGAAATCTTGAGTTAATATATTTACTCTATTCTTATATAGATATTTCATAGGATAGTAGTCTCCCGTATATTCATCAATATAATGTAAAATATCTTCATCACTTCTGAATAACTCCAAACATCTACTCATATTTTCTGATTTATTTATTTTCCTATTTTCTTTTAGTTTAGCATAATAATCTTCAACAGTATCTTGAAAAATATCATCTTTCTCCTTTTCACTAGTATATTTCCACCACCATTCATTATAATTATCCTTTGCAAATTCTGCAAACTTTAAAACAAGTCTTGGATTTTTATGTATCCAGCTTTCAATTTCCTTATCCAAAGTCTTCCTTGCATCAGATCTCCTCTGTCTATCTAATTCTCTCTGACGTTTAGCAGCTTGGCTTTGATATTCAGACCATAATTGACGTTTCTCTCCTGTACTTAAAATATTAAATTGTTGATATAGTGGATCTCCTCCTACTATTTTTAGTACATCATCCCATTTTAAGCGATTATTTAGCTTTTTAGATTGAAAGAATTCCTTTAGTTTAATTCGTGCCTCTTCTTTTGTTAATTTTGTCATCTCACTCTCAATATTATTAACATGATCCTGTTTAGCCATTTCTCAATAGCTTCAGTTTATATTAAGATGATTTTTAGAATGCACAAGTTTATAAGAATACAAAGTTAGCCCGCCATAGATTGATACTAAGTAGGTGCATATATTGCTGACAAACTATTCTAACTTGTTTTTAGTTCTGAAGGTATAATGGAAGAAAATTTGAAGCAAGTAACTTTGGGTAGATTAAATTTATTTGCATGTGATAGAGGATTTCCAAATTTTGAAAATTTGGAATTGGACCTTAGTGGTAAGGAATATAAACGTAAATTAGAATATAAGATTAATAAAATTTCTGATTCAAAGTCTTCTATTAAATTATACAATAATTCTAAAATACCTCGTATAGATGATAATATACCTAAAACAGCTTTAGATATACATTTGAATAATAAAAAACTTGAAGGATATAAAGAACTCATGCTCCATAATAGTTCTAAAAAGTATATAGATAGTATTTGGAAACCAACATTCAAACTACAAAGAGTTATAAGTGGTCATCAAGGATGGGTCAGATGTTTATCAATAAATACAGATAATGATTTTTTCGTATCTGGTGGAGCTGATAGATTGATAAAGATCTGGGACTTAGCTTCTGGAAAACTAAGATTAACATTGACTGGACATGTTGCTACTATAAGACAATTACTAATTAGTGATCGGCATCCATATATGTTTAGCTGTAGTGAGGATAAAACAATGAAATGTTGGGATTTAGAAACTAATCGTGTAATTAGAACATATATAGGGCATGCTCTTGGCCTTTATGCTCTAGCTTTACATCCTTCATTAGATATTATTTCTACAGGTTCAAGAGATGGAACTATTATATTATGGGATATAAGAACCAGAACACCTATTCATAAATTAAAACAACATAAGGCTGCTATTTCATCTCTTTTAATGCAATCAATAGAGCCACAATTAGTATCTGGGAGTTTTGATAAAACTATTAAATTATGGGACATTGTAGCAGGCAAGTGTAGACACGTCTTGACATATCATAAGAAACCTATACGTTCATTAATAGTTCATCCCAAAGAATATGCTTTCCTTTCTGCTGGAACAGATTCAATTAAAGCTTGGACAGGTGAGAATGCAGAACTTTATAAAGATTTTGTAGGTGCAAATGCAATTACAAATTGTTTGGCTATTAAAAGTCAAGGTGAATATTCTGTGATTATTAGTGGTTGTGACAATGGACAGTTACATTTTTGGGATTATACATCAGGTATTAAATATAGTACTATACAAAGTCAAGTTCAGCCAGGTTCTTTAGAAGCAGAAAATTCAATTTTATGTTGTATCTTAGATAAATCTGAAACCAGATTAATAACTGGTGAAGGTGATAAGACAATTAAAGTTTGGGCAGAGAATGAATTAGAAATGATGTAAATCCTTAATATCTATAATATATAATTTGAGAACTCGTAAGAAAATATATAAGCTCTAAATATCAGAAAAAAAAGAAGAAAGAAATCTAATTGTCGTCTAAAACACAAATACGCGTCCCGGCGCACGCGGCAAATACATGTTTATGAACTTTTTACAATAAAGAATTCCATATATTACAAACCTATAGAATAATTTAAAAAGTTTTAGTGATATATAAAATGTCTGATCAAGAAAATAATACTAAGACGCAGCAGAGGATTATTGGTAGTAATGTGATAAATGTATGTTACTAGGTTAATTTATAATCCTTGTATGTACTAACTATACATGTCTTTATTTGTATACAGATCTCTTCATGTGAAAAACCAGATTTCTATGTACATCTAGCATTTAAAATGCTTGGTGATATTAAAGGGAAGGGTAATTCCACAACAAAAGATTCTGTTAAATCAGATAATGAAGGTAAAAATATTAATACAAGCTCTAAACACCAGATACACAAGCAGGTTGTACTAGCTGGTCTTGGTGAAGATACAAAAACTGTCGTTAAAGTCGCAGGAGAACTAGTTAACAGTAATTTAATTGAGATTTCTAATATTCAGACAGATCTACGTAGAATTGGCTCTAAAGGAGCAAATCCTCTTAGCGTGCCATACATTGTTATTGTATGTACTAAACGTGATAAAGAAAATTGAAAGAGTTAAAAATTTAGCCTGTATCTAGATATTACATATTTATTTGGCACTAGATATGTACATTCCTATTGTACTTATCTTGTATTTATTAGTTATTGCTCTAATGTTAAGGTTTAAATAATTGATTATTGGAATAGTCTGTGTAGTTTATATAATTCCTTTTAGAAATGAACAGGAATCCTCAGAAGAGAATTTAATTAATCTTAAGAATTTTTATTTTCACTTATTTGGACTTATTTAATATGTACCTTATCGAGGCATTCCCACATAACTACAGAGTTTCCTCTTATAATAACAGTACCTATTTCCTTATTTCCTTTTGATGTAACTTCCACTGTATTTTCCAATACTAAATTCATAAAGTTGTCATATCCTCGTAGTAAGCCAACTATATGTCTCTTACCATTAAGTTTAACTATAAATTTAGAGTAAAAAGTATATTAATATCCTTAGATAAACTAGGCTTTGTAATAAGGAATGAGGCCTCTTTAAATAAACTTACTATCTAATCTCTTATCCATAAATCTTCTCAAATCTGCAGGTGATCCTGATTTAAATATTCCCATCTACTTAGGACCTCCTATAGAAACCAAAATAATTATGAGTATTTGAATTCAAAACCTGATAATAATAAAACGTGATTCCAGAAATACATAGCGCCTCTTGATGCACAGGAGCCTATTATTACTTTTTTATTGCCTTTTTAGAAAAAGAAAGATTTGGCTAAATTATATCGAAATATGATGGGTTATTATATAGTAAATATCTGTTAATTATATATATTAGTAATTTAGAATCATTTATATAGGACAATTAACCTATTTCAAGGGATTTAAACTTATTACTTAGAGATTGAGATGAATTACAGCTATAATCACCATCAGAATTGCATTCTGGATTAGATTCTATAGATTTAACAACTATATTACATGTATTAATATATTGTAAGGCATTTTTGTTGAGAATTCCTAGTTTTACGAGATTATTAATAGTTGAAGGTTTTGTAGAATTTATTGGTATTACACTATTAAAATGTTCATTATTATGATAAGATAATTGGATACATCTATAAAATGGAGGAAAATTAGCTATAATAAGAGGATTTTGTCCTAGCTGGTAAATAACAATATTAACGTTAAACGCTTTACTCAAAGAATGTAATTCTAAATGTCCTCCCCATGTTCCATTATTTAACATATTTGTACAATAAGTTTCGAAATCTTCTTTATCATCAATATAAGATATAAATTGATCTGAATGATTTTCCATATATTTAATTGCTTTAATTCGGTATAGCTCATGTAATTCCTCATCATTACAATGTTGATGAGAAAAAGCTCTAAATAGACAATTTCCATCACTGTTTATTCGATATATCGAAAGATTATATTTAAATAAAGCTTTGTCTAAAGAATGAAAATCATCAAGTTCATCTTCATTATTTAGTGATTTAGATCTCTTTTGATTTTTTATACTTTGGTCCTTTTTATGATGTTTTTTCTTATGATTTCGATTCTCACACCCTTTCTTATTTCTTCTTCCACCCATTTAAACGTATAAGAAAAATGATAATATAAAGATCTTATAGTAACATTTTTAGTAATACTAATTAGTTATTAATTAAGAAATACCCTCTATACCCGCAGATAAATGAGCAAACAATAAAGACAATATTTATGATTTTTAATAATTTTGAGTAAAATGGCATCTGAGATCAATGTAACAGCCCAAATAACGGGATGGGTACCTGTGGAATCTTCTACTGTGTCGTACAAAATATATGTGAATGGACCTTTTAAATCATATCAAATACAAAAACGTTATAGTGAGTTTGCAATGTTACAGTCTTTACTATATGACCATGGTTTTAGTTTATTACCATCTCTTCCACCAAAGACATTTTTATCAAAACCTCAGGATCCAGTATTAATAAAAGAAAGGCAACAAGGATTACAAGCTTATCTAAATAATATCCTCAAAAGGTTGGATATATATTCATCTTCAATATTTTTAAATTTTCTCCAAATACCTTCAAGTTTACAGAATTCAAGATTTTTACCAAATTTAAAGTTTGAGTTATTAGCAGATTTATCTGAAGGTCAACAAGCTGTTAGTAATGTATTTATTGAGAAATTAGTACCCTTAGGAACATATTTAGCATTTATAAGTTATCAGGATAATTCATCATTATCAAGACTTGGAAAAGTTTGGAGTATTATAGAACCAGAAGATTTGGGATCTTTATATATATGGGATTTACAGTCGAATAAGCACTTTAATAAAAGAAAGTCCTTTAACGTTACTCACAGGAATTCTATTGATAATTTTCAAAATGCAATTCATACATTGCTAACTAATACAACACTAGATTCATCAAAATTTAATTGTTTAATTAATGTTACATTTTCATATAGATGTAGGGGAGTAGTATATTTATCAGAAACGGATACTTTATGTGTTTTTTCTGAAAAAGGATATTTAGAAATATATAGTGGAATAATGAATATATGTGAAGATTTAATATTATCAAATCTAATCTCAAACCCCAAGAATTTGCGAGAAATTATTACTCCTAGAAATATCCTTATTCATCATGATCAAGTACAACATGTACATTTACCAAATTATCTAAATAATAATGAATCTCAATTTTCACTTTCTATTGGAATAGATAATAGTGTAAGATTATTTTGTCTTAAACAAATGAAAATAGTATCTGGAGGTAATGTGACAAAACGTCTTCAGGGTACTAAATTAACATGTTGTTATCTAGAACAGAATTTTGCAAGATTAGGATTTTTTGGATCTAACAGTGGAATTATATTAGTACTAGATATGGCTAGTCATCCTCCATATTTAACAGCTCAATTAAAAGATTCTTCCCAAGAAGCTATTACTTGTATCACAGTTAGTGATGATTATATAATTGTCGCCTATACTGATTTAATACGTATTTATAATGTTACAATTGATGCTAAACAAGGGACATGTATAATAAATGACAATCAACCTCTTTGGACAATTGAACCTTATTTTTTTTCGGATATGAGTATGGGTCATATCTCATCTATGTTAATGGTTAATAATAATCTCTTATTTGTAGGTGGACAAAATGTATTAGCTATTTTCTTCATAGAAAATTATAAAAGAAATCTCAGAGATTCCCCCAAACTCTTATTATCATATAGTATTCATTCTGGATCTATAATTTCTATATCTAAGATACCTGATGATATTATTACTAATAATTCTGTAGATACTTCAACATGTCAAGATATATCATATAGATCTATAAAATTTTTAACTGCTAGCAATGATGGAATTGTCTTATTCTGGAAATTATGTATTCCTGAATTTATTCAAAATCAAATTAAATCTCCAATTAAAGATATATTAACATTAACAAATAGTGATGATGAATTTGAAACAATTAAAGATGGGAAATATCCCCAAATAAATAAAAGTATTAAAACAGTTCCAACTCATTTTATACCTAGTCAATCTTACAGTGATGATAATAGTGAAGATGATCTAACTTCTGCTTTTCGATAAATCACTTATTTACAATATAAACCTTTATGTTTTTACAATTATTTATTAATTTAATTTCATCTAAATTTCAAAGAAAACCCTAATTCCGAAATTCCATCATTCATTGTAAATATTCAACTAATAATTTGCCTTTAAAGTTATCCTAGGGTATTCTCAGCGCTATACTCTACATATAGAAATCCATCATCCGAAACATATTGCTCATATACTTCTTGCATTAGAGCTCCTGCTTTGGGGACTGTGTTGTTTACAAATAGATATATTGTCTTCTCATTGGATATTGGTAACTTCGTATTATTATCAGTTGTGCCAACAGATTGCGTAATATGTTTATGAATTATATACTTAAATTCCCCAACTAACATATTCATAGGAACAAGAAACCTAAAATTGAAGATAATGTGGGAAATCTGACCTATTTCATCAATAAACTGTGATCTCAACTTACTTCTTCTTATCAATATCGGGTAAATCACTACGTATTGATCTTTCACATATTACAGGAATACGATTCGGGTATTTTGCACGGATACTTAAGGCTTCTGCAGCTCTTTTATCTAATAAAATATCCATAACAAAGTATTCACTATATATTACAACACATCATAGCTTACCAAATGGAATAGTATCCCTTATAGAGCTCATATCAAGTCCAATCTAATGCTACTACACTTTATCGTATTTTCAGTACAAACTGGGCTTCCTAGTAATCTAAAGTGTCCATTTTAATCTTAAATAGGCACCTTAGGCGCTATATTATGGGCGCCAAAAAGCCACATTTTATTTAGCAAGGTCTAATTTTTTGAAATTTATGGGATTTAAAATATATTGTACCTAAATATCTACTTATCAAATAAAGTTATCAAGATCTAAAGTTACTAGATTCCGTCTTTTTTCTTTTTATTTCCTTGAAAATCCCCAAGTAATTATGATAAAAATATCTTTGTATTAGAAAATGATATTTGAGTTATCCATTAATTTTGACAAATATATTAAGCTAGTCTAGAATTTACAATTTTAAAGTAGTGGGTTTATTGAGTTTGTAAACCATATATAAAGAAAAGGAAGGAAAAGAAGGGAAATACAAAACTTCACTAATTTTAATACCGTCCACGAAGATACGCGCCAAGAAAATTCACACAAATAAGCATAGATAAAGAAGATTTGCCACACGTACAGAATATCAAGACAGGGATTGTTGGATAAGGAATAAAACATAAAATAAGCTTATAAAAATAAATTGACAAGATTTCCAGATGAGACATGTATCCAACAAGTCCAAATGTTAGCTACATACCGGATCCAAAGAATATCTTTTCATCAAATTGCAGTTTACCAATAAAAGAAACCGGGGGATTGTCATATGCATCATCAGCTTATCCAAACTTATCAAATGGATCATCTGTATCCAACATTTATGATAGAAGTGGGATTATTAGCAATACAGTTACACCTAGTCCTAGAATGGCTTTAGACTATCCTGAATTATATACTTCTGTTTCAGATGTTAATGGTAATTTTCAGTTGAATATTAATAATGAATGTGTATCTTCTAATATATATCAATATAATAGTCCAGCCAAAATATCAACTATATATCCAGCTTACAAATATGAATCTGATACTTCATACAGACCACAGACAACATTGACTGAACCTACACCAATACGAAACATTAATCGTAGTGGTAGTAATCTACGACGTAGTGCAATGGTTGAGACATTAGTGCAGCAGCAATATTTAAATGGTACTCAGCTAGATAATATTTTAACTCCCTCAATTCGCAATGATCCTAATAAATTGATTGACTTGATATACAAGAAGCAGGCAGAACTAGGGAATTTACGGGTGCAACTAGATGAACTAAGAAAAAAAGAGATTGAATTAGAGAAAACTACAGAATTAAATATAGCAAGACGAAATGAGATAAAGTCTAATTTTATAACATTAGAAAATACGTTCTTTCAATATCGTAGTAGGAAATCTCATGAGATGAGTATATTAATCCAACAACTCCAGAATAGTTATAGAGACCGTCAGCAATTATCTGAGAGTTTGGCAAAACTTTGCGATGATATCTCAGTTACCCAAAGAGATCTACAGTTTTTTGATTCTCATGATAATGGTCATGAGACAAATATAAGTGAAATAATAGGGCATCATTCAGTGAAAGATCTACAAAATGAACTGGATTTAGTACAAAAGGAACGCAATGAACTACTTAATCTAATAAACTCTTCGGGAACTCAGTTAGAGAATTCAACTTGTAGTAATCAAGATTCTATTTTAGATCCTGATGATAATAACTTAGTAATGATTATTAATCACCTGAAGCAAGTCAACATGAGTTTATTTGAACAGAATCAAATTCTTTCTTTAAAGTCTAAAGGTAATTTTATTGAGTTTAGGAGGAATATGTTAGAGATTCAGAGCTATGTATCAAAGCTTGAGAGATGTATAGATAATAATGAAGCTCAAAGAATTCCTTATTATGTTCAAGATATTAATTCTATAATTCAAAAATTTATAAGTTGTCAGTAGGTTTTAATTAAATAGATCAAACTAATTCTCTATTTACAGGAATATCTGTTCTGGTTATTTCAATATATCCAGACTTTAGTTTTAAGTATAAGGAGAAATTCTTTAATTTTTTAGACTTTGCATATTAATTGTCTCAATACAATGCAATGGCTGTTGGCGCCATAAAATTATATGCGACAATACAACCGGCCACATGTAGTCTTAGAGGTTTTAAAAGTAAAGAATAAGAGTTTTTGTTTATCTTAAAGAAATTACTTCTGAAGTTACTGATTAAACTTAAGGATATTTCATTGAATAGCTAAGCAGCTTTAGTATTTGAGATGGAATATGGGAGATAACTTACAGGAGTTTAAGTATACAGAGCCAATACTTAAAGATACACTTAACAAAGCATTTTATATATGGCATGAGAGTTTTTTACGGACTAATGATAACTCTACTAGTATTTCACCTCAACCAATTGCTTTTTCTTGTAACATCAATATAATTAGTCTAATTTCAAGTAAAAGATTTGGAGGTTTTTTAACTTATGATGGGTATGCTTTTTATTGGGTATGGAGTAGTTTTAATAAGGATTTTTTTAATTCTAAGATTAATTTAGCTATTAATCCTGCTCCTGTTGAAGTTATAGAAGAACCTATTAAAAAAATAACATGTGGTGTAAATCATATAGCCTGTTTAGGAGATAGTGATACAGTATATTTTTGGGATTTTGATAAGCTATTTAGAAAAGAAGAGCAATTTAGGAATATTTCAGATTTCTTAATTAGAAAACCACTCATGTTTTCTTATTGGAAATTTTCTGTTGTAAAGATTACAAGTGGCTCCTCACATTTGTTAATATTGTTAGAAAATGGATCAGTATATGGAATTGGAGATAACTCTAAAGGAGCTCTAGGACACTCAGAAGTAGAAGATTGTTCAGAATTACAAATTATAAGACTTATAGAAGGTAAAGTCATTGATATAGTTGCAGGAAATGATTTATCAGCATGTATAACTGATAAGAAAAATGTTTATTATTGGGGCTATATTTCATACTTACCAAAAGATAAAATTCAATGGACTCCCAAAATTATAGATACTGGAAATCTGTTAAATAATCATTTGGAATGTTGCAGATCTCAGAAATGCGATTTACAAATTTGTTTATTGGCTTTATTTAATACTATTGCTATAGGGATTTGTTTTATGTGTGAAGTGATATCTGGAAATAGTCCAAATTATGCAACTCATATATATGTCTACAGTGATAAAGAAGAATCACTTAAATTATTAAAAGCTATAGATAATAAAGATGAGGCTTTTGTATCACTTCATTGGTTAAATAACCATTTATGTGGCAATAGATTGGATAATACAGTTTGGTTTCATTACATTGATTATAAAGATTTACTAAGTTCCTGTAATTTGAAAAATGAAATTACAATTAGACCAAAAGGAAGCACTTCACTTTCTCTTATGTATGGTAATGGAGATTGTCTAGTATCTTTAGTAGATATGGATATAGCATTATCTGAAAATAACTATAATAATACTATGGGTATACCTTTTACAGAGGAATCTTTTGATGTTGATTCTGAAAAAAAAAGTGTCCATGTAGAATTAGAACAGAATCAAAAAGAAATATTTATAGAAAGTATTGATCATTTCAATAATATTCGAATTCCTAGCTTAACAACTTTGCAAGAAAGTGATAATGAAGAAACTATTTGTAAGATTAATCAAGAGATTGGTATGATGGACTTAAGTGGTAATAAATATGAAGGAGATTGCATAAAAATTTCAACAATGGAAAGTGTAATTAATGAGAAGAAAAATTTTAATTTACAAACTCCCAGTGATAATATAGATGACCATTCAAAAGAAGAAATAATTAGAGATAGTTTAGAAAAATTTATTGATATCACTAATGAAGAGAAAAATCGAAATATTTCAAATAAACAAGAAACAGATTACAAAAGTACTAGTTACCAGTCAACCACTCAAAACTCCGAAAACTCTTTGCAGAGTTTTTCATCTTCTTCTATATGTCAACCTATAGAATTACCATCTTATTTAAAGCCTACAAAGGCATTTACTATTTCTACTTTTGCCTCAAATCTACCAATTTTTTCAAAGCATTCATATTTAAAAAAAGGTGAAGGTAAGGTAAACAAAACAATTAAAAATAAAAAAACAAATATAATGGATATGAAGAATAATATTAGTACATCAGATATATATATAAATAATCGTTTAGATCATTTTGACCCCTATCAAAGAAAAAAACTCGAAGAATATTACAATAAAATCTCTAATCTAGAGATGGAAAATAAGAAACTTCAAAAAATTCTTAATAATACAAATGAACAATACTTAAAAGATATGAAAATGATGTATAATAAACTTAAAGAAAAGGATGAGGAGAAATTTCCTTTAAAAAATGTTGTTACAACTTTACAAAGAGAACTCTTTATAGAACGTGAAGAAAAAGAGAAATTTAAGGAAGAACTTAATAAGTATAAAATTCAACTTCAAGGTGAGATAGAAAATAAGAATATTAAAAAAGAACTTCTTAATGGTCGATTATTAGCGGAGAGAAATAGACTTGCTAAGGATAAAGACGAACTAAAACTTGAAAATAATAAGATGGAAACTAAACTAGCTCAAATTGAGTTAATTCTTAATGAAGTTACTGGACGTTACAGCAAGTTAGAAGAAGAATACAAGGAATTGAATATAAAATATGAATCTTTAGATCATAATCATACAGAATGTATTAATAGCTTATCCAAATCTGAATTGGAAATATATGAATTGAAAAAAGAATTAGAACATCTAAATCAAATGAATAAACAGCAAAAATCCGTGGATTATCTATATAACTACATAGAAGAATTAGAAACAATGATCTCGCAGATAAAATCTGAATCATCTGAGCAGAGAGTCTCAAATAACAATGAATTTGAAAAAATTACTGAATGTATTATAATGAAAACTAAGGAACTTGAGATATCATTTAATGAATCAAATTGTCTCCTTAGCATAAATGACTGCAATAGTATACTTATAAAGGGAATTAATGATCTAATCTCGTTAATAATTACTAATATTAAAAAAGATCAAGATTTAAATATTGAACTCTTAGAAAGTCGGATTTCAGTTTTAGAAGAGAATCTAATGAATAAAGAGAAGGAGATTACAACTTTAATAGATAAGGAGCTGTGCTGTGATGAATAATTCAAAACATAGTTACTAGTAATAATTTTCTTATATACTGAGTCCCAGACTTTATTTCTAGAATTATGCATTATTCATTAATACTAATCCTTAATAATAAATAATAATGAATATAAAAGTTTCATGGGTAATATTTAGATCAAATTTCCTATACTTAATTTAATTAGAAATTTCAATTTGTAGAATTTTAAGGTAAATAAACTTATTACAATAGAATTATGAATACTAGTAGCAGTAAAATGTGGAACTCTACGAAATTACTAAGATCTCTGTACAAAGTGTATTCAATTTTCAATCACTTTGCACTAAATTTTCAGTAGATTGCAAAGTACTTGCAATAATTGAAAACTTTGCTTTAATTTTTAACAATATCTTAGTCAACACTTAAGCTTATGATTCATTCCAGAATGAAGATTCACGATCAATTGTTACAACAGTCTCTCTTGGTTGGTCATCTTCTTCTCTATCCTCATCCTCATACTCAGCCTCAAAACCATCAGCATATTCATCGTCATCTTCAGCATCGTCAGAATCACCTCTGTTTCTACGAGCATACCAAGCACCAACGCCTGCTGCTGCTAAAGCAACAGCTGCAGAAGCACCACCAGCAGCCTCAATTGTAACATCACCCTTAGAAGATGATGGTGGAGGAGGTGCCTTTTTAACGTTACTTGATTCTAAATTAATACCAGACATGTAATGTTGAGCATCTGAAAGTGCAACACTAGCTGGAATAATACCCCCATTTTTTGGAGCAGAAGTACCTGGAGCTGGGTAGAACACGCCTGCAGTTGATCCTGCTATTGGAGTGTTGGTAGTTGGATTAATAAGCTGACCAGAAGTACTATTAAATGGTAAATTAGTAGATGGATCAATTGGATTACCACTATTATCTTTCTTTGTTGGCTGCTGTCCTGCCTTTCCACTTAAGATACCACTTATAGAACTTGGTATTGACTTTCCTGTAGATGGATCTACCAAATTACCCTCTTTATTAAATGGAACTTTAGAAACTGGATCTATGGGATTCCCACTACTTGGATCTAATGGTAAACCGAAAATTCCATCTGTCGCAATTTTTTTATTGCGAGTATAAATTCCTGAATGAGCTACTGAACCTGTTAATGGTTTACCAGTTTGTGGATCATGTAATGTATTATAACCTGGTGTGAATGGTAACCCACTTGATGGATCTGATGGCATTCCTGTTACTGGGTCTGTTTGAGTTGGTGTTCCATCAACTTGATTTATAATAGGACTTGCAGATCCTGGTATTGTTTTGTTTGTATATGGGTTGTAAATCTGTCCAGTTTGTGAATCCCACCATACATTTGTATTAGTATCAGGCATTGCATTTGGACTTGGTTTTGGTGAAGATACAGTTGATGAATTAGATGGTAATGCTTGCTTAACTTCATTCTGAACTTGAGCAGGAGTTAAAACACCACCTGGACCAGGTTGTGGAACTCCCGGTGTTGACATAATTGTACCAGAATGAGAATTTGGAATGAACTTCTTTGTTTCATTATTATACAATTCCTTTGTTTTGGGGTCAAATTGTAAGCCAGTGTTTGGATCAATTGGAAGTCCAGTCTGCTTATCAGTCTTTGTAGATGGAATTCCTGACTTGCCTGAATTGAATCCAGAATGAGATCCAGGGAGAACTTTTTTTGTTGATGGATCAACTAGTGATCCATTTTTCTCTTGAGGTAAACCACTTACTGAATCTTTTGGTAAACCAGTCTCCTTATCAATTGGTAATCCTAATGTAGGATCTGTTGCAATATTACTTTGTTTTGTAAGTTTTGAATCACCTGATTCAGTTCCTGGGAATGGCTTATTAGTTTTTGGATCAACAAGGTGTCCACTATTTGGTTCAAATGGTATACCAGTTGATGAATCAACTGGGAGACCTGTTGTTTTGTCAGTCTGAATTGGAGTTTTATTTCCGGGGTAATGCAATACTCCAGCAATAGTTCCATTTATTTGTTTTCCCGTCAAAGGGTTAATCAAATGGCCAGTCTTATTACTATACTGTAAATGTGTAAGAGGATCTAGATTAATAGATGCTGGATCTACTGGAAGTTTATTTTCTCTTGCAAGCTTAGCTTGTTTTTTAGCTACTTCTGTTGGAATAATACCACCACCATCTATTGGTAATTTTGAAACTGGTTTTGTAGTACCAGAAACAGAATTTGGAATTATTACCTTTGTCTTTGGGTCAATAAGTTGATTATTTGAACTAATCGGTAAATTGGTAGATGGATCTACTTTTGTACCATTTATGAAAATTGGATCTTGTCCGGATTTTCCACTAATTATACCAGCTGTGGAGTTTGCTATTGGCTCTCCAGTAGTGGGATTAATCAATTGACCAGACTTTACATCGAATGGGACTTCACTGACTGGATCAATTGGTTTGCCAGATTTAGGATCAATTGGCAAACCAAAGGTAGGGTCAGTCTTAATCCCATTAGAATTTGTATATCCGGAAGAACCGGAAACTGAATTCTGTATTGTTGTATTTGCCTGGGGATTTTGGAGATTTCCTGTTTCCGGATTAAATGGTATACCAGTTGATGGGTCGATTGGATTCCCATTGGTTTGATCAGTTTGATATGGAGTTGATTTAATTGGATTTATTCCACCTGCAATAGAACCTATAATGGGACGGTGTGTCTTCGGATCAATTAATTTACCTGAAGTTATGTCATAAGGTACATTTGACACTGGATCTACTTTAATATTTGATGGTTTTATATCAGGTATAGCATTACTTGGGATAGACAATTTTGCATTAGATGCAGCACTTGATGATTTACTTAAAGGAACAATACCCCCACCTTGAATTTCTTTGTGTACAATAGGTTGTTTACTTGGACCTCTAGACCCGGGAATAACTTTGCCCGTAGCTGGATTAATTAACCCACCATTATTACTTATAGGTAAATGAGTAGCAGGGTCTACTTTTTTACCATCCACAGTAACTGTCTTTTTGGATCCTGATATACCACTTACAATACCTGATCTAGAACCTGGGATGTGGTTGCCTGATTTTGGATCAATAAGCTTACCAGACTTAGGATCAAATGGAACTTTAGATACTGGATCTATAGGATGACCTGTGGAACCATCAATTGGTAAACCATAAATAGAATCAGTTTTAGTTTTGGTATTAGTTGCATGAGAGTGTGCAACTGCAGTACCATTTAGAGTTTCATTTGTATGAGGATGAATTAATTTACCACTAGTTGTATTGAATGGTAAACCTGTCTTTGGGTCAATTGGATGATGAGATGTACTATGTGTCTGTATAGGATATATCTTCTTTATTGGAGAAATAGAACCACCAACAGACCCTGGAATTAAATTCCCAGAATTATCTATTAAATGACCACTATTTTCATCATATTTCATTCCTGTTGTATTATCAGCCTTTGGATTAATAGGAATTGGGTTCATTTTGATACTCTTTGGAGAAATTGGTACTTTTGTAGTTGTTGTTGTATGGATAACTTTTGGTATATGTTCATCATCATCACCAGTACTGGTTGGTTTATGTTCATCAGTATCTTCTGGTTTCTCTTTAGTAACATTCTCTTTTTTAGTCTTTGAACCAGTCTCATCACTAAGTGGCACAGAATCTTCATGTCCAGTTTCTTCTGTTGTAGTTGTAGTTGGTTTCCTTGTAGTTGTAGTTGTAGTTGGTTTCTTTGTAGTTGTTGTAGTAGTAGTTGGTTTCTTTGTAGTTGTTGTAGTTGTAGTTGGTTTCTTTGTAGTTGTTGTAGTTGTAGTTGGTTTCTTTGTAGTTGTTGTAGTAGTTGGTTTCTTTGTAGTTGTTGTAGTTGTTGTAGTTGTTGTAGTTGTTGTAGTTGTTGTAGTTGTTGTAGTTGTTGTAGTTGGTTTCTTTGTAGTTGTAGTAGTAGTTGGTTTTTCTGTAGTTGTCGTAGTAGTAGTTGGTTTTTCTGTAGTTGTCGTAGTAGTAGTTGGTTTTTCTGTAGTTGTCGTAGTAGTAGTTGGTTTTTCTGTAGTTGTAGTAGTAGTTGGTTTTTCTGTAGTTGTCGTAGTAGTAGTTGGTTTCCTTGTAGTTGTTGTAGTAGTAGTTGGTTTCTTTGTAGTTGTTGTTGTTGTTGTTGTTGTTGTTGTTGTAGTTGTAGTTGTAGTTGTAGTTGTAGTTGTAGTTGTAGTTGTAGTTGTAGTTGTAGTTGTAGTTGTAGTTGTAGTTGTAGTTGTAGTTGTAGTTGTTGTAGTTGTAGTTGTAGTTGTAGTTGTAGTTGGTTTCTTTGTAGTTGTAGTAGTAGTTGTTGGTTTTCTTGTTGTTGTAGTTGTAGTTGGTTTCTCTGTACTTCCAGTATCTAGTTTAAGTGGGGGTTTGCTCATGACTTCTTTAGTTCTTATAGTTGTAGCTTTTGTAGTTGTAGTTGTAACTTCTGTAGGGTTTACAGCATAACATCTGGTGAATGGAACATAGATCTCTGAAATTACATCGTATATTTGACCTTCATCGAAAGTTCTTTGATCATTACAAGGAACATTAATAATAGGGTCAATAAATAGAAAATTAGTTTCTTTGCTAGGAGTAATAGGTTTTAGGCTTTCATCGTGGAAAACACCTGCATATGACCCAATAATTTGTTCTCCATTCAACCTATTAACTAAGTATCCACTTATAGGATCAAATGGGCAGTTAGAATAGGAATCTATAGGTAGACCAGTATTAGTGTCTACCATCATTCCAGTTACAATATCTTTTACATATCCATTGTGCCATCCACATGTTCTAGTTCCACCTAACCAGGAATAATTATCCCCTGGATATATAAGTCTACCATTAAAAGCATCAATAGACCAGTTAATTGCAGTGTCGATGAAAGTTCCAGGGTTATTCTCACTAAAGGTAAATGTAGAATTTGCACAAATGGGAGATGTAATACCAGCAATTGAACCAGTTAAAGTTACCAAACTACACGCATCAAAAAGTTCTTTTGTTTCTTTATTAAATGGTAATCGAGTTATAGGGTCATATATTAGATCTTTTTTATCTTTTGTGAGAAATTCGATGACTGGCAAATTTGTTTCTGGATCTAATTTTAAGGGAGCTATAAAGTAATTACTATTTATATCTTTACTTCCAGTAATAATACCAGAATATGGATTATAGGTATTCCCGGAACTATCTACTGGTAGAAAAGTCTCAGTATCGATACTAGATGGAATAGATATACTATAGAAGTTTGTTATTTCTGTACTACAACCAGTATCACTACTATATTCGTGTGATGTATCCAAGCGCATATTTCCAGTTATTGATCCAAGAGCATCAACCCTCATTTGCAATATATTACTAGAGTGAAAACTCAAGGTTAATAATGGTAAAGAAGCTACAATTAAGATTGCCACCCATGAAGCTTTAACTTTAGATAAAATCATTTTAATACTCCAGCAGTAAAAAGAATAGTCTTGCTATATTAATACTTGGTAATCTTGAAAAAGGTGTAATAAGGTCCAGGTTAGATAACTTAAGCAATATCGTGTTCAAGTTCTGCAATTACTTTGCTGTTTATCAAATCTCACCAAAAACCTTCTTAACAAGAGTGCACCCAAAATGCACAACAATGTCGAACTAATTTTAGATAATTAATTATACAAAGCTGCAGACTAGTATGTAGTATATGTACACGTATTGTGTACAGACAATGCATTTGTGTAGTCAATAGTCATTGCTATACTTTGCATGTAACTAGGGTGCAATCCAAAATATACGTATTAATACGTCTAAGTTGGCGCTTTTTTTTTTTTTTTCTTAAATATAAGGTTATACTCAGTTAGAGAAAGGGCCTTGATAGAAACTTAGTAAAATTATATATATTTAAAGTAGTGATATACCTTATGGGTGTTAAAAGAAGTGAAGTTTATATTTAGTTGGACAGAATAAAATAGATCCCCTAAAGTCTCCCAATCGGTAGCACTAGTAGTCTAGTGGTAGGATAACGCGTTCCCATTGCGTTGGCCCGGTTTCGATTACCGGCTAGTGCACTTTTTCGGAGACCTTAAAGATTACACAACGGAACATAATTTGTGGAAAGTTTTGTATCATCTATCTACTTATTTATAAAAAAAAAAAAAGTTAGGAGGTATTTCTGATAATTGAACATAGTAAATAAAGGGGATTTGTTATTCTTAATGAAATAGAACATATTTTAGCCTTATACTCTTGTAGGTATTCTATTTGGTAAAGAATCTTTTGGTTTTTTGTTTACCCATGGTGGTTCCACTTGAGGATGATTTTGTGCATATAATGGATCACTGGTTGGTGGTAATTGTCCAGTATCTCCTGGAGTAGGACCAACAACATCAACTTTTTGCAACATTCGCCACTCAGGAGGAAATCTAAGAGCTGACTGAGCTTCACGTAAGTCATGCTCGAGCATTTGCATGACTAATTGTTGTTCTTCTATTTGTTTTTCAAGTTTTCTACAAGCTAGTAGCATACTTATAACATCACTTTGATCCTGAGGTTCTATATTAGCAAAATAGGCTGCCATCTCAGATAAACTACTGTATGGCCGACGTCTAGGAGTTATAAGTCCTCCAACAAATGGTTTGTGTGTACGCTTTATATTTTTAAAGTCCTTTTTAGCTAAATACTGACGAGATTTCCCAATGCGGGATCTTGTGAGTTGATCTGGAATAAATTCATCAACTTCACTATACTTAGGTCGTAACATTTCCTTTTGAATCTTTTCATTTTGATTCTTTTCCTCTTGATCAGATTCATTAATATCAGATATTTCTATATCTTCATATAAATCATTACTCCCTCTAATTTGTGAAAGTTTTCTTTCTACACTGTGCCAATTACTTTGACTAACAACTTTCTTATCCCATGTATACTGGTCTGTACCATCACACCTTCTTAAATCTTTTTTAGGATCTTCTTGATTAGTTATCTGAGTATGTATAGGTTCCTGAATACTTGTTTTAGTTTCTACTTTAACATCTCCTGTTGAAGGAACTTTTATGTTGGTAGATTTTTCACATTTGTTGCTGAAGTTGCTAATTGCATCATTATTATGTTTATCTCGTACTTTCTTCTTTTTATGAGATTTATGCTTATGACAACACTTCTGACATCTGTTATTACCTGCAGAATTGCATATAGCAGCAATAGTAGTTATTATTTGCCATATTGCTGGATCTAAACCTTGATAGCTAGTTTCAAGAGTTTGTTCCTTCTCTGCAACATCTGATGAATAATCTTTATCTCCCCTATTCCTCAAATTATGTAGACTATTAGCAGTTAATGCATATCTATCCCCAGTTTTGTAATATGAAGATCGGCTCATATATTTATCTAAATCACGATCACCATTTGTTGGATCTTTGCAAATTCTGCTTTGTTCTAAAATTACTTGTCTATCATTAATAATTCTTGGTGTGTTAACTTTTTGACTCAAATTAAAATGAGGTTTTGAATATCCTTCAACGCGATCAGTTTCATCATTATTTAATATATTAAATGTTGGTGTTCTTACCCCTATCTTTTTATCACTTTGAACTTCATTACTTATTGTTTCATATTTCGGAAATACTGAGTAGGTTTTAAGTGTTGCTTTTTTTATCTTATCTTTAGTATTCTCTGATGAATTTAATGAAACATTTGTTAACTTTTTTGTAGGTATAGAGCTTTCAGTCAATTTGGAAAGTATTGGAGCATCTAAAGTTTTTATCACAGGTTCAAGATTAGTGGCCTGATCAGAAATTATCCTTGAGTTTTTAGGATTTGTTACTTCTTTTACTAAAGTATTCGAAACCTCAGTAGTATTAGGAGATATTAAATCTGTCTTATTCACCTTCTCAGGTTGAGAATCTACTTTTAAGGAAGTATTCTGTAAAATTATTCCATTAGATTTACTTTTCAGTTCTGGAATAGTTTTTTTTGTATTAATATTTAATATATTCCTTGACTCAGTATTAACAGAAAGATTGGAAAGTAATTTGGTTGCAACAGATTTCTTAATATTATTATTGGATAAACTTGTAGAATTAGCTAAAGGGATTGGTTCATGAGTATCAACTTGTTTGTCGGGGATTTTTATATCTTCCTTGTATTCAACTTTAGGAATAACACTTGGTGGAGCAGGTTCACCTACTTTTATAGCTGGTACTATACCTTTAGTAACAGTAACAGTAGGAAGAGTTGCAGTTGACTTAATAGGTGGAGCTTTCATTATAGATTTAGAGACATCAGGTAAGTCTAATGATTTAGTAGTAATAGATTTTGTTAGGGATTTAGAAATATTAATAGTTGGTTCTGGTGGTTTAGTATCGTCTTTGGTAGCTATATATTTTAAGGATTCCTGTTTCTTAATATCACCATTATGAGCTTCTGATAAAAAAGGAACTTCTTTAGATTCTGGTACAGATGTAGGAACTGTTGGAATATTTGCTTTTATTGCAGGTTTAGGAATTGGCTTTGTAACGGGAGTTACTAAAGCCTTTGGTACTGAATCTTTAGGTTGCACCTTTGCACCTGATATAACAAGTTGTTTTTTTGGAGGAAGTACTGGTACACTTACAGATGAAGTACTTTGGTTGAAATTCTTGGTCTGAACTGGTGGGTTTGGAATCTTAGTTAATGACTGTTTTAAGGGTATTGAATTTATATCTGCTTTCATAATATACTTCAGTTATAAATATAATACTATGCACTCACTCATATGGTTCTTAGATTTAATTTATTTCGCTTTGTTATAGCTACAAATTCCTATATCCTATGTTATTTACAAGCTGACACTCTCATACACACAGTACGCGCTATACATTGTCTTGTCGTATAAATTTATTGGATTAATACATCAAAGAATTTGTGGGGGTAAAAAGAAAAAAGTTAGAGTGTTGGTAATATCAACTATATTATAAATAACGTCATACATTCAAAATAAGTACTTAGCTAACTTAGATTATCTTTACATCTAGTTCTATACGAATCCTAGTATTAATCTAAAAAGTGGCTGAAGTATGCTATAGCAAACCAAATTGTAGATTTACTTAGAAACATTAATATGCAGGACCTAATATAACATAAGGCTTATATTTAGGACCTACTAAAGCCAATAGAAACATTGCTATCAGAAATGTATACAATGCTGATAGTAGTGATCCCGTATACAAAGCTGCAACTGCAACTTTATAACGTGGGCTAGATTTCGGTGCTCTAGATAATATCAAAAAGGCTATACAGCCTATTGGTGGAAATATGAAGCTCAATATTAATGCAACTAGTGGTAATTTAGCTTCCTTCATCTTCCATATATTGATATTTTTATTCTCCAGTTTATTGATATCTTCTTCAAGAATATCGTCCATAAAACTTATCTTAGAGTGTGAATAATAGCTTGTTATATTGGAACTATTGGTGTGAATATGTTTAGGTGTCATAGTAAATTTATTTCTTTGTTTTTGTCTCTTATACTTCAAAGTGATTGTGAATTCTAAAATAACAATGATTTTTAGATAATCATAGGCGCCCAAGGTGCCTCATTTCTAACCATGCATCTAAGATGCAGCTTGCAGTATATTTTATAGGTAGAATAACTAAAAGATTAAATAAAGAGTCTCAGTATTTAGTCATTTTTTTAAAATCTATAAAATACCACGGTAAATCTTTATATAATACTACTTCCCAAAAGAACTAAATACTTAACCAAATTCCTTCAATAATAACTAAAAGTATTGGAAAAGTTCTAAATTAAGTAGCAAAGACGAAAGAAATTCTTCACTATCCAAATTACTTTATATAATCGAAGTTTCTCTGTAATTTGTAACTTCTTTTTTATTATTATAATATTAAAGTAACAATATTTGGTGGCGCTATATATGTTATCTATTTTGCGGGATTTTTGAGACGGCCTATTTGAGACAGACAGATTTTTAAAAGTTTGGCGCTACAACTTATTTTTAGCTAGTCTTTAAGGTTCTATTTTCTACTCTCTAACTGCAAGACTAATAACAACATTTTAAGTTTGTCTATTTACTGCTTAAAGTTCCAAGATGCCCGTGCAAATAACTGACTTGCGTACTTTTATTAATACTTCCCGTCGTCAAGATGCGAAGTCTGTAGCTGTTGTACGTGTAAAGAGGGAGCATCATGTAACTACAAAATTCAAGATAAGATGTAGTAGATATCTTTACACTTTAGTAATGAAGGATGCTGAGAAGGCCAAGAAATTAGAGGCATCACTCCCACCAACTTTGAATAAGGTCGTTATTAATAGGTCTGGGAAGAAGTGAAGGGTCTGCAATGAATAATAAGTAATTCAGAATATTGTACTAGTCTTAGTTCCTTATAATTTATTACTTTATTGGAACTATTTTTGCATTACCTCTCCTCTTAATATAGTGATTTATAATTTAATATAAGGGGAGACTACTATATATTATGCAAATAGAGTCAGGACTGACTTTTCACTAAGTGGTAATGTAGATATACTGGATATTTTGGGTTTCATATTAAGAATATTTATCTAAGAGGATTTAGATTACTTTGAAAGTAAAAGTACAATACAATATAATGCAAAATTAAGATATTATGTACTATTTGAAGCCTGCAATGTGTACTTTAATTGCGCATGATATTGAATTTAATTTGACAATTGAGTTGAATTAATTACATATTCATTATGAAGAAATAGTATAAGACAATGAATATAGAGAAACTAAGTTTTAATTTGTCAAACCAACTTAAAAGGTTGCACTTTTTCTATACCATCCCAATAAGATATACTTTATTCTGTTTCTTTGTATGATGTAGTATGTGATCTTTTTATATCTAATAGGGTCGTGAATTCTAATTCTTGATAATATTTACATACTGAGAGTATATTACTCTTGAACAGCTTATTTTTAGGGTAGTGATTTCACCCGCTAATCTTGTCTCTTAAACTAGACAATTCCCCTCAATCTTATTGTCAACGTTATATTCAGTATCCTCAATGCATACTACTGGAGAACTTTATAAAGAACTTCATGAGCTAGTCGATTCAGAGCAATATGAAATAGCAATTAATATTTGTAATAAATTGAAGGCTTTAGGATGTAATAACGAAGATGTTTTGAGAACTAAAATATACTGCCTTATACAACGTGGAAAATGGCATCAAGCCATTAATTACATTGATTTAATAAAAGGAAGATTTTCCACTGACTTATTTTATGAGAGGTCTTATTGTCTATATCGTATGAATCGTTTAGAAGAAGCATTAAAGTGTCTTGATTCATTTTGTGTAAAATCTACTAACTTCGTAGATACCTCGATACTACATCTAAAGGCCCAAATTTTTTATCTTATGGGACGTTTTCAGGAATGTGAATGTTTATATAAGAATTTAATTGGTATATCTGATCATAACAATGCAGAAGAGCAGATGCTCTTATCTGTAAATCATGTGGCTGTTCAAGCATCAGATGAAAATCTTTCAATATATTCTAATTATCAAGAAGATCAATCTTATATATTTTTTTCTTCATATGAATATTGGTTTAATTTGGCATGTCTGCATATTGTGAACAAGGAATATGAGAAGGCTGTAAGAGCTTTGAACAAGTCTCAAGAAATCTATATGACTGCTAACCCTACACAAAGTGAAGAAAAGGAATATAATTCAAATAAAAGTGACATGTGCTCATTTAAATTATGTAGAGCTTATATTTTCCAACAAATTGGTGAGTATGATAAAGCTCTAAATTTATACACATGCTGTATTGAAGAATACAAACTAAATGGGATATTTTTAGAATCTTCTATTGTTCAACTTGCTGTGGTAGCCTTTAATAATATGATATCACTTCAAACTAGGGATAAATCTGACAATTATATTGATGGTTTAAACCGTTTAACAATTACATCTAAAGAAAATTTTTATAACAAACTTATATCATCTCAAAAATTTTCAATATGTTTGAATAAGGCATTTTCATGTTATTCTTCTCCTCAATATAATAGATATATTAGAGATGCTGAGAAGTTTACAGTTTACAAAACTAAACTGGAACTTTTTAAAGTAGGAATCTACATGTTACAAGGTAAGGAAAAGAAAGCCCTATCATCTTTAGAATATCTTCATAAACAAAGTCCAGAAAATTTGGCATATTCCAATGCATTACTGAGTCTTGCAATTAAACTTAAAAGTTTCAAGAATATCCCGAGATTTATAGATATTATACTTAGCCAATATATAAAGGTCATTACTAAAGAATATAAATCTAACACAGACTGGATATCTAGCTCTACTTTTGAACATCTGATTAGGTTACTAATTTATACAAAGATGGATAAAGTTATAAGTATATCAACAATTATCTATAAATTGGATACATTTTGTAACTCATTAAAACAAGCATTGAATACTAAAGAGGGGGCAATTAACAATAATATTATAGCTGAAATTTTAAATATTTTAGGCAATACATTTCTATGTATTGGGATGTTCTCCAAATCTGTAGAGTGCTTCTCAACTGCTTTAAATATAACCTCAAGTAATGATATGTCATCAGTTATAGGTTTAGTCATATCAGCATCACTCAATAATAATTCAAATCTGAATTTGAAACAATATCTGCGGATTTTAGATAATAAACTACCATCTTCTATGTTCTCAATAGACCCTGAGACTCTTGAGAGGTCAGAGATACCTAATATACCTCACTCCAGTAATAATTTGGATTCTGAACCTGTGCTAAGTGTATGTCAAAAAAGTAAATCTAAGCACCATAAAAGAAAAATAAGATACCCAAAGGGATTTGATCTAAATAATCCAGGACCTTATCCTGATCCTGAAAGATGGTTACCAAAGGAAGAGAGGTCATCATTTAAGAAATTACATAAGACTAAAAATCAGAGGAATAAGGGAACTTTACAGAAAGGGGGGCACCAAGGAGCTATACCAACAAGTGACACATCTTTTAGAAATAAAGGACCATCAACTGCTAAAAAAGAAGTAGACACAGATAATAATCACTCTAGGCGACAAAGGAGAAAAAGACGTTAAGTTAGAGAAAATATTAGTAGTCTAGAAATTAAGCTAGCACTTTAAGTGAATCTACCTCTAACAAAGTATCTATGTTTATTTTTTTTACTAGAAGAGATCCGAAGTGTTTAAGGCGATCTATTCCACGTACCTAAAAGATATTTTTTGAAGTATTCAATATTATGTATATTACAAGGTATCCAGTACGTACGAACTTACCTCACTCTGTAAAGTTGGAATGTATGCTACATGAAAATCACAACCATACAGGTCCCTGATTTGTTCTAAATATTTACGTTGCATGCTTCTTCTAGATTGATAAGATTCATATAAGATCCCAGTATAATTCCATAATGTCCTATATTCTGAAACAAGACTTAAAGTAAAACTACGAAGTTCATTTGGATCGTTTGGGATCTCTTCACACATATATTTAGATGGGATACTTAAAGTTGTATTCGATTTATCTTCACCAATTAGTTTGTCAGCAATAGGAAATACTACTTGATTAACCACAATATGTGAACAATCTATAGACTGTTTTGCTAATTCCTGTATAAGGCGTTCTGTTTCATAAACGGAAAGAAATTCCGGGATGCAAACACATACAAATGATGTTTTTGAGGCATCTTGAAATGTCTCTTTTACAGAAGTTGTGATAGCTCTTAAATCATCAAGTTTAGAATGAATATCATCTTCTTGTAAAGAGCTACCACTAATAGAATTAAATAGTTGAAAAGCACCCGACATTTTTTGTCTTAGAGAACTTAATTTAGTCAAACCCTTCTCTAATAAACTTGGAAAGCTTAATAGACGAAGTGTATGACCTGTTGGTGCAGTGTCAAATACAATGACACTGTATGACATTGTCTGAACAAATTGCATAAGAGCAGCAAAGCTTAGAGCCTCATCTATACCAGGTAAGGCAGATAATAGATCTGGGAGAAATTTAGATAAATTAAAGCCCTCATCCTTAAGTTTAAATTCCATTACTTGTTGGTAGGAAGGATCTAACTCCATTGCATATAAATTCTTGTATCCATTAATCAAGGTAGGTGTACTACCAAATTTCTGAACAAATGCATCACTTAGATTATGAGCTGGATCAGTAGATAGTATTAAAACCTAAATAAATTCAATATAGATATTAATTATTATAAAAAAAAGAGACAAAACTTACACTATCTCGCTCTTCTGAAAGCTTAGAAGCAATAGAACATGATGTAGTTGTCTTCCCGACACCTCCTTTACCTCCCACAAATATCCACTTCAAAGATTTTAGAGCAAATAGAGAACTTAATGATGGTTCCAAATCATTTTCAAGATCAAAATAAAGTGCGGACATCTTAAGTTTTTTTAGCTTCAAGATAGTCACACAAGTTTAAGTCTTGCCAATAAATAATGTGCTACTCTTTTAAAGGTAACAAATATTTAATTTTTACGGCATCAATGTTTGAGTTATAGTACTAATTTTAGCGGTTAAGTAACTTTTTTCGCCACTATTAACGTCCTGTATCACCTTTTAACCCTTAATTTTGTGGGAAAATCGATATCTAAGCTGGTAATATTGCATTGTAAGGATATCTGAATCTTTGCATCTCCTATATTTTTTGTTTTAGAACTATTATAAACTGACATGAAAAAAGTATTAAAGTCTTTGTGCCTAATTCTCTTGACTACCCCTGCATGTTTTATATATTGCTTATACTCAAAAGACTCTCCAGTAAAAGTAGTCACTGGTAATCATTTAAATAAAATAATTAAAGAACATCCAGTAGTAATTGCTGAATTCTTTGCCGAGTGGTGTGGGCACTGTAAAGCTTTTGCACCTGAGTATGAGAAAGCAGCTAGTGCCTTAAAGGGTATAGTACCATTAGTTGCAATTAATAATGAAAGTGATATGACAGAATATGGAATCAAGGGATTTCCAACAGTTAAAGTCCTTTCAAGTTCTTTTAATAAACCAAAGGATTATTCGGGTCCGAGAACTAGTGAAGGAGTAGTTAATGCTGCATTAGCTGCTTTAAAGGATGTTGCTAACTCACGCTTAAGTGGCAAGAAAACAGATAATAAAAAATCAAACAAATCTGAATTTAGTAAAGGAAAAGATAAAAAAAAGAAAACAACGAAATCTGATGTTGTAGAATTGACAGACTCAAATTTCGATAAGATAGTGTTAGAAGATCAAGAATCATCCTGGTTTATCAAATTCTACGCTCCTTGGTGTGGTCACTGCAGAAATCTTGCTCCAGATTGGGAAGAGCTAGGATATCTAGCTAAGGGAAAAGTTAAAATTGGCAAAGTTGATGCTACACAACACACAATGGTAGCACAAAGGTATCAGATCCAAGGTTTCCCCACTTTATTGATGTTCCCTTCAGGAAATAAGAAGGAATTGAATCCAATCCCCTACAATGGACCGAGGTCAGCTAGTGATTTAATGGAATTTGCAGCTAAATTTCAATCTCGAATAATTAAAGTTGAACAATTGTTAAATCAAGAAAAGTTCGAAGAGAATTGTAGTAAAGGACTCTGTGTGATTGCCTTCCTTCCAAATATAGTTGATAGTAGTGTCTCAGATAGGCAAAAGTATTTGGAAGACTATAAGAAAGTAATTAAAGTTTCTGCTGCTGTTCCAGTACGATTCTTATGGTCCGAAGGAGGAAGTCAGTTCGAATTTGAAGAAAAACTCAATTTGGCATTTGGTTATCCTGCTACTATTGCCATTAATGTAGAAAAGCAAAGATTTTCTACTCATAGAGGAAGTTTTACTGTGGAATCTTTGAACTCTTTTCTGACTGCTCTCACCACTGGTAGAGCTCCAGTGGACCCTCTACCTAAATTACCACCTATTGTTACAGTTGAGCCTTGGGATCCTAAGGAACAAACTCCAATACAAGATGAACTCTAAGCGAAATACAATGAAATAATAAAAAAAAAAAAGGAAATATTTAGAGATTATTGATGTAATATCACTTTCCTACTTAAATTTTAATAGAAAATTTTTGTTTAAACTAATTTTTATTTAATTAATCGCTCAAAATCTGTGCGAAATTGATCAAGCTTAAAAGGAGCCACGGAACGTTGTAAAACTGTGCTTATACTTTTCCACTTTACATTCCCTAAAATAGTTCTAATACATTTAATTGCAGTAGCACGTATATCTGGCGTAGATCCATTTATATTGCTGTGAATAAACTCGATACATGATAATAGATGACTGCACTTCAAAATATTAACACCTATTTGTTGTAAAATCATTTCTATAGCAGCAAGGCATTTATGGATAATTATCGAACTTCGACTACGTAGTCCGTAGTTGACAAATTTACCCAATAATTTGTCACCACATTTTACTAAACAAATTGTCTTAATAGCCTGATATGCATCATTTGCTAAGAATTTATTGCGATCTGTAGTTCTCTTTAGTAAAGCATCAATACTAAGATCTAAGAACCTTCCGAAATCCAGACAATTTCCACAATTCAAGTATAATTCTTCAATAGCATATAATGCCACTTTACTGACACTAGAACGCAGTGAATTAACCCATCTTATAATACTTTCCCCAACATAAGTAGCATTGAAACTTTTTTGCCTAGAGTTATGGGACTGCATAAATGCTATGTTATTGTTTAATAATTGAGAATGAAATATTATAATACGACGCAAATTTGTGATCTCTTCTACAACTTTATTCCAATCTTCAGTCAGTAATTCACAAGTTGATAAAAAGTGTATAGAATTTTGATATATAGATTCTATTTTGTCAATACTTGTTGATATTATATCTGAGAAATTTGTAATGTCAGATTTCTTTAATACTTTTTCCTTATTTAATTCCACTTTAATAGATACTAGAGATTTATTATTAGAATCAATGAGGCAATGATTATTTGGTGAATCTATCTTACTATTATTATAAATAATCTGTTGACTATTATATTTCTCAACATTATTTTCAGTACTAGAACTCTTTAAAGAACTATCATAATCTTCACTGTCTTCAATTATATTGCTTAGATTAAAATCTATAATAGTCACATATCCATCTTCTATATCTGGAAGTGGTGGATTTTGAAGAATTCGTTTCTGTAATATTTTTAATGGGGTAAAAGGTGAAGCTTGTTTACGCTCTATAGGAAGAGCATTTACAGCTAAATTTATTACTGTTCTAAAGTAGTCATTGCCAACAACAGACAAATATACACGTAAGCCATCTATTGCACGACAAACAACTTCTTCTTCATCATCATACATAGACCAAACTAAGGCTTGTACAATTCTTGTTGGATTATAAGGAAATTTAGATGACATTGGTACTGCTAAAAAAGCATAAATTAAAATTCCAACTATTTCAATTCTAATAATAGAATTATGATGTTTTATTGCTTTGCATAGCTGCATTATAAGACTGTCTATTAATTTTTCACGACTTTGACAATTATCTACACTTAGAGCATTAGAATTAATATCATCTTTAGTAGCTATACTGAGTTGAGAAAATTGAATTATATTCTGAATACATCTAGTAGCTTCAGAACATGATAATGAACAGGAGTCACATAAGTGTAAAATCAGTTCGTAGACCAAATTAGTATTTACTATACTCTTACTTGGATTTTGATCTCCGATAGTCTCAGTGCTCACAAGATATTTTTTTAAACAACAAGTTAGAACTTTTTCAACAAGTACATCTCCCATGTCTCCTGATAAAGATGAGCTCAGTCCAAAAGATAATCCTTCTAGCCTTTGACTAACAGAACCTAACAAACTAATAATACTGCGAATTACTTTTACAGTATTCATTCTATTATTTCTATGTAATTGATCTACCCAATAATTAAAAACTTTATCCCACAAATATAAGTATATGATTTCATTTAGAGGACTTGATTCGATAGCTTTTATTAAAGAACCCTCAAAATCAGTACTTTGATCACTATTATGAATCAAAAATTTATCTTTTTCTTGTGGGAAATCTTTTAAATCCTTTACTGTGTTACATACTACTCCTTGTTTATTTTCAAAGTTAACATTATTGTCAAATGAAAAGCTTGTTTGGTTAACAGATGATTCGAGATCCAATTCACCAATATTACAAAATTTAGAGCTCATTTTCGCCAGTTTTTAAACACATTTCACCTTACTTTCGTATTTTTTTTTCCTTGTTTTTTGTTTTCAACTATTCACAATTCTAGATGTATGTGGAAGCTTAAAATCACGCTTGAAACTAGAAGTAAATCTTCAAATAATTAGTACTCTTAAAATCTAAATGCTCTAGAGAAATTATTTTTGTGGTTCCTGATAATTTAATTACTTTATAAGTTTGCAAAGTTAAAATATAATAGCAAGTCTTTAATATTATGAGACTTTATCTATAGAATTAGCATGTGACCTACCAGGCGCCACACTTCAAAAATAATTCTTCCACACTTGTGTAGCAAAGTTTAAAACTAAAATATGCAGTATGACATCATTGTTAAGCACGTAAATGAATTATAATGAACTATAGTACTGAGAATACTTCAGATACTGAACCCTTAAGAAACTCTGATATACCTTTTGAGTTAGTTACTTTGATTGAAGCTATATTCTATTATGTAGGAGGTTTTCTAATTTCAGTTAAAGGTACAACTCAGAACGAAGTTTTAATACTAAAGTAAGTAAAAATCTCAATGAGTCAATAAGGAAATTCATTTGAACTTTTTTCTTAAATATTTATACTGGATCTAAAAAATGTAATATAAAATGAATAAAATAACACAGAATCCTACTAGATGAAAATTACGAAAGTAAGCTTTACTGTATATATTGTACTTGAACATTTAAATAAATATCAAATTCAGACAACAATGGAGTTACTTTGAAAACTATTGAGATGAGACTTAATGCTATTCAAGGAATAGATCCTTTGCTCAAGATAATGTTGGCTAAAGTCTTCCCCGTAAGTTAGAAAAGAAAAAAAAAAAACTATAAAATACCCAATATTTAATTGATTGTAAAATTGGAAATTGTATCCAAAATTTCTACTTATTAGAAATCTCTTATGTATATTATAAACCAAGAAAGTCAACTTTGTTTGAGTCATATAGAGGGATACAACAAATCTGTCGTATACATGACACTTGATGACTTGTTAGATAGTCTTATAGAAGAGTGCGGATTTATTGAACTTGAATAAGATTATTTTAACAAGTTATATAGCAAAAATTTTGAAATTAATTTTTCTCGGTATATTTACAGTGCTTTATTAGAAATACATTGTTAAAATTGAAACAATTAAATAGACTCCTCAAATAAATGATTGCACTAATTATAATTCTAATGTATCCACAGGATTTTATCCAAGTAATAGTTCAAAGAATATTATGAATATATTCAATATAACAAGAGGTACTAGAAAATATATAAAAACTCATAATTTATTAAAAAATTCAAATATTTATCAATAGTCACTTACATCTTAAATAAGTTCGAATTGCATATAAAAAGATTGCTACTTGATGTTTTACACCTTCTCCATACATTGGTTTATCCAAACCATCTAATTATAAAGAATAAGTCATTATAGTATTAGTAAAGGTATATCAATAGAAAACACGTACAGTATCTTAGAAATCTCCTATCATTTAGGATAGCTAATGAATTGAGAGCTAGAATTAACGCTTCAAACAAATGAGTAAAACATAAAGACATAGTATTTGTTTTGCCTGTACTAAGTATTAATACCTATTTTATCAATTAAACAAGGATCACAGAAACACAACCCGCTAGAACGTGTGTAGGGTATCATAATTAGCTAAGAAGATTGTGTCTAAGATCTTTTAGAAGGGTTTTGAAAGTTAAGATCAGGTTTAATTATTAGAATAAAGAAAGTAAAACATATATAATTAAAAGAAATAGACCATGATGATATTCATAAAGTAATGTCGAAGAAAAAAAAAGAGTTTGGATTAAGCACGAGTAAAGTACCTATGGCGCGATGAGACTCTAGAAAGATGATTACACCTAAGTAAATTTCTCCAACAAGTAATATCATAATTATTTTGAGCATTACATTGAACTTGCATTGTATCCACATCTTGATCTAACTGTATTTCAGATTGATCATCCAGAGTTTCATGACTCTGTCTATTATTATGTCCTTTAGATGAGTATATATTAATATTGTTTCTATTAAGTGAAACATTATTAATATTTTTTTCAGTAATACAAGGTAATAGAATATTTTTAAGTGATGCTCTAGACTTGATAGTTTTCAAAAATATAAGTGTTTTTCCTATTTGAAGAGATATTCCCTCCTTGCCAATCTTGAATGGCCGTGATAGTTCAACTAATGATCCAAATTTACTTCTGCGATCTGATAAGCATATTTCATAATCTCCACATATGAAACAATGTTGTAACTGAGCATGTGATCTACTCACACTTATTTCTCCAAATCTTACATCAGAATTATGACCACGGCCTACATACACACTACTCCTTGGATCTCCAAATGATACAATTATTTGATTTATTTTGCAAGTATATTCACTTTCAATTGGAACCAAGATTATATAAGGATACTTGGGTCTAGGAATCCTGAATAAAGGTAAAGTTAATAATGACTCACCATTTGGTATCCATAATTGATTTGGAAATGTAACCTTGCACAATTCACAATCAAATTTCCTCAAATTAAAACATACTGGACGATTTCCATTACCACTAGTTGTACAACTAAAGTAGTTAATACAATAATGATACAAGATTCTTAATATTCTTCTTAAACGACTTCGTATTACTGAACAAGTATTATTCCTAGTAGTATTTAAATTTATCTGTGTACTAGTTATATTAGACATCCAACTTGCCGGAATACCAAGGCGAGATTCAATCCACTTTCTAAGGCATTGTAAATGTACATATTGCATTGATCCTTTACAATCACATGGACATATTAATGGATTAAAGTTGTCCTCAAAGTCTAACAGATCCCCATCATCAGACAAGCATATACGACAGAACTTAGTTGCATTATTGAAATTATTTTTTGTTGACATAGCAATACTAAATGTCTGGTTACTTTGTACAATTTCATCTACATTTCTATTATTTAAATTTCTTGAATGATCATCTTCTGATATACTCGTTTGTATTCTCTGTTGATGTCTTAAATTATGGCTAGATGACTCAATAACTTTCAAAGGTATTATTTCGTCTTTATTAGTTAACTTTAAAGTCATCAATTTCTGATCATCTTTATCTGAAATTTCCAAAGATATTAAGTTTTTCTTTACTTGTTCATATTTATCCCCACATTCTAAAATCCCTGAAAGAGGTGTTAATGGGGCAGTTTCCATATTTCCATTCTGGCTCTTTGTACATAAATTACCAACTTTCTCATTTTCAATTCTTTCGAAAGTAGAATTTTCACCTTTTATTCCATAAGAATTTTGTGACTTCTTTACATCTTCAATATCATTTACCTCAAAAGCCAAAATATCCAGACAATTATTCAATTCTCGATTAGATTCAATATTAAAAGTTGGGATATATGGAGTACGTAGGAGAGCATCTTTGGCAGCTGCTAAAGTAGCAACGATCTCATGAACACGCATTTGACAACGTCCCAGTTTTATTATATCACCCTGTCTTAATGGTATACCTGGAGTATGTTTTGGGCTTACAATCCACACCTTATTACCCTTATTTGGAATTGAATCGTCATTATATCTACACTCTGTCCATGAATAAGGTTTATGTTGTTTACTATGTCCATTACCTTGAGAATTTAGGATCTCTTTCATTGAAATTACTATTGAATATTCCCTACTGCCTTTAGAAGACAAAGTAATTCCATCTACGTACCAGCCATCCTTGTTTTTAAATAATCTTATAATTGGTTCCATTGTATCATCTCCACGCTCAGTCGCTACATTTTTAGTATCACAAATTAAGTAATGATCCACTTCAAAATTATCAGGATTATTCAGTTCACTATAATCTTCACAATTACCCTCATTAGGAACAGCGCTCAATAGTCCAGAATTGTTACTTTTTAGAATAGTATAACTATTTGAGCAACCGTCTATAGAGATTGTTTGACTAATTGTTCCTTTCCTCTCATAATCAAACAGTCCATGAGATTCTCCTGAAGAGGTTGTTGATTGTATTATTACCGAACTTTGATGCTTCCCAGCATCTGACCTTTTCCCAACCTTTCCCCTAAAATCCCTGGCATCCATCCTAAGCTTTTTCCCTCACTATACTAGTTTGTCATGGATTAGTTTCCTTGTGTTAGCAAACCAATTTTCTAAATATCTGCATAGGTTTCAAAAAAAAAAAAAAACTAAAAAGTATTTTGAGAACTAGTTCCACAAAAACCCCACTAATTTATGGCGCTAAATCAGAACTTTTTGATTATGGAATAACATTACCCTATTTCTTATTTAACCTCATATTACTAAAAAAAAAAATTTCTAAAATTTGCAAGTTAAAATATTTAACTATATATATATATATATATATCTATTCTAACTATCTTATTGTACTTTATTTAGAGTATTGATTCTTTTTGTTTGTGTATTAACAAGGAAAAAATAGGCAAAATAAATCCCTACGACGCGCTTCAAATATTTATTACTAGGCTATTAATAAAGAGAGAGTAGTCAATAATTTGTGTAATAAATAAATCTAAGTTATTAGAAGTTTACATGATACTAGAACTTAATACAGTATATCTGAAGACTAATCATTAACAAAAGAAAAGAAAGGATATATGCGAGTTTACGTACCAGTACTACATGTAATACATGCATGTATTTTGTTAAAAACTTATACAAATCAAATAGATAATATTTAGGTTAGTATACTTTTAATTAAAAAAGCCTTAAAGTTCGACTAAATCTATTTCTTATAAATATAAGATAAAACTGTACATGTCCAATATCTTTAGGTTTCTCCAAATATACTATAAAGCATATAACGAAATACCTTTATATTATACTTATCTAAATCTATCCAAAGCATTTCTAGACTTTAAATTTGTTATTTTGAAATTATCTAAGGGTTTATTCTTATCTTTATTAATATTAGCTTGATTTAACTTCTTTTCAGAAATTATTTCAGTAGCTTTTGTACGAATCATAGTTGCATATCTCAAATTTTTGTTACGAATCTTATTTTCAATTTTTGATCGTCCCCTCTTTTTATTCTTTGTCTTCTTTAGTTTTTTAGATTCATTATCTTTAAGTGTTTGGGACTCAACTTTTCTTACAGCTCTAGGTGCAGTATCAACACTACCAATACAATCTGGGTAAAGAGTTATAGTTGATTCAGGAAGTTTTTCTAACAACATTCTAACTTCTGATTCCCTTCTCTGCTTTGGAGTTTCAAAAATATTTGCAACTCGTGAATCAAAATTTGGACATCCAGCACCAGGTACAATAATGGACTCAGCTCCTTCTTTATGCCCTATTCCAAGAACATCATTCCATGGTTGAAATTTTATACTAGTTATATATGATCCATTATGATCATGTGTAATATATGGCATCTTAGGTTTTGAAGAAGCTAATATATCTTTCCATACTTGAATATGACATCCAAAACCAACAGATACTAAACCTGTACCAGAAATTGAAATAGATGCAACACTTGCTCCGAAAGATTTTAAGTTATGTAATGGACAAAAATCAGATGGTTTCCTTATATCCCAAATTTTCCAAGAGTTATCCATACCTGCTGTTACCATATAGTGATTTGTTACATCAAGAGCAGTAACACTACCTTTTTGTGCCAAGAGTTTAACAACTGGAGTTGCAATATTAGGTGTCCATAGTGATACTGTTCCATCCTTATGTCCTAAATGAATTACTCCATTATAAGGGTTATGCTTCATTACACGACATGCTCCTTTACCTGTTTTATGCAGTGCAGCTACTTTACCAGTAGATATATCTTGATATCTTAATTCACCAAATTCTCCAATACTAGTTAATAAAAAGTGATATGGAAGAAAGTCTAACTTGTATGGATTCATTACATGATCACGTATACAATGTATTTCAATACCATCACGGTCATAAATATAAACATACTTATTCTGAGCAACAGCAAACATTGTATAATTATGAAGGAAATGGACATCTTGTATAGTCTCTTTTAATTGTGGAATTTCTGTTACTATTTCTGGTTGACCATTTGATACATCTAATAGGGCAATAGTACCTTCATATCCTCCAATTAAGAGATGATTACCATTTCTAGTATAATCAACAAAATATGGCCCATATGATAGATTAAGTGAAAACCTTTTATTAGCAGCTCCTAATGAGATATTTTCAGTAATCAATTCTTGAGATATAGAATAACTTTTTTCTAGCCCTTCAGTCTCAAGATAACCAATAGACTCAGGTAATAAAATTTCACTCTTTGCTAGACGTTCAGATGCTACGTGATATAATCTTTGTTGAGTTGTTAATTTACTTCTCAACTTTTTATCTTTTACTTGTTTTATATCTTGTAATTTAGCATGACGTCTATATAGAGATGTATTCCCAACACCTAAAGATAGATCTAATGAAGCTTTCTTTTTTATATTCATAACTAGATAGATACAATTCAATTTCTTTTTTCTTCTCTATAACCTAGATACTTATATTATAGATCAGACCTAGAAGGGACTCTTAAACAGCAATAACGCGTATTATGTCTAATAATCATAATATGACAGTACTATATCACCGCCCATTGATATTATTTGTTATATTACAGGCTTTTAGTTTTACAGAATATTAAGGAATTTTCTATATAAAATGAAGTTAATAGCTTTATATATTTACCAAAATTTATTATTCTTAATATTACTAAAATATTGATATTATATTATAACTAATTAACTTATATTAAGTAGATCTAAAAGTGTACTATTAAGTAAAAATAGAATAATCTATATTTTATAATATTAATATATAGAATCAATATTAATAAGTAATTGTATTTATTTTCCTTAATATTATATTAAATTGTATTTAGGTATATTAAAATTAATATAGATAAAAAAGGTCCATAATCATCTGTAATTTATCAACCCTAATTATAGACATTGTAAAGTTATAAATATAACTTATATTAAAATAATATCTAATTCATCTATGTAATTCCTAATTTATATATATTTGTATCTATTAATTATATTCAATTATAAATAATACTTATTTGTAATTTATATTTACAAATCTATTACAATAGTAATACTATAGCTAATAAGCTGTCTACTTAGTAAATTTACTATTCCTTATATAAATATTATAAATTAAACTTGATACTGTTATGAAATTGATGAAAATAAACAAATTTTATAAATAAGATAATCTTAATAAAAAGTAAAAATAACAAAGTAATAATATATAATAAATATACCTTATAATTATAAATAAATCTCTTGAAAATTAATATGATCTAATTAGTTTAAAAAGAAAATTCTTGAAATTTCTTATTATAAGAATTTTCTTCTTCACATTTTGTCAAAAAGAATTCCTTTTCTATATTTTGTATACAGTACGATCCAAAGATAATTCTTGAGTTCCAAATTTCCCATTTATGATACACATTAGTCCTACTACACTTATTAGCTAATACTTTCATATTCTCACTTTGCATTTCAGTATTTATTCCAGGTGCTTGAATACATAAGTCTGCTTCATTATTCCTAATATAATATACTAAATAATTGGAATAATATTTAATTTAAAAGTTAAAAGAAATAAAGTGTATACTTACCTTTAGGATCCCAATAAAATTCTTGAAATTTATTATTATATTCACATTTTTCTAAAATTAAATTAAATTCAGTAGATGAACCATTTATATAATCAGAGATTGTAATACATAAATTAGAATCTTTGAGTTTAATTTTAGAAGTCTTATAAGGAATCAATCCAATTTCATGTAAAAGAAAATCAAAATTGGTACGAAAATTCAATATATCACAATTTGTACTGCTTTTTATATGTTCTACACGTTGTAAGATACTAATTTTCATTTTTGATGTTTTCGTATCAGTACTATTATAGAAATTTAATAAATTATTCAGCTCCTGAGAATTATTATATACAATTTTTTTCATCTGATCATCAAACCACGATTCAACTAGAAAAAATTTTTTATCTTGATCTAATTCTAAAATATTAGGATTCATCAATGCAATAATACTTTCCTTTGTTTGTTTAACAGTTCCTCCACAATACCAAGATCTCATAGAAATATCTATATTAATAAAATCTCCCAAGATAGAATTAATATATGGAGTTGAAAATTTAGATAAAAATTTCCACCATTTATTAGATAAGGCAAATACATTTGATATGAACATTGGAATTTTATTATCACTTGATTTATTAGCTAAATCAAAATTTTTATCTATAGAAAAAATAAAACCTGGTGAAATAAATTCTTTATTATTAAAATTCCATTCTTCTATATTTAATTTAGTCATATATGAAGTAACAATAGATTTCTGATCTTCGTTTATTATTCTTAAAAAAGAAGCCATCCAACTTAAAGATAATGCAACTGCTCCTGGTAGAAATACTAAAATCTGACCTTCTGCTTGTTCAGCTCCTATTAATTGTAAATTTCCTATATTTGAATATTCTGTTTCTATTAATTTTATTAATGATGAATCTTTAAAATGTTTATATAATATATCTGAAACCTTTATCTCATGATCACATTTAGCATCTACAATAATTATTTCATGTAGTAAATTACGGTTACAAGAATATAGAATATTATTTAGTGTTTTTTGGATCCACTTTTTATCTGAACATCTTGCCAAAATAATAACACTGAAGGTATTAAACTTAGAATAGAAGTGATTAAATGAATTGTTTATTTTCCAATTATCTATAATATTTGATATATTTGAGTATTGTTCTACACATTCAACTAGAAATATATATATATATATAACAATAATCCAATAAAAAAATATTGAGGATGAAATAATATTCATCTTTTTGAAAATATTCAATATTTTTAAATAAAATTTCAAATTGAAAACCTAAATATATAAGTTACACACGTGTGAATCATCATCATAAAATTTTTTAAATAAACCAAAATTATAATTTAATAATTCTTAATAAAAATTATATATATTACTCATCTAATAATAAATTTTATATTACAAAAACAAATAATATATATATCTTATTATAATTATTTGTTGGAATTTTTTCTTAATAACTTGGCTAAAAAAAATCCACGACATTTATGAATTTTAGGATCCATCCTAATACAATAAATTTTACATTGTAAAAATAAATCACAAATATCTTGCATATTTTCACATTTTAAATCTAAATCTTTTTTCTCCCACCAATCAATTCCATTAACTAATTTAAAAGAATCTTTACTATTATTTAATGCATATATTACAACATCTTCATTCTCTTCTTTATAAATTGAACAAGTTGAATAACATATTGTATTTACATTAATAAAATTATTTATAGCATGTAATAATATTTTTTTTTGAAAAGTTGTTAATTTTAATAATCTATGAGAAATATCTTTTTGTATTATGTCTTTATGTAAAGGTAAACCACTTCCACTACATGAAGGATCGAGTATAATAAATTTAGCTCTACATACGCACCATAAATAGTTATACCAAGCTATATTCAAATTTTTTTTAATATATTGAATATCTAAAAAATTCTTTAATACAATATATATAACCATTCTAGGTTGTTTTTTTATATTAATATTGATCTCATCCCCATCTATAAATATTTCATCTTTAGAAAAAAATAAACATCCTTTTTCTAAACTATCTTTATCTAATGAAGATATATTTATTAACCTAAAATTATTTTCTGATATATGTAAATAAGGACCAGATAAATAAGGTATTTCATAAATTCTAGATATCATTGTCTTTATACGCGAAAAATTATGATCAAATGAAACTAAATATCCATTTTTATATAAAGTATCTATAATTTGAATAGTTTTACTCCCTGGAGCTGAACAAGCATCTATTATTATATCACCTGACTTAATACCTGATGCAATAACAGATATACAACTTCCTTTATCTTGTAATGTAACATGACACCTATTTATCAACTCATTTTTACTTGGTATACGATCTAATTCCAATTTCTTTGCTATATTTGGATTACAAACTATTATATTTGGTATTTCTTTATCTATCCATATTAATTTATTTACTTCATTTATTTTAATATCAGTTAAATTATTTTTTATTTGTAACTTTATAGTATTTAATACTGTATTTGAATTAGTTATACTTGTATTGATACGTAAATATCTTGGTAATTCTTCATATTTATTTATTAATGATTCAGGATAATCAGTCTCTAATATATTACGAATCTTTTTTTCGTTAATACGAAGTAATCTAGTAATAGTTCCTCCTCCTTGTAATTTCTTTATACCATATAATAAGTCATATGTCATAACAACTAATAACCATTTATTTGTTATTTTAGAATTCTTCTTAATAAAATATTTATTTCTTTTGAAATCTAATAGGTTACTTTTATACAAGATATCAAGTATTATATTTTTTTTTTCTAAGATACCATATAATAAGGCTGTAATCTTCTTCAAATTACATGTTTTAAATTCCTTCGAATATATTATTGATCTGATACCTAACTTTGTTTCTTCGAGTTTCTCCAATACTTTGGAAGTATCCATATATAATTTAGACATTTAAATAAATTGTAGTAATGATTTAATAACTAAAGAAAGCTAAATCTTTAATTCAAAATAATAAAATTAATAATGATCAAATAAACTACTATATTAGTAATATATGAGACCATTAAATATATTTATTAATAAAAGAAACGTAAGTTTCTATTATTTGTATTTATTAAGAGACCTTAGAAAAGAAATATTTAAATAGAGGAATTAGAGTTAATTAAAAGTAATACAATAATTTAGCGCTGTATTCCGCTAGAGTAAAAGAAAAATACAAGTTTTTAGGATTTAGTAGAATTTATAATTGGCTAAATAGGATCATATTAATTAGTCTACTTAATAAATAAAATAATCCTTTGTATCTTATTATATTTATTATAATTTAATTATAAATATATTAGGATCTAAATATTTTATACTACACTATGTTAGCAGCAGATTAATAGATCTTGTTATTAAGTGACATTTCAAGTATTTATTAAATATATATATTATTAACTATTTAAAATTTAATTGTAAAAAAAGATATCAATATATATATTGAGATCTTAATCATTTCTTATTATAGATCCTGAATTATTACGAGGAAGTATTACCTGAGGTAATATTTCATTACTACTTAATGTCCCAGGATTACTACAAAGACTTCTTGACCATATTTTAAGTCTAGAATCTTGACCACTAGAGGCTACTAAATGTCCTAATGGATGCCATGCAACTCCCCAAACTGCACCTTGGTGAGCATTTGGAATAACTCCCAAAGGTTGTGAACAACATACATTTGTATTATAATAACAAATATCACCATCAAAAAAACCAGTAGCCATAAATGATTCAATTTCAGGATGCCATGATATACTTACAGCATCACATCTAGTTTTGTATATTGTAATTGGTTTATTAAGTGATCGTATATCCCAAATTTTTAAAGCACCATCTTTACCTGAAGAAGCTAACATTTGACCAGTTGAATTCCACTTTATGCGTACAACAGAATGTTTATGACCAAATATTGTGCCAATTGCATTAGCAGTACGAGGATCCCATAAGTGTAATTGATATGTTTGAGATCCTGTAGCTATTAAAGCTTGAATTGGATGCCATTGAGAACACGTTATATCATAACCTCGAGAAACAAGAGAATTTTCTATTTTTTGTGACCCTACATCTATAATTATAGGATGTACATTTTCTGCTGCTGCAACTACTTTATTACCAGTAGGAGATATTGTAACATCTCTTACTACATGACCTAAAAACTGCCTAAATGAAGCAATTGGAGCTAATGCTGGTGTTAATAAAACTATATTACCACTTCCATCTCCACATGCTATAAAGTCATCTTGTTTAGAAAAATTTAAAGCTAATACAGCTCCCTGTCCAGATGGAACACTTTTCAAATCCTCAAAAGAAAAATAGGTACCATTCCATAAAGTCAATTCACCCCCTACAGTACCTACTATAAGCCTTCGCCCACCTGGATACCATTCAATAGATACACATGGAGCTCTAGCTCTTAGTGATACACGAGCTTGCTGAGTACAAACTAAATCAGAACGATATTTATTTGATTCAAAAGGAAATCCAATTTTTAATATGTCTAGAGGTTTATTACCATTAAATAGGAATCCTTCTTTATTTCTATTACAGTATATACCATTTTCTAGATAGTCAACTAATAATGAATTACTATCTACAGCTGGTCTATAAACAGCTCTATGGCTTAATAAATTTGCCTCTTCTGATGATTCATGGCCTGGTATAAAGTCATGTTGAGTAAACATTTATTCTGATGAATTATTCAAATCTTACATTCTGACATTTAATGTATAATACTTTATTTAGAAGTACTACACTAAACTCAAATATAATAATTAGACCGCTAAAAAAATATATAGCGCCTATACCCACGTCCTAAGCTAAGGTGTGATACTAAAATCGTATTAATAAATAAATCTCCTTAAGGGTAACAATACATTAATTTTAAAATTACAAGATAAGGCCGTGTGAATCTAAGGACTTTATGATATAACTTTAGATTATATTAAGATGAACAGTTCAGACTGTTATATAGGTAGTACAAATGCAAAACTATTACGTCCACCAATGACGAGTATTTTATCTAAATCAGAATATAATATAGGTTCAACACCCTTAATAAATAATTCTACTACATATTATGATACTCAAAATATTTCTGTACAACGCTTCTTTACTAATGAGAATTTTGCAAGGGATCAACATTTAGGTAAGCATCAAGTTATGGCACCTCCTCAACCTACTTCAACATCTCTATTCCAATCTGTAAATTTGAATAAATGGCCTTTTATACCACAAAATTCAGATCCAATATTGAATTTACCTGTGCAGAATACTGCAAATTTGATTACACCAATTAACATGCAACCTAAAATCCCACAACGTTTTTCGTCTTATACAGATTCATATGCTGCAAATTCACAAGTACAGCCTCAGTTAATGATGCAATATCCATATAATATACCTTATTTAGGACAAATGTCCTCAGAATCTTCTTTAGGGGGATATCCAATGTTTCAGAGAAATCCATATACAGCAAATAATCAAACTTATCCTTTTACTAATACTTCCCATAATCACATAAATACTACGAATTTATTTCCAAATATGATCCAAATACCAAGAAACCCTCAAATTTCTGGATTACAACCTCAAGTACCTCAATTATCTACTTCTATACCTAAACAAACTAGTAGATTTCCTCAAACTTCATATACTTTAAATAATAATATATCTACAAATTATACAACATATTTACCTTTTACAGATGATAATACACTTATGGATATATCTTTTAATAACCCTCACAAAAATGATAGAATTATAGATTTTGTGAGAAATATCACAGATAATTCATGTCAAGTATCTGATAGAATAGATGTTTCACTCAAATATAATGAAGTGACCCAACCAAAAATTGGAGGTGCAACAATTAAAGGTTTTAAGCCTACTCTTTCTATTGGTAATCAAGATCGAGCTATTTTAATGGAATATGGTCCAAGAGCATCAGCTTATGCTGTTTTTGATGGACATGGTCCTCAGGGAGATATAATTGCAGAATATGTTTGTAATCACTTTACAAGTGCTCTAAATCAACTCTTAAATCCATATAAATTTGCAACTTGTCAACAGATGGAACCTCCAACTCGTCAGCAGATGCGAAATTACTTTTCTGTTTTATTTCATAATATGGATGCTGAAATTTCTGAATTTCGTTCTGGGATTTCACTTTGGAGTGGTTGTACAGCTGCTCTATGTGTTAGGCTTGATAGAGATATACATATAGCCTGGGCGGGTGATTCTAGGGTTGTATTATATCGCATGTATGCATCTAAACCTGAGACAATTTCTACAGATGACAATTCATTAAATATTTCATGGTGGACTACTTCAGATCATATTCCAAATCGTCCAGATGAATTAGCACGTATACATCAATTTGGAGCATCAGTTGTAGTTTATCCTACACCATGGCTTAATAAATCTACTACTAGAATTAGAGAACATGGAATTGCAATGAGTAGATCTTTTGGAGATAAAGCAGGTAGCCAATATGGTGTAATTTGTATACCTGATATGGCGACAATCTCCCTTGATATGTGTGCTAAAAAGGAACCTGCATATGGTATAGATAAGTGGATAGTAGTTGTAGCTTCTGATGGAATATGGGATTCTTTATCTGAAGAGGAAGTAGGTTACTACATATGGAAAAACCTAGTTTTAAGAAAAGATATATCTAATCAATCTATATTGACTGATGATGATGTTTGGAAGGTATCTCATGATATTGCAAAGGAAGCATGGGTATTTAGAGCTACAGTTGAAAATTACAGTGATGATACAACAATCATTATTTCAGTACTGTAATATTTATAATTTTGATATATTAAATATATTGATATTAGCTACAAAATTATAATAAAGTAGGTATAAAACTTAAACTTATAAGTGCTAATAAATTTTGGAGCTTATAACAAACAGAAAGTTTTTCTTAATTGCCTGATACACGTACTAGGAACCCCTAAAAGCTGTTTTCTTGAATAGTTGATCGGGAGGGGGAAGAAGTATAGAAGAAAGTCCATAAGGCTCAACCTGCCACCATTGTTTCTTATCTTCTAAATTACAATCAAACATTCCCAGTTCTCTATTTTCTACACTGAGACATTTATTTATTGATTTAAAAATGTAGGTATCTTTAGTGCCATTTACTTTCAACAAATCCCAATTATACATATTTGAATTACACCAATTTAAAGATAAATCTTCTGTTAAACATGATTCGTCATTGCTTGTGACCATCCAGTGCCTGCTACTCTTAAAATACATGAAACTTTGACTATCACCTCCATGACACCCCCAAAGTTTTATATGTCCTCCAGGAGTACTTGTTCCTGCATTATCTAAGCACTGATTACTTTCTACATTTTTAATGAAACCCAAAAAAGGTACATCATCTAAAGACTTTACTTCTGATTCTGGATTAACATTTTCAAGGAACCACTTGAAAGATTTACATTGCAAACGTTTTCTAAGTTCCTGTCTTTCTTCTAAAGGTCCTAAATTTATTCTAGGCTTGCCCATTACTCGCCATGCTAAGTCACCAAATTCATCCATCCACAAATATAAAGTTCTAAGCTTATTCTTTAATACAGCATATGAGGGAGAAGAGTAACCAACACCTCCTTTTCTAAATACATGGAAAACTCTACTGCATGGAGCACATTCAATAATACCTCCACACATCCAAGTTCTAAAGGATAATTCTAAATTTTCTGTACCCCAATACTCAAATTGGGGATCATATGAACCTATTTCTGTAAAAAAAGCTTTATTAGCAGCAAGTAAACCCCCAGCCATTGTTGGAGATGTTACATATTCATAACTCTTTGCCTCTCTCCTTAATGGAAGTACAGATATTTCTTGAGGAAATGCATGTTCTATTAGTTTCCAAAGAAATCCCAAGGTACATCCTATTCCTCCACCAATAAATTCAAATGTTTTACTATCAATTGAATCTATCTGTGGCATCAATATCCTCCTAGGATCCTCCTGAATACGCTGAATTAAAGGTTCAGCCCAAACTGGTTGAACTTCAATATGACTATCAAGTATAACAAATATTGGAGATATGGAAGCACGAATACCTGCCAAACGAGCTGCTACAATTCCCATTCTTTTAGGATTTCGTATTAATCTTGTCTTTGGAAGAGTCTTTAAATAGTTTACTAGTTGGTTATTTCCGTTCTCTTTAATATAATCAAGATCACTTCCATCATCTACTAAAACAATTTCTCGTAATATCTTTGGCGGAGTTCTATTTAACACAGAATGTACAGATCGCATCAATGTTGAAAATGGTTCATTATAAAATACAATTATGACTGAAATACCTTCTAATTTATCTAAATCGTAGGAAATATTTTTACATTCATTATGTCTATAATCTGTTACATTCCTATCTAATGGCAAAGAATCGGATTTATACAAATTAAAACCCCCTCCATTCTTCAAAGCTACAGACATTATTATATTTTCTGGTGGATTAGATGATATCCAAGCTGGTTCATTAGATGGTAATAAGCCAATATCACCATGCATCTTCCATATATTAGCATTTGGATATTCTATTCTAGATTGAGACTGTACATCTGACAAGATCCTTTCACTCCTAAGTATAGAGTCATTTGTACTATAAGAATTTGTATATGCTAACTCAGATCCCTCGACCTCCCATGTATATAGATCCTTATAAAGCTTTAAATCCTGATTATCTAATATATTTGAATTACTTCTAGCTATAAAGAACATGTTCACTATAGCCCAACATAAGGTTGCTGTGATCACCATGCATTGTAAAATGCCAAGACATGATATAGTCTTACAACAAAATCCAAAGTTTATACCATTACTAGAACGTGTCATAATATCATTTAACTATATAAAAAGAACAAAAGTAGGTAAACCAATCGAGGTTTATCAACTACAAATACACAATATCAGCGGTTATTTATAGCGGTGTTATTATTTATTGCAGACAAGATTTATAACAACTCATACTATTTAAGCGAGATCTTAAAACGAAAGTTAGGGTTCAATATTCATACTTTATTGGAGGAATAAATGTCTGATGTATATATATTAGATTTGTTCATTTTAATAACATAGAAATGTAACTAGTGACTCTTGTAGTTTTAGCTCGCAAATATATTAGAAAGTAACTACAATCAAAAAAAGAAATAGATTGATCATAGATGGAAATAACTACTTTATTTATATATCTTAATAACAATTTTGCCTATTCCAATATATATACTTTTAATCATTTCTATTATATTTGATAAGGTGGTATTCTTTATTGGGTATCATTATTCCTACTTAATTACAATTAGAATGATTATAACTTTAAGAAATATCATTTAAATTAAAAAAGTGACTAATAAATTAGAAAATCTAAAACATACGCTATTTATTTAAATTATCATACTCTATATTATTATATTTTATAAATATCTATCTTGTATATATAAAACAGAAAATTAAGATAATGCTAATATTATCTAATTAGCTTTTACTTTTGTAGTATTTCTATTCTGCAATAAGAATACTACTCTTCCTTGTTGAATAGTGACTAAATTATTTTAATTAATAACTATCATCTTAATATTTTAATATTATATATTAAACCAATACTTCCAATTTCTGTAATAGTTTAATTTACTGTTTAAAAGGAGTTTCATTAAATGAATATGCAATAGATACTATACAATAATTATTAATAATAAAGAAATATCTTAAATAGATATAAAAAAAATAATGAAAAGTAGAATTAATAAATGAAATGGCCAATAATTATATTGTATTTAATATTGTTATCTCAATATATATTGAATAAGAAAAACAAAAAATTAGCTAATAGGCTATCCTAAAAATTTAAGAATCCTCAGATTCAAATATAATGGTAACAATATTTGTAATATTATTAAATATGAAAGAAGTTCAATTAAATCTTTTATTTAATTATAGATTTAGTAATGTGTAGAATTTTAAAATTTGAATTAGATAGTAATATTATTAGTCACCTTAAAATTAACTAGTAATTATTTAACATAGAGATGAATACAATATATTCTAATCAGATTGAGACTATCTAAATAAATAATTCATATTTTTATTATCCAAATATTAGGATTTCTTCCAATACTTTATTATATTTTATTCTAATAAAATTAATGAAAAAGATATATTGCATTAAAATATTTCTGATTTAAAAATTATTTCATTAAGTAATTGAAATAAATCTTCAAATAAATCTTCAAATAAATCCTATAGTTATATATTTTGGAAGAACAAAGATCTAGTAATCTACTTATTTTGAAGAAGTAATACTACATCAGATCTACATATAGGACAAGCATTATTTTGTTGAAACCATCCATCTATACAATCTTTATGATATATATGGCGAACATCACATGGTAATATACGTATATGATCATTATCATTAATATCTTGAACACAAATTGGACAAACTTTACTGAGTGTAATATATTTAATATATTCATTGTCCACAGTATTATTTCTATTATATAAAGAATTTGAATAGTTGTCAGTACTCTGATTATCTATGATTTCTTTATTAGTATTATTTTCATAAAATATAGTTACATTGTAATTTTCACTTTGAAGTTTGTTAATATAATCAATCAATTCCATGGATTCTATTTTATCCATTAATTCTTCTGGTACTGATTTAGATTGTCTTTGAAGTCCAATTCTATGTATTAAATTGAATACGGATATACATAATATAAATGCAAGTAATATAGGTAAAAGTAAGAGTATAAACTGATACCAAAACAAAATTTGAGCGAAAGTTAAAGTATCACTACAGTTTTTGTCTGGAGGTGTTATAAAAATAAGTTTTATTCCATAAAACCACCATGCTATTCCAAAAATATGAATAATATGAATGAAATATAACATAGTTACAGGAATAGTTCTTCCGAGAATATTTGCAAATGTACTTGCTACAAATCTTATTATAGTTGATAATAAAAATCTTACAAACCATACAATACACCATATTTTCAAACTTCTATCACATGTTACACCCCAATTTTTTACTAATATAGATACAATAGAACAGAACAGACTTATAATAAATAGTAATATTGAAGTATTGATAATTAATGCAATTAGTAATCTCCGAGAGTTTCTAATCTCAAGTAATTCATGAGTTAAGTTATTATTATCTAAGGGAATTTCATTTGTATTAAATCTATTATGACTTCCTCCTTGCTCTACTTCATTTTCTGGTCCTAGTTGAATAGACCACGACAATGTATGTTCATTTCCAATATCATTTGATTCTTCATCATGTCGATAGTAATTCATTAATAAGCCTTAACCATACCACCCATTATATGTTAATTTACTATATATAAGATATTTATAAACCGTTCTTGCAGTTCTTCCAGGTCTACTTATTCTAGTTCTTTACTATTCCTTATGATGCGTTTGTCTCGCGCCACATTACATCTACTAGTTTCCAAGTATGTCCTTTAACATAATTACAGTATTATATTATAGAAGACAAAGTCTCAAGTTCTAAAATAAATTTAAATTTTTTTTATATTATTAGATTTACTTTTGAGAAAATTTAAAGGGTTAAAATAGTCTTATACTAAGGGTAAAGATAGTAATATAATAATAAACATGTGTAACTAAAGTATAATGCAAAAGATACTTTCTTGGATCTATAATATTAAAAATAAAATTTTTGCAGCCCCACTCAGATTATTAAATTCTATATATACATTAGTAATTTTACACTCCACTATGAAAATGACAAAAATACTTAAGTAAAAAGATTAAAATCAGGCGGTAAGGTGACACACTGTGTGGCGCAAGAGCGCTATTTTTTTGGGTATTATTATTTAGTAAGGAAGACTTTGTAAGAACTTTTATCAATAGATGTTACAAACAATATTGGGCTGTATTATACTGGATTCAGATGGAGAAAGAATAGCATCTCGTTATTATGGCAACTATAAGTCGAATAGTTTTATGAGGTTATGTAATCAATTGGAATTTGAAAAGCAATTATATCAGAAAGGCTCAAAATTAGCTGGTAGAAACGAAGCAGAAGCTATTTTCGTAGATGAATTTTTATGTTTAGTCTATGCAATTAATGATATATGTATATATCTTATTTCTAAGAAATCTGAAAATGAATTGATATTACTTGATGTTATCAATTGTATATATGGTACTTTACTAACGGTAACTGTGTAAGTTTTTGTTTTATTTAATATTATATTACCGATATATAAGGTAATATTAACTAAAAATGATTTAATTTCCCTATATATGAATTAAATTTTAGAAACAATATATCAAAGAAATCGTTATTTGAAAACTTAGATAGTGTTCATTTAATCCTAGATGAAGTTGTAGATGAAAGTGGCATTATTTTAGAAACAGATCCAAGAGTAGTATATCAGAGAATCCGAATGCAAGGATCTAATGCACTCGAAGAAACATCATTTAATCAAGCTTTTACAACAGCTAAAGAGAACATAATGAGGAGTTTCTTATAAACCAATATGTAGTAGGAAATATTAATATTACTTTAAATACCTAACAATTACATTGAAGACACTATTAATTGAGATTTGATTATAGCAATACTGCCGTATCTATGTATTTTTAATTTCCTCTTTACTATTAAAATATTATTGAAAGATAATAGGCCTAGGAGTTACGGAGGATCGTAATAAACGAGTATATCTCGCAAGAATCCACAGTAAAAGTGTTATTAAAAGGGTAAAATTTAATAAATACAAAAATAAGGTAATTATTGTAAATACATTGATTTTTTTAGTTTATTGATTAAAAGTTGCATTTACAGACATTCTAGAGCATAGTATTGTGAGGAACTCTTACCAGCTGCTGAAGTTGGTCTTATATTTGTTTTAAGTTTAATATCTGTGTGATATATTGTTTGAGTGGATTCTTTGATATTTTGAGTGTAGATACAACAATTTGCATCAGAATCACCTCTAAAAGACTCTATACAACAACAAAATGACTCGTTTACAATATTGACGATCCCCCCTAAACATCATTGAATTTTTTTGACAGGTGAATGACTCTTAGAAACATCTAAGTCATTTACATTATCCATTTGGAAATCAATAACTCTATGATAACCTCTGGAAATAGCTTTTAAAATTTCATCAATAATGATGACAGGTATAGAACACCAAATAACAGCCTTCCAATCTGTAAAAGATAATGGTACAACATTGAATATTGCTGCAATTGGTGGAATATATAGAATGACCAGATGTACCATAATAGATAAAATAATAGCAATGAATAACAAGGGGTTTGCCCAGGGTGGTACTTGAAGAAGTGAGTTATCCTCACTAAGAGCATTTAGAGCATTTAACATTTCAATTACAACAAGAACTGTTAGTGATAAAGTACTAGCCTTTTTCTTTCCAGTTGTAAAATAACTACAAGGTTCAGATATTGTAGATCCATATACAGGATTAGAAATAAAATTTTGCCACGTATTACATTTAGCCCAAGATCTAAGCTGTTCGAAAGTGACTAAAGTATTTCCATCTGTTGGGTCTATACCCCAAACATACCACCAAATAAAAATTCCAACTGTAGCAATACCTACATAAAGACCAATAATAAGAAATCTGATGAAAACCCAGGCTGAAATTAGACTATCATCTTTTCTTCTAGGAGGTCGTCTCATAACACGAGGATCAGGAGGATTAAACCCTAATGCCGTTGCTGGAAATCCATCAGTTACCAAATTAACCCATAATAATTGAACAGGAGCCAAACCCTCTGGAATACCTAATGCAGCAGTTAAGAAGATAGAAGCAACTTCACCAATATTAGATGAGATAAGATATCTAATAAAAGCCTTCATATTCATATAAATTGATCTTCCCTGTTCTATAGCTGCTACAATAGTTTCAAAATTATCATCTGCTAAAATCATATCACTTGCTTCTTTAGCTACATCTGTACCTGTTATTCCCATTGAAATTCCAATATCGGCTTGTTTAAGAGCAGGTGCATCATTCACTCCATCTCCTGTCATTGCAGTAATTTCACCTAATTCACTAAGTAATTTTACAATGACCTGTTTGTGTTTAGGTTCAGTTCTACTAAAAACAACTCCAAAAGATTCACGTAAAATAGATAGTTTAATATTGTCAGGTAATTCTTCAAATTCCCGACCGGTTAGTGAACAACATCTCGTAAATTGACTATTAAAAGGCTCACTATTTAATCTCATAAAATTAAATCTTCCATTAGAAACATCTCGACTTTTTTTTTCATCTGATTCTTCAATCATCAAAGGTTTTAACATACTAGATTTCTCTTGATTATCATATTCTGCTAAGTGTGAGACATTCCAAGAATATTTAGAACCTTGTAAAATTCCAATTGATGAAGCAATTGCTTCAGCAGTATTCCTGTTATCTCCTGTAATCATAAATACACGAATCCCAGCTTTCTGACAGCGTAAGATTGCATTCTTAACACCAGGACGAGGTGGATCAAAAATTCCCACTACACCTAAAAAGCATAATTGTTGTTCAATTTCCACAAATCTAGATGGATCACTAAGTAATTCTGCTCCTTGAAACTTAGCTTGACCTAAATATTCACTTAAAGGTCCTAAACCATCAAATCTGATGGCTGCTGCTAATGTTCTCAAGGCATCATTAGCCATATTGCCAACTTCTTCCAATATTATATTCTTATAATCCTCTGTAATAGTTTCCACAGTACCATCTGGCATCATGAATGTGGTACAACGTTCTAAAATACTTTCAGGGGCTCCCTTTACATATAGAATATTAGATTTTGAGAAGCTCTTTGATGAACTAATCAGGTTATTAGATATATATGTTTTAATGGGAATATGAGTTGTAGTATCTTCTGTATCACGGCACAATACACTCATTGACTTTCTATCTCGGTGAAACTCTAAAGTAGTAATAAGTTTAACACCTTCACACCAAAAGTTACTGAATATATTTGCAGTATGTGAAGCCCTAGCTCCCAATTCATTTAAATATCTTTTATTAAGCTTTTCATCTGTACAACCCAACTTCTCAACTAAAACTCGTAAAGCACCTTCAGTGGGTTCCCCTTGAATTTTAAATTTGCAACCATTATCTACAGTTAGCTGAGAAGCATTACAAAGTGATAAACATTTGGCAAGCCATTGCAAGCTAGCATCTTGAGCAGTAATATGTTTAAATCTAATGGAGCTATTACTTGATTCAAATTTATAGATGTTACCTATAGGAGAATATGAATGGCCTTCTACTGAGTATTTTGAAACTTCCATAGAATTTTTTGGAATGAAAAATCGAACACAACACATCTCAGAAGTTGTTAAAGTCCCTGTCTTATCACTACATATAACAGTAGTGCATCCTAATGTCTCCACAGAAGGTAAACGACGTACTATTGCATTTCTTTGAGCCATCTTACGTGTTCCTAAAGCTAAACAAGTAGTTATTACTGCTGGTAGACCTTCAGGAATAGCAGCAACAGCCAACGCTACAGCTATTTTAAAATAGTAAATAGCTCCATTAATTACTGAACCATGAGCTGGATCCTTAAAATTTCGACAATTAATAACCCACACAATAATACAAATAACTGCAATAACCTTACTCAACATCTCGCCAAATTCGTTAACTTTCTTACTCAGTGGAGTATCCTCTGTATTCTCAGCTGCTTTCTGTACTGCAGACTGAATTGCTCCTATTTCAGTCTTCATACCTGTAGAAACAACACAAGCTACACAAGATCCATGGACTATAGTTGTAGATGAGTAAAGCATATTATTTTTTGCTTGAATTTCAATATATCGTTTGCTCATATCTAATGAATCAGCTGTTTTTAGTACACCCGATGATTCTCCAGTTAATTGACTTTGTTCAACTCTTAAAGAAGTTGTTAATAGCTTAATAATACGTAAGTCTGCAGGAATCCTATCACCTACTCTAACCCTTACAATATCTCCAGGAACTAGTTCCTCTGCAGGTATTTCACTCCAAATTCCACACCTCAATACTTCAGCTAGTTCTGGTTGTAGTCTCTTTAATGCTTCCAAAGCATTCTCAGCATTAGATTCCTGCCACACCCCAACAAAAGCATTTATTATTAAAATACATAATATTACAATTGGCTCAATAAAAGACGATATCCCTTCCTCCATGTGGTTATTACCCATTGTAGCAAATATAAAAGACATCAGAGCCGCACCTAGCAAGATCTTAACAAGTAAATCATTGAACTGAGCTAATATCAAATTCCATATTGATATCTTTTCTTGTTCATCTAAAGCATTCCTCCCAAAATATTTAGTATATTGATCTATTTGGCCAAGTGATAAACCTACATCTACATCAACATTAAAATGACGCAGAATCTCATCATAAGTTCTAATATGTGGATCTTCTGGAAGGCTAATCATTTATCCTTTCTGGTAGTTCCAACACTAACAAGCTTTCTGTGGCCTCGTTGATACCAGAAGTACTAATATGAGATATACAAATTGAGTACAACCCCCAAAGTGGAGCTAAATAGGTAATTTTGGCGCAATGAGATCTATCTTAAAAATAAAAAAGATCTTATTTTCATCATAATCGATAATTTATTTAATCCAATTATTTCGTCAATATTATATATTAAAGTCCAAAATCTTAAATCTTAAAATGGATTTTATTTAAGTATAAATTTGTGCTGGAAGAGACAGGAACAAAAAAACTGTTCACAATTCAAAATACATTACATTAACAAGAGTAGTCTTAAAATATATTAGATATGAAAATTATTCAGCTAATTACTTACTATCACTACAAAATTGTATATATAAAATCTTAGTAATTTATATTTGTTTCACGAGTCAGTACCTGTTAATTGTCTCAAAATTCCCGCCTAATATGAACTTGGCTAAATCTATTCTATTAAAAGTGAATTTATCAGTAAGCATTGATATATGAAGGCTGATCTATCTTCATGGGTTCCCTTAAGCTGTTATGAAGTATATGAACACTTATCAAAAGTTAGCGATAGTGTAGATGGTGAGAATATTAACGACGTGAAAGGAGATGATGAAGCTTATTCCTCAACATTATTCCTATATAAAAGTATCCTTTGGTATCTAAAAGCATTTCATGATGTCGAAAATATGCTGAAATATGAACAAACTATATATGATATAATTCAAAAGCTATATTCAAAATTTGGTTTGGCTATGCTGGAAATTATACAGGTTTTAGATCTAAGACCAAAACATTTAGTAGATCTCCACTGTTCAATCCAAAACTGTGATAAGAGATTTTCAGAAGAGGATTTAATAGAAATGTTAGACATTATAAGTCAGCTTAATTTTGAAGTGTCATGTTTGGATAAGTGATTATTGGATAACCTTATACTATTCAATAATACCTAGACTAAAACATTTTTACTTTGTAATATTTCTAATGCAATACTTGAAGAAATATATTTATAGTATTAGATCACTAGTAATTAGTTATTAGAGATTTTTTATTGGTTATGTAAGGATTTAAGAGATTCTTGATATTACTATTGAGAAGTAATAATACGTCTTTAGAGTATAGATATCTTAGAAGTTCATATTATTAGTAGAAGTTATAATATATATATATATATACTTATTTATTACAGTAAAATATTTCTATAATTTAGATATTAGAAAAGTTTGTAAAGTAAGTTCTAATCATGTGATAGGTTACAGTCATGTTGTCAGGTCCGGGTATTCATCCTAATGGAGCGGTTTTCTTTACCGTCTACTTTGTGGGCGAGCTAGGATAGTAATGAATATTCTTTAGTTTAAAGAACTTTGCTTTATTGTATATCTTTGGCATAGAATGGTCAACTTACCAGCTTTTTTACTAGAAAGGTCCAATCCTATTGGGTACATATTTCAAGGCGTTCAAGAACTGACTTTAGATAGTATTAGGCTAGTAAGACGCTGTACTAAACCAGATGCTAAAGGTGAGTTTTCCTCTTTTATTAAATATAAATGAGATTATATACCTAAAATGTATTTATTTATATTTATAGAATTCAGAAATGTAGCTTATGCTTGTACTATTGGGTTCTTCTTAATGGGATTTATTGGATATTCCGTCAAACTTGTGTTTATCCCTATTAATAATATTATTATGGGTGGACAAGGCACTTAGATTTTGCAAATTAATTTTTAAAAGTTTTTTTTAATAGCTATAAATAATATTTCTACACAAGAACTGCACATCTAGACTAGATTTGGAGGTATCTAAATATATGTTACAGCATCATAATCCTTTAAATAGATTTCTAGTGGATTTTCCTCAATATTATTAAGTGCTCTGCTTCTAGATATCCCACAAGGTGTAAGATTAGGTCTACTGAAGCAATAAGCCTCATAAACTGCCCGTGGCTCTACGGTATGCTGTAGATGAGTTGAGATAGGTTTGAAAGATTTGATGATATTCTTAGTTAATATAAGGAATACTGTAAATATACCAACGATTCTAAATATGAGTTGAATGTAAGAATCCGGATTTATTATAGTCAAGTTGTACACTTGTAATATATCTAGAGATATTAATTAGGATATATAAATGATGAGAATATTTCAACTTAGGCTCTAGAAATTTGCAAAAGTAAGATATTCATATTTCCAAGACTTACCTTTTGTAATATAAGAATGGAAATTAAAACCCACTAAGATTGCACATACAGATATAAGAAAGTCTGTAATATAACTCATAAATAATTAAAATATAAAGGTGCACTCTAATTTGTAATAAAATTATTCGAGACGGGGATAAAGGTACCGCCCCCTGTGGGACGGGTAAAGCTGTAAAGAATAAGAACCTGGACTTATAATTAGGTATCTAATTTAAAGAATAATGGCATCAATTTCAGTATTAAATCCAAAAGCAGATATTTTACGGAAATCTGTAGCTTTTGCTGCTAATTTTCATGCTGCAAAGGGTCTTCAAAAAGTTATAAAGTCTAATTTGGGGCCACGTGGCACTTTAAAAATGCTAGTTGGAGGTGGGGGACAAATTAAAGTAACAAAAGATGGATGTGTTCTATTAAATGAAATGCAGATTCAACATCCTACAGCTTCTATGATAGCAAGGGCTGCCACTGCTCAGGATGATATTTCTGGTGATGGGACAACTTCTATAGTAATTATAATAGGGGAAATACTTAAACAAGCTGAACGTTTTGTAACTGAATCAGTCCACCCACAATTACTCTGTGAAGGTATTGATATTGGTAGAAAAGCCTTAATTAATTTATTAGATGAAGTAAAGAGTCCAATTTCATATGATGATCGCGAGATGCTACAGCGAGTAGCACAAACATCACTAAGAACTAAACTGTCTCATGCAATTGCTGATTCCTTATCAGATATTGTTACAGATGCTGTTTTGATTGTGTTAGATAAGGAGTCTCATGTTCCAGTTGATCTTCATATGGTGGAAGTTCTCCCAATGAAACATGGACTGACATCTGAAACACGTTTAGTACGAGGCATGGTTTTAGATCATGGAGCTAGACATCCAGACATGCCTAAGGATCTTAGAAAATGCTTTATCTTGACATTGAATGTCTCTTTGGAATATGAGAAAAGTGAAGTTACATCATCTTTTATGTATTCTTCTGCAGTACAAAGAGAACGCTTAGTTGAAGCTGAAAGAGCCTTCACAGATGAGAAAGTCAGAAAAATTATTGAACTTAAGCGTAAAGTTTGTGAAATAAAACCTGGAAGCTCTTTTGTTGTATTAAATCAGAAGGGAATAGATCCTCCATCGCTAAGCATGTTAGCTCAGGAAAATATCTTAGCCCTCAGAAGGGTTAAGAGGAGAAATATGGAACGTCTAACTTTAGCTTGTGGTGGGAATGCTATGAATTCTGTAGAGGATCTATCAATTGAAGATCTAGGATGGGCAGATCACGTCTATGAAAAAAGTATTGGAGAAGATAAATTTACTTTTGTAGAGGGGGTTAAAAGTTGCAAAAGCTGTTGTATTCTTATTATAGGCCCTAATGATCATAGTATTACTCAAGTTAAGGATGCTATTCGTGATGGACTGAGAGCTGTGAAAAATGCTATTGATGATAAATATATCGTTCCAGGAGCAGGTGCATTTGAATTAATGGCATATCAACATCTACAGAATATTCGTAAAGAAGTTCATGGCAAGTCTAAGTTTGGAGTAGATATTTTGGCGGATGCATTTCTTGCAATACCCAAAACTTTAGCTGAAAATGCAGCTTTGGATCCACAAGAAATTACATTAAATACTCTTGATGCTCTACAGAAATCTAATCAGCCTTTGGGTATAGATCTTACAACTGGTGAACCGTTTTACCCCATAATTGATGGTGTTATTGATAATTATTGTGTCAAGAGACAAATCCTAAGTATTGCTCCTACTCTTGCTCAGCAACTACTTTTAGTAGATGAAGTTATCAAAGCTGGGAAGCAGATGCAATAAAGGTATCATATTCAGGCGGTGATATATAAAATTTTTGTATTAGATATTATCAATATAATGTTCTACTATTCAAGTACCCATAACTAGTAAGTCTCTGGTTGACTAGACTTACCTATTAATGTTTTCATAAGTATTATGATATTCCACACTGTAGTAAACTATTTGTTTTGTTGACTATGCAACACATCAACATAACGAGATCTAACACCAGTAATGCTACTTATATTTGATGTATGTGCTGATCGAGATGTACCTACTAAAGCAGGTGGGGGTATGTTTGGTAATTTTTGGCTGTTTGTAACTGTATCTACAGATTGCTGATTTAATTCACTGACCTGTACACCTCTCTGACACCATTGTTTCAACTCTTTATCATAATAAAAAGTATTTTCAACCCCTGGCCATCTTTCCTCTTCAGTTCCAAGGGCTTTTTTGAAACTACTTGATACCCATTCAACTAACCATGATGATTTACTACTGTTATTATTTGTTTTATCACTATTAGGAAACCTACTGTTTGAATTTGTTTGTTTGGTATATATACCATTTTCATCAAAATTTGTATCTGATACTTTTCTATTATATTCAAACCTCCCTTTTATTATACGATTTTTCAAGTCTTGAATATACCGTCGTGAATTGTTTAAAGAGGAAGAATCTTCTATATTTAAGTTTAATGATTCTTCAGTAATAATATCCAAATATTTTAAAGCTGCTTTGTAGCAACCAATATCAGATGCAATTAAATTAATATATAAATATCTATGAAATAAGGAGTTCACATTATATTGAAATGTTTTGATTTTGTTTGTGCTTGTAATTATAGCTTTTGAAATGTCCATAAGATGGACATACTGAAGTATATTCCTAACATCTATACCTATTGGAAGCTCTTTAAGCTGTGTTAATAGTATTTGACAGAATTGAAATCCAAATATTTTTTCGTGTAGAGAAAGTTTGGATTTACAAGCTACAATTTCATCTTGGAAGGATTGGGCCAACATAGAGAGCCATTTTCTAGAACCTATATGAGAAGTACCTAAAGTTGAAACTAGTGTATATACATAAAATGGCCATAGCTCAAGCATATATAAACTGATTTTAAAGTGATCCAGGCGTTGTGCTGAACACAAATATAGCATATCTAAAATATCACTGAAACAGGAACAATTTAGAGTTTGTGGATGTAAAACATTTAAAAATTGTTCTTTATTGTTGACAAAATCAAAATAGCATTGACTTAACTCCTTTTCACCACAAAGACCACTAAGAGCAAATTTATCAATCCACAGTAAGTATGAGTTTGGATAATTTTCGGAAATAGACCTAATAGTATTTACTACACCAGCTGTAGCACACTTGAATCCAAGTTTCGATCTTTCAGAAATAAGGTCCACAGATTTTCCATTTGCATGACAAACACATATCCATATATTTTCTGTATTTGATTTAGTCAATTTATTGAATAATACTTGGTACTCACTCGGACTATTAGGAAGATGTTTCTTATCTATATACATCATTAACAGTTTGACGTAACAATTATGCCGAAACTGCTCAACTGGAAGTGTTTCAGGTGATAATTTCTCATTTATTTTTGATAGTAATTCTTCCAAGTACTTGTAATAGATAGATAGATCCGATGTTTTTGACTCATACCAAGAGGTATCCTGTAATTTTTGAATTGAGTCAACAGCCAAGGATTCAATTGAATCTTTCAGTGAGGTATCATATAAACAAAATAGACCTATTTTCTCCTTTGATATAGCTAAAACATTACCAAATCCAAAACATATATTTATACCTTTACGAGGAGGGGTTATATTATAAGTAAACTTAATATGTTCTCCGTAATTGAAATTACCCCCACTTTTTATATTAGATTCTAAAGAATTAACTTGCTTCAAAAGTATAGAATAGCTAGAGTTACTAAAATTCATTTGTAATTTCCCTAGCTAGTTATTTTCTATTAAGGGAATTCTGAAGATTGTGTGTATAGCCTGTGCATACCTTCAGCGCCAACCACTTATACAGTCTTAACTACTTGACCTTGCTAAAATAGGAAAATATATCAAAAATAATAAGATTAAGCCCTACGCTAGGATTTCAGTATTAAATTTCAGAATGAAATGTATAAAAACATTATTTATAGCCCTTAAGAGCTTTTTCCAAGTAAAGAAGCTCCTCCAGAAGTCCCGCCAGATGTTTGCATATTAAACAATAGTTGGGGCCCTTTTCCAGGTATAAAAGTAACATTTCTAGACTTCCCTAAACTTTCTACAATATCCCTAGCACCGTCAAGTCTTCTTATTTTTATCAAACCTGAACCAAACTCCGCTAGAGCCTTAGATATCATCTCTGCAGCTAAAGCTTCACCTTCTGCACGAATTATCGCTGCCTGTTTCTCATATTCGGCTTTTTGAACAATAAATTTAACACGCTCAGCCTCTTGTTCAGCAACTTGTTTATCTTCTATTGCTTTTGCAAATTCTTTACCATAAGTTAAATGAGTAATTGCTACATCTTCCATTACAATATCAAACTCTTGTGTTCTTTGTACAATCGCTTCCTTAATATCTTTACAAAATTGTTCACGTTGGGTTAGAAGACTTTCAGCATCATATCTAGCCACTACTGCTTTTAATATCTCATTCCCTACAGAAGGAAGTACACGTTCATCATAATCAGGTCCTAATTGCCTATGTAAGCGTGATAAAGCTTTAATATGAGGCCTATATAAGAGTCTAAGTGACAAGTTTACCATCTGTAAATCTTTAGTCCCTGTAGTAGTATTAATAACCTTAGGTTTAATACGCACATCATAAATTTTTGGTATTTGAAGCCATGGAATTGCAATATGAGTCCCTTCTGAGACAGGTTTTGGAGACACACCCCCGAATCTGTTAAACATTACGGCTCGCTCACCTCCATCAACTGTATATAAGCAAGAATAGGGGATAATACCTAACATTCCAAGTACAAGACCTCCTCTAGCAACATTTGTGAGTAATTTATCCAAATTCATGACACAAATGTATCAATATTACTATGCTCTACTAACTTAAGTATATTACTAGTCAGTGTCTAAGATCACAGGAGCGGGCCCAAAACAAGGCTGAGTCTATTCCTCTAACTTTAAATAGGTAATGATAATCAATAGAGCAAAAAAAAAGGCAAAGGTGACATATGATTAAAGATAGCCCTAGTTAGGATATTTCTATCTAGAAACATATCTTAAAGTTAATGACAAATATCTAAACTATCCTAAGTATTACTAAGCCACAGAAAGTCACAACTATTGTACTCTACAAGAAGTTTCATAATTATTGTACAAGCTTTCATAAAGTGCATGCACATTTAGTTTTGTTCATATATATATTTGCAAATATATACTTATAAATTCCCATCCAGTAATCTGAATGAACTAATTTCAAATGTACTCAAGACATTCAAGAAAACCTCAAAGTCACAATTTCCCTGGGTGACATTATTCTTGCGCCATCACTCTGTCTCCAAGCAGCAGGATGTTCATATTCTGAGATAGTTACATTTGAGTTGATCTCTTGTCTAAGCCTAAATTTCACCGCTTGTATGCCTGCCTTACCTTCTTTCTGAGCCAATATCTCCCAGTGAATATTCCAAGGGCGGGAGACAGTGGATTGATTAAACTTGTCAGATAAAACCTCACCATCAAATAAAGATTCAGGGACTCTTTGCCATTGACCATCACAAGCCCAAAGCCATAATGTATGTACAATTTTAATGTCTGGATTATTCTTTGCTTGGTGAAACTTTGCTGTGTTAGTCTTCTGTACAACAAGATGTGTAGCCATAGATTCAAGATTCTCTTCAACCTTTGCCCCCAGTCTAATTGATGCTGCTTCAGCTTCAGCCTGAGAATCGCCCCAAGTTGAAGGTAGACTCTTTGTTGTAGGTTTTTCATCAGCTTTCAAGAACCCTGTAAAGCAGATCACACAATTTGCTAAAATCTCACTTTTCATTGTCTGCAAAATATTTCCGACACTCGCAGTCTCAGGAGAACAAAAGAATCTTACATGAAGCTCCTTAAACACCTTTATTAAATAATCCAAGTGACGATCATAATCTGCAATAGTATTCCCTCCACTTGCATTAGATAAAGATGATAATGCTGCTGATAAAATATCTCCTGGAGCACTACCAGCAGCTCCCATGGAAGCTGAGTTAGAAGTTAGTGGAGGATAGTGAGCTCTTAGAGCATCTCTTCTATGTTCAAAATATTCATAAGTCTGTGCTTTAACAACCTGAATTTCCAATGAACTATCCCATACATCTGAGCGATCATCTAATAATACTATAGCACGTGTATCAATACCGATACAAATCTTTTTAAAGTCTTTCTGTGTATCTCGCCCATCAACATTTTCTCTTGCTACTATTCTATCACCAAATTTATCTCTCTTTGGGTCCAAGACTGCTCTTATAACATCTGCATATTCTCTAGTAGCATTAGTGCAGATACCCATAATATAATAAGGAGCAATTGTATTTAAGAATTCACGAACTCCAGGTCGTAATTTAAGATAATATGGTGTATTCATATCTTGTGGAAGCACAAATTTATACATCTCTGGCTCCCCGTTTGCTCCAATGAAATCTTCCAAATTTATATTACATCCAACCTTTGTAGAATTATAAGCATGTAGTAAAGTATTATCAAGGTCTAATATAGCAACAAGTTTATTCTGAGATAAGTGGTCTTTTGGCACTGTATTAACTAAGTGAGTATCATCAGGTAATACAGCACTTTCACTTAATAGAACTGGTTTAAAGCTAGATTCTACTTCACGATTATATTTCGAACTTAAAAAACGACTTGAATCTAGTGAGATGGAACCATCTACTGTACTTATTGGATCTGAAAAGGGATCATAATCATCATCATATTGAGTAGCCTCTTCTAATTTACTAGAATTCAAATTAGGTAAATTCCCTACTATATTTATAGCGGTAGTGTCTTCATTACCATTTGGCTGCCCCATAAACGTTTTCTTTGTTGGTTGCTTATCTTCATCACTACTCGAATACCCCTTTTTAGATAGCTCACAAGCTTTCAAAAACTCAGCTCTGAATTTCTGAGGACAAAATTCCCCACTTTCATTAAGTAAAGCTGAAGAGTATATGCTACAGTCCAGTGCTGAAGGTATATTTGAGCTAAACATTCTCACTTCTATACAGGTCATATATATGTAGAATACATCGAAGCTAAGGTATATTATAAAATACTTTATATATTATAGCAGATACCTTGTCTGTATCTTTAATTCATGCTAAATTAAGGAATTTATGTATTTCCCATCCATAGAAATAGGAAACCCTAATAGGCGGGTTCTTTATCTACAAGATGAAATCTATAGCACTATAATATATACCAATATACTATACTCTAGCGTGAGGAGACAGTGTAAGTATGATTTAATATAAAATAATAGGATAATTACAAGATAGCTTTAACATGAATTTAGTATCATACTACTCATTGAAACTAAATACTTAGAGTCATATTAGGAGATTTAATGGCATATCAAGAATAGAATCCACATCATGTAAAATAACATCAGTTTCTGAAGTATATTTGGATAAAGTAGCTTCTGTAAAGCATGTAATTGGCAAAGGGTCCCATAAGAATCCTCTGTTAAAAACTAAATCTTGTTGAATGCAATAACATAACATGGGGTCTTTAGTTACTAAATCAAGCATAAATGAAACTAACCATATAATCCATCTTCCTTTTGGAGATTTTGGGTGATCACTAGATAAAGGTCTAGGTATGCACCAAAACCATGAAGAGAGATCTACAGTGGAGTCAGAGATATATATACCACTAGTAGGATGGATATCATAAGCTAGACGGAATACAATTTGACTAGGGGATATAGTTGCTATTTCCTTTGATTGAAATAAATAAACGTTTACAGAGGTTTCATTTGAATCATATTTAGAAATAACCACTGCATCGAGCATTTTTTGACTAGATATCTCTTTTAAAATACAAACAACTGAACCCGGAACAAGATCCCTATCTGAACTTTCATTTGGGGGGAATCTCCACCATCCAACACGAATATCTACAACTGGTATAGATGGGGGGACAAAGCAATTTATTAAAGTCTTAATTTGATATTTCTGATCACTAGAAGTAATGCAAATTTCACCAGTTACCTCTGAGTACTCTGTAATTATTCCGTTCATCCATACTAAATTTATTTGATTCTTAAATTTATCATTAGCTACTTTAATTACATCAGTTTCTAAAGATTCAATTGTTTCTGTATCTGCTAACTTACTATTTTTTGGATAATCAACAGTTTTGTTATTTTGTTCAGTTTCTAAAGTAGTGTCTTTATCCAATATATATCCATATTTATCTTTAGGTATATCTATATTCGTATTAATATCTCTTTGTTCAGTCTCTAATATATTTGTACTTAATTTCATATACTCAATATTATTTTGAATCCCTGAGATATTATTATCATTCATGATTGAATTAGATTTTTCCAAATGAATAAAATCAAAAACAAACTGAACTTGCATACCAACATAAATATCAACTTTGCAAGATGGAGGTGCAATAGACAATGAAACATTACTATATTCCTCCACAAATACATTATTATATACTTGATTTTGTAGAGTGCAATCAGATGTATTTAAATGAGGTATTTGATGTGTCAAAACCATATTCAAGTTCCCTTTCTTCTTCACAAAAGTTCTATCTATATCTCTACAAAATGAAGTTGGAAAAGAGTCAAATATTGAATAACTTTGTGCTTCATTAGATTTTATAACGGCATTATAATTATTTAATATTTTATTTTGGAAGTTATCCAGGTGAGTTTCTGCTAGTTCAACATTTTCACTATAATATGGTACTAACCATTCACTAAATGATCCACTTAAGCTTGTTCTTAAGTTCATCATTGCATTATGAATATATTCACGTTGGACCATAGCAGGTTCATCTGATTTTGGAAGTGGATTTGAAGCTTTATAAACTTCAATACTTGATTTAAATTCACTTAATATGTCTGGTCTCAAAGATGGCAAAAGTTTCCATTCCATTGAAGCTATAGATGTTGCAGTATAACCTGGTAATTTAGGTAAAAGTCTTAACATCTCTGGTCTCCTTGCAATCAGCCACCAAATATAATAAGACCAGTTATGAGGGGGTGAATATTCCTCAACAGATACACAGACTCTTTGGTCTCGAATTGTCTTATAATGAAAACAAAGTTTCTCAAAATGAACATTTATATCTTCGGGTCTTCCCTTAATAATATCAAATAAAGATTTTCTGGCCCATAAAGTTCTCCAAAGATTTGGAGCTTCACTCACTTTTTGAGATATTTTCCATAATAAGTGATCCGGAATGCTACGATCCAAATCTGATGACTTATTATCTCTTCCTCTCAATAGTTCGTGAAGAATGGGATTTCTTATATAACTAGAACATTCTGAATTGCTTGATTTATCAATATCATCATCATTGGAATTATTTATTTTTGATAAACGGGCTTTCTTAAGACATCTGTCTCCATGGAAAAGATCTACTATAGTATCTATTACTTTCTCATCTTCCAAAAGCTCTCTGCTAGATGCTTCCAATTCATTCATAACAACTTCTTATCTCTCTAAATCCACAATAAGACAGCAACAAATGATTACTAGCTCCTTCAATAAGTTGAATCGCGCTACCTACCTACTACAGATTACAACGTCTCTTCAAGATTATTTCATCCTACCCCTATAAATACTTATTCAAATATTCTACCATATTTTGAATTATACAGACCTGTATTTGAAATATCTAATAATATAAATTATCTTAATCTTTAGTGGTGACTCTTTTTCATCTTCACAAATACTGGCCATACCTATTACTTGAAGATCAAAAATATCAATGCCTATATATTTGTCGAATGTTTTAATACTAAGGTTATGTTACAAATAACTTCATAGTCTGTGTTTAATAAAATAACTATCCTTATATTTTCTATGTTGGACAAAGTGACTTTAAGGCTATAACTTTTAAGGGTAGTATTTAATATTGAAAACGCATGATTCACGCGCCATTAGTATATTTAGCGCCACGTGTGTAGATCTATTACCTGATCTAGATTGTATAGTGAGTTCAATTTTCTTAACTATTTGGAATACCGAGCACAATCAAAACTTCATTGTAAGTAATTTCCCTCCATTCTTCTATTTCAGTAATTTTTTACATAGGATTAATAAAATATAAATATCTGTTTCTTGATCTTAAGAAATTGGTATTGAACATATCAAAGACAAATTTATAAGGAGATTTCTAAAGCTTTAAATAAACACTTCTAGAGTACTTTTTTTTGAGTAAACCTAACTTATTTATTTTTATACTAAAGTACAATAAATAGTCTTGATTTTCAAATATATCAACAATATGGTCTACAAGCTTGTACTAATACGACACGGAGAAAGTGAATGGAACAAGGAGAATCGTTTTACTGGATGGACGGATGTAGGGTTAAGTGAACAAGGGTTTTGTGAAGCAAGAGAAGCAGGAAAAATGTTACGCGATTCTGGATATTCATTTGATATAGTATATACATCAGTGCTAAAACGAGCTATAAGGACTACTTGGGAAGTTCTAAAGGAGCTTGATAATATTAACTGTCCAATAATAAATAGTTGGCGTTTGAATGAAAGACATTATGGTGCTTTACAAGGGTTAAATAAGTCTGAAACAGCAACTAAATTCGGTGAAGATCAAGTTAAGATTTGGAGGAGAAGCTTTGATGTTCCACCACCATCTCTTGAAAAGGCTGATGAACGTTGGCCTGGAAATGACAAAATTTATAATGGACTTCCTTCTATATGTTTACCAACAACTGAATGTCTAAAAGATACTGTAGAACGCGTAAAACCATATTTTGAAGATACTATTGCACATTCAATTTTACAAGGAAAATCTGTTCTGGTATCTGCCCATGGAAACTCACTACGTGCTTTAGTATACTTACTAGAGAAATTGACACCTGAAGAAGTACTTGAATTGAATATTCCAACAGGATGTCCATTAGTTTATGAATTAGATAGTGAGCTAGAACCAATAAAGAAGTATTACTTAGTTAATGAAGATGAGTTAAAAAAGAGAATGGAAGCAGTTGCTAATCAAGGCAAAGTAAAAAGGAAATAAGCTATTTTATTTTCTTAGTGAAAGTACTGAAAATATGATTATCTTTAAGTTCCCAGTAATATTGTAACTGTGAAATAAGTTTATTAATACTAATCTTATCAGATTTAGTGCATATTAATGTTAAATACTGTGAAAATGCAATACTTTAAAATATGAAATTTAGTCTCTTCTAGTTATGTATATATTAGATATATACTAGTTTTAATCACAAATAAAATATTGTACACTTTATAGAATTGAATTATTATAATATTATATATTTACCAGTATTCAATAGCTACAAGTAACTTATTAAAACATTCAAATATATTCACCATTCTTACTAGTCTAGAACTCAGCTAGTTCCATGAATATTAAGAATTTGACTACATATATAACTATCTTTGTATCTCAATTTAGAAATATCTAGTTATTTATAGATATATTTTATATACTATAAGTTACATTCACATTTATAATAAATACCTTTGGTACCTACAATGGATCCAATATTGTACTACTATACGTTATACTACCTTCATCTTATTTATATTCTTCTAATATTTAAAGGAAATTAATTATTTATCTATAAATCTTGCCAAAACTCCTCATTTTTATCCAAATAATATTTATTAGCTATATATGTCAATATATTGATATATTTATACATTTCAAAGTTATGGTTTAATCATAATCCCTACAATTTTAAATATTGCATGGCTTATCTTTATTTAATAAAATTATATTTACAAAAATATGTTGATATCTTACTAAAATCAGATATAATTATTCATTCACTTATCTATCTAATTGCCTCCATAGTATTTATAATCTCTATAGCTCATGTAGGCTTGCCATGCTTTAGAGCTGCGTAGTACCCAGTATAAAAACCTGATATATACCAAGACACTAAAGTTGATGCAAAGTCATCATTATTAACAGATCCCAAGAAGTTTTCGAAATCTTTGATCTGATCAGGATTGAGACGTCCTTGATACACTGGTGTATCTCCGTTAGAGGATTTCGCCTCGTAGCAGTTAAATCCAAATTCAGTAATTGGAGGTGAAGGTATGTTACAGAACTTTTTAGTACATTCAACACAATGTCCATTATCTAATGTCGTCATTTCTTGTTCATCTGAAACCCTTATAGAGTAATTTAGTGTGGTGTTGTTGGGTTGATAAGCTTCTTTATTATCTCCTAATAGCCTTGGTATAGAACTCCCCAAATTATCTTTAAATTTAAGAACTATATGCTTTAAAGTATCATCACATATATTGTCATTGTATAACATTAGAAAAATGTACAAATTTAGTGTAAATAATGCAAAATACCGCTTCTAAAAAAACTAGACAGGTACTTTAAAATGTAGTGTTATTGTGCTAAGATACTATACTTAAGATAAATTTACAAAATTGATAATAGTAAACTCATGAACCTAGGCAAGATTGCTTTTTATATCTCAAATGAATTTATGGAGTCTTTACTAAACACATGTCATAGATTGGGGTTTAATACCACCACTTTTTAAGTAAAAGGACTCCAGAATTTTCATCTCTAGAAGTCTGCCCATTTATGAGTACAAATTTCCCATAAGTTGGCCAGTTCTTTTTAGGATGTATCCTAACTAGATTTATTTGAACTTCCAGAATTCCCAGAACTCTCAGAACTCTCAGAACTCTCAGAACTCTCAGAACTCTCAGAACTCTCAGAACTCTCAGAACTCTCAGAATTCCCAGAACTCTCAGAATTCCCAGAACTCTCAGAATTCCCAGAACTCTCAGAACTCTCAACGTATTCAGAGTCTTCAGAATCCTCACTTTTACAAGATCTAACTAATAATTTATCAGTATTGCTTATTTTGTTGTGTTCTTTACTGAAAGCTTCGAAGATACTACCAGATTTTCTATTTCTCATAAATTTATTTTCAAGACTTTTGTAATATTTTAAAAAAATCTCCACATTATGATCAAAAAATGGAGGATAAATTGTATCTAATTTACTATTTTTTATATCAGCCACTTCAATATCAATACCAGTGGTTTTTGAAGTGAAAATACTGCACATCATATTTGTTGTTGCATTAGGAAATCCCTTAGACTTCATCTTTAACATGAACTTTTCAACAACATATGCTAGAAGTTGAGCTCTATTAATACTAATAACAGATAATCCATTACACTTCTTAGCTAGATCAGATGCAACACATTTCCCTTCACTTGTGATCTTTTTGCACCAATATTTATAAGTTTTCATTTTAGATTCCATTATACCAATATCTGGGAAACGATAAGGCCTTAGAACTGCATCTTCCTTATCCAATAAAAATATTTCACGGATTTTACTAAATCCAATGATATCTTTAGAGATATCTGATTTGTAACCAGACTTAATGCAAATATCCATAAGATCTTGGTCAGATACAACTTCCCAATTTTTATAATGAAGACCAAATACTGCTCGAATAGATTCTATACACTGCTCTGCTGTTGCAATCTCAAATGGACTGATTTCCTGCAAAGTATAACAAACTTCAGAGCATACATCCCTGTAAATTTCCTTATCAATGCCATGTGAAAGCTTAGAAGAGCTAATAGCTTCCTGAAGAGCTGCTGATTGATAAACACCATTACCTAATAGACGAGCAGTGTAAGGAGCAACTTTAGGAAATGATTCTAGATTATAATAAATAGCTATTTGACGAGGATCAAGTATTGCTAGATTAATAGGTCTTAGATCTACTGATGGCAATACTGGCATCTTGAGTATATCTTGGCAAATATCTTTTTTCAGAAAATTATCAAAATAACTATTATTAATAAAACTTAATACAGCCTTAAATACATTAGTACATTGAATATTATTGCGCATTTCATCATACATAGTAACCATTATTCTTAATGATAAGCAAACATCTTCTACAAATATAAAACCAAAATGTTCACGTAATGCAAGTGTTGTTGCAACAGCCATATCATAAAGTTTACCAGCCCCTAAAGTGGTTATTAAGCCAAGTTTATAAGGTTCTCTACCATATTTCTGAAGAGCTACACATTCATTGGTGTCTCTAAAAAGACCAACAGGTTTAATTGGCATTAATCTACCAGTATCAGTAGCACCATGTCTACTTCCAGGTGATATCATATTAGGGCCAATATCAGCAGCAGACCTTCCCCAAATTGCAACTCCACTTGTCATTCTTTTTTTAAAACGACCGAAACGATTTCCACGGTTACCAGGACCTTTACCAGAAGTAAACTGAGGCATAGATGTTGAAAATCCTGGTTTTGCAATTGGTGGTAAAACAAAATTCTGCAATAATTTGGCTTTGTGAGGTCCTGATACTTGCCAAAATGACCCAGTAATATCTTTAATAATTACTCTTTGTGGATTAAATTTACTTAATAGTAAAATACTTTCAGTCAATATAGGAGGTAACATATTACTTCCCTGCCATCCTACAGCTTCTACTATTAAATCACCGGATTGAAACCTCAAACCCATTAATGGCCATCTTGAAGAATCATTATCAGGAGTTAATAAAATCCCTTCAATATTTGGAACTATATTAGAAAGTGAAGCTAATCCAGGAAAATCTGGTGTTGAAACAAAATTAATTGGAGGCATAATGAATACCCTATAACCACGAATTGCAAGATCTAATGCTCTTCCTTGAACCTCAAGGCTTATTCTACCACGTGATGATATCCACATTTTATGACCACCTGTTTTAACTTTTTCAAATTTTTCATATTTAGGATTTATATCTTCTGGAGATGTCAAAGAAGCAGAAAGTTTTTTTGGGTCCCAAACAACAAGAAATGGAAAATTAGGATCACTTTCATCCAGATATTGACGAATATTTGAAAAACTCCCTGGCATATACAAGCCAGTTTTTCCAATAAAACCAGGACCGACTCCATAACCTGGTAATTTCAATTCTGATTGTCCTGTTTTCTCAGTATTACTGAAAGGAAATGCTCCACCACTCATTGGTCCCATAAACAATGGAAAACCTGAACCAGCATTTAAATTGCCCATCTCTGGTATCATTGTCTGACTTGTATATCTGCCTTTTAAATAATCCCCTACAGTTGATGGATAAGGACCAAGCATCGTTTGAGTGTCAAATTGAGTAACCCTAGACATTAAAGCTTGAATATGCCCTTCTGGTAAAGGTTTCCCCTTTTCATCAACTGTTGGCACTACAAATTGTCCACCTGGATAGTTCACCATATATTTTTCGGGATTATAATCTGGCCTAATTCTAATTGCATGAACTTCATCAATTTTCCCGACTCTGACGGAATATCCACGCTTTTTCAGCATTTCAACTCTTAATTTACTTTTCACATTATACTCAATATCACCTTCAGTAGAAATAACAACTTGATGAGTTGTATCATCCCAAGCTTCTTCAACCCCAACTAAATTCAAATCTGCAGGTGCATGGAGAAATCTTGTAAAATCAGCACGATCTATTCTAGGTAATGGTGGAATATCTGCTTGAACTTGTGGACCAAAAAACTGTGTAGACATTTTTACACTTCTTGTATCAATTGCAGAAGAAACTGGTCCATAGTTAACTAATACCTGAGTATTTATACTTTTAACATCAGATAAAGGCCCTTTAATTTGTTTTGCTGCTCTAGCTACATTAATAAGATTAGCTGACTTTGTGAGGTAAGATGCACATTTACAGCTTCCAATTATAAATAATAGCAAGTGAGCTAATCCCAAAATTATGTAATTCATTATATAAAAGTTGTACAAAGAAAGATGTAGAGTTCCAGACTTCTCAGCAAACTTTATTATTGTACTCAAACTATACTCTCTTCTTTGGGTAAGCTGTATTTAAATTTTTTTTTACTATTGTAGCTTACTTTATATATAAATGTAAATATTTGCTAGTTTCACTCGTTAGATCAATTTATTCCAATCAGTCCATGTCACTGTTCCTCGCACAAGATCCAGTATTTAGGGTATTTATAGATGGCGGGAATAATATTTCTAAATTTAATATTAGTAAGATTATTTAGATGATCCATCTTTGTCTTCTCTTCCCAATAATTTAGCAATTAGAACAACAGAACTATTTTAATTAATGTTATTAACTAGATTAGTAGCACTTTTTAAACAATTTTTTTGTATAGCCAACTATCCACACATTGAGAAAGAATTATTCCTTAAGTTTGAATATATATTATAGAAAATATTGAATATTGTGTACTATGACGTTTTTATCGATTAGGTTTTATGTTGATATAACTTCCAAAAGTACTTTTTTTTCTTGAAAGGAAATTTATATCTAATAGACCGCGTATCCAATAATTGGGAAAACTTGACACTTAAAGGCGCTAGTTTGGCGATACTTGCATTTATGTACTTAAGTAAAAAAGGTAGAATTAAGAACTTTGAGGTAGAAATTGATATATATGATTATGATTAGGTGAATGATCTATACAAATCTAATTCTAAAGAATCCCAAAATTCTTACGAGAATATTTCAGACTCAGAAACAGTAGTAAGCATTATTGACGATGTTATAGAAAACTGTGCAATTATTTCCAAAGATAATTCATATTTTGAAATTTTTATAAGTAAGAAGTGTATATATCTAGTATATTATCATGTTGGATTAATATGGATATTAATTAGAATGAATTAATAAAAGGTTTTTTTATAGGGAATTATCGTTATATGCTACACAGATTAATTGCATATTACTTTATGGGGCTATTTATGGTTTCATTGGTCAACTAATTCCTGCAAATATATATTTGTATTTGAAAGAAAAATGGGTTTGAATTCTGTTATATTAGGAACTGTAACTTTCTTTCATAAAGCTACATTTACTGTAGTATGTCCCTTTGGGGCCTACTAGTTGATAATTTTGATACTTCATTTATTATGAAGTATTCATTAGGTTAATTGGGTTTATGTATGTCTTTTTTTATCTATCTGTAATTATTATGAGTATAAGTATCTATGCTATATTATGTGCCTTTGTGGATTTTTTTCTGCAAGTTTTGGGCTTCTATCTCAAAAGATTATATCAGAAACTAGTGAATACTTAAGAAGCAAATATTTCGGAAGATTAATGTTTTATCAAGCAATTGGATGTCAAATAGCTCTATTGATTTCTGGTATAACTTCTAATTATTTGAGTAATTGTGAATATAATTATTGGTTTTACCCTTTTGGATCTAGTAGTATTTTATGTTTTTTATTTTTAATATATATAACAATATTCTTAAAATGTGATACAATTAAATTGAATAATAATTCAAATTTTCAATTAAAACTAATCTTTTCAAATATTAAGAGTATGTCATGTATTTTTAAATCCAAAATAATTCACACGATATTTCTTTTGGGATTAGTTAATGCAATACCTCGTGAAACACTAAATTTTGTGTTTATGTGGTTGTAAAATACGGGTTTATCAAGTTTTAATGCGTCTATTGTAGTTTCTGTAAGCTGGATATCAGTAATGATTGTTGCACCTTTTGTTGGGTTAGTTAGTGATATATTTCACCAAATATCACCATCTAGAGGCAGGAGTGTAATGGTTCAAATTTCACTCATATTTAGATATATTTTTATTATTATTTTTGTCGTATATATCCCTATTTTAACTTCCCAGTATAAATTTGAAACTGTTAAATTGTGGATATTTTCGTTTGTATCGTTCTGTATAGGTATCTTTTCAGTTTGGCCAGGAGTTGGTGCAATGTCACCCAATATTATCAGAAATAGTCCTTCCTAGTTATAGAGCTACAGTATTTGCACTTTCCTCAATGTTTGAAGGGATTGGAACCGCCTTTTTTGGCACAAGATTAGTAGGAGACTTGGCAGTATTCGTGTTTGGATATCACTTGTCACCAAGCAATGTTGAGAATGAAGATATTCCAGATTCCCTACATAATAAGTATTTAAAGGAAAATTCTAAGGCTCTCGGAAATGCTATTTTGTGCATGACTGTAATCCTGTGGACTATCAGCATAGCTCTATTTAATTTTACAAAAAAGAAAGAAATTAGAGAGAGATCAGACTCAAAAGTTTGTCCCCAGTTAACTATAATAAATTCTCAGTTAGACTACTTATTGGGAAGAGTTTAATTAATTATATATTTGACAGCCTAAATATTACATGAATAACGAAAATTAAAATTGTAGACGTTAAGTAGGGAGACAGGAAAACCATTCTAAGTAAAAATTTAAGTAACCCGCTTTATCAGCCTTACATGCAAATTTCCGATGCAGTATCTATAGAAAAGAACTAGAATTTAGGGTTTATAATACAAGAGTCTTTTTAGACTATAAAGTAAAGTTAACAGTTATTTTGAAGTTTTGAGTAATCTTTCTCAAAAAATGCAAATTTATGTTTGTGAGGTAAGTATTTTATTCATTGACATTTATATTTAGCTCTTATAAATTAATATTTTATCTTTAATAGGAATGTGGCTCAGCATACACTAATAAGGAAATTTATCGTCGCCACCTAACTATAGTACACTCAAAAAAGGGATTTTCTGTAGGAAATAATGATGGAAAAGAGGCTAAATATCCAGGGATCTATCCAGGATCTTATGGAGCTATGGTCTCAATGAATAAAACCAGCAGTAAAGATATAAATAATAATAATAATAATATTAAAGAGAGAATTGATGTTCCAAGACAATCAATTGATCCTTATGAACCAAGAGAGAGAAGAATATCAGAATCATTGATACAAGGGATTGCATCTCAAAGATTGGCAGAATATGTGAAAAACACAGGTACAAAGTTGGTTAGTGAAGACCCAAAAACTATATCAAATTGTCCAGTAGAGAATTTAGATGATAAAAAAGTAACTAAAGATAAATATTCAAGATCAGATATACTGACTGATATTGTCAATCATTTGAATTCAATCGATTTAGAGACTACTAAACTTTCCCAATTACCATATATTTTGAATTTACAATTGGAAGTATCAATGGGACAGCTAACAAATTGGTGTAATCAAGTTGAAAAATATATTGAAATTAAAAGAAATAAAAGTGGTTTGTTTAGATTTAAGAAGTTGGGATTATTAAATTCATTTGAAAATATTTTGACACAATCGAGAGAGTTTATTAATAGTACCTTAAAACCAGAAGTTAAGAAGGCATCAGCAGTATGTGCAATACTCGAACAACAAAGTAAAGATGTAGAAGATTTGCGTAAGACAGCAAATAAATTTTTAAAAAGTGGAAAATATTCTATTGATGAAATTGATGCTCTTGATATAAAATATAAAAATATGTGTAATACATTTATTAGAAAAGTTAAAGTTGACAATAAAAGTATGATTTTTTGGAATACAACTATAAAAGATGTAGATACTCAAATTAATAATTTGACTAAATCATTTAATGAACACTTGGAAATTCTCTCAAAAGAATTCTCATCTAAAGTGATTTTTACATTATTTCTTCCAAATCCTATACTAGAATTAGAATAATACGAAAAATAATTATTTAAAAAAAAGTGGATATATTGAATTAGTAATTAAAAGTTGTTGAGTCATAGCATAAAAGTATAATAAACTTCAAATTAAAGGTGAATATTAGTCAGTAATACATTGTATTAAGAATTATTTGTGATATATATAAGATTAAAGCTTAAAAAGTTGAGACTTAATCTTAAAGTGAAATTTTCAAGATATATTATTGGATATTAAAACAGATAAGCAGTAAATTTCAAACTAAAATATTTATTAGGACCATTTTATATGTAAATAATTAAATTTAAGAATTTCAAATAAATCCAAGGTTAGATACTTCCTAATTATTTAAATATACTCTAGTTTGTCCAAATTTTTACTGATCAACTCCCTACTTTATTTTCAGTCATGTGCACCCTATAAAAACTTAATAATAAAAAATTAAAAATAAATGGAATTGTTACAAATAAGATAAAAGGTTAATTACATTATTTATCATACTTAGTTTGTTTATTCATGTATTTAATACTATACAAAAACTCATCTTAGGTATATAAGTTTATTGTTTGAATCATGTCCCTAAATAACTCGAAACCAAAATCAAGGAGACTAATTACTAATCACAAAAAGTAATCTAAATATTTTATAGTTATTGCTAGTATGAAGAAGGCTATTTATATTATTGAATAAGCGGCGACTAGAACAAATCGAGTTACGGACAAGTAGCGAATCATGTAGTGATGCAAAGTGTGCGCTGTAATGCAACATAGCTCTGTACAAGTAGTTTTTTGCTATCATTAAAGGATATAAGCTCAGAAAATTATATTTCATTGTATTTTTAAGTTTTTGATTTCTATAAAATAAAATTCATTATTTGTTACTTTTTTATCATATCTTAATTACTTGATATAAGATGACAATCTCCAAATTATTCAATATCTTATTTATCGCTCTATGTGGCAAATTCTCTAGAGCTCAAGATATGATGACATTAAAGAGAGAAATATCTCCTCCATTACTATTTAATCAATCTAATGATTATATTCCAACTCATCTAGGATCAATAATAATAAATGAGACAATTATTGATCAAGTTCCATCTACCGTACCTATGACTCTAATAAATTCTAGTAGTACATTACAGGACACTTCAAGTGATACTTGGAAATTACTAGTTAATATTACAACTAATCTAGATCCTGATACAAGTAAAAATTACTTAAAACCAGTAACAAAAATTAGAAATGTTGCTAAAACTGTACCTGATATCCGATCATCAATACTTAACTGCATAAATACTATCAGATCTGTAGAAGCTCAAAATGCAGCAAATATGAATATGTTAGCTTGGGACTATACAATAGAAGGTTATGCAACTCATGTAGCTCAGCATATCTGCACAACAGGTAATGTTGGAAAAAGTCCCAATACCTGGCCTTTTAGAGGAGCTCCTGGAGAGCTTATTGCTATTTCACACAAAATTAATAGTACAAATCCTGCTGAATTAATGGATAAAGTTTGTGACTTAGTATTGCAGTGGAATAATACGAGCTCAAGTTTACCAAAAAATATTGATTTCTCAAATCTATTATATTGGGATATTGGAGACAGCTTTGATTTAGCTGAGCCATATTTACAACTTGTATTAGCCCATGTAACATTGGTAGGCTGTTCTTTTCATACAGATTGCCACAGTAATATAGGTAGTGTTGTTGTATGTCAATTTAGTGATAAACCTTCAGCTTCTCAACCTCCATATGCAAACATTCACAAGACCCTTGAATTAACAGAACCTCAAAGACAGCCATGTGGTAAATGTGGTTTTGGGGCTAAGTGTTGTGCCCAGAATTTATGTGTTGGACGTGATATTGGATCTATGTGTCCAACATGTACATTCTCAGAGCCCTTAGAACCAAATCATAGTGATGTATCCTCTTGTTTTGATAGTTATTACCAACCATGTAACCAATCAAACTGTCCCGAGGCTTGCATAGGTAAGCACCAGATACCTGATAATCTACTAGTTAATCAATGTCTCTGTACATCAAAACAAACAATGGAAGATATGCTTCTATTCCAACAACTCCCAGAGGATCCCCAAATTTTATATACAGAAGGGTGGCTCCATAAAAAGTTTTATTATCATGGTCTATGCAGACCTCTTACATCCTCAAATCCTAACTTACAATCTTACCCTCCAGTTGGTGGTATTCAACAAGTAATACCAAATGATACACAAGAAGAAATTGAACAAACTAGTGGTGTGACAGTTGCAGCAGATAGTATACGTGCTGCATTAATTAATTCTTTGAACTTAGCCCGCTCATCACAACCTGCAGCAGATATGGCAATTTTAGCATGGGACTACACTTTAGAGGGGTATGCAAGATTACGTGCTCAGCAATTATGTGAAGAAATCGATACTAATATTACATTAGGAAGTGCACAAAATTACCCACCATATGTGCAATGGCCATTTAGAGGAGGTTCTGGTGAGACAATATTTAGATACTCAGAATCTGTTACTGTTCCGGAAGATGCAGATGAATTCGAATCTATACAACTACAATTAGGATCACTTGAAACTGAAGAATTAGTTAATTTAGCTGTAAGTACATGGGTAAAAGAAGGTGAGACCTTTGACTTTTATTATCCAGAAAAAAATATTGGTAAAGATTTCACAAATTTTATAATGGTTACACGTGCAGAGGCAACAGCTGTAGGATGTGGAATAAGCACTAACTGCAAATACCAAAATTCAAAAAGTGTTTTAGTATGCCAATTTAACTACCCAAATATCAAACAACTTATACACCAACAAGAATCAGCTTTACGTCGTAAGCTTTTAGATATGCAAAATCAATTTGATTTACCATTTTTACATATTTATGCGGATCCATATCTCCTCCTACAACAACGTAGACCTTGTGGTAGATGTAGACGTGGAGCAACATGTTGTGAGAATAACCTTTGTGTTGGTGTAGATATTTCTCAATCAAGTCTAACATTTGTACCTCCTATGCTTGAGAACAACCCTATTGGGGGATGCAGATCTGCATTTGTTCGCCCCTGTAATAAATTGAAATGTGAAATTAATTGTATGTCATCTAGTACTTCTTTTTTATCCCATCAATGCTTTTGTGTAAGCCCCGAAAATATTAGTAAGTTGGGATTTGCTAGTCGGGAAGCCTTAAATCTTAATCAGACACTTATACATAGCCTTATTGGAAATAACCAAACTGCAGACTCTAATCAAACATTATTACAAATACTGGATAATATGATTAGTTACAATCAAACTTTAGTTGGGTCTAATATTACATTTACTAATTTGTTAGATGATTCTATGAGATTATCCTTAGATTCATCAGATAACTCTATGAGAATGTTACTTGCAGATGCAATTTCAACACCTCATCCTGTTGCAACTTATGGATATATTTTTGGTTTTATTCAATCTCATGGACTTTGTCTAACAATACCTGGTTATCAAACAGAATATGGTGAAAGTGTAATAACTGCTATTGATAATAATATTACAGTTATAAATGATAGAATGAGTTATTCATCTGAATTAGACGATATACCACTTCTTACAGGAGATTTTGATGAATTTATAGATTCAGATAATAATTCCCAAATACCCCAAGATATCACAGATAATTTCCGTCAAGAATTTCTCATAGCTCTTAATAGCTTTAGAAGTGTTATAGGAGCATATGCTACTGATATGAATAAATTAGCTTATGATTTTACAATGGAAGGTATAGCAAAATCAATTGCAAGACAATGCCAATTAGCCTCTTTAGGTAACAGTTTTGATATTCCTGGAGTACCTCCACTTACATATTTATCTGCAGCTAATGAAACACTTATCCCAAATAATATAGCATCTATTGTAGCCAGTTGGGCAAAACCTCTTATAACTTCTATTGAAAGTGTAGAATCTCAAAATTTCAAAAATACTTTATTGAAATCTGCCTCTTCATTTACAGAATCTGCTCGTCAACTTTTCAGTGCTCACGCTTCTGGTGTAGGATGTTCTGTTATAACAAATTGTCCAGAAAACCGATATTTTGTAGTTTGTCAATTTAATTATATAGATCGAAGTGCAATTCCTTTCAAACCTACAGAGGATGGTTTAAATATTCCTAAACAACCATGTAGTTGTTGTGGCTCTTTAGCATCATGCTGTGAAAATAATCTTTGTGTAGGAGGTAATAGTCAGGCTCAAGATTACTCACAATGTTTAAAATTGAAACCTAGTAATTTAACAAATACAACTTGTAGTTCTTCATTCTTCAAACCATGTAAAGATCTAGGTTGTGAGGGTCAGTGTCTAAAACCTCTGGAACAAGATGATCATTTTTATGATCATTATATATTTAATCAGTGTACTTGTAGTCCAAAAGGAGCTGGATTAGCTCCTCAATCTGGTCTTCTTCAACATGGAAAAGCTCTCATTAGAGGATCATGTGTATCAGTAAATACTACTTCTCTAAATTCCCCAAGTATACTTACAACTATAGATAATTTATTAGATATCCCATTAATATCAAATTCTAGAAATGGAAATTCAAAATCTCAATCACTTTCTAATGCAATTAAGGATCATTTAAGGAATCAGCTTGTGATTCTTGATGGAAGACCTCTACTCCTTGCCTTAAATGAACAACGTAGTAAACTAGGTATTAACTCCGCTAATATGAATATATTAAAATGGGATTATTCAATACAAGGATATGCTCAAAATTGGGCTATGGTATGTCTTGCTGGAAAGAATAACAATAGTCCTTTTGAATTTCCTTATAGAGGTGGAGAAAGTGAAGTAGTCTTTGCATCTGCACCAAATGAAACTTACAATCCATTTACATCTCCAATTGAAGTTGTTCAAAATTGGTTCTCTGGAAAAGATTCATATGAACAATTTATTGAACAAACTCATAAATTTATTGATATAGAAGATAATAAACAAATTAATATCAAAGTAAATAATAATTTAGGAATTACTCCAAGTATCCTTAATTATCTAACTGTAGCCCAAGCAAGTTCAACTTCTGTAGGTTGTGCAGTTGTTGAAGGATGTCCTAATGCAGGATTTATTATTGTATGCCAATTTGATTCAGCAGTTAATCTAAATAAACCTCCTTTCATTAATATTCATAATAATACATCTTTGACCGAATTACAAGCTCATCCTTGTGGTAAATGTATATCTGGCTCTACTTGTTGTTTTAATAATATGTGTGTTGGATTTAATCAAAATTCAAATAAATTCTCAGCTCCTCTTCTTACAAAACTCTCTTCAAATTATCAATGTCTCATTTCTATCTCAAAAAATTGCAATGCAGGTTTTTGTAAAAAGAGATGTATTCCTCAAATTACTATAGAAGAATCAATGCGTATTCCTCTTTTTAATACTTCATCATTCCAATTCATGATTAATCAATGTCAATGTATTCCTAATAATTTCATTGGAAGTCCAATAGATGCATGGACAATTGGACTTGTTCATAGAAATGGTCAGTGTGAACATGTTTTAGGTTTTAATTCAGATATTGTTAAAACTCAATTAGATTATATTAAAACTGTTGTTAATAAGGTAAAATCTCTTGATTATCTACCTACTTTAGTAGATTACCCAACAAATAACTCTCAATATCTAGTAACTAATGGAATATTATCTGAATCATGTAAAATTGCAATTAAAAGTTCAGGATTAACCTTAAAATGTGTAATTGATCCTCTTAATTGTGGATCTAGTGTAAGTTGTTACACTTTTCCTAATAATCCAGGTTGTTATTGCAATACTGACCCTCAATCACCACAATGTAAAGCTCTAACTATTTGTAGAAGAGATTTGGTTCCTAATATTAAGGCAATACAAGCTAATTGTGTAGGAAAAAATGTGTTAAATTTTGGTTGTCCATGTTCTACTAATATATTCAGTATTGAATGTGGATGTTATGTTGATCCCCTTAATCCAGGATGTCCTTGTGATAAAGATAGTAAATCACTTGTATGTCAAGATCTACTTAGAACAAGTAGTGTAGCCTTAAAAAAAGTTACTCATATTTTAAGTGAAGCTACAAAAACTGGTAGAATATTAAGAGGTTAATAAATAAAATTTTATCATATTGGACTAATACAGTTAAATGAAATAACATTAAAGTAGAACCTAAGATAATATAAAAAAAAAAAAATTTTTATATAAACTTAGCAAAAAATATTAAAATAATATTATCTCAAAATTTGAGATAAATATGTGACAATTATTTACTAAATCAATCATCTTAATGAAATTGTAAAATATACAAGAATAGGCATCTTGAATTGTAGAGACAAATCTTAATAATTACTTACCTCTAAAGTATCTAGGGAAATTACTTTACTTAAAGTAGATCATTTTCTAAATAAATTCCTTATTTTTACTTCTTATATTGTAAATTTATTAAGATGTGATATATATCTAGTGATTATTAATGATAACATATAAAATGTAGAAGATATTCTGATCAAATTACCTTAACACTAAACAAATAATTCTAGAGTATATATAAAAATCAAATTATCTTTTTATATCTCCATATATTAGAGAATATACACGTAATTTATACTACTTTTAAAATAAAACTTGCAACATTATTTTGTATACAAGATATTTTACACATACTAAGTACCAAATTGGTTACAAATTAATCATATTGCAAATTATATTTAAAATAATATGATAGAAACTTCCAAAATCTATTTAGTTGTTAAATATAATTATAGAAAATAATTGACATTTTAAATTATATATTTTAATTATTATTTATTAAACTTTTTTATATATTAAGTAATTTAAAACTACTCCCTAAATTTTTAATAATATATAAATTAAGGTATTAATAAAAAAAAGGTAAATCCTTAAATATAATTGAATAATTCCAAAATATAAAAGGTAAATTTATTATATATATTGACTTACTAACTTAGTCTACTTATTCTATAACCAAAAAATGACTAGACTATATTTGGGTAGTGAATACTAGGCGGTATTTGGATTTATTTAAAATCCTTGCATTAATATTAACTAGGCTATATTAGAAAATAAAAAAAAAAATAAAAAAAAAGAAAAAACAAAAAAGTAAAAATAAAAAAAAATTAAAAGGTGTGCACTTCTATATAGGCATATAATATGGTGTTTGAACAACTTATGTATGAGTAATTAATGATGTTAATTTTGAGGTTATTGTTGTGCTTTTATATGGAATTCTTTTTGTTTGGAATTGGGAAAAATTTATTTAATGTATTCTTTTCAATTAAGAAATATGATAAAGGAATTTCTTTTCTATCTGTTAATATATCCGTAGATGAAGTTAGAATTGATAATAATATTCATAAACTTATAAATGAAAGAACATCTGATATTATATTTAAAAATAATTCTTATTATGAACCAACTTCAATGATAATATCAAATAATTCAATTAGTGAGATGAATTATGAATTCTTTACAATAGAAAGTCTTATTAAGGATAGTTTTGAATTTGATGGTGCCTTAAATATATTTGGAACAGATATTAATATTTCTAGCAAGAAAGACATAATAACTTTTACATTAAAATTACTCCTATTTCAATTTAACTATATGATTAATACACTTATATACTACTCAGAACATATAAAATCTATTTCAATGAATAATTATTTAGATTATTTAAACTGGACTCGTGATTCAATTGTCAAGTTATTAGATATACTCTTGAATGCAAGACAATACGTCCAGAATAAAGACTATGACTATATTATAAAATCAAGTTCTATTTTAAATAAAAAAAGGAGTTTTAAAATATCCTTTATAATTCAAAGTCATATAATAGTATTAAAAAAGATGAAAATATTATATGATGAACTGTGTGAATCTCTCCTCAATTTTCAAGTTGTAACTTTGGGACAATCTCAGAAACTTATTTATAAAGTAACAGAATTACAACTTTTTATAGAAAAGAATTTGTATTCTAATAAATTATTTGATAAATATATTTCACAGAAAATAGTGGAAGATTTATTCGAAATTACAAGACTTTTTGATAATATAATGAAGAAATACTTTATTTTACTTTCAAGCTTAGAAGTATTAGATCAATTAAGAAGTAATAGTTTTTTAGATAAGATTGGTTGTCAGATATATTCATTATTTAGAATAAATCAAGATTTTTCTAGATTTACTTCTGAAATTCCAATATCTATACAAGAATGTCATGCTCTATTATATGATCCCAAGTAATACTATTATAAAATTAGATTTAAGTCATTTGAATAATTTTAAATATTTTGATTAAATTTATTTTAATGAAATTTATAGAGTTCAATAATGATAAATTAAAGAATATTAATGTAATATTAAGAGATAATATTATTAGATTTGTGGAATTCTTTTGGCTAGTTTAGAATGGTTTATATTGTTATGAAATTTCTTTTTCAAATAAAATGATGATTTCTTTATTTTTTATTTTTATCTCCATTTAAATATCTAATTCTACAATATATTATAAGACTTTTAAGTAATGGGACATAAAATGATATTAACTAATTTTGGGAGATATTGTATAATTAACATAAAATAAAAGAACAATTATCCTAAATATTAAGGATTTACTTAAGATATATTTATAAAGTTGGATAAATTAAGAAAATAAATAAGATTTATATATTGGAGTTAATAATGAGTTTAATTAAGTGATAAATTAATAGATTTTTAATTTTTAAAATTTATATATTATTATAAATTTTATAATTAATAATAATTATTTCATTAAAAGTATTTAGATTATATTATATTTATTTTTAGATATAGATGTTCGAAGAAGTCTTAAGAACAGGAAATTTATACCTCTGGTATTTTGGTATTTGAAATGATAATCTTCTAGTATATTTGATATAAATATTAAATTACAGTGTTATTTATAATATTGAATATATTTATAGTTAGAATTGACTAGATTTGGATATAAAAATAGAAGTTTTAACAGTCATTATATTAAAGAATCACCCAGCATAACATAAGACGCAATCTAACTACGATGTGTGTATTAAGTTCTTTTTAGACTAGTTTAAAAAACTTTAGAGAATACTTTTTCTATTTTCAAGGAAAGAATTAATTTTCTTATTAATATATTCTTGATCTTTGATCCTTTTTTAAATATATAATTTCATACAAGATTTTGAGATATTATGGGGTCTCACCATTCTAGTATAGCTCAATGGTGTAATATACCTATTTCTGGAAATTGTAATGCGATAGGTGCATCTTTTGAAACTCCACCATCTGGATATTTAGGATTTACTTCTGGTCTAGCTATAAAAGTAGTTCCACCTCAAAATATTGATAGTATAAATTATTATATATATAGTAGTGATCAGATTGTAGCTCAAATTACATGTGTAGAGGGGAGTATAACTATGTCAATTTGCGGACAGAGTGCCTCATCAGGAGCTCCAGATCCAGGATCATACTCATATTGTTCAATGATAATAGGTTTAAGTAATGGTAATCTAGTAGTGAGCCCTCCTGGATATCCTGATGCAAGTTTAATATCATTACCAAATTGTAATTTAATTTCATCTGGTGGGGGTACAAAAATAAAATCATCATCAAGTAATACTGTGAGTTGGTCGTGGTGTACTAATTATAATCCTATATCCCCAAATGCGAATAGACCTACTTCTACAGGTGTTAATAATATCATACCTGCTCTTGCATTACCAACAACTACAACTACAACTAAAACTACAACTAAAACTACAACTAAAACTACAACTAAAACTAAAACTAAAACTAAAACTACAACTACAACTGCAACAACTACAACTACTACTCAGCCTAAGTTAATTGAAAATGGTTCAAGTTATGTAATTGTTCCTAGTATTCAAAGTATTACTGCTTCAATATCTTTTACTATTAATATTGGAGATTTATATGAAAAGAGTGCTTTAGCTATTCTAAATGATAATTCAGGTAATGAGTTGGTTAGTATCTCATTTAATAGCTGCTGTGTAAAATTATCTACTAATAATGGAAATATTTATGACAAAGCAAAATATAGCTCCTTTGATATTTCAAGTTCTTCAGTACTATTTTCTCTAGGTTGGACTGCAAGCTTTTTTTATCTTATTTTAACTTCTAGTTGGACTATAATTGCACAGATCCCTACTTTAAATTCTACAAATACACCACCTGCTTCTATTAGCTTAACTTCTAATGGAAATGATTTATCGACAACATGGACTTACAAAACCTTATTTAGTCCCCCTCAAGCTTCATATTGTTCAATTAATGGAGTTAATAGATCATGTAAAGCTACTGGTACCCAGTTCCAAGATTTTTGGTCAGCAGATTCCACCTTTCTTCGATATGGATTTTTAGCTCCTAGTATAAATAATTATCCGATAGTCTTATCCATTTATGTAGGATCAGTTGAAGTTATTAGTATTAGTTTTACTAATATTGGTATTATATTGACTAGCCAATATACAGGATCCTCAGTATCATATTTATATAGAGATCCACCCTCTGAAGGTAGTTGGATAGCTGGAGATCTTTTTTATTTAAGCCCTAGTTTGTATTCAGTCTTGAATACATTGTCTCAAGCTACATCATGCTTAGTAAATGAACCTTCTTGTCCCAATACAGAATATAATTCCTGGATGAGTTTATCCTTAGAAAATACCCTACTTACTTATGCTTACTTAGCTTCTCAATCAGCAACTACAGGAGCTTCTAATATTGGGGACTCAGTTTTCTTCCTTGGATACAATGGTAATATTATTGGTAATATAACTATTTCAAGTCATTCAACTTTTACATCTATTACAAGTGTAAATAGTCCTGTTATTCAACCTATTCTTTATTATAAGCTAGTCTCTGGCGTTGCTCCTGAGATAAATGTAGGTAATAGTATACTATCCAATGTTAAGACTCATATTTTAGATAATAAACCAATGTATACTAATAACAAAAAAAGTGAAAATGATACTACTACCAATGAAACTAATACTCATGAGACTAGTACACATAAAAGTTGGTTACAGGAATTACTTTCATGGTTTTAGTTAATGTCTAAGATGTTCTTGTATATTAATTCATATTAAAATAATATATTTAATAATTAACTACACATGGACTAAAATATAGTTCAATAAGACTTAATTAAAGATAAATTTTAATTAAAAGATTTTTCCTTAATATATGTTTTAGAGTTATATACATTTCAACTCCCAAATTTAACGATTATACAAAAAAGTCAAAATCTACAGATTTCAATAGTAACCTGTTTAAATATATAAGGAAAAGTCCATAAAAAATTTCAAGTCTTCATCTTGCTGATATTTTTTAAGTATTAGTCTAAAGTCCAATACCTTCTTTAAACTTTAAATTTCAATAATTTAATGTGGATAAGTATTACCGCCTATATTATGCATGCACGCATACAAAAATAACTAGTATAGAAAACTATAGAAAACTTAAATGTATAAATGTTCTTTAACAGTACAGCATATATTTTTGGTTTTATAGGAGTTTTAATTCCAAGTTTAACATTTGGTTATATCAAAAAAGTAGGAAATAGATATCTTGATATAGATTACTATAAAGAAGAGCTTAAATTAAGAGAAGAGGCACAAACTCTATTTTATGACAAATCACTTTCAAGTGGATTTTTAAAAAATATTAGTGAACAAAAGAGAAATATTGTTGAAAGAAGTAAGTAATATATTTTGTATAGAGTTCTTTTAAATCATAAACCTTTTCAAATGATATTTTTAGAGGATAATCAAGAATTAATACTGGCAAGCAAAAATGATAACCATTTGGATAATATTAAAAATTCAAATACTACAAAGGAATATACAGCAGTAGCACATAATTTTTTTCCATTTCCTGTACATAAGATGGATAATGGTTTTACTTTAACTATGGGTATTTTATTAGATAGAAATATTACATATCCAATAAATATAAAATTTATAGGTAGAAATCAGCAGATAGTAATAAGTTTGTTTATAGAAGATTGCAAGATTTATGCAATAGCCCCTAGAAATAATTTTGAAATTGAGCCATTTGATAGCTCACCTCTTCCAGAACCAATTAGCACTCGCAATAAGTTTGAATTATTGTTTTTATGGGATAATGAGAAATATGAAGTGATATATAAAAATTCTAAGTTATATATTCCATTAATTAGTATTGTAAACACAAGATTTGCACTAATAGCATATGGTATAGCATTTTCAGGGAAACTTGAGCCCTTGGATATATTATGGAATTATAAGGATAAATATTTAAATCAAAGGTATATCTGCAACATATCTAATTATGAGGATCGATGTAAAAGCTATGAAATTATGTTTAACGCAAAAAATAATACATTTAATGGTTGGGATCCAAATATTGGTTTTCTCAAATTAGCTTTTCAGTATCCTTCAATTAATGCCTTGCCCATACAGTTGAATATTGAAGATATTAATAATGAAATTATAGGTACTGCAATGTTTTATCAAAGAAATATAACAATTAACCTAGGTAATAAAGAAATGAAATTAATAACTTTTAATAAGAATTATATAACAAATGAATGGATTAATATTGATCTATTTTATTTAACTAGTGATTATCATAAAATTATAAATGATACGGGGTATAAAACAAACAATTTTACAAATTATACTAATGTCATGGAATTTAATACTAATACTAGTCAGTCCTGTATTAGGACAATTCAGGAGAATTATAATTTGTTTGAACAAATTAATGAGGAAATTAAAGTGCAGAATTCAAAGAAATATTTTAAAATTGAAGATATTAATGAAGATATTAATCAAAGGAATAGATATTATTTGTATTTTGGAGTTAATGATGAGTTAATTGGTAAGTAATAAATAATATACACTTACAGATTTTTTTTTTTTTTTAAAAATTTATATATATTTATTATAAATATTATATTTTGTAGGGGTTATTCAATTGGAAGTATTTAAGCCACATTACATTTACTTTTCAGGTATAAATACTCAAACAAATTCTAAGAATAAATATACACCTTTGGTATATTGGCGTTTGAAAGGTGGTCTTCCAATATATCTATATAAACATCAAAAAAAGTCAAATTAAAATTATTGTCTATAATTTTGGATTATTTTGAGTTATTTATATCTTTAAAACTTAAAATCTAGATAATATCTAAAAAAAAGTGTGTAAGAAGTGCTAAGTAATCTAGTAGTATTTAACCTAATAGTTGTAATATAAATTTGCATATTGTAAAAAAAAATTTATAACTTCTTTTTATCTTTTCTTTTTACTTTTTTTTTATTGGTCTTTTAATTTGATCTTTTAGTAAAGAGAAACCTTTAAGAATCTTTCCCCAGATAGAAATCTTATTAACTTTGATTTTATTAGATTCTGTCTCATTGGATTTATCCTTTACTATATTATCTTTTCTCTCCACTTTATTTGTCCTTTTCTTTATTTGTCTAGGTAATTCACCTAAAATAATATTCATCTCATTAGATAATACATTCCAATAGTATAAATACCATAATATTCTTTGTATATATTCCGTAATTCTAATTCCATAGCAAACAATATCGCTAGTTCCTTCATGTAAAGATTTAAAAAGATCAAATTCTTTACTTAAATTTGGATTTACTCCTTTCTTTTCATACGATGGGATTTCAATATTTCCCATTACAACTAACATTTTACTGAAAAAATGCCTAGTTTCTCTGTAATTAGAGCTATTTGGAGTATTAAGGGTTCTGATCGCACTATTTAAGAATGGAATGATTTTCTGTATATGATTTACTACCGGTTTCTTTAGTTTTTCAATAATTAACTGTTTTGATTTCAGTTTTCTAAAAATTTCTCGAATAGATTGTTTGTTCCATCTACTTAATTTACGCCTCAAAACCGGAAGTGCATCTGTTTTTTTAACTTTTTGTTTAATAAATTGTAGCTTTGGAGTAAATTTGAGGTCAAATAATCCTAATAGCTGATAGAATAAAACTAATTTATTAGGAGATATAGAATTAATAAATTTTTCTATTTCCCTTTTCAAATCTATTGCTTGATAATCAACTATATATTGAGGCCACAAAATCTTGTCTTCTTTGAGAAAATGCAAAGCTATAGTGTCCATTTCACGTTTTATCGGAGAACTAATAGAATTACAAATATTTTTAATGATTAAATTCCATTCCCTTAACTGTATAAACTTATTAGTCTCTTTAGAATATTTATAAGAAAAATCAACTATACATGTTTCAATAGAGAAGTCTGTCAACGAATATATCAAGTTATCAAATGGATATAATTCATGATTAATACCATCTATAAAGTATTTTAATTTATCCTTATTAACAGATTTACTATATACATTTAATGATAGATAATCCAACAATATTTTGTAAATTGAAAATACTTTAAAAGTCAGAGAGTTCATACCCAAATTACTACCAAAACGATATATAAACTCATTTCCAGAAATATATAGAATATTTGAAAATATATCCTTAATATTCCATGGATTAAATCCAAGTGAAAATGTCTGCAGATTTTTTTTGTTATTAAAGAGTGAATTTACTATATTTACTATATTTTGGTTACTTGAGTCTATCATTTTTGAGTTACCAGAATTCATTAAAGCGTCTTGAAGTGCCATAGTAATTAAATTAAATAAACCTGTTGATTTAAGTAATGTATATGGTAGTAATATGTCATTCTCAGTTTTCTTTGTTATCCCTGAGTATGCATATATATAAAAAGATATAATCTGGGGATGCAATGGAATTTTGAAATGTCTACATAGATTAAACGAAATTTCAAGTATTCCGTCTTGATTATTGTATTGATATATAAAAGATGGGTTATTTTGAATATATTTTTTATATCATCTATAGATATTGTATCTTTTATAAGCATGTTAATAACTTTTTCTAATATCCATATCATCTTAGCTATATTAATCATGCTTCGAATTTCTGTTGGAGACATTTGACCATTTTTTTCTAGTAATGTAGAATGTGTATTAAATCTAAATATATTTACACTCAAATCTATCATAACTTTTTCTGTCATGTCTATGCAATATGCAACTGGTTCTGAATACGTTAAGGTAATAATATCCGCAATACTAATCATTTCCAAAAGTTTTTCAATACATGTATGCAATATATACTCAGCATTTAATGTCCCCAAATTAGTTAGATATGAATAGAGATCATAATCACTTTTTTGTATATCTTTCATATGTTTAATTACGATATCTTTCACATTTGTTTCTTGAGATATCAAACTTTTAATATTATAATTATAAGTTAGTCCTATATTATGTATCATTTCGATAATATACGAATTTAAAGTTTCATTATTTATAGAATTAACATCACTCCCATTAATAATAAAGTCCTCAGGATTACTTAAAATGATATTCCTTATTGACTCAGATAATTGTTTAATTATTCTTACAGTTGGTTTATTTGTCTTAGCGTATAAACCACTAAAAGATTTATTACCTGGCCATATATTTAATAGAGGGGGTTCCAATTTTAATGATATTGATTGAAATATTAGTATATTTCTAATCAGATAATCACCGATAGGATTAGTCCACATTGAGATGAATTCACCTAATATTTGGAAGAAATTAAAACTTAAATTTGTTACTTCTTCAGTATTATATTTTGTCTTAGAAAAGGCATAAAATATTTTATTGTATAATTTTGAAAAATTTGGATTTATTTGTTCGTTAATTAAAATATTAATCCAGCTACTATTTACTCTTTGTGACAATGAGTCAATAAATATATTTTTAAGTAGATCTATATTAGAATCAATGAAATTCAAATGCCCAAGAATAGATAATATAGAACTGAATTTATTTTCTTTACTTGGCTCCAATAATTTAGTTGCTAAACTTTGTATAATAAAAAAGTCGCATTCACTATGTGATATTTCGTGAATTTCTAAACAAATTGTCTTGCAAATCTGATAAATATGGTCAACCCTTCTTAGATTATTATTCAAAATATTATTTATAGAAACAGGACAATGATCAATATCTATATTACTTGTTAGTAATGGTATTTGGAAATCAATATATCCAAATGATAAAAGTATTGAAGCCAAATGTTGATACCTAGTTAAAAATGGTATAGATTCCAAACGACCAGTATGAATTATACCATTATTATACATATATGTAATATGCCTTATATGAGATAGATACAAATCTAAAATCACACTGGGATATCCATAAGATATAAGCTTTGACTTTGTAATACTTAGTGAATTTTCAATATTATTACCTTCGTGTAGCAATTTATAGAATTCAGTTCTTGGATTCATTGGAAAATAATCTACTACAATTCCTTTACTTAATGGTCTGAATCCTGTATTAATAAGTGGTTCTTTAGACTCAATTTGACTAATTATATAGTCACATATTACATCGACATATTCGTAAGAAATAAATACAGGAGAACTTGGTGGAAGAATATACATTAAATATTTGCTCATAATATCTCTCGATATTTCCAAATCTGAAAATGAAAATTTTTCTATTATCAGTAATAAAATGCGATCAAGTTCCAAATTTCCAACAACTATATCTAGGTCTGATAAAACTTCATATATAATAAATCGAATAAGTTGTTCTAATATACTTTCCTTAGGAATCTGGATAACATTTAATAATACATAATAAGAAATGAGAAATGGAGCTGATGAAAAGTCATAGATATTGACATCAGGACTACCGATTGCTTCTAACACTTCTTTCTCCACTTCTTCACTCAAAATATATAAAATATCCTTTTTAATTAATCTATAAAATGTTCCAACATTTAGTGTATAAGGAGATTTTACTAAGGAGGTTAGCTCATTTACCTTTAATTTTAAAGCAGCATCTGGAAGTATATAAGTTTCATCTTTTTTATAAATTAAAATTTTATTAGATAAATATTTGATAAGATCTTTAATTTCTGAACTTCTTGCCTCTTTTGAAGGATTAATAATTAATTCTTCACTATATGTTGGACATATACCATGTATAGAATTAACTGTTAACAAGAAAATAGATGAGTCTGCCAACAAAGATTTAATATTTGAAAAATTTGGTATATTTGATTCCATAAATTTCCATATCCATCCACTATATAAGAGATCATCTTCATTAGTTGAAAATAATATATTATTTATTTTTAAAATATCATATATCTGTTTAACTTCTGCTCTAATCACTTTACTTGATCTGTATTCTTGCAATATTGATGTCTTTGATAGCTCCAATGCAAAAATAACTGGATCTATTCCTGAAAGAATAGCAATAGATCTAGTAATACCAATAGATATAACTATTGAACAAGATGGATATTTTTCTAATATATTATTACTTCTCACTAAATTATTATCTATATAATTAATCAAGAACATTATTAGATTTTTTATATTTAAAACTGGAGATGTAACTTGCTTTAAATAATTAAGATTAGGAATTTGAATATCAGTTAAATTATAAGAACCCCATAGTAGAGATAGATTAGTTTCTAGTGTATTACTTAGTCTATATGCTGGAAGTATATCAATCAAGCTAGTTTCAGTACTTTTTTTATTAGTTCCTCCATCTAAATAAGATCTTATTGAAAAGCATGCCAATGCTGAATTTATGTTTGTTGGCAGAGGAATTGTAAAATTAGATATATCAAACTGTAATGATACAGGCAAAATATCACCTAGTACAATTTCGCAATTATCTGAATTTAAATCTTCAGCTGAAAATTTACTTGAATTTAATAAACTAGCATCTATACTATATAATCTATACTCCTCAAGAGAAACCAATATTGCTGCTTCTATTCCTTTATTATTTAGCCAGTCTGATTTCCTTGCTAGTGAAGTTCCAATATTAAAACATATCCTATATACACTATTTCTTGTGATGGGTATTTCAGGAGTATATATAAAGTAGAATAAACGTATTGAACGCAAGCAATCAAGTATATTAAATGGTTTTTCAGGTGTTCCAGGTAAATCAGAGAGAAAATTTTTATAATCTGTCAGTGACTTTTCTATATTTGAAAATCCGTGTAATGGTTCTTCAATTAAAACTGGTGTAATTCGATCTATTGGCCTTGGGAACTCTTCATCAGGTTTAGAGATATAATTTACTATCACCTCATTAATCCTCTCTATATCCATAAATGGAAAGAAGTAGTTTATTATATTATTAACTATATTTATGTTTGAAAATGAATCTGGTAAAATTACATCTGTAACACTTAATCCTAGCAAAGTTTCAGATTGATCTGGTATTCCATTCAGAATTCTAAAGGGTACATAATGTGAATTGAATTTCAATCCAAATGAAAGAAGAACTTTTTCAATTAAATCCAATGGTATTATCATAATATCAGGGGAATTTAATAGAGAATTATCAAATATATTTGGTTTTTCTTCAAACATCTCTACATAAAGTACATCACCATCCTTTAAACCAAGTTTTTGAATTGGAATATTATAATCTTGATTAAAATCCAAGATTCTATTTTCTTCAGTGAACAATCTAGTAGGAATTAGTTTATCATTAAATGCTTCAATAATTAGTGATTTTAGATCTCCACAACTAATATTAGGTGACATTGTTATTGATTTGTTTAACATAGGTCTATTATTAACTACAACAAAACATTTTATTAGAGTCAATTTGGGTATATTTTTTACTTTTACAAATATTAACGAATTTTCAAGGAGCTCCTTTACAGGATCAAATACCTTTATATTCATGATCTCTTTATACTCGTTATCTGAATAAATCTGATATTCAATGTAACTTTTAAAACTTTCACTTTTAATTAAAACTTCAAAATTCTCAATTTCTCCAAGGATTAACTTAATAGATTCATACAATCCCATTGTAATCAAAGGTACTTTATTTGAATATTTAACTATTGGTAAACTTGATAATCTAATGGTATATTGAATATCTAAGTAATCTGTTACAATTGTAAAGCTACTACTAGGTGTCACATTCAAATTTAATTTAACTATTGAATCAGCCTGTATATTAAATTCATGTAGAGGACTTCTATAGTAGTCTTTATTGACAAATATAATCTTGGATTTAGGAGAAAGTTCTCTATTATCTATATTAGAGAAATTTTCTAGTATTTCAATTGAAGATATATTTAATTTTGTTTCTTCTTGAGGATTATCCTCATATTCATGAATTTGTTGTACAATTACTGATTTCATCACTTTACTTAAAGCTTCATCAATAAAATCTTTAAATAGGACATTCCTAGAGATAGTTACATAATCCTCTTTTATATTAATCAAGTTTTGATATCTTGGTTTTGGGACTATTGATATAATTGAAGGAATTGTCCATTGAATTTTTAATTTTAAAAATGATTCATTATTTAGTACCGTTGAACAAATAATTGTATCATCTGATCTTACTCCCAAAGAAAACAATTCAAGTGATTCATCTAATATAGAAACACTCTTAAGAGTACAGTCTTCTATTTTACGTACAAAATAAGCACCATTAGGCAAAGTTATACCTTTTACAAAGCGTTCACTTAATTCAGGGAGATTTTGGATACTACATATGAGAAATTGAGGACCTGCATTTTGTGGTATTTTAATAGTTGATTTTCCTTGTCCCAAACCATTAATATCTGTCCATTCAATGCATAATTGCATATAGTTAGGTAACAATGTTTCAAACATAACAGTAATCTCATTACCACTTGATATATTTAGTGATTCAAATGTCGTTGCCTTATTTAGAGAATCAAATAGGATTATCTCTTTTGATTCTAGTTGAAAACCATGAATTTTTTCTTTGCTTGTATCCATAAGTTCTGATGTATATATTTTTGGAAATATATAAGATATTGGTAAATCACTTTGTGGGATTTCTAAAGATAATAATTTATCCTCATCTTCATATCTTTTTAGTTCTATTTTAAAATTTTTAGTAAGATTATCAAAAAAAGTTATATTTTCAGAACCAGGATATCTATTTATTCCAGATCCAAATTTATTATTGAGCCAATCTTTATATAATTCGACACTTTCTTCAGTTGGAGAATAATCTAAATACTTATCCCATGAGTCGCACAAAAACTTAATTTTCTCATCAGGTATTATATTTTGATAAATTTCCCTAATCTCTTTTGAACACTGAGTCTTATCTTTTAATTTATTATTAGCCAATAAATACACTAATGTAATTTTCTTCGACCTATCATCCAAATTTGGCAGATATACTCCAGCCTCATCCTGTACCCAATTTAAGAATTCATTAGTAAGCTGTATCTTATCTTTTCCCACCTGAAAACCTACAAGTGCACCCAGTAAATTACTTTCATCAACTGGGATACCATGTAAAATTAGTTTTGAAACTAATTCCTTATAATCAAAACCATTAAAAGGACGTAAAGATGACATTATTTCAAAACTTTTTTTAGGACCAATTATTGGATGAATATTCAAAATATCTAAAAGAATATTTCCATAATGTGATGATGGATGTTTAGTAATAGGATTATCGACATATTGTAAAACCGATTTTGCAAAATCATTAGCTATATTTTCCAAAGAACCTAACTTTGGTAATATTACTTTTTTTATATTTATAGACAAAAAATAATTTTTAATACAGTGAATAAAACTATCTTCTAGTGTTTGTTCTTGTTCAACTAAATGTAAAGATGGAGTATCTCTAAATGATATTTTTAAACAACTTTTTGGTATATCATATTTTAATATTTCCAGAAATGTATGAGATAATATATATAGTCTTATTTCCTCCATTATATAATCAATATTTCTTGCCAAATATATTCCAATAATTGCGCATTGAATTATGGGATCTGATTTTAATAAAGAAAATGATCTACTTAACCAATTATAAATAATAATTTGATTAATACAATTTCCAAAATCAAACATTTTATAAGATGTTGTAATTTCCTTAATATAATCTAAACCAGATTGTTCTAATACAGGTATAATTTCTGATTTTATAATATCTAATCTGATATTCCCATTATACCCACCACATATGAATTTATCAATATAATTTATTTGATTTGTGGTATCTTGTAACAATTTTAAGTTATTTCCCATTAAAATAATTGTTATAACATCACTTAAGGATTGAGTAAAACTACTTTTTGAATAGATCTTATTATACCTTTCTAGTATTGTATCATATGAAAGAAATGATAATGTATTACGCAAAAATGTTTTTAATCCAACGATAGAAAATGAAACAGCATTTGATAAATATCCCCTTGGGACATCTACAGCATAAAATGAGTCTAATGTAGAATCAAAAATATTTTTCATATCTAATGATTTTAAATGAACAATGGAACCACTACTCCCTGCATTAGTTAAATAAGAAGCCTCTGTAATTGGGATCTGAGTTGGCTGCCCTAGTTGTAAAAAATCTCTTATTGGTAATAATTTAGATAATAATTGAGATATTAAGCTATCTTTTGAACATATAAATGCTGTAATTTCGCTTTTTATACTATTTGGAAAAATATGTCGTTCTAATGAAATATTGTTATTATTCAATATTTTGATTGTTGTCTTTCTACTTGTAAATCTTGAAATCCTCTGTAATATATTCATATGCCTAAAACATTCAGAGATATTCCATCCTTCATGCATTGACATTATTAAGGAAAATATTATATTATCCATATTTTCTACACTATAAATCTCTTTATCACTAATAGTATTTATAATACGTTCTTTCTTCACAGATATTATTAACCAGTTAATAGATATTGCTATAAATAAAATATTATGTGTCTTCAATAAACTGTTCTCTTCAGAGTGAATTTTTCTATATATTGTAAAGCATCTACTTGAAGCAGTTGATAAATCTATTACATATGGTTTATTAAGTAATTCATCATCAGGTAACATTACTAATGCATCAAGGCACTTCCCAATATCAAATCTTGCACCATCTAAAAATTTTCTGTTAAATTCTTCATCCAAATTTGGAGCTAAATCACCTAAATATACTTTAATCAATTGTTTTAATGAAAGTACACCTTCATAAAATAAAGGTGTATTTTGTATATTTGAATATATATTTTCACTTTCTAGTATACTTATTCCTTTATAATCAAAAAATAGAGCACAAACACTAGTTGCATCTATTACAAAAAATAGATATAATTTACTGAGTATTTCAATTGCTGTAATACACTCATAAAATGAAAACTTATAATATTCTTCATAAACAAAATTCAAATTTAGATCGTTAGAATTCTCTGATACATCCTTATTATTAAATATAGAATTTGAATTAACTCGTTTAATTGATTCAATAAAATATTGAACTGGACGACTAAAGTATACATCTTCAGGATCTATTTTTAGAATTAAATGCAATGAAGAACCAGTATATTCTTGAATTGCTAAATCAAGTGCTACAAAATTAGAAATTTCTTCTATATTTAATGATTTTCGTTTCAAATTCTTTGCAATTTTTTTGCATATATCTAGTGAGTCACTTCTCTTTATATTCATATTTTCTAAGGTTATATTATTTTCAAAATAAATAACACAATTTCTAATTGAAAATATTTCATCTTCACATACCCTCTCTAAAAATAGATTATCCCTTTTATCTTCATCCTTTTCATATCCTAATACTTCTTTTATAATTTCATTACATCTTATTGGGCATATATAATCACTAAATTGTTTATTCTTATTTATTATTTCCAAATTTTTTAAATATTTAGTAAATTCATGTGAATCCAAAATATCCAAACTTCTAATTTTCTGTTTATCTTTACGATTCAAGGTATTAATATTATATAATTCATTAGTCAATTTACATTCTATTACCTTTAACCTATCTTCAATAATATCAAAATCACTTGATATTAAGTTTTCAAAATTGTTATTTATATCTGAAAATAATCCTTCATTATTATATTCTATTATATCATACTTTAAACATGAAATAGCAAATTGAAAAGCTTCATCTACTGTAGTAGTCCATACTTTAGTAATTAACAATATAATAATTATACAGTAAAGTTTTGGAATCTGCAAAGACATTGAAAACTTTACAAGCTATTTAATATGAATATAGGAATTCTATATTTAATTTGTAATTCATTAATATAATAATATTTAACTTTTTTTTGGCTTTAATCTTTAAATACATGTATTCTAAGCTGTAGATCTATTTTTCGGGCGGTACAGATTCCACGCTTATATTCAGGATTTCCATAATCAATTATATATCAAATATTATTGTTCAATTTGCATATAAAATATGAGTTATATGATTTTTCTTATATTATATGTTCTAAAATACTTGAAGTAATTAAATTTATATCTTTGATTATATTATCAATAATTTTTACTTTATGAATACTTCTTTATCTCAAAGAGTCGTATGTAAAATTAAATTTATTAGGACTCTTATCTACTTCCATTTAATTGGATATTTTTAGATCCTATTGCAGATGATTTCACACTCGTATGAACATTTATTAAATTAATCTTTGCTTTATTTAAAGCTTTAGCAGAGCTGTTATCATCTATAATAAATGGGACTTGTCTATTTTTTAAAGCAGGATAAGGAGAACTTTCAAAAATATCAAGTAATTTACAACTTTTATTAAATATTTCCCAAGATTCATTAGTTGATTTATCTTTATATATTTCTAAATCATCACTTAATTCATCAACACTATCATATTTTAATTTAGATTGTAAAGGAATTTCTGTACCAGTATAACCTTGTTTTATGAGATATTTATGGTAAACTTTAGTTCCAATAATATCTTTATTATAATGATCAGGACCAGATCTTAATACTACTGTTATAGATGGTGATGATACCACATGGATAGTTTTAGTACATCTACCTTCTGCTAGTTCAAGCTTAAAGATAACTGGTTTAATAACATTTTCAGATATATTTTTCATTTTTGCCTGTTTATTAGAATTTTTATATAAAACTTCGCTATTATTTTCTAAGAATGTCCAACTTAATAATAAATTATTCTTCATTCTTATAACAGAGTGCCACCAACCAGCTTGGACTTGAAGTACAGGATTATTATTCGAATTTAATTTTACAAATTGTGGAGTATAAAAATTAGTTGGTACTGGCCTTTCTAATAATGGATTCCAAACAGGAATTTGACCCCATTGATATACATTTCCATCTGTAGTAACTGCTAATACAAAATTGTATCCAACAGACAAATCTATTACACGACAAATACTTGTAATAATTTTTGGTCTTTTTGTAGAGTAAACTCCTCTTCCCAAACCTAAAATACCATAAGTTGATCTTCCAAATACTGCAATATATCCATTTACCCCTAATAGGAATGTTGTGGCTAATCCACAATGTAAAGAATTAATATTACCTAATTTCTGTAAATTTGGGGAATTTAATTGCATTGGTGTAAAAATTGATCCATTAACACCTTCTAGACCAAGATCAAATCCTCTTCCCCAAACAAGAATTTTATTTTCTGAAGTTATTGCAACACAATGGAATCCTCCAGCTTCTGCAAACGTAAATATTGTATTTTTTGAATTAGAAGGTAATGTAATAATAGTTGGAGAAATTAAATATGTATTATTTACATTAGATCCACATTGTCCATAATCATTAGCTCCCCAACAATAAATCATCCCACTAGTTGATAAGGCTATACAATGATCTATACCAGAAGAAATAGATTTTATTTTTGTTAATTGTAATGGATTATTAAGTCTTATAATAGCACGACCTAATAGTTCTATGGAATTTTTACCAACTCCAAGTTGTCCTTTATCATTCATACCAAATGTATAGACTTTTCCACTTCCTGTTAAAACAACTGTATGAAAACCTCCAATAGCAATATCTTTTATATAATTTTCACTAAAATTTAGTCCTTTTAATCCTTCCATCCATCCTACAGGATATTCTCTTGATATATCTACATCAACTACTATTTGGATAACTTGTAATCCTTCCTGTGGGGGTTTTTCTTTAGATGAACCAATAATAATTCTATTCATATTCCTACGTTCAATATCCCATGCTAAAACATTTCTACATTCACAACGGGTAAGATATTGAGTTCGAACTCTTTCTGACATTAATAATACATTTAATCTTTCTTCTCGAATAATTTGTCTTACTCTATCACCTTTCCACCAACTTTGAATACAAATTACAGAATTTTTAAGTTTTTTCCAATATACTCTAGTTAATTTTGAATGAATTATAGGTTGTAAGAAATCGGCAGACCAATATAACTGTTCTAAATGTGCTAAAATCCAATATCGACGTATCATACTTTGAATAATTATTATATAATGTACCTTTCTTAATTTATCTCTAATTTTATCAAATTCTGCAGCATGAACCATATATTTCCTTACCCAATATCCTCTCCATAAACTTTGAATTTTTCTAGCAGGGACTGCAATTTTAATATAATGTAACATTATTTTACGTAAATAATAATATCTCCAACAAGATTGGATTTTTAAAGCTTTTACTTGTTGAATAACATTTTTTTTTAATTCTTTAATAAACTTATTAATTCTATATCTTCTCCAAGCTTTTTGTAAACGTGAAGCAGCCCTATTTGATCTTATTGCTATTATTACATTCATCCATTTCTTCTTAATCCTTAATGCAATAACTAAACTCCTAATTAGCTTATATATTTTTTTACCAGCAATTTTCTTCTTAAGTTCATTATTAACACTAGCTCTTACTTTATATCCTCTATATACTTTTTGTATTTTTAATGCAGCTTTTTCACAACGAATTACAATTTTTGATGTATTCATTAATAATACAATTCCAATAAAAGTTTTTACAAGCTTATTGCGTTGAATTAAAAATCTAGTCTTAATATATGTTTTAGCTAGACTTTGACATCGAATTAACATTGAAACTCTATTTAACATTTTTTCTCTAACTGTAGTAATTCTATATATTGAAACCAAGCATTCAACTATAGGTAATAACTTCTTAATAGATGATCTAAAATAACGTTCCACTGCTAACCAACCATCTTTCTTAATAAATATTTTTGTTTTACCTATTTGCCATTCTTTTTCAGGTATTTTCATACTTTTCATAGCTTTTATACATTGTTCTTTAGGATCAGAAGATTCGTTATAAATATTCTGCCCTAATAATTTCATTATTATCATATTCTCTTTTATAAAATTTTCAAATGTTTCTCTATATGCGTAACCTTTTTGTAATAATAAAATAGCTTCCATTATTGATAAACTCTGTAACTGATCAACAACCATATCAGGCTCAATTAGATCAGCAACTTTTTTCTCATTAGGTTTTATACATCTAATAAATTGTGCACTTGTAGAATGTAATATATTTAATAATTCATCAATTGAAATTTTAAATATATTTGCAACAAATTTACCTTTAAGTTTATTTGAATTTATAATTTCAACATTTTCAAATGACTTCTTTATAATATTATTTTTAGATTGTTTAAATAATTCAATAATTTCTGGTCTTAAACGATGTTTATTCTTTATTACAAATTCTTTAGTTGTATATTCTACTGTTTTTGCTGTATGCTCAATTATAAATTTATCTTCAACTGAACCTTTAGGTAACAAATAACCAGTTTTATTCTTACACATTTTATGGCAGGAATTTGTGAAATTTTCATATGTACTATTTGCTAATAAACATGCCTCTTCTAATAAATCAAATAATCCACCCTTCCCATCAAATAAATGAACAAGAGATGCATTATCTTCATATTTAATATCATCATGTACAATCAATTCATCCTCATATTCTTTTAATTCAGTTTCAAAGACTGATAGTACAAAAAATTGTTGTAATTTCTCATTTGCAAAATTAATTAAAAATTGTTCAAATCCATTAATTTTAAAAACTTCAAATCCATATATATCTAATATACCAATCCAAAAATTTTTTGATTCATCAAATTGAATTGCAATATTAATAAGTTTTATCAAATATTCAAAACATTTTAAATATATTTCTTTGGCACAACTTTCAATTTGTTCTAAGGCTCTAGTTGGAGTTAATGCAGAAGTAACTTTTGTTCCTCTAATGTCAATACTATTTGTTAAAATTAATTCTTCAAAAGTTTTCTTATCTACCCCCCATAAAGTTGAAATATCATCAAATATATCATGAGATTTAATATATGCTGCATTATCTGTGCCCATGGCTTCATGCTCATCAAATTCTATATTACCAACTAGTAATATTCCTGAATATAAACAAATAAGTTCTTCTATATCTTCCTTTTTAGAGAGAATTCTTTCCATCTGGGGGTAAACATTTAAAGAAAATTCCTTAACATCATCTATTGTATCAACATCATAACATTTTGAAGAATTTAAATATTTATACCAACTGATTTCTCTAAATTTAAATTTTGAAATATTTGGTTCTAATTTATAATACTTTAAAATTTGATAAAATATATGATAAGATCTTTCATTTTCTATTTGATGACCAATTCTACTTAATTCTAACATATAACTTGATATACAACCTCCAGTAATACCTTTTGAATTATCTATACAAAGTTTAATAAATCTTCCAAAACGACTTGAATTATTATTACGTAGTGTCTTAGAATTTCCAAGTGCTTCTAATAAAGGATTAGCTCCTAAAATAACGTCTTGAACTTTATTATTTATATTTTCACCTACTAATGCATAATAATTCATTAATTGTCTAGCTGTCTCAGTTTTACCTGCTCCAGATTCCCCTGTAACAATACATGATTGATTTGATTTTTGAGATTCTAATAGTTGCAATGATTTTTGAGCAATAGCAAAAGTATGTGGTGGTAAATTACTTGGTAAACCAAATCTATAATCTGCTTTTTTATATTTTTGTATATTTTCCTTTCCATAAAGCCCACTAATCATTTTAAATGGATTTACTGCAATGAGAAGTCTTCCTACATAAGAATAAATTAAATCCTTTTTAAATCTTTCATTTAAAATATATAAAACAGAAGCTTCATTAGTATGTGCTAATTTAGTAAGATCATTTATTTGATATGGATCTACACCTACATTATAATTAAAACATAAAGAATTTTCAACTTCAACTTCTCCTTCTTCAAGTTTAACACATATCTTATTTCCAGAAAATCCAACAACTGTCCCTACTAAATATCTATGAGTTATATTTTTATTAGGAGATTGTACCCATATATAATTATTAATAAGTAGATTATCGGCTTTTACCATTGAATATTTACGTTTTAATCCCAAATCTTTTGGTTTTGATCCACCATTAGGTGGAATGTCTGATGTTATTACATTCATTAATTCTAAAAAGTATTTATATTAGTAAAATATTAAACCAATTAGAAATATAAAATTTATAATTATATTATTATAATATAAATTACTACATATATTATTCTTAAAAATTAAGAATTAAATACATATTTTTATTAAAGAAGAAAAAAAAAAAAAAAAATTCAGAAATTGTGTGACCGGTACGTGTGCATATGTCGCTAAATACATGTAAAATTCTTTATAACTTAACTTAATAAGTCTAATTAATTAGGGAAAGAACAAAAAAAAAGATTTTAATTTACTTTATAAAATTTTAAAAGTATAAATATAAATGATTCTTGAAATTATAACATTAGAAATTTACAATAATAAATCTTCTAATATAATGTACTTAGATCTACTTCACTATTATTTGAGACAAGTCTAGAATTATTGTCCTCATCCTTATTTTCTTCTAAATCTTCATTAGGATCATTTTCTGAATTTAATTTATTTGCAATCATATTACCTTTTGAACTAGTAGAAACAGATTCTACAATATTAGGTGTATCTTCTAATCCAATATCTGTATCTCCATATATATCATCTCCATTAGATTGTAATTGATTTTCAAGAACTACACTATTTCTAGTAAAAAATGTAGGATGTTCAAAAACAGTTCCTTCTTGAGTTCCTGTATTACAACCACGATATATTTGTTGAACAGATCCAGAATAAATTAATTCTGGAGGTACTAAGGTTTTAAAGGCTTGATTACAATTTGGACAAATTTGAGCATCTTCATCCTTATCTGATAAACATGCTCCACATGCTTTACGACTAATAATCCAATCAAAGTCATTATCCTCTTCTAAATCTTGAATAGCTATATCATCACCAATAAAGACACCATCTACAAAAATTTGTGGCATTAGGATTGTACCATCTGAAGCAAGAGGATCTAGTTTTAAAAGGCCATCTGCTTTTAATTTATCAAAAAGTTGTGCATCTCCAAGATCTAAAATATTAGTTTAAATACAAGATATAATTTTATAAATTATAATTAAAAAAAATTAAGATTTTTAAAACTTACTTGCAGCTGAAGAAAAATCTCTATTAGCATCTATTTGATAGTATACAACGCCTTTCACATCCAAAAATTGTTTAGCTCTTAAAGAGGCAAAAAAGTGGCGACGTATACCACTAAGAGATGTATGTAAAAGTACAACCTTAATATAACAGATTTAATAATATTTGTACTCAATAAGATCCAGAAATTTATGATAATAATTAACTATAAGCTTACCTCTGCAGGTGTAGGTTGAATATTCCCTAGTACACGTTTTGTGACTTGATCATCCGAATCCATTAAATTAAAATAATAATTTAATTTAATATATATTATTGGGGAATTTTCCTTTTTTTCTCTTCTTCTTCAAGATACCTAAGTTATTTGTCAAGAAGTTAAATTACATGTAACCATGAAAAAAATCGCATCCTATATACCCGCCATTACATGTACAGATTTTTAGATTTGGCTCTTTTTTTTTTCTTCTTTTATATCTTGTTTTCAGGGTTTATTAGCATAAATTTAATACATAAGAATTTTGATAGAAGTATTTCTAGATCATAGTAAAATAGAGACTTTATTATTTTCTCCTATATATAAGTTTATTTAACATTGGAAATTTTTAAAATAATTATTAGATGTAGATTTTCTATTAAATTTATATTATTTATATATTATTGGTAACTATATATAAATTAATTAAGGATTTTTATTAATTAGAGTAATATATATAAATAATATTTTAATTTTTTTTTTTAATTATCTCTTTCTACGATCAATATTCCAATATTTTCTGTTTACAGTTTAATACATAGTTTTTAAATAATAGATTATTATAAAGTTATGTACAATGGATATCTTTAAATATATTCCTTTAATAATCTTCTTTTTTATATTTAAATCTTTAATAGTATTTTAACTAATCTAATTTCTTTGTTAAAACCTGAAACTTACTAACAATATTAGCTTAATACTTATTGATAATTATAATACTTATATATTAAAAAATTATTAAATAATTATTTAATTATGTCCTATTTATATATTTAGTTAATTTAAAATATTTTAATCTAAATAAAATAATGAATTATATTTTTATTTATTAGTTAAAAATAATATATTGTAATATTACCATAGTAAATGTGGATTCTAATAATATATAATAATTCAAATTATTTAATATTTTAATTCAGAAATGATAATAGTTGAATATATCTATAAAATTTATATTAAAGGTTACAATAATATTACATTACAAAATATACTATTGAGTAATTATAATAATTTACTATAATTAAATATTTCAAATTGATAAAGAAGAAAATCAGAATATCTATTTTAGTTAAATACTGAATACAAAAATAAAACATTTCTATTAAAAGCTTATTAATAAGTAATATATAATAGTAAATAGTAATAGTAATAAATATATTTATTTAATATAATTAGAAATTGTAAGAATTAATAAAATAAGTGGGATATTTAAAAAATATTCTCAATATTATTTAACTTTATAAAATTAGGTTAAATATAGATCTAATTATAATTAAATTCAATGTAAACTTAATAATCATAATCATAATATTAATAAAATAATTTTGTAGTATTACTGTAATTTAGATTTACCTTGTCAATTTAAAATTATTCCTTACAAGTTAATCAAGTTAATCAGGTTAAAGGAGAACAATAGCGCTATTTATAACGTGATACTATTTTATGAATATGATGATAGGGGTTTAATAAACAAGAAAATATTGATGGGGAAATTTTTTATTGTAAATAAACCAGATGTAAATCAATTAGATATACCATTAAATGCAGAAAAGTGAGTTTTATTATTTTCAGTATCTATTTTATGGAATAATTATTAATGAACATATTAGAGTAAAATGGGAAGTTGAATCTAGAGTACCATGTTGTGGAAGCTTTATGATTATGCTAGAAGATCATACTTTAGGAAATTTATTAAGAACGTAAGTTAACTTTTTTTTTTTTTTTTTTTTTATTAATATTATTTATTTGAATTTTATAGACAATTACTTCGTGACCCTAGTGTTATTTTTGCTGCATATAAGGTACCACATCCCCTAGAACCAATGGTTCAAATACGTATTCAAACACGTGAAACAACAACACCATTTGTAGCAATGCAAAATGCCATTCAAATGATTTTAGCAGAAACCCAAACAGTTGCAAATACTTTTAAGGATGCAATGAGAAATCATCCTACATATAGATAAATACTTAAATACCCAAATCAGAAATATTATGATACTAGTAAGGTAAAAGCTATTTTTTTTTTAAAAAAAAGAAAAAAAAAAGTACTTATTAAAAGTGATGCTGAATATTTAACAACATCCAGAAGATTTTTGATTTTTATTTTGTGATAATTGTATACCAATAGTAGTATTAGTTGGGAAACATCCTATTAAAATGAGTATTAAATGAATAATATTTAAAAAAAAAAAAAGTAAATTATTAAAATCTTACCTCCAATATCTATATTACGTAGATTACCCTTCATTTTTTGATTGTAAACTTCTTGAAGTAGATGTTCAAAAATATGTTTAACATTACATCTTGTTACAGCAGATGCTTCAGAAAAAAATAATCCATTCTCTTGAGCAAAATTTGCAGCTACATCAAAAGGAACTTCACGTTTTTCTGGATCTTTTTCAACTAAATCAAGTTTATTTCCTACTAACATAACAACAATATCAGGTTCAGCATTCTGTCTAAGATCTTCAAGCCACTTTGCAGCATTTAAAAAAGTTGTCTTTCTCGTAATATCATATACTAATAATGCTCCAACAGAACGACGATAGTGAGCACTAGTTATAGCTCTATAACGTTCTTGACCTGCAGTATCCCATATTTGGGCCTTTACAGTCCCTCCTATAGCTAAAGGAACTGTTCTAGTTGCAAATTCAACCCCAATAGTTGGTTGTGGAGTTTTAGGGAGTGTGTCTCTTGTATAGCGTGATAATAAATGTGTTTTACCAACTGTAGCATCTCCAACTAAAATAATTTTGTATAAATGGTCATAATCATCAGAAACAGAAGCCATTAAGCCATAAGAAGTTTTAAATAGAATAGTCTGAAAATACTGCAAATCCTTATTTATATTGTATTTCACAATGTAAAAGCCTAATTTAGAATTATGCGCCATAAAGGCCGTATTAAGATTATGTGTAGATATTGATAAATATTAAGCTAAAAGAATTTTATTGAAATATTAATTCTATTTTCTAAATAAAGATATTATTAAATATACATTTTAAATATTTATTTAAGTAAGATAACTTTTTTTTTCTTTTTTTAATTAATTACGGTACTTAATAGAAGTATTATCTCATTTAGAAATAATTATTGATTCAAAATAATATTAAAACCCTCCTCCATAGTTAATCTTAGCTTGAGAAAAATCTAGCTCAGGATGTGCAGCTTTAAATTTCTCCAACATTTCATATTGTTTTAGGTTATCACTAGTTGGTAATCCCATAGATTTTTGTCTTTGATCAAACATCATTTTTTCTACTGTAGTCCTAGTTTCAGGATCTAAATCAGATAAACGGGAATTTTCTGGAACTATTTTAGTAGTATCAATTTCCGGATCTCCTTTAATTACACAAGACCACCAATTCATTGTATCTTGTTTTTCTAAAGTTATTTGGATAATTTTATTGTCTATGATTGACCACATAGAGTCAACAGCTTTAACTTTAGCATGAAATTCACCATCAATGAACTTTTCAGATTTTACAATAACAGTCAATTTATTTGGAGTTATTTTAATATTACAATCACGGGATCTTATTCCAGATATTACTGGTATCTGCATCTCAACAGTACTTAATGTTTGAGTCCATGTATATTTATCAGTAGAACCACCATTTCCTAATGGTGGTATAGATTCTTCTTCATTATCTGAATTTATTTCAACAACTTTAGGAGTATTTTGCAATTTCTGTTGTAACTTGGCATGAGTTTCAGATTCTCCTCTTTTTTTTGCTTCAGCCATATGTTTTCGACGTTCTTCTTCTATCTTCAACATCCTTTGTTTTTCTTCTAATCTTTTTTCATCTGCCATTGCCTGAAATTTATGAAAATGACGCATTAATACTTTCTCTACTTCTGAGTTCTCCATAGCAGTATAGAAATCTGTCTTTCTTAATAAAAAACCAAAAACTATATCTAAAAAATTTTCAATGCCTTCAGCTCCTTGGGCAATATTTAAAAGCATTCCATCAAATCTATCATCCACATTTTTAGAGATCGTCATTTTCCAATATTTTCGAAATTTTCTAAGTATTAAAATAATTTCTAGTATACTTCTAAACCGCCTGTAAGTATTGTTATTTGATAATATTTCTTAATAAAATAGCCTAAATGAAATAAATATTGTTATATTTCATAAGAATTACGTAATTTATTTGTTCTCTTTAGTTTTTTTTTCTTTCTCTTTAAATTATATACTTTGGTGACTTAAGTATAATGAAAAGATCCATCTGATTAATTTACTGTAAAATAAAATTCTGCAACATTATTTCCACTTTATAACTTACTTATACCAAATATCATTCTAGAATTATCCATAGTATTAAAAAAACAAATCTGCATATCTTGCAATTTACATTATATTAATTAATATACTGTTGAATTTAGATCAGACAGTGGCAAAATTAAAAACAGATCATATTTTAATATGATATGCTCTCAAATTCATCGCAAACTAGTAGAATATTATTAATTTATTTCTAGTTACATAATTTTTAAGAAATCTACTCCAAAATATGAAACATATCTTTTTCTTATTTAAGGCGCTAAATATTCCACCATAATAACGCATGCATGAAAATTTAACAGTAGAGGGTATTAACTAATATTTATCAAGAAGCAATTATAATCTATATTTTGAAGATATTGAGATATATTTTATTATAATTATGATCTTATGAGTTATTTAGTAAATATTTCAAGTATTTACTATTTTATTTATACATAATTTTAGGGATAAAGTATAACTATATGAGAATAGGTAATAATATGAATTTAGTATGTCAAGAAATAGGATTTATTCCGATAGATACATAGCTATTAAAGATATTTAGAGATATGAAATCTATTGGTAATTAATAAGTAAATATTATATAAAAAAAAAAAAGTAGTAATATTAGGAATATGTGGGCTCATTTAGAAACAGGGTGGGGACAGTATATTGGTACGTATGTGGACTTTCCACATAGATCTCCAAAACATGTTAAAGAGAGGAGATGGAGCAAGAGTAAAAAATTGAGCGACATTATAAGGGGTATTAATTAATATTAGACTATGAGTAGAGTTGTTCGTGATAGTAAATTCCGTAACTTATATGGCGAATGTCTACAAGATCGCTATTCAGGTTTACATGTAATAACAAGTCGTCATACAGTAGATGGTTGTGGTATTGCTTCTTCAGCTGAATTTATAGCATTTCCTGCAGAATGTAATGGTAATGGGAGCGTTGGAGTGATTGAGAATTGCGCATATGGTCATAAACCAAATGTTGTATATTTTAAAGGACATAAAGCACCTATAAGTGATGTTGAATTTTCTCCTTTTTATTCATGCCTATTAGTAAGTGCCTCTCAAGATAAAACAATTAAACTATGGGAAATACCTGAACATTCGGTATATAATAAATTGAAAGATCCATTGGCTATTTTCAATGGACATACAAAAAAAGTGTCTCTTGTGAAATTTAACCCCTCTGCAGAGTGGATATTAGCATCTGCTAGTAGAGATAACACAATTAAGATTTGGAATTGTGAAACAACTCAGGATGAGATAAATATAGGACTACCAGGAACTCCTACTTCTATAAAGTGGAGCTATGATGGTAGTTTATTAGCAGTTTCTTGTCGTGATAAGGTAACAAGGATAATAGATTCAAGAAGTGAGAGAATAGCTTATCAATGGAGAAGTCACAATGGTAATAGAAAAAGCCGCTGTGAATGGATGGGAGGTACAATGGGTAGTTCTTATTGGTTATTAACAACTGGTTTTAGTGATAAAGGTGAACGGCAGTTTGGAGTATGGGATATTCGAAATTTAGATAAAAGTGTTGGAGTTGAATTTGTTGATGTTGAACAACCTTCATTATTACCATTTTGGGATGAAGGGACTGGTTTGTTTTATTTAGGAGGTAAGGGAGATACAAATATTAAAGTCTATGAATATAGTAGAAATGAAGGATCTGTTAGAAGACTAAATGAGTATAAATCTGTAAATTCACTAAAAGGGTTATGTCTTGTACCAAAACAATCAGTAGATGTTATGAAATGTGAAATTAATAGAATTCTTAGATTAGAATCTAGGGGTGTTATACAACCAGTATCTTTTATTGTTCCACGGAAGACTAATGAATTTTATCCAGATTTATATCCAGATATATATGGTTATGAGCCAGCTATGGGCCCAGAAGAATGGATTAGTGGACATACAGCAGAACCTCAAAGAATAAGTCTAAGACCAGATGTTATACAATCTCATAGTAATATGTTTAAAAGAATGAGATCCGCTGTTAAAAATGCTAGAGTAATATTAAAGAAAGATTTGGCTAAGGTTGAGATGCAGTTACAATCTGCTCAAGAAGAATTGTATACAGTAGATGCTTTAAAGTTTCAATTGAAAGAAAAAGAAAATGAGATAGCCCAACTAAAAGCAAAGCAGTCGATTCTATAAAAAATTTAAAAATAGTTTTTTTTTTAATCTCATCAAGGTGGTGAATTTATTAGTTTTCTTTATTGATAATTAAAGTAGCCATATAAAAGGATAAATAAATAGATTCCATATAATAAATATCCACTTTTTTTCTATAATATATTAAGAATATATTTTCATAGTAGTTAAAAATAGATGTTTTAATCCCACTTTTTCACATTCATGAGCCAAATTTTTCATAGCATCTGGAGGAAGTTGGATCATATGATTTGGGAGTTTCCTAAAAGTATCTAGAAGTTGCCTAAATGGTTGATTACTTCTAGGTAAAGTAAATTCTTCGATAATTTCTCCACGTACTACAAAGTGTTTCCATCTTAACCTCTGGAGTCTACGTATATATTCTAAGCAACAATCTTCAGGCCCTTCAACAATTATTATTCCAGGATATCCAATTTTGCAGAAACCTCCAAGGTAAAGATCATGTGCCCACTCTTGAATTAATCTACGTTTTATTGGATTTCTTATATGATGGCTATAACATGCTCGTTGCCCCCATCTTAATGTTGTTTTATTCATACAAAAATTCCACTCAAATTGTTCATCATCACTATTAAAGATATCTTGTGTATAATTTGTATCTTCAATATCTTCTTTAATTTTAGTATCATCTGATTTCTTAGTAATATCCACATTTTCAAAATATGTCAACTCATTCATTATAGATTCAGTAGTTTCTTTAGCTTTAGTTATTTGTTGGAAAAGACTCTCAAAATTAGGGATAAATTGATCCATAGTATTTTGTATAATCAGATCACGCTGTGAATCTAAAAGAAAAAATGGGGCCTTATTTGACTCCCAGTCCATTGAATCAACAATTTTCAAATCTTTAATACCACTAGAGTAGAAATTTTTAGGTTCTATAGTGATTTCCATATAAATATGATCAGAATAAAAAGTCCGTTTATCAAGAAGAATTCGAAATCTAAGACACTCATTTGAAATTATATCCTTATTTTGAAGAGCTCTACAGAGCTCTGTGCTTTTAATAAATTCTTCATCTAAACTATATATACTTTCTAGAGCCTTTATTTCATCTATAAGCCGTTCCCAGTCATTTAAGGTAGACATCACAGTTGTGAAGTCCAAATATTACACCTCTAAAGTAGCGGTTGTAGTACATAAAAATTTGTGCATGTTTAAAAAAATATATATTATAAATTCAATAATGAAATATTAGTAATATCCTATATATTAAGGAGCTACAAGCTCATAAGAAGTAAAGTGTCTACAAATATTGAAAGCTTCTTCCTTAGGAAGGAAGGTTATTATATCATAAACTATCTCAGCACATATAGTAATTATCTCATCTGTATTTTCAAATATTGAGTCACCAATATAACTTGTAATAAAGTTCTCCTTAATAATTAGCTGTTCTGCAACCTTGCAAGCTAATGGGAGAGGAATCCATACTAATTTGTCTAATTGTATACCTCCAATAGTAATAGGAGCTTTCTGCTTTGTCGAACGCCATAACTTAAATCTACTTAAAAAATTAATAAATTTGTTTCCTATTTGAGATATATCTTTAGAATTTCTATGTATAATATAATTTGGTAATGTACAATAATCACGAGCAGTACCGATAACAGATAATGCTATTATTGTTTTTAATTCAGAACTTGCATTAGGATCAGTAGCATTTGAATCAGGCGGACATCTATCCCAAATCATAACTTCATTAGAAGGACTAGGTCCTTGTAACTGTTTATGTATATGAAGCTTTTTTGCTACATCCTTACATATTTTATAAGTAGTATTAAGCCCCATATCTTTAGAATAAATCTTAAAATAACTAAGAGGAATCCCTATAAATGATCTTCTATGCATCATAAGTTTATTCATACTCATAGTACGTAAAATATTAGTACAAGATTCAACAAATCTCCAAGGTACAAAGGATCCTTTCCAATCTTTATGTTTCATTAAATCCCAAGTTGTTTCTGGTATCTTAAAATGTCTTTTAAGACTATTTGAGACTTCTCTCCATGCTATATTCTGAAAAAAACTCATTGGAGTTACAGGAGATCCATCAACTCCTACAGTATGCTTAATATGAACTGCTGGCCTATACTCATGTTTAGGATGACCTGATATTTTTTTTTTTAAATGATTTCTAAGTAACATAGCTCCAAATGCAAAAGAAATACCATAAAACTTTTTATCAATACTAACCTCTTTAAAAGGTACACGCTTAGATGATGGTGGTAATGGATAAAATGATAAAATATATCCATATCCATCACACTTTTCTTGGTTTATGTTAGATATTCCAGCTTTCATTTCATCAGATATTTCAGATGTTAAAACACTTGGACTTACAGATAAATCTATTATAGCTAAATCATCAGGAATAACAATTAGTTTATCATCAGTGTGTGAGTTTGTAGAAATATTTCTTGTAAACTCGTTATTTAAATATTCATATTCCAAATTATCTAAAAGTTCCATTTTCTCAGTTGTTATATCACCCACTTCTTCATTAATATTTGTAATATCTATATCTTCAAGTTTTTCCAATAGTGGAGTGTCTTCTAATTCTTCCAAAGATAAAATAATCAACTTGTCTCTACTATTTTCCTCATTATTTTCTATAGTATCATTCTTTGGTTCATCGGAAATAATTTGATCACCTAACTTCTCTTCTATACTATTAAATTGTGCATATCTAGCCTTTTTAATAAGTTTATCCCGAATATCTAATCTATTCAACCTTTTTTGAGTTATTGTAAAAATAGCATCCCCATGAATACTGTGATAAGTTGTATGAAACTCATTTTTTGTTAATTTATGCGAAGTAAATCCTCCACGTCCAGTTCTGAAAATCCTATGCTTATTATTATAATAATCATGTTTTTTAGGACAGCAAGCTGAACCTACTAGATAATGATATGTAAACATATCCTTAGGTTTAGATAATTCTAAATGGTGATCATGACCAGCAATGTAACCATCCACTTTATATTCTTGTAAAAGAGGCTCCAAAACTGTTCGAACATCCACTCTGTCCCCATGTACACCACTAGAATAGCATGGATAATGACCTATGACAAATATCCAATCGACATTTCTTACCACTGCAGCCTTAAGAGTATCTTCAATATACTTCATTTGATCATTCCAAAATGAATCCTTAATATTAGATCCTAAAGGAGGTGACATTACCCATGTATCTATATATAAAAATAGAGCTGTTGTCTCTACTACATTATTAGATATATATTCATTCTCAGTTTTATTCTCCCATGGATGAGGAGCATTCACTGGGGCATCAAAAGTTTCCCAGGTATAAAACCAAAAATTTGGCATATACCAACGTGGCGATTCTAAACTATAGTGTCGATCTATTTGAGCTGTTGCATTTCCCCACCAATCATGGTTACCTAAAACACATCTAAAAGGTATTTTGCTTAATCCTTCGTGAATAAATGTAGATTCAAACAATTCCTCCCAAAGAGGATCATCAACTGAACCTACTCCCCAACGATAGAAATTATCACCAACAGATGTAACGAATTTGGCATCTATAATCTCTGCAACTTCCCCCATCGATCTTGCAACAGATTTTAAAATACCAGTTGGTTCACCCCAATCACCAAATGTTATCCATGTTAAACTATCTGCTTTAGAACTCAGAATTACAAATACATTCATCAAAATTACCCATTTTATTCTATCTAACCACATTTTAGAGGAGTCAAAGATTGGATCATTTTAACTAATTACGAAAAAAGATTCTGTATATAGCGCCCAAATGAGGCGCTATATACAAATAGTTTTTTTCTCACTTTTTTTTAAAAAAAAGGTAAATCATATCAATGCTAACTTTACTTTATGAACAGATAATTACAATCTATTTAAATGTACAATATCTTTAATTTAATTTGAATAAGAAATAATTTATTATTATCAAATAGGTAAAAATTATTATATAGTTATATTAATTCAGTAGGCCTCTTGCACTATTTAAAGAAGTCTAGATATAGCAGTATTTAAAATAAATTTATCTATAAATGGACTTTTGAGTCTTTTTACAAATAAATTTCTCTAGGCTTTTAATTTGATATATACATGTATCTGTTGTCATTAATAACTGCCACATCTCTGGCGCTTGCATGCCTTTATGCCTTTTTGCCGTTTTATGCAGTTTTGCGATTTCAACATTTAGTAAGAAATTAGTAGAAGCAGTATGTCAGTCATAATAATGAAAGTACATTTAGGATTCCTATACATAGTTAGTACAATAATTTTTGTATATGGACAAGATTCAATTCTACCCTTTCTGGGCTCCACTAGGTCTAAACTGGACCTCTTTATAAAAGCTAATAGAACAAGAAATACAGATATTAATAAGAGAAATGAATTGAGTTTAAGTTATCCCTTTAATTTTACAGAACATATGAAACTAAGTAATAGAGAAAATTCTCTTATACATAGAATTGAAAGTAAGTTGATATTGTTGATGCATTATAATATAGAAAATATCAAACTAATATTTTTATAGACCCAAATAATATTACCTTAAGAGGAAGCTTAGAAAAATCTCCTATATCAGATGAATCTACTGTATCAAAAAAATCTGTTATAGTAAATGATCGTAAAACTTTAGTCGAAAGTGCATGGTCCAAGTTACTTGACATGATTGAAAATGAGGTTAAAACTAAAGGAATGGTGCCTATTAACCACTACGCTAATGACATTTCAGTAGTAATACCAGTTGCTAAAGAAGATATTAGATCACTTCCAGTACTATTATCAGTAATGAGATTACAAACATTAAGACCTGAAGAGATCATTGTTGTTCTAGATGTATCTAATAAATTAGATGATATAAAACATACCATAGAGGACCTCTACAAGAAATATTCAACAACTCTTAGGAATTTGATATTTATATATCGCACTCCAGAACCACCACCCTCCCATTGGGCTGCTTCTAATAGATTATTTGGTGCTTCTAAGGCCAAAAATAATATTATTATGTTTTTCGACAGTGATGATATAATTCATCCCCAACGTGTAGAGTATATATCTAGAGTATTCAAAAAAAACTTAGAATTAGAAGCCTTTCTAACAGGTTATGATGTTATTACATTAGTAGAAGCAAAAGAAGTTGACGAAATGCCTAATAAAGCTCTAAATATGATTCAAAAACGTTTTGATTTAGATAAAATTGAAGAATCTAAAGGTTTACTTGCTACGACGTATCAGAAAGAGTATGAAGAAGCTCTTAAAGCAAGAAAAAAACTGAATTTACAAACACCCTGGGACCCACATAATCACTATTCAGAAGTGAATAGGCCTGAGACTGGAACTTGGTGGTTGTATTGTTGTCATAATGGTTGGTTAAATATTAAGAAGAACATTCTAATTGAAGTTCCATGGGAAGATATTCCAAGTGGAGAAGATTCACTATATGTGTTTAGATTATTGCTAAGTGGAAAGAATGTTAACCATAGTGACTTGCCATTAGGAATTTATGTGCTTGGGAATAGCTATTGAATGGGAAACAAAAGATAAAATTCACTAACATTTTCTAAAATTACTTCCATACTTTACAGTCGTGAATCTTCAATCCTTCAACTTCATCATCATTACATAAATAATCTTCAATTAATTTCTGGTCCTCTGGGTCTTGGAAATCAAGTTTACTAAATGAATGATAATCAAAAGATGGATGAGATCTCATCTCTTCAGGTACATCTTGACCTCTAAAGAGGAATATACCTTGATAATCAAAATCATCATCATCTCCAACAACATTAATAACACCAAATGAATGTTTCCTAAAGCTATTATCTAGTCTTTGTAAGAATCCTCCTAACATATTACTAGCTCTAAATGGAACATCCAATTCATCTGGGAGCTTGTTATATTTCATATAGTAAAATGAAAAACCTTCTGGATCAAAATTATTTACTAACCATGGCATTGCAACTCCATTTAGATCTTTTGTATTAGAATATATACGTTTCCATTCATCTAGATTCATGGAGGACTTTGGTAGGCTATCAGAGGGGTTTCCCTTCTTTGATTTCGTATTAGTGTTAGAATCTGTACAAGTTTGATATTTCTTAAGATTATCATAATGTTTTCTAATGATATAGTTATTCATAATGGTATTAACAAAACGACTTAAGTTAACTAGTCCATTAATTGATAGAGATCCTTTAGAAATATCAACTGTAAAACATATAACTACAGCAATAAGGATATCTGCAATAGTCACCCTGTGACCTGCAAGGAAAGTGCGGCTTAGCAAATAATCATCTAGATTTGATAGAACAGTTCCCAAATCTACCTCTGATTTGTCACTTTTACATTCTGAAGGACAAGCCGTACTACATAAAGCCTTTATTGGCTTTAAAATATTACTATGAAAACCTTCTAATAATGCATCAACAAGAGCGGACTCATACAATGTCTCACCATATAGGAAGCTTGCAGGTGCACAACGAGCTAGATATCTCAATATGCTATGAATACCAAAGATATCACCAAAAGGTGTAGATATTACTGGTGTTTTATCCCCAAAGATGAGACTAGACTGTCTTTCTTCAGTAAATTCATTCCTATCAATTACTTTAACTTTGACTTGAGCAATCTCAGCAACACTAGCAATAACAACAGATAGTGGGCACTTTTTCATTACATAAACCTTGTGTTCAGTATTCATTTCTAAAAAAAAAGAAGCAAAGATTCTGTTACTTTAATTTGAATTCTGTAAATAAAGACAAACTGTGAGGCTTCCATTACTCCTCCCCTCCTCACTTTATTGTAACAATCGAATCAAATCTCAATATTGCTGATTATTATTATTAAAGTTAATATAATACTTCTAATACTACGAATACACATTAAAGTAAATACTAGATACCTAATAAACTAAGAGGCGAGACGTCTGACTATAACGTATCGTCTCAAGGAGTAGAATAATTAAATCTCAAAGAAGTCAAAGCTGCTCAAGAACCAAATATTTTAATTCCATGTCTGTGTCTAATTGGCGTCTCAGAGTTGTCTTTAGTGAATTTCTTAAAGTGACTCTTTGGGTAAGAGGCTGAGAATTCGGTATAATTGTTTGAAAGCTGTATATTAGAAGGAAATGACAACTAAAATAGAACTGTCAAGGCCTACTCCACGTCTAAAGATAACTTTGAAGAAGAAATATGCTAGTAGAAGGAAATCTAGTGTAAGAGCCCCAAAGGTTCGAGAATCTCTCGCTCCTGGTGTTGTATGTATTTTATTGACAGGTCCATACAAGGGTAAACGTGTAGTAATGCTGAAAACTTTGACTTCAGGTTTGATTGTAGTTACTGGCCCCTTTACCCTCAATGGAGTACCAGTAAGAAGAGTTAATCCTGCATATGTAATTGCAACAAGTACAAATATTGATATTTCTGGTATTGATGTTAGCAAATTCACGGATGAATACTTCAAGGTTGATAGGAATAAACTCCGTAAGAATAGACAAGTAGATGACTTTATGAGTCAAGGAGAGAATGCTACTCATAGAGTTGTAAGTGATGAGAGGAAGAAAGATCAACAAGCTTTAGATGCTGCAATTTTACCAAATATTCAAAGAGATCCTTTAATGGTTAGCTATCTTAAGACAAGATTCACCCTAAAGAGTGGGATGTTCCCTCATCTTCTGAAGTTTTAATTATTGACTTATTCAGTTATTTTAAGTACAATCATTAGGTTAGTTCACTATTTTTATTAATGATTTATACAAGATGACATCCATATAAATATTGCACCTTTGAAGTCTCTCACTGCACTTTCCACATCTTGACTATATATTTTTTATAGTCTGGTTGATGAATGTAATACTATCCACTATTTTATAAATATTACGAATATGCATGAGACTTGCTGAAGTCCTATAGACTTTTTAGCGCTAGGCGCTTGTCAAATCCTGGAAGTCGTAATGGTGAAACATGATATTTGTAGACAAGACAGAAGCGCCTAGTATACTTAGGGTACCCGTGGTGTTATTTTTTGTCTATATATGACAAGGCATGCTTGCAGTAAAATGTCGTATTAAAGATTGACGTTGAAGAAGTAAATTGATAACAAATATATAGAAATTCATAAGTTCTCCATTTTGGAATTAATATGGTAGGATGTCATAGAAGTCATGACATATTTAAGAGTTCTATAACTCTAATAGAAGGCAAGTTATACTGGGCATTATGTAGTATAAATATTCCAAGTCCTATATTTGATAAGAGAAGTAATAATTATTGCTTTAGTATTGATAACGAGCTAGTATATGAGCCTTTTTTCCAAGATTTTGGACCTTTGAATCTTAAATGTATATATCTTTACTGCCGAAAAGTTCAAGATTTGTTAGATAATGCAGAACAAGATGGAAGTTGTGTAATTCACTGCACAAATGGTTATGATATGAAAAAAAGAACAAACTCGGCATTTTTAGCATGTTGTTATTTAATGATTAAACGTGGCAAAAGTCCTAATAGTGCTCTTTCTATCTTTCACTCAGTTCCATTGCTTTCTTTTAGAGATGCAACATATGGAGCATGCACTTACCCTCTTACAATAGGTAATTGCCTAACAGGTCTACATTATGCTATGTTACTGAAGTGGTTTGATTTTGATTGTTTCAAAGTTGATAAATATTTTGCTTATGAGAAGGTAGATGATGGTGACATATCTTGGATTATCCCTCACAAGTTTATAGCATTTAGTGGTCCTTCTGCTACGACAGTAGACAATGATGGCTATTCATCTTTAACTCCAGAATTCTATATTCCGATATTTAGGGAGCTAGGAGTTACATTAGTTATTAGATTAAATAAGAAACAGTATGATAGCAGTAGATTTTCCAAATATGGTATTAGGCATGAAGACCTGTTTTTTATGGATGGTTCATGTCCATCTAAAAATATAATTAATAGATTTCTTGAACTTACTGAAAATGAAAAAGGAATTATTGCAGTACACTGTAAAGCAGGACTTGGTCGTACTGGAACTTTACTAGGCTGTTATGCCATGAAAAATTTCCACTTTACTGCAGCAGCTTGGATAGGATGGAATAGAATAGCTCGTCCAGGAAGTATTTTAGGACCTCAACAGCAGTTCTTACATGAAATAGAAATGGAGTTATTTAGTAGAGGTTCAATCTACCCCATAACACAAATACTGGATTACTATGTCCCAGAAATTGCAAAAAAAGTAGAGAACGCAGTATTACATTATAGAGATTCTGCTACCACGGAAGATATAAACACTTCGATCATTCGAAATTTACCTCTGAATACCTCTAATCCCTACATAAATGACCTAAATATTAAACATATAGATAACTTTTCAAGTAAACAGGATATAGCTCACTTAATGGCTTCATTATCAGTTTCTGATAGAAACAAAGCTATAAGAGGGGATATTGGTCAAGGTGAAAGATTAGTCCAAACAAAGAAAAGTGCTCCAGTGAATAAATATAGTATTTTGAAGATAAATTAAAGGATTTCTGCAAACTTAATATTGCAAATTTCAACTCTTAATTTGGAGATATCTAACCAGAGTTAGATATATAAAACTTTTTCTAATTCAAAACAGTTAAGAGTCAGTATTTTCAGGATGAGTTAACTTTCTGATTTGAAGTTTCTAAGATACATTGATGATATGTAATAGTATAACCAAGAGATTTAGTAATGAATTTCTGAGCTGAAGAAACCTGGAGTAAATAAAAAGATTTGTACTTTTTTGAAGACTACTTTGTTCCAGTATTTAATTGGCTTTTCCTTTAAACAATTGTAGGATTATACCCATGAATGTCATCAATATTTCAACTATAATCTGCAGCCACTGTTCTCACTACCTTTGGAGTCTAAAAGCTTGCAGGATTTTGTGGTAATCTAAAACCTTAAAATACATTAATTCTATGAATCTACTTTCTGAACCAATTTTGTTGCTTTTTAGTTTATTTCAGACAATATGGAAAAAAATGAATCTGATACTTCGTTTTTGCAATATATAATTAGTATAGCTTTCAATCTCTGAAATTTAACTGATTCTAGATAGCACAAAAATATTCACTTAGAAGCTAAAATTATCTGGAAGATATTTGAGGTTCAAGGTATAAATATTTTCAAATAATTTATCTTTAGATAATTTATTAGAAAATAATATTTAAAGCAATATTTACTTCATTTAGGAAATGTAAGACAAGTAATTCTTCATAGTTTTTTTGCCCAATTGTCTTCGGAAATTTGCGGAATTTGAACTCTCATATTTAAATTACCAAATACGGTATAGATTATTACGGGATTTGAACAATATTTTTGATTGTAACATTAACAAGTGCATTTAATAATGCTTTGTAAATAGCTTACGAACTTTATAAAGTTCTTCAGTTTCGATATATCTAATACTTTTAAAAATTCCCAGTCTATTTTAAATTACTAGAAATTTATTATAATTTTTGAAGCATTGGATTTATTTTTTCTACAATATAGATATTCACAGTATATCCTAGGTACTGAAATTTAAACTTCTGTATTATCTGGTTACTTCTTATTGTATCTTAACAACTGATTTATTCAAGATCTTGGTAAGGATGTAGGTATAACACTAGATCTTATAGTATTCAATAATTCCTGTTGGATTACCATCGGAAGTAACTGATATAGGTGCAGAAATAGTGGAATATAGAATTCCATAAGGATATGGAGTTAGATAAGAAGGTATTAAGGTTGTATTAGTTTGAGGTATTATTGAAGATGCATTCCCTAAATGGTTATAGTGAAGCTGGTTCGTTGATCTATCTAAATAATGTATCCTTGATGCATTAACATTCTCGACATTATTATGGTATCTAGTATTTATATTAGAAGATATTGGATTAGGAATATGTTCTGTGGATAATGTTGCCAAGTTACCAAGTCCTGGATGAGAAGTTAAATAATTTAATGGAACTGGAAAACTTAAATTAGATAAAGTATTTGGAACAGGAGTTCTGCTATTAATAGTTACTGAATGATTATTTGAAAGCTTCTGTGGAAAAGCTAATGATATAAATGCTACCTTTCCATTAATTATCTGTTGTTGCTGTTTTAATGCTTTCATAACCCCAGATATATTTTTAAATGTTACAAATCCACATCTTTTTGATAATCCTGTATTGGAATCTGTCAAAATTACACAATCCTCTACATTACCAAACTGACTGAATACCTCTTTTAATTTCTCAGCTGTTGTAGTATCTGAAAGATTTCTTACAAATAATTTCCGTTTTGAGATCACTTTAAATGATGTATTGGAATCATTTATATCGTTTCTCTCATATAAATCTTTTGGTGATTGCGATCTTCCACATGTAAATTCAGCATAAGGATCTGCTGCAAGTTTAAGTAATAGCTGTCTTCCATCTAAACAGAGACTAGAGTCAAAAAGTTTATGTATAGATTCTGTGGACTTAAAAGTAACAAATCCATAACCTCTAGATTTACCACTCTTATCACGTACAATAATAGCATCATCTATCTCTCCGAATGTACAGAATAAATCTACAAATGCCTTGTCACTAGTATTAAAAGATATATTCCTTACCATCACTCTTCTACTAACTGGACTCTTTTCAAATATTGCTACACAAGCCTTCCTAACTTCATCAAAAGCAAAAGCACATCTTGCTAAAATATCCACAAGCTGCTCCTTTGATAGAGGAAATAGAATGTGCTTTAGTTTATCAATTTGAGGAATATCCATATCTAAATCACCTGATAAAAAGTCCAACCTCTCTTGTCCTACTAAAAAAAAGTGTTCGTTAACAGTATTGTGAGTCTCTGAATCTGTCATATTCGTACCCTTTTCCCAGAAATTTGTGTCGCCTCTACTTTAATTTCTTGATGAAGCTTCCATACATTGCCACAATTCTAAATTTCTACAAAAATTAGCCACCAGCTAAACATTACAAGCAGCAGATAGCAACTCAAATATCACAAAGCTTGAAAGTGTGTGTTAATATAATGTTTCAGTGTCTGAACTATCTTTGTATAAAGATAGTCTTAAGTGCCAGGTCTAATAATAGTTCTATCCTTTGTAGAGATCTTGTTCTCAATGTTTGAGCAGTGAAAGATTTCTTAGACTTAATTAAAAGAGGTTTCCACAAATTCTCTAGAAGATAACTTATATAAATATTCCAAATCTAGCTGTTGGTAAAACTACAGGTCTCCTTTATAAGTATTATACGTTCTGCAGATCTAAAAATCCATATTATTGGCGGTTAGGTGTCTTCCTAAAAATTATATAGAAAAAAGGATGACCTACTAAGAGTATCTAGATATACTTAAAGTATTTATATAAATAAAGGATGCCATTTTAATTTTTAATTATCAATATTAGTTTTTTATAAGATACATCCCAAATATATCCTCAAATAATACATTTCCGTTTTTGAGGCTAAGGCTAATGAGTCTCGACTTTGTACTGTCACTTCATTACTTTAAAACTACTTTATTAGATATAACACAGGTGTAAAACATTTTTTGTGTTTCAATAATCTACGAATAATGTAATTCGATATTTCTTATAAGATTCTAGAGAGTTTCAATGCATATTATGCAAGAATAAATCCAACACGCTGAATAGCTTGCTGATTTAACTCAAAGCAAAAGCCTTATAAGCTATTTAAATAGTTGAATTGCCGGTTATTAAGCAATTTTATCAGGCTTTTTATTTAAATTCTCATATGTTAGGTATCTTCTTCCTACTTTATCACTTGTATAAAAGTATACTAGGTGTCCTGTCTTAGAAAAACCAAATTTAACATTTCTAAATGTTGTTAGCAATTTATATGATTGAATTGTGTAAGAAGTCTTTGAACCAACAATAAATATATATGTCCACTTATCTTCTGTATATATAATATCAGTTTCTTGCTGGTAGTGACAGTGTACTTCCAGTCCAACAATATTCGCATCTAAATTAGGGTTTTCCATATACAGTTTAATATAAAAGACTCTGTATTTTGAAGAGCATACTATAGGAATTGATTTATAATATAGGTCAGGTCAGATAATCCATCGGAATTTTTGCAAAATTGTATAAAGCAAAGGGGTTGTATACAGTTTTTGTTCCATACTTTTCATTTAAAGAAAAAGGTGCCATCTTTTCTGACTCGCCTTCTAATGTGTTATATTTAATATTTTGTGCTGCAATTGATTTTTCTTCGGTTTTGGAGTTCTGAGATGAGGTATCAAGCAATTCCTTTTCCATATAATTTGACTTGATTGTTGCCCCTGAGTCAAATTCTATTTCAAAACCATTATCACTAATAACTCCAGATATAACTGAAGAAAATCCTATTGCAGATATTATACTTTCATTTTCATCCAGATCAAAACACATTGCAATTAGGTTACTATTACTAAGTTTATCATCTTCATTCATACTCCAAACAGACATTGAACCAATCCCTTCCTCGTAGCTTTTATTTGAACTATATGTACTGAGAACAGTTTTTTCAATATTAGAAACTAAGAAAAAACCCAATTCTCCAGTTATCTTGGTAAAACCGAATTCTACAGAGCCAATTTGAGCTTGTGTATCCATTTTGGATTTATACATAGTACTACTACAATTTCCAACAACAAAGTATGAATCATCACTGGAACTGCAAGTAACTTCAATTCCAGATATTTTAAGACCTTTAACTTTAGAACATATGTTAATATGGTTGATCAGAGATTCTTTACAAGAGAAACCAATACTCAAACTATCTGATTTTTTCTTCAAACCTCCCCAAATATTACATAACTCCTTACTATTATGAAAAAAATCAACATTTTTAAAATTTAAAAGTTTTGAGTTATACTCGAGTTTATTTTTTGTGCCTTTCTGAATATCCTCTAAAGTATATTCTAATTCGATAGGAGGGAGCCAATTTATTCCCTGAGACCAAAAAAAAGCACCAAATCCTGTAACTTCATTAGAATCTGGACTAACTTCGATACAAATCATCTTTAAGATATTTCCAACAAATTCTCTTTGATAAGTTCTATTATTTTGTCTGTTTGTGCCAATCACTGGGGGATATTCATTTAAATTACCATCTTCAGATAGCCAGTCCAAAGCTGTAATGTGACTCTTTTTTGGATCAAAAAATGCCATTATCTTTCTTATTTTAGAGGTTTCAACAGAAGGATATCCATAAAAATCAGAAATTTTTGAAACACTTGAATATTTACTAAAAATTTCTACTGGAGGATTACCAATTATTGCAAAACTTCCCAAAGAACAGATTATTTTTACTGCTGCAATTTTGGAATTAGAATCTGGGGTAGCTTTAAAAATCTGTATAGATGTAAATTCACTACTCTCAGGACAGGTAATAGAATATGAAATTCTCAATCGATTATTTGAAGGTGCTCTTATCATTTGACATTGTGGAAATTCTATTGGTGCTATTAGAATTTTTCCTATAGATTTAATTAAATTTCTAGTTAAGGGAGGAAATACATTTTTGGAAGGACGAAAATTAATAGATATTATTCCCTCTTTTTCTTTGCTCAAGTTTTTTTTTGTCAAATTTTTAGATCTTACAATAACAGAGAAACCATCAAAAGGACCATCTGAAATAATTTCCTCTAAATTGGATTTTAACCCTTTCTTCATCTTCTTAGATAAATATGAATAAATAGTATATGGTCTGTTATTTTCTGAATAAAATGTTTCAGCTTCTAAACTACCTACAAGCCTCTTTGTATTAGATGCTGATAATTTAAATTTTATTCTCTGAATATATTGCGGAATATTTCTTTTAAGCATAAAAGAAATGATATCTATATTTCTATGATAAAACAAGTTATCAGAACTTCCAATAATTGCTCCTGAATAGCTATCTGAACATAATATAGCTATACTTCCAGCCATTGTAGAAAGAGGATTACTTGAAATTTGGATATTACTAATTATATGCCCAACTGGACATACTACAGAGACTTTTACAAGATTTGTCTCTGATAAATGATATTTCCGAGCTTGTTGCTTATTTATAAAGATTTTTTTAACTGTTATATAACCAAAAGCAATATGATTGGAATCATAATAACGATATGAAGAATCGTAAGGAGCAAAAAGAGGTAAGGAAAGACCTGATATATCTGTATTAAATCGGGAATTTTGATCTTTCCCTAAAAACATACCAATAATAGGATAATCCAACTTTTTTGTATCTAAAGCAAAACAAAACCCTTGAAAGTTTTCATCTCCCTTTTTATACCAAGAAATACCCCTTGAAGGTGTTAATGATAATTTCTTAGAAGTATCTAGTGAATCATGTAATATAATAGCTCTTTTATTAGAATTTAAAATACTTGCTTCAACTATTTTAAAATTCGGGTCTATTATACTACCAGAGAATGCAAAGGTAAAACCATCGACATTTTGTTTATTATTGTTAGCTTGATAATTTAGTCCATTTATATAGTTTGTTAATTTTCCTACAGAAACCTCTTCTCCATCACATCCTATCTTAATACCTGTAATTATACCATCATTTAAATTGTAATACCAAGATAAACTATTAAACATATAACCAGTTTTACAATTTATATGAACAAGTTTAACATGACTTGGTATATATGTATTTAAATCTAAATTACATTCAGAAATACCTGGTATTATTTCAGTATATATCTGTACTTTATTAGTAGAATTAAAATTTATTAACTTATTTGAGAGTAGAATATTATTATTAGGTACTGTAAAACGGAAGCTAGACAGTACACTAGTCTCAGAACAGTCTTTTGTACACCTAAAGTAAGAATTTGCGTAGCTAAATTGGATTCCTTGATTAACAAAAGGTAATAAACTTGTATGCTGTGAAAAAAATGCTCCAAAACCTACTAGAGATCCATAAGAAGAAAGTTCTACGCAAATATACTTGAGTCCCTTTCCACTAAATGTTCGATAATAATTTTTATTTTGATTATTAATAAAAATTGTAACCTTTCCATCAACTACTGCTTCAAAAAATGTAATAGAATCTAAAAATGAATTATTTGAATCTCCAAATCCAAATGTAATGCTACTTATTTTACCTTTTCTTATTTTTCGTAAATCATTACTATGAATTATAGAATCTCCTAATATAAAAAAACTATCTGATGTTAATTCTTTAAATATTAAAGCTTTTGGAATATAATTTTTATTATATACTACTTCAATAACATTAAACTCAGATAAATCCTTGTTTGAAATAGTTTTGATCACAAAATTATTGTTAAGTTCCTTACCAGAGTATTTTGAGAATATCATTTGACACTCCGGCCACAATTTAGGAATAACAATAATTCCTTTTATTTGTAACCCATTAACTATAGTTTTAGTCTGAGAAATATTAGGTACTGGAAGAAGTTCTATTGAATTATCTATCATCAAAGGAATTAAACCAAACTTAGTAATCCAAATCCCTTGACTATTACTATGAAGCCCAACACATGCTCCCCTAAAAAAGTTAGCGTTCCACTTTTTTTTACTTATAAAGTGTCCCATTGAAGGTTCTTCATTAATTGGAGGTGTTGGTCCCATTTTGGAAGAAGGATGGAATTTACTTGATATCCCACTTAGTATATCTGGTCCAGACAACACTAAAGCCGATATATATTCATTTCCCATAATAGATCTACTGACATATGCTTCTGCAAAATTAATCCATGATTTATTTACATCTGGTAATCTTAAGTCACTTGTTATCTTAGTAATGCTACCAATTGCTATAACACTTGAATGATCATCACAACCCAAAAAAAGACCAGAAATAGCCAATTCTCTATGTAAAAAACTAGAAATCTTTTTTTTAGATCTAAATATCATTTCTCTATAACCAATAGAAGTATACGAGATTACTGAACCCCTAGGGCATAAAAAACTAACAACTTTTGAGGTAGGTCCAGTCGGTGTTTCTAATAATTGTCCAGCACACATTGCATCCATAGAATTTTCATTTATTATAGGTTTACCACCTGATCTAAAGAAATTAGGGATATGTTTTAATATAGGTATTGCATTACCAAATAAATTAGAAGTTACCCTTTCTTTAATAAATTCAGGTTTTTTAATAAAAGATTTAGATACTTCAGAAGGAAATTGCTTAAATCCGGGATTAACTGGATAATTTCCTAATGGAGGTCGTTTTAAATCTATAGTTGACTGTAATCCAGATGTTGAAGGTACACTTTCATAGCTTGCACTTTTTAACAGTTTAGAAGATTCAGATTCTCTACTCATTGGTTGCCCAATATGTGTCGAAGCTAAAGATCCACCGTCTCCTCCTGTTACTAAGATGCCATTTTGAATAACTATACTAGTAATTACTCTTTGTGTTATTAGAGCAAAAAGAATTGAGCTAGTCCAATACCACATCTTGTATCACCCAGTAAGCTAGCTTACAGGATTATCCTATAATCTTATATATTGTATACAATTGTATAAATACACAAAGTATGACTTTTAGCTAATCTTATTATAATTAATTATACCTCTAATCATCTATTGGCATTCTAGGTGAATTGTAGCCAAAATATAAGATCAAATATAGCGGTAAAAAATACCGCTATATATTGCATGCTGTTTTAATTTTTTAATATAACCATTATAAGGAAAAATATTTTTAGCATTAGTATAATAAATTTCTTATATATTAATATACAAACTTAAGAGATTATATGCTTTGGTTTTTGTAACAACTTTTTCCCCTGATGGCTTTAGTCAATATATAATTTTTAGATTTGAAATCTAAAAATTATTTTTGAGATTACTGAAATAATTCCATTTGTTTTAAATAAGAAAAAATATCAGTAAAAATTTAGAAGTTACTTAAATTTTTTGTGTTCCCACTTAAACTTAAGAGTAGATAATGTTGGGGAGTTTGTATATATATGATTATGATCTCTAAATATTTAAATAAAGCCAATACTATATAATTAGTAATGTTATATTTCTAATTTTATTTATTATATTAAAGTATTATCTTAGGTGGAATATTAGCTTTTAGTATAAATTAGATCTAAATTAATCCCAATATTTTACCCGCAAATAAAGATCTGCTCTTTATATATAAAACTGACGAAAAGAAGACTATATAGGTGGATATTTAGTATTAAATAGAAAGAAATAGTCTAAATTATTTCCCATATCATTAGTTACTAGTTGGTAATCCATGTACTAATCTAATTATATATATATATATATGAACTTACTATTAAACTCATTTACCATAGTTATACTGAGCTTGGTCATACAATGCCAAACACATGAATTACTACTCAACTCCCATTTAGGAACTCAAAAAATTCCTGCAAAGAAAAGGGGAAACAATTATATGACCATTGGTGAAATGGCTATTGAGGGAAATATTCACCAAGGTTGCAACATTAATGGTATGCTTACAACAAGGAGAGATATACCAAAGAGCAGCGAAAAATTAAGTGTAATTTGTCCAAATGGTTCTACTATTACATGGTTGGGATATAAAACATTAAAAGAAAGTGGAGTAGTAGCAATGACATTTGGATGTGATGACAATAAAAGCTTTGCAGTTGTAGGTGATACAACATCTGGTTTTAGTGAAATAAACCATACAAAAACTCCAATAAACTATATGGAAGTCGGATATGGAACTATACAGTTGATTAAAAAACGTCATAAAAAGCATTCGAAATCTAGCCAGGTGATATCTAACTTAGAAGGCCCAAATACAAAATATCAGGAAAAAGATATTTTTGGTAGACTTGTCTTAGGTAATAATGAAGCGAGTAAACATGTAATTAATTATAGCTGTAAATCATGTAGTATTTTTACTAATAAACAATGGGTTAGTGGTAATTTTCTTGGATTTTGTTTTATATTGAATATGCACAATATATTATCAAAATCAAGGAATACAGATCAAAGATCTATTTTAGGAATTGGAGTTATTGGATTTGGTAAAAGTAGTTGGAATAGTCCATTTAGTTGGATAGGTGCAAGAATTAGTATGAACCAATTAATAACTACAAAAATATGGCCTGAGTGTCAAATGATATATTCTTCAAGGTCAGGTGATGCATCTAGCTTTAGATATTCACTCATATGTTTAGGCTCTGGACAAGGATTTGCTAATCTTTCTTTTAAAAAAAATTCTCGGGGTGGTTTGAGTTCAATTTCTGCTCATTGTATAGGAAGTTCAAGTGAAGGAACTCTTGGTATAGAAGGAACTACAAATCTATTTGATAATAGCCCATCTACTATCCCTGGAACAATAAATGAAATATCTATAGCTTACTCTAACAATACTTTATCACCCTCTTTCATTTTATTGAAAACATTAGATAATAAAAAGTACTTATTTGGAATAAAAGAAGAATCAAGTAAATCTGTGAGTTATAATGGACTCTTTATTCAAATTATTTGTGTTGAAGTAACAATAGTTGAAAACGAATCATTTATTACAGGTATCGGATTTTTTTTTGAAGGAAAAGAAACTAAACACAATATCAATTTATCACCTCATAAATTATTACCAATGGTAGATCTAACTAAAGTATTTGCAAACCAACCTCCTTGGACTCTAAACAATATGATCATAAGTAGTGGTCAAAGACTGGGATATTGTAGAGATTGGTCTGGTCATTTAGTTATTAAAGGAGAAACATTTGTGTTTATGTGCTATGAAGGTGAGAATATTGAAAAGTATAGAATTTATACCAATGATATGGGCATTACTGGCATTCAATTTTGGTGTTCGAATACTATTTCTGAAGTCCCATCTTGGGGATTTATAGGTTATAGAACTGAAAATTCATTTCAAACATATGATCCACAAACATTTGACTCTCTATATAATAATATATATGAGGTTCATTTTACTTGGAGTTCTGTAGATTCACATCCCTTAGGAATGATCATTACTGATTCTACTGGAATTCATACAGTAAATCCAAGTATAAAGAGTCAAAAATCAACTGTAACTTCTCTATGGAATAGGAATGAGCAATTTTCTAAAGGTCCACTTGGTATTTGTGCAAAATTTAGTAACAAGAAACAACTATTAGCAATAGGATTTAAATCTAGTTTTAATGTGGAGGTACCCTTAGAAAAAACAACTTTTGATTATATTCAAGAAGGAATTAGATGTCGTGGTAATATTATAATATATAAAGAAATGCATTGTTCCGAATATATTAACTCATTACAATATAAACACAAAAGAAAGGGACACTTTACATATACAGTTACATGTCCAGAGAATCAATTATTGACATATATGAAATTAAACATAGAAAAAGATGAATTAGTAGCTATTGTTTTAAAATGTTCTGATGATCATTCTATGTGTATTATAGGAGATATTCAAACTAATTTTCCCTATGGATCTAATAAAGCTGTCATTCAAAAGATTGAAGTTAGCTTTGGATATAAGAGGAGATATATAAAGAAAATTCCAAGCATAACTTTGCTTAAAGTTGAGTCTTTAAAACCTCATATAGAATTTGGAAAATATTATGTTAGAGGCACTAAAGAAATTAAGCGTGTTTGGCAGTCCAATGGTTTTAAAGGTTTATGTTTTGGTATGAAATTATTAAGTAACACTTTTAAATCATTTCATCATTCTAAAGTTTCTATAACAGCTATTGGAGTACAAATTGATCAAGTTTATACTCCAGAATATGGAGCAATGGTTGACACTCTTCCTTCAGGAAGACTTTTATTTTCACCTCCAGAATATATTAATAGAAGAGGACTTTGGCCTCAGTGTCAACAGGTATTTGGTAAGAGAAGTAGTTTAACAAAACATTTTATGATCAGCTGCCCTGATGAAATGAATTTCAATGTATTTAAAATGTGTATTTCAAATCAAGATTTATCTGTGATACTTATAGAAGCATCCTGCTCAAATGCCCATATTCAACTTCCTCCAATAAGAATTGGAAACAAGGATGGAATTCCATGTACAGAAAAATCTATTACCGGTAAAATTGAGGAATTAATTGTTGGATTTCATAGTACTTTTGGAAAAATGAGTGCTTTAAAGGTAAAAGCTACTGGTTTTCCAACTTTATCTAGTTTAGATAGGCATAATACACAAGATATGAAATTATATTATTGGAGTGGATCAGAACTTAATATGATTTGTGTATCAATAGAAGGTAATATGATAGTAGGTTTTGGAGCATACTTCAAAATTTTAGGAGATAAAGATTTACAGCCAATTGGAATTATTTCGAATATACCTGAAACATATAAAAGTCAACTCAAAATAGATATGATTAGGTCTATTGGAGAAGTAGATATTATCAGAGATCAATTAGAAATAGAGTCAATTTGTACAGAATGGGCTAAGTCAACTGAAAAACCTAAAGATATTTTTGCAATAAAATGTCCTTTAGGTCTTTATTTCACCTATTTAATTCTTGGACTGGATCATTATCATAAACAAATTATACAGCTAACACTTAGCTGTGGTATTCTAGATATTAATGGAAATCCTGTATCTAAAGTATCAGTAGGTCAAGAAGCTCATATTAATAATATGCTTTCAATTGATCTCACTCAAATTGCTTTATTGCAAGTATCTTTTGCATCTAAACCAAATACAATGTCCATAACTGCGAAAAATACATATGGAAATACTATTAACTCTTTTCAAGCAGTAAATCCTCAAACAAACACTCAGTTCTCTCCTATAAGCTTTGCTGAGTACAATACTGCAGAAAATAATTTAAATATATTTTGTGTAGGAATTAAGTCAGATACTTTTAATATGACAAGACATGAAATAGTATCTATTGGATTCCCTGTAAAAAGTCAACAGGAACAAATATTATCACCACCAAATAGTGGAATTGGAACATTACAACATTCAGGACAACATTTATATAACCCAAATACTTCATTGGGATTTTTTGTAAAAGATATGGATACTATTGAAGGCTCACTTGCCAGCTCATTATGCCAAGGTTGGCGTGATTTGACTCCTTCACCATTACAAGAAATTAAAAGGATTGGATTTAAATGTCGGAATAACGGTAATATTAATTTATTTAAAGTATTTGCACATCATGAAGCAGGTTATGTTGTAGGTATATCTGCAAGTTGTTCAACTTATGGAAATTTCCATGTAGGTCAAATTTCCCAATACTCTAAGGAATTAGGAGATTCTACCTCAAGCATAAAAGCATGTACATTCCAATGGACTGAAAATTACAATAACCCTGCATCAGTATTAGTTTCGGATTCCTTACTTCGTGGTTATGCACACTACTCATCAGATATAATATCATCGAAGAAAATATCCAAGTCTGAGTTTCAAGGTTCAGAATTAAAAGGTGTATGTTTTGATATCTTAAAAATGTTAACTAATGGTCTATATATATATAATGTAGGTTTTATATTTTAGTGCTCTAGAATTATATATGTTAATTTAGAAGTTAGAACAAGGCTATAACGAATTATATAAAAGTAATCATTGAATAAAGATCAAATCTATATTTTAATTTCACAAAAAAGCACTTTTTGAATAACTAATAAATATATTATATATTTGTATTAGTTTACATAAATATTTTAATTTATGTATTCAAATTTACCTAATTTTTTATTAATAGTTAAAATAGGCTTAATTTTAAAAATTATAAACATATATAAGTATTTTTAGTTTGATATGTATTTAGTTTTTATTATTTAAATTATATAAATGATAGTGGTATGAATATTTACAATTCATTATAAATAACTTCATATAAAACTACAAAAGTAAACAATATCTTCATAAATACTCAATCATTTATCAAGTACAAAGTCAAATAGTATTTGTTTAAAAAAGATATATTTCAAGCAGTAAGTATATTTAATACATATGAAAATTCCATATTTGCACAGGTGAATTACAATTTGTAAATAAGCCATTAGATTTGTATACAAATTAATTAATTAATGTCTATGTACTAATACAATGTGATAAATTCACTAGTTAAAAAGTTTACTATATCTTTTAAGTAATAAAGTTATCAAAGATACAGCTTCAAGATTACACAACCATAGTATATTACTAATAAATTATTAACGACAGTATTTATAAAGTTGGACTTATTTAAAATATATATAAATATAAAATATATTGATACTTTATAACAAAATGTTGTAGAATCACAATAATTACTCTTGTTCAGGCAATAAATTCCACTGTTTAAAATACAACCTATAATATATATATATAAAAGTAGAAAATTGAATAGAATTGCCAAGATATAATACAACTACAAAAAAGAATTACTAAATCACTAATAGTAGCTGATATATTTAGTTAATCTAGATGAGACACATCCTTTTAAGACTAGTTGAAGATTATACTTTGCAATCTAGTTAAGAATGGTACTGCCGCCACCTAGATCTAAGAATTTATAGTTTCTTTAACTGATAAAATAGTTATACTATTTGTAACGAAAATGAAAGTTATAATAGTTTTTATTTGGCTCAATTATCTAGAGTATGCTTTAGGAACTTCAGGAAGATATAAATTATCTGGTTTATCTCCTGAAGACATATGGTCGCATATGAGAAGATCTTCTTTATCATCAATTAACTCAAATACTTCATTATTAGTTAAGGATCTACCTGAAAAGTACTCAAGTCATTTGCTTCACCGAACAAATAGTGCAGAACAAGCCGTTTATGTTTGTATTCAAGTACTAGAAGATATTTTACAAAGAACTCGAGTTAGAGTACCTCATACAAACTATGTACAACTTCAATGCCCAAACCCAAGGTCAGATATAAAAGTGGGAGGTACCATTAGCACTAGAAATGAAGATTTATTGGAAATTATGAAAAAATTTTGCAGACTTATTTTCTCAGGAATGGAAAATAAGTATAATATTTTGCAAAGTCCGATTCCTTCCCCTGCATCACCCTTGCCAACGTATCCTTCAGTTCAGCAATACCCTCTTTCCACTTTTTCATCTTATTTTCCTCATCCTCCCCCCCCCTCCCCTCCTCTTTATCCTCCCCCTCTTCATCCTCCTCCCCCTCCACCTCCACCTCCACCTCCACCTCCACCTCCACCTCCACCTCCACCTCCTTCTTCTCATAGTAGTTCTTCTACTCATTTACCTAACAAAAAAAGTCTTCAAGTTGGATTGGATCCTCAATCACAGTGGAATAAACTGGTTTTGGCTACTAATCCTCGTAAACCCGGTTCAAAACATATTACAAAGATACCCTTACAAGTGTATACTACCTATATTCCTAGTAATACAGTTTCGGGTTTAGTGGATAGTTGTATTACTGTTTTAACTGAGATTTACTTGCAGTCAAAAGCTTCAAATTCCTATACAATTAATGTGAATGGTACAGTGACCTTTTTTGTAGCATATATTCCTCAAGGCTCAGATAATTTGGCTAGAGATGAACTGACTATTCGTAGTTATACCGTAAATGATAATGTTATTTTAAGTAAAATCAGATTGTTTTGTGCTGCCGTTTACGAGGAATATAGTAAGTCACCTAATGTATCTCCTGCTCAAAGACAGTGGACAACTTTAGTAGTTGCTTCTACGTCTATGGGAATATCAAATGTCAAAGAATTACCTTCTCATGCACCATTTGGCTTTTTAGCTTCATCAATAACTCAAATTAGATATTTTGAATGTGTCAAGGCAATTATGATCCTATGGCTAATCGGCACAAAAAAAACCGAAGTCAGGCATCAAGAATGGCAGACTATATCTGTGAATTACCTCACATTAGCTGGATATCCAAGCTTTGGGAAATTCTATATCCTCATGCAAAGAAGCTATGGAGAAACAATTTATAGTGTGATACTTAAATCAGTAAAGTTGTTTTGTAATGGAGCAGTTAATAATGGAGATAAAATTCCAGAATCAGATCTTACATTTTCCAATCTATTTTATCATTTTATTTATCAAAGTTCAGGGAAAATTGGATCAAAAATAGTGGGATTGCCAAAAACTTGTCCCTTATTTCTTAAAAGTATCCCATATCCTGAAGAAAATGAAAGTGGATTTGTTTCCAGTTCTTTAGTAAAATATTGTGTAAAGTTTATGGAGATGATTTGGGAAAAAAGTAATAAAACTCCCTTCTTTGAAGGAATGTATAAAGGAACAAGATTAATTGTTAGTAATTGGGATAATACGAATATACCGACATATATAAATTTAAAAGATATTAATATGGGCACTCTTCAAACTTCAGATTATTTCAGAGAACTCTGTGTATATTTAATGGGTATAAACCAGTATTTATCATCACCACCATTACCACCATCATTACCACCATCAATACCACCATCATTACCACCATCAATACCACCATCATTACCACCATCATTACCACCATCAATACCACCATCATTACCACCATCAATACCACCATCATTACCACCATCAATACCACCATCATTACCACCATCAATACCACCATCATTACCACCATCAATACCACCATCATTACCACCATCAATACCACCATCATTACCACCATCAATACCACCATCATTACCACCATCATTACCACCATCAATACCACCATCATTACCACCATCAATACCACCATCAATACCTGATAGACAAAGATTCCCTAACAAGATAACCCCCCCTAAGGTTCTATATAGAAGTAGTGTATATAGTCATTCAAATTTCAGAGGTCCATTATTTTCACAGTGGGAATTGTTACAACAAGTTTCATCTCAAGGAGGAGCAGGGAGCAATTTTATCTTATTTTTACCAGTCTCAATGCCATCTGAATTTACCTATTCAATGAATGCGAAGCAATTTATTGAGAATTGTGTATTGATCTTAGTATATTTGTATAATAGAAATATTGATCTCAAATATGACAGAAATTCAAATTCATTGCAAGTTACTTCACTTTACAGTGGATATTCAACAAAAAATTCAGGCTATCCAAAGTCAAGCCATACATGTTTTTTAGTAAAATTTCCTCATAGTGATAGAAAAAGTACTGGTCTTGTAACAGAAGATATGATTTTAGTGTTGTTTGTGAAATTTTGTCAAGTAGCTGCTCAAGTTCTTTATGGTGTTAGCGAGACTTATCCATAACTGAATCAGAGTATTGCTATTAAACTTTTCAACTATAGTAAAATAACATTAAAAAAAGGTAAACTAAGCCAGAATGTGGTACTTTTACAGTGATTTGAAGCATGAAGATTTAGATTCAATAATGAATAAAAGTATAATGAGTTATTTATTGTGGGGAGAACCTAACTTAACTAGAACCATTGACCAATGAATAAAATATGCTATTTGTATTTCTTAAGAGTACACCTGGATTGTCAAATTCTACAATCTTCCCAGAATCTAATACCATAATTCTATCATAGTCCATCACAGTTTGAATACGGTGTGCAACTGCAAGAATTGTACAATTTTGAAATTCTATTCTTAGTGTCTTTTGTATCAGTGAGTCAGTGTTAACATCAACAGAAGAAGTGGCTTCATCTAATAAGACAACCCTACTTCTTCTTAATATTGCTCTAGCTAGGCAAAGTAGTTGCCTTTGACCAGCACTAAGTGAATGGCCACCTGCATCTAATGTAGAATATAAACCATTAGGCATAGATTTAAAAAATCCACGTAGATGAGTACGGTTTAACACTTCATATATATCTTCATCTGAATGTTGTTTCAATGGATCCAGATTGAATCTAACTGTGCCTGAAAATATTATGGGATCCTGGGGAATAATAGATATTTTACTTCTAAGGTCAAATAATCCAATAGATGAGATATCTATATCATCAATTTTAATATTTCCTGAAAAGGGTTCTACTAATCTTAGTATTGATGCAAATATACTACTCTTACCAGCTCCAGTTCTTCCAACAACTCCAACTTTTTCACCAGGAAGGATTGTACAACTAATATTATTTAATACAAGAGGAAGATCAGATCTATATTTTAATTTGAACTTTTCAAATTGAATTTTACCACTAGTAGGCCAATTGTTGGGTAATTTATAATTTTCATTAGTTGGTTTAGATTCTAAAGGGGTAGATTCTGTGTAATCCCTTATACGTTCAAGCCCAACCATAACCCCCTCTATTTCACCTAGAACACGCGTACCAAAATTTAGGCAGTTTGAAGCTCCCAATGCAAAAGTTAATGATACACCAAAGATCCCTGCATTTCTAGGATCACATGCTGAAACAAAAACTCCAAATATTCCAGCAGTAAATACTGCAATACATCCCATAACTTCTAGTCTTATAAATAACCATCTATATGATGTTTCAACATGATATCTGATACGACTTTCAGATCTAATTAAACAGTCCATTTTTTGAATAAAACGTTCCTCAGCTTTAAAGGCCCGAATTGTAGTTAAACCATCTAATGTGTCTATAACATGAGAGAGAATAGGAGCTGTACGTACAGCTGCTAATCTTTCACTTTGACGTAGCATTGGGGCATATTTCTTTGAGAATTGATAAAACATGTAAGTTAATACTGGGACACATATTAGGAAACGTGGAGTTACGCGACTGATTGAAAATATAATGACAATGATTTTAGCTACAGCAGTCAGTAGATCTCCTAAGTTCCTTGGTAGGGCATCATCCAGATTAGTTGTATCCCCCGTAAATCTACTTAGTATTCTTCCTACAGGAGTAGCTTCAAAAAAAGACAATGTAGTATAGCGAAGGCGAATCAAAAGTTTTTTGTGGAAGCTTGTTGAGGCTTTTATTCCACCATTTCTAATAAGTAATGTAGCTATTACATGTAATAATGAATAAAATAATGCAAGTGTTCCATATACACTTACTGCATAGTACCAATTAATTGAATCATAATACTCAGACCAATTTCCAAGCCAAAATGTGCTAACTACTCCAATTATTCCTGCTACAATATGACAAGATAATGTACCAAAGATATTTGAGTAACCCCATTCCAGAAAGTAGGCCTTGTAAGTTTTATGAGAAACTCTACCTAATTCAATTTCCTCTTCACCAATTTTAATTCCCTTTTCAATATCTATAATCGAAGTTATACTTATACGTTCTTCTGATCCTATACCTTGATGATATTCAGCTGAAATGTCGCTTATAATGGATTCGCCTTCTCCTTTATAATGATATCTTAGTTGGCGTCCACTCATCCTTATTGAAGCTTTACGGCCTTTTAAGAAGCCTACTTGTAAACTAGGAATAAAGTGTACTAAAGAAGGATGACGAGGTGTTTTATGTTTTGATGTAAGATTTAAAGGAGAATTAGATGTAGTTTGTGGAGTAGAAACTATTGACATATGTTCAGAGTTACAAAGTTCAGTAAATATAGCTCCACGTGGAGTCATTTGACCAGGATTATCTGTATTAGAGACAAGCTCGTCTAGGAGATCCACTGCAACAACATCATCTACTAAGACTTCATCATCATCACAACATCTTTGTATATTAGATAAACCATCTGATATTCTTGAATTGGGTTTATTATATGTATTTGATAAATTATTTGCCTTTTCAACTACAGATTCCATTGCATCCTTATCAACAGTTTCTGAATTTATATATGACGAGAAAACTTTATAAGATGATCCAGAATTTCTTGGTTGAATTACCTTAGAATTGGAAACTATATCTTCTTGTTCGTATTCTTCATCTATCACTGTATTTTCAAAAGATAACTTTTGGAATGTAAATGATGGTAACATAGATAAACCCATTGGATTACCGGTATATACCTGATTTTTTCTAATAGCATCAAATAATACTACCTGATCAACATGTGGAATAATATCTAATTTATGTGTTACAAGTACCACACACTTGTCACTTAGTATGCCACATATACAATTCTTGAATATATGTGCTGCCACATGACTATCAACAGCACTCAAACAATCATCCAATATATATACAGATGCTTTCTGGTATACTGCCCTAGCTAAACTAATCCTTTGTCTTTGACCACCAGAAAGGTTAACTCCTTTTTCTCCAATTAAAGTCTTATCACCATTTGGTAATACTTGAAAATCCATCCACAGTGCACAAACTCTTATTACTGTGTCATACCAAACAGAGTCAAATTCTGCTCCAAACAAAATATTATCACGGATTGTACCCGTCTGAATCCAAGGAATTTGTGCAACATAAGCTTGATTACCCACACACTTAATCTTGCCTTTTCTAGGGCATATATCTCCAATTATGGCTGAAAGTAAACCTGTCTTACCACTACCTATTGAACCAATAATTGCTGTCACTTCACCAGAAGATACTTTAAATGAAACATCACGTAATAATAAACTTCCATTAGGCCAATATAGATCAACATCTTCAAAAGAAATACTTCCATCTATATTATTAGAAGTATTTTGTTGTGATAAAGATACCTTTGTTTCTAAACTTTCTAAATTTTTTTTTTCAGGTAATAGTAAAAAATCACGTATCCTATTGCAAGCAAGAATTAAGTCATAAAAAGACGCATAAGAAAATGGGAAACATGACAAAGACATACTTAATGTATCAAATAGACTCTCAGCATAAAAAACTGTCGCAGGGTCTAACTTATTTCCCATAATTGTGTATACAATAGCTGTTACCAGAGTTGCTTGCATAGGTGTACTATATATACTCATTGATAAAGCTCTGTAAAAACCTTGAATTATTAAACTTTTTATCTCTGTATTACGATATTCCTGAATTCTATCAACAAAACAGTCTTCCCATGCATAACATTTTATTACCTTAATACATGAAAGATATTCATTTGTAGAACGTATTCTATTGTCCTGTGATTCCAAATAAGGTTTCCTTTCTAATGCACGATAATGAAGTGATATTACACTAATCAAAACATTTAATATTACAAATAATATTCCGAAGAGTGCTGAAATACCAAGCTGTATATACAACAGAACTGTACATGCTACAAAAATAAATATCCCTGAATAAAATAAATGAGCTGTTATTAATCTACTAAATCTTGCAGCATCATTACCAAGAAGGTTAACCACATTATCAGTAATATTAGAAGTTTCGCTTGATCTATAATATGATGATGCCGTTGAAGATGCACCAAGTGATAGCCTTTGTACCTTATAATTATGCTTTGTGTTATCACGAAATACATAAGTGTCCATATTTATCAATTTACGGTATATAAAACCTGAAACTAAACTCCTTGAGTAGCGACCAACATTTGTTACGAGTCTATACTCTTGCTGTTTCAAAATTGGAAAGATTAATGTCAAAAATGTCATTAAACATATCAAAATAAGTCCATGCTTAACTTTCGACAAATCAGTTTGTTGTGATGCTCCCAGTAATCTAGCCCACCAAGGTAATTGTATCAAGCTACTATCACTCAAGGTTTTATTGGAATTCTGAATACATAATAACAGTTTCTTTAATACAATTGTCTGTGCTAAAGAACTAGAGTCAGCAAGTACTAATAAAATGAAAATTACTATAAAGTACATTTTAAAAGTATAAAGTAAAGATCTAATCAGAGAAGGCTTCATTTTCTGACGAAACCTTCTTGATAATAAATACTTCATGTCATTATCATTTCTTTTATCAATTAATCTTGTTTCATTTCCTTCTGTAGTCAACCCACATCTTTCTAATTCATTCTTCCAAAACTTTTTGAATACTTCCAATTTGTAAGTAGGTGTATCAAAGTCTGGTAAATCATAATAATCACTACTCCTTAGATTAGAAGAATATGCATCATCCATTATCTGGTTAAACCAAGAAAACGTTAGTCTAGACCACCAAGATGCAATTACCTCAGGAGTTACCCCTCTAGAAGGATCGACATCTTCAGTAAGTTCTATTTCAGTCAAATTGCAATTAGCATCATCTTTTGATTTATGTTCAAATTTTTGATCTGACGGTTTGGCCATATTAAATATAAATTGCAAATATTGGACCATTTCATTTTATCCGGTACCGTCGCATTAAGATATCTGTAGTGGTCAAAGGCGCTTTCAGGTCGTTTTATAATTCCACCCATTTTATTGGTGAAATAACCAGTGGAAATAATGTGGAGAGATTTCCTATTAATTATATTGGATATTGAAATACTTACACACTCGATATAGTAAGATGTAGTTGAATCAGTTTAATATTCAGTAGAGGCTCTAGTTATATTGAATAAGGATGCTACTATATTGTCTAATAAAGTTTTAGAAATCTAAATACGTGCAAATTGCAATGTTGAAGTATAGCTTCTAATCTTCAAATACACTACTACGACTACTTTATAGATCAGTATATTATTGGAATATTCAATTACATTTTATTAGATAGATGTGATAATTAATTAATGTATATACAACTTAAAGGTTACCAATGACAATCTAGTTAAATTTTTACTTTAAAAGTACTAAATACGTCATTTGTTTAATTTTAGAAATAACTGTTAGCTGAATAAATTTGATTTTATTTAATATTTAAGATTTTGTACAAGTATAGTGGTTAATCTATTAAATGAAGAATCTTGTTTAACAATATTCTATAAAAGATCATTATAACGTAGCAAAAACCCAGATTCATTAAGATTAATAATTCCCTAATTATTCTAAAGCCTGCAATATAATATAAAATTAGAACTTTGGATAAAATAAGTAGTTACATATTAGATAGTTTCTTAAAGGATCCCGGTATAATTTAGGGTGATAGTCAAACCCGCGGCATCTCTAAAATACTAGGCTCCAATATTGGGATAGAAAAGTTGCAAACGGTGATAATATAAATGATCATTAATAGTAATAATGAGAGTACAAATAAACATTGAACAATAAATAGAGAATTATATTTAATTTTAATGGGTATCACTTGATTAAAAGTTGGGCCTTTAGTTCAGTAGTATAAAAGTATTATATATCTAGAACGATGCATTAACCAATGAGCTAAATAAACCTGATGATTTATTTATTAAATTTTGAGGAGAGTCAAATTCAGCTATCTGACCACAATCTATGACCATTACTTTGTCTGAATGTATAATAGTTTGTATCCTATGAGCAATAGTCAATACTGTAGCTTCTTGAAATTCCCTGTTAATTGTTTCTTGTATTAGAGACTCTGTATATGTATCAATGGAAGATGTTGCTTCATCAAGCAAAAGAATTTTAGGCTTTCGCAGAACAGCCCTAGCTAAACATATTAGTTGTTTTTGTCCAACGCTTAGGTTGCTACCACCTGAATCCAAGACATAGTTTATACCATCAGGTAGTGAATTTATTGTATGATGAAGATTCGACCTATAAAGTGCTTCAAGTACCTCTTTATCAGTATATTCGGATACAGGATCAATATTAAATCTAATCGTACCAGCAAATATTACTGGGTCTTGTGGTATTATAAATATTTTTTTTCTAAGTTCATCAGTATGTATAGAAGAAATATCAATATCATCAACTTTTATAATTCCTTTTGAGGGTTCAACTAATCTCAAAAGTACTGTGAACATACTACTTTTTCCTGATCCTGTTCTCCCAACAATACCAATTTTCTCACCAGGTTCTATATAGAAGTTGACATTTTTTAAAATAGGAAACATTCCATATTTTAATTCTAGATTAATAAATTCTACTTTTCCTTTTGAGAGACATTGTTTATTGGGTTTAAATAATGAAAGGTTCGCACTATTTTCTGAAATATGGTTGTCCACATATGATTTAATTCTTTCAAGTCCTATCATATCTGCTTCTAGACAAATAAGAACAAAGATGATGAATCTTATCCAACCTGATGTCGTTATAACAAAAGATAATAGGAAGCCTAAAAACTGAGTATATTCTGAATTAAATGATACCAAAATAACTCCAAACATACCACCACAAAATAACCCAATACAACCAATGATCTCAAGACGAAGGTATAGCCAACAAGATGCAATATCCATATGATACCTGACCCTACTCAGAGCTGTTATAGCTTTATCCATTCTTTTAATAAATAAATCTTCAGAATTAAATGTACGTATTGTAGATAAACCAGTCATAGTTTCAGTTACCTGAGATGAAATTGGAGCTAGTAGTACTCCTGATAGTCTTTCTCCCTGTCTTATTACTGGGGGATACTTTTTAGTTACTTTATAACATAAATAGATTATAATAGGTATGCAGAATATAAGTTGTGGAGTTATATACAAAGTTAGGATAGACCACACTGAAAATTGTATAATGGCCAAAACTAAGTTACCAAACATTTGGGGCAATGACTCATCTACTAAAAATAAGTCTGAAGTAAATCTATTCAAAATTCTACCTATGGGTGTCTTTTCAAAAAAAGTAAAGGGAGCAATTTTAATATATCTTAGTAGTTCATTGTGATAAATACCTGATACAAGAATTCCTCCATAGTAAATTAAAATCCATGATAATATCAGTATTAGTGGAAATAATATTGAAATAAAAATACAGACTTTCAGTGCATATCCATAATCAACAGTAGAGTAAAGCTCTGACCAATGCCCAATAAAAAAAACTCCATATACTTGTATTAATGCCCCAATAAAATTAAGTCCAATTAAAATAAGGAGGTTAATCTTACCAAATGCAACAATGTAAGATTTATATGTATCAAAAGAGATTCTCCCCTTTTTCAGTTCCTCTTCTTCATAAAATTCACTATTATATGTTGAGATACATTTTTCAGTAGTTCTGTCAGAAACTTTAAGTTCTCGGAATTCACTAACTTTTTGAGAGTCTGAAGTTTGTTTTTTATATATTGAACACACTTGTGTATTAATTGAGCCTATAAATGACTCATAATCATTTATTGAAGTTAAATCTTTAGGTTCACGAATAAATATGGGACATTTGTTATGATGATCAAGAATTAATAACCTATGAGCATAAGAAACAATATCTAAATTATGAGTAGCAAATATAATACATGATTCCTTTAAAATACCACATATACATTCTTGAAGTATGTGAGCTGCAACATTGGGATCAAGAGCACTTAAACAATCATCTAAAACATATATTGAAACTTTCTGATATACAGCTCTAGCCAAACTTATCCTTTGTTTTTGTCCACCAGATAAGTTTAAACCTTCTTCGCCTATCATAGTATGATCACCATGGGGTAATATAGAAAAATCTTCCTTTAAAGCACATGCATTGATAACAGTATTATACCAATCTACATTGTAAGAAGATCCTAAAATAATATTTTCCCTTATAGTACCTGTGAATATCCAGGGAACTTGAGTAACATATGCTACACTGCCAATGCACTCAAATTTACCCCCTTTGGGAGTAATCTCCCCAGCAATAGCTCCCAAAAGTCCACTTTTTCCACTCCCAATACAACCAATAACAGCAGTTATTTCACCTGAAACAGCTTCAAAAGAAACATTTCTAAGTAAAAGAGTGCCATTTGACCAATACAAATCAACATTTTCAAAAAAAACCATTCCAAACTTTTTATTAAAATAATTTCTTTGTTTCTGAGTCTTCTTAAATTCATTACACTTATTTTCTTCCATAAGAAGAAACTCGCTGACCCTTTTACAAGAAAGTAATATATCAACAAAAGCAGCATAGGACTTTGGGAAAAGCAACAGGATTTCACATATAATATCATACATTGAATAGGCAAAAAAAATGTTTGCTTGGTCTATATTTTGGTCCATATATGAGCAAACTACAATCGTAGCAAGTGTTGCATGTAAAACCACTCCTCCACAGAGAAATGATAGTGCTGAGTAAAAACCTTGAATAAATAGACTTTTAACCTCTTTTTGACGTATCTTGTCAATCTTATTAATAAAGATATCTTCCCAGCAATAACATTTAATTATTTTAACATTACTTAGATATTCAGAAATATGTAGAATACGTTCATCTCTTACTTTTGAAAATGGTTTCCTTTCTATAGCACGGTAATTCAGAGCAATTACACACAAAATCACATGTATAATCATAACTAGCACACCAGCCAAGCCTGATATCCCAATATAAATATACAAAAGGCAAATTGCAATCGTTAAAGATATAATACTTGAATAAAACTCATGAGCAGAATAAAGTCGACTAAAACGAGATATATCATTAGATAAAAGATTTACTAAATTACCTGAAATTCCATAGATTTCATTTGCTGTATTAGAGGAGAGTACAGAAGCAACAGATAATTTTCTTTTCTGGTCTTGCTTATTTGAGTTATCACGAAATATTGAAGAATTCATCTTTAAAACTTTACGATATATTAATCCCGTAAATAAATCCCTAATATAGCGTCCAATATTTGATACTATTAATGTCTCCTGTTTTTTAAGTAAAAAATGTATAATATTTAATACTGTAATCAATATGATCAAAATAAAGCCTTGAAAAACTAAGTTCGAGTTTACTTTGTGTTTATTTCCACTTATATAACCCCATAAAGAACCTGTAAACGAATTTTCTGGTTTATAAAGTATTAAGTTATCTTCCTTAGTATATAAAAGTAACTTTCTTAAAAAAATTGGCTGAGATAAACTTGCAAAACTAGAAAGAATTACAAGGAACAGTGTTATAATGAAATGAATCTTAAAACATTTAAATAATACCAAAATTATAGATATCCTACTCTTTCTTACTAGTGGATCTGTTAAATTTAAATCATTAGTTTTATTCTGAGTATTTTCAGTAAAATCATTCTCACTAAAGTCACTTTTAAAACCATGTTTTTTCAGCTCATAGCTCCAGTATTTTTCAAATAAAGGGAGTTTATAAGCCGGAGTATCAAACTCCGGTAAGTCAAACAATTTATCTAAATCAGGTTCTACTTCATATGCATCATCCATAAAAGACGAGAACCAAGAAAAAGTGAGCTTTGACCACCAAGAAGCAGTAAGTTCTGGAGTAATACCTCTTGAAGATCCCTTTTCATATTTACTACTATTCGATAAAAGGGACTTATAATTCTTTATCTCCTTGTAAATTTTACCAGAAGACATTATTTACATATTCCATTACTTTATACAGGAAGGTACTTGGAGAATATTCAATTCCGCCTTGTAATTCAAGACCGCCTCCAAAAGCTTACATATAAGCTTATTATGATTGATAGAAAAACAAATTCTTATCATTTATCCATCTAGGAACCTTTTATGAACATATATATCTGTATATTTCAAAGTATAAAACACTCTATAATTAATAAATCTACACCTTGTTTTTTGGATTTAGAAACAAGGGATACTACAGATCATCATGTATATCAGCGCGTATAAATGGTACTATTTACGCAGAAAGCCCCCACGCAAAAACATGCACCATTAAAATTGGCTTCTAGGGAATATCAGCAATACTTGACTAGAGAGTAACGAACTAATTCAACAAACTCTAATAATAATAACATGGTAAGGGTTTTAGATTAAAATATTCTAATTTCCTTGTTATGGATTAATAATAAACAAATGTTTTGGTATACTTTAAATGTTTTTTATTGGATTGTAGTGATATCTACAGCGTTAAGTAGCTGTCACCAGCAAGATCCAGAACCTAATACCTTTAGAATTATTAGTAACTGTCCTAAAACGTTTACATTTAGGGAATTAAGAACATATATTAGAGAGGCATCTCACGAAGCATTTAAAAACTTTGTAGAGAAATTTGGCAAAAATGAAGAGTCAGCACTGTACTGTTTCAAATCAGTTAACATCAACGATAATCCTTCTGAGATGGAACTTATTATTCCTGATTTTGAGATTATAGATGATGTACAAACCCGTAAATTCATTCAATTTCTATCATATGGATACTTTTTTGATTGTTCAGATATTTCAATATGCACAAACTTCTTATTTTGGTTAGTGCGACACCTAAGATTAATATACTTGACTCCAGAAGCTTCTAGATCGATTTGTATAAAAATTTTTTTAAAGGGGATTAGAGACTATGGAGATAATTATTTTAAAATCTTGATAAGAGAAAATGTTATTAAGAAACAACTCAATGACCACTACCCAACAATAGAAGATATTAACCATGCCATTAAAACTATAACAGAAATTAAGGAGTTCCGATATTTACAAGATCCTATTGACTTACCTGATATTACAGCTAATCTAAATTCTATAGAGAATTTGAAACTAAAGCATAGGATAACTATGTTACAACGTGGAACTTATATGCCAAGTATAATATCTAATAATTCTATCTCATCGACAAGATATTTGATTAGAGCGACTAGATATATTTTAGATAGATATATTCCTCCAAATAGAGCCTATGAAATTTGGAAACATAGCTATAATGCTCTGACAGGAAAAAGAATTCCAAATTATGAAACATTTATGAATAAATTAATATTGAAAAAATCACCATTTGACTCTTGGCCTCATGAAAGAGATGTACTGGAATCTATTCATACAATACTTAAAGAAGACGGTATTATAATCAAAGAATTAAATATTCATGCGAATTGGTACAAAAAATTAAAAAAAGAAGGATATATGTTGACGGTACCAAAGAATGTGAAAACTGCAAGATGGTTTTGTCGGTTTTTCCAGCACCATCTTCACATATTCATAACTCCATCTATGCAGGTCTCATATTGGAAGAAAATTCTAGAAAATCTTTTGGAAGATCCCAAGGCTTTACATTCTGATGATCCTTGCTTTGAAGTTGAAGATCCAAAATTTCCATGGCCCACCTGTCATCATTTGCCTCGCAATCATCCAGATTATATTCCAACATCACACGACAGAGTTGTTGATAATTTATCTTACCACTTTTCCAGACTTATACATAATTTTGTTCCACAATATCCATTTAGTGATATGTGTGTTGTAACTAAGCAACTTATAAATTTAAATTCATATATACTATATCCTATCTTTTCAGAAGCCAATTTAAAAAGTACTAGAAAGGAGCGTAAAATCAGAAGATTCAATTATTTATACAGTATGAGGAGATTTAAATCCAATCCAATTGACATTCCATTACAAGAAGTTCTATTTTTTTTCCCCGATAACATCAAGTATCAGAGACATATTACAAAAGAGGATGTAAAGAATGCATTGAAAAAGTTTACTGATGAAGATATTGATAAAATGTTTAGGCTAAGAACTTTTCTCTCAGATTGTTCCAAAATCTACAGTTCTTTACCCTCTCGTGATCAATGGAAGGACAAACAAATTTATGAATTTCCTCCAAAAATTAGACAGGCTATAGGAGCAACTTGTAGAGATTTATTTTTAGCTAGACCGAAGTGTAGCTTAAATGTAATCCCTTCTTCACATCCTGCACGTGATCCAAGTGATTATCTAGCTGGTGAATTGGCTTTGCGGATATTTTCATATATTAGATCAATAGGTATTCTTAATGTAATACCTGAGATGTTCTGTAGATCTGCCATAATGGTCCTGAGTCCAATATTAGGGATTCCGGTTAAAACTCCAGAACAAGTTAAAAGAGAAGAATTGAGGAGATTATATAAAGATTTGGATATTTCTGAGGCTCTTAACAAATTATCAACTTATCGAGAATTAGGAAATAATACAAATAACAAAAAAAATGAAAATAAAGAGAAACTTATCAAAAGAAAAAAACTAGAGAATGCTCTTAAACTCAGGTGGTATGAAAAAGGTATATTCTCAAGAAATAATCAATTGGTTGACTTGTCTAAGCTGCCAAATGGATCAAGTCGATCTATCAAAGAGTTAGAGGAATATGCAAGATTAGGGAGAAAACTTATAGCATATACTTCTCTTAAGAATTTGCCAACTAAAAAGTTTAAGAAATGGTGCTTGGAAGGCTTAAAAAATTTATTCCTCGAAATAGATGGAATATGGAATTTCATTTTAGCACAAAATAACGACGTCAAGAAATCAGTTCCATCTCAGAATATTAAAATATATACTAAAAGATTGTGTAAAGAACTTACGGAATGGCAAATATCCATGTCAAAAAAGTCCAGAAATTTTCTGCAAAGGATGTGGCTAACAATTAATCGTTTTCAAAGCTATGATTTCCAGAAGAAAACTAGTAAGAAAGTAATAAGTGAAGAATATTGGAGAAAACAGTCATTAAATCCAGAAGTCTACAAATTCTATGAATTTTTACACCATAATTTAAAAGAAAAATACCCTCATTTAAGCATTATGCTACCACATATAGATCCATTACCACAAGAAATTAAAGACATGAATAAACTAGGATATAATTGTCCTCCCCCAATGATGTATGGAAGAGATGCATTACCTTCAGTACTTGAATGTATCCGGTATTTATATAGATATGGTCTTTATATATTAAAAGGTATCATCTTAGATTTTGAAGAACTCTTTATATTGTATAAAAAAGCTTTACTTGAAAGTGAATATAACAGTAAAGTTTACATCCCACCTACTTACTTCTTAAGTTGGAATTCCATATTATACTTGATTCATGAAAATGATTTTTCGTTTTATCAATATCAAACATTATGCTCGCTACGTCCTCCAAGCGGAAAACATGAAAATTGGTACACTTTCTTCGAAATAGTTGAAGTTATTGCAAGAAACTTTGCAAATCAATTGCACGGATCCAATATTGTATTACCAGGTACAACTGATCCTTTCTTAAATCCTCCCAGAACAGGTATTGATAGTATCTGCCAATTAGTAGAAAAAATTTTAAGAAGAAAAGTATATAAGCAAGAATATATAATAGAAGATTATCAAGGAAAAGTGATGAGCCAAGAATATAGAAGAAAAATACAAGGACAACTTCAAGAACTATTTATGATTAACAATGCTTTGGAAAATAAGCAAAAGTCTCAATTTAAAGTGACTGAAGATTTGGCTATTTCAACTTATACAATTTCATTCGTTCAGTCATGTATTAATGTACTAATGAACGAATTTGGAGGATTACATTATGTAACTGCTGCTATTCTATGCCGTAAATCACCAATATGGAAATCTTGTGATGATATTAACACTGTAGATAATTATGTTACAAATATACAATTAAATAAACCAATTGAAGATGAAGTTTTGCAACGCTTATTTAAAGGGATATATATCGATATCATTGCTTTTGAGCTTTTGGAAATAGTAGTTTCATACTTTTGGATTGAAAGGGGACTAAAATTAGGCAATGAATTACCTTTAAGCTATCTTGATTTCTGTGGAACTGCCTTAAAAATTCATAAGAAACTTAAAGATAAACAATTTAAAGATTTTAATAGTGCTTGTATGCATACACTCCAAGGAGAAGTTTTGTTTAGAAAAGAGATTAATGGAAAACTCCACATTATTAATGATAAAGTTGCAACAGATATATGCTCACGATCATACTGGGGCCAATCTTGTGGTCATCCTGTTTTACAAAAGGCAGCTCAAACTATACAACATTACTCTCTTCAATTGCTTGGAACTGATTCTCCAATAATTTCTCTACTTCCATTTTGTATTATGACATACCAAATGGCATTTAGTAAAGAGCCTTTTTCATTATGCACTAAATCTTTGAAAATGGAGGGAATTGTACATAATATTGGTAAGAGAATTAGAATAGATAAAAAGGAAGCTGATGAAGCACAAAAATCTGTCCAAAAATTTTGGGATATATCTGCAATTATCCCTGAAGTAAGTTATACTCCAATGAATGATCCATATGGGTTTTTAGGACATATAATTAGAACACATACATTGAACAATGTTTATCTAGAAGATTTAAAATCAATATGCATCAAGAGTGGTCTAGTGACGTATAACTGTATGGAAAATTCAAAATTTGCAGAGGAAAACCCCCACTTGTTGAATGATGAAGCTGAAACCAAGAAGTTGAATAATGAAGCTTTTAAAATGTTTTCGACACAGATCATGGATATTTTACCAAGAACCATCAATGAGCTTCCAATTCGCATTGGAACTTTCAATGATATATGTAAAATTGCAAATTCAACATATAATGTTAATTCTATATCGTTTAATGTAGCTTGCGTTAATTCTTTAGGGTGGCAATACATCTGGAATTCCCAAAGATATCAATGGCAAAGAGTCCCTTGGGAAATGGCTATCTTGTACTGCAGTACTACTCCTCGTTGGCTATCATGCGAGTCATGGGCAAATAGACATCAGCGAGTATTTCAGAACCTACCTGAATTTGAATTTGCAAGAAAATATCTTAATGGAACTCCATTACAAAGAGCCGGAATTGATTTCCTTACTATGTTTTTTGTTAATACTATTACTATGTATCTTGAAATAGCTTATCCAACAAAATTAAAGGAGGATTCTCCAGAATATAAGTACACTGAAAAATTTAATGCTGATCCAAGCTTACTTTGTCCTGCATCAATTGAATTGCTTATGTCTTACGAAAATTTTGAAATATATAAATTACCATGGGAGTTAAGATCTCTTTTATTAGAAAATCAAAGTACATATCAGATAGTTAGAGAGAAAAAATCTATTGATGGTATCCCATATTTATTTTTCAACTATGATTGTCCGGAAATATTACAGAAACGGATTGGACACCTTTTTGAGAGTACAGAAGAACAAATTAAGAATATGTTACAAAGAATAGAAAAATATAATACTGTACCTAGTAGTAAAACTATGTTTCTGGGAGTTCCTAAAGCATGGAAATCGGAATTCACAAGATATGAATTTGGTGTAAGGGTATGTAGAAGGCATTATGCATGGAAACAGTGCAAAATTCAACAAATTAGGGGTAATGAGTTATTGAATCCGCAGACATTAAATCTTATTGAAATTACTGCTTCTGCAATGTATTTCAAGGTAATAACTGAAGAAATAATACTTCAAGGGAATGTAAGAGATACTCAAGGTTTTATTAGACCCTCGGATATAGAGTTTAAATCATTCTGTAACCTTGCAGCAATTCTATTTGGAGAAAAAGCTATGTTATTAACTAAGGATAGAACACTTGAAATAATAAGTGAACATATTCCTAGTTATTTAAAATTTTATTTAACTGAAATATATATAGCTTTTTTAAGAACTTATCAACAATTTTCCAGAGGTATTGCAGATTCAGATACTTTAAATGAATCAAAAACTAAATTTAATAGTGAATTTTCTTTTACTTAAAGTAAATCTATTTTAAACCTTTGTATTCTAATTGATTGTAACTGAAGAATTTGTTTTTTAAAATTTTTGGTTTAGCAAATTCATAAAATCACTAAATACTTTCGACTATACCCAAAGGACCTATTATCATAAAAAGAAAGTATACATTTTTCTCATTTTATTAGATAATATTGGTTCAAATATTTCAATAAGTTTCATCATTATCAAAATGTATCAATACTCTTAAATTGTTATTAAAAAAAAAAAAGAATACTTTAAATATTAAGTAACTCATAAAAAGAAATTCAATTATTATAATAAAGACTTTTTTGTTAACTTTAGTATATTTAAAAATCATAATATAAATAAATATCTATAACACATTCTAATCTTTTTTTGTAGTATCATTTATACTGAGTTTCAACTTTCACTCAGATATTTATGTTGTAAAGTAATAATTATAGACAATATAAAATATTTGAGTTCATGCTATAAAATTTTTTTATTCTAAGTTCTTACCGGAATATAAATGGATAAAATCGTCCAAATTTATATTTTATATGAAATACTTTATATTACAAATATCAAAATAGAAAGTTATAAATTTTAGAGTTATAAATAAATCCAGAAAATGCAATACATTTTATATATTTCCAATGATCAATTATTGTTTTAGGTAAACAAGTAGCTGTAATTTGTCAAAGAAAATATTTAGAAGCTTATTTCTTTATTATTAAAAATCTTTTCTATATCTTAGTCTCAAATATCTACTAATAATCTATGGATAATCCATGATTTTTTATTTTTCCTATTTATATATAACTTTAAATTATTTCATTTTTTCAGTTGAGCTAATAACCTTTTACTAAACTTTTATTTATAAAGAATTCAAGATCTTTTCTTTTATACCTAGACTAATCGAATTTTATATATTAATATAACTATAATTAAAAGATATTTATTAAATAATATCGAAAAATTCAATATTATTTGGAATTGTTACTGTAAAGTGTATTTCTCAGTATAAATATATTTTGAAATTCACAAATTTTTGTTATCACTAGATATATGAGAATACTATCTTATGAGTAATAATAATCACCACTTTATAATTATATTTCTTTGCCTCTAAATTTAATTAGTTTGAGTATTTAAAAACAAAAATTCAAGTAGACTTTCTTTTAATTTGATAAATTAACATATATAAACTATGTTTGATTTAGATAAATTGAGTATTCAATTTCCAAATTATTTATTACCAATACTAAAAACCTTTATATTATACTTTAAAAATATTAAATTTCTATTTTTCAATATAAATAAATAACTTATTCAAGTGATCTTAATAAATTAAATCAATAGTTAATTTTAACACTTTATAAAAATGAAATTAATCACAATATTGAAGTATAAAACTTAAGTTATTTTCTTGCAATCATTATACCCAAGTAAATTTTAAAATTATTCAGACTAAATTAATTAAATTTCAAGTCCTGGTTCTTAACTATCAAGTCAATTCCTAATGAATAAATATTTTAAAAAGTATAAATATATTTTAGGTATCAGAAAATAATATTACCTTTTTGTATATTTATTTCAAGTAGTTAATAGGAAAATCCCTAATGATAAACTTTAACTTTATTTTCGTGCAGTACTATTAATATTAAATAATCAATATTTTTATAATTATAAATATAGAAGGTAATCTTAAATATCACTTTTATTAATTTTCAGAATAGTATATAAACTTCAAAATTTTCGGAATTTGAGATATCTCATTTTAAAAATAGTGGCTTATCAAGAAACCAGCATAATTATTCACATAATATTACCCATATTACATAAAATCAACATATATAATTCAATAAATATAATTATCAGTGAGATGTATCTTAGAATTCAACAACTTATAGCAAAAGTAATGGTCCTGATATCTAAGGTATTACTTAAAATTATAAACTAGGTATTAATGTATCAAAGTTGCAATGATCAGACTACTAGTATTGTCCATTATATTATAAGGCACATTAATATTAAATTACTTATAACTATAAATCTAAAAAATTTCATATTTTTGAGTGTATTAAAGTAACGAACATTTATATAATGCATAATTAAGAGATCCGTCATAAATTATCACGTGTTTTTACCATCTTTCTAATTAAATTTAAGTTGAGCTATTACTAAATAAATTATATTTAAGATTTCCATAAATAATCTATTTATTTGTTCTAATTAATTTCATTCATTTATGACTAAGCTAAATATAAACTATTTCACAAGTATTGTGCGGTGATATATACACTCGAGTTTGTATGTCTCCTCATTGTTGAAGTGGAAAGGGATATAAAACGTTATAATACAAAGAATAAATCTTGAAATTTTACATCAAGAACAAAAATGGGTAATTTGAAATCTTGTTGTTCTTATAGTGATGAACATCTTTTCATGTCAAATCAACTAGTAGTTGGAAATGAAGCTTCTCCAGAAGTTGCAGTAATTAATACAGATCAAATTCATGAAGATACAAATACATTTGATGTACAATTAATTATGCAAGATCGTAGCAAACTTGGTTGTGAGGTTATGATTGATAGTACTAACGTAACGCTATATGGAGATGGGAAATGTAGGAATATTCCTATGAGTGATATACATCAACTTCTTCATACAAAGGAAGAACTTGCAAGAGTAGAGAGTAGTGCTGGCATCAATGATAGTGATAATTGTGTAGCTATTCATTTGAGGGAGTCAGGGAATTGTATTCCATTATTCTTTAAGACATCTCAAGATAAGGATAAGTTCACAAAGATAGCTCTGAGATTTAAGCAACCTTGAAATTAAAAAAAGCACTTTGTAATAGAAGTAGTTTTGAAAAATTTAGATCTCGTTATACTCACTAAGTCGGCTTTTTTACCGAGTAATCTTCGGCAACTATAAGTTATTTACTATTTATCTCCAAACCTATGTATTTCCACCTCCACGTAACTGCAAGACCATATGTATTGTACATCCTGCAGTTACCTTGTAATCTAATAAGCGTAGATCATCTGACATTTGTTTTCCTGAGTATATAAGTCTGATTTGCTTCACGTCTATACCCTCTTTTTCTTGCAAAGCCTGTTTAACCTGAAATCATAGAGAATTTACAAGATATTCAGCTTTTAGTGAGTTTAACATATCATTAGTAGTTGGAGAGACATTCTTAACTTATTTCTTTGATATCTTCTGAGTAGCTGTATATTTTTACAATGTTAGCTCTTTATAAATTGGAAAAAGTTAGCTATTATTGAAAATAAACTTACTTGTAAAACTGTATTATCTGGTTCAAAATTAAAATTTTGTTTTTTTCCAGTTAAAGTCTTTACTAAAATCTGCATTGCAAAAAATATTGGTAAACTTTGAAGATAGTGATTTTGTGCGCTTGTCGACTGCAAGACTTAAGGACTTTAAGCGCAGACTAAAGATAGTAGATGAATAGTTAAAAAGAAAAAAAGGATATATGCAAATGGTAAATTCAAATTATTTTATAGTAGATCGGTTTAAATTAAGGAATTTAAATATAATTCACAATTTTTAAAACTTAAATAAATTTAAGATATATAGATCATGTAAATTTATGTACAATATATTTGATAAGGGAGGACTTATCTTTTGAAATAGTCAGATCAGTATCTATATCTTTTCATTTCAACTGATATCTCTAACTTTTTCTTCTTTGTATTCACCCTATCACATGAATTTGTGACTAAGCTAGATTTACCTTGATTAGAATATGAGTTTGGTACTTTACTTGGCTGTAATTCGGGAGTTAAGTGATCAGGACTTGATTCAGGGCTTGCCGTTTCAAGATCACAAACTTCTTCATTTTTAGGCTTAACATCTAAAATAGCAAGTGTATTATGTTGAATATTAGAAGTATTTGGCTTTTTTTTCCATTTATACTTGCGACACCAGAATAACATAGCTAAGAATATCATACCAGTTATTAGAGGTGCAAATAAGACTGCATAAAGTAGAGGCCCAGAAAGTCCTTTATTTTCAGATAACTTTATTAATTGTTTTGGCTCGCAGTTTATTAGTGAATTAATATGAATAGTTTCATCATTTAGTGGATGAAACGAAGAAAATGTTATTGAGGGGATTACTGGTTTGACAAGATCATTAGAAAATTTATCTGTCGGTGTAGCTACTCCATATACTGATTTAATTATTTGCTGGTACATAAAATTTCCATCTTCTACTTGTGACAAAGTTGTGCTATCACCAGCAATTGAATAATAAGTACCATTTGCACAGGCAAGCAAAAGTGGTTCTTTAGGGCTTTCGTATCCTCTTGAGCAGAATATTTTGAGTACTTTCCAATTATCATAAATTTGCAAATTAAAAAATGTTTCAACTTGATATTTTTCCTTATCTAAGACACTTAGTAGATACCTTTCACGACAGTGGCTCATTTGTATAAGATCACTTTGTACACAATTGAGATTACCTATTAATTGTTGGTTATTATTTCCGCTAGTTTGTGGGTTTTTAAAAACCCAATCTCCATCTAAACACTCATAGGTTTCACTTTCAATGTAAGGATTATCAGATACGAATCCATTTGAGCAAACTACAGATCTCGTTGATCCATGGTTTATCCCTATACCACTAATTAAATAAAAATTTGTGCTTACTCTTGAATTTAAGCTAACAAACTCTCCATTTGAATTAATTAATCCACTAGACTGATAATATTCAGAATTTCCAAATTCATAATCATTTATAGCAAAGTGGGACATTTCCAAATAATTTATTGGACCATAATTTGGTATAATAGTTTCTTGATCATACATATTAGTATTATGTGTCAGTGGATAATTAAATCTTCGGCAGCTTTTTTTACAAAGAATTTTGTGTTCATCCTGAGTTATTCTCCATTTACCATTGTCACATATAAATGGCTGGGTTAATGGTGATGGAGAAACTGGTGAGTAACCTGGGGCACATATTACATTTCTAAATGCTCCCTGCTTTAAAGAGTTATCACCACTAATGATATATGCATCTAAATTATTATCATTGATTCCTAGGTTCTGTATAGTAGATTTTACACAAGATGGATACTCAAGTTGATTACTCAAGTCATCCATATCAAATGTACCAACATATGGAATAGGAGGTGGAGCCTTTTTTGACAGTTGTCTTGATTCAGATAAGATATACCTGTTAATTTTTAAACCAAAATCTGCATCTAAAACACTGATTTTAGCAAGTTCACTAAGATATCTATCTTTATTGATTTCCAAACTATTTAATATTGTTTTGGTAGCTAATCCTGCATCAATCATCACTTCTACTAAATAACTCCCAGGCCAAGTACGTATACGAATTATATCAGTAACTGGCGTACTAACAAACTTTGCAATTGTCTCACGAATATTTTTCTTCAGTATATCCTCATGTATAGTATTTGAAAGTTCAAAGTAGTCTAAATCTTCATATTTAAACTCCAACAATAAACCATCACGTTTCACACCTGATCCACAGGTTCTATCCATTGTAAAACCACACTTTTGTTCTGTATAATAAATACTTCTTTCTGGAACAATTTTCCCAGGTATTTCAGATAGTGAAATAAGAATTCTTTGCAGCTCTAATTGTACTGAAAAGCAACAAGCTTTTTCATTTATTAAGTTGGTTATTTTCTTTTTACATGCTGTCTTGCAATCAAAATTTAAATTATATGGATTGCAAGGATCTAATAAGTCTAGTGAATCATATACAGCGCTATTAAAGGAGCTCCACCAGTCACTATTTGAATGTGTATGCTTGAAAAACATTGAACCACAAAACCTTCCAGTATGAGTTTCTTGACAAAAATAGCGACCAATAGACCTAAAATAATGTCCAATACGCTCAATATTCTTATTCCTAGTTCTTAAAGCCTCATTAATTAGGAGTTGACCATATACTCTAGCAGAATAAAAGAAGCAAATATCATCTGGTGAATTTCGAGTGCAACGGTTCACCAAGTTATTTTGGGAACTTCCACTAATTTCATGGCTAACTATATTTTCCTCAATCCAATCTACCGGTGAATCATAGCTAAATAGTTCCTTAATACTGTTAATACATGAAAATGGCTCTTTTATATTTGCAGGATTTTCAATGCTTAGGCAAAATAAATCAAATGCTGCCTCACCTTGGTTTAATATTATTTTCCAGTATTCATTATTTTTAAATGATGATATCATCTGTAATTTATTCTTTTGTTTAAAACCTAGTTGAGATGATTTATTAAAATCATATTCCACATTTTCTTCCTTGTCACTTGTTGTCATTATTTGAGAAAGTATAGTCATTATGCGCAAGTTCTTACGGTGGCAGCTGTTTTGTTCGCATGCTAACTTAAGTTCCTGAACTTCATTAATAACATCTTTAGGATTATGTAATAAAAGTAATGTTTCATGAAATGAAACTGAGCAGCTATTTCCAGGGCTTGTAGTTTGGCATAGATGATTTTGAGTTATATCTGCAATAGATTCAGCAATTGAACAATCTGTAGAAAGTGGTTTATCGATTTTTGTTGTAGAATATTCTCTATAAGCACTTGATAAACGTTTCATACAAGGGCCCCTACAAAATGTTTTAATTGTTGTATCTCTTCCTTGGCGATACATTGTTCCACATTCTCCACTCCAAATAGAGACAAAAGTTTTAACAAATTGACAACAGTTAGTATCCAAACTTGCACAAATCCCAATATCTAGTTTTGGTATATCAATAACGAATCTATCTATTGATTTAGTATTTACCGAACTGCCTGAACTGCTAAAGCATGGCAAAGTCGAGATCATATTAGAATCTATCCATTCACCATCGTTACATGATACAGTTATAGTTGGAGGACTATTTGTACAACTAATTTGATATTGGGAACCATGTTCAAATAATGTTTCCCCAATTTGTAAGCTTTTTAGTTTATAATCTGCTTTATCTTCTAATTGTCGAATAAAATTAGGATCGCAAGTGTTACATCTTCTACAAACTGATCCTCCACAATCAACTCCTTTCTCATCACCATTTTTGATATTATCATAGCAGGAAGAGCATGGATTATTACAACTTCCACCACAATCGATACCCCATTCATCTCCGTTTTGAATTCCATCATTACATGATGGTGGTACACAATCTAAGGATATCGTTTCAGAATCTGAAGGTAAGATCCATCTTCCATCAATGCATGTGACTACTGCCAATCTCGATTCAACATTAAGATGACTATTCCATCCTGGTATGCAGCGAATGTGAACCTCATTTCCTGAAGCAAACATTCCACTTTGAATTAAATGCATCTCTTGTTTCAAATCCTCAATAAAAGTAAATCCACCATCAATGCTCAAAAGGGTATTCCTAGGTACAATATTAATTGGAAATCCATTACATTGTTTACAAGTTGGGCAACGACTGCCACCACAATCAATTCCAGTCTCATCACCATTCTTCACTCCATCACTACAGGAGGGACAATTTTCTGTTCCACAAGAGCCACCACAATCAATTGACACTTCATCTCCATTTAGTATTCCATCAAAACATAATTCTGGACATAGTTTTGGGCATGGTCCACCACAATCTATTCCATATTCACCCTGGTTCTGGATTCCATCATTACAACTAGGTTGATCACACATTAGTACTGGTTCTTGAAAAATTCCATTGTAACACTTCAGTATATCCCTAACTGGTCCTGTCTTTCTTACAAATCCTGGCCTACAACGTATTTTTACGGTTCCGCCATGTTTAATCTCTAATCCACTTTCAACTGTCGATATTTCATAAAATTGACCAAATTTATTTAACTCTCCAGGTGAACAATTTGCGAAGCATCCAATATTTGGTACTGGAGGGTACCATTCACCATTTTTACAGGTAATCATTTCCTCAATATCCAAATCATTTTGCCTTGAACAAGTTATATATCGCATATCTCCTGTATTTGCTGGTAAATTGCCGAATTCTTGATTTCTAAATTTATATTTTGCAGGGAGTTGTAATGCAGGGCACTTCAATGCACATATCAACATATTGTCAAAGACCCAATCTCCATTAATACAAGTGGCAAACTGATCTCTATCATCTCCCTGAACTAAATTTCCAAAATCTGAACAAGTTATTAGTGCTCTCGTCCCATGTTTAAAAAATCCACTATTTATTATCAAGGATCTATCAGATAATATGTATGCTGGTCCCAATGTTTCTTCAGGTAATTTACAGTGGTTTAAGCAGACAGTTCTGGGTATTCCCCAAGATCCCTTGTGACACTCAATAATATCAGTCAGTTTCGTCCCATGTTGTTGAACTCCAAATTCGCTATTACAAGATATCTTTACAGTAGAACCAGGATATCCACGCTTCTTATTGACTTCAGATATTGAATATGCATTGTTTTTGAAGATATCAAGATCATTGCAACTTTTTTCACATGCAAAATCGCTTGGAATAATATTAGCAATATTCCCGTCTTTATTATTTGTCGAAGTCCAATAGCCATCTGAACATGTTAGATCAACATATTCAATATTCTTAGAGTGCATCCACCCTTCTGAACATTTAATTTTTGCCTTTGATCCATGAATATAAAAGTCAGTTTTTTCTTTTTGTTTAGTAGTATAAGAGATGCTATATACATTACTAGGGTCTATTAATGAAATACCTAAGCATTTCTTCATGCATTTGAATGGTAGCTCTGGAATCCAGTGGCCTTGCTCACAAACTAGTGTAGCTGACCTATTTTCAAATTCAGTAAGTAATCCACTCTCAGATTTCTCAATCATTGGATTTGATTCCAAGCTACAACTGACCACTATTTTGGAATTTGGATAGTAATCCAAGACAATATTATCCGATAATAGCTCATAATTCTCATTAGGTAAATTAAATGGAGGACATGTAGAGCCACATATTAGTGACAAAGTACTCCATGTGCCATCATTACAAATAATCTTCTCTTTTTTTTTATTATCATCAGAACAAGCTATTGTTAATTCTGTACCATGGAGTGATGGTTTATCAAATATATAATCTACATCAATAATTTTGTAGTCTCTACTCGAGCCTTTATGTAAAGGATATGCAGAACACTGTTGCATACAATCAAGTGGAGTCAAAAGCTTCCACTTCCCTTCAATACAAGCAAATATGCCATCTTCTAATTCATTATTTTTTGGAGAGTATCCTGTAGTACATGATAGCAAGACACGTGTTCCTGCAGGAAAAGAAACACTTCTATTTTCTTCAGTAGTAGGATTATTATCATAAACAAGCTTGTAGCGGTGAATTATGTTTTGACTATATACACTTCCCAATTCAAATGGAGAACAGATATTACCACTTGTAGTGAAAAAAAGCTGATTCTCACCAACGTTCCCCCAAGGTTTGTATGTTAAATCTGTAAGGGCTCCAAGTTCAACTGTAATATCATAAACTTCACCTTCAATCAATGGTTCATAAGGAAATAAAAATACCTGAGTATTTTGATTTGTTACTATAGATTTCCCACGATGCTGAGCTTCATAATCAGTGGGAATGTGGATTAGATGTCCTGTTGTCCTACCTGTTATATTAAACCATGCCCAGTGTCCATAAGTCATTGGCTTATTAAATATAAGTTTAATCGTAGTATTATAAGGAGATACATTGATACTCCCCAATGTAGGTTCCATTCCAATTAAAGATGGAAATCCACTTTCTGGGACAAAACGACAAATAATGGAAATATCCGGGTGATCATACCATTCTGGTGAATCTGTTGGATTTATAGAGGTCCATTTTTTCCAAATTGTTGATTTTTTATCAGGTGGGATATGATTATTAGGATCAGGTAGAACAGATTCAGCATAAGCCAAAATATCATGACTATCCAAGTCTCTATCAATAACCCAAGTACCATTATTTATATCTGAGTCTCCTTCTGCATAGTAAACATAAAATTGTTTGCCTTCCCCACCATACCAAACTGAATGCTTATTTTGTGGTGATTTCCAAGGGGTATAGAGGCCGTTAAGATTTCCATTATTTGTAGCAAATCCTGTAACATACATATATGGACATGATGAATTCCTACTTATAGTAAATGTCCAGTGAAAAATTCCTTCATTTGGGTTTCCTTGTAGATCTGATATAGCACCAGCCTCTAATCCAATAACATAATTATCTTCAGGAAGTGGAGTTCTACTATCGAAACGAATCACAAGTCTTTGTCCCCTGACTTCTGCATTGTATAAAACGGGAATCTGATTATTGGAATTTTGACTTTTTGAACGATTCCACCATGTCCACCTTGAATCTCCAAGTGAACGCAACTTTTCATCAACTTGAGTAGATAGGGGGTTCTTATTGTCTTTATTTTGGATAATAAGAATTTCCAAGGGACGGGTATTATAATAAATCTTGCTAGATATAATGAGTCTTCTGGGTTGCCAACCTTTTGGATAATCAATATTTTCATTAAATCTTATAACAAGTTCTGGAACTGGTGGAATCAATATTGAATGATTCATAGGTTTAAATTCAACAGGATAAGGAATCATCTGATCATTCAAACACTTATGCTCTGTACAAACTTGATTTACTTTGCAGTCTTGATCTACATTACACTCTCCTATGTCCATAAGTCCCAAGTCAGTATCAAAATCTTCAGGAGAATCACATGGAATACCATTACCATCTCTATCTACTCCACTACAACCACAAAGTCTATTTACTCCTAAAATAGCATTTGTGCCTAAGTTTATTGCACAGCTAGAGCCTCCACCTTCATCTTCACCTTGAACAAGGCAAGGTAATCCAGCACCACCAGGTCCTGTATTTTCTAATTGATATTGAACCTTGCTGTAGTATTCTGGGTCTAAAGCTACATTAGCTCCACATTTTACGTAGGGAGCTGTTTGAATTACACGATACATTTCACCACCAATAAATTGACCAATGTTGGCAATTGTACAAGATTGCCGAGCTAAGCATTGCATAGTCCCGAGTCCTATTTGTGCAGCACTTGGAAGTACTCCTTGGCACTGATTTGTAGCTGAATTACAAGAAGCAAATGCATTATGCATACAGTGTGTATTATCTATACATTCTACAACCATAATTTTGGCTACAGGAAAATAAAATTCACTAGGATCATCACAGGGCATGCCAGACTCTGCAAAATCTGGACAACCACATAGTAACATAACATTAGAGCTGGATTCACTACGATTATATCTCCTTCCTACTCCAAAGTGAATCTCACAGTCAAATGGATTTCCTCCCTGACAATTCCATAAATTTTGTGAACGAAACATAGATTCATCGCCTCCAAGTAGTCTGACACCACATCCTGTCATTGGACTAGCTGCAATTTTATATCTTGTCGTAATCTGTTCACCTAATATCTTCCCTTTAACATGACAATCATATCCATCTACACAACGAATTATTGGTGGATTATAAGGATCATTTCCAAAACCTCCATAACAAGTCGTTGGTGTTCCATAGCATAAGCCATAACCATTAACACAGCTTGCACATGGATCAGCTTGGAGCTTTCTTTTAAGTTTTTCAGACTCTATACCTGGTGTACTAATAAGATTTTGGGGTATATTCCCACGATGATAAATAATCCTTCCAAGAGGAGTTTTAAATTCTGATGGATGTGAGCATTTAGAACCATCGTTAGCTACACAACCACACAGAGTACTTATTTGAACTATTCTAGATAAAAAATTCGAAATACATCTATTTCCATTGTCAAATGGTTTACATTTGTGTATATTTATTACAGTGGAATCAGGAATAGTCTCACCACATTTGAAGGAGCTAGAATTATAAACTTCCATGATTTTAGTATTATCATTAATTCCAAATCCCTCAAATGATCCTATTGGACAAGGAACATTTGCAACACAATTCAATTTATTAGTATATTTACTCTTTATAGTGCTATTCATTGATATTGAGCTTAGAATATCCTGCAAATTTCCAGTTAATGGACTCCACTCCTTAAAACCTAGGACATTGAGGTAACCAATGGGAATTGTCTTAGATGATTTGTTATTCTTAAATGAATCTATTGAATTTATATCTGCACATAGTTTGTATAGACCAAGAGAAGAAGATGAAACTGGTAGGTAGATAGAACAAAAATTATTTGAATATACAGTACAAGATAGTCCAGTAACACCTTTAGATTCAGTACAAGATTCATAAGGAGATACTAAAGATATTGAATATGCACTTTGTCGAGTTGGTTCAAAATGTCCAGGAATATTTTTTAGTATACATGGATCTGTTGCTATACATGAATATATAGATTCCTCGCTCCCAGCTAGTCCAGAACAAAGTCCATCGAAACAAAATCTTCCACCACAGTCATCAGAAGTAATACAGCTCTTTATTTCGGCTAGGTAACTGAAGTCAGTTTCTCCATTTGTACCAATAGCAGAGAGTAAGTAGATCCATGATAACACCTGGATAAAGTGTTCGACTCTGCCTAGATATTTCATTTTTTAAGTGCAGCAAGGCTCATAGAGAAAAATTTGCATGAAATACTGAAAGAAGTACTATAGATAAGCCAATAGTTCTATTACTTTTAAAAGTAATGATGCACAATATGCATCCAACTCGTTACCGAGATCAGGAAGGAGGATTTTTAAGCTACATAGCGGTTTGTCAACATATAAATTTATTTTTTTTAATATTATCAAATCATTTGGAGTTTTTGAAAACAGGAACAAATGAAAACTTCGTAAAACTGTAAAACCATAGTTTTGGTATGTAAAGAATTTGGCGGTTTAATTATTGTTGGAATATTACCACCCATCCTTATGTTGAATGAAGAGTGTACTGTAACTAAATCCCTTTATATAATATGGGACTTTGGAATAGTAAGACTGATGTAGGAGAGGAATTAAGTAACAATAAAAGGGCAGTAACTAGAGCTATTCGAAATATTGATCGTGAGATCCAAAAATTAGAAACTGAAGAAAAGAGACTTTTAAAGGAAGCTAGAGAGGCTCTTAAGAAAGATCATACAGAGGCTACAAAAATATTCAGTCGAGATGTAATTAGGGTTAGGAAACAGACAAATAAGCTTAATTTAGTCAGAAGTCAATTGATGGGTATTGAACTCCGTTTGGTCTCAGCACAAAGTCAATTGCAGATCAACAATGCTTTGACAAATTTGAGCTCAGTTATAGGTAAAGTTAATGAATCAACTGATCTTCAAAAAATACAACAGTTACTTAAGAACTTTGCAAGAGATAGTCAGAACCTAGATCTTAAAGATAATATAATCAATGATTCAATTGATATAACTATGGGAGAGAGTACTATGGGGGATGATGACGAAGTTTTAATCAACGAAGTTTACAATGAACTCCTTTTAAATATTGATAAGGAAGTAGAGAAACCTCGTAAATCATTTGCAACAATTAAAACACAGGGTATAGAGAAGACACGTAAAAATATGGATTCAACTAGCCTAGAAGAAAGGTTAAAACAGTTGGGTCTTAGTCAACAATTTAATAGTTGAATACCCAATTTTTTCATTATTATATTTTATTCACTTCCACATTATTGAGTTGTTATTTGCAACTTTTACTTGGGTGTATGGGACTGATAAAACTGGCGCAAGTAGCACTCTTAGTAGTGCTGAATCAGTTGGAATTGTCTTCAATTGGAAATGAGTGAATCTATTATGAACCAGTCTCAGAATACATTGCGAACTACTCACTCTACACTTCTTCCTTTGGCACTAATAGATAAATGTATTGGAAGCCGTATTTATATAATTCTTCGTGGTGATAGAGAAATTAGTGGTACTTTAAGGGGATTTGATGAATATGTAAATATGGTATTGGATGAAGTTGAGGAATATGGCTATACTATAGTTATGAATGAATCAGCAAGTAATAAAAAGCTTAAGAGGGTTCTTGTAAATCGTTTAGATACAATTTTACTTAGTGGCAATAATATAGCACTACTAATCCCTGGAGGAGATTCTAAGTCTTTTGAAGTATAAACTTAAATAGTCTATATACTTTGAGGGTGGTACAAGTATTATTCAAATCCTGTTGTGACATTAAGAGATTTCAATCATAAATCTAATTAGATATATGAATTAAAAATATAAATATAATTTATGAGAGTCTTGTAAGTGTTTGGTCCCCATTATTATACTTTAGTGAAGTCTTTTATTTAAATTATGACCATAATATAATATGATTGACTATTAAAAAGACTGCTTACTATTATATATTATGAATTTGTATTTCGGAAATTCTACTTACCAATAATAATATATTTATAATGATTCCATTTTTATTCACCAATGTCTAATAATTTAATGTTTGAATGTTTAGCTTTAAAGTAACTATAGAACTTAAGATAGATCATTGTATTCTTAACACGTACATATATTGCACTTCAAATTACATAGAAAGGTGAGATCTCCAAGTGAATACTTGAGTACATGTACTTTGAGCCATATAATATTAGTATATCAATCCTTATTTAGTAATATCTTATTATTTTCCAAAATATATGGTCTCAACAAAACTAAAGTCAATCCTAGTGCTTCTTCTGTACGAATAGTCCTAGATTTCTGTTCAGGACAAATATTTACATACATATCAAATAAGTCTTCTGGCTTAGTATCTGAATTGAATAAGCTTTGAGGATCACCTAAAACATCTTCTAATCCACCAAGACCACCAAAAACGATAAGTAAGTGTTTAAAACTTTTCTTATCTGGACTTTTTTCAAGCTTAAAGTTATCAGTAATACAACATCCTCTTTCGGAAGTTCCTATTACCAAATCATAACCTTTCTTATATGGAGAATTAAATAAGACACTTTTCAGAGAATTTGCTGGCCTAACTTTATATCCCCAATATATGCCTTTTTTTGTCCTTGGTGTCTCATCACTAACTACTTTACCTATGAAGTATGTTTTTGAATCCTCATTTTTCCCTTTTTGACTAAATTCATCACACAATTTCTTATGTAGATTTTCAGAATTATCAATCATTTTAATTGTGATTCTTGTATTATCGGGTAAACTCTCATCTATCCATGCTTCAACTGGAAGTCCACAATTTACCCAGGAGCCTGATTTTTTGTGCTCTGACTTTATTAATCCTTTGAATAGTCGTGGTTTAGAAACGACTACTCCTTGTCTATATGGGAGCCATTCTGAAATTCTCATATGATGAGGTGCATCGATTGGGTTTTGAAGACCTGCAAACTTAAGATCAGCTTCAAATTTAAACAAGCTTTTTCTCAAATACTGAGGAGTTTCCAAATAACGAAGATTTTTTACAAAGAATTCCATAGATCTTGAACAATTAAAGCCTATGTAATCTGACTGTCTTTCTGAATTATCAACAATATTCTTGTACTTATCTTCATATACTACAATTTCATCAATACCAAATATAGCCAAGATTCGGGCTATTTGGCCTACTAAATAAGCTTTTAATTCAAGGGACTGAGCATTTGATATAATCGAAGATGGAAGAGCCACACTAACTGTACACTTTGAGGGTGTACCTTTAAAGGGTATTCTAGAAAGTATATCTGCACTCTTATTATTAGCTATAAAGCCGGGAAGTTTAGGTTCATTACAAGCCCTCTTGTTAATAAGCTGATTACTGTAATTTGAACTTGGTTTATTTCTCTTTTTTTCTGTTGACATCTCTAAAATATAAAACAAAACTGTAATTGACAAGGAAATGTCATAAGTTAACTAAGATTATTCCCGCTTTATAGCGGATATTAATTAGCTTACAAATACCCTTGTATCACAATTTGGTAACTATAGAATTTTAGATGCATATATTATAAACTCGTTATGAATAATAAAAATGTTTCCTTACTTGCTATATCTCAAAAGATTAGAGAAGAAGAGGAGATCAAGAAAAAAACTAATCCAAAACATAAGTTAGATGCTCTAAGGGCTGAAGAACAGGAACTTATAGCTGCTGTTCAAAAATCTTACAATGCACCTCTAGTTGCAGTTCATGAGTTAGCAAAAGGTATAGTTTATGATGGAAGAATGAAAACGTCTTGGAGACCACCACCTAAATATGCAGTTTTAACTCCAGCTGAATGCAGCAATTTGAGATCTCAACTTCTTATAGATGTAAATGGAGTTGATATACCTCCACCTATTATGTCTTTCAAGGATATGGGTTTTCCAAAAGGTTTGATTGATGCTTTAAATGCAAAGGGAATAATGAAACCAACCCAAATCCAAATGCAAGGTTTACCAGTAATTTTATCTGGTAGAGATATGATTGGTATAGCTTTTACAGGAAGTGGTAAGACAATTGTATTCACTCTTCCAATGGTTATGTATTCACTTGAGTCTGAACTAAAACTACACTTCATGGGTATGGAGGGTCCTGATGGCCTTATTTTATGCCCCTCTCGTGAACTAGCATTGCAGACAACAAGTATTATAGAACACTTTGTATCTTTCCTAAGTAAGAGTAAAATAAATAGGCCAGGTACATTAAAACGAAATAGAGAATGGGAATATAGTGAGAAGGAGAAATCAAATAGTGATGGGAATGTTGAGGATTATAATAGAACATATTATCCATTATTAAATGTAATTTGTCTAATAGGAGGTGAAAGTGCTCGTGAAAAACAGAATATAATTCAGAGACAAGGAGTTCATATGATTGTTGCAACTCCAGGTAGACTTGCAGATATGCTCAGGAAAAAAAAAGTCACACTATATCAGTGTAGATATTTTTGTATGGATGAAGCAGATCGTTTAACTGAGGCAGGATTTGAAGAAGCAGTAAGATATATTTTTGATAATTTTCATGAAAGGCGTCAAACAGTTCTATTTTCTGCAACTATGCCCCAGAAGACTCAAGAGTTCACTAGAACTGCACTTGTAGATCCTATAGTTGTCAATGTAGGACGAGCTGGAGCTACAACTCTCAACGTATTACAAGAGCTTGAATATGTAAGACAAGAGTGTAGACTTCCTCATATATTACAAAGTCTTCAAAAGACAGCTCCTAGAGTATTAATATTTTGTGAAAACAAGAAGGATGTAGATGAGATCCATGAATATTTGCTACTAAAAGGAGTGAAAGCTGCAGCTATTCATAGTGGTTTATCTCAAGAACAACGTAGGGATTCTGTAGAGCAATTTCGATTGGGTCTAAAGGATGTCTTAATTGGGACAGATGTAGCATCCAAAGGACTAGATTTCCCCAATATTCATCATGTCATAAACTATGATATGCCTAAGGAGATTGAAAATTATGTACATCGTATAGGCCGTACTGGTAGAGGTGATTCTGTCGGTGTTTCTACAACTTTTATTGATAATTCCCTACCTGAAACTTTATTGTGTGACTTAAAAGCTTTACTTATAGAAGCTAAGCAAATTATTCCACCATTTCTAGAGAAATTGGAAGCTACTGATAATTCGTTGCTAGAAATTGGAGGAATAAGAGGTTGTGCATTTTGTGGGGGTCTTGGGCATCGTATAGGACAATGTCCAAAATTAGCAGAAGCACAGCGAAGAACACAGACAGCAAATTCAAAAGATGCTTTAACTTTAGGATCTAGGTATAGTCAAAGCTGTAGGGATGATTGGTAAGTAAAATTACCATCCGGAAACAAATATGAACCTTTTTTGATTAGTAAGTTAATCAATTTATAGATTGAAGAGAAACTAGCTACTCTCTGAATATAGATATATTTGTCCTACAACTACTAATTGCGTCTTGGGCAATTTCCTATTAGTTATTTATATTTGAAACTTTAATTTATACTTATTAAGTACTTAGAAAGGGATCTCCACAACTTCCTTTAATATATAAGTTAACGTGACTTTATCAAATGGATACTTTGAATTTTTTTCTAAATTAAAAAGTGTGGACTTAGTTATAGGTTTTGAAAACTATTTTTAATATCAAATGTCAATATATCAATCTTTGATTATATGTTGAAGTGATCGTAGTACCCTTATGAAGAATCGCTATCAACTAACCAAAGAAGGATTTTACCACTTTCATTCATGCAACGAGATAAATTGTTTTGATTGATATTTGGAGCTACTTTACTAATCCATAACATCTTAGAGGATTTATCTACACCTTCATATGCAAATGGTAAAGACAAAAATATTCCTGCAAACCAAACCGAACATAGAGATATTTCTAACGCATTATACTGCATACAAACATTTGGTAAACGGTACAAGTCCATACATATTGACATAGATAACAACCTAAACATCTTCAGTGATTGATACTCCCTATCTTCATCCTCTCCTTCTTCTTTTGCCATTGGTGAATATAGCAAGAGTCGTGTTAATCTTTCTATATGGTTAAATGGTAGTTCAATTGGAGTCAGTTCAAAATTGATTGCCCTTAATAGTGCAAATTCATATGTCTTAATTTGCTCCATATAGTTAGAGTACTCTTTTCCAGAATCTTTGTATATCCACAAACTAGAAGAAATATCTAGACTTGATGCATTATTGGAATTTTGAGCAAGTGTATTAGCCTTCAGTATTCTATACAAAAATCGTGATAGTTCAGAAAGTTTCCTACTACTGCGAGATGGTTCTACATCTTCACGGACTTTCCAAGCTAGTAGAACGGCAGCAGATGCTATAAAGCGTCTATCCGTCTCTAGTGCATCAAATTTAGACCAAAATTTGTATATGTAGTAGAAAGCAGTTATAGTTGTACCTGGAGAAAGGTGTAAATTTGTACATAATACCATAGCTAATTTACTAGTACCCAAAAATAGTTCCCTATATCCACTACTAATAGATGAAAGTTGCCATATTTCTGGTCTTGAGTCACTCGTATCATCCATAATAACATCAGAGTGTTATTTATATTATTAATTCTTTAAAGAAGCTCTGGTATCTCCGTTGATTTATTACCGCCTGCGCTAGTATTCATTATGCGTATTCGATTTGGAATCTTCTTTGATATATCAATACCTCATCAAATACTCTATATTATTGAAATATATTGTTAATTTTTGAGCTGTTCCATAAAATTTTAAAGCAGAAATTCACTATTAATGAAGTTTGCATATTAATGATCTAATTAAATACTCCATAACCATTGAAGACTCCACTACATGTACCGGTGTTTACATGCATGTGTACTTTGTTCTTGTATTACGTGTTATTTAGAATATTACACAAAGATAGCTTTTACTAGGGAAAGAAGTAAAAAAGAGATATTTCTGAATATTCTAAGTTCCGTGATTATCATATATTTCACATGAGATCTACTTGGACATAATCAACATGGACACTAAAGCTTGGTAAATGTACAGAAATTAATAAAGTCTGTCTGTAAAAAAAGTCAAAATAGGATTTACAATATTTTAAGAAGAGTGACGAGCTTTATAATTCGGTGGGGCAGGGTGTACAGTTGTATTGCAAAGCGCGAGTGCTATTCGCGCAAACTTTAACCCTGCTTGATAAATCTTCTAGTACAAGTAATAGGCAACTTACATATATTAATGTCATCTTTAAATATAGAATACCCGTCTGAACTACAGCGTGGTGTATGTGATCAACTACTCTCAGGAATACCCTCATCTAATGGATCTATTGTTGTTATTCTTGCAATCAATCTGATTCGTTCGGGACCAAGAGCACTGTAAGTTTTTTAACTACTTAAACATATTTGTCTGTATACTTACTGATATCTGTATGTTGAAATCTTTATTTTAGAGTTCATGTTGCAGATGCTGGATCTAATATACATGAAAGTGGAGTTCCCCTTAGTATTAGGCTTGTTATGTCTGACGCAACTCAATTTCAACCAGGAGATTTAATAAGAATCATTCGGTTCTCGCTAAATGAAATTCACTCTACGAAGTTAGTTACAGTTATTCAATTTGAAAAGGTTGGACATTGGTCAGGGTACACTGCTATTGGAAAAGCAATACCTCATCCAGGAATGGGTTCAAATAAAGTTTCATCTAGCAATAACTCTGTTAATGACCAACAACAAAACCAACAAATGTCTGGAAACAATTTCTATAATTCCACAGGCAGCTCTAATGGTAACTTATCTGAGAGGCAATTCAACACGGTTGTAACTAACAACAATAGACTTGGTTCAGTTAATCAACAATATAACACTACAGGCACAAATTTAATAGGCAATAATAGTACAAACCAATTTAATTCAAGTAGCATAGGTAATGATCAGATGGGACATAGTGAATTGAGTAATTCTGGGAATAATAATTTTAACCAGATAAATAATGGTACATTTTCAAATAATATAGATACACAAAGTGATAAGCAAAACATTACTCATGATCTGATCATGGGTAATCAGTACAATGGAAATAATAATATAGCTGGAAGTGAGGTAATGAGTAATAGCTCATATAACAATGGAATAAATCAAAAAGTGAATAACATATATAATAATTTAAATGGAGGTAGTAACCAACAAGGCGTGAGTGGGCCAATGAATAGTAACCTATATGGACCAAATATTCAGTTAAATAGTGACAGGATAAATCATAACATATACAATGGGAACAACCAACCTAGCGCTGGTCCAATTCACAGTAACCCATATGGAAGAAGTGTTCAACAGATACCTGGATCAGGCGCAGTCAATATGGGACATATTCAACGAAGTGGTCCCTACTCATCAGGATCTAGAGGAGGACCAATTTCAAGAAATCAAGATATTCCAGTTTATCCTATAAAGAGCATAACATCCTATCTACATAGGTGGCGTATAATAGGCCGTGTAATTAGTAAGAGTGATGTTAGGACATTTTCATCTTCCAAATCTAAGGAAGGTAAAGTTTTTTCATTCGAAATTTGTGATGCAGAAGGAAGTCAAATTCGGGCAACTTGCTTCACAAAGGCTGTAGATAAATTTTATGAATTTTTGAAGGAAGGTGAAATTTATAGTTTCTCAAAGGGTGATGTCAAGGAAGCAAATGCAAAGTTTAACAAGACTGGCCATGGTTTTGAAATAATATTTAATGAGGACGCAGATATCCAGAGTATGCCTGAAGATAGTCGTATACCTAAGAAAGCATACAACTTTGTTTCAATAGCTGATATTAGAAATTATTCAAAAGGACAATCAATAGATATATTGGGTATACTTTGGAAAGCAAGTCCAATAATGACAATAACTATAAAGTCAACAGGTGCTGATACCCAAAAGCGAGAATTAACTATCTTAGATAGATCTGGATATAGTATTGATTTAACATTGTGGTCTGAAAGAACAAATTTAGATGAAGGCATGTTAGCACAAAATCCTATGATAGCAGTGAAAAATGCAATTATTGAGGAATTTAATGGGTTTAAACTAAAATTTGGACCAAATACATCAATTGAATGGAATCCAATTAATATTGAGCAAGCTGATGAATTAAGACAATGGTTCCAGGAATCAAACAACCAAAATTCAATTGTATCATTGTCAGCCAATAGTACAGGCAATATTAATTCTGTCACAAATAGTCAAAGGCAGTCAATAGAAGAAATAATTGCAACTGCAACTTCTGGAGTAAATTCTTCAGATATACTAGATGGTGGTATATGGGTATTCACGAATGCTACAATCCGCACAATTAGGGATAATAAATATTTTTGGAGTAGTTGTCGCCAATGTAAAAGAAAGGTTACTGAAATAGAAGATCCAAACAGTGTAAGTGCTCTAATTCTGCCATTTTCTTCAGAGAATGGTAATAAAGTGAATACAGGACCTAATTATCATTGCCCAAATTGTCAACAAACAATTGAAGATCCATTAAAGAAGTATATTTTAAGTTGTGAACTAATTGATAGCACAGGAACATTGCGTGCAGTTGCATTTGCTGAACATGGTGAATCAATAATGGACGGGCTAAATGTAGATCAGTTGGAATCAATGAGAAATAATCCAGAAAAAAGTACTGAAGATATATTTGCAGATAAAAATTTTAGTGAATGGGTCTTTAAACTAAATGGGAGGAAGGAAGTATATCAAGATTCCACAATTTTGAAATATCGCATATTTGGTGTTGAAGATATGACATCTCCTGATGTACTAAATAGAGAAGCAAAGAAAAAGCTTGAATATGTATACAGTAAATTAAATGGCTTTATTCAGTCTCCAAATTTAAATATATCTTCTGATAAGGTCAAAATTGGGACTGGGTTTGAAACAATTCAGTTTTAAGAAATATCGAAATAGTTGTGATACAATAAAATATATATTTACCTATTCTGCAATAAAAGTGTATAACAGAAGTAATTTATTATTGCGAGCTTGATGAACTAGTTATTTGTGCAGGATCAGCACTATTTGTACTATATTTCTCAATTAGATTCTTCATTTCCTCTTCAATAGATTCATACTGCTTCTCTAATTCGGAAATTGCACTATCTAACGCACTCTTTTCTTTTTCAAGAGCAGGTTTAACAGTTTTAACATTTCTCTCAACCATCACACCACCAATAACTCTAAAACATCGTCGGTTCTCGTCTACCTTCTCAAATGCATTTAAGACTAGACCATACTCTTTACTATCTTGAGTAAGCTCTGAAATCTTATTGTTTAGTAGTTTGAGTTTCTTATCTAGTTGAACAATCTCTTCTTGTGTCTCCTTAGTATATCCTAAGAAATAATATACAAATTAAGATAATAGATGTGGTCAGAGTAGTATTAGTTAATTCATTCTCTTTAAACCTTACCTGTCTCAACCATTTAAGCAGGATGTTTCAAAAATTCTTCTCCTGTACTTACCTATTTAAAAATATAGCAAGCTATTAAGCAATTAGCTATTTTACCGCAAGTCCGTCAGCACGCTTGAAAACATCAATTCCAGATGCAATGTATGTAACCCAACCCAAAAAAGTATAGGAATTTTATAGATTTTAAGATAATATATCTTCATCTCTTTTTAAAGTACATATTATTAGAAGGAGATGATCAAGTATTTTAAGAGATCCAATAACTCCATGTTTGTGATTTCTCGACATCACATGGTAAATAGGGTACCGAGATATTTTCGAACAGGAACAGATAAGAGTTATTTGCTGAATATAGGGTCATTTTCAATAAAAAGTACATCGAAACCAAAACAAAGTGAAAATGAAGATTCTTATAGTACGAGTAAATGTCATATCTGCGTTGCAGATGGTGTAGGTGGCTGGAATGTTCATGGGATAAACCCAGCAAAATATAGTAGAGTATTAACGAAGAGTATAACACGAAATATAAAGGAACTAGATTCTAATAATAAGGGGGATAGCAAAAATTTCCTCTCTTCAGTATTACATAATGCTTATAAAGAAGCAGAAGAATCCAATATAATCGGCAGTTCAACTGTTTGTCTAGTATATTTTAATGGAATAAATAAACTTTATACAGCTAATTTAGGTGATTCAGGATGTTTAGTGTATAGAAGAAGAGATAATTCTATTATATATGAGACACCCTTTCAGCAACATAGCTTTAATACTCCGTTCCAACTTGGTACAGGAAGTAGAGATAGCCCCAACGATGCAATATATGATACCATAGAAGGAATACAGGAAGGAGATGTCATTTTAATTGCTACAGATGGTTTATGGGACAATTTATCAAAAAAGGAAATTATTGACATTCTCTCTAGATTGGATAAAAGAAATCCACAGGCGATTGCAGAAAAACTTGGAAAAGAAGCATGTCAAATCTCTCTTGATCCACATCATCTGTCACCATATGCAATTAATTTAGCTAAATATTTAAATCAAAGAAATATAGATTGTCAAAATTTCGAAAAACCTATATACTATACAGGAGGAAAACCGGATGACATTACGATATTAATTGGAATAGTAGAGCATAAGTAGAAGTTAAAGAAAATATCTTTAATGCTTAGAATAACTTAATTTAAACATCTTTCAATAGTTATAGATATTGCACTAACTCCTCTCTTTTTACTTGTCATATCCCACTCAAAATCTTCAGTTATGTAGTCATCTATAACCTCTATAGTCTTAGTTTCTATTGTTTCTTTAATGTTGTCTCCAAAATTCGTCTTAAGGTCTTGTACAAGCCATATAGCAGTATTAATACAGGCTCCCATACCATGTATCACTACTTTTGGTATTTCATTTGATATATCTAATTTATTCTTATTTCTTCTATAGCCTATACGATTTTTATAAATTGTATTTGCATTTTCAGATAAAAGTAAAAGATCTAAAGCACGTCTATAGTATACAATTAAAGGTTTTTTCCTCGTTACAAATATATCAAACCTATTTAGGTTTCTCAAACCACATTTACGCCTTACTATGCGTTTATCTAATCTTTCATCCTCCATCTAATCCTCCAGTCCATAAATTTATGCAGCTCAAAATAATCTAAGTTACTCTGATCAATTTTTAGCGCTTATATGGAACTAACTTGAAATTGTTAAGACATTAGTTAGCTTAAAATAAAATAGGGTAGACTACTAGTTGCATAAAAAGTAAAAGTTCTTACAATTTTAAATTCCATAGAATTATCTTTTAATTGTAGTTTACATATTTTTAGTACATTACTTAATTGATTTTTAGATCTTGTTACCTTTTTTTTTTAATTATATATTTAGGCGTATAAATACTGGTAATATATATTAAAGACCCTTAATTTCTTCATTCTTGTTTGTATGACCTTGGTTATTTGATATTATTGACTAGATTTATTTAGAACTTGTGAGGTATTTGTACATAATAATTTAAAAACTTTAAAATTTGGAGTAATAAAGTATTTCGAACACTTTTACAACAAAATTAAGGTTTTAAACTCTTATTTCCTAGAATTATGACTAAATTTAAATATTTTCATTCATTATTATGTTTATTATTTGCTGAATCTAAATATTTACATAGATTGATTATCTATATCAAGGTATTATTTAAGATCTATACTTAAATTATGTAATATATGACAAATATATAATTATTTCAAATTCAAATACATGAAGAGGCAATCCTCCAAGCTAGGAAGGATAAATAATTGAATTATATAAATTAATTTTTAGTATTAAAGTATTTCCTCAGTATAAAAGTATATATTCAAGATTAAAAATAATGTATGTAAGCTTAGCTTACTTGTTGGATTGGTCTTTTTTTTATTTACTAATAATAGAGTCTAATAAACACTTTATTAATTATTTTAGATATAAAGTATTTGAATTTTTTTTTTTTATAAAAGTTAAAACTAAGTTACCCCCAACTCCTATATACATACATATTTCTATTTCTATAAAATAATAATTTTAAATGGATTTCTCTTATGTTAGGTAGACAAACAAAATCAATATTTCCTATATTACTAATTACAAATCCAGATTCACATATTATAAAGTTACTACTGAAGAAATACAAATACCAAATCACTAGTGGAAACCAATTTCGTACTTTTACCCCCATTAAAAATTACATTACATTTATTTGTAGATATTATAAAGAGAATGAATAGTTATGGTAGTATAAGCAACACTAAATTATAAATTATCTACTCTTTACAAGTATATTATCAGCCACTTAAGTAATATATTCCTTAAAATCTAAGAATATAGTGTAACTAAAAGATATAAAAGTATACAATCACGCATATCGAATCTCAAATTTACATAAACAAAATACTTGAATGAATAAAATATTTCTTTTTATGAAACACCTTTATAAGGGAAGTAAGTTAAGCTGAGAGTGGTTCAATTATGTGAGATGTAAAGTATATGAATTCTAATCCAGTAATATGAGATATATAAACTACAGTAACACGAAAGCTAACATAACAGCAGTACACTTTGTATTTACTATCTACAATATAAAGAAATGAATTAATAAATACTAAATAAGAGCGCAAGTGCGGTAAACATTAAGTAATTTTATCTAGTAATGAAAACTTTGAATAGTCATCTTTTTTAGTAATAAGAAAGATAATAATTACATATTTTCAATATTCCAGATCATGAGACATAGATTCTTTTTCTAGAATCTTTTTTGGATCTTCAATAAAATTAAAATATAATAAACTTTAGTTATTTTCGCTCTTTCTAGTGGCCGCGGCGTCTCATACGTCTCTTATCTTAAAGGTTGAAAGGAGAGTACCCCCATTTCCCCATACCCCCTAAATTTTTAAATACTATATCACCACACCACAGCATCATAATCCAATTTTTATTAAGTTTTAGACGTTTAAACTATACATTTGAGTTAAATGACATTCAAACTTGTTAATTCATTTATACTAATAGTTTTAACTATCATATATAGTCAAGAGAAGGGCGCAGTACTTGGCAGATGCCCAACTTTGGAATCTGAAGTTAAATTGTCTTCTCCAAACTCACCTCTACCAAAGGAAATTCTAACTGACCAACAAGTAACCCCAGTTTCACCCTTAAGTGAAGATGTTATCTTTCCTACTGAAGAGTCTTCGAGAGAAGCAGAGGAGGTTTTGGAAGGCTCAGAAGTTCTATCTCCTGTAGTTGGTATCGAAGTTTCTCCAACTCCTATTGAGACCTTATATCCTTGTGTAGATCCAGATTGTTTGGAACTTACTACATCCCAAGTTAGTGTGAAAGATTTGGTAAGATACTATGAAGTTATGGGATCTGAGTTAAGAAACATAAGTACAGAAGCTATAACTCGTGATAATGTAGCTAAACTAGTGGACTTATTTGAATCAGGACAACATGATATTGTTGAAATTTTGGAGAGTCCCACTTTAACTGCTTTGAGAAATGGGGAATTTACAAATAATAAAGAAGAAGAAGAACATGTTGATGAGATTGTAATAGAACCTCCAACAAAAGACAAGGTTGGGGAATTAGTAAAATATTTCGAGGAATTAGCTGTTCAGGATGATTTAACAAGCAATAAAAGTGAATACTTCGTAGCAAGAATTATAGACTTGATTGAGGAGACTAAAGAAGAGGAACTAGCTCAGGTTCAGGTTCCTCGAGAAATGGTCTTACGTCTAGCTTCTGCTTGGGATAATTTGGCACACAGAGATACCAAGGTGTTATCTCCAATTGCATTAGAAATGGGTTATACATTCAATGATCTATGCAGAGATAAGTTGGCAAAATGTATGGAGTTATATCTAGACCAACAACCAGTAGTAGAATCAGCATATCCTCCAATTGTATCTCCATTAAAAACTGTATCTGAAGTAGTGGTAACTAGGAAGGGTGGTTTTCAGGTTACTGCTCCTAATAAGCAAGAAGCTATAAGTGCTGTTATTAGTAATGCTAATGCAGCTACAGGGAGGAACTTTCAACCAGAGGATGTAGAAGTTAAGAGAGTTTTTAGAGGATCTTATCTTGATACTGATGAATAAACGTAATGAATATTTGTAATTTAGTATTTTATCATAACGCATGAGATTTATATTATGGTTTTTCTTTTGTGTCAATATTTATATTTAATATGGTTATTTTGAGAATATAATCTAAGATATATCTTAAATGATACACTAAGATTACCTAACTGTATGTGCGATGGTAAGGTAGTAGTAGACAGAAATAAACTAGATACTTACATAGTGGTCATAGCGTGGTTGTTAATCCTGATAACCTTGGTTAAGTAGGCAATAATTACTAGTTTGATATTTCTTCTCTATAGAACTTATCTTTAAGATTTCATATTTTTATTTATTGTAACACAATTTGGCATCACACTTTTTACTAGATCTAATGATGGAATCTGCACGCTCGGTACTGTTTTATATTCTGTACTGGCGCTGTAATGTTTAGGTACTCATTTTCTTAAGTAAGGTGTTATAATTATATAAATATGAAAAGTACCCTAGGTAGGTCCCAAGTGGACAGTAGAATTGAAAAGATGATAAATAGTAGTTTAGATGATATTGTGAGACAATCGAAGAGATCAAGACGTCTGCAGAGTAATAGGCAACATCGGAATTCTTTGACACCTAAGAAGGCTGTAGCAAAGCCCAACACGAGTAAGAGACATAATATAAAAGGTGGAGGGAATATCCAAATATTACAGAAGGGAAGTAACTTTAAGAATTCACAATATAATAAGGGAAATGGTGGGAATAAGAGATTAAGACAACTAAGAGATAGAGACAAGGTAATTATTCGAAGGAAACAAGATGAGTTAATAGATAAGACAAAATTAACAAGTGGAGATATCAGAAATATTAAGATTGTGGCTCAATTAGATAAATTACCAGCTCCAACTGCTCAGCAAAAGGCAGGTGTAAATAATCTTGACGTCATCCCAAGCTCGATTTCCTCCCATAGAATTAGACAATCTAAACCCATAGGGAAAAAGATGAGACTCTGAAGTGAGCATGAGCTTATTTATAATAGTTAAATAATGTAGTAGAGACATTTATGAGATATATTAAACGTGTTATCTGTCTAAAATTTATACGGAGGATCTAACATACTTGACTGATATTATTTCATATATTTACTTGGTGATGGGAGATTCTGAATACCTACTTGCTGCAAATAACTATACCATAATTTGATCATTGAACCACACCATAGTTTTATTTCTTTTTCTATTGCTACAAGAATACTTTTGCTTATACCTTTTTTATATATATAATCAGATACAGTGCAATAATTTGCCATAAAGGCTTTCATATATGCTGTAGTACATTCACTAACATTACTAACAGGTTTGAAACCTAAGGGTGGCACTTTTTTTATAAGTTTTAAATTGTCAGTTGAAGGATTATATAGTGATGCAAATAGGGTCCATTGTATTCTGCTTAGTTCATATTTGCTTAGTTCTGATAAACTGTTCCATGTTTTAGTTGGTATTGTCGGTTTTCTAAGTTTCAATCTTGTTGCAGGTATTTTTAAACTTTGACTATCTAATGGATTTAATGAACTAGATAATTTTATTTTGGAATTTGGATATTGTAGCCTACTTGATCTACTGTGTTGAATAAACTTTGGTCTTGAGGTTTCATATGGATTAACAAGAGGTGGAGTGGAAAATAAGAATCTCGTCCCTGTAGATTCCAACTCTGGAATCTTTGATCTTTGAATCTCAGATCTGGGTAATTCTTGAACAAGAACTAAGTCTTCTGCAAGACTTTCTACATACTCCTTTCCAAATTTACCAGTAGGTTTACGATATTGAGGGGTAATCGCCGTTTCATCTACAGGATACACTTCTAACCTTGAAGTACTTACAGGAACTCCTTCATATGAAGTATCTGAAGTTGACATTTCATTTTCATCCGAGAATTCAGATGAATCACTAGAAAGATTACTTCGTCTTGATTTCGATTGATAAAGAAGCATCTTGTTAATTAAACTTCGTGGTATCTCATTTACAGAAGCAGTAACCCAATTTCCCCAATTACCATTGCGACTTCTATAACATTTCTTCCATAATATGGAACCATCTGAGTATAACTGGCCACGAAATTTTGTAGATGGTAGTTTCTCTGGGACTTTCTGTTTAGAATACCTAATACGTTCTATTCTCGACGCTTCCAGTTTACCTATACACCATATCATAGAAATACATATAAGTATCCACCTTAACCAGTTTCTCCTTATCATTTGTAAGCTTAATTTATTCCCAGTGATATTATTATAATTTCCAATAACTGCACTTAAGTCTGAATTTCTAGATCCGGTTGACAGCGCCATTATTATCTATATATTTAGAGTAACACTGTTGAAGGAAGTTAAATAATAAGTGATAATTAACGAGAGTAGTATGATATAACTTACATTTTGATATATTATTATTACTATAATGAAGGGTTCCTTTTTTTTTCTTAGAAAAGTTACACCTAAATATACGATCTAATATCTACAAAGTCCCCAATATATACATCAATTTTTACTGCATCTGTACATCCATCATTGTATTTATAAGTTATTTGACAATTCCTATTAGGAGTAGTGTATTCCCTAATTTGTTGTATAATTTTATTTGGAGAGGGTAGTTTTACATAATTTAAGTGCTTAGGGCTCAGTTGGTTAGGAATTGATAAAGCTGTTTTACTTTTTCTTTCCTTTTGAGTTATTATTTCTTCATTACCATATCTAGATTGAGAAGTATTCTTGCAAATTTCGCCAGCAAAAAGTTCTAGCAATTGATTTATCATACAATAATAGCGATAACTAAATTCAGAAGCATTCATCTGAATACTGGTAGACGATATACATGAATCTCTTATAAAGCCCAGTTTCAATGCATTCTGGAAACATGGAAAAGAAAAGAATTGCTCTATATTTGGATTCAGAGTATAATTTGTCAAGTTAGAGTTTTTAATATAAATATTTTCTTCAACAGTATCATTTCGAGTATAATTTAGCCCTAAATTAAACAAAATTGTGAGGATATGAAATAGATGTTTGAAAGCAAGAGTTTCCTGTTCGTTTTGAATATTATTATTCTGATGATTTAAATAATTTCTAAACTTCGATATTAACTGAGGAGAGTACCAATATTTACTATAATTAGGTTCTACATTTGAGTAAAGTATTGCAATTATGAACGGTAATATATCAACAACAAAGTAGTAAGTTAGAATTTGTATTTGAAATGTGGGGATTGAATTTAACGAAATATCTTTTAGAATATTTTTATTAGCTTTCTTTACTTTTTGAGAGTAAGCATAAGTTGTCATTCCAAAGTATCTAAATTGATTTGCCATTATTCCTTGTAATCTGGGAGCTACTGTTAAACATGTATTTAAAAATGGTAGTAATGAGCATATTCTTGAGCCAAGGATATCATATTCAACTATATTATCTATTATACTAGCTAAGTAATTAAAGTATAGATCATTACGGACAAGACAACGGTATATGTTTTCAAGGAGCAAAGTGGTAACATTTGATCCATGATTTGCCACACATTCTTCACCCTTTTTTAGTACATATTTAACTATACTCTGGCCTTGGTGATTTTCAAGTCCAATACAAATTTTGACATAGTCTGATACATCTTGTTCAATATCTTTAATGTAGCAACAATTATTAAAATCAATCCAGTCTAGATAAACCTTATTTGTATGTTCATCATATTTCTCTTTTTGTATCATTAATTCTAGGGAGTTCAAACATGATCTAATGTCACCATTATGTGCAATAGCTAGTCTAGTTAAAATATCTTGATCTTCTAGTTCAATATTTTCTTTTTCACAAATAAATGAAAGTCTTTTAGTGACCTTTTCTATTTTGGGAGTCTTTAAAATAATGTTGGGTACTTTTAGCCTAAGGTTCCTTAGTGATTTGTTGTATATATCACTACACAAACAAATAACTGGTCGTTTAATAATATCCAGAGTTTTCTTATGTTGATCTAGTAACTTAATTAAGTAAGAAATACAATCAGGACTTTGCCCTTTAACTTGTTCGTCATTATTATGACATTTACTGCCAGGAGATGAATTTGACAGGATGCTGTCGAGTTCATCTATTAAAACTAAGTTAGGTTTACTATTTACTCCTTGTATAGTATTGAATCCAATGCCTATTTTAATTGAATTTTCGATACGAGCGGAACTCCTTTCATCATCTAGTCTGACTTCGTAAGTATTGTAGCCACATTGCTTTGCCAGAATATTAATTAAAGATGTTTTGCCACATCCTGAAGGACCTCCAACAAGTAGTATTGGATTGTTCGGAGCTTCTTTTGCTTCTTCATTCCTACTATCTATTTCATCTTCCATATCAGCAAGTTTCAAATTTCTCACTTTTTTACCAAATATATATCCTTCCCACTGTTTAATCCATTTCAAAATATTTCTTACAGTTTCCTCATCATTTATAATATCTAAATATGACTTAGGTTTATATTTCTGATTTAATGCAATTCTTTTCATATATGAGCAACTAATCAGTGGTCTTAAATTTAATTTAGTGGTATCTTCAGTAATCTTGACAGAATCTAAATACAATTGAGTATCATATTGAATGTTAGTTTCATTCAAGTTATCTGTAATACAATCCAACTTTCTAACATCACTATCAGGCCGAGATTGTAAATAAAACTTAATATCTTGATCTCTAATGCCTGAAAACAAAAAGTATTCATGATTATCATCTAAATCTGCAGGTGGTATAGTAAGTATCTTGCTATCTTTAGAATACATCACTAGCTTTTTGCCTTGTATACTTTTATTCATAGTACCAAAATAGCTAAATTCACCTTCAAAGTCAAAATGTATGTTATATATATTACTTTTAGATATCTGGTCTACTTCAAAGTTTAATTTATCATCAGGTTTATTTGTTTTTGATAAACAAGTATTTATTGGTTCTAGTAGAGGTATTTCATCTAAAGGTTTATTTGCAGTATTACCATAGCTTCTAGGGATATTCTGACTCTCTGTTAATTTATTCTCTTTATTGATCTCTTCATTTATCTCTTCATTAAAAAAATGATCGTTAAAGTCCATCTCCTCATCAAAATTCAGCTCATCAGTAATATCCCATGCCTGAGGTTTTAATGTATCTAGAACATCTAATTTAGATTTTTTTTTCTCAATATAACCAAAGCTTTCATCATCACTCCACTGTTCTTCTGCATTCCACATATATATAGTGATCTTAATGGCAATTCTGTATGAGTATTTGGTGTCTGCAGTAAGTCGTATATAAAAATAATACAATTTGTTTTGGCGCGAAATTATATGTAGTTGTAATAACATACTTTAACGTGATTTAGCGTGGAATCTTCCTTTTCTCATTTTCTAAATATATAGACAAGATCACCATTTTGGTTATAAAATTGGTGTTTTTAAGATATCTTATAACCTAATAAATATTAACAAATTATATATCACTTCTCTAAAGATTATTTTATTGAAGTCTCTGTACTTTGATGTATCCCTAATTGTAAATCTTAGATTCTAGAAAATGGACCACTACGTCTCTATAAATGAAGAAATAACTAATAAACAGGGTGATTACTGTTTTATTTGTCTAGAAGACTCTTCTAATAACGAATTAGAGCGATGCTGTACCCAATGCTATGCAGTGGTCCACAAGGAATGTTGGTTGAGGTGGAATAGATCACAAAGAATAGCTGCTATCAGAAGCACAGTATTAGGTGAAAGCATAAGAGAAACAACACTATGTACAATATGTCGCAGTGGATCTGTTTATATTGATGAAGATGATACACTTGATTTTAACTGGACATTTAATCATGGGTTAATTAGACAGTTTTTATACTTTGTAGCTGAAAGAGTGGGTAGCAGATCTTATCTAACCCAAATAGGATTGAATGATCATCCTTTATGTAATTCTAAAATATTGGCTATTAATGGACTTATACTAACTATTATTTTCATGTGTATACTTCACCAAGACTTATCCCCAAGTAGCAAGACTGTTATAGGAATTATATTGTGGACTTACACAGCAATGGTTATTCAACTCCTTTTACTAGCAGGTATCTACAGAAAGCAGATTCTAAGAGAATTATGTATTCCAGAACCACATCTGGATGACTCTTTACAAGATGCACAAAACTAGGAATTATCCGATATACTTTATTTTGATTTGTAGTCGGTTTGACAAAGAATTTTAAGATCACAGGATCTTAATAAATAGAGATGTATTTGAGAGAAAAGTGTTTATAAACTTAGGGAGTTTCTTCATCTTTATCACCACTATAGTAAATATCTAAATTATCTAAAATGAATTTCTTTAACGTACTGATCATTTGCAACTGTGAGGAGAAAATAATACGTTGTAACATTAAAGGAACCATACCTCCAAGATCCATCTGATTAACAAAGAAAAGTTCTGTACTACCTTGATTACATCGTATAAAGTACCCAACTAAATCTATGTGAGCTCTGACATATGTTTCAACGACTGGAATATCATGAAATTTACTTGGTAAACTTTCCAAATTCCTTGGAGAGTAAGCCACAATTATATAGCAATCTTCACTCAATTTACAGTTAGTTCCAACAAGTAGGAATTCACGTCCCTGTACTCCCATCATCCCCTTATAACACTGCCTACCAAAGACAATTTTAGAACATCGGTAAAGAACTGTTGATTCACTACAACCATTATCATAAAGAGTTTTGTTTTCAATATTTATAAGAAAATCAAAGAGCTGTCTTGGTCTTATTCGAGTACCAAAATTGCACAGGGAAACATAAGTGGATGGCAAAGTTGTTCCCTGACTTCCATAGTCAAATCTACTACATGAGGAATCTCCCATTGTACCTAGATCTACATAGGTAGTATCATTGCAAAAGATACTTCCTCTAGCTTCAAACTTATTTGGATCTTTATGAGCTAATAAAAAGTCATCTACAATATTCAACAGTTTCCCAATGCATTTTTGAAGTCCTTCAGTATATTGTGTAAAGAATTCCTTATCTTCTTCTGTTAATGGTCTCATAGGTTCATGAATTTCACCCAATAGTGCACCATGGCTTGGAGTTGGAGTTGAAACATCTGACAAATTTGAACCAGGTATATCTTTTGTATCAGACTCATGCTGAGTATGAGAATCTCCCATTGAGTTCCATAACCCCCACATTTTTTTTTCAAATCTGATTCAGTTTAAAATTACAATTAAATAGAGTACTTATAAAAAAAAGGAACAGCCTTAAAGTATCCAAGTACCCCTCTTTATAGATTGCAATCTAAATTTAGTTTTTTTAAAAATTACCCCTCAACATACGACCTATTTATTTCCTCACAAAACCGCTATCTATATTTGGTATATATAAATTCATTATATTATAGTTGCAATGTTACTCAATATATCATTCACGAAGCGCCCCAATCGCCCGCAATCAACGCTATACTTAATTGGATCTTAGTTATCTAATTTTTTCGTATTTGTAGAAACTCAGAAACTAAGCTAGTATAATATATATTAGACACTTTTAGTATATCAGAATATAATAGAGAGTACAATTACTTATATATAGAAGTTTATTATTAGATAAACATTAAATAATTCAGATATAGTTAATCACTTTCTTCAGATGAATGACAGTTATCTGAATCATCTGATGATTGTGAAGCTCTAATTAAATGTAATCCTCTGTACTTATTTATCCCACTTGTAATTCCAGTTAATTTTCGTGATGTTTTAGATTTAGGTGATTGACTTTGATCCTTAATCTCAAAACAAGTTTCAGATATATCTGATTGAGTATATCCTTGTTTAACACAACGGGCATGAATAACATATTTCCCAGATCCACTGATAATAATTGGGTTTAAATATTGTTGTTCTATTGATTCATTAATTTTATATAATATAGTACAGTTTTCTATACTTGACACCTCTATCTGCTTAGTTGATAGTGAGACCTCAATTATTTTGAAAATAGGTTTAGAACAGACAAGTTGCTTTGCATGATATAGCATTGATAGCCTCATATGTGCATTAGATGGGCATGGGAATCTATAACTTGGTCTTTGTGCAAGTTGTACACCAGTTATATCATCAAATTCAGGAGGTGCTTTAGTTGTACTAGCAAATCTCATACCAAGAGATGCAATTTCATTCAATGTATAGGGACCTTATAATTACAACAAAATAAGTATAACACAGATTAATTATATTTTAATAGAGATAATAGTATATTTCTAATTTGAAATTACACAGAACTTAGAAAAATTAAACCTACCACTCTCACATGCACGTGATATACACTCTAGACGATGACTTCCTCTATCTATAACAGCTTCTAACTGCCTTTTAAGATCCAGTAGTAAGTCTAAGTTATTACTATACATTAAAATCTAAAGTAAGTAGCTAAAGAGTAGGTATCATATTCTATATTATATAAAAATAAGAGTACTGGCGGCTTGTCTTAAGCATCATTATTTAGACCCGGGTAGGTTTTAGTGAGAGTTGTCTAAGGCATGTGTTTTTCGCTATATATTATTTTGAAACCAACTATAAGATCTTATATTAATTTTATTTGTCATTCATTCCTACTATTTTAACATATATTCTTCTTTCTACAATGGCAAATAGGGAGACACAATTTAATGCAAACAAAGATGTGTCACGTCGTTTTACTATGTGTGCATGGGCCTAAATTTTGGAATTTTATTTGAGAATTGATAATTCAAGTATAGTAACTTAATCATTATTATCTTGAATTTCACTTTTTTTTCGACATGGATGTAGTTGAAATGAGTGTTTCTCCAGTAAATAATGTAGAATCAGATTCTGGGGATACACATGGGCAAAAGCATCATTTGCAACTTGAAGAACATACATTAGCAAGAGGACTCTGTGTTGCTACAACTCAAGAACAACCCTCTTCATCTTGTGGTATTCCATGCTCTATTGGAGGACCTCCAAAGTTAACACACTCAATCATAGCTTTTACTACTCCAATACCTGTAGTTCCAGGTCAAAAGAAGCTCAATTCTGCAGATGAATTAATTGGGAAAGCTATAATAAAACAGAGAGTCAATGAAAAGTGCTTTTTTAAGCAACAAGCAGAGAGAAGTGTAAAATTGAGCTCATTAAGTTTAGTATCTAGTCGTGGCCTAACTACAGATGGCCATACATTCCGCTCAGAAACTGGTCTATCTAATTTAGGTACACATAGAAGTTACACATGCTTAAGCTCTATATCATCAAGAAATGCAGTGAAGCTAACGACTCCAACTTCGGAAGAGTCTCATAATTTCTTATTATCAAAGATAACTTCGTTCTTTAATAGCCTCTGTAGTTGTCCAGGCTTCTTGTCACTATGTAATACTCACAAGAAGATCCAAACAATAGAGCAAGAAACAATTCCTTCAGATTCAGATTTTGCTGAAACTGAAGAAGATGTGAACAGCGAATCAGAGTCTGAATCTAATACATCTATTGCAGAAGAACATACAGTACCAAAATAAGAACCGAAATACAAGCTTAACTACTTCTTAGTACAAGTATATATATTTGGGCATATTTAAAGTCAATATTTGGCATATTTACCTTATCATTACTATACAGAGTATTCCTATTATATGAAATTATATCTTTACTTCCTGAGACACCCTTGTGTAGTTATCAATGCCCAAGGGATCTCTACGATAGGGATTACTTTATTTAAGAGATTTAATATCCAGTAGCATGTGAACTTCTGTACATATCAAATTCAATTGACGCTTAAAAAGTAGATTCTCTTACTTATTAAACAAGCTTTTTATTCTTTCATATTATCTCTTTTGAGTCCTGTATAAGTTTTAAATCATGTACCCGCCTTATTTACCAACGAACTATTAGAATCTCTTAGATCTCCACTTTTTAAAGCACTTGAGAACACCTTTAAATAATGAAAATTAAAGTAAGAACTGTTCAGAATACAGAACATGAGATAGAGGTTGAGGATAACTTTACTGTTCTTCAAATAAAGCAGCTTATAGAAGCTAAGAACTCTCAAATGACTGCATCAAGACAGAAACTGATCTTTGCTGGGAGGATTTTAGGGGATTCCCAGACAGTACAAGATATCGGCATTAAAGAAGGTGAAAGGCTAGTTGTATTAGTATCTAAGGGAGCAATACAACAAAAGTCAAGTGAAATATCACAAACTAAAAACATAGGGAACTCTACCTCTGCTCAAACAACTCCTGTAACCACCAACACTGGAGTAATTCCTAATAATTGTGATCAGAATACTTATGAATCAAGTGCATCTGCTCTCATTACAGGTACGGAGTTAGAAACAACAATAAATAATATTGTGAATATGGGTTTTGAAAGGAATCAAGTGATAGCTGCTATGAGAGCAGCCTTCAACAATCCAGATAGAGCTGTTGAATATTTAACTTCAGGTATACCTTTACCAGGTATTATTATACAAGGACAGGGACAAGGACAAGGACAATCTGAGGTTTCTTTATCTCAGGCTGCGACGACCCCAATAAATCCAGAGATGTCAGATATAAATCAAATTTCAACAAATGCATCTGGAGATACAGTTACAGGAGCCTTGGATTCTCTACGAACAAATCCTATATTTCAACAGCTTAGAATGGTGGTTCAACAGGACCCAAGGATATTACCGGAATTATTGGCGAGAGTTGGTCAAACAAATCCAGAAATCCTTCAACTTATCACGGAGAATCAAGAAGAGTTCATTAGACTTATGGAACGTACAGATTCGGATGATATTGGTGAAATTAATGGAGCAACCTCTGTGTATTTAACTCAACAAGAAGCTGAAGCTGTGGAGAGGCTTCAAGGACTTGGATTTCCTAGAAATGCAGCATTAGAAGCCTTTCTAATTTGCGAGAAGAATGAAGAGCTTGCAGCTAATTACTTAATTGAAAATAGTGCCGACTTTTTTGAAGACAATAACTCAACTAATGTATAGTTAGATATATATCTCAATTTAATATCTTTTTTGATAAATTCTCAATCCTTCATTGATATTTCCTTTACATAATTTGTCGATATTTCAGAACTGAATTTTCATATTGCCTTCTATAAGAGACGCGCTCGTGATACACTTGTTCTTTTCTTCGGTGAATTTTTTCAATTATTCATGAACAGAGATAAATGGGATGTTTTAATAGTTGGAACAGGTATTTTGGAGTGTATAGTAGCTGCTGGATTATCCTGTAGAGGTTTTTCTGTGCTCCATATTGACCCTGCCTCTTCTTATGGTACCTACTGGAATACCATTAAATTGGACAACCTAAATAAATGGCTCACATCTAATTGTGACCTAGATGATCATATGTTTGATACTAGTCCCTTTTCGAATAAATTTGGATGGGTGAACTCAAGTCACTCGAACTCAAATTATCCTTTAAACAAATTTTGTATAGATCTACTCCCAAAAATGATATTTAGTAGGAGTCCTCTAGTTGATATTTTACTCTCATGCAAGATTACGCATTATTTAGAATTCCAAGGGATTAATTATTTATCCTTTTGTAATATTGATGACTATTCCGAGGATATGTTCACTACTAAAACACTCTCAAGAGATGAAGTTTTTGAGGAAGGATCTTTACACACCAAATATATATTCCCGGTCCCAAATAAGTTTATCAATATTCCTTTTTCTAAAAAAACTATATTTGCTTCTACAGATCTTACATTATATGAGAAACGTTCACTTATGAAACTATTTAAGGGAATGTCTCACTTATTGGATTCTAGTGCAGGGAAACAAAAGAAAGATTTAGATATTAGGAATGATCCATTTAGATCCCCAGCTGTATTAGCAAACTCCATTGAGAATATAAATGAATTAGATTTAGACTTAGTTGTTAATTCATGGCCATTATTTCAAAAAAAGTGGAAATTAACAAATAAAACCTTAGATATGGTTAGATTTTGCATTGCTCTAAACTTTGATACTGAAACAAATATTAATTGGCAAATGGATGTTGTAAATCCAATTGGGAAACTTATTAGATCACTAAACCAACATGGTTGTTCAGGTACACCGTTTTTGTTCCCATGTTATGGAGTATGTGATATTCCTCAAGCATTTTCTAGGTTTGCAGCTGTGAATGGGGCTGTTTATAGACTACATACATACATTGAGAATATTAAGAAATGTAATGATGGATGGGAGATTGAAATTCGCAATTATGAGATGAAGGAAGCTATAACCCTAAAATCTAAACTGTTGATTGGATCTCCAAGATTACTACCTCAAATATACGATGGTCCTAAGCAGGAAAATGTAAGGCGAATATTTAGAATGTTCGTGATAACTTGCAAACCACTGATAGTACAAGAAGAAACTTTTCAGGAGGACATATTCTTTGCCTCTATTAAGATCAATCAAACTAAAAATCCTACAGATAATCATGTAGAAGTAGTTAATATAATGCAATGTGGCTCTAGTAGTGGATGCTGCCCAAAAGGCTCTTACATTATTAACATTTGTAAAATTATGTCTAAAACAGAAAGTGCAGAGGAAGTTACTATGAAATTTGAAAGACTCTTAAGATATTTTCTTAATAGCAGCAATGAAGTACAAGATAATTATATAGATTGTATTATTTATAAAGGAGGATATATATACAATAGAGAATTTCAAGATCCAATATTTACTAATGATGGAATTATATATACTGCTGACCCATTTATTGACTTCAGTTCTTTTTTTATACTAGATGGAGATATTCACAACGCAATGACCATATTACAACATGCTCTTAATTATCTATATTTAGATAATAAAGAGATTTTAACTCCAATTACTTTTAAAAAAGAAGAACTTATAGAGACTTTATCTATCAAGGAACAATGTAACGACATGATATTTCAGAAATTTAGGGAAGTATTTGAATAGTTTATAGGGGCTTCCAAATATCCGTAAATTGTATATATTGCTATATTACAGCTCATTCAAAGGTAAAGTATTTAATTCACTCATTAACAACTCACTGATTTCTTCTGACTATCTCATTTTGGTTTAGGTATGTAATTAATATCTGAGCTGCAATGTTTGCATGTTTATACGACTTTACTCTACTGATTATAATAATATTACTTGATATTGTGTAGCAACATTCTGTAATTTCACTGCAAACTTGTTCACTTTGTGGGAAACAAAAGCATTTATCTTGGCTTCGGCCATTGTAATACAACATTAATACTGCAGATACTTCAGGATCATAGGATATCTCAAAGTTATGAGGTATCACTTTTATTATGTTGAAGAGCTTGTCTAGATTAATGGAACCTATTTTGTAAGATATATCAATACGAAATATGACATTAATTGGAGTAATTTGAAGTGCTACAGAAGGATCATGTTGTCTAAATTTTTTGCGTAGCCATGCAATATACTCAATACAGGTTTCTTCATTCTCACCAATACCTATAATGTAACCACTATTATATGCAATTATACACCCATCCTCCTTTACTCCACGTCTCCTAGGTGCTGGGCATATTAATGCTTTTTTTTCTGTGCAATATACAAACATTTCAGAACTTTTTCTAAGCATATTTTTATGTATATCCCATGACGTCGTACTTTTCGAGAAATCCAAGTATCCTTCTAGTACAATACGACGTCTAACCATTAATTCTGGTATATTTAGTTCCATTATTGCACTTCCACAATCTTAGTTCATATATTATGAGTATAGTAGTGTTAAATAAGATATTAAAGGTTTTATTTAATAAAGTATACCTAATATTCGTCCTGCAAGTAAACTATCTTCACCAGCCATCTAGTATTGCATAAGATCCGTTATCAGAAGCTAGAGAAATCGACAATATAAACACAATGATATAATAATATTAAAGAAATTTACATTTGACAGTTTAAGTTTCTTATAAAATCTCGAACAGGTGGAGAAATAAACAAATGTGCTGAGTACTCAATATTATTAGGACATTAAGTAGCGCTCTAATACCTACTGGGAAATAAAATAGGCGCATATAATTTATATTACAGTTTTGTCTATTATTAAACCAATATAGACACTATATAGGTAGTATAGTCTAATTTTACAAACAACTTTAATAGTCGTAAGAGACACAATCTATTGTAGGCTCTAATCGAGACAGGTGTTTACCAAAAATAATTGTAGGCCTAGTCCTGATTAATATCAACACTGAAAAGTTGAAACTATTTAGGTGATTCTGTACTTGAATTGAAATGGTAAGCTTGTCTTCTATACATAATATTACTTGATATATACTGATTATGATTTAAATATATAGGCACGTGGTCCGAAAAAGCACTTAAAGCGTGTAGCAGCTCCATCCAACTGGATGTTAGATAAGCTAACTGGCATTTATGCACCTCGTCCGTCAAGTGGTCCCCATAAGCTACGTGAATGTATTCCATTAGCTATATTGTTACGCAATAGGCTCAAGTTTGCCTTGACATATCAAGAAGTTAAGTATATTGTCATGCAGCGTCTGATCAAGGTAGATGGTAAAGTACGCACAGATACTTGCTTCCCACTTGGCCTTATGGATGTTATTACTATTGATAGGATTAATAAGAACATGAGGATTATGTATGATACAAAAGGTAGATTTGTACCTGTTCAAGTTAGCTCCAAAGAGGCCCAATACAAGTTATGTAAGGTGACGAGAGTTGCCTTGGGTCCAAAAGGTGTGCCAACAGCGACAACTAATGATGCTCGTACTTTAAGGTATATCCACCCAGAAATAAGGGCAAATGATACTGTAAAAATTGATCTGGAGACAGGAAAGGTAAGTTATTGAAACTTGTATACAGATTCGGTGATGAAACAAACCGAAATGGGGATCTCTCGGACTACTTTGTTTGATGAGAATATTTCGGTAGTCATTCACAGACTATCCTGAGACTAAGTATACAGATTATATTGTATCTATTGAACATTTAATTACTATTTCCTTTATCTATAGGTTATGGAATTTATCAAATGTGAAGTTGGTAATTTATGCACTGTTACAGGAGGTCGTTCTCAGGGGCGTGTAGGTGTAATTACTCACCTTGAACGCAAGCAAGGTGCTCAATGTATTGTATCTGTCCGTGATAAGAAAGGTCATACGTTTGCAACATTGATAAAGAACATTTTTGTTCTTGGGGAAGGTGACAAGTCCCTAGTGACTTTACCAAAGGATAAAGGTATTAGACTCTCTAATGTAGAGGACAGAGCTTTAAGGATGCAAAAGAATAAGAATTAAAGTAGATTTAGAGTGATTTCTTTGATCTTAATTTCTCTAGAATACTAGCCTAGAGCTAAATTTTTCTAAGCCTTAATGTAAAGTGTCATCAGTACCATATTTAGATACTGTAGTTATTGTCATAGTATCTTCATTAACTATCATATGAAATTACAAATTCACCTTCTATAGATATATGTACTAGATGAAAGTCCTCAAGATTTCGTCTTCATATATTTATTTATACAAAAGTGGTCAACTCTAATTAGAAATTACAACATTAAAGAAAATAGGCTAGATTAGTCTAGTATTAATTCATCAATTTTCCAATCTTCGTAATTACCATTTGGAAGATATCTCCTAATTATAAAGGGTATTTTCTTTGCATATAATTCTTTTTCAGCTATAATTAATGGATCTGTTTCACCATCTAAGGGAATTGCTACAGGAGCGTTCATACTAATCTGTAAAGCTCTCGTTCCTATTATTCTTGCTTTCTCAAATTTTGTCATATAAGGTGTTGTAATTCTTGGACCTTCACAGGGTTTTCCTTCATATTTATTATGTATTACATCATCTGTCATAATCTCTACATTCTCATCACTAGCTTCTATTTCATCTTCCTCTAAATACTCTTCATCTACAAAATCATCCTCCTCATCTTCAAACCTCCCTCCAGATTCATCTATTTCATTCATTGTATTAATTTGAGAAAGTATTTCTTATTGCTCTTGTTACTACAACAGTTCCCGCTTTTCTAGAGTTTATATACCTATTTAGTGCTTTTTGAAACTATAATTCCTATCACTTGCCGCGTTAAATACCGCCAATAAATTAGAAAGGACCTTAACATGTAGTGGTATGTCTAAAAGAGACTATATGTATTAACATTGTAAAATAAATAAATTAGCCTTTCAGTTATTGTCCATTTTTATTTATAATAAACTGGTAAATTAATAAATATCTAATCCTATTCAAAAGTTGAGTTATTGTTTTAGCATTTAAATACTTTTATTAGTTGTATTATTACTCTGATAGTAAATATTTCCCCATTAGAAAAATTTTATATATATTTGAAGTATATGATCCCTATTTTCCATGGTAAATAAATTAAGGATTTATAAGTAGTCAAATAAATATTTTGTGCACCTAAAACTTTAAACAAAAGATCATGCAAGAATGATCTGTGTGGGGATTCTCCTAGGTAAAAAATTTATTATTTTCAGAATTCACGAGGATTTTAATAAAATGAACGACTCTAATTATCCTTATTCGGTAAAAAATCCATTAAAATTGATATACTTTGCATGTAGGTAAGTTGAGTTTTTTTAGAGTGAATAGGGGTAGGATTTAACTCAATATATCTTAATTAGAGGATCTTGTGACGTAATCCGACTTCTCCTGAATGATAAATGTATTCCATATGAAGGTATAGTTATAGAATAATCAAATATACTGCATTATCAAGGGACAAATATAAAATGCATTTATAGAACATAATATTCAGGGTAAAGATTTTCTACAATCAGAATTCCAGAATGTACTTTTAGAATCAGATAACTTCCCAATATTGCCATATTTATCAGATCCAAATAGTGAAATAGAATTGACAGGATCTTTAACTATCCTAAGATACTTAGGAAGGAAATGTAACCTTATGGGTAACAATTACGAAGATGAACTACAAATTGAAAATTGGTTTGAATATTTACAACTTGTACTTAATATATTATGGGAATTCGATTCAAATTTAGATAGCTTTAATAACATACAGAAAAATAAAAAGCGAGGTCAATTTTTACTGGAAAATTTACATCCAATGTTACATAATATTCAAGCAAGACTTGATAATGGGAAAAAGTGGATTCTGGAGGAATATAGCGTGGCAGATATCATGTTATACACTGTAGTATCTGCAATAATAAGATCATGGGGATATGAAATATTACAACCATATGACAAGTAAGTAATAGAAAATACTACAAAATATTTAGGAATAATTGTTTTATCGATAATATTATAAAATATTAAATATTATTTTAGAATTATGATACATAAGTCTTATTTGGAAAAACAAAGAAAAAATATAAACTGTTTTAAAGATGATCCTAACCGTTTTTAGAATGAAGAATAAGGAACTTAAAAAGATTTCATTTTAGATACTCCAATATTTGATGCAACAACCCATGCTGCAACTACAGTTATATCATCTAATTTACCTCCGATATTGCAGAATGGGAAAGATTTACTATTGTCACTAGCCCACTGTTTATTGAATGGAGTTTTAGCCTTTGGATCTAATGATTTTATAAACGCTGCATTTGTTAAAGCCATTGCTATGTTTTGTGAAGATGTAGCTAATGATGCATCTAAAAATAAGCTTGATGCCTCATATGGAGAAACCGCGCCATTTAATATACTACATATTTCATAATCAAAGAGATTATCGAATAGGCCATCAGTACCAATAATAACGAGATCTCCTTCCATCAAATTTAGTGATTTTTTTATTGTGTGAACAGGTAGATCTTGAGGAACATCACTCCGATTTTGCATCAATTTTATAAATTGTAGTAAACCTCTTTTTTGCAATAAAGGCAAATCTTCCTTCTGTGGTAGTTTAGATAATTGATATGGACAGTTAAAAGAATGTTGCTGCATTATACTTCGATATACTATACCCATTCTAAAAGTATCGGGTATTCTCCTTAATATTATAATACCTGAGTCACCCAAATAAGATATTCCAAGATTACTCATCAAAGTATCAAAATATGCCACCAGAATTGTTGAAGAACCAAATGATTTTGTATTTCTGTATCCCTCCTCAAGGAGATATTGAGCATAGATTAAAGAGTTATTCAGAGGTTCTATCAGTTCAACTCTTGTAGATACTTCATCATTATATGTAGTAACATTAAACTCATTTTTGACTGAACACTTCTTATTTGGATTTAAATTTATAGATAAGTTGTCTATTTCTATTTTTTCCTTGATGTTATTTCCCTGTAATGAATAATCTGCAGATTTTAACTGAGTAGACTTTTCAGCCAAACCTAGATGAGTTTTTGATTTCTCACTGTAAATATACTCAGATTTATCTGATTTCAATGTAAATTCATCTGTATCTTCTACATTCAAATTTCTATTAACAAGAATTGCATCTTTTGATTTTACACTACTTTCAATAGAATTATTGATATTTTTATCCTTTATAACATTAAACATTGAAGTTGCAGCAATATTGACACCTGCAACTAATTCATCTGCAAACGCCCGTGGGTTAATACCAAAATTAGCCCATTCTCCAACCCCATCTGCTATACACATTATGTTATCATCATAAAAATGAGCATCTTCACCACCATAGTGAATTTTAGATGGGTGAGGCCTATAACAACTCCCAATAGAGAGTCTTAACGATCTATTTGGTCTCTTTGTTGGGGGTATATAAGTGGCTATTTTTAAGAATATATCTAAGCCTTGTAAATGTGAAGTTACAGCTGATGGCCAAGTTCTTGATGAATGTGTTGATATACGTCTAAGTTTATCTTCACGTAACGCATTATTAAGCTTTCTCATCCCTTCATCACTATTTTGTGGGGAAATAGATGTTGAATTAGTTGCTATACGATATAAAGAATGACAAGACCTTGTTTCAGCTGTATTTTGATCTGAAGGTATATAACCCTCTTGGTAATCAAAATCAATAAATTTATCTGGAGATTCCATTGAATCATAGCCTTCATTTAATGACTTATTTAATCTAGCAAATTTACATGTAATCTCTTTCTCTAAATCACTAGATAGATAATTCCTATGCCTTAATGAGGTTGAATAGGTGTTACAACTATTCAGTGAGTCACTTGAAACTGGTGAAACTGTAGCTCTAGTAGGTGATATAGAGCATATATTGGGTGATTCAAATGTTTGACATGTCTTTAAATCATATTTTGGAGATTTGGCAAATTTGTTAGCAATGTTTAATTTCATATACGCTCTCAAAACATGCTTTGCGTGTCTGCAAATTTTCTCTTCACCTAAATATTTTTCATTTGTTAATCCCTGCAAAAATTCTACAAATATTTCTGATAAACCCTTATTCTCAGTATTAGATTTCTGAAACTTGCACATTTTATATCATTTGCATTTTTAAATGCACACCACTATTCCACGAGAAGTTACCTTATACCCGCTATTATAGCCTATTATAGCGCTAGAAAACTAAAACTACTTAATGATTACGAATACAATAGATACCCTAACAATCCATAATATCTAGTAATAATCAAATATTGAATCTCAATTCATCTTAGTAGTATTATTCTCATTAATATACGCAAACCAGAGTTCTTGGGTTAGTTTCCCATGTAAGGATTGCCATTGTAACTGATACAATGGATATTATACACCCAATACATACTAAGAAGATGATAGCCGCATTTGCAATATTACTATTAGACTTTCTATTAAGTTTATAGTAGAATAGGGGAGGATAAACAAAAGCTAGAGGTACACATAGCAAACCACCAGTAATTGCCACAAAATTTGCAAGTTCTTCTTCGAAGCTATATGCCATTAAACCACAGCAAAGAATCATAATATACGCAATCAAAGCTCTAATAAAACTGTATTTGATATTTTGAAATCTCTTTTTAATTTGAGGATCTACTAGTTTCTTTTGAGCACTAATCTCAGCCTCATTTCCACTTATATCCTCACAGTTACATTCGTTCCCTTTAGCTGATAAAGAGACTATTGGACTATTAATTGGAGAATATACAATATGATCTATTTTATGGGAGATAGAAACAAGTTGGATTCCCTTATTATTATCGGATTCTTCACTATTTATTTCTAATTGATCCTCACTGCTATGAATAAACTGTCTGCAATTTATTACTTCAGAGATATCCTCAGTATTTCTGTTACCTCTTATTTCTCTATTTTTATATCTAAATAGTATATATGATTCTGCAATATCAATTGCTGGGAATAGTTGGAGTGGAACTGAAAAAGTTATGGCAATAGAATATACTGATAAACATATTAGTCTTACGTATATATTGATTATATTACCAGTAACTGGAGAAGAAATTTCATCACCAAAAGAATAATAAATAAAACTAGAGAAGCTAATGGAAAAAAGTCCTATGAATAACAAAGTACAGGATAGTACAATGCGGAAAGTTGAACGTAATTGATGAGGAACTGAGTTCCTTATTGGTAATACTAATGCAACTCCCTCATATGTAAATGCACTAGTACCTAAAACCAAACCTGCACCATAAATACTTCCTTCATAGAAGATTGAAGGCCTTCCTATGGGATTTTTGTATATATTAACTACTCCGAAGTAAATAATTATAATTAGTACTGAGAATACAGATAAATTTGCAAATGTACTTGGAAATCCCAGATTCTCAATATGCCTAAAAAATGCAAATGGAAGGTATATAACCATCTGTATACCAATTAAAACTAAAATAGATAACTCAACCTGACAATTTGAGACCACATGAACTGTTTCTTGGATACTGTGGGTAATAAATATAATGTAGATAGTTGCAAATCCCAGCTGAGAAAAAAATATAGAAATATCTACCAAGGCCATTCCAAAATTTCCCCAGGTACGTTTTGCGATTATACTTAAACTTTCATCATTTTCGCAACATTCCACTAAGTAATTTAATGTAACTATTGCAAGTATACATACCAATCCAGATAATAAATTTCCATAAATTATCCCAGAAAATTTATAAGTACTTGGTAAAAAGATAATTCCCGTCCCAACGAATGATTTGATAATTGTGAATATTACACGTATTTGAGTTTGGACAGCTTTCATGAATTAAAGTAATTACCAACAAACATTAGGAAATAAGCAAGGCTACTAAGTGTTTTTGTATAATAGATAGTTGTAAATGAATTTAAAATTTTATTAGTAACTGTCAAATATTTTTATTAAAATAAATATTTACTTGCCCCCCTAAAATAAATCTATTATTTTCTTTTTACCTATAATATTCTATTATCTCCCAACTCTCTTCTGGTAATAATTCAAATGAGATATTACTTGATAATATATAATTATTTTTCGTTTGTTGCAAAATAAATATATTTAATATAAGATTTTTAATAGTCAAGTGAATGCATCTCTTTTGATGTACCTCCTTCGTCAGTGCATGCCAGATGCGCAGATAGTTTACACAATCAGCCGCCCCAAGGTTGATTTAGCCCCCAAAATATGATACTATAATATTAACAAATACATAAATAATCATGATAACGAATATTGGGTATGTGGATAAACCAAAACATTTTCTACCTATCAAATATTTACATTATCTACTTTATATTAAAATGATCTTGTTTCAGTTCTGCAGTTTGGGCAGTATATGCTATAATCGATTTGCCCCAGTGGTCAGCCATTATGTTAAATAATATAAAAAATGAAGTTAAAGTTGCTTATGAAAATGGAAAGATTTTATTTGGAAAGAGATGTTATAAAAATATAGGTATGTTGTACTTAAATGTTGTCAATTTATTACTCTATATTCTTCACACTTTATAGTTAAGAATTGTTATGGCAGAAACTCTTTATATTTATGTGGTTAGTGAGTCATATACAACTTTGAATCTCAATATAAAAAAAATAATTGCTTACCTTTTTCAGATTCCCCATGGGTTTTGATATAGCAAACGCACTTTATAACTAGATTTAAATATCCGAATATACATGATTAAAAAGCTTTCTCTAATATTATCCACTTATTGGCCTTTGTATTTAATAATCTATATATTTATATTTCTGTCACTTACTGACTTTATGATTATGAATAATACTAAGCCACTACGATCTATTCTTTCTCTTTAGATTTCACTTGACAACTTTCCCCGTAAATTATGAATGAGCCACCTGTCTGACTTCCATCAACAAACATTTGAGAGATCTCAATTTTAAGTTCTTTACTAATTATTGGATACTGAAATGTATATCTATGTAGTTTTGGATTTGTTGAATGTGCTAAATGGAATTTCTCTTGCACAGTTGTCTCATGTGTTTCATCTATTTGTTGCTTAATGTGCATTGTCAACGATGATGGCCAGAAAGATGGATTATCAAGTGGAATATACTGGAAACTTGTGATTTTCACAGGCTGCTTAAATTTGACTAGCAAACTTTCACCAATTGTGTTTCCCTTAGAAGTCTTCCATGTACCATATGGAGTATCAGTATTTTTACCTCCAAGACCATATTCACCAGTATACTCTGAGCTCTCTGCTGAAGATGACTTCACTGATTCAATAAAATCCTTTGTACTTAAAAGTAATTCTTCTGAACACTGTAATTCTTCTTCTATTTGCTCCATATTTTGCTGGAAAAATAAAATAAATGGTTTTGAATTATCCACTTTTAATTTTACCTCACCAGCCCTTGGAATGTATACTTTTGCTACCTTCATTGTCTGTGTCTCACTAGCTTTACTATTATCCTTGCTATCAGTCTTGTATACAGATAAGACAGAATCAGTATGAACAAATTGTAATGATTCAGATGAAATAGGTAGCTTTTCAGTAACGTCAGCTGCAATAAATAATGTGCAGGGCTGATTTACATGCAGATTCATTTCATGTAAATCTGGATTTGGCAATGTTTTCAACATCTTCAAACCTTCAAAATTGCTTGGTACATCCGCAATATAATAGTTGTCGGCATTTTTGTGTGCAAGTTCACCATTCCTTAAAGTTGAAATCTCATAAAATACTGGATTCACACCAGATAGCTTGAGTGGTTGATGAGGATTACCTGTATAGAAATATGCACCTGGTATAATTTGTTCTTGAATTGTAGATGTACGCCACATCAATTTGATAGATGCCATATCTGGATTTGAGAATCTCAAATGACTACTATGGAACATTTCAACTCTAATGCGATATTTCTGACCACCAATTAACTCTTGTGCAACTGATGTAACTTTGTGTGGTCCATCATACTTAGCTTCTAACAAAATTGGAACAGGTCTTTCAGCAGTAGCATCTCCAGAAGATGGCTGTGGCATCCTATCAACTATTATTACCCTACCACCTAAAAATACTCTTGCACCGCAATCTGCTTCTATACTAAAATAATATCGTCCTGACTCAGGTGCTAGCAAGAAACCATCCCATCGCACTGAGAACTGTTGATTTGAAACTCCATCAATAGGATCTTTAGAAATATACATCATATTGATATTTCTGTCAGTTCTATAATTTCTTGGGGTTCCCTCAAATGTTGGATTATCATAATAAACACCTCTCAATCCATCAGGAAAGGGAATATCTTCATAGCCTGGGAGTAACTCGCAATTTTCTGGACGACTCAATGCCAAATCTCTATCCCTAGCAATATCCTTTTCTAATTCATCAATATTTGTCTTTATTACATCTATCTTAGTGATAGACTCCTCAATTTTATTTAGACAATGTTGACCTTTTTGAATTAAAGTTTCAATATGGTCTAAACGGCTACTTACGATAGTTTGCTGTGAACCACAGGTATTATTGTATCTTTCCAAAATATCCATTAGTCTAGCAGCTTGATTATCTAACTGCTTTGCAATATTTCCAGATTCCTTGACCTTTATTTCAAAAGCTTCACTAGCTTTTGCACGAACTAAGTCATAATTTACTATTGGTAAGCAGTAGTTCCAGTTGTTTACACCCTGAGCTGCTACTTGAGGTTCAACATAACACCACTCTCTCCCTGATGTACCATCGGGAGATCTTGCTATTGTACAATCAGTATAAGTCTGAAAGTCTTGAACAAAAACAGCTGCACATAGTCTACCATCAATAGTTCTTCTAAATTGCTGACGATACTGCGCTAATTCTTGAAGTAATTCTGATGTGGGTGCCTGTATTTCAGATTGACCCCAAGTAATATGGATAGTTAGCAGTAAACAAAAACACAACAACAACTTTTTCTTATCTAACATTTTCTCTCTTATTCCAAATAGCATTGAGTTACACCTTTGCAAATGCTATATGGGGGTAGATATCACACCGGTACACGATTGCATGCATGCATGAATCCACATAAGTTTGCTGTTACCGGCTCAAAGACTTAAAAATAAAGATACTAAGTGGTGAATTTGAAGTATTGAAAATTAAACAACTACCTAAACCTAAAAAATAAGACTACTGCACAAATTATAGTGATTGTAAGTAGGATTCCAATTAATATATATATTATTATATTTTGTTTTGAGTTTAAACTGTTACTCGCGGGTACCCACTTGTTGTACTCATCAATGTATTGGATCTGACCAGAGTAAGCCACGGGAACTCTATAAAAAGATTTTGCTGTGTTTGCTCGCCTTTTGTGAGTAGGTTGTGTTCCTTGAGTTTCTGTTTCTTCTTTTATGTTATCTTTATCTTCTTTAACTATTTCTTCAGAAATATTCTCATTCTCTTCATAATTTGGTATATCTGGAGGAGGTATCTTTAATAAGTTTTGGATTATTTGTAATTGACCATATTGGGATTCTGGCATTCTACTACAAAAAAGCCTGAGACAAAATTTCAGAACCCCTAAATCACAAATTTTGCTACTTCTACATCTAACATTAATAGAAAATTCATTTGGGTTATAAATTAAAGATCTATCTATTGGTAGTGAAAAAGATCTTGTTATAATACTGACTTCTCCAAGATTACCAGATACCTTGTAAATATATGGTTCACTCAAGTGAGTAACTGGACAGAAAGACTTTTGTCTCTGGTTTTTAAAACTAATCCCTCTGTTATTTATTTCCTCCATACTTTCCTGCAGCTCAATTTGAAATTCAATTTCATCTGGTTTACTCATCTTACGACTATTTGATACTATTATGACTTGGAATGTTATAGTAGTGTACAAATTTGATATTTGTCCAGTAGAGAAAACTTGGTATGTTTTATCATATTTAAAATTCTCCAGTTTACAGCTAGAAATATCAACTGGATCTTTTTTAATCCATTGTGTACTAATCTTATAAAAAAACTGATTTCCAACTTTGGTTCTAGTACTTGAAGATCCACTATTTAGCACCAGAAACTCGTACTGTGGTTCCTTCCAAGTGTTACATAGATTCTGATGAGACTTGAAGGAATTTAAAGGACAGTTCTTGCATATAAGCCCTAAGCCACAGGTTGTGAAGTACTTAGATTTTTTTACATTTAAACATTCAAAATCTATACATTGTTCTAAATTACTTCGCCTAGTGAAAGGATCAATTTGTGTAGGTGATCCATACAAATTCCTAATTCGTAAACTTGCAATAACAAGGAATATAAGTTTCAGGTTCATTATATATATACTGCAAGTTTTTGCACCTAAATAAAACACTAGTACGTGTGTAGTATGTGTGCAACATAATTTTACACTGAAGCTTAAACTTAAAATAATTCCTATAGTCATTAAATAGTTAAGAAAGACTTACAATTATGTTACAAGTCACTACTGCAGGAAATCTTGTAGAATTCTTGAATATACATTCTATAGTACCTCACTTTTTGTAATTAAAGTTAGTTTTCTGGGTAAATATAAGGACTAATTTTTATATATAGGAAGTGATCAGATTTATAAAGTGTTAATGTATTATTAATTGTAGTATTTAATACCCAAAATGAAACATCTAAAAAGGTTTTAGAAAATAAAAGCGCTTGCGGTATTGGGAGTATAGGTTCTAAATGTAAATATTAGAAAGATTTTAAAATAGATGACTATAATCAAGCATCAAAACTCTGATAATTCAGATATAGGAGGAGAAAAGTGGAAGAATAGATTTTCTATATTGAGGATACATGAACGTCATCCTGAAGAAGAATCAAAAGTTCACAGATTTTCCTTGAGGAGGCCACATATTAGAGATCATGGTACATATCGGAATTCTGGATCAAAAACCTTACAACATAATGCATTGATAAATCCAGGAAGAATTGCAGCCTTTTTTAATTATAAAGCAGACGAACACAATACAAATAATTTCCATATAAAGCAACAAGGTTTATCAATATTCCCACCAGGTCCAGATATGGAAGGTGACAGATATAGCCGATATATTTTTCAAAAAAGTGGTAGCGACTCATTTTTTAAACGCCCCAGCAAAGTTCTGGAAGAGAAGAAAGATGATGATGATGATGATGAGGATACTGAATCATGGTTTTGGTTTATTGCACATATTATTTTCCCAGACAAGGCTCCAGTAATATGGCTTTCATTTTTGTTCTTAGACTCCATAGTAGCAGGTTTTATGTCCTTAATATCGAATAAATCAGCCCCTAATTCAATGAAAATTGGTATATGCATATTTTTCATTGACTTTGCAAGTTACTTATGTTTTATGATTCTTAGGTTGATTATGTTTAAAAGAATATTACCATGGCTATGTCCTGAAGGAAGAATTTTTGCTGCTTTATCAGGAACTGCAGATCCAGAACTGTTATATTCTATTTGGGCAGGAGAAATTGCACTTTTATGGTATATCCAACTACCATATGATTCTCATTCAAATACGTATAGAGTTTACATGTTTTTAGGAGATCATGAAATAACAGCTTTAGCTGGTTCATTTTTAATTAGAGGTCGATTAATAGTTCTAGTGTTTGCTATCAGGAGACTTGTACTATCATTTATAATGTTTTTCTTTATGTTAGACTTTATAAGCTCAATATCAAAGTTACTCATTGGATTTTTAATGAAGTATAGATTTTTAAGACAAATTAATTGTACTTGGTCAAAATTACAACCTCATATTGTAGGTGGTTTGAGAATCCAACCAAATAGTTCTGATCCCATATTTCTGAGTGGATACTCCAAAAAATCTTCTTATTTGAAATCAAAGCCATTAAATAGAGGAGACTCTATAACACTCCCTTATTTTCTTACTGAGACAGGTATTGAACAAATTAAAAAAAAAAAATATCAAAATTGGTTAGCTGTACAATTTGTAAGACAATATTATACCTTATTTTTTGTAGAAAATCAATATGTGGAATTAAAAAATAAAAAGGATGCAAGATTATATGCAAAGAAACTTTTTAATGATATGGCAGAACATTCAAATGAAATTCTTATTTTTATGGGTAAATGGAAGGCCAAAAAGATAGAAAAAATTATAGAACCTAAAATGTGTGGTGAGGAAATAGAGCATAAAGATTTGTCGAAATTCATCGAAGTACCATCATTTACTGAATCATATGATAATATTTCTCAATTATCTTCTTTAAGTGAAAACTCTCAAATTATTCGGGAGAAAAGCAACCTTGTAGATATATCATTAGAAAAAGTCGATACTACAGAATTTCCCCAGGACTTGCAAAGGTTCAACACGTCATATCCAGTTCCAGAACCACCTATGGCTGACCGCAGAGATGTCCAAGAACCATTTGATAAATATAAAATACCAATAATATTTCCAACTGAATTAGCTCCTGATGGCACTACGGATTTCTTTGCTAAAAGTAAAATCAAGCCACCAATAGTAGCGAGCAAAAGTTTAGATGTTATAGGAACGACAACTAAAAAATTTCCCAATAGAATAAACGAAAATTTTCCTACTAATTTACATGAATATCCTAGTAATATAAGAACACAAAATATTGATATATTTCATGATGATGAAAAAGAACCTTTAGAACTGAACTATGATGTTCTCAAAGTTCTCTATGGGGATTCAATAGATAATATCCTAAAACGTATAGATCCATCTGGAAGAAAAAGTTACAATGAAGATGACTGGGTAAGACTAGTAGTGTCTATGTATGAAACTAGAAAAAAGATGATTAATACTCTTGAGTCTCAGGAGGGAATTGCAAGAGTATTCCAGCGAATGGTTTCGATTGTATTATTCTTCTTTTCATTTATTTTTATACTTATAATATTGGGGGTCAATGTAAACACTCTTGTTATTTCTGGAGCTGCTATCATATCCTCTTTATCTGTGGCCTTGAACCGTCTTTATAGCAACTTTATTAGTTCCGTTATTTTTGTGGTTTTTGAGAATCCCTATAATCAAGGAGATCGTGTCAGGATTAATGGAAGTCAAGTTATGACAGTACGTAAGATTGGTACATTCTGTACCACATTCTCCAATAAACAATCTACACCTGTCATGTATCCTCATTCTTGGTTAACAGATCAAAATATTGCAAATGAAAGTCGTTCAGTACAAAGTAGTGACTTTATTACCTTCTACATATCAGATTCAACAAGTCCTTTTGTATTTGATGCATTTATTACTATTATAAAACAGTATGCAGATGATAGGCCTCTTCAATTTACAAAAAATTCTATTTGGGTATATATCTGCTCTGTACAACCTGGACATTATATTGAAACACGTATCTCATTTTGTAATTTAAACCCAGCTTATGAATGGGATAAATTATTAGAGATAAGGACTCCATTTTATCTTTTTATATTGCACACAATGAGACAACTTGGAATCGAATACTTCCTACCTGAGAGCCGTGTTATATATTCTTCATGGGAAGAAAGGTTTAAAGGAAGAAATCAAGGCATAGATTTTTCTCGTACAATTAGAAGTCACAAATTTTAGTGTTATTTCATGAAAATATGGTTTCAAGTTCCTCAATATCCAATAATTATTACATTCTGCATATGGTCCTTGTGTGCATATTTGCGGCGCCTATACTTACAATCCTTAAAGAGTAGTACTAAAACTAACTTTAAGACTTGTTATATTTAATTTGCAGTATTTAATAAATATATATATAGTAAATATTCTAATTAACTTAGGGAGTAATGTCAACAACAAATCCTACTGATATTACAACCCAGTGGGAGGATCAACTTGTAAAGCGTGGAATATGGCAACCACGTAGTTGTGAAATTAAAAATGAAGAAATATATGAACATAATATTAATGAATTGAGTAAGCTTTCTGCTTTTGATGTAGTGAATATAGAGCAAATTGGTGAATCTACAAGTTATGATGATGAAGAAATTGATAGAGAATTACAACTAATTAGAGAAAGACGTCTAGCTTCACTTAAAAAAAAAGCAATGGAAAATAACAGATTTGGGGAGTTATACTTTATTACGAAATGTGACTTTGTAAAAGAAGTGTCAGAAGCATCAAAATATGGAATATATGTAGTACTTCACTTGTATACCGAATATATAGAAGATTGCTTATTAGTAAATAAAATATTAAGTGAAGTTATTGCACCGAAATACAGTTCAATTAAATTTGTGAAAGGTATATCTACTAATATTATTCCAAATTATCCTGACAAATCTCTCCCAACAATAATAATTTATAGAAATGGTACAAAAATTACCCAAATAGTAGGAAGTAGTAAATTAAAAGATGAAAGTTCAAGAATAACCCCTAATTCAATATGTAAAGTATTGGAAGCTAATAGTGTTTTCAAAGGTGATGATGATATTAAAGATCAAACAAATGAAGATGATTATGGAAGAAAATCATTATTTATAGCCGATTATAGATTCAAGAATAAAAGAGACATAAACAGTGATAAAGATGAATTAGACAACTCAAAGTGCTATAGCTCAATGGAACTTAATAAGCTCCACGATAAAGTTAAGTATGTATTAAATCAGTGAAGTGTTATTGTGAATTAAAATTTATATTAAATTTTAGGGACCTAAATGGACTAAAAGTGGAAAATATTCATTATTATCTTCCTACATATTATAGATAATATTGAAGTTTTCCTCAAATAATATATTGATATTAAGAATACTTTATATATATATTTAATATTGAAAGTTTACCTGTTAATATTCATCTTCAAAAAAAAATAAATTATGTCTAAGAGCTTGTTTTGTATTAGTCCTTCTATTTGGACATGGGTTAAGAAGTTTTATTAGTAAATCTAAAACTTTATTTTTCAGTTCAGGGGATAATTTATCTTGAAATTCAAGATTCCAATTCACTTTATATTGTGGAAATATGACACCAGTTCTTATACATGGTAACGAATTAAAATTTTCAAATAAAGAATTATTTGGTGTTCCAGTAACTTGAAATATTTTTAATAGTTGGTCAATTTCCGAATTACCCTGAAAAAGTGGCTTACCTAATAATAACTCTCCAAATATGCAACCAATAGACCATATATCAGACGATTTTGTATAATTGAAATCCCCTAGTAATATTTCAGGACTTCTATACCATAGTGTTGTAGCCTAAATAAAATATAGGATTCACTTATTAATTAAAGGAAAACAAACAAGTTAAGATAAAGTTAGACTTAAAAACAAGAATCTTAAAATATGCAATATTAATTCAATAGTTTAATTGTTAACTTCTGTCTAGAATTGTAATTAAGCTTTAATTAAAATTCCCAAATTTAACTTTTATTTTAGAAATGAAGTTCGCAATTATATTAAAAGTACTTACATATTAAGATTCTCATTTAGAAGTTTTCATCCTCAGATTCGCCTTTTTTCAAGCATTTTAAAATGACTTAAAATTAATGTTAAGTCATTTCCTCCATGTTTCAAGTTTCTAAATATATCATTGGATGATCAAACATTATAGATATATCTTACCCTAAAATATTCACAGCTATCTAACCAATTAATTTTCCTTGCCATCCCAAAGTCACATATTTTAATATTATTGTATTTATCAATCAGAATATTCATAGGTTTTAGATCACAGTGGACAATATCCTTATTATGAAGATATTCAACCCCTTTTAATATTTGATATATTATTTTGATTTTTTCTTCAATACTTAATTGATACGATTTATTTATCAATACTTCTAATGTAAAAGGAACATATTCCAACACCATATAAACCATATTTGTATTCTTATCTCTAATAACTCCCTCTAGTTCTATTATATATTTATTTCTAATACTTGAAAGTATCTTGATTTCATTCTCCAAGTAAACTTTACCATCTTGTCTAAAATTTATTTCTTGATTTGGAACCTTCAAGGCATATAATTTATCTTTAGTACCGTCCTTAATTTGAAAAATTGTACTATATATCCCACTATATATCTTCCCCAGTATGTCAAATTTCTTTATATTAATCCATTTCATGCAATTAAAGATTTAAACCTAGAACTTTCATGTCTCTCTCCTAAATATCAAAATACCTCTAGTTCCGCTTGTCCATAGTGGGAACCTAAATTATACTGGCATATACCTTATAGCGGTTTTTTACTACTTATACCAGTTAAAATACAGCGGTATTTTATGAAAAATGGTCATGAAACTGAAATAGCACAGGTCAGACTAAGACACAATTTATTTTCTTTATATGAGAAGTTCATGTGCAGTGATATTTTGAAAATAGAATGTCGCAGAGACTTAACTTTATTGATATCTCCTGAAAAAGCTATAAAAGATGCAGAGGATGGAAGGTTGGCTATTTGGCTATATGAATGGTATGAATCAAAAGGAAGAAAAGTACCCTTAGATAAAGGGGTGAAATATTCTCATAATGAAATACCACTTGAAGAATTAGAATTTTTGAGATTTATACTTGGTAATTTACCTGATGATTATATAATGCCACAATATTTTGCTAATTTATGGTATGGCTATATATTTCCTAATATTAAACTGGATACCTCAGAAGAATATTTAAATACATGGATACATATCATGAGGGTAATGGGGAAGAAATATGTTAAGTTATTTTCTCAAGATACTGAAGGTTTTATTAATCTTACTTGCCAAGTCATAGAATCCCAAAGAAATAATAGATATAACTTAGTTTTAGTTATGATCCAAATATGTTATAGGATTTTATCGAGATTTCTACAGCCTAGGAATAGTTTTAATTTAATTGTCAAATATCTTTGGAAACCATTATCTACTCTTTTCGTAGAGAGATGGAGTACACAAGATAATGAAATACTTAAAAAAAGAATTCTGGATATATTTCGTCTTACCTTGAGTGAAAATCACATTAATCATTTCTTAATTATACTAAAGAATCAAGCAATAGGCAGAAGAGTAGATACAAAATTAGAAAGTACAAAGAATTATACATTTGAATTATACCAGTGCTTATTTGACAACAAGGGATCAAGCTATCACTTAATATTCCACTTTATGAAATGGATACACGAGACAAGATGTCATAATTATTTTAAAATGGAAAATAAGACTTCAAATAATGGTCCAAATAACTCACCTGAGTATTTATTATTCCATTTATTTATAAGTGAAGTTATTAGTAATGACAATGTATTTTTAAGAAATACTGAGTATATCTGTCAATGCTTTGATTTCTTAGTCTCAAATAATATCTTTATTATAAGAAAAGGTATAGACAATAATGAAAATATTCAGTATCACACATATCAATCTTTGTGTAAAACATTGGACTATTTAGTAAGCAAGAGCCTTACTAATAAGTATATATGGAAGTGTATTGAATTATGTATTATTGTAGATCCAGTAGAATGTTTGCCTTTTTTACGAAGTATACTTGCAACAGATGATGTGTATAAGTTGGAAGCATCTATTGAAGACGATATTTTAGAGATAGTGATGTCTCTCATTACAGGATCAAAATTTGATAACACTTCAAATCAAATTAATTACTCTGTAGATATTTGTATTGCAAGATATATAGAAACATTTACAAATTTAAGGGATTTTACAACTTTACTAAAAGAAATTGCGCACATCTTATTGTCAAATGAGCAAACTTTAACTAAAGATGGTTCAAATTTATATATTAAAAGGAAGCTTTTTCTTAAAAAATCTTGCCTCGAATCAGTTATTAGAGATATCTCACTATCAAGTCTACCTGCTCAAATTCCCACGATTTTAAATGACTTTTTGGATACATTAATGGGTATGTCAATTAAAGAATTTGAAGATGAGCAATATATGGAAGATAAAATATTGAATTTAACCATTTTGTCAATATGGCTTGGGATACTACTAATAAATATAAACTTTAACGAAGCACTGACAGTTCCCATTATGGAAGTTGTACTTAAAATAAATAATGTAAAAAATAAAAATGTAATCTCAAGTGAAAAAAAATCATCCTTGGATATTATTGGGGATATAGTACTCACTTTAGGTATAATTCACATTTGCAGAAAATTACTATCCTGGCAAGTAGATGAAGAACCGGAAATTCAACAAATTATTTATAAAAATTTGAATATCTTATACAACTATAGATATGGTTTTAATAATAAAAGTAGCACCTGTTTAGATGTGCTAACACTAATTTCACTCGTTAATTGTAGTACTTTGCAAGAATTCAATAAGTATTTTGATGTCAAAAATTTAATAAATTGTATATTTAGGTATTATAAAAAGCTGGCAAATGATGAAAAATTAGCTCTCAATTATGAAAATTCGAAGTTTATTTTATCTCAGTATATCCTTGGTGGTTTTAGTATAATAAATACAATAAATCCCTTAATTATAAGTGATATGTTAAATAGTAGTAGTTCTAAAGTCAGTGTATTTCTTATGTCTACTCTTGAATACATTATATTTACTCAAGATAGTGATAATACAAAAACTTATATGGAAATTCCATCATTAGCTTTGCCACTTCTGAGGATAACTCTCGAATTATGTAAAAATATTCTAGTTAATATTATATATAAAGTCAATAAAGAAACTTTAAAAGAGGTAGTTAAAAAAAAAAGGCGAATATCACCTATAAATAGGGATAAAGATATTTTAAGATTGTGTCTATTACTAAAATTCTGGAATAAGAAAGAATCTATTCAATTTTTTGTTAGCTCATCATGGTACTTGGGAAATGACATAGATAAAATGGCACATATAGCCTTCCAACTATACTGGATATTTTTAAACAGAGTCTTCTGGGACCTGGAGCTCAATTCAGAGGAGAAATATGGAAATTTTGAGTGGCTTAACTTGATAATTCATGGTGTATATTCTTGGATAGATGATAATACAGAGATATCTAAAAAATTTACATATTATTTGCAGGAAAGACTATTCAATACAAATATAGAAGAAAACAATAAACTTCTTCTTAAATACCTTCAAATAATTGCCACAAATGATGAATATTTTAAATTTGGTACTAAAAAAATAATGATAAATATACTTAGGTTAGTTATCTGTCATGAACTTGATGAAGATGATAAAATAATACATAAATTATCCTATTTACTAAAACACCTAAATTATTTGGGATGGTGGTGGTGGGTTGAACAAAATGGATTTTTTACTATAAAATGTTATGATTTAGAAAACTCTAACTGGTATTGCCAGATTTATTTATGTATTGAAATTTTTCAAGTAGGACATATTGGACCACAAGTATTTATGGAAAATTTAAAGAATCAAGTATCAAAATCTTCTATAATAAATAATCAATCACCTCTTCTGTATTCGTTAGAAGTATTACAAAACACACTTTTTAATATTGCTAAATTAGGATCTAATAGTTTATTCCAATCAAATATTTGTATAGAACATAATCTGATGCTATGTAAGTTATTTATATTACTAAACCCTAATATATTAATATTGGATCTGGAAGACAATGGAGGATCAAATTTTGAAGAGTGTAAAATTTCCAGTATTAATAATAATATTCTGACTAAATTAAAAAGAGCGAAATCTATTATTATAATTACTCTAGATATACTACATTTAATAGATAATATACTTCTACAAGCTTTCGTTCAAGGGGATCTCAGAAAGAAATTATTGATGGCTCTAGATACTTTTATTCTTCTTTTGAGTATTATTGTAGAAATTCCATCTCAAGTAGTTAAGCTTACAAAACAACAAAATAAATCAGAAAATAATACTAAAGAAACAAATTGTGACTTGAGTACAACTTTTTATAACCAGGCACAAGAAATATTTATAAATGTTTTAAATGCTGGCTTTGTTATTTGTAAAGTGAATCTTAGATTTGGAATTTTTGATAATTCTGAAATAGAAGCTGATAAAATAATTCAGTGGATAAAATATATAAGTCATTGTATATTGGAGGGAAGCTCAATAAATGATACTCATTTTGAGGATTCTGTAGAGTTTAATAGACAAATGATGCTTTATGACATTTTTTATAAATTAACAAGAAATGCTCCTGCTAAATTTACTCTAGATGGATTAAATTGTCACTATCTGAGTGGAGTTCTTTGGGATTACCGAACAACAGTAAAAACACTGCAGCATAATGCTGTAAATAATTGCAATTTTTTTTGGGAATATTTAACAGGTATTGATATTTTTTGGAATATATTTAGACATAAAAGTCAAGTATATCGTTGGTTATCACCATGTTTAAAGGACAATATATATGTAAAACTTGGAAATGGTGGTCCATCACATAGACTTTATTTTTATATAAATGCAATTTCATGGAAAATTATATCTATATTAAGCATACTCAATTTATTTCCTCCACTCACTGTGCCATTTATTATTGTCAGAATATCAAATATTGTTTCAGTTTTGTATGCCTCTTCAATTAAATGCCATATAATGGATAAAGAACACAACTCATATACAATAGCTCAGGTATTACCTGCTTCACATTTAGTACTTTCAACAAGTATTAATGTATCACGTGCTTTGAATAATTTAAATTATGGTGAAGATGCCCCAAAAATACTGTCTGATATATCACCTTATTCTTGGTATTGTTTATTTGACTGCATATCGATATCAGCATATTTACCTTTATACAATTTATTAAATCCACTATGGGACCAATCTAGTAGAAAATATAACTTTGGTAAAAGAGTTACGAGTCATATAGATGTTTGGATATCCCAATTTCATTTAATTGAGGAATCTTTGAAATCTCTACTTTTGTTGGGAGATACAATTAATAAAACTAAACATGGAGATAGACCGTATGAACAACATATAAAAAGGATAAGTAGATTATATCCTCTAATAGCCTCACAATATACAAAAAATAAAGTCCAAAGGTATTCTACATCCTTAATAGTGGATCTCATTGATTATTTACATGCTCTAGAAAAAAAAGATGTTACAGATAAATTATCAGGAGACTACCAACTCATATCAAATATAATTAGAAAATCTTGTATACAGCCAATACTGGAAATAATTGATGATCATACAAAGCAAAGTTTATATTCAATTCTCAAAGAGGAGCAGAGGAGTACATTCAAATATATTTCTAGAAATTTAGAGTGTAACTAAGCATAATAAAAAATAATTATTTCAAAAATATGTTAGTCCCCTTAACTTTGAAGTATATAAATATAGAGACAACTAATGTACAAATATATATATATAATCTAATCAATTAATATTACGAACTTGTATCATAAATAAAACTTTATTTCTAAAATGATTTCTTAATTTGATTCGTTACTTATTTCCTCAGGCATATCCTCTTTACTAATAAATTGTTTCAGTTCATTCCAAAATTTTATTCTTTCATCTCCAATTAGTGATCCATCCAATTTAGGATCTATGTTATCTCTAGTTTTTGAGTTACATAGTGAAAATACTTCATTATCATGACATTCAGGAAATCCATGAATATCCCGGACATTAATCTGGTTGATATAGCAAAAAATTATTAAGTTTATTGAATAATCAATAATAAAAATCAAGTAACGTACTGGTGGTCCACGCTGAAGTAGAGCTCGTTGTTCCTTTAAACACTTTGTATTTTTAATAGATTCACAGTACCTATAAAATTGATTTTTCTTTAAAATTTCTATGCACCCTAAGCAGAATCTGCAGTATTTTAGATATTAAATCTTTTATTAAACAAGACACGGAGATATTGCGAAGAAGATATTTATAACTTACTTGGATAAATACCAAGAAGAATTCTCATAAACCTGATATTCAACACTATTACTATCATCTAGATTGGAATAACAAATTAGGCATTCCATTAATGTGATACTTAGGAAATGAGAGAACTTATCACTCGGAATTACCAAGATGTAAATCCGTTAACAGCGCTTAAATACCAGCTTGTTTGAAGTAATTAATACTTTCCGATAAATTGAGATTTATATATTTAAAGGTATTTACAATTACTTTGATCTTTAAAATATTATAAAATAGTAATTTGCAGAATTATATCAAAATTTAGGTAGCTTATTATATTCATACTCATTTCTAATTCTTTTTTTTTTTTGAGAAATTGAGTCTCTTATTGATGTATCTTTTAACTACTATATTTTTTACTAATGACTATTTGGTTCTATAAAGTACTTCCATACAAGTATTAATTTGTATTATAAATAGGGTTTTTACATTTACTTGAAATAGAAATAAATAGCTAGAGTTAAAAAAAAGAAGTAGAAGAAAGTAAAGATAATTTAAATATTTGTTATTCAGAATTTATTCTGAGAAAATCTATTATGTATTATTTATAGTATAACTAGAGTATATAGTCTGGATATATAATATTGGCAAATCATTGTACCTCTGGGTTAGGATGGATAACATACTCAATAATTTATGTAAGATTAGAAGCAAAGTTCAATTTTTATATATAATTAAATATTACTTCTTCAGCATAACTTTTTTTTTTTTAGAGGAAAAAAAGTTAAAATAAGCTACTAAAAAAGTAGAAAATATAGCTTTTGAGTAATTAGTTATTTAGTGATAGTAATTAAGAGATATTTATATAATAAAAGACCTGTAGATCGTTTCTAGAGTTTAAGTTACAGGTAAATTACTTTAATGGCAGGTTATAAGGTTAATGACCGCAAATATAGGGTAATTGATAGGACAATAGATTAGAAATACATAGTTGATTAGTATTGTATCACTATGTATGATCAGTTAGAGTATAAAGTCGTTTAAATATTAAATCTGGATTTTAAAATATCTATTTAGGCCTTAATTATCAACAATAAAATTACTAAAAAAAACTTTGTATCTCTATTTATAATGCATTTATTTTTCCATAGTGTAAATTTGGAAACTTGAGACAAATAATATTAGCTTAGATTTTTAAAGGTAGACTACTGAAAAAAAGTTGAAAATATTATTTGCCATCTCAAATATTTTTAGATTAAGCGTTATAAATCAGGCGGTTATATGACGTGGATTGCCGATACTTCATAATTGATGAAAAGCAATATCTCCTTCTCCTAGAGTTGTTACTTACCATATTGGAGTATAATCTAATGAATAATAAACTAAATGAGAGGAGAAAAAAAAGTAATCCCTTCCAAGCAGCTTTAAAGGAAGCATATAAACTCAAAATGGAGAAAGAAGAAAGGGAAAATAAAATAAGGGAAGTAAAGAGAGAAAAGAAGAGGAAGCTTGAAGAGAGGCACAAAAGAAAGATAATATTGTGTAAGAGAACTAGTAAAGGACAACCTATTTTGGGGGGAACAATAAAATTGATCCTTAATCAACTGGAAGCGGAGAAGAAGAATCGCGAATAAGGGTTAGGGATTTTAAAGTTGTCAATTTTTGACAACTTTGTGTTTAAGGTCAATTAGTTAATTATTAATGATCATGCAAAAGATAATCCTTTGGTTCCTGTTATTTAATGTAATAGTTGGTTTGGTTGAATCAAAATATGATCAAAATGAAAAATATAAATCATCCAATAGATGTTCAAAACATAACAGAAGTGTTAGAGATAGTACTTATAAAAATGACACTAAATGCAGTAGAAGTAAGGAGTTAAAAGTATCTGAGGATAATGAAAAAAGAATATTGGGAAGTGAAGAATTGAAGTATAATAGTAATATATTTGAAGCGAGTAATATCGACTCTTTTAAATATCCAAATAGAGATTATAAATTTAAAATAGGAGCAAATTCTGAATACATCAGATCAATAACTTCATTGTATACTATAGAAGATGATATTCATTTTGAAAATGGTGAATTCACTGACTATTCAATCGATTTTGATCTTGTATATCCTGAACATGCAGGAGCTGTTCATAAAATTACAGTAGCTAAAGACTTATTGTCAATATCACTTCAAAAGACACCTAATAAATTAGAGAATTCTACGGACATTTCTGGTTATAACTCCTCAAATCAACAAGATATTCAAGATAGATTATCAGAAAATTTAACTAAATTACAGGAGTTTTCAAAATTTCATCCTATCAAGCAGGATAAAAGTCGAAATATCCTCAGATCTAATGGATATTTAGAGAATTCTAGCATTAGTGAGTTAAATCAATTACCTGGGGAAACAGAAGTTCCGATAATATTGAAGAAAAAAAAAAGATCTCAGCTTATAGAGATAGATAATATTCCCACCAAGATTTTACAAGTTTCTAATTATACAGAGGATTTAATGAAATCCCAAATAGTTGAGAGCAATCATTCATCTGAAATATCAGGGAGATTTGAATATCCAATTAAATATAAAACTCTGAATGAAGTTCAAGAGTTTATCCCCAATATACACTATAATAAATCCGATCTATTAGATCATAATAATGGATCAGAATCCTCAAAACCTAAATCTCCATATATTATGTCTTTGGCCACATCTAGTGTGCTTATACTTATCACTGCTTTGGCCCTAGTATCAATTCTTGCTATATATTCATTTCAGCACTGATCTTGATTCTCATTATGCAGATTCAGACTTTAATAATTTGCTAGTAATAAATATTAAGTAATGAATAGACCATATTTGGTAGTTTAAAATTACTTTACTATTGAAGTTATATTATTGGTTTTGGATATATAGTTATATAAGGGAATAGTTCTTTTTCTTTTTTTTTTGAAAATCCCCTTCTACAATGCATTATCTATTTATCTACATGTATTGAAGAAATTGTTTATATCTTCTTCCTGATTATCTAGCTCTCAGATGCAGGTTTCACATGAAGTATTGTATTCATCACAATTGGATTTTGGTCAATAAAGAATTTGACACTATTATATTTAATAAAATTCTTCTTTTTCTCCAAATTATCTATATATCTATTTCTCCTATTGTATGGTATAGATCTTAAATAATTTTGGTGATTCAAATTTTTTTTAATGTTGGGATTAGGTTTACTTAATACTTTGTTAGGGTATTTGCAAGTTTTTGATCTCTGTGTAAGCTCCCCTCTTACATTAAATTTGTGCTTTGCAACTGTACCTCCTGACTGCCTATACAAATGAATATATTTATCTTCAAATTTTATTTTCCCTGGTGATTGCATTTCTGTGGGTTTAATACAAGATATAAAAATAGTATTATCTTGGAGTTTAATCCCTTGTTTACTACATTCTGATGTATTTTTATGTCGAGAGTTATCTATTTGAATTATATCTTCCCATGTATAATGGTTTCCAGAGTTATATAATTCAGAAGATATTTTAACTTCAGTTGGTTTTAGTATAGTGGAAGATCCAACATGTGTCATATTACCCTCAGATTTTGTGTTCGTATTTTCAAATATATTCTCCTGAGTTTGATTTATAGATATATCTGACAATTTAGGATCCATATTACTTAGTTTAATATTTTCAGCACTAATTGATTTAGTTATGTTGGATATTTCGTTTAAGTCTTGGGTATGCTTTGATAATATAACAGGCTTCAATAATGATAGCATATCTATGAAAGTAGCAATATTTGAATCTTCATCAGACTGTATAATTAAACCAACAGTTGAGCCCTCCGAGATGGAGTCAGTTTCAGTAGCTAAACAGCTTAATCTTATTAATAGGATTGCACTAAGAAGTAACCAAAATAGTCTTCTGCAGGCCTTCACAAGCTTACTTACAGTATATAACATGCAAATATCTGTTTAATTCTATATAAATTTTCAATCGCACTGATCTTAGGTGTAGCTAGATAGCATTTCTGAGTCAAGCTAGTATGATCTCCTACCTAGTTAACTCCTAATATTCACCAGCGGTACACGATGTCCCTATAATACCGCTTTTAATAGCAACTTGTTATAAGCGCGTTTTTTTTTTTTTTTTGATATTTTAGGACTTAAGAGTGAAGGAATTTTATGATAAAGAATATTGGAATAATATTCATTTGATGAACATATGATGCATCCATACTAACACTGTAGTTTTACTGGTTTTTAAGTTATTTATGATGATTTGATTAGTCAAATGCGGAAATATAAGAGCCTTAAGATTATACAATATATTTAGGGATAAAAAAAAGGGAACTACCAATTGATCATATTATAATATTGTTTATACAGTCTATTTAATCTTACTATAAATCTTTAATAATCATGAATATTGCTAATTATTGGTATAACAGTTTAGATTATGATGAGATATCATTGCATATAGACAAACTAGATCACTCTTCAAAATATAACAACGAACAATATGAAGCATCTCCGAAATTTCCATGTAAAATATTTAGCGATAATGACTCATTTGAGTCACCAATAAGCCCATGTTCTACAAATTCCAGTAATGAAAGTGAAACTTTGTTTAAGTCAGAGAAGTATGAAACACTTGACATTGAGGAGATACAAGAAATATATGATAAAGACATTGACAATAATAATACTAATGTTGGTAAGTTTAATATGTCTAAATACAAGGATATATCGCCTATAGAAAAGCTAGAATGTAGTGATAACAATATATTGCTAAAAACTGAACTTTTCGATTTATTGAAAAGTGACGAATTGAATCTCAAAATTTTGAGATTAAAAGCTTTTAAATACCCAAATATATTGCTCCAGACATTATTTTCTCTTCCACAAGATAGACTAGTCAGAACCTTATTTAATAAGAGTAATATTGAAGATCTTGATACTTGTTTACCTCCAATATGTATATTTTACTCAAATATGTTTACTTTACAAAACTATGATACGGACATGTGTAAAGGTTATGGTTTGGATAACTTTTGGTCTTTTTTTAATGAGTTATTAATATATATAAAAAAATCATATGGACTGTCTCACATAGAGCAAGTTCCACCAATACCAATTCGCACCTGGATAATAGATTGTTGGAATATTCACAATTTTCCAATAATTTTAGGATCAAACTCTCAACATATTAAATTGAAACTGAAAATTATTAGGATTTTATTATTTTGGTTTCTACAAAAAAATTTGGGGGATAAACAGGTCGCACAAATTGAAGACATGATTTTAAGACTTACTTTATTGTTTGATACAAAAAATTATCTCAAGGGTTCCATAATCTTCACTTTTCATCTTCTTAATATAATTTCAGAATCTATAAATAATAACAATTTATGCCTATACTTTGAGAGAGGATTTCAAATTTTAACTTGTTTGAAGAACTACAGAATTGAATTGTTCCGTTATATGCTTAAACTCTTAACCATTAAGAGCTCACTAGGAGATGGGGCTGATGAATCTACATTATGTGGTACATCTCAATATGTAAATATAGAAAAAATACTATTGAATCTGTTTATTTTATTTCATCTATTTGGTCCAATATTTGAACTTGAATATCAAAGGATACTCGTTGAATTAGCAACAGTAATATCTACTGAAAATAGACCAAATATTACAGGAAAACTAGTTTTATATTTGATATTTTCTATACAGGATAATTCCTGTTGGAATCTACCAACTCTTCAGGTACTATATTGGATTTTAAAAGAATTAATATACAAAATAGATTTTGAATATCTTACTAAATTATGTAAATATGTTGAAAAGCTTATAATTCTCTTCACAAATGGTATCATACCTTATGAGTCATCTAATGAAGCTCCGAAATGTCTCTCTATATTATATATATTACTTGGAGACTTAACAGCATACAAGTTTGCTTCTAAAACACAAATAAGAAAAGATCCGCACTACTCAACCATATATAAAAGTGATTATTTCTCTCATAAAAGTACTGATAAAGAAATATATACTAAATATATCGATTCAAATTATTGTAAATGGCTATATTTTTCTAGTGAGAAAGTTGTTGGAATTGTAAATATTGGAAATACTTGTTATATGAACTCTGTACTGCAGTGCTTGAGATTTAGCTCATCATTTTTCTATTGGCTCTACCATCAGAAATCCTACAATTCTTCTCTCCTCTCAAAATCTCTTTATCAGACAATTTATAAAATGGTAAGACCCTTTAATAATCAACAACCTGCTATTTTTCCAGACAGAGATTTGATTCGAGAGATTTCCACTGTATTTCCTTTAGGGGTTCAACACGATGCTTCTGAATTTCTCAGATTTTTATTATCAAACATTAGTTCAACATGTCCCAGCTTCAATATGACTACAAGGCATTTTTTACAATGTTGCTCATGCAAAAATACTACTGAACAAGTCCAAAATTCATTATCAATTCTAGAACTATCAGTCTCAGGAAATAATTACAAAGTCCTGAATGGACTTCAATCTAGCCAGATATCTCTTTCTTCTATATTGGTGGATTATTTTTCATTAGAAGTATTAGATGGGCCAAAATCATATCACTGTTCAAAGTGTAACTGTGAAACACAAGCCAGAAAATGGTCAAGCCTTGAAAAACCTTGTCCATATCTTATACTAATTTTGAATAATTATACTTGGAATACAAGTATTAAGAGGGGAGTTAAGAATAAAATTAGAATTCAGATTGAAGAAGTATTTAATTTTCAAAACTATTGTTATTCAATACATGGTCTTATTTTTCATAATGGGAACTCTATAGACTCAGGTCATTACTACTGTACAGTTCGGAGTAACAATATACTCACACTCAAAGATATTGATAAAGAACCAAATTCATACATCAGTAATATATACCAATTATATTCAAAATGGTACAAATGTGATGATGAGTTTGTCAGCATTATAAACTCCGATGAGTTATTTCATAATACTAGTAATAATCCTTATATAATATTTGCTACTTACATAGAATAACTTAAATATTTTAATTATCCTGGAGAATTCTTTATATTTAAATCTTTTAGTTTTTATATATTTAGTACCTACAATGCATAACTTTCATGTGAATTCATTGAACTCTCAATACTAAGTTTCATTTTAGAAACTAGTCTACTGTCTTTGTAATAATGTTTTGTAAAGTACTAATAAGATAAACTTTTAGAACAATAATCTGTGTAACTTTAAATTAATATAAGATAGCACATGAGAGCACTGAGGTATTGTTGAGATCAAACTTAGATTTAGTCTTGCAATATATATTTTTACTTATCTTATTACCTTTAATCCAATATTTATTATGATTAAGTATACTATATAATATAACTTTTTATTGTCAGCCATTATTATTTAGTTCTATGTAGGGGGTATGAATAAAATTTGATAGAAGATGACATAGCAAATTCAATGTTATGTTATAGTTTCTAGATTCTACTTATAAGATCGAGACATCTACTAAAAATCTTTATTCTTACTAAAAAGTTTACTAAGTAAATTAGTATACTACAAGATACTTGATATGGTGCTAAAAGAAGGAGTTATAGTAATTATCTGCACTTTAGTGCAGCAAATCTATTAATTAAAGTCTAATACCCAGTCAAAATATTCGAGATATTTTAGTAACGTTATTAATATTTATAGTGGATGAAAGTTTATACTCTTGAGAATAAAATATATTTTAAATTATATTATATTTCAAAGTACTTTAGAGTTTAGAAACTTTAAAGTATTAATTTTTTACGTCGCGCACAAAGTACATTTGCACACTAATATTTTTTTTATATTCAGCAACTCTATAGCTATCTATATCAGTAACTTAAAGTGATATCTTAGTAAAATACAGGTTATAAAGTTTAATTAAAAGATATATCAGCAAAATTAAGTTTATTATCATGGATACTTATCATATTATTGCTATTAGAGATACTACTCTGGAGAGACACGACAACAGTTACATGCTCAGAGTAGGTATGTAGAGCTCCAGAACGCGATGTTCCTAGGTTGGAAGTATCGAGAATAATGCAAGGCATGCAAAGACATTACGTGGTGCGATGGGATGCAATGAATTAAAAGCTGCATAGGTTTTATTTAGTAGGGAGCAGAATATTTTGGGTTGTTTACCCTTTAGATTGTTTTCAAAGCTATAGTCTCAAGTATACTTTCTTTTCCTCCTCCAGCAAGAACTAAAGGCAAGTTTTGTCACAGTCTTAATATATATAGGTATTACTTTTGCTGGGTCTGGCTTTTCCTTTTTATTTACTTTAATATTTAATTATCCATATTGCATTGATATCTGGATATTAGCGTGATTTACAATCTCTAAATTCCCAATCCGATGGTCGGACTAAGTATTAATGATGCTATCTTAGCTTTTGCTTTGATATATTCCAGCATTGATATTTTTACCCAATGGAATAGCTTTGCAAGCTGTTGTCATCCTATCCAACTTTGGCTTGTAATTAGCTATGCCACAATTATCTTGTTTAGAATTATATACTATATTTCTCAGTATATATCTGAAGATAGTGAAGATTTTCTTCCCAGTACAAGTACTTCAGGTGTACCATTTTGGCTTAACTTGAGTATACTTTGTATTATTTTCCCCTTTTTTGTATCATGGACAATTGTTGGGACAATTTGGTTTAAAAATATTGAGTTGAAAACTCCCCAATGTTTACCTCGAAATGGTGCAAATCATCCCTGGTTTCTTATTTTCTGGCTAATTCTATGTTATGTATGGATTGCAATGTATTCAGCATTTATAGGGATCTCCGTATTCTTCGAATTTAGAATACGAAGAGCGGAAGAAGACCTTCAACTATTAGAAAATGAAGAAATTGTACGTAGATGGGGAAGATTGCGTCTTTTAGCAGACTATGGTATTCACTTTATTAGGCATGGACTATCTCCTGTTGAGGTTTCGGCATTACCAGTAAGAAAAGTTAAAAGTAATGAATGTATTGGTCCTTGTTCTATATGTATTGAAGACTTCAAAGCTGGTGATGCAATAAGAACTCTCCCAGCTTGTGGCCATTCATTTCACAAAAGTTGTATTGATACTTGGCTATTGAGAAATGCAATTTGTCCAAATTGTAAAACTCTAGTTAGGTATGGAAAGACTGAAACTGGAACTACTCCAACTAGATTCTCTGCAGATTCAGATACATCAATGAACCAAGATACAATCTCCACTACTGATTTCAATGGAGAAGATCCGATTGATGATATGAATGTATAATAAGTATATATGGATTAGTTTCACCACTTTTACACTTGTATTAAAAAAATATATTCCTTTTTATCTATACCAAAATATTAACAGAATAAAACAAGATTCAGCAGAATATCTTCACTTTGTTAAACTAAGTATTTTCCCAGTATATAATTGCATCTTCTAAAAGTTGTATAGTGGAACTATTATATTCCTATATAAGGCTTATTTATCTAAAAAGCTGTATATTATGTTTTGAACATAGAATATATCCTTTTTGTATATTGTTTTACTTTTATATTTGCATTTCAAATAAATAATTCACTGATTATATTTTCCTATTTTTGCCTAACTTCTTGAGTTTGGCTCTAGTGAAATAAATTTACAAATGTCCACTCCGTTATACCATGGAGAACATAGATAATTGTAATTACAACTAAACTTGTAAAGAATGTTGACCACAAATTTGTAATGTGAAAGATCCACGATATAATAGAAATGATTATACCATCAATAATTGTAATAAAAGCCCCAGAAAATGCGAAAATTTGAACTGAAGAAATTTATACGTTTAGCAGTCAGAGATATTAAATGAGTCCTAGAATTTCTGATGATTCAAACTTTACACTTACCAGCCTTATCTTGGTCCTCTATGAAATTTCTAAGTATTGAGGCAAAGCCAATTTTTGGAGCTGAATATAAACCAAAGAAGAAAGTACAGAATATCATACCAATGATAAATCCTGAAGAAAAATTCAGTATTGAGTTTATTATATTATGAAATCCACATTTGTCATAATATTAGGATATATATTTATTTTTCAAATGATTTATTAGTAGCTTACCTGCTATAGATATAAGACGAGTATTTGATAATATTAAGAAAAAAGATATTGGGAGTAAAATTACACTCAAATCAGCTGCAAGGACAAATGAGTACAATACTCTAAAATTTTGAACACTAGAAAGTATCCAATAAGTATGTCTAGCTAATCCAGGGTTTGCTTCCTGATCAGGGAAAATTGAAGATGATGAGACATTAGTTGTATTTGAATTTGGGATTGAGGATCTACAACTAGAATGTAAATCATTACTTGGTGGCTGTACAACTAACGCATAGTTTGATTGAATTCTTTGCTGGAATTTCCAAGTTACAATGCAACTTGATAATTTTCCAATTCCAATAGCAGCAACTGCTATAAAACCTGAAAGTGCTGCCCAAAATTTCATAGGATCCTCAATTGACCCACTAAATTGAGAAAGACTTGACTTAGCAATTTGTATGGCACAGAGTGGTATAGATGTTGAAACCATTGCATCCTCCATAGCAGTCTCTAATGCAAGGAGTATTATGCGATTTCTTAACCTTTTGTTAGTCTTGACAAGGTTGTATCCCTCATATATATCTATTATTCTTGCCAATATTTCTGATTGTTTTGGTGTGCATGATTCAGAATAAGTATTATAAGGTATAGATTCATCCATACTTTTTAAACTTTTAACTGATTCTTCATCTTCTGAAGAAAAATTGCTTTTTGGGGCTGCATGATATACTTCATCAGTAACTGTAGAACTTTCAGTATACCTTTCTATTGCAGGTATTCCACACTTATAAATTATAATTGATAAAAAAGAGAAAAGTTGAAAAAATATAGTAACTACTAGTAACGGAATCTCCACACCAGAATTTCCAAGAGGATAATGCAAGGAACTACTACTGTGTTTATTGTAAAAGCTTTCAACTTTTGTATTATGCTCATTTCCTAGTTTATATATAAAATGAACGGAATATATTGATATGATTGCGATTAATGGATTTAAAAGTATAAATGAAAAGTCAAAAATTGCTTGATGGGTTGCTATTGCCTGAGATTTTTGTATATCTGTAATACTGATATTATACTGGTATGATAAAATCTCGAGACCACCACAATCTAAATCTACTGCATTAGCCAAAGCAACTAGGATACCATCAAGCGCAGTTATAATACAAAATTGCTTCAAACTGACAATTTCTACAAAAGAATTATAACCAATTATGAGACCGATAATATACACTGTAGGAATTATTGTGCACCACATAAGTGCTCTTGAAATTGATACAAATAAGAGAATCGTGCGAATTGGCATATGATCTGCAATAGCTCCAGCAATAGGACACATAAGGACTAGTGCAATATTGAAAGTTAATCTTGTAGATCCAGAGGCAGTATCGTTTTCAAGGAGTAGGGTCACGAAAGTACCGAATATCCCCCACCACATTGCAGCTTTCACAACATTGAATAGCTGACCCCAGACATATGACTTATATATATGATCACCAGGTATTTCTAATTGTTGATTATCCCAAATATATCTTAGAGTCCATTGATACAGATGGATAAAACTTTGTTTAATAGTATTCAAAGACTTCTGGAAAATTTTAGAGATTTTACGTCTTATTTCGCTTGGTGATAATGAATATTGTGGAAGTGAAATATTTATTGTAGGTGGATGTAAATATCCACGTCTCTTATTAAAAGTTTCTGTATTACCCAATAAAGAATTTAATGTTGTGGAGTTTGAAATTGGGGAATCTGTCTGCTCAGGAATACTACTGGCCTTGAGGCCTAAGTTAACTGAATAATCGTCCATTGCATTACTTATTTCATATAAAAATCCTGCTGATTTTTAGTTGTGAGCTCTTCAGTAATTCTATATTTTAGGAAAAATATACATACTATACTATTCGCATGCATGTTATTTATTTCCGAATGCGCAGTGCTTTTAGTACCGTCTCTTGGAGGGGTATCGATTTATTGGGCGCTAATGACTTCTAAATTGTGTGCAACTCATTAGATCAATCATAAGTACTAAGGTAAATATTTTAAATTTCCTTTACCTCAATTTATATAAAGTATATTCTAGCTAGTTTAAAATACTTACATTAGGGCATTTATACTTAGCAATTATAATCTTTCTGAGAAAAGTATAATCAATTCTAAACAGTGAAGGCGGTGCTAGATGTCGTACAACTTAAAATATATACAGTAGGTATAGACTTATAATTTTTAGAGTATAATAAACTATTTGGACAATGTTATTTATAGTTTTAGGCTTCATACTAGCAAGAGTTATATACTGGATCTTTTACCGAGTATCTTTCAGAGTTGTAAGAAATTCTACACCAATATATGGGGATAAGAAAAAAGGGAAAGTAAAAATAATGACAGTTCTGGGTTCTGGAGGCCACACAACAGAACTTTTAATGCTTTTAAAAGACCTCAATATAAAGGATAGCATAAAATTAGTATGTATAATTGCTAAAACTGATCACTTAAGTAGAAAAAAGACAATATACGTATATTCTAGGGAACTGGGACTAAGTGAAGAACAAACAGAAAATTTGATAGATTTTGTTGATATCTCAAGAAGTAGAGAAGTGGGACAAAGTTATTTAACTTCAGTATTTTCATCAATAAAGGCTTTATCTGAGTCAGTTCGTGTAGTATTTTCAGAAAAGCCAGATTTATTAATAGTAAATGGCCCAGGTACATGTATTCCAATATGTTATAGTGCATTGTTATTAGAGGTGAGTGATTCCTTCTGACCCTATAAAGATAAATAGGCAAATGTATTTATTATCTAAATTTTCCCAGATGTTATTTTTCAGAAAGTTCAAAATGGTATTTATTGAAAGTTTTTGTCGAGCTGAAACTTTGTCCATCTCTGGGTTGTTGATTTTACCTTTTGCAGATAGGTAAGTAAATTTCGATTCTAAATAACATCATATGATAATTTTAAATGTGAGATTTTACAGATTTATTGTTACTTGGCCTAAATTGACGGAGAAATATACAAAATGTGAATATCTTGGAATCCTGTATTAAATAGGGATCTCTTAATTTTAGCGGCAAATATTACTGGTTAATACATAAAAACCAATGAAGGATGGTAATATCCAGATTTGGATCTTAGACGTTGAGATTATATATTTCAACTTTTAATAATAACAATATAGGAGTTATAATAGTATATACTTGAAATTATTGAACTATAATGTCTGATACTAACAGTTTGTTAACTATAGCAAAAAAAGCTCGTAATTCTGGGATACTATTGTCTTCAACAACACAGCAGGAGCGTAATAAAATATTGAAGACAATAATTGAAGAATTAGAGAATCGTCGTTCAACTATATTATCTGCTAATGATGAAGATCTATGTCTGGCTAAGAAAAATAATATTTCTAGTGTGATGCAAAAACGTCTCCAATTTAGTGAACAAAAATTAAATAGTTGTATAGTTGGTATTAACGATGTGATATCATTTGAAGATCCTCTAGGTAAAATTACTTTAGCTAGAGAAATAACAAGCAATGGTTTACAACTATTTCGTAAGACTTGTCCGATTGGAGTATTATTAATTATATTTGAGGCTAGACCAGAAGTTGGCATTCAAATTGCCTCACTTGCAATTAAGAGTGGCAATGCACTGATTTTAAAAGGTGGTAGTGAGGCTCATAATACCAATAGTCAAATTGTGGAGGCAATAAAAGCTGCATTAAGGAGAGTAACAACAACTAACAACAGTATCAATGAAGATATTGTCCAAATTGTCTATACACATGAACAAGTTCAAGGTCTCTTGAAGATCTCCGAATATATAGATCTTGTAATACCACGTGGATCTGGACAATTAGTTAATATTGTCAAGCAAAATACTTCTATACCTGTAATGGGGCATGCTGAGGGAGTTTGTATGGTTTATGTAGACAGAGACTACGATAATGAAAAAGCATTGGATATAGTTATTGATAGTAAGACAGACTATCCAGCAGCTTGCAATGCGATGGAAACATTACTAGTGCATAAGTCTATAATTTCATCTTTCTTACCATTATTATCAAAGCGTCTAGAAGAGAAGAATTTTGGAGTTACATTCTATGCCGATGACTATTGTATTAATTTCTTACCTAAGGACAAAACTAAAAGTGTAACTGAAGACTTACTTAGTCATGAATTTAGTGGACTCAGTATGTGTGTGCTTTCTGTATCTAATATTGATGAAGCTATTAAGCATATTAATGAGTATGGTTCCCATCATACAGATGCAATTGTTACAAGTAATCAAGGGAATGCTGAGTTGTTTGCAAACAAAATTGATTCAGCTGACGTCTTTATAAACTGTTCTACAAGGTTTGCAGATGGTTTTAGATTTGGATTTGGAGCTGAAATTGGTATTAGTACGGGGAGAATTCATGCAAGAGGTCCTGTAGGTTTAGAGGGACTTTTAACTTACAAATATATACTGAAAGGTAATGGGCAAACTGTTGGTCAATATTCTCAAGGTTTATTTCAATATACAAGGAATGAAATCAATCTTTCTAATAATCAAATATGCTAAATATAACATTAAGATCTAACCAAAATGTTGCATTTTATCAACTTTATTGTAAAGGAGTCGACTAATATTTATAAAACAAATGCGAGAATTAGGCAAGCTTAACTAAAGATGTTATATTAAAGCACCAAGTGAGCCAAGAAATCCATTCATATGTATGAGATAAAGATTTATATTCTCCAACTTCAAATCTGTCATTACATTCTTGAAAGTCGGAATTGCAAAGAAACCTTGAGCCACATAAGATCCTGTAGCATAAACATGTGATATATGGTACTTCATTGCCATAAGGCATGTTAAATAACAAATTTCATGATTAGCCATTTCTATCAAATTATGAGCAATTTCTCGACGATTAAACTGTCTCTTAATTTCTAAGTCATCTTTCATGTTTCCAAAAAATGTAGTTCTAACCCCCTTGTGTTGATTAAATCTCGTAGATATATTTTGTGTAATTCCACTAGAGTTCTCTGCATCATATTTATGTTTTCCTCTAAATTCTGTATACTTATTCTTTGAATATAATATACTTTGCTCTTTTATAATCTTAGCATCTGTGTTACAGGTATCTTTATTATATAGGCTTTTTAGTTCATTAATATTGGAGATGTTACATAGAATTCTTGCCAGTCCAAAGACAGTTCCTCCTCCTAGAGGAGTTCCACTTACTCTTTCAAATTTATCTTCAGAGAACACTTTAACAATTGAAACACCAGAACCAATACATACAAGAAGAAATGGATAGTTTATTTTCGAAATATTTCCATTAATTGAATAATTTAATACATGTTTAAGTCTATGGTTTAAATCATGGTAGTTCAATTCCTGATAGGACTCTAAATTACTTTGCTTTGAATAATCAGTAGTCAATTTAAATTCCATTATATTCAATGTACTTTTATTCATTATATTTAGTTTTCTTGTTTTAATACTTGAACCTTTTATAAATCCTGAAGTATTATCAATTTCAAAGATCTGCTCCTCCTTAACAAGTGGATTTCTATTTTCTCGTATAAATTTCTCAGTGATACATTTTGACATAAAACATATTAGACCTTGTATATTGCTAAGCATCTCATCATATTGAATAACTTCGTACCCTATGCTATTTATAAATTCAGCAAAACGGAATGCACCACCTCCAGTAGCTGCAATATAATAAGAATTTGGCTGTTCTCCAATTAATTTTCGTTTTTTTGCAAACTCAATTAGTTTGTCCAATTGAAAACCTACATGATTGTATGTTCTACAAATAACACAAAATATGAGTTGAGTTCCACTTCTTTTAATGGTGGGTTCTAAAAGTAAACTTAGTTGCCCACGTCTTATGGTGTTAATCTCTTCTGGTTCTAATTTATTGTAAAGTTGCTGATAAAAATTATATTTTATTTCCTCTTTATAATCACAACAGCTAATATGTCCCTTCAAGGTCTGCTTAGAGATGCACTCTCTCTTATTTTCTTCTGCTTCATCATGCTCACTTTCTAGTGAAATTTTGTATATTAATTTCACCAGTGTACCTCCAATATCAAACGCACACCTTTTTGAGTTTGATAGTCCTTGGAAGACCTCGACAGTAACAATTTCTACTCCTGTAGTAGTAAATATGTCTTTATCATCACTCATTACAAATAGAAATACAGTATACCTTTTGAGATAGTATATAGGATATACTATCTTGTTTTAGATTCAAGTTACTTTCCTTAATTTAATTTTACTCTCAAATATTCACTTAAATAATATAAATAAAAAGAAATATACAATCTCCAGGAAACCCAATAAATAATCCAACTACATACACATAATGACAGGTTTCACTATACCTTATAAATGAGTTGTAAAATAACTCCTCAAGATATTAAGAGATTCAAGGGAAAAAACTTGTAAGTTTTCTGGGGGGTTATGTATAAGTCTTAAGTTGGGGGGAGGGATCAGCAATAAAGTAGTTGTGAAAAGAAGCGGAACGACGTTTCGATCGTCGGACCTTCAGGTTATGAGCCTGACGCTCTGGACCTCTGAGCTATTCCGCTCTACGGTAGGTAGGGCTTTTGTAAGAGATAATATTAATATCAAAAAGGAAGGGGAATCTAGAACCTTACATCTACTCCATCTAGGTAACTAAACTATATAGTGATAACCATGTAAATAAACTACAGATACTAAGAAATAATGAAAAGATCTATAGAGAATATTTACTGACCCTGTATTGTGATATTTGCATGTGGCATAATAGCTCTTAATATACTGAGTCCTTGCTGTATTGAAGAGTGGTGATGACCACTTCCCAGGGAATTTCTCATATTATTATGTTGTTGTAGGGATCTTAATATCCCAGCTTCAACATCAGCTAATTGCTGTACACCTTTGGATAAGCACCGCGGATTATAATTTTCATTTAATGAGGATTGAGATGACTGTACAGATACTATCTTCAATCCTTGAGGAAGAGATTTAAGAAATTCGCCTCGAACAGCTAATGTTACATCTTTATGTTCGCTTGTAGTTTCAGTATATCTGATCTCTTCATCTTGATTCTGCTGAAATTTCTCTTTGTTAATACTCTTTTGCTCCTCACTCCCACCTAATTTAATATTATATACAGTATTAGAGTCATCTAATTGTGGTCTTTTTCTTGAGATAGTTTGTGATCCCACAAAGTATAAAGGTTTCTCTATTAAGTTGTCAGTGTCCTTTGTATCTATATTTTTAGATTCAAGTAAGGTATTATCAGAAATAGTTGGATCTTGTTTTACTCTTGATCCATTCTTCAATGTATCCGCTGTTTCATCTGCTATTTGTATTATAGCTTGATCAGTTACTGATTGTGTTATTGTATCTTCTGTAGTATCTTCCACAATATCTCCGTCTATTGTAACTGTTGGTATCCCCGTAGTCTCCAAGCATTTATCTACATTGCGTTTGTTTCTACTTCTAGTTGATCTTCTTTCTCTGGTATCATTGTTTTCAGATAATTTATTAGTATTGTCACTAATTCCAAATCCAATTGTACTTCTAAGCTCCTTTAAGGATTTTAAGGCAAATTTATTTGAGGAATGAAAATTCAAAAGTTCAGATTTATTTATACAGTCATTACTTTCAGCCAGCTTGTGGACATAGGCACAATTTGGGTTTGTGCAAGCTAAATTTCTGATAAAATTGCTACAGTATTTATTAGTACCAAACGAACACCTTATCGTATTATTTCCAAATATCTTCTTGCCATTTACACTTTTTATAGCTTTGGTAGCAGATAATTCATCACAATAAGTAATAAATGCACTATAAGTTTCATAGTCTATAGGGACAATTCGCATATTAAGGATTTTACCAAATTTGCCAAATGAGTCACTACCTGCCAAAATTTCTCTCTTTGCATTGGAATAATCTAAACCAGCAACATAGACAAGATTTCGTTGGATTATCCGCATATCTCCCAAACTTTGCTGGTGTAAAGTATCTTCAGATGGTGTACATGATTGATTATATATAGAAGATTCATTTGTTAATGTTTGTAGCTCTCCAGTACTAGTTGTTCCTGTTATTTGTGAAATATTACTATCGTCCATATTCATAATTTTATCTCCAGACCATGTAAAACCATCAATAATACTTCTTTCAATAGTGCCATTCTGGATAGTCTTTGAAATATTTGAGACTTTATATAGTTGGCGACAAGCTGGGCACTTATTATCCAGTTGGTCACAAATATGATAGTAGCACCAAAGGCATATCTGATAGCGACATTGACAAGGATAAAATGTCTTGTCAGTTTCATCCATTTCCTCCATACATAATGGACAGCTGGTATCATTATTGGTTAATCCCAAGTCTAAACTATTTGGGCTTTGGTTTTTAGATGCTTTACTACCTACGGAACTCCTTTCTCTACTAGGTGAAGTCATTTATAGTAACTTTTATCACAACATCCACAAAAAAAGCCAATAATTTGGGTTGTTTCGTTATTTCCCAGAATTCCCCAATATTTCATAAATAGAATTCTCTTTAGTCCTACTCTTATTTCCACTGTCCGCCTTTTAATTAGGCGCCAAAAAAGCGGTTGATTTATAATTTAGATAAACCCCTATATCAGCTCTCTCAGTTCTTTTTACTTAAAATGAGTTGAGATAAGGATACAATACACGAATTAACTTAATTAGTTGATTATAGAATATAATTTATAGTAATTTATAATATTTTCTTCCTACATTAAAGCATTTCTTGTGGTAGGTTCTGTATGTATTGGCTTGCATTGTCAAATGTAATATATTATACATGTTACCGGTATGTCCCCACAAAATTTGAATCTGCTATTTCTTCAATTCTTGTGGACTCTTACTTTTTATAGGTTAAAGAAATAAATATAATATTTTATGAGAATTTTTATGCTATGTAGTAGCCAAAGAAGCTTTCATTATGAGTACCTTAATACGCTGTAATTTGGAAAGTAATATTCAGGGCCTTTTTTTCCAGTTCTTAAGTCTTCACTTAAAGAAACAAAATAATAAAATAAATTCAAACATATGTAGTATTATAGAGGAAGATCAAGTATATAGTGAACAAATAAATAAGTCAAAGGACAAGATCAAACAGAGGTATCAGCAAGATGAGATTACTATAAGCAAACATACAAGAAATGTGGAAGTTGAACAGCTAAGCCAGATAGCAGAAATAAGAGTTAAGGATGAAAGTGAGAAAGTTCAATATAGTGAGAATATAGAGCAAGAGAGAGGATGCTTAGGTTCGGAAATTGGGGTTTTTAGATGCTTTGAAATTTATCGAGGTAATGACATTATAGGAGCTTCATGCAAAAATAGACCAAATTTAACTATTATTGATGACAATATTAAAGTTCCAAATACAAGAGTCAAACTTCTTGAAGCAGAGCTTTATAGAATATGTGATCTATATGGAAGAAAGCAAGGTCTTGAAGTTTATATAGATTGGAAGATTTGGGAATCCCAAGTAATAAAAGCATTAGGTTTGAGTATTTTTTGCTCAAAAACTCTTGCTAACGTTATATTTAGTGCTTATCATAGAGATTATAGAAATTGCATGAGTATACTTTGTAAGGCAATAGAAGATTCGGGGGATAGAGACTCGGGAAAGATGAATGTGGAATTGTCGGAAGAAAACATTGCCAGTGTGAGTTTATCAGAACATAGTGATTCAAGTGTATCTGGAAAAAATAATGTAAATTTCTTAGATAGGAAGTTTAATATATACAACTGTGAGGTAGAATATAAGCAGCCACCAAACTCAGGGAATTTATGCCGGTCATCAATTATTTGGTTTCTTTGTCATAAACACGAATTTGAACTGAATGATCCCAGCATAAATTATTTTAGATTATTATCATATCTTTCGAGTTCATCGAAATTCATTTTACCAGGTTCTTTTAGGCCTTTATTATATGAACTTATTTCGAGACACTTGGCATTAAAATTTCTAGAGAATGACAAGATTTTTAAAGAATTATATGTTGATACTATAATAGTTCGTATATATTATGATTTGGACTTAATAGATCTACAAAAACTTCGTTTAAAGGATATCAGAAATAGTGACTTAATTACTCTACTTGCTGAGATGGTTGGAAGTGAATCTTTCCATGATTTACAACACTACTTTAACTACCAACATTTCTATGTATTGTATTGCAGATTTATAGAGCTTGATATTGATGAAGATCAGGCCTTGAGCTACAAAGAATTTCGAAATCACGACTTTGGAGCTCTAACAAATAAGACCTGTGCTAGACTTTGGGATTGTAAGATATCAAACAAAAAGTCTCTATTTGATAAAATCACTGGAAATAGAACTGAAAGTGTCAATAGCTTAATGACATCTGATTATCAAGTATCAATACTTAAGAATTTTGATACAGTTAGTACAAATTTTAACAAGGAGTTCTATATGAAGTATGAGGATTTCATCTACTTCTATATTAGTGATGAGGATAAAACAAGTGAAAGAAGCATCAGATATTGGTTTGAAATTGTAGATTTAGATTGTAATGGATGGATAACCCCGAGAGAGATTGAGTATTTTTATCAGGAACAATATCAAAGGAGTTATGAGTTAAGACATACACTACCCGAATTAAATGGAATTTTATGTATGATGAATGATCTATTAATGCCAAAAAGGCCAGGAGGATTTCGTCTAGATGACTTTCAAAAAAACAAAACTGTAGCTGGTCATTTCTTTAATATACTTGTAAATACTAAGAAATGTCTATCTACCATATTTAAAGATGGTGAATTTAACAATATACACAACTACTTTGAAAGTAAAGTTTGTCCCAAATATTATACACCTTGGGAATTGCATTGTCAGTACCAATATCAAATAATACAAGATGAGGATGAGCGGCTTCAGCAAGAAAGTGTTACATAATTGATGATAAATATCCCAGGTTCTATCTACTTACTCGTTGAACCCAGTTATTATAAAATGGATCAAAGATAAACTGACTATAGTCCAAGAAAATGTAATCCATTATTATGAGAGTTATTATTATTCCAAATGAGATTATAGCTACATAGTTATAGGGGTTATAGCCAGCAAAAATCATAAATACCAGTAAAATGGCAATTGTCCATTCTAATCCTTGACGAATATTCTTAGACATCTAAAAGATATGTATCCCGATTTGTGATTCTATTTGCAGTTCTTATTTATTATCAGCAACTTCAAAGTGGATTTAAGGACTTTACTATGGAGGGCTGTGTTAATGTTAACAATAGCGGGAGTTGAACATGGCGCCTTTATTAGGATATACTACCTAAAAAAACTCTAGAACGTAGAGATTGCAATTTATATTTTATCAGATGATGTAGATATTTCATGCATTTATGAATGCATCTTTTGATTAAATTACAGATATTGGTTATGATTAATGCAGTAGTTTTTTAAGGCTCTCTAATTTGAATGATGTATATGGGCAGACCATTTGCAAAATCTATCTTGAATTGTAATACAACTATGATTTACAAAATTTTAAATATAGGATATTAAGTCTGCAAATAGCTTGTTTTTGGTTACCGAGAGCACTATTTGAATAATGGATAATGTGTCTCTAATTCTGCAAAATATATGATGTACATTGTTCTAGCAAATAAGATTCAAGCTATACTTAGGACCTTTTATATTTTAGCTAAAGGAATTTTCTTTATTCTAAAATTTAATATAAAATTTGCATACTTTGATTTCAGAGATATATATACAAGGTCTTAGAACATATAAAACTACATACTTTTATTATGTTTTCTCAATGATATACTAGGATAAGGTGATAGGATCTAGACTAGGCTTTTGTAAGGGTATTAAAATTCCTGAATACTTCTTAGGGGATACTAATAAGTAGAAGGGAATACATAGTATTATTTATGGACTGAGATAAAGCAATGAGATGATTATAAACAAGCTGAATGAGAAGTCGTGAAGTGTGATACAAAAGTTAATGATATGGATTAACTGTTATATACTTAACTTGATAGATCCCTAAGACATTGCATTAATTCTTATCAATAAATATTAAACTTAGCCCAGAAAATAACTTCCTTTTACTAGTTAATAGATGGCTACATATTTAATACTCGGATTCTATATTACAGACGTTATAAATTGAGTATTTTGCATAAGGTGAACTATTAGGGATAGTTTTGTTTCCAATAAATATTACTCTAATAAGAAATCCTTAAGATTATATTTTATTAAAATTAAAGCAATTTAGCCTCTTCTATACATACTCCACAAGTTTCGGGATTTATTGTAACATATATTGAGATAGATCCTTTAAAAAAATAAAATTCAAAGTTTAGACTACATTAGAACCCTATAATTATACTTCATATATAAATTTAATTTCAAAGTTGTCTGGAATTTTGAAGTTTGTTAATATATCATGCAAATTCTAAAATATTCTGTATTTCTATATTATGACTTAATATAAGTTTGTAATAGATAAAGTAATCATACCACCATATTACTTTTTAACTTATTCCCTTAAATAGATAAAACACCTTCAATGTAATTCAGATGAAATCTTCAGGATCTCTTAAAGTACTTAAATTTGATTTGTAATGTAATACTCTAAAGCTTATTAACCCATATTTTGAATTAATCATTAAAAGACTTCTTATTACCAAGCAATAGCAAATTATTAAGTTTGGGTATTTAGTAATGTAACTACATCACAACTTATTACCATTTTCACTTGGTGATAAACTAAATATATAAAATTTTGTATTTAAACTTTGCAAATGTTGATCCAGTTTATTATTTATTATTTCACAGTATAATAACTTTTGGTTGTTAGCTTGTTCTATAAGAGAACTTTCTTAGAATTAGAGATTCAAAGAGTAGGATAACAAAGAACTTTATTTAAAGTATACTCAGCTTCTAATTAACTAATAATACAAACAGTTATATGGATATTGAGGCAGGAATATTAATTTATACAAGTATTGTAAGTGCACCAAATCCTTGCTAGTCATCGGCCACACTACATAGAATATTACCAGATTCCATTTGAACTTAGGAAGCAAGTAGTGTAAAGTTTATTTAGTAATAGGATAGAATTACAGTAGATAGGATCAAAATATTATAGTCTTGTTACTTTTTTCCTTTTTTTTTTTTTTATCGTAATTATAGAGTTGATCAATCATCTTCTCTGCTACAAGTTCATTTGATTTAAGAACATGAAAAATATACTTTTACTGTATTTGAACCCTCATCCTTATGTAGTATCTTATTCAACTAGATTAAATATATTTATTCCGACTCCATTGAGTTCACAACCTGATAGTATATTATTACTAGTTTTAGTTATTAGGTTTATTATCTAATAACTCCAGACATATTATCATTTGGCGGCCTGTATAGTATATATCACCCGCTTCATGCAATACAAGTTATTGTAAAAAGTTTGTGTTACCTTATATTTAACGATAAAAAGCAAATAATTAATAGTATCTAAATGCATAGGAGAAGTCCTATTAGTATTAGGAATTCTTTACTTATATCTAAACGTATAGTTGACTCTAGTAATCCAACAGAAGAAATCCGATCTGGGTCAACATCTAAAGGTATACTAAAAGAAAAAGTAGCTGAATCAGCCAATGAATATAAACAAGACGCAGGTTCTCTAGAAACTAAGGTATATGGAAATTCACAATTAAGTGAAACAGATCATACTTTAAATAATCAGCTAATAGGTGCAGCGATTGATAATACTAAGAATACCCTCATTAAACATAAAGTAAGTTTAAGATACCATGATAATGGTAATGATACTAGTAGTACTAACAGCAATTTAGAACTACCTTTAGTAGAGAAACATCATTGTAAAGGTAATAATACAAATAATCATACACTACAATGCCATAGTAATATTCGCCTGCGCAGTTCACTAACTGATACTAAAGCCCAATCTGTACCTAGAGTTGTAATACTTGAAAGAACTCAGGAGGAAACTGTTAAGATAAATATAAAGGTAGCACCTGAAGAGCTCATAGAGTTAGATCAAATAGAATTTGGAGAAGTTATAAGTTCAGGAGCTTTTGGTGTTATTTACAAGTGCAAAGTTGATGGAATAAAAGGTAAGAATAACTCACAATTTGCAGTAAAACTATTTTTGAGAGATAAGGATACTGGAGGCCTTACAGAAGAACGTTTGGGATCTATTGAAGCTGAACTGAATTGTATAAGAGTACTAAAACATCCAAATATAACTGAATATTATGGAATACTAAATCCAAAAAGTGGTGAAATGGGATTTGTTATGGAATATATAAGCGGAGGTACTGTTTTTGATTTATTGTACAGTGGTCTTCATGTAGTTCCTATTTCAAGACGTATTGAATGGTGCATACAGCTAGTATCATGCATTGCATACTTGCATGAAGGGTGTTCCCCATATCGCTTTATACATAGAGATATAAAAACAATTAATATGCTCATTAACTCAACTGATTATTCAATAAAACTTTGCGATTTTGGAAATGTTCGTGAGCGTACATTTTCATACTGCCGTCTAGACAACAATGGAGGATCTATTCGTTATATGTCTCCTGAATCACTTAAAGTAGGGTCATTTATTAATGATAAGACAGATATTTGGTCAATAGGATGCTGTATAATTGAAATATGTGGTGGTGGTATTCCATACAAGGAATTTTTAGATGAGAATGCACTACTTGATAATATTCATAATGGAGGTCTACCAAGGATTCCATTGTTTTTCCCCCATTCACTAAGTAGAATTTGTTCTAAGTGCCTATCTATAGATCCAGATATGAGACCAACAGCAAGTAAGTTGTATCGTGAGCTAACGAAATTAGATATTGGACTGATAAGGAAAAGCTTGTTAGGAAAGTTAGATCTCCAACCTTGTGTACAATAAGTTAAATTAGAAATTTAATTTATAGTTTATTGACCCTATACCTGATTTTATATTTATATATGAGAATTTTTATTTCAGACAAAAAATATATACATCTTAATTAAGTGCTTTTTAGAGGGAGTAACTTAACAAAGTTAAGATTTCGATATACCGGTATTAAGGTATTGGATACAATGTAATACTACCATTTGGCGGTAACCAAACAGTATTTTAGGTGAACTAAAGGGAGTCTATATAATCAGAGTAGTCAGGTATTGACATCTTATTTGTTATGTGTTTAGATGGTAATATAATAATAAATAGATTACTGTCAACAGATCTTACATATGTACTTGATACACTGAGTCAACTATTGGAAAATCCTAGTTATGGGATATCGTCTCAACTCAAAAGTTACCTATTAGCCTCTCCATCATGTAGTGAGATATTGAATATATGGTCAAGGAATATATATGAAACTACCACTACGGTAAAGAAAAGTTGTTCAGAGGTTATTAATGGGACAATGCATGTAGAGACTTTGGAAAGATTAGTTATAATTAGAGTCTTGACTATATTATCAGTAATTTTGGAATACCCAAAACTCTCAAATACCTCTCATTTAGATGATGAAGGAAATAAGTATGCTTTTTTATATTCTCAGCGTCTAGCTTCAACTATAATTAATCAGTATTTGGTTTACATATATCGCCATTTAAGTTCGGCTTCAAGAAAGATTATTGGGTGCAGTTTTAGACTACTTTCAGCACTTGTAAATACTAGTACAAAACATGCTCAAGATATATTGTCTGACTTTAACTTTGCTCTTCCACATATCCAGTCAATAGATAGCTTATTTGATAAATTTACTGAGAAAAAAGTTTATGAGATATCTAAGGCTCAAGATGATCAAGTAGAAATTTTAGACAATCACATGAATATTAACAAGTATAATGAGGATTTTTCATTGGTAGACAGAATGTTTAATATAATAGAAGTTGAAAGAACTAATCCAAGAATAAGGATCCAATTTTTACGCTTTGTGCTATCATTTATAAAGATCTCCGTTTACAAGAAAAAACCATCTGAATGGAATAATAATATAATAATTGATTTTATGCATATTAAGAATTTTGGGAATAGAATATTTAAAAATATGATTTTTTATGATAAAATTGAAGATATTGGGGCTATTTTCATTGTTTTTTTTGAAACTGTGTTGAGAAATTCAAGCATTGCTACACACTTGAAAAGATCATTTCTAAATATGACAATACTAAATAATATCACCTATACAATGATAAATATATCAAAAAGTGTACCTGTTGAAAAACAGCTTGAATTAGTTATCAATGAGGAACAATTAATAATAGATTCTGCAGATGCAGACTTTAACAAGATCTCATATTCAAGATTAGAGATATTAAGAATAATAGGAAATATGACGGAATTTATAGCATGTTTACATGCTGAGAGAAGATCAACTTCTCAATTAAATAATTTAATTATTTTATGGCTTCAAAATATAAAGCCGATAACTAATCCAATTTTCTCGCAATTAGTCGTCAGTGTTTTTCGAAGATTATCGGTTCTAGATCAGATACAGTACTTAAAAGAGCTTCAGGTTCCCTTCAACCTAGAGAATTCATTACGTTGGATACTAACTTGTGGATTTTTGTCTTACTTGCTGGTTCCACCAGAGGATTTAGAGTTGAAAGAGAGTTTTTTGAACCACAACTTATACATTAAAGATTTTAATAGATTATCAGCCATTAGTTCAAAAGATGCTGATGAACTTGAAATACATGTGAGTAAATATATAAAGTCTAGGTTGTTTAGTGATATTAAGAATGAAAAAGATACTAAAAATAAAGTTAACTTAACATATGAAGACATATGTACTTGGATTTGTCCTCCTACTATTCAGAAAGCTATTTTAAACTTAGCAATTTTAAATACACCTGAAAAGGGTAATATCTTTATTAATATAGCTTCTGCTTCACTTATAATGATTATTACAAGACGTTTAGGTTTAATGAATACTATTATTGAGACATGTGATATTGGTATAGAAAATAGTGAAAATATAGATACTTTCGAACATTTACGTGATACTAAATTTCAGCTTATTGAAGATTTAAGATACCAAATAAATTATCATTGTATTCCAGAAATGAATACTATGATTAATATGCTTAGAAATATAGCTTCAGCTAATGCTGAGAGTTATGAAAGTGTCTTTAGTTGGTTCTTAAAAGGACTTAACCAATACAAGAACCAGTTTACTCTTGCAAATAATGACACTAATGAGGTGGAAGATATTGATGATGGTGTATTCATCAATATTAAATATGACAAAACATATTCCAGAGATTTAATGCAGGGATCTAAGACAGATTCACACAGAAATTTAAACTCTGAAGAATATTCAGGGGCAGAACAAGAAATTCACCTTTCAATATCTCATTATATATTAAGAGCAATTCCAAAAATGAAGTTACTTCGACAAAATAAAGAACTGTGTATTATTGATTTTTGTCCTCATTGCATTAAACTTAAATGTAATAGCTATGAATTACATACTGACATACCTAAGGTATATCTGGTGTATGGTATAATGTTAATTATTGTTGAATGCATACACTCAATATTGCATTCTGTTGGAATAGATCTTCTTTTAAGTACTGGATGCCGTTTCGATTGGACAAAGTTACTCACAGATTCTATGTTCACATCATTTTGGTTTAATGACATACTAATTAAATCCTTAGAGGACTCCCAAATAAATATTTTGATAAATTCTTTGGTTGATTTAATACTGGACTGTTTTGGAGGAAAATATCAACTAAGAACAAAGGGAAAGTGGAGTAAACCTTTAATGAACTTTTTGGATTACTTAGTAAATTTTGCTTTACTTGAAAATAGGAAAGCAGCTCTTTCAGATATAATTCCAATTTTAAGGGCAAAACACCAGGCAATATATCAAATGTTTTATTCAATCTGGGTTGAGCTATTATATCTCACAAATGTCTTTGATATAGATATATTTTTGTGGCTTTCTTGTCTAAATAATACAAAAGATAATACTAAAGGCATTACAAATCAAGTTTTGTATATAAAATCGTTTAAATTCGTAAATTCAATGTGCAGATATGCAATGAATAACCCTTTGGAGCTGAGGGGATTGATAAGCGGACTAACACAATATCAATTAGATAATAAGAAATACAGTCATATTGAGGAGTGTTCTACTAGTGAAAATAAAATCCTAGATATAGGATTTTATAGTATCTGCTTATATTTAAGTAATAAGAAGCGAGAAAAAAAATATCCAATTTTTGATATTCCAAATAATTATGCAAAATGCAATTTAAGTTGCTCTGAATTTAATTTTGCAAAAAGCTCAGAGAAATTACTAAATAATGAGGATGAAAATAAATATCATTCGAATAAACTAGATAATACTATAATAAATAGATTCATAATTCCTTTAGTTAAACTGATTATTCAAATAAATGGAACAAATGAATTCCTTCATTCTAAATACATAGCTGTTCTTAGTGAATACGATGAATGGGATAATTATGAAGAAGCTAGACTAAAAATTCTAAAAAAGTATCAAAAAGGCGGACAATTGATCAAATACGAATTTTTAAGATACTATATAGAGGATATTTGTTCCAATATTATACTAAATTTCAGCATTTTTTCATATGAATCATGTCTTTGTATAATATACAAACTCCTGACTACTTTAACATTATACAAACCTGAAGAAGCCTGTTTATCTATTCAAGTTATATTAAAGACCTTTGCTAATATTAAAAGAATTACTTATAGCAGAGCCAATCACAATTGCTTAAAGCTTCAAAAAGAAGATTATAATAGTGATTTGTATTATCAATTTAATATAAAGAAAGTAATAGACAACAACCTTAAATTGCAAGATATTATATTGGCATGGATTGAACAATCATGGGATATAGATATTTCAGATGAGTTGATAGGCTTTATAGATTTGGCCGAATATTTTGGATTGGATACTAATGGATTTATAAAAAAGGTCTTTGATTTAAATTCAAAGAGTGTTGTGGATCTGTTAGAGTTTATAAGGGCTAGATTAGGATCAACTGCAGAAAGCTGTGAGAATGGCGAGCATAACTCCTCTCCTTTATCTCCTCGTCTACTTAATATTTTAGAGACGATTGTAGATTTAATACCAACTAAGAAGCTAATTAAATTATTTCGAAATAATCTACATAATATAACAAATCATGAACCTAACTATAATTACTCAAGTGGTTTGAAAACTTTCAATGCTAGTATTATTTCCTATTTACTAAAGAAGTGGTCACAAATAAAGTTGAAGTATCTCAAAATTATTGCTGAGATAGTTTTATTTATGGATACAGAATTTGAATTTGGAGATATATCTGGTTACAGCAATAGGATATGTATATATTTTCCATTGGATTTGTTTGCTGTTAATATAGAGAATATTGAATTGAGCTATTTTATTTTAACGGAGTTTCTACCACTATTATACAAGAAATTTTACTCCTTTAGATTATCTGTAACAAGATTTATTTCTCTATACCTGTCTTACTCTACAAAATCTTGCAATTTGTCTGAAAATATAAATGAACTGAGCACCCCAAGTTATATGAAAGTTTATTCCACGTCTCAGAAAGTACTTGATATGGAAATAAAACAAATAGTTTATTCAATTCCTTTGACACTAGGAATTCTCTGTTTAAATGATATTTGTTGGACAAGGATTACTCCCTTATTAGAGTATGATTTTCAAGAAGACTTTATGGATAAACTTGTTGAAGAATTTAGTAATTTATTAGAAAGGTATCCAAAATTAGTTAGAGTTCTTGATTGTTTAATAAATCAAGGATATACCCCAAAATATGTTCTGAGTCATTATAATATACATGAGGAGATTAGAGATAAAAAACAATTATTAGAACTGACTCAAAACTTAGAACTTGAAAGTCGAAGAAATTCAATGGATAACTTTAGACCAATACAAATAATTATTAATTCAAGAATTATATTTCGCTTTATTTTTAAACTTGCTATCAAAAGTATTAAAATTTTGGATAATGTACCTATTATATCGGAGTATATATGGATATCTATTTTAATAAACTTTGAGTCAAATACTTGCAAATTTGAGTTTTCAAATACTAGTGAACTAAAAAAGTTGGTTGAAATTCTAACCACTTGTTATAATTGCTTACTAACAAATTTTAGCGAGCTAGTTCAAACATCACTGAAGATTATAGAGCAACAAAAAGGGAGTTCTATGGGGGAGTTATTAAATAAGATTCCACTTAGCGAGCTGATTCATAAATTTCTGATACTAATGCCTTGCGCCTTATATACTCAGATAAACCCAATACTTCCAATATTATCTAAGCTCCTTAATAGACAGTCTGATATGGAGGGAATAACCTATATTTTAGGTAGCAATAGCAACAGTATTCTTAAGTTGTTTGCTATCATAAAGGAACAACATACTTTAAATAATATAAACGAAAATGAAGGTTTTCATAGCACATCTAGTATATCAGCAAGATATCCAATAAGTTTTATAGATGCAAGTAAATATTTTGTGAACTTTGCAAGGATATTATTAGATAATTATCAAGTAAGTGATGAAGGTGATCTAAATGAAATTTTGATTTTCTTAGAACTACAAGTCATACTTTCCTTTTTACTATATATTTCAAAACTATATCAACTACAAGCAATGGACTTTAGGTTTAAAGGCCTACCAGCTTTTATTTTACTGAAATTAAATCGTATTCAGAGTATAGCTGAAAAGATTTACAAATTACAATTTAATTATTTTAATAATATAGAGAATTCTGGAATATTTAGAAGTCGATTTAACTCAATGGTAGATATGCCTCGAGAGTTCTCTGATGATTGCATGATATTTTTATCTGGGTCATTCAATTTGTTTTTATTTGTTGAACATATATTGACTCTTCAAGATAACTGTATAATAAAAAATAAAAACTTCTTTGAACCCTTTCAGGAATCTTCTATTTTCAACTACTTATCTAAGATTGCATCTTCAAGATTTTCTGCAAATATGTTTTCCAGATCTAGTACCAATAACTCACTTTGGAGAAATATTCTTATTTACTCTGCACTTTATAGGGCTAGGGATACTAAAAAAAGTGTTATAAAGCCTTTATCTATGCCAAACTTTAACAATTCTCAGCTATTACATGATGAATTAAGAGAAGATAATTGTAGCATCGAAGTAAACAGTCCTTTAACCAATGAATGGTATCATTCGTATATTTCAAGTTTAAAAAATTTTATAGATGATAGGTCTAGTCTGCAATATTTTGATTGGCTAAATCCAAGTCAGGAAAGACTCAAATGTACATTGAAATCATTTCCTTATAATTCTAAGCTATTTAACTTATCTTTTCAACAATCAAACAGTTATTTAGAACTTGATTTACTTCAAAATAACTACCTTATATATGATATTGGTTATGTTGTTCCTGTAATAGTAGCTCGATTTAGATTAGCCTATTCTATAATAAGAGAGAGAAATCTAAGAAAGGCTCGTGAATTAAATTTTAAAGTGCGAATCAATAATTCTGTGGAAAGAAATAATTTAAGAGAATTTATTACTGTAGATTTCGATAAGGGATATCCGGCAAGTGAAACTTTAAAGTTTTCTAAAAGTGCTGGTTTTTTAGAAGAAAAAGATTTTGAGATTATAAATAAGAGTATTTTTGGCAATACAATAGATGAAGGCTTCCAATGGCTGAATGACTTTTGTCAAAATGGATCTTTACAAATATTGATTTGTGCAACTTCTTGCACTGATAAATATTTAAGGTTTATTGCATATAATGGGTTGTCATTAGTATTTGAACTTATAGAGTTTACCTTTAACAAAGTTAATGAAAGAAAGAACAGACTTAAAATGAGGATGGAGTTAGAAAAAGACTATGTAGATACTCATGAGGAAAATAAAAGGAATGCTAGGGATTTAGATGAAGAGAATTATATGGATGTTTTGGATAAGAAAAAGAGACGAAAACTTACAAAGGGACATAATTTGATAAGATATGGGTTTAAGGAGCTACCTCAAATACTTGCACTTTTAAATGCTTTTAAGGGAACAGTTAGTGGTGCAGTTAAACCTGTAGAAGAGCAAGGTATCAAAAAATCTCGTGAAGAACCACAGTCACTATCATTGAAAATTAATAACCATATTCCCATGGTGAGGATGTCTTCATTTGTTACATCATTTCTATCAATGAGCATTGATGTTATTTTTCTTCCAGAATCTAGCATGTATAAATTAGTAAACTATTTTCTGCTATCCCGTAGTTATATAGATAGATTTGACATCCCTCTATTTTTCAGTTTATTTTATCCTGAATCCTTGGAAGAATCGAAGACCTTTAAGAAATTTATATTTGATGTCTTAAAGTGTGGTTGTAGCATATTTAAATATCTTGAAATAGCTAAATATAGCTTAATTCAGCAATTTGATGGTGAAAGTGAACAGGAACAAGATGCATTAAATCGCAGATTTGTAATCCCTCTAATTATAACCAGCATTAAATGCCTTAATCAATATTCATATAATGATTATATTTTTACTTTAAGCAATATTTTGGATATTTTAATTGAGCTTTCTGATTCAGGAATTTTTTCTAAATGTGAAGTAGATATTGTTGATATGCCAACTTTTCTTATATCATTTTGTGTTCCCGACACTTTTAGATCCAATTCAAATGAAGATGTACAAAGTTCAAATTATAAATGGAATTATGCACATTCTATAGTAATACAAATGGTTAACCAATACTCAATTTTTGATTTGATTACACATATATCAGAAAAATTCGAGAATTCACCGAATTCTAAGGTTCAACAAGCAATTATCTCTAAGCTAGTTGATTTGGTCTGGAATATTTGTCTATCTGGATTTATAAACAGTGACTATATTTCTAATAAATTGAACCTGTGGACTCTGCATCTCAAATATAATTCAGAATACAACCAACACTTACTACGCTTTCTTGGAGGCTATCATAACGTATATTGCACCTTCTACAAAGTATTTGAGTGTATAAAATCATTAAAATTTCATAAGCACAGACTATCAGCAAATTCTATAAATAAACTTTTACAGTGTTGGAATCTCAGTTTGTATGCTCTAATTTATACTTTAAATAATTTGTTTGATGTAGAAAATATCGGCATTTTTGAGACCTTGATAAGTGATTTCCAATCGTTATATACTGATTTTGTGAAGTGAGATTGTGCAAGCTATATACTGCTGTATACTTATTAGATCACAAATATATATCATTACCAAAGTGAACTTACTTATAAAACTGACAAGTTTCAAATTAAAAAATTACTATTTAGTTTAATATTATTTTGTTTTCATTTTGGTGGTACAACTCATAAGTTTACTGTATTGCAACTTTTTGTTTGTCCTCTATATATTACTCCTTAAATATGGATTCCAATATAAAAGGCAATTGTTATAATATCCTTATATTGGCAAGATATTCTATTACATATATGATGGTCTTTTTGAGGATTTAGAATAGTCAGTACACTGGAATATGAATAATTTTGAGATCCTATAGTATATCGTAACAATAAGGTGAAATAAGTATTTTAAAAGGAGTTTTCTAAAATAAATATGATAAAAAAGTATAGGTGATTAAAAAGATAACTATATAACAAAGTATTGAGTATCTATAAGGTACTTTAATACATATAAATAATACTATAGGCATGTTGATTATAGTAATGATGCCGAAGACAGCCCGCTTACATTAATACCGGGTATAATTTTGAAATTAGAATGATCATAAAGAGAGTTTAAACTCCATCTTTAATAGAGCTATATACAAGAACCTTGCCTTAGATACTAGCTTTAGAGCAGAGGTTTACTTTTATTTAAACTGGGGTTAGCAAAGTTAAGGTTTGCATTCTATATATAGACTTGGAGAATATAAACTAATAAGAAGGGTAGTGTAATCAAACAGTAATTTTAGGTATTAAAGATAGTTTGCATATTTGATTAAGTTTAGATTGCATATTTAAATATGGATTTTTCATACAACATAGATGCACGGAGAGGTGCTTGGGCAGATGAAGATATAGATGATTTTGAGCCATCTTTTGATCATCCATTAAAAGGGTTTGAATCTAAGCCAGACAAGGATGGTATTAAACATGTAATAAGTTATATAAAGGATAGTAAAGGAGCCACTGTGAAGATAACAAAAAAGGTTAGGGAAATTAGAAACATTAGGAAGATTAATATGAATATAGTCCGTAGACGTCAAATTATGGAAGAGAAGTTGGGGAAAAAGTATAATTCTGATATGGAGATGCCTAAGTTAGGTGATGAAATTTCAATTGAATTATCTAAAAATGCCGACTTTGATAGTCTGAATGAAAAGGAGAGTGATGCAGACTATTATTTTATGGACTTGCCAACATTTAACAGTAACAAGGCAAGTAATTTTAAGAAATTAATGAATTCTGGGTTTGTATCAAATGAAGATCCTATAGAGAAGATTACTTATGGTCAAATTGGCTTAGGGCGTGAGGGTAGCTTGATATCATCTGCTGGGCCAAATACCGGAAATAATTTAGCTGTAGGAGTCTTAACTTCTAGTAGTAATGTACAAGGTACATCATCAGGTGTTGGACTAAATACTAACGAAAGTGAGAAAGCTAGATATCAGCCTCCATTTTTACGTGGAGGATCTTCTTCATCTTATGATAGGAATGTAAGCTTGCAATCATCACACAGAGATGACTGTACTGTTCGCGTCGCAAATCTATCTGAGGATGCAACTGAAGACGATCTCCAGGAGCTTTTTAAGACTGCTGGAAGAGTTGTGAAGGTATTCCTTGCTAAAAATAAGAATAACACAAAAAATACTAAAGGTTTTGCCTTTATAACCTATTCTAAGAGAGAAGAAGCTCAAAATGCTATAAGGAAGCTTAATCGTCATGGTTACGATAACTTGTTACTCAATGTAGAGTGGGCTAGAACAAAAGATAAGTAGTTCAAATGATAAGATAGTTATAAATGAAGTTATTTGTCTACCTATGTTTTTCTTGTACAAATGACAATAGCACTATTACCTACAGTTAATACAATATACGGTGGAATATCAATTGATATATTTATTAATTAGCAAGGTGATTATGAATTTCCTTGTTCTCTATTGTAAGATCTCCATGAATGAACCCTTCTTTAAAGTTATGTTTGTATCGTCTAAATAACCCATTATTTGTGCCACATGCAATCTCCATACCGTCACTATCATAGTGTAATATCACAATATCCTCTGATTGATCACAAATATCACAATATACCAGTCCGATCCGATGACCATCTATTAGTGAGTGTATATAAATTGCTTTTCTTAATGAATTTGCAGAGCTAAGAGAGTTCAGCTCGGGATAAATAGGCGCACTCAATCCATCATTAAGTTCAGGACTCAGTAAGGAGTATATACCTGAGGGACTATTCATATTTGGAATTTCATTAGGCCATTCACCAACATTTAGTTCTGGAGGTTTTATTACCTTTTTATTAATATATTCGAAGTACTTTGAAGCTTGGATAAATTGAGGTGTCCTACAAATCGTTCTCTCTGTATATTCATCATGTTCGTATTCATTCATTCCATCTGTATCTTCTAAAAATAAACCACTACTATATGCCATGATTATTCCTTTCTTGTAACATACATTAACACAGTCAGCTGTCTTTATTCCTGGCAAGCTAATACTAAATTTTTTCTCTATATAGCCTGAGTTACTGCAAAGCCATACATCAATTTCATCGCAGGATACTGTTAAGAAGTACGTACTAGTAGTACTATCTACTACTTGATCATAAAATATAAATGCTTTTGGATGAAAATCCCTAGTTTTGGGTACTTTTCTGCATATGTGTGATAATAAGTCCCAAACCCTGATAGATGAGTTTTCTTGCTTTATAAGTAGATATTCACGATGTAGCTCCAAAAATTGAATATCAAGAGATGATCTCAGTTTAATAATAGTCTTTCCCTATAATAATAGAGGATTTTGTTAAATTTCCAAAAACTTAACCTCTCATAACCTTACCAAATGTCTTCCATCCATTATACCACATAGATGTGCTTCAATAGTTGAGTGTGTTGGCTGACTAAAACAAGCAGTCAATATTTTTTATTATTGATAATTTCATTTTTAAGACTAACCGAAAGAATACAACTGTTCCATCTGATATCCTCATTTCCAAAAATTCTTGTTTGCTGATTTCATACAATTTCTTATAGTTTCTCATATCCCAAAATATGAAATCGTCATTGTGTGGATCTGCTACAACGATTCTTTCATTTCCATCTGCAAAAGTAATAGCATTTTGATATCTTTTGTTAATTTTAATTTACTAAGACGTACCATCAAATTCTATAAATCCTGGGCTTCCCACTTTAACTTGCTGAAAATCTTCACAATCAGAATTAATTAAACTCTTTTTCTCCTTAATGTCTCGAATATTAATTATAGCACAGTTTAAAGTAGTTGGATCGTGATGATACGCAATTACCAAAGTATCATTGAGCTTGTTGTAGAATAACGACCTTATTACTAAAAAAAGCCAATATATAAATTTAGGAAGCCCAGTATTTATATATACTTACTTTCAGAAGGGGATCTATTTAATACACAAAGTAAGTTATTATTGTATCGGCAGTAAGCCGCTCCAAGTCCAGAGTCATTTCTGAAGGGAAATTTCAATAAGCAAGTATAAAGCACGAAATTTCATTCAGTACAAACTTACAAGATGAAGAATATATCTCTACTGAATACTATTTCAGTAATTTTAGAAGGTTTACTAAATTTGCAGTGACCACGTATCTCTTGGGGAACATCATTAATCATATTTATGATACTACTTAGCATTAGTCTCTTAAATTCCAATTTCTGGGATATTGAAGGTGGTATATGATAACTTGGATATCTTGATTCACCATGGTACTTAAGTTGCAGTAATCTCCTTGCTACTTGTATAGAGATTTCACTACTTTTTTCATATTGAATTCTCTCTCTCTTCTTTCTATTCATCTTTAGGTTTATCTTTAATTGTTAAAAATGACGTGTCTCATGCATCTGATTATGTGGATATTTGCATGCATGTATCAATATCAATACCGGTTCTAGGTCTATTTTTCAATACACAGACATTATAGTTACAATTGTTGCTAATTTAGGTTAATTATTCCGCAAGTTATAACTTATATTGAAAGAGTAAAGTGGTACTTCAAATGCTTAAATAATTACTATTTTTATGCAGAAAGTATTAATCTAAATATTGTAAATGTTCATAGATTTCTTTACACGAATCTTTGAATATATAAAAAGTAGGAAATTAGGAAATTGTTTATTGTCAATGATGTGAATATTAAAGATAGTTACACCTATGTTTGATTAACCGCTTTCAGTTTCCCGGATTTAAGTTATCAATCAGTATTTGCAGATTATAAAATTAAATATGGATTGCCTTGATAATATCTACCATGAAAGTTTTAAATATATATACATACCATATCATGAAAGTGATAAAGTTGAACAAATGGAGTTCTCTGGAAAAGAGGGGCATTTTCGAAAACGTTTACAGCAGCATTTCCGTAGTAAACTTAGAAATGAAGAAATAGTGCGTCTACAGAAAAGTATACAATTGGAAACTTCTATATCTGATTCTTTACTTGGAGAAGCTATAAACAGTAGTCAAACGTATGAAATTATTAGTTTAATACTTCCAAAAAAAGAAAATAACTATCGTGCTGTTAATGCATATATTGACTCTGTTGGGAGAATTAAAGATATGCCTATTAACCCTCGTGCATCTAGAATATGTTCTAGTAATATTCGTGGAGATTGCTTCATTTCGGCTTCATTTGATAATGAGGATATCTTTAAGAGGGTAAACTTTACTATTGAGGATTATGAAATAATGTACAACAATCCACCACCTAAAGAAAATAGATGGGATGTTTCGAAAATTGGTGATATAATAAATAATCCTATAAACGCCTTCTCAAACAAAGAGAAAGCTGACTTAACAAGGTGTGAGAATTGTAGAATAACTTCCTTGCCACTTATGAGGTGTGGAAGATGCAAAAAGGTCTTATATTGTTCAGTTACTTGTCAGAAAGAAGATTGGAAATATCATAAAAGAATTTGTAAATAGCAGATAAATATAAACAAAGTTTAGGTTTAGTTTTAATGATCTTCCCATTTTCTGAGTGTAAATAATTTCAAATATACTCGAAAAGATGGTAGTAGTAATGGTAAGTATAACTTTTTTTTTTAAATGTAAAGATTTAGAGCTCATCTCTTGCAGTGTGGATCCATATGAAATCTAGAAGAGCACTTACTTCCCTTTCACCATCATATATTAAAGGTTTATGTTTACGTTTTTTTGTATATAGCCTAATTGAAGGGAAACCTACAATTGGTTCACCAATGAGGTGGTCAGGCACGTCATTTGCAGACATATCAATCTTGGAAATCCGGATATGATGCTTTGATGATACAATATTAGCTACTTCAGTATATATAGGACTAAAGGCTTTACAATGACCACACCAGGGTGTATAAAATAAAACCAGTACATCCTTGTTTGAGTCGTGAACAATTGACTCAAAAGTTTTTCCAACAACAATGTATACTGGATTACTTTGTTCTACTGGAACTTTTTGAGATAATGATGAGTGGTATATATTACCAATTTGTATATCTTTAATAAAATTGGTCAATATTGAGGAGGATAAGTGAATTACTGTATTATCATATATAACTAATTCAGTATTGTCCTCATCTTCCACTGAAGATAAATGATTTATTTTATAATTCACATGTACTGGAGTCGTTTTAATATTTAATTGGTATATTTTTGGTGGTGAAGTATTCAGATCTTCGATATATTTTATAATTGGTAATTCATTGTCTGAAATATGGAAGTAGTCCATTACTCGTCTCTCAATAGGTCTTTCATTTCCAGATATAACAAACAGTATTGATTTACCGACTCCTTTAGCAGTATCTAGAAATATAGCTTGAACTTTAGAAGGTATTGAGGAAGGTTGATATTGCAATAGCTTATCATCTAAACTCCCTGTATGACCTCTAAAGAAACCAATTAAAACAGCCCTCTTACCAGAGAAAATCTCTCCTACTGTCCTACTTGTAAGTAAAAGAGTATAAGGTAATTTCTCATTGTCAATAAAATCAATGAGTTCCTTTTCATTAATTATCGGTCCATTCAAAATACTCGGTCTATTTTCAAATGGTTTGAAAAGAATAAATACTGAGGAATCTACTTTTGATTCAATATCGAATTTCTTAAAAATATCTTCACGACTTACAGTCAATAAAGTCACATTTAAATTACTATTATTTCTATATTCAATTAATTCATTTTCCGAAGTTGTAATTTGAGCAAATATAACATCGTCTGTTATTTTTGCGACATTTCGAAAAATAATAAATTCCTTCTCATTTTTAACCCTCGGAGGTATATATATACATGCAAGTAGATGCAGTGATAAGAGTTGTGTAATATCGTTGATTGAATTTAATTTAACTATGAAATGCGACTTTAAATATGTGATTTTTTTGTGCATCCATGTGAATATCCTCTCACTATTAATTGGTCCATTATAATCATATATTCTATAGGTATCATTTTTTTTGAGAGATATTAACTTGATATCTGGATAATCAGAAACATTCATTTTTTCGGACAAACCTGTATATTTGGATATATCAACAAGTCCAACAATTGGTTCTATATATATATTAATTTCAGATATTTTATACTCTGAGAGCTTGTAAGTGACTTCTTGAAGTTGATTTATAGCTTTTCTACTCATTCCACACCATGGAACAATAAACCCAGTTAACACAAACTCATGATCTTTTACAAGTTTATTTAGGTGTTCTTCTCCAGTTATATTGTAAATTATACCTCTTTTATTTGAAGTACTCAATATATAGTTAGTATGATCAGCAGAGAAATTCTTAGCATTCAATTTTATACCAGGATTTAAATCTTTTGTTGAGGCTTTAATTGGATAGTTTATAATATTGGAATCTTCAGAATTTGCAACTATACATAAGATCAACAATATTATAGATAATAAATTCAAGATAAGGATCTTAATATGCATAAGTCCAGCTCAATAGTTATAATTCACTTTATAAAATCTATATAGCGAAGTATATTACTGGCTTTTTAATAGGAAATGATGAAATGTATAATGAAACAATGCGTCACTTTTTTTCAAATGGGGGCGCTACTTAAAAATTATTTCTATAATTCATTCTGACAGGGGTATTTAGGGTAATTTTTGACAATTAAATATTTATTGCTAGTAAATTGATAGTTAAAACATATATTGTTTATATATACAATTAAAATAAATTTTATGACCTATAAAACTGTAGCTATCTATAGAGATAATGAAGGAAAGCGAATTGACGAGGAAATATGGCTGAATGAGCGTATTAAAAAAAAGAAGCAGAAGTTAAAGGAAAGTAAGGTAACTATTCAAAAAGATTTGCCATGGTCTACCGGAATTATTCAACAAAAAAGGCTAGAGAAAGTATTGAATAGCAAAGAAGTTCCTCACGAACAATTTATAAGATTTGATGGTAATAAATCAATTGACGAGGAACTTCGCAATAAAGTTTATTGGGATGATCCTTTATTCTTAATTAATAGCAAATTAGTGAATTTAAATTCGGATAAGAAGATGATTTCACCAAATAATGCAATAAAAAGGTTGAAATGTAGATTTCTATCTCCACAGAATAGGTTTGGAATAGAGGCTGGATATAGATGGGATGGTGTGATTAGAGGAAATGGTTATGAGGAAAAATTACTACTTAGATTAAATAATAAGGAGGATAGATTTAGTGTACTTGGTGACTTTGAGTGAATTATTCTAAATTTTATACTATTACGAAGATATTTGATACTATTTTAATTAAATTTCGAGGATATACAAATATCGTGAATATGTCGATATAAATAAATACATAAAGTGCGAGTAGTACAACCATTTATTTTAAATATGACTGAACTTAATATTTGTATATTGTAAAAGATTTTTTTTTTTGTAAATATCGAGAGATGAGGTTAACATTTCCAAAGTTTACGTTATCAAAGAAATTGGGATCTTCAAACAAAGTTGAAGAGATCAATAATGGTATTGTTAAGTTTGATATATGTGAACAAAAAGAAAATATAATACAAGATGAATATACGAATAAACTTCTATTTTTACCAGAATATAGGGTTGCAAGCAATATGTTTAAATACACGATGGAAAATAACATAATTATACAAAGTAATTATATCAAAAATAAAGGTGATAGTAACAAAAAAGAGAAGAAGTCAAGATATGCAAATATTCCTAAGAAGGGAGTAAATTCACTATCTGGAAATTCTGAAGTGGATGATAGATTATGTATCTCAAAATGTAAGAGTGCTAAGGTAGAGATACCAATAAAGTTGAAGATGGTTGGCAGTAGTTTAGCCCTAACTCCACGTAGATTACTATCATCATTAAGCCCAAAATTTTCCAGACAATCAACATTAATAACTACACCAAGGATACTATCGAGTAATCAAGAAATTAAAGATGCATTTCCACAGGTTAAGCTAATAATGGATAGTAAATGTAAAGAATTTATAGATATATTATATAAAACTGATGTATGGGAAGATAATGGATATAAAAATGGTGTTAGATTACAAAGAAAAGTTAATGATAAGAACTATATGGATTATTCTGTAATTCGTGGTATAATAGAAATAGATCTTGATAAAGAGAATGAATTAAATAATAAGAGAGGTTTACCTTCACTATATAATTTATGTGATATAATAACCCCAAGTGATTTTATCAACTACATTTGGAGTGTTGATCCATTAAGTTATGATAATACAATTGAAAAAAGTTATCGTATACACACATGGGAAGATGATTATCCAGGATATTGTGTTTATTATCATGCATATAGGGGGTCAATGGGGGTTCAATCCCGTGATTTTGTATTACTTGGTCATAAAAGTATAGTTGATACCGGATGTACAAATAAATTGTCTGATGGTAGTGAAAATACTCCTACAACAGCTTCAACATTTTATTCTCCAAAGTCAATAATCACACCATTTTCATCACTAAAGGTGTCTGTTTTACAACCATCTGTACATACACCAACATCTTGTAAATCATTGAAGTCATTGTCAATACTTAGAGAGAAAAGCCATATATATTCTCCAGCAATATTTATTGCAACTGATTTGAATGATATATTAAAGCAAGATACTAACGTTACAACACATAGGGTCCGTGCAAAATGTATAATGAATGGAATTTTAGCTGAAATGACTAGAAATAAAAATAATAAGTCAATAATGACAATTAATGTGATTTGGATTGGTGACTTAAAAGGGAAGTTACCTGAATTTCTAAAAAAAGCATTATTATCAATGTCAATAAGTATATTAAAAGTACTTAAAGATCAATATCTTCAAATGAAGAGGAAACAACTAAAATCTATTTTAGGGGATATTAGATAGTAAAGATAAATCAAATAGATTATAGATAACACAGCTAAATAAATAGAACTCCAAATAGATAACCGCAACTAAATAAAGAGAAATCAATTGTATTTTCTTCAAAAAATTGTTTAAATTTTATATGAAGTTGTTGGAGTCTTTTATGTAGATTTATTTGATCTGTATTTCCATCAATAAATCCTTTTAATGGTTTCATAAAACTTTCATCAATAATTTCACTTCCACAAACATTCTAAAAAAAAAAAGATTTTAAAAAAGTAGGAAATTTAAATATCTATGTTTTGTTGGTGTAAATTGGTTATTCTTTAATGCAATGATTCAATAGAAATACTCAGTTCTAAACTTGTTTGAATTTGTTAAGTCAATAAATTGAGAACTTCGTCAACTTACCAACATGAAGTAAATATATCCAATTATCCCAATAGATATTATTGAAGTTTTAATAGCCTTTTTACCGATGTAGGAAGATCCAATTCCACATAATAGTGGTAAGAAATATCTCATAGTTATGGTTGTAGTTTTCCCAAACTTTTCTATACATATTTCTTCTAACTGTCGGAAGTTCCTAGCAGAAATTAGGCCATGTAATATTCTCTTTTCTTTTTCTATTAATTTACTATTCTCTTTATTTCTTCTATTAATCATTTCTTAAAAAGTTCAAATGACATAAATAAGTATAATTGAAAGTAAGATTATTGATAATTTCGTGTTAATGTGTGTCAGACTATACCGCCTAGGTTACTCTTAAATTCCCTTAGAGCCTTTCTAAATTTCGAACATGTCAGTGGATAGTGTCATATTGGACATTACGCCTGACTATTTAACAAATATTGGAAATGAAAAGAGAAAGCAAAGTGAACTTAGGAAATATAAGTGGTAAGACTTCTTTCATTTCTCTCCTTAAAGTGATAAATTTCTAAAATAAGTTTAAGGAGAATTAGAAAGATTAAACATATAGGCAAGTGAATGGATTCACTTTGGAATTACTCCTACTCTATTATACAGATTCTTCTAACAAGGGTTCATTTATTGATGTGATTGTCCAAATGCACCAAAAAGTTGGAGATATATTTGAAGATCACTTTAATGTAATTCGGTAAGTTGCTAACGTTGGCCTAGCTTAATATTAAATTGATAAATATTTGGACTATAAACATCCAATAAAGCCAATTCAAAGTAATCTATAAGGGTTAATTTGTTACTGTATTGCAATTTCCAGAGATTTAAATATGAGGATAAATCAAGAGATTGATAATATTAGTGTAAGTTTCATGAGACTTAACGATAGGTTAGATCAAATAGATAATGGTTAATCACTTAATATTATTTATTTTGTTTTATTAAATATATTCTGCAGAGACTTATTGAGGAGGAGGAAGCCAAGAATAAGGAATTATTGGGCCGACAAAAAGTCCTTGAGAATATATTGAGTGATTTCATGAGTTCTCTGCAGTCTAGTATCACGAGTAATAAAACTCAGAGGACTTCTTAATTTAATCAAACTTCTGATAAATGTGATGATTTAGTATCTTATTTATTAGTTAAATAAATAAAAATATACATTTGATTATTTCTATTCTTCAATTAACTAGATACTGCTTGTTTAAATCAATCACTTGTTTCTACCTGACTGCAAGTATTTGTATTTGTTCTGAGTACAGCCTCTCCACTGGCTACTGCTCGCAATCTACATTGTATAGCCAAACGTTTTGCTTCTTCAAAACCATACTTCTTAACATAGAAGTGTCGAGAGTGTCTTTTTCTATGTTGGTCATACCACTCAGCTACCCACTCTTGATCCCGTGTTTTCCAATATACTCCTGGAATTCCAGACTTGTAATTTGCAGAAAGAGTAGTTGCTGCTATATGATTGCTTCCTCCAGGTGTAATTCCACCTGAAGAATCTAACATAGGGGAATTACTCAATGTCGTTGACTGTGTAATACTTGATGATGATTGCGGGGAAGAAGGAGTAGGAGCTATATTTGGGGACCAGGAATTATTATTTTGAAGCCCCATATGACCATTTTGCACTAGTGGTGGCAACAAATTTGAGTGTTTTGCAGAATCACCTTCAATAGTAGTATTTATATTTGAAGCTATACTTGTATTGTTTATATTCCAAGGTATAGAGTGTGGAATTGGATTAGGTGATCTTGCATTATTGCTTGTATCACTTGATGTAGTAGCTAGTGGTTGTAGTGATTGGTCAAATAGATAAGGACTTATATTAGAGGCTAATGGGTGTAGAAATTGGGCAAGATATGGACTAGTTGGTGATATTGCAGTTGCAATTGTTATTGGGTCAATAATAGGGAGTTGTGCTTTATAATTATTTAGAGTTGAATTTCCATGTAATCCTGTATTTGAAGAATTTGTTAAGTCTGAAAAAGAGTGAGGATGATGCAATAGTGTAGAATTCGGTGAAGTTATTGTTAATAGTAGATTATGAGAAAGTAAGGAGTTACCAAGATAAGACATCATTTGTGAAAGTTGCGGAATTGTTTGGTTGGATACTGTTGGTATTACTTTTTGATTACCAATAATCATTTGGTTGAGTGAATAAGGTAGTTTTCGATTTGAATTTTCAATTATTTCCTTGATTTGTTCACAATATTGTGTACACATTTCGCGTCTCCATTGAACAGCCTTAAATCTAGCTATATCAATATCATTTTGTATCTCAGATTGAAATGCCTGAGTTGAAGTTTCCTTTGTAATAGGGTTTAACCAAACTGCTATCCATGTTTGAGTTATAGGATGCCAAAATATCCCTTCATGTTCTTCGTCTTCCTTCAAATTTTTCATTTCTTCAAAGAATACTGTGGCAGTTCCATTTACAGTATTGTTAGAGCTATTCAAATTTGTTTTTAGATCCTTATTAACTCCATTTAAATAAATCTCATTATTAGTTGTCATACTTTGAGTATAGGAATTACTATTATTTCCCAAATTAAAGTTATTTATAAGGTGTGAAGAAAAACTACCTACGAGATTAGCTGCATTTGAGTACATAAGTAAGTTTAAAGCCAATGTACTTTTTAGTTGCTCACTCACATTATCATTCACTAGCTGTTCTAAAGTTAAATGTTTGACTGAATTCTTCGCTACCACAGGTGTATACATGTTATTTTTATTTAAATTGCTGTTAATGCAATTACTGCTGTCACTATCATATAATTTTCTAGCTGTTGCCTTTCCATTTTCAATAGCATCCAATCTAGATCTAATAGCCATCTGTTTAGCTTCTTCAAATCCATACACTCTAGCAGAAAATCCATGTGTTATTCTTCTACCAGTTGTAGAGTCACTCCATTGGGCAATCCATCTTTGGCTACTTTCCTGCCAATAAACTCCTGGAACTCCACTTTGATGTTCTGATTTCCTTGGTCTATTCGATAATGGTGGTGAGTCATTTGTAATTGCTTTTGAATTGTATAGTTTTGGAGAAGTATATTGAGTTTCTGGTGATGGGCTATATGTACAATATGATTGAGGTGAGGTTGTAACCAATTTCTTTTCAATATCTTCATATTTGCCATCCATTTCTGGTATAAATCTACTAGATACAGTTGATTGTGTCCTCTGTGAAGTGTTATCTTTACTAACAGTCTCGTTTGTTACTTTGTCTTCGTTACATAACTTATCCAATCCACCTTCATCTTCATATACAGAATCTTTACCTTCTGTATTGGTGCTTATTTCACTATTTATTGAGCATTTATCCCCTTGAATAGATTTAACATTTAAATTTTTTTCTTTTGATTCAATTTCGCTATATTCCTGTCTATTATCAAAAGATGAACATAAATGATCACTTATTGGTTCAGAAGCTTCCATCCTGTTCAAAAGTCTTATTATGTCTAGATTTTTTTTTATTTTATATTAGCATATATTTATGCGATATCTTGGTATCCAACGGTCTCTGATGTAATATGAAGTCAGCAACTGACGCACATCACATGCATGATTAGAGTGAATCTCTCGTTATATAACCAATTCTCCATTCTTATCTCGAAATGGATCCTATATAATAACCCTTTAAAGTTAAATTACATGCATGTAATAGTTATACAATTATCCCGATACAACTGCATGCATGCAAATAAACAATTAAGTTCCATGATTATAAATATCCTTTTAGAAGTCACTAAGATATTAGTATTTTTGTACTTATTAAAGTATAATCATTAATATCTCAATTTTTAGTTATAATTCGTCCTTTATTTGGGTAAGTATAGACTTTACATATTCATTATCGCTTACTTGTGTACTATAAGAGTGTGAACGTTCTATACCATGTTTTAAATTTGTTTTATAGCCAATATTAATACAGTATTCGACAAACATTGTAAAAGCTAAGAGAAACACTGTAGTTAGTAATATATATTTGATGAACTTGAAAAGTTTTCTATGAGAACTATTATTACTTCCTGTATTTGTAGCCAGTATACCTATAGTGTAATCGGCACCTGAAGATATAATATAGTCAGTAGAATTAAAAAACTGAAGTCCAGTAACTGGTAAATCATGTAGGTGAAATGACTGGACCCATTTAAAATCATTATTATAATTCCGAATCAAATATATACCCCCACTATTTGTGCCAATAGCAAAGTATTGATGATCGGTACTAATTGTCATAATTGAAGATGGTTTATCATTAACAAAAATAGAGCTCAATTGCATCAAAAAAACATCCAATTTATTAGAGTTATTTTTGTCTATAAAAGGTATTTTCATATTCCATAAAGTTAAAAATGATGATCCTCTTAACTCGTGTACTAATAATGAAACTTTATATTGTTTGAATTCATCAAGTTGGGTAGATTTACCAATATCTTTAATAAATCTGCATTGTCTAACTATATAGGTACTATTTTTCATAGGAACAGTGAATTGTTTAATTATTTGCCTGGTGCTACAGTCATGTACAAGAACATTTCCACTTCTACTAGCAGATATTATATAATTGTTATCAAGTGTTATATCAACATCTAAAATTTCTTGATCATGACCAAAATACTCCTCAACAGACTCTGGTTTAATTTTAGATTTATCACCAGTTAATTTCAGTGTCCAAACTCTTACAATACCATCCGTTCCTGCTGTCAGTAACAACTTGCCATCTGTTGAGAATCTGGAAATATTTTGTTTTCCTTTTGTTTTAGAGTCCCACACACTTTGAAATTGCAAATGAATTTCTATTCGAGTATCATCTTTTTCTTTAGATAGTGAAAATATTATACATGTATTTTTGATCCCACCAGCAACGATTTGAAAAGTGCTATTATAACTCATTCCGTCTACCACACCATTTTGTTTTGTTGTACCATACAAATAACGTAGTGAGAGGGAACTACATACAGAAGATTTATTATTTGAGCTTAATGTTAGTTTAACTTTTTTGTCATTTTTATCTACAATATCAAAAACTTCCAATTGATCTTCAATTCCATATTCTTTACCACCTCCACCTCCACTCACAATAATTTCTTTGTCTGTACAGCATAATCCAAAAACTGGATAGTCTGCATAATAGATTGCCATTTAATTTTCAGTACACTTATTGCTAATAAGTGTCTACGGTTATTAAACTTTAATAAAAATGTGTAGTTTATATGAAAAGTTAGGAATATATCTCGTATATTCTTAGAATTGGAGTTGACTACTCTTAGTCTCTAGATTAATTCCAAAAAGTATCTTTGCTTTTGTGGTACTTTCCACTTGACTTTTGTTGCAGATCCCTTATTTGAGTGTTTTATCATCACACTGTTTTTTTCGCAGCGCCATGAACTAAAATAATGGAAGTAGCGAACAATTTATGTGAAGGTATTCTATAAAGCAATAACTATTTAGCCTTTTCTGCAGTAGTGATTTTACTTCAAATTGGTAAATGTTAGAAGCTGGTATCTTATTTTTAGGTACTGGAGCTTCAAGTTGTGTACCAATCCTTCATCATGTGCTAGAACCAGAAAGATATGATTGCTTTTGCTCACAAATTCTCAAGGAACATGATCCTAAGATCGATAAAAGTAAAAACATTAGGAATAATGTCTCTATAATGATTAGAATCCCCAGAAAAGATGCAAATAGAAAAAAATTGTCTGAAAGTGAAATACCATATGACTGTGTGGATAACTTTACAGAAAATCATGAAGTTTACCACAATATTTTATTTGACATGGGAAAGACCTTTAGAAGTTCTGTACTAAGCATTTTCCCTAAATTTAAAATTTCAGCTATTAATTCTATCATTCTAACACATTTTCATGATGATGCCGTTGGCGGTTTGAATTATGCATCTTACTTTGTAAAGAATATTCATGACAGTAATATTCCACTACCGATTTATATGAATTCGGATACTATAAAATTTGTTTACAAGAGATTTCATAATTCAATAATAGATGACTTAAATAGAGATTGCAAAGTTCTGCAATTTGGTCACTCTAGTTATGAATTAAATGTCTTAGATATTTTGCTAGGAAGAGTGACAAATTGTAATTCACATGAAGCTATTCAATATTATCTGAGCCTGAAAGATAGTATAGATGAACCTGAATCTAGATTCAACATTGTGGAATTTTTTATAGAGGATATTAAGATAACTTCATTTCCAATGTACCACGGTAACTGCATTTGCATGGGATTTTGCATCCACTATCCATATACCAATGTTATATTTATATCTGATTACACCTTCCCAATTCCAAAGGTGTCTCTAGATTTTCTCAAATCTATGGAATATAATGTGTCAATTCTAATTTTGGATTCTATTGCTTTTAAGAAGTCAAGTAACTCTCACGCCACTATAAGCGAATCTTTGGAACTGGCTCAAATTATCAATCCTCACTTTCTTTATTTTGTTGGGATGTCTTGTGACTTAGAATATAATACTGGAAACAAGAAATTGCAGGAAATTTTAATTCAATTAAAAAGATCTGGAAAGTGCTGCAGTATTAAATCTGCTCAATTAGCTTATGATGGGCTTTTCTTGCCAATTAATACTTGAACATTCAATAAGGACACTATCAAAGATAAATTCAAATAAGAAGAAAATTAGAGAAATTTCATCCTCACAATTAATTACTTTTTAATGTACTATGGGACTTATTTTTCTTTATCTACTTCATCCAGAATTTTTTTTCTTAATATGGAAGTACTTGCAATAGTTTTTTATTTTCTTCTTTTGCTACTTCTTTAAGTGCCTTTATTATCATCAGAAACTCAGTAGCTATTATTTAAACAAAAAAAAAATAAAGTTTACATAATTTAAAATATTTGCTTTACACTTTTATCTCTTACCTAGCTTTTGAATTTCTGGATTTTCACTTGAAGTGGGCTCCACATACTCTATATCATTACCTTTATTAGATTCTGTTTGTGCTGTATCACTATGAGCTTCTGAATTTTTAGCGAATTTGTCTGATAACTAAGTATATTTAGTCAATATTTGTCATTTAAATCTTTTTTTATACTTATGACAAAACTTACACTTGTAAAATCTCTATTAAGTCTCTTGTAGGCGCCTGAAACGGAGTATAATGGATCGAAAGCTGCTAAGAATACAGAGTTTATTTGCCTTGAATAAGAGAGTGTAACTGTATAAAATAAAACTAAAATTATTAGCAAAAAATTCATTATAATATTATTTTCAAAAAAATTAGATAAATCTTTATATATAAAGTATCAATTAAGTCAAGGGGTAACTATATTGCATGGCCCGCATGCAACACTATGCATGTGGCATCAAGTACCGATATTATTGCCGGTAGTAATGTATAAAATTTTTTGAAAAATATTTTAATATGCTTATACCTTTAGAAATAAGGAGTCATAAGTAACATGAAATTGAGGAACATTTACGTTATATTTACTTAGAGATAAAACTTGATCTCGTATATAATCGCCTAAAAGAGTGTGATCAATACCGCATGTAATACTTGTTAAGTAAACATTTCTACAACTTATTTTTAAGCAAAATTTTATTAACTCTGGTATGTTATATGCACCTTCAGATTTAATATGACTTTGTAAAAGTGGTACCACAAGAATTTGGATACATGGTAAATTTATAAGATACTGAAATGTTTTTTGAGGTATAATTGAAAAATTTGGTAAAATGCACAAAATTGGATTTTTTGAGACTTCATCTTGTATAACATACCCCATATTTAATTCATTATTATTTCCTTTAAAGTATAAAGCTGTAATATTAATGCTGTCGTATTTAAATGGAACAGGGGAGAAATCCAAGTTATCTTCAAAATTTGTATATCTATGTATCTCGACATATTTATTAGCTTCATTTATAGATTTAAAAGTAGTAGTGACTCCAGGATTATGTGGATCAAATACTGAAATATTCATGGTTCCAACTTTTGTTTTAAATGGAGGTTTAATTTTAAGTGAATAAAGGATCATGTAGTTGTACCAATTAGATAAATTAATAAATGCTGATATTGATAGATACAGTGGTATCGGTTTCTTTGGGTAGTAAGAAACATTTCCATTTTCATCTATAAAATGTTCAAAATTTTGAATTTCACGAACTTCATCAATCCCTCCTATTGATTCCTCAGTAGAGTGCATAGTCAAGATGATGTCTACCTTTTTTAAAAATTTCGAGGCACATTGAATTATAGATTTCCGAATTTCCGCACTAATTTCAAACAAAATAGTAACTTCACTACTTTTATTTGATTTAATTGATAGTAGAGCAGAATATGAATTTCGGATATTTTTATTATATTCAGCCGAAGTTTCATTTGATCTTATCAATGTTTCAATACATTTTGAACATACAGAGCAATATTCACCTTTATTCAAATGTTCATATTCAATATTCTTAATAGTATGTCCTAAGTTTGGAGTTCCTTCTTTTGTACCAGTCCCCAGAAAAAGTAATGAAGCATTCATAGTTACAATTTTGTAATTTTACCTTAAGTACAAGAATACCAAGCGCTAAGGTAATTTTACCTCTAGTTGAACATTTGAGTACTTTGATTACAATATTTCAGGAGATATAAAAAATGGCAAATAGGCGAAATAATGACAGGAACTCAGTAGGTTGGGAAAGTGAGTCATCGAGAACTTCTGTGATTGTTTGGACATGTATAATTGCAACATTATTTATAATAAAGTATATTTATCAACTTTTTTTTGATAATGGTTTTAGAACATCAAATATAGGAAATGAAATTGGCTCTAGAAATGGGATAAATAGAAATAATAATAGGGCGAGTGCTTTAAAAATATCTATGGGATTGTGTTTTGGAAAAGATCACAAATTCTTCAATAATACAAGAATATCTGCAATTTTAACAAAGCTTTGTTTAAAAGCAGACATCTATTTAATAGTACAAGTAAATAGTGATGAAGAGGAGTCTGTCTTTATGAAAACTATTGAAGACATGGGTATACTAGATAATGGATTAAAGAGACACCGGATAGTATTCTGTGAAAAGTCTACTAGTATACCTAGCTTAGCAAGACAGTTGCAGCCACTGATGCACATTGACACTAATAAGTCTCATTTAGATTTACTTAGTGGGAAAGTGCCAAATGTCATATATTTTGAATTTGATGATAATGGCCAGAGATTTGAAGAGTGTGTAGATAATATAAACTATATTGCAGGCGTAATTTAATATTTTATATGCATATTTCTTAAAGACAATTCATCAGAAATAATGGCAATATCTTAATTATTTTGGAATTTGAATGAACATACTTTTTAGCAAAGAAAGCTTTTAATATTGTAGAATCTCTACAATACGAGCTGTGTATAGAAGGAATTTTATCCCGCTTTATTTGTTAAAATTTTACCTAATTACACTTCTTTACTTGCTATTTAATGGTACCGAAACAGTTATGATTATATATATGTTTTATGGACATAGCATTTGAGCTATCAAGAACGATAATTAATACTTGTAGTAAGCGTGTGGTTGCCTTTGTAGTAAATCATGCTAGTAATCACCCAAAAAGTAGAGAAAAACTAATAAGATTTGGACAAAGTAGTCACAGAACATATATACATCTTAAATATTTCGGGTCATATTGGTTAGATCGCTCTTTTTTTATTTCATCTACCAGTAGAAATTATATAAATTCCAAAACAATTCCCAATAATGAACCTCATTTAAAATACTGTACTGATATTGACTTTTTCAATTCACCTTCTACATCACCTGAGTCGAAATTTGCTACATATACGTTATTTAGTCAGTCAAAGGCTTCAAGAAGTAATCAATGCCTTGTAACACCTAGTCAGACATCTCCACTTCCTCCTGTTTCATCATTACCAGTGAAGAGCAGAATAACATTAAATGTAAAACCATTAGATGAAAGCAAGGCATTTGAAGTTGGAGTAGACACAGCTGCTGATTTATCCGTATTTGCAATAACTTTATCACTAGTATGCACAAGTTTGTGGATGAGGAGGAGGAGACAACAAAAATCACAAAAATTACAAAAAGAAAGTGAAAAGATACTATTGGCGAGGGTAGAAAAGCTTGAATCTCAAATAAATAAATTCTTAAGTCCTCAGGTGTAGATATTTTTTAAAAAAATACAACTATACTTATGGGTTAAGCAATTAAGATAATACTGTAATTATGGAGTAGTAGATTTCTTTCTTCTATAGTACATAGATAATCCAATAATACCTGTAGTAAAGATTAGGCTACCAATTGATATATTTATCAATATGATATATTTATTAGCTAAGTTAAATAAAGCAGGTTTAGGCTTGAAAATACTATATAATGATTTGTAGATTGAAAAATAACTTTTATTATAATTGTCACTTTTGTTATCATCACTATATTCATCATCATCTTGAATTTCCTTAATTTTACCTTTAAAGGCTAACTGCCCGCATGCACCGCCAATATCTTGCCCCATCTTTCGTCTAACTGTAACGACAATTCCGTAATTATTCAATATCCTGCAAAATGTCCGAACTTTACCTTCTGAAGGAGTGGCATACTTTGGAGTTGCATTTGTTTCACTATAAGGCAAGATATTCACAAATATGAAATTAGATCTTTTATAATTATCTAAGAAAGCTTTTTGAAAAGATTTAGCAACTTTCTTTTCCAAGCGTTCACTTTGTATACATCTTTCAAAAATCATATTGATATCATTTTTGTCTGTATAAGTATTGTTTAGTAAATTTGCCAGAGCTTTTGCATGATTAATTGAATCATTTACATCTTTAATAAGAATATATTCAATCATCACAGTGCTATGGCTATTGAACCATTTTGGAGATATAATTGTACTTTCAAGATTGTCTATTTTAATTTCAGTGCGATTATTTCTCTGATCGGTAATCTTTTTAATAAATTTATTCAATATAGACTTTGCTATAAATATATCTGTTGATCTTATCAGCTCAGATATCTTGTACATCTTCGCAATAGGAACTATTTGTTCCCTTAGTACTTGATCTGGTGCGTGTAAACTTAAACATAATCCTACTCCAGGTAAATCATCTGCCATATTTACAATACCAGATGGTATTCCAACTGTACTTATGGAAATCTTACTGGGAGATAAACCATATAATCTTGTATCCAATAATATTTTTATTGCATCAACTACCTCATTGTAATTTTCTAATGGTTCCCCCATGCCCATAAATACAACATTCTTAACAGGTTCATTAAGAATATTTATTGCATGGTATACCTGTTCAATAATCTCTCCAGTAACAAGCGATCCACCTAATCCCAGCGTGCCTGTAGCACAAAATGTGCATCCTATTCTGCATCCAATCTGACTTGATACACAAAGAGATACTCTCCTATATATTGGTAAATTTGGTACTTCTAATGTGTCCAAATTTTTGTTTTCTGATTTTTTAGCCACATCATTACATCTATCATATCTCATTATAACTGTCTCAATCTCATGGCCATCTTGTAACCTAATTATAAGCTTTGTTGTATTACCATCATCAGTTGTATGACTTTGTACAATATTAGAAGTTAGTAACTTAAAATTTAATTGAATTTCCTCCAATATCCTTTTAGGAATATCGGGGATATCACTAAATTCCTTAACATTCTTCTGTATCAAATAACGCCAAACTCTATACGCATGACTTTCACTTACTTTAAGCTCCCTAAAGACCTTCAGAAAAGAGCTACTATCAAAAATCGGTTGTTGTTTAAACCTATATCTTCGCTTGTTTTCCATACTTTGAAATTTTCAAACAGTACTTAAACTCTCAGCAAAATAGAGTTTACTATTGACACCGCTCTGAGTGCCTCTTCTTTTTTTCATCCTTATTTGTTTATAAGTTTGTTTCACAGTAATAATTTTTCCCTTATTTTGCAAAATATGTATAGGTAAAAAGGAGCAATGTCACTTGTAATATTCTGAAATGCCTCTTAATTCAAAAATTAGGTATATATGTGAGATTATTCTTATGAACTTAATAAAGAGTAATAGGATAGAGAGTAATAGTATTCCTTTAAATATTTACAAAGTAATCTAAATTTTATAAGGAAAAAAAAGAAAAGGCCAAGAAGTCAGATAGTGTATAAACTAATGTATAATTTCCAGAGAGTTGAGGAATTATTGTAGTTGTAACTCCCCTTTGCTATCCTAACCAATTGTGTAGAGCGGTTAAAAGGAGGTTTCTGTGGGCTATTTTAAAAGGATCTCTGATCACTACAAACTAAAAATAAAGTACTGAATATCTCTATATATAGAGATTGCTTCAATCTTGGTCCAATTAGAATCAGAATCTATAAGAGGTAGCTGAGATGGGTAATGCAAATACACATCAAAGCCACTTAGGAGAAGACTCACGAAGTGATAAGAAGAAGAAACAACAAAATCAGGGTGATAAGAAGAGATTAGATGTGGCTCCACCACCACTTGAAGCTAAGAGGAAGCGTAAGAATAAAAATACACCTCATTGCTCTAGGATACCCACTATAGTACCAAATACGAAGTGTAGATTGAGATTGCTGAAACTAGAGAGAGTAAAAGATTACTTGTTAATGGAACAAGAGTTCATAACAACTATGGAGAGTATCCGCCCTTCAGCTGAAAGAACTGAAGAGGAACATACAAAAGTGGATGACTTGCGTGGTAGTCCAATGAGTATTGGAAATCTAGAGGAGATAATTGACGAAAATCATGCTATTGTATCATCATCTGTTGGGTCGGAATATTATGTAAATATACTGTCGTTTGTAGATAAGAGTCAACTACAGCCTGGTTCTTCTGTATTATTACATAATAAGGTCTATTCAATAGTAGGTATAATGAGTGATGAGGTAGATCCACTAGTTACTGTAATGAAGGTTGACAAAGCTCCTTTAGAGAGTTATGCAGATATAGGTGGACTAGAACAACAAATACAAGAGATTAAAGAAGCTGTAGAGATCCCACTAACTCATCCCGAATTATATGATGACATAGGCATAAAACCACCTAAGGGAGTTATTTTATATGGACCACCAGGTACTGGTAAGACTTTACTTGCAAAAGCAGTTGCAAATGAAACTTCTGCTACTTTCCTACGCGTAGTTGGTAGTGAACTGATTCAAAAGTACTTAGGGGATGGTCCTAAACTTGTACGTGAGTTATTTAGAGTTGCAGAGGAGAACGCTCCAAGCATTGTATTTATAGATGAAATAGATGCAGTAGGAACTAAACGTCATGATGCTCATAGTGGTGGTGAAAGAGATATACAGAGGACAATGTTAGAGCTTTTAAATCAACTAGATGGTTTTGAATCGAGGGGGGATGTCAAAGTAATAATGGCTACTAATAAAATTGAAAGTCTTGACCCGGCTCTTATTAGACCTGGTAGGATAGATAGGAAAATTGAACTACCCAATCCAGATACCAAGACAAAACGGAGGATATTCCAAATACACACTAATAAGATGACTTTAGCTGAAGATGTCGACTTAGAAGAATTCGTAATGGCTAAGGATGACATTAGTGGTGCCGATATTAAGGCTATTTGCACAGAAGCAGGGCTACTTGCACTTAGAGAGAGAAGGATGAAAGTTACACAAGAGGACTTTAGGAAAGCGAAAGAGAAGGCTCTTTATAGAAAAAAGGGTGGTATTCCTGAAGGATTATATTTATAGTAATTGTGAATATTTGTTTCTTCAAAATAATATTCCAAGTGCAAGAAAGTTCAACTCTTAAGAACCTGGATATAATTTTGAGTTATCATGGATCTGATTAGACATCAATAATGACCTTTCTAAGATATATTTGCCAATTTTATATTGTTGACTCTCTTGGTAAGCTACTTCATATTTCCACCCTAGTATTGTCCCACAATCATTACAATATATATCTACAATGGAATACAGACCAGTATTCATTAGTCTATCTTCAGCAGGTCCTTCTGATACATTGTAAACTTGACTAAATATACATGCATTGCTTATTTTTCCTCTAAAATGTGTGCTAATAAGGAACTCTTGCGAGCTGAGTGGCATTCCACATTCTTTACAAGTGTATTGTAGTATACTATTTAAACGTAGTACAAAGGGTCTGCCCATTGAAATATGTTAAAATAATAAATATTTCTAGTGATATATACTCCTGCTTATTTCTTTACTATTGCATTATAACACGGTAGGATGTTATCAACTACTAGATAGTACAAGCATCATTTCAAGAACCTGGGAATATTACAATCTTATGGCGGTCGACATACAGGCATTAGGCGGCCATGTTTCATTTTGGTCTACTTTTTCCTTTCTTCTTTTTTCTGTTAGATTTTGTACCTTACTTACCAACATTTAGATACTATTTCTGAAATATATTCACAAGACTCGATATTTTCTCTGAGAATTTTGCATTTCTTGTACGTCTAGGTTTTAATATATAGCAGTAATAATATATACCAGCACTAATAAGTATTGTAGACATGAGAGATATCCCAATGAAAGTCCCTGTAGATATTTTTTTCCTATTATTAGGGTATATGGATATTTTATTTGCTTTGTTATCAATATTGCTTATAACTTGGTCTCTTAGTTGTTCTACTGCAGGGATACTTGACAGCTCTCTGAGTAAAAAGCCTAGACTAGTTGTAATAGCTGCTGCAGCCATTTCCTTATCCAAAGTTTAAGAATATTCAATATGATATTTGGACAGATATTCTTTTATAATGAAAAGAAATTTTAGGTATTAAGTTATAATATTTTACCATGCTTCACACAATAAAGGCGCTAGCTCCTCTTTAGACTGCTTCTAGTATATTATAGACAAGAGTACATAATTCCAGGTGATGAACTTTCTCTTTATATAAAATCTTGATGGTAAAAATTAGGGGATTCAAACCTGGTGGTACTGAAAACCCTTTACTTTTAAGAAGGAGAAATATAGTAAATACAGGTCCTACCATAAAGGAGAAATTAGAAAGGTCATCTCGTCCAACATGGGATGAACTGAGGAAGTTATTAAACAACAAAGAAGTCAGTGACAACAAAGATGTAGAGGCTCAAAATGCACTATATGTTGAGAAGATGAACGAAATCAGGGAAAAGAAACTAGGTAAGTTATGGTCTAAGGACAATTCAAGCCACAAGAATAGTAAGGATGCAAATTATCAGGTGAATAATTATAAACTAAAACAAGAACCAAATAGGAGGTATAGCACTAGTAAGTATTATAAAGAGCATAGATCCCGATCATTTGATCGTTCTACCCCAACATCTGAATATTAGATATCAAAAATGGGAGGTTTTAAGTAGACTACTGTCATATTTAATATATTAATCATTTCCGTGATGTCACTCCAATTATACCTGGTATAATACCACGATCAATAAGATCCTGATATTTATCACTGTATGTCCTAACTCCACCTACAAGTCTATTCTTCCATGGTTCATTGATGTCATCTGTTAAATATGAATTCTGGGAAGCAAGAGAAGCAGAAGATGGCATTGAATTGATTGAATTCTGTGTCTTTATAGGCTTCCCATCTAACCTCTGTCCATACCCTGAAAACAAAGTTTCTCTGCTTGTTCCCAAAAACTCGTCTGATGTTGTAGCTATTTGCTGTACACCAGGTTCCACATAATCAGGTGGTGGTGCAAAGTCAACTTGTATATCTGTTTCAATAATTGAAATAGCATTTGTAGGCTTTGTTTCTAATATTTCTACTTTGTACGAAGCATCATTGTATTGTATAACAATTGTGTCACCTATAGTAAGTGTTGCAAAGCCACGTAAAGCTGTTTCTAGTACAGCTTTTGGGTTTGTTATATCAAGGAATTCCATACTTAAAGGTTGCAGCTTAACATAAGTACCTTTAGAAAGGGAGGTATTTGTGATATTTACAATATCTCCCTCCTGTAATTCGAGATTTTGCATCATCCAGTATGGCATGTAACATGTCCCCTCTTCGGCAACAAATTCAAGTACGCCAGAGTGGGTAACTTTGTGTTTCAGTGAGTTCTGCACTTTGAATAGCATTGGCCATGATATATTACGTCTTGCTAGTTGATTAAGTGCTGAAGGTGGTAGTAGAATTTTATTGCCTGCTTCCAATTCATCACGACCTGCAAAGCTTACTGGGTAGCAAGAATACTCATGACTAAATGGGGATGATAAGGGATCACCATCATATCCACTTGCAAAAAAACTACCAGATGTGAATCTACTGAAGCCGAACATACTTACTGATATATTGATAAAATAAAACCAGTAGTTACCAGTAGTTACCAGTAGTTACCAGTAGTTACCAGTAGAGTGATAAGGTTAAACAAGAATATTAATATAATAAGAGCTGAAAGCTAGTTGCCCGCAATGAGACATATACTTGCATATAGGCGGTTTATTAGGACTAATCAGATTGATCCATGTCATCTGTATCATCTATATTGTCCATTGCATAAGTTTGAGCATTAGTATTGTATAAATTTGCGTTTGGATGCATATAACTTGTAGGCATTGCATTATTATATAGTTGATACTGAGGTATGTAGGGTACTTGTCCAGAACATTCTAAGCTAGTATAGCTTACCATCCCACTTAGCTGTAGTGCAACATTATGACCAACTATTGGAGTATTTGTAGCTGTATATACTGTAGGAACAATTGTAGTAGGTATTGTACTGGTTTGGGTACCATTCTGGTGTAAAAGAGGTATATAAGATAGTGGATAGGCACTAGTCATGCTTGTATTCAGTCCATTTGTAATACTAGAGTTAAAGAAATTGTTGGAACTCGACTTCGTACTATCATTATCTTCCAAGTTTGACACTCCTTGATTGTCATCCTTATTACTAATTTCACTAGATATGTGATTAACGCTGCTCAATTCACTCATCATTTTCTCATATTCTTCCTCAATATTCTTGTTTGGATTGTATAGTTTACAGTCTTTTGTAATATGACCTTTATCTCCACATATAGAGCATTTGATATCTGCTTTCTTATATGATAACATTAGTTGTGAATCAGGGCAACTAAAGGAGGGGTGATTAGTAGAGCCACAATGTAAACAACGGTCATTATTACCACTTATTCCTAAGTTTGTTCCGAAGCTATTAGAAATATTTGTACCATTCACAATTGCTAATTGTTCTAAACCTCTTCTTTTATATTCATCATGTAAAGGATGAAATGGATCTAGCAATGGTTGTATTAGGTCTACAGCCTTGTCTACTTTCTCTTGAGTGTCAGCTGATATATGAATGTGCATAGGCATAGCCAACTCCTCCTCTGTTTGGTGATCGCATTTCTTACCTTCTTTCAAAGTACCTTTGCCTCTTATTGAAATTAACGATCCGCTTTCTGCTTCTAAACGGCGATGATTATATCCTCTAGGCCCAATAATTAATCCCATAAAATTATACTCTGGGTATTTGTCCAATGGTATGATTAGTCTTCTAACCTTTTTTAAGGGTTTATAGTCGTTTGGAGGTGCATAGTCCTCAACTCGTTTCATCATAAATTCTATCAAATTTGATAGTTCAATTTCCATACTCTTTTTAACTCTCATATCACGTGTATTTATACGTGATCCTGTCTTATCATATATAGGAGGTGGACTTGGTTCTCTTATATCTGGGTCCCCATATTCAAGATCTCCAACTTGGAGTTTATACATTAGCTCGTCTAAACGTTGCTCCTTTAAAAATTGGTCCACTTCTTCTAAAGTTACTCCAGGGGGAAACTCCATAAAACAAGGTGGTATAAATTCCTTTTCGGTTATACTTTTCCAGCGACTAGGTTTTACTAAATCACTCTCTACAGTATATTCAGGTCTTCTCCATCGACTCCTTCTTTGTCCATCATTTGACTCAAGTAAAAGTGAGTCTCCATAAACTACTAGGGAAGTTGCTATTGACATTTAGGTGCTTTGTTCATTAATGCAATTGCTAAATAGCACTTAGTATAAGCGCCAATATATATTGTTAAGATGTCAAAATATAGCTATAACAGAAGAAGAAAAATATTTAAAGCTTATGAAATATAATAGACCGAATCCTAAACTAACACAACTTATTGATTATATCTTTGTATACCTGAGATTCAGTTTTTATATTAATAAGTCTCTTCTTATTACCAGTATTTCTGACTTTGTTGACTTCATTAGGTAATATTTTGTCTCTTCTACCATAGGATGCTGTTGAAATTGCAACTCTGTCATATAACCTAGCTATCTCATCCTTCGTTCTTCTTTGATTGCCACCTCTTAAGCTAACAACTCCTAATGGCAACTTACTTTCATCCTCCTTTGTCTGTTTCTTATTTTTCATTTCTCTTAATTTCTGTTTATTCTTAGCCACTTCCTTTTCTCTTGAAATCTTTTCCCTAGGATGCTCATATAGATCTATATTATTTTTAATTTCTATAACTGCCCTATTATGTTTTTCATGTATTTTCTTAATTGAATTTTTACCCCATCTTGGGACGAAGTCATCTGTTACAGGATCATAAATCATCCTAGACCTCTTTCTTTTCTTAATACCTTTCATTTCTGCAAATTTCTCCCATTTAGTCTTTTCTCTCATTTCAGGCAAAGCATATACCCTAGGAAATTGGATTATTTGCTTCATAGGTAATATTACCATTAAGCCATCATTTGTCATTTCTCTCGGTATATCTTTCCATATAGAGTTCAAAAGCAGTTGAGTATTATTTACTGAAATCCTGTCTATCTCATCTTCTCTAATTTCATCTATATCTATACCTACCAAATTACTTAAACAATATTCAAGTGGTTTGTTTGATACTATATGGTCCATAGAAATTTGCTGTTTACTTTTTGTATCCTTGTACAGTTGATATCTTTATGTTTCTTTTATATAGTCTTAGTTAAGATTTCAATTCCAAATTTTAATAAAGTCTAAGTTTAACCAGTTGAAATAGATAAGTTCGAAATATATTATTAGATATTCAGGTTAATTTCTCCTTTTTACTGGTATAGTTTAGTATACTTGTATAAATCTGACAATGCACCACCAATACACTAACATTTCGGCGCTACTAAACTTAAAATATGGTGTACCTACTGGAATTTCCAAACTCCACTGTCTACAAACTAAGAATATATAGAATAAACTGAGGACAAGTGTAGTATTTGAAGAAAAGGAATATACAGTAGAATAATGTAATAGTGACCTACTGTGCTTATAGTTGTGACAAAGTATATATTTAGTTTGTACATAGTAGAAAACTAAAACAGGAGATCCTTAGTATTTTGAAAAGTCTAGTTAAATAACCTTATAGAATAGCCTAGCACTTTATCCCTAAGATCTTCTTGTATTTCTGTTTGGCAGTTTTAACTAAATCTCTACGATGGCTAAATGCATTTTCAATCTTCTCTTTAACTTGTCTAGGATCAGTTGACAATTTAATTGTAGTAACTAACCTATTAGGTCTTCTTCTAGTACTGCATGTACCAGTCTTTTTCTTGGTTATTTGAACCTTCTTTATTAATTGGTTATTTGGATTTACCTTCACATCAAGTCCTAATGCATTTCTATTTGCCAATCCTGAATACTTTAAGGAGTTTATTGCTGTTATATTGTATGGTTCACATGTAAAGGTAAAGCCACTACTTTTGTAGATAAAAGAGCTATTTCTTTTTACACATTGCCATATTACTTCGGAAGGAAACATCTTTTCTGTATAATTAAAAATACTCGACGAAATACTCCCCAAACTTATTATGAAAATAATTCTAGTACTTGGAATATGTCTTCCTCCAGAATAGGACCTCCCATACACCTTCGTAAATACAAGACAGAGTTGAGGTAGTTGTCTACTCTTGTTTAATATTTTACTACTATTTACACTGTAGACGAGACAGGATAGTAATGCAAAGGGTACTACGTTATGTCTCAGTGGACAACTAATTGAAAACTTAGTGTCCATATTAACATGCAGCATAAGGTGTGGAGAAGTTACCGAATAATATTTAGATTTAATCCCATAAAAATAAGATAAATACTCGAGATAAATTGATTTATTGCTTGAATAGTGGCTGAAACCCGTTTGGAAGTATTAGATGATGATATAATGGAGTTAGAGCAACAGGTAGAGGAACAGAAGCTGCGTACTTTGGATAATTAAATATAGAATTAATTTGGTGAGTGTTTATATGTCGGGCAGGTATTTGATTTATTAATGATGTAGTGAAATTACGGTGATGATTGTTATAACCTGAATTATAATGGGTAGGTCTATTTGTAGAAGTCATAAATTTTGGATAAGCTAAGACTGGGTCCTGAGTACCTCGAGTGTTTGAAATTCCATTATTATTTCCCAAATTGCACACAGACTGTAGTGAAGAAGTGTACTGATTATTTGAAATTAAGTTGATAGAGGTAGGTTTCATTGAATTGATTTCTATTAGACTAGTCTGACTTCTACTATACCTTGGGTGACCTGAAACTACTGGTTCAATTTCTTTGATATTTAAAGGCTCTAATTGAATTTGTTTTTGAGATGGAGAGTACATTATATACGAACTGTTCTTCCAGTCTAAATTATACTTTTTATTTGTTGCGTTTTCATTAGGTTGATTATTATCATCATTTATAGACTTAAGATATTTAATTGTTGATCTATATGCTTTTATTATAGGACTTGTAAGGGGAAAATTAGTAGTATCAAGAGATTTGTCTATGATTAAATTTGAGTTACCTTCAAGGTTATCTGTACAATAAATAGTATCAGAGATATTATTGGCAATTTTCTTATTATTTACTACCTCTTTACTCAATGCTTTACTTTGAGATTCCTTAAAATTAGTAGCTTTCTTATTTTTAAAAATTAAATTTTGGTTTATTTGATGAAATGTTCTGTTATCTTTGTTTGGCATGCAAGAAGTTCCTAAACACCCAACTGTATTTAAAAATATATTGTAATTGCTCAATTTTTTCTTAAGACTCCTGCGATTTAATATGGAAGCTACTTCAATGGATTCTGTTCGCTTCTTCTTATCAATATCTACAGTGTCCAACTTCTTTAGTTTCGTAGACTTTAAAACATGTTCTTTAACTTCTAGTCCAGGTAATGTAACGAATACTTCTGACTTCTTCCTCGTATCTATATGCTCTAAAGTTCTAAATGATGGAATTTTTTCATTTGATTTTACACGTGATTTATTTTTTGGATTCTCTGCTGATCCAAAGTTTAATGATAATTTTCCGCTAGATTTAGTCTTTGGAGTCTTTGCTGATTTATTGGAGCTTGTAGTCTTGTCTGATTGTAAATATGTGGCTTCATTCATAGACTTGATGCTCTTTTCACTTTGTGGTATTTTTAATTTAGACATATCCAGTGACATATCTAGTGCAATTTTAGGATCTAATATTGAATCTTCTAATTTGGTTATTATTTCATTAGATATGTTAGTAATAATCATATTTTCAGATGTATTTTTGTGAATATCTGAAGATTCGGTATATATTTGTGAATTTTGTGTCAGATAAGATGATTCACAAGTTACTAAAGGTTTAGCACATATTTGAGGGATTTCGGAAATATTTCTTGAAGTTTTAGTCTCTTCTATTAAGTTGTCACTCTGCATAAAATTATTAATATTATTAGATAATCTAGAATACTTTTCAGTTTCTAGAAATCCCTTAGAAAGATCTATGACTTTATCTGGTAACTTTGTCTCCTCCACAATGCTATTGGGAAAATTTATATCTTTTATAATTGTATCGGACTCTTTTAAGTGTCTCCCATATTTATTTGATATTTCTAATTCTACAATGGTACCATCCTGTATTTTGGGATATTCCATATTTTCATTGGAAATGTCCAAAAACTTGTCACTTTTGAAGTTATCTACTGTATTAAGATGATATAGAGCTGTATTTGGATTACAATTCAAAGTTTTACTCATTATATTTGAATTAGATTTTTCTGATTTAATCTCTTCTCCTTGATAGAAATCATTTGTTATTTGTAAATCTACACAACTACTCTGCAAAGTATTTTCTGAAGACATCCTCTTATTAATATCTGAATAATTAGAGTCTAAATTATTATATAAGTTTATTTTTGAATGAGAACAAAGTGGAACCTTGTATAATGAATTTTGCATTGTTTCCTTCTCTAATGTAGAAAGACTTTTGTTAGATTCCTGACTTTTTACTTTGATAAAAGTTATGTTATCAGTATCTTTAGAAAAGATTTGCTCCACTAATTTATGGTTTGGTATAATTGGTCTTATTATTACATCTGAAACTACTGGACTCCTCGGTACTAGTGTAAGATTATCACTAGCTGTAGCTTTTGGAAAGTCCAATGAAGTACTTAAGTGATCTACTTTACACTGATCTGATAATTCCGAACTATCCTTCACAAAAATATTAGATGCCATTATATTATCAATTGAATTAGATGTGGAGTTATCCGCTGAGCTATTTACAGAATATATTGGATATTCTATTGAACTGTTACCCAATTTTTTCTGACTTCCCTTTGTAATAGCAATATATCTGGTATAATCCATTGCTTCTACTTTACTATTACTTATTTGTAATTTTGATTTTTCAGATCCAATTTCGGCTTTTTTTCTGTTTAGCCTTTCTTTATCTTCAGATTCAAAATTCTCATTAATTATGTAAAAGCTACTTATATCTGTATTTTTATCAAATTTTCTTTTTAATTGCAATGTGCCATCTTCTGAATTATAAATATTTTCACTAAAGGCTATAGGGTTAGATCTATTGCTTAACTGACTATTGAGACTATTCATCTCAAAATTTTGGTTAGGTACAGTTTCTAATTGTAAATTATTACATATATTAAAAGCCTGATAGTTTAAACAATCTATCTCACCGTATTTACACCTTAGTTTGTCTCTAATATTATGAATTGAATGATCTAATTGATACTGTAAGTTTTGTAGGGCACTTGCCAATTGATTAATCTCCATATCTTTCTGGTATATTAAATACTCACTGTTCTGTTTTAACTCAGATAACTCGGTTTTTAACCTACAATTTTCAATATATGTTGAGTTAACTTCTTTTCTTAGTACGCTCTCTAGATAAAATGCATCTTTATCTTTCCTATTTAATGTATTTATATCCTCTTCATGTCTATCAACTAGTAGGTTTAGTCTATTCCTTATTTCATATAATCTATATCTAAATAAAATCTCCATAATAAACATTTTATCTAATACTTCTAAATTAGTTACATTAGTTTCAAAATTTAATATTTTATTCTCGAGTTGTACAAATGCTAATTTATCATTGTATGTCTCTAGTATAGATGAGGTTAAATTATTCAAATTAGATGGATCATCAAGTTCACTCTTCAAATAGCCAATATAAATGTTTTCAAGAGTATTCGAACTATTCTCTATATTATTTACTGTAGCTAATTTGTCCTTTAATAATAAAAGCTCACACTTCAGCTTAAACCAGTTATCCAACAGAGAATGGCATAATAAACCCTTCAATTCTGACAGATTGGTTGCAGTTTGCATGACTATTTTAGCCAATATATTTGTAAATTCAGAGTTTCTCAATAATTCATGGCTTATTTTGTTTAATTTATCATCTATTTCCATGTATTTACTTAAATCGTCCATACATTCATTATTAGTTACATCTTCCTGCATACTTTTAACCTTTCTAGCTGGAGTTAGATACCCCAACTCTAAATGTTCTTCCTTATTAGCCATAAAGTGCAAGAAAAATTATACCTAATATAAATCCAAATTACTCAATTAGCATTACTTTACACTTTTTTTTACATTTCCATGCTAAAAATACCGCTAAAACTTAATACGCGCTATTATATATTACTCCGTATACAGAGCTCTACAAGACATTTTCTTCAATTTTCAACCAACTTACACCATCTGCTTTATAACGTAATAATTAATATAATATATTAAATGTTTGATATTATTCACTGATGTGGACTTTATTATATTTGCGAGGATGAACATATTCTGCAAATATTCATATTAATAAGATTTATATTCTTTGCTATATGTCTCTACGACTTTCTTTGTCTAACTTTGTCTAACAAAGTACTAAAGATTTATATGTACATAATATTTATAGCATTTATAAAGTTGTTCTCACTATATATTTCAGTTAGTTTGGTTGAAATTGAAGATTTTGGTTAGATTTGCGAACAATATTAGTATATTCAAACTGTACTAGAGAATAGTTACCTAATATGCTGAGTAATCCCTTTAAATAACTTTCGGTTTTGATTTGAGATGAGAAATAGAGATAGTTAAGCCTTACTTCACAACAGAAATAATTAGGTATTATTACATCCAGATTTAACTGAGGTGAATATAAATTAATATAATATAGCTCATAACCCTATAGAACTACAAACACATTGTATATATATACGTTAAAACACTTATTTTGAGTTAACTTAGTCGTAGTATTCAGAAATTTACTTAAATTTGACTACGATAAACTATATTTAATAAGAAATCCGACTCAATTGAGGTGAGCTCATATATATAGACATTATTATTTAAATGCATTATTAAAAGATGGAGGTATGCGTACTATGAAATACTTTTATATTTCTCTAGGACCAAATAATATTTAAAAAAAAAATCTACTTGTTTAATTTATTCTACCAAAAATATATATTTATATCTTTAACTGATGTATCTAGAGGTATTTGATTATTATCAAGTTTACTTACAGTATTATAAATTTAATTACATATCGAAGAACTTCAATATGAAACTACATAAATAAATACATATATTCATCTTCTAATTGCGAAATGATTGACAATGAAGACAATAAAAAATACAGTATTAATAAAAGTGGTTTTCGACAGTAATATAAAAATAAAGGTAAACATAGAATAAGTTTGCTTGATAATAATAAAATGATCATTAATATTATAGAAGGTTGAATTATTTGACCCTTGAGCTTGATATACGTTTAAAATTCAAATTTAAGTTTATTATTACCATTCAAAGTCATCCGGTAGAAATAGTTTTACCCATCACATAGTAATAGCTAGTGGAGATATCATATATCAATATCATTAACAATGTACGACACTCTTTGAATAGTAACAAAAAAAAAAAAAAAAAGCAATCTGAATATATGCAGTGAACCAAAATTTAATATCTAGATCATTCAAAATCTCAATTCACTGGATATAAGCATGAAATATGTGTTGATTATCAACTTTGTGATTTAAAAAGTTGACTAAAAATTGTTAAGGAGTAATATGAATACATGAAATGACTTCCAAATATATCAAAAGTTGTCCACTCACAGTATTTCTACAAGATCTTATTAATAAGATAGATAAGAATGATTATTATACAAGTATGCATAGTATACTGTTATTAGATACCCCCTTAAAGTTGTATGTATTTGTGATGTCTAAAGATAAGCATATTATTTAAATGTAGTGACCGCCTTTAATAAGTAGTCGATTTATAGCTGACTTCTGTTTAGAAAAGGTATATTATTATTACTTATATCATAGTTAATGGAGTCTGAACTTACTCAATTCTTCTCAGTAAATAAAACTCAAATTCAGTTCTCTATTCCATTGGAATTTCAACTTGAAACTATATATATTAGAGCTATCCCAAAAGATATTCTGCAATGTAACTTTTTAAAGGAAATTAGCTTATTTCATGGCTTTGGATTTACGGAAGAGGACATAGATGACGGATCAACTACATTCTATTTTTGCTGTGAAGAAGTAATTTATCTTGCACAATGCTATGGTCCAGAGCACTTTTTATTAAATGGAATATTCTGGCCAAAGCCCATACAACCGGTAAGATAACAAACCATTATTTTTAATTATCACATTTCAAATATATCCTACCTATTAAACTTATTATATTGTAATAATATATTGCAGACATTTGACGATATATATAATGGATTAAAACATACTAGCGCATCTCGTATATCTATAATATATCCTGTCTATTCATTTTTTAGAAACGAAAAATATATTGTACGTAGTGGCTTAAAATATGGAGTTGATTTCATATTGTATGAAAAGTCACCAACAGTAGTACATGCTAGTTATAGTGTTAAAATTGGTAACTTCCTTCCGAATGACATTTATCAGGGACTTTCTAAATCACAATTAGGAAAACCAATTAAGTGGAGAGATGTAATTGGTTTACTTAGATTAACTGAAGCTGTTAGCAAAGATCTTTTACTTGTAACTCCAGATTTGAATGATAAATTTAAAATCCACTGTACCTGCATTCAAAGGCGCAAAATCTAATTTACAACAATTTTAAGAGTATATAGTTGCTCATTTTATTTAATTAAAATATCTCTATAATTACTTGAATTAATATCATTTTCTTTCGACGTATATATATAATTTAATAGTACATTGTGAAATCACAATTATTAATTTAAATTGTCACTTATCTATTCTCTTTTATTAAGTAACGTTCCTTAAACTCTTGAATATCTTTTTTAGTTAGTTTCCTTTTACTATGAATAAGTATTTCATCTAATTTACTCTTATTTCTCTTTTCTTCCATTTTAAATTTGTCATGTACTTGTTTATCTGTAAATTCTGGAAATACAGACTTTACTAACATCAGATCCGTACCAAATATAGATAAAGCTTCATAAAACTTATTTGTTTGCTCAGGTGACCACCTTATACTTTTTGACTTTTTATATGCACCTTCATATGGTTGTACTGATGTACCTGCCATATTTTCATTAACATATACTCGACCTTCCATAATACCTAGCCAGTCAATTGAGCCTCCTTTACTTGATGAATTACCTTCATCAAATGTAATTTCACCCTTACAATCCAAAGAAAGCCTTGGATTACTTTCATTAACTAAATTTTCAGTTAAAAATAGATCATCAAATACATTGTTGCTAGAAGGTTTGCATTTAGATTTGCTATTCTCTAATGTGCCACCTTTATTACCATCCAATAAATATTTCAATAAGTAATCCGTGTTGCTAATATCTCCAGTTCTATATTCCATATTATTGCAATCATATTTGGAAATCGTCGACTTAGTTGGGTTTTGATGGTCTTGTACATTACTCAGATTATTAGGTTCGTCCTCAGACTCTATTCTTCGCTTTGATCTGCGCTTTCTATAAGCAGCTTTAATCACTAGGCTCCACAATGTATCATTTGCTCCATTTGAAAAATCTTTCATTCTTAGTCTTCATTATTTCTAGATTTGTAAGTAATAATATTTGAGCGTGGTTGAATATAAATAGTAGAGTTATGCGGCACCATTTAATACCTTATGTCAGCAGATAAATATATATTATTCTAAATTAGCTATGGGTGGTGATGGTGGAAGTATACCAAAACGAAGTGACATAGTGAAAACATCTGGATACAGGTATAGAAGGAATCTCGGTGGCATGGGATATTTACCTAATACAACGGCTAGGATATACGATGAAACTATTCCAGAATCAACTCAGCGTCATATAAAGTGGACTTCTTGTGCTCTTACTTTGGTAAGTTTAAGGCTTCACAGATTTGGTAGATAAATCTTTAAGATCTCCCCTTGACTAATTATAATATAAATATTGTTAGGAGCCATTGAAACAACCTATAGTTGCATGTAGGCTTGGTAACCTATATAACAAAGAAAGTTTGCTAAAGAGATTAATAAAAGGTCAATTATCAAGTGAATTTTCACATATTAAGAGCATCAGAGATTTAGCTGATATAAAGGTAGGTATACCTTTGTTTTCATTTTTTTTTAAAGTTTTTCTTATCTCTAAACCTGTTGCTGAAGAATAAAATAAACAAACTAACAGGATGTTTGATCTGTCCAATAACATTAAGTGATTTAGACAACTTTGTTAGAGCTAAGTTGTACTGGAAATGTGGATGTATAATATCAGAAAATGCTCTAAAGATTCAATCTGATTCTGAATTTGAAGCTCAATGCATGAACTGCAATTCACATTATATTCCGAATACAGATGATATAATCATGATTCCAAATTCAGAGGAACTTTCAGATCTAAAAGAGAGACTTCGTGCTATAAATTCAAAGAAACGTAAGTTAAATAGGAGTTCGGAAAGAGCACCAAGGAAACTGCTTAGTGATCATTTATAAATTTATACCTGTTTTCCTCCTCTTTAACTGAAATCTTCTAGTTTACCACATAAAATTATTATTAGTACTTTTTATTAAAGTTATTTAAATAGTTATCTGTTTAATTAACAAATGATCCTACACTTTCATCATAATTATCTTCCCCACCCACTTTATAGGCTGGCAAATCAACACTGGGAGATATCCCTGAGCCACTTCCAATAGATGTCGCAATATCCTCTGGCATACTACTAGCAGTTGCAAGTACACGGGATACTCCATCATTATTAACGCTACCAGATCGCGAGTTTGAGCTTATAATTTTTGCAATAGCACTAGCTATAGAACCAACACCAACAACAGATCCAGCTACACCTCCAGCAATAGCCCCAATATTTTGAGGCTTTGACTCAATTTTCATGTATGTAGCTGGAATTAGCACTGTTGTAGGATTCCCTATAGAAGTAGTTATTGAAGTAGTTGAATAGGTTGAAGATGGTTTAGCAGCAG